CTTTGCTGGGTGGCTTTGCTGGGTGGCTTTGCTGGGTGGCTTTGCTGGGTGGCTTTGCTGGGTGGCTTTGCTGGGTGGCTTTGCTGGGTGATGATGATCAGAATTGGGTTTGTTTTTCGTGGATTCGAATCACTGTTCCTGAGGAATGGCAAATTCTCGTGCGACTATGCACTTTGGAGCTCTTCTGGGGTGTTTTACTATTGTATTTACATTTGTGATCTAGCGCCGGCCGACGTACTCATGATACTCTCAATTGAGTATTGTGTTGTTTCCAGATATGAAACACAGGAGCGAGGAAATGTGAGTGGAGAATAGGAAGAAGCATAGGACTTGGATAGAATTGAAAGCAAGCTTTTTCACCTGCATAAAAACGAATGTGTTCGAGGACGGGAACAGTATGAAACTACACGTGAAGAGCAGCAGTTCTATAGTATTAATCCGGTAACGTAACCAATCCTAGGTATCGTTTCGTGTCGAGATTAGGGGGATTCAGTTTGAGCAATCGCTCCTTCATCTGTCAGTTTTCGTGTGAAATTGTGCTTCTATGTGGTGCAATCTGACTATGCTAAGAGCATGCGGTACTCTAGAGCAAACTCATCATGCCATTCTTGCCAATTTTCCCTTCCGCTGACCTATTTCTACACCGACCTGCGTGCAGCCCCATTATCTACTGAGTGCAATGTCGTCTATTCTGAGGATCATTTTGACCGTCTCAGCCGCCAACTCAATTGCGCTCGTGCTCACCAGCAGCGGCTGGAGCACGTTCTCCTTGGCGATGTTGGAGTTGACACCTCCACTCTTGATGCTCACACCCGCGTTCCTCTCGCCCAATTCGTGGCGGTGTCGCAGGTCGGTGACAACTCTGATTGGGTTCAGGCCAGCATTCTCGGCCAGTGTCGTCGGGACCACCTCCATAGCCTCCGCGAAGGCCTTCCAGCAGATGGCCTCCGTACCTGTCAGCTCTCGTGATTGTTTCGACAGCTGAGCGGCAATCTCTATCTCTGGAGCACCACCACCTGCAATCAGCGCCTTCTTCTTGACCAGACATCGCACCACGCAAAGGGCATCGTGGAGTGAACGCTCCGCCTCGTCAAGGATAAGGGCGTTTGCACCCCGAACGACGACGGAAACGGTTTTGCCGACAGATTTGGTGCCAGTGATTTTGACCATGCGCGCTCCTGAGGACTGCGCCTCCTCCACGAGGTCAGCGCTACCGAGCTTGTCCTCAGTGAAGGAGTCGATGTCCGCGACAGGCTTGCAACCAGTGGACTTGCAGATGAATTCGACTTCGTCACGCTCAATGTCCTTGACAACTAGAATGTTGAGTTTGGCGAGGAAGTGGAGTGACAAGTCGTTGACAGCATCTCGGAGAATGGACTTCTGGATGAGCAAGACGTTGCACTTGGACTTCTTGATCTTCTTGGCCATATTCAACAAGTACATGCGCTCCTCCTTAACAATCTTGTCCATTTGGCGGTAGTCGTTGACGGAGATTGTGTTCTCCATGTCTGGCTTGGGCGGGCTGAGCTGGAACTGGATGAGACCGATCTTGGCCTTCTCCATGCGAATGGGACCGCCAGCATTCTTGATCACAGGCTGGGTGAGAACCACGCCATCCACCAACTCGCTATCCTCAATTGTACCGCCGACCTTCTTGATGGTCCGGATGTTCTTCAGATCCACGTTGTCTGCGGTCTTGAGGTCTATGGTTTTGGTAACGGAGTTGACGGCCATGGGGCCGAGCAGGTTGGCGTATTGCGAGACGATCTTTGAGGAGAGTGAGGTGTTCGCGGCTTGAAGAAGCGCCGAGGTATCCGTGAGAGCGATGGGTTGTGACATGTCGTGGAGGACCTCTACGGCGGCAGTCGCAGCTCGCTGGAAGGACTCGGAAATGACGGAGGGGTGAATGCCTTTTGACAGCAGACGGTCGGCTGCGCCCAACAGGGCACCACAGATGACCACCACTGATGTTGTACCATCACCGGCCTCGACATCTTGTGCGTTGGAGAGGTTGACGAGCATCTTGGCTGTAGGGTGGAGGACGGACATGCTCTGCAACATGGTGCTGCCGTCGTTTGTGATTATCGTCTCGCCCTTCCCGCTACGTATCATCTTGTCCATGCCGCGTGGTCCCAGTGAGGTTCTGATGGCGTCGGCAACCGCTTGGATGCAATATTAGTATAATGCACACAATGACGAGTGTGGAGGGTGAGTATACCTCGTGCGGCGACAATGTTGGAGGAGCGGACAGCCAAGGGCTTCTCCTTGTTCTAAGAGGGGTCGTTAGATGCCATCACGTCCATGCAGCTTCTGGGAGCTTCAAGGAGCTTGGTACTCACGCGGAAGTGCGCATTTCCGCCATTTCCACCGCTTGCCGGTGCCTCTGCTGCAGTCGCCATCTTGGGTATGGTTGCTGGGAATGTCTGGCGGATCGCGGGTCGCGGGTTGGGGAGCGCAGAGGTTGTGTATTTTCTACCACAGTAGGCTGTTGTTCATGTGGGGTCTAAGCTAGATCGAATCTGGTCTAGCTCAACTCATGAGGCGTGTCGATTCTCGAGGGGTCGTCTACTCTCCAGGGGTATATGTGGTACTTCCAGCGCTTTGGAAGAGCACGGATCAGTGGCCATTCGTTGTTCCACCCGATAGGACCGTAGCAGCCGGTTATAAAAATGGCGAGAAAGGCAAGTAGGGCGACTATTATGGCAAGTATCTCCAGCACAAGCTGGTAGCCCGGAGACGCAGGGGTAGAGGTAGGGCTAGGAACGTAGGGAGGGGCCATGTTCAAGGTGAATGAGGTCGTCGCGAAGACAGGCCCAAATCGAGACAATTACTGGCTTTTTATCACCCCAGTATTGGTCCAAAAACCCTGCGTCTCACTGTTCCATGGGAAAGCCTACAGGAAGGAACCGTGTGCTGAGCATGTCGTTCTTGAACATCTTGGATTCCTGCGGGCTACAGGATAACCCCATTCAGGAGAACCTCCTGCGGGACAGCCTCCTATAAGATGAAGTATCACGGGGATAACCTTCTAATATTTGTATCATAATTCATTCTGACACAACTTGTCAGAGTACTTCGAGAACAGCTTCCATCTAACAGGATGAACTCCTATATGATAAAGTGCCTGTGTACTGGGAATTACACAGTAACCTACTGCTGAGAGAGCTCTGGTGTGTAGGTGCGTAGGGCAGCCGGCAGGCATTTGGCTGCCTGCCGCAAGCGCCAGCGCTTTGCAGCCCTCCGAATTGCAGCCCTTTCGATAGAAAGTAGCGCCGACATGATTTCAGTGGACATATTGACAACAGCTGCCTCGTCTCTGAATTGCTCTCATCACAGTTACGGGATAAGATCTGAATATATAATGATGACCTACAAGATACCTAGGGAGTATCTTGGTGTCTTGTTAATCACTGTCTCGCCGGTTTTCTTGGTCCTTTCCTACGTACTCTAAGTACCTGGCTGCTGGCTAAGCTCTGGGATCCCTGCAGCTACCAGGTAGCTTTCCACCCTACCTGGCAGGGGTGTGGCAACTCGAAGCCAGTAGACTACAGCAACGCAGCAGCAGGCACCCTCGGATTACGGCAGCGCAATCGTTTCGACGGGCCCAAGCTTACAACCACCAAGCCGCCCCTTCCAACCTCAACGTCACCCCAACCCATCATCAACACAAGCCTTTAACCCTCACCGTCTTGCCTCTCATCGCGTAATCAAGCTATTCTCCACCAGATTGACATCCAGAGCATTCTTTTTTGGGGGGACCATCTGATTCCCAACACCAGCCAAAATGGTAAGCCAGCCTACTCGGTTTTGTCCCCGTCGCAGCTGTCCGGTGCTAATGGAACAACAGCCGTCTGCCACCGGCTCAAACTGGGAGAAGTACCAAAAGACCTACGCCGACGATGAGGTAGAGGAGAAGAAGATCACGCCCCTCTCTGATGAGTCCGTACTTGACCCTCTCCGACTTGGAGAGTAAGCTGTGTTGACGACGTTTCTAGGGACATCCAAGTCCTCAAAACCTACGGCGCCGCGCCATACGGAGCCGCCCTCAAGAAGCTGGAGCAGCAAATAAAAGAGAGGCAACAAAGTGTGGACGAGAAAATCGGCGTGAAAGAGTCAGACACCGGCCTCGCACCACCACACCTCTGGGACGTCCCAGCCGACCGTCAACGAATGTCCGAAGAGCAACCGCTTCAGGTAGCGCGGTGCACAAAGATCATTCCAGACGAGAAGGATGACTCCAAGAGCAAATATGTCATCAACGTCAAGCAAATCGCCAAGTTTGTCGTTCAGCTCGGCGAGCGCGTCTCCCCCACCGATATCGAGGAGGGCATGCGCGTCGGCGTCGACCGCAACAAGTATCAGATCATGCTTCCTCTCCCGCCTAAGATCGATGCGAGCGTCACCATGATGACCGTGGAGGAGAAGCCCGACGTCACATACGGCGACGTGGGAGGCTGCAAAGAGCAGGTCGAGAAGCTGCGTGAGGTCGTCGAGATGCCCTTGTTGTCGCCCGAGCGGTTTGTCAACCTGGGTATCGACCCGCCCAAGGGAGCACTTCTGTACGGACCTCCGGGAACTGGAAAGACACTCTGTGCGCGTGCTGTGGCAAATCGGACAGACGCGACTTTCATCCGTGTCATCGGCTCCGAGCTGGTACAGAAATACGTCGGCGAGGGTGCCCGTATGGTCCGGGAGTTGTTTGAGATGGCGCGCACGAAGAAGGCCTGTATCATCTTCTTCGACGAGATTGACGCTATCGGTGGTGCGCGGTTCGACGATGGCGCGGGAGGCGACAATGAGGTTCAGCGGACGATGCTGGAGCTGATCACGCAGCTGGACGGATTCGACGCCCGTGGCAACATCAAGGTCATGTTTGCGACCAACAGGCCCTCGACCCTGGATCCCGCGCTTATGAGACCGGGCCGTATCGACCGCAAGATCGAGTTCTCGCTACCCGACCTCGACGGTCGTGCGAACATTCTCCGTATCCACGCCAAGAGTATGTCCGTCGAGCGGGACATCCGGTGGGAGCTCATCTCGCGGCTGTGCCCAAATGCCACAGGTGCTGAGCTGCGTAGTGTGTGTACCGAGGCCGGCATGTTTGCCATCCGGGCAAGGAGAAAGGTCGCGACGGAGAAGGACTTCCTCAGTGCTGTGGAGAAGGTCATCAAGGGCAACTTGAAGTTCAACTCTACCGCATCATACATGCAGTACAACTAGACGACATCCCCGAGGCTCGTGTGGATGCGCTATGGTAGTATGACGGCTTGTGTGTATGAGTAAGGGATACCTAAGGAGTTGCTAGGCATATTCACGTTAGACAGCATAAAGAGGACTCCATCTGATGATCACATCCGGTTATATCCTGGTTCCCATTCCCGTGGTATCTACATAATTACTCCCATTGGACATGTGTCCTCCGTAGTTCATTCCATACTCCTGCTACTGGCCCAATTCCTTTTCCAAAAGTCTCCTTCCCAAAAGCAATTCATGAAAGCTGGCAATATCTGTATAGACCAGCAAAATCCTTGGGCTGAAATTCACGGCCCCCACCGTCTTGAGAAGAGAATGCATGTGAAGTGAGCCGTGAATCATTCGCGCCATCTCGTGCAGTGACCGTGATGTCAAATCGATGGTCAGGCCGAGCTCACGCTGTGAACCGGGCTTTGCCCAGGGGATTGGGCGTCCGCGCCCAGAGCTCCAAAGGTATCCCCTCGATCCTAGGTCGCGAGACAGCCCAGGCAGGTGACCTCCCCTTCCATTCCCTTCTCAACACAGCATTGGCTGCAGATCCTCCCTCGGTGGCCCGTGCCGCCTTCTTTCACCCATGTTCCTTCCCTTATCCTGTGGTCGGCCTCTGGGCTGCCGTGGTCGAGGTGTGTGTCCTCTTCCGCCGGCGCGTCCTCCATATTAAACGAGTGGTCGTTTCCTGGATCGCTTTCCCCTCCCTCACCGTTGAAACACTCATCTCGCATCAGGATCTCCTTGTCGAGACCATGTCTGTCCCGCGAGGTCGTCCCCCAACCGAGACACTCTCGCATGCAGACGTAACATGTCCTCTCGCCGCAGCCCTGGCAGTCCGCGTATGAGTCGAGCTCGGTCTTCTTCGTCGGTTTCCGGTGGCAGATATGGCAGGGGGCGAGCAAATTGGTCGTTATTGTTGTTCTCGGTGCTAGCTTGCTGGCGGATGGTGACCTCGTGTGGTTGTGCCGTGATGATGGTGTGAGGGGGTTCGGCCTTGGAGTTGTTTGTTGGAGTGCGTGGACCGCGTATGGTGATTCTTCGCTACCCGGCTGCTCTGTCATCATCCGCAGTTTCTTGGCCCGCGGGCTAGAGAGCGAGATGATCTTCCTGGGCGGCACTCCATGACGCTGGGGGTAGATGTCGTGGTGGAGGTCCTGTGGGCTGAGGTTGAGCTTGTCAGCGAAGGACGCAGCTGATGGTGTTCCGTGAAGTTTTCCATACAAAATATGGTACTCGGCGTTGGCGTCGAAGTCGTCGTGCCGCCTCTTCTTCTGGAGAGGCTGAGTGAGCGATGGCATAGCGACGGCCGAATCTGCTGATTCTCAGCTGGCGGGCTAAGCGCCAATAATCCACCCCCAGGTGCTTCCACTTGGATGGAGAGAATGAGGACCCCTTGAGACAGATTCGAGGATGTAGAGAGAGTGCAAGTTTCGGGTACGAATCCAATGTTACCTGGTACTGTGTGAGGCAAAAACGAGAGTGATGTTATGTATGGAGAAGGAGGTCAAATCAAGGGCAAACAACATCGGCGGTGGAGCTAAGCAAGCACGGCAGGCGGGTTATCTCATTAACTAGTACATGCAGCTCAGCTAATCCTACGTAGAGGCGAATGATTTTTTTGGTCCAATAAACCAGCCACGGAGGGATGAGCAAAATAAACGCCTAGAGCATAGAGCAATCTCAGGTCGTTCTCTTCATTTTTATTTACATTTGGCATGCTTCGTTGTTTACGGTCAACCATCGCGAGATGCTTGTTTACTTTGAGCCCAAGAGCATGAACGCCTAGGCACTGCCGGCAGGCAGCAGTGGGCTGGCTACCCATATCTAGGCAGGTAGGCTCAGGGATCCCAAAGCCCCGAATATGACCAGAGTAGTCAATACCCCCTGCTAACAACCTCCTCTAGGCTTGAACACCATCTGTACCCCCCGTAGATTACTGTTCAAATAATGATGTACACACATTTCAAGTTGTCTTTCCTTCTTTGTTCAAATTCCCCAGTGTCTGCCAAGCCTATAGGATTCCATATGCTCTGCCTGATCACGTACAGGCACTTTGCATGAAAAGGAGGCAGCTCCTAACCCTCGGTCTCCACGTTACACGTCATGGCTTACTTCAGAGGTCGCCTCGCATCATGCGTGCCCAGCAATTCGAGGGTAGATGAGAATAGATAGGTACTGCATTGTGAGATGGATGAGTCCGCGAGCTGCAAGCGGGTTTGCAGTGCAGAGACAAAGAGAGATAGTATGTAAGGAGGAAGCACCGTATCTCTCTCTAACGGCCAGCCGTTGCCCGCACGGTCGGAAAACGAACGGTGTTAACGCAAGGCGCCGCCGTGCCGGGAGACCAAATCGGAGCACGTGCTGCCTGAGAAGTGGGGACGACCATCCGCGCGCGTTCCCAAGCAACCTTCGCTCTCGCAATCCTTCTTCCGACCACACCGTCCCTCTGTCTGGACAACCCCCCCATTCGCCCACCCCATCAGCATCCATCCACCTCAACCTCGATCACTAGATCCTTCTACCTACGGTCATTTGATTGTGAAGGTACCAGCGAACACGGCCATCAAGATATGAGTCGCGCCGGTAAACTCGCTCCGGAGGTAAATCGGTACGTAGCCTGTCTCCCTTGCTCTTGAGTCGCCCAGGCTGCTGCCCCGGTGTCACCACCACCATCCCCCACTCCATACCTGCAGGCGATACGAGGCGTCTGCTGCCTCACGCATTGGTCTATCTGGTCTCACCATGATCTCCCCCCGGGTTTGAGGAGCCTTGCTAACTAAGTCTGCGTCATGTCCAGAGCTTTGTTCGTCAAGAATCTAAGGTTCGTTATCAACCTCGCATCCGCATCATCTTATCTGAACGCATCGATACTGACATGTCCCTGCAGCTACAACGTGACACCGGAGGAGCTCTTCGAGCTCTTCGGCAAGTACGGACCCATCCGGTATGTGGCACCTCTGATCCAGTGTCGGCCTCGATACTGACATCCACTACAGCCAGGTCCGCCAGGGCATTGCCAGCAACACAAAGGGAACTGCCTTCGTTGTCTATGAAGACGTCATGGATGCAAAGCAGGCGTGCGACAAGTTGAACGGCTTCAACTTCCAGGGCCGTTACCTTGTCGGTATGTTTATCCAAACCCCTGACCCCCCCCCCCCCAACCCATCCTGTTGACTAACCCGGTCCGATAGTACTATACCACCAGCCAGAGAAGATGGCCAAGTCAAAAGAGGACCTGGAGGCGCGCAAGGAGAATTTAGCGCAGCTCAAGAAACAACACGGTATCGATTGACAATTTGACGGGTCTCGGGACAAGCACCTGCAAACACGACGTCCTGCAGGCCCGTCTTCCTCTTCCAAAACCTCCACTTCGAAAACCTCCACCTCTCCCAGATCGGCCCCGCGACCGATTCCCAAGAAGAGCAGGCCGACCCCTATGAAGACTGGAGGATCTAGGAATTCATTCTCCGGCTTCGTCCGTGGTCTCCTCCCGACCGTCCCCGAATGCGCTTGATCATGGCCGCCAGACGAACGAAATTTCGAAGCGGCAATCAACTCGTGGTGGACAGGGAAGCAGAACACGGGTGTGAACATACACGCGGGTCTTGCTCAATCAACTTGGTTTTTTTCATGCAACGGATGACTCCAGGATCATGGTATAGGGAGTCCACTTTCATTGTGAACGATAGGGCGTTGCTTCGTTGTCTCAGCATCAGATTGGCCTCTCAAGGATACCGCCTTCATTCTCTACGCGTGGGCGGTTGCAGGGCGTTTCTCATTATCAAGGTACCCGCCGTTGGACCGATTCTCTTTGTGTTTTTGTGACGACTATCGAGCTTATCACTAGGGCGATTTGTGCTATGCCGTGACAGGGCATATCTGGACTGAAGTCCACAATTGAGATCACGATGACTCCTCTCCGATGATTCCTCTCCGACGATGTGTTTTCTATGGCAGTCGTACTGCTGAGTCACTCGTAGATGTACCTGCATAAAGCACGGGAAACTGTCGATGTACTACTGATCGGGCTTGCCTATACCGTTTTCAAACAGATTGTGATTTGAGTGGACTGTGATGAATGAAGCCATCCCGCCTGCCTCGGAATGCAACATTAAGGGTTGGCCCAAGCGATACGCGAACAGGAGAGGCGCTAGGGGCTATTAGAGCTAGACCCAGACTACCTGGCAGACTCGGCGGTGAGGATCCGAGATGTGTGCCCAGGTGCTTTAAACTGTGAAATTGCACGCTTGTTGCCGAGCCGCGCTGCACTGTGATGACCAACTCTCGGGGCTTGACGGAACCCCATTTCTGCTCGGAACCTTGACTGTATCGAAGTTAAGCTTAGCGAAGTGCCTGCAGCCCCCAGACCCTCTTTTGGCCCTGAGGATGCGACCTCCTAGGTCAATGACGTTTCATGATTCGGCAAGGAACCGGCCCAAGGATTTCTCAGCCGACCAGCGCTGCCAGCCTGGAGGCACCTCCGCCTCAAGCGCCATACTGCATCGCCTCTCTCCCTAACAGTATCTGCCCAGTCTGTGTGCCTACTGACTGACTGTACCACTCCTGCTCCTTGGGCCTGTGAACTGCGGCCAGGCGGTTTGTTCACCCTGCTTTTGACCAACGCAGCAGCACCACTAAGGCTGAGGTGTCATCGTTTCGTTTCGTTTCTATATCATTGCACATTTCAACCAACTACAACAACACCGCGGGCGAGTTTTACTAGAAGCTTCATATCATCAATTACCTCGACTTTTCTTTCTTGAACATCCAACCAAGGGTCACGGCACGGCTTACTTGCAGATCTGCCTTCCCGCATCTGCTCTAGCCCCCCTCCTGACGTCGACATTCTGCAGGCCTGAAGCGTGTGCGGAGTCACAAGACGCTCCTCGCCTCGACTCCCCCAAACTCCTTCAAACCTTACGGCTGAGCCACACTGCATCTCTTATTATACTCAGCTTGTATGGCCGCACTGGCGAACGCTGCGATTAATCACATCGTCCGCGAGCTTGTTGATCGCCAACACCTCACCTCGTCCGCCGCCTTCGCAATAGCCACCGCACCAAATGCACCTTTGCCCACACCAGTGGGCGTCGATGGACTCGACAGCATAACGATAACTACGACAAGCGTGGCATCCACACCAACCGCGATGGCGATCGGTGGACAGAACGGCGACGACCAGGGCGAGTGCCGCCTGCTGGGCCCCTTTGCGCTCTTCGTCCAGCTGGCACTCGGCGGGCTCGCCCTGATGTCTTTGGTCTACAAAAGATGGCGGGAGAGGCCGCAGCGGCCCCTGAAGATCTGGTTCTTTGACGCGTCGAAGCAGGTGTTTGGCTCGGTTTTGGTGCACGTCGCCAACGTGTTCATGTCGATGCTCACGAGCGGGCGCTTCTCCATCAAGGTCGAGCCGGCTTCCGTTGCAACGGTGCGGGCTGTGTCGATGATGGTGGTGCGAAGCCTGGTGCCGCGGGACGGGCAGGATGGGGGAGCACCCGACGACGACTACACGCCGAATCCTTGCTCGTTCTATCTATTGAATCTTGCTATTGATGTAAGTCGTCTTCAGGACACACAAGTTCTGTTTCCTGCTGCTATTCACGGTGACTAACAGACCCTTTCACAGACCACACTCGGTATTCCCATCCTCATCCTCCTTCTTCGCATCTTCACCGGCCTCGTCTCCTACACGCCCCTCGGCCAGCCGCCAGAGTCGATCCAGTCAGGCAACTACGGAAGTCCACCCAACGCGTGGTGGTGGCTCAAGCAGTCTATTATCTACTTCTGCGGCCTCTTCGGCATGAAGTTCTGTGTCCTCATCATCTTCCTGATGCTGCCCTGGATCTCTCGCGTTGGAGACTGGGCCCTGGGATGGACCGAGGGGAACGAGAGGGTCCAGATCGTGTTCGTGATGATGCTGTTCCCGCTCATTATGAATGCGATGCAGTACTATATCATCGACTCCTTCATCAAGAAGCAGGCAGGCAAAGAGGACGACGAAGGTCACGAAAACTCCGGTGCGACGGGAGGTTCCTACGAGAGGATTGCGGAGGACGAAAATGAGAACGACGAGAACCCTCACCAACCCCGCCGACGCAGCGGGTCGATTCAAATGGAGGACGAGACCGAGGCTATCAAACATGGGAAGAAGGTCAAGGGGCCAGCGGAGGCGGAATATGATCCCGACCTCGATGGTGACAGGACCACGGTGGTGGGGAGTGGCTCCTCGCCTGTAAGAGGGGGTGTACCCAAGGAGCTGTTGCCCAAGGAGTAAATATCATCTTTCTACTTATTCTAGCGATTTCTGTTCAGGCAATGAAATATTTTTATCTCGGAGGCGGCTGAGGTCGAAATTGCCTTCGCGTCAATGATGTGAACACACTCTCTGCCCAGCAGTGGCCCTCAATCACTTCTACATGCTTTGGACAACTGGGTTGCCAAAGATGACAATCAGCTCGACGGGTCGATCACCAAACGGGCACCGCCCACCGCTCCAGAGGTGATCTCCTCAGCCAGTACGGATTCGTCACCCTACGTTTCCCGGCACACACCCACCGATCTTGATGCGTGAGCCCTACACAGCAACGACAAGGACTCCTTGCATATGGCGATGCACATGTCTTTGGTGGCAGAAGCAGCTGACTCAATGTTAACACACGTCCCTCGTCTGCTGATGACCGTGCTAACGAGTCAGATAGGAGGCGCCAGAATCGCGATCTCGCCCTCATCACCGCGTCCCTCGGCGCGGGGAACCCCTGAGGCTATCATATCCGGACGAGCCCCGGGACGGTGATGTACGGGACTTTGTGCAGACGCTGTAAATCAGGACTCTTCGATGAACTGATCAAACATATCATTATCCTCATTAGATGCCTTTCAGACGCCCGCGCCGCCCAAGAAAATCGATCCACATGCGCCGTCGATCCGTAACTGACTCAGAATATCCCCAAAATCCAAGACCAACGCCCCTCCTTTTCTCCCGTCCATCATCATTTCACTCATTAACCGCGTATCAAGCGAATCTTCTGGTACACACCCTAACCCCTTCAGAATTTACAGAATGCACGCACTAGCAGACACATACTAGCATACACACACACGCACACACACACACAGCTCAACATAGACATGGCTGCAGCCGCGCTCACACCGCAGCACTGACCAGGCCCAGCCCGCGCGCGTCCCACTTGAGCCCGTGCCTCGCCAGCCACTCCGGGTCGTGGATATCGATGAGCTTCTTCTGCGGCGGCGGGAAGAGGTTCTTGGCCGGCGTCGACGACGGCAGCCCGCCGCCGCCGCACAGCTTGGCGTGCATGTAGTCACGCGTGCTCGCCAGCGCGAGCATCCGCGACGACGACTTGCTGCGCCGCAGGGACCAGGCGGTCCTGGGAATAGGGCTTGTTACGTCCGGAGCCTGCCGTGATTGCTGCTGCTGCTGTGGTGGCGACAGCGGTGTCTGCTGCACCAGGGCGGACTTTCGTGCGTCGTTGGTGGTGCTGGTGCTGGTGCTTGTGCTGGGTCTGGTGATGTAGCTGTCTCTCACCACCGGTGTGCCGGGCCTTGGCGGTTGCTCCGGGACTTTGTGCAGGGATGGCCGAGGGGACTTGAGCTCATCTGCCCTGGGGGTGTCCTGAATAGGCGGTGGAGGAGGAGCCTGTTCGTTGTAAGCCTTTGTTAGCTGGGGTCAAGTTCGACAGGACGTGGGTAGCTAGGACCGACTCACCCTTTGGGGAACAGCAGTCCGAGGCCTGCTCTTCGGGACGGTGTGAGCGCGGGTAAGCTGCCCCTGCCCATCGCCCTCCGCAGCGTAATCGAAGGCCTCGCTGGCTCTCCGTCGCATTTGTGGGGATGAAGGCGTCGGTTTCTCGTCCAGGGAACGCCGCGGCTTGGGCGTGTTACTCTGGGGAGACGCGAGCCTCAGTTTGTTTACCGAGGCCGCCAGGTTGTCCACCGAGGCCGAGCCGTTCAGCTTCTTGGGAGTAGGCGGCAGTTCTCTGGTGGGTGGCGCGGAGGCGGCCTCCCTGAGGGCACCTACGGACTTTGCGCCTGACAGTTTTCTTGCCGGCGCGGGCGATGGTTTCGCCTTCGCCTGGCCTGAAGCGGGAGAGAGTTCAAGAGCATTGGTCTTGGTGGGCCGTATCTTCTTGCGCCGGCCCGGGCAGGGAGCAAGTTTCCATCGCAGTACCGAGTTCAGGATGGCCGTGTTGTCGACCTGCTGGCGGCAGGACTGACAGTACGTGCTGAGCTGGATCTCGATGGTGTCGAAGTGCGCGCACTTGTCAGAGCACTCGATACGGTCAGTGGCTGTGTGGTTGCAGATGGCATGTAGTCGTGTCTCTTGGTAGCACATCTTGCCTTGGGTCTCAAGTCTCTTCGTAGAAATTCGGTAACAGTGTGAAGATGTCGACTAAGGGGGGGAAACACCCTGGCTCTCTGGCCCTGGGCAATCATGATATGCCCGTCGCCCCGGGCGACAACGGGTACATATGTCTCCGTGGGCTGACAGCTGCGGCCGTCACATCCAGCTCTCAGAGCTTGATCCATGATGTGCGGCTCACTTGCCAGGATGCGACCCTCAACCTTTGGCGCACGACCCTGACTTCCGTGGGAGTGAGGCCGGGGATAAGACTTGCTCAGGCATATGCTTTCAGAGGCTCCTGCCCGGCCCGTGCAGGCTGGAGCACGCGACGTGAAATATCATCAGCACAAGGCTTGTTGGGGGTGCAAGGTTCGCAGCCAGAAGCCACGCCCTGTCGCAAGTTGTAGATCGCACAAGGCCATAGGCTTAGCGTTCGGTGTCTTCGGCTTCGCCTTGGCCCTGCGAGGGTGCGCAGAGGGGACTCTCCGTCCCTTCACATAAGCTCGCAGGCGCAGGTTCGGAACCTTGAGCTTCCTGGACTGGAAGTAGAATTCCCCTGCAACGGTGATCGGTAGAAGCGCAGCGCCATCTGCCATTGGGGCTGAACTGCGCTCGAGCTGCCCGGACGTGGGCATTCTCCCAATCGATATTGGGCGTACCGAAAAACATAATGTCTCGGATGAAATTCGAAATGTTTGACTTGTTTCTAGAGATGCCTTACCACAGAGGAATCATTATTTGGGTCAGCATTTCCTAACCCTGCCCACACTGTAGGTGTTATCCATGGTATCCACCAGGTCCCATGTAGTCCTTGTATCCCTGTTGATGCCTACCTATTGTTGGCTATCTCCATATCACCCACAACATGTCAGGTTTCGGTACGTCAATTGATGGGAAAACCATCGCGGGCGGCTTTATATTTTGCCCCGTTGCTTCGTTTCGCCACTTCGAGTATCAGGCTCGCGTATCAAACACTTTCCTGCGAGCCTGTCAAGCTTCTATCACTGTGTTTCACGAAGCGTTCACCCCCTTCCTGGGTGCTCCGCTACTTCAGACGGAACATACAATGCCCTGGGATCATGCGGCAGTTATATCTTGCAGTCTTCGACTGAAACAAATTCTATTTGTGTCCCTGATATCGTTTGTTTCTCGCCTCTGCGGAGTTCCCCAAATCATCGACAAGCCAGCATGATGGTACCCTCGCGGGTCCAAGCCCATGCGTCGTCTTCCCGAGAATCTTGAGCAAAAGCACTTATCTTACAAGCAGGCGGATTATCGATCGCATTATGCTTCCGTCAGCCGACGGTGATGCTCGCTGGTATAAACTCAGATGTTGCGACTCTGGATGGCGGTGGCGGTCGTAGCTGATACTGGAGTGAAAATAATAGAGTGGGTTCATGCAGATTCCCAGCATATCGTAGATAGGATACGTACAAACAGCCAGACCCCCCCCCCCAAACAATATATATAAATACAGATATATATGTGTATACAACGTTTCAAGTGAGACAAAATCATATCATGACAGACCATCAGACGCATGAGCATACTGAGCTCGGATATAAACCACCAGTGTGGTACGTCATACTGTCCCGAACGATAGCAGGTGCCCTTAATTATTTCGTGAATGAACGCTCATCCAGTCTCTGTATATGTCAGCCATGACTTGATAGTCTATAGTGATGCGTGCCATGTCGAGGAGCTGGGATGATTACGAGGGACACGGACAACGGTGGTCTGTGCTGGTCGTCTTCGAAGCTTTTATGTGCTGTGACATTCAGTCCGGATCTGAATTGCTCGTGCTCTTCGGCAATCAACGGCGCTTCTCGACCAGGGCAGAATCAATTTGTCTTGGAGATCGATAATCACTTTGGTATTTCCAGTACAGTTTGGCCAGGTGCAGAATAGGATCAGCCAGTAGCCGCATACATGACTCCCTTTGTTGTAAATACCGGCAATGGACCCTGGTGGGTGGCAATCTTCATCTGAGGTGCCAGAAAACGGAGATATCTGTCTGATTGGATAGCCTTGAAAATTTCAAAGCCAGAAACCGCATCTGACTGTCTATCCTTGCGAGGGACTGAGGCAAAGAGTGCATGCTTGGCAGGTGCTCTCGTGGTGATTGACGAGAGGTAATCGATGGAGTGCAACCTATGATCGCCAATGTTGTTTGCCAAGCAGGGATTTGTCCATGATGGCTCGGCTGTTCATCTCTGCGGAAAGCCGCACGTTCTTGGACGACCTAGTTGTCGGTGTCTGCCGTCCGATATTTAATATTATCGTTGATTGACTTGCCTGGGTTCGGCAAATTGGGTGCCACATGAAGTGCACAGGTCATCTCTATCGACACATGGATACCTTTGACACAGCAAGGACAACTACAAGTCTTTTGGTGTTGACTGCGACTCCATCATAAGCATCGTGATCTGTTCTTGTTGAGATGTTTAGAAATGAGCCATCCTGAAAAGTGTCACCCAAGATTAGCAACCTTATGACACTCAGGTCGTCGATCTTCCCAATTTTCTTCCATCCTCCCAATTGATTGTACTCGACGGCCCAAGAACAGCGCCCGTGCGGAATGTAAGAGATTTCATATCGCAAGTTGCGAGCTTGTGGAGAGTGACATGGCAAGATGGCCCTGAGAGAGCCAGCCCTGATATGATCAGCCCAGGGGTAGATTTCTCACCAGACCCTGCCTCTCAATAATGCCATATGTTCATTTAACTTTGCTCATGGTCTCAACTTTTTGTGAACACTTGTTAGACACAGCAAAATGCTGCAATGCGTCAATGCCAGCCGGGTGGTTCAATAGTGAACAATCTCAGGGAATAGCAGTCGACCAAGCCGCACAAGTTGAGTGTTGAGGAGTTGCATTCGACGTCATGCTTATCAATCGAAGTAGGAGAGGACTTGCAGCAGATGGCGGACAACCCAACTTTACAGAAGCGCGTTTCTTTGCAAAAGTTACAACGAGGCAAGTGAGGTGCCTTAGGCGGGGCCGAAACTCATCGGGGCCGAAGGTGGAGACTGCGGAGGGCAGACCGGCACACTACACACTACATAAGTTGACGGGCGGGCCCGCTGTGGAACTCGCAATCGCCCAGGCAGGCCAGTACGGCCGATGCCCCGCGCGAGCCATGACTCGATGGTGGCTGTACGATAGCGAGAATTTGAGGTCGCTTGTCCCAGGTTGCATGTTGAGGGGGACTGAAGCACCACAGCATCACCTCTTGGCCATGCCTGATAACCGTCGACAGGAGTCCAGGATGGGCCAGCTGGACGCAAGAGGCTGTGCTGGGACGGGCTGGACGGTGTGCATGGAACTGGGCCGAGAATGCTGGGCTGGCTGACAAACGTTGCGCTGGATGGAAAGAAGATCACGCAAAGTTGGAGCTTCCCTGTCCCTTGGGTCGATACGCGTATTTCACTGACCAACCTGGCCAACGTCAGAGTGCCACGGCCTGCAGACGAGACGATCAGTATGAGTCACCCGGCGAGGAGATTAGCGGTGGATGTTACATAAATATGCTGATAACCTGGATATCGGGAGACCGGTCCTGGGTTCAGCCTGTGAGGAGGTGAGCACACTCGCAATCTAGCGCCTGATGCTGGTCGTAGCGTTGGTCAAGACGCCCAGCGAGCATGCCGTCGTCAGCACATGCTGCCTGCCAGCCTGCCCGCCCACCGCCATGCCATGGCAGAGGCTTGTGTCCGTGCGGGAAGCGACTCAATTCCCATCATTGCGTTTGTCCTCCTTGGCTGCGTAGACGAGAACTCGAGTAGTGTATCTGGTTGAGTCGAGACCAGGGTCGACTGCCTTAGTCGGACCGAGCATGTTGGCCCACTTCTTTACCTCGTCCTGCGACGTTGGAATTTTTGAAGACAACGACCTTCACAGCGGCAAAAGTTCGGTAGCATTGATGTTGAAATGATCGACCAAGACTGCTTGCTGGGAATGAACGGGGAAGGGGGAGCCAGCATCGATTTGAACTGACGTGGTGGGCTTCTGGGGGCCTTAAGTCCGTTAAACCCGACGCGTGATGGGCCTCTCCCAAACTCTCACGCACTTCTCGTCTATCATTGCTCGGACAGCTCACAAGCAGCCCACACTTATCTGCATCTACTTTGCATCTGCATGCGGTAGCCGTCTGGCGCTACCCTTACTCTGTGCAAATACACCACTCCACTCCTGTGATCCCGACGTAGGCGGCGCTGCATATAATACCGCCGTCGACCGCATTGATCTGCCCCAGCTTTTCTCTCCCCGGGGTTCTGATCCTTCTTCTGACTTCTTCAGCTCCGTGGCCCCGCGCATGGACTGTGCCCTCGCGCGACCACCGTCCAACTGCGCACTTCCGCAGTCCTGGCCATCTCTCCGTATCACCACTGCGACCTGCGAAACTTGCGCACTGCCAATTGCTTTTGCGCCGGGACGTGTTCGGGCTCCAGCGTTTGCTCGTTCTCTCTGCCTGGCCTGGTGCCCGCACCAATTGCTCTTTTGTCGTGCTCTCAGGCCCTTGCCCTTGCTCCAAACCGGCCGCTTACCCCGCGACAACGGCCACACTGATCGCGACTAATTGCGCCCGCGCCTTTCGACTGCAGGCTGACACCGTCCGCGCATCCCGTCTATAACCGTATCTCCTGGGCCCAAGCCGAGGAGGAGGCTTTCGACGGACCGCATTTGTGCCTGTGTCACTCGATTCCCGAGAGTCGACTGCGCTAGGACACGCATATATTGGGAAGATCGTACTTTACCGTATCCCTTTGTCGCCTCCAAGTCCACTGGCCTCAGCCTGGATAACTGGCAGCCAAGGCCCATGATGACGCCCACACCACCTTCGAACACACCATCCTCAGGGGCACATTCTCCCGACCAACATCGGGTTGTTCGCAAACGGAACAGAGTGCCCCTGAGCTGCTATCCATGTCGGTCTAGGAAGCTGAAATGCGACCGGACTCACCCATGCAGCAACTGTGTGAAGCGGGAAGGCGTTGACACTCTGGCTTGCTCCTATGCGACTCCTTCCAACCGGAAGAGAAACCAGAATCAACAGGGCAATGGCCCTGACGACATGCAGAACCGCATTGACCGTCTGGAAGGCTTGGTCTTGTCTCTGATGCACGGAGGCGCCACCATCTCATCCTCAGAAGCCGCCGCAGCCGCCGCCGCCGTAACGGCCAGCAGCAGCAGCACGAAATCAGGGCCCGGGGTGAACTCGGCAACCCCAAACTCTTCGTCCGCGGGGATTGGTCAGGATGATGGGGAGATGAGAGACGATGAAGAGGAGGACAGCGATATCGATGACGGGCTGGCCAACTCCCTTGGTGTGCTCAAGGTGGACCCCGACAGGGGAAAGTCTATGTACATTGGGCAGGAACACTGGCATACCATTCTCGCCGATATCTCTGAGGTCAAGAACTACTTCAACAGCCACAAGAAAGATCTCGAGAGGAGTTATGAGAAGGTGCTCCTGAGCAAACCATCATATGCTCGGAATGGGCCAACATTCTTGATGGGCGCTGCTCCGGCGACGGACGTCGAGCTGAGAGCAGAGTTGCCTCCAAAATCGGCCGTCCTCACGCTCTGTGGCCGGTATTTCAACTCTATGGACAACGCTGTCAACATCATCCATGCTCCTACATTTCACCAACAACTGCGTGCGCATTGGCAGGACCCTGGCAAGACGCCGCTCATGTGGCTAGGCTTGCTCTATTCCATCCTGTGCCTCGCTATGTTGAGCTATCACAAGGTCGGAGACGAGCCGCCTGAGTGGAAAGGTAGGACTCTTGAGCTGGCCGCTGAATATCGGTTGCGGACCGTGCAGTGTCTCATCACCGCGGACTACACGAAACCGAGCGAGTACACGGTGGAAACCATGTTGCTCTACGTCTTTGGGGAGTTCTCGTCAAGATGGGACGCGGACCTGTCGATATGGCTGATATGCTCCTTGGTGACCCGCGTGGCATTTCGAATGGGATACCACAGGGATGCAAAATGGTTCCCAAATCTTACACCATTTCAAGCTGTGAGTGCATCATACTTATTTCTGCGTGATCAATCAAACTGACCCTGTCTGTAATAGGAAATGAGAAGGCGAACATGGGCTCTTGTGAGAATGTCCGATGTCGTATTCTCACATCAGGTTTCTTTGCCGAGTATGATTTACGATCAGGACTGTGACACCCAGTTGCCACACAACATCTTCGATGAAGAATTCGGCCCAGACACCAAAGTCCTCCCGCCATCTCGGCCAAGCAGCGAGCCGACACCCATCAGCTACATGATTGTCAAGGTCAAGCTCTGCCTGGAGCTGGGCAACATACTGCAGGTCACCAACAGAGTTGGGAAGCAGGCGGCATATGATGACATCCTGCGGTTCGATACCAGACTGCGGGAGCTCAGAGATGAGATCCCGCCACATCTGAAAATGCAGCCTTTGGAGGGATGTACCGACCCTCTTACCATGATTGTCGCGAGGTTCAATGTCGATATCCTGTACCTCAAGATAGTATGTCTTCTGCATCGGAAATACCTGGCGCGGTCGAGACACAACCCCAGATACGCTCACTCTAGACGAAGTGCTATAGAGGCATCGCTGGAGATGCTGCGGCACTTGATCAGCCTGCACAGGGAGTCACAACCGAATGGTCGACTCCGGGCGATCAAATGGTACGTCGCATCTATTGCGACAAAGGAATTCCTCCTACCTACAATGCTGGTGATTCTCGACTTGCATTTCGACAAGCAGACTGATGGAGCCGGCCGAGGGCGGCAGGATTCGCTCTCGGCGAATTTCTGGACCCCCGAGCAGCGTCTGGAGATGATTCGCAGCCTTGAGACGACGCGGGATATCTGGGAGGGCATGACAGATGGGTCGATGGAGGCGGTCAAAGCCTACAACATCATCAAGATCATGCTTGAGAAGACCCGGAGTCCAGGGGCAGAAAGCCAAACCGCCAGCGCACCCCCGTCCGGGCCACAGCAGCCTCCGACTGCGATAAAAGAAGACCTTTTCCAAAACATAGGTGGTGCCAGTCTCGAGCCGGAGCAATCAGCGGCCATGACTCTGGGCATGATGTCCTCAGGGGGTCTGACACCCGTTACCGCGGCCGCATTTGGGGGCACGATGCAGAGCCCCGGAGGCACGGCATACCCAGGAATGGACCTGTCGGTGCCTCCGGTCGGCGAGGGTACAGGCATGACACCTGACTTCTCAGGTGATCTGGGGCTGAATCCTGGGTCGCCCTTCTCGTCCATGTTCGGCAACGGCATGGACATCGGGCAGAACTTCGACTGGGTAAGTCTGGCCCCAACCTCCAGAGGGGTTCCTCAAAGACAACATTGCAAGCAAGCTGACAATACCACAGGACGCACTGCAAAATTATACGGAAAATACCACGTGGGGTACTGAGAACCAGTTCCAAACGTTCTTCGGTAGTGACGCGAACAGCGCGGGCCAGGGGCGAACCGGCCCTTCCCCCGGCAGCGGGGACGGTTTCTCGTTCAGCACTCCTGGGAGCAGCTCGAAATGAGAGAGACATAGAGATGTGTGAATTGAGTACGATTGCGCGCACGGCACGCCGCTTTGGTTTGCTGCTGGTCGGTTGGCATGATTTGGTCGGCCAAGGGCGAATGTGCTGGTTGTTTGGAGCATGGGAACTGAGGCCGCGGCATATGCATGCAGTATGGCTCGGCATACGGCCTCCTCTGGGATCAAAAAGAGTCCTGCGGCAAGGGCGAAAGTAAGTGGCAGGATGTACAAAACCAAAATACCCATCTCCCTCTCTCTTGCTCGCTAGCTAGCTACGTAGCTAGAAATAGCAAGGTCTACAACAAAAAGATGTGCATGTCAGTTAGTAATCAGCCTCTGCATGATATCGTATTTCAATGGTTTCCCCACCCATCCAGGGGCTGGCTGATCTGATTGACCCAGCAAGGCAATGATGGGAGAGATCTCCCTTGTCCGCTTTGCTCGCCACCTTTTAATAAAATGCGTTCAAGTTTTGCCGAGTCACAATCCAGGCCAACTGCTCAGCCTGGCCGTAGATATATACGACAGCCGGGTCAGTCAGTTCGTGTTCGAGTGCGTGTGGATCGCGATCAGGGGGATCAAAGGGCCTCCTCCCTCCAAAAGGGCCGTCAGCCTGAGTGCAGCAGACACAGACACAGGGCCAGAGTTGTTGTGGCAGTCAGCAGTCAGGGGCTCCATATTCACCCGTACAGCTCACCCGGCGGCGAGGCAGCCAATCGATCGGCCGTCGCTCACCTCTGTGCAAAACGCCCCTGAGCCGGGCTGTTTCAAAGCGGCACAGCACCCCTCTTAGGCCCGTTTGACACGCCTAGATCCCGCCCCTGGCCTGCGGTGTTGATTGGCCGGCTGCGGGAAACAAAGTTGTTGCCCCGCCTGCGGGGCCATAAAAACACCCCCAGCTCGGTTCATCCCTTGTGGTCTTGTACGTGTAGCTGTGACCACCAGGAATCGAGAACTGAACGAGCTGGGGTTTGTTGCTTGGTTCGACACCCCTGTGGATCTGCCGGTATTGGATGGCGATCGCCACCCTTTTGACAGAAAGCTTGCTTGCTCACGGAGGCCAAGCGCGGGGCCCAGGGACAAATGCAGCGGTGGGTCGTGGTCTACTGGTGCTCGCCAGCTCGCATGGTTTGGGCTTGTTTGGTCCTTTGGAAGGGGAAACTCATCTGGCTGGCTGGCTGGATGGATGGATGGAGGGATGGGCGAACGGTTTGTTCAAAAGGCTCGAGTGAGCCACTCGTGTTCCTCTCGGTGATACTGACGATACTCTCACTCACTCGTTTCTTCACTATCGGATTTCCTGCCAGTCTTGAAACCCAACAACACCGTGTGTTGCCTCGACTCTCTTTCCCACCGTCTACAGTCCTTCCTTTGAGCCGTTGCGCCCGCTGTGCTTGTCTGTATTGCTGCTCCTGGCCGAGCACTTACAATCTCATTTTCATTCTCGCCCGACGTCGACATTGTGCGACCAGCGGCATTGTACAAAGCATCTTCCCGCCCCCCTTGTTTATAAACTTAAGTGACTTTAGCCACTCGGGCATCTTTAGTCACTCGTGCCACCAGCATACGGCATCAGAGTGTTATAGTGTCTGTCTACCTCGACCCAGTGTGATTCAAGTGACACTTCTCTGGAACTGAACACTTCCAACCGACATCAATATCACGTCACATCATAACAACAACAACAACTGCACAATGCAATTTCAATATCTCACCACTCTGCTCGCCTTCACAGGCGCAGCCATGGCTCTCCCCACCGCCAACACGCCCATTAGGACCTTGACCAAGCGTACGTCCGCCGACATCCTCCAGACCATCATGCCAAAGTCTGCGTCTTGCGATGGACGGGGCGACGAGTGCCGCACCGCCGCCCAGGCCGCACCATTCCTGGTCAAGGCCATGACCGACTACAACATCGGCACGCAGACGGAGCAGGGGGGCATTCTGGCTCTCATAGCCTACGAGTCCGAGCAGATGCAATACAAAAAGAACCTCAACAACGCCGCCGCTGGCCAGGGTACCAGCAATATGTAAGTACCAATATGCTCCTTATGGGAATTGCTATGCCTCACCACGTCTGATACTGTGCTGACCAATCTTTTAAAAAACCACAGGCAGATGGGCAGCTTTAACGTCCAGTACGCCAGCAGTATCCCCGCGCTGGCGGCCAAGAGCCCCACCGAGTCGACCGTGCTCGACCTGGTCACCGCCGACGAGTACAACTTCGGCACCGGCCCGTGGTTCTACAGCACCCAGTGCACCAGCGCCCAGAGCGCCGCGAAGAGCGGCTCCGCCGACGACTGGTTCCAGGCGTACATGAGCTGCGTGGGCGTCTCTACGTCCGCTCAGCCCGACCGCCTGACGTACTGGAACAACGCGAAGACGGCACTGGCGCTTTCTTGAGGTGTTGCGATAGGTTAGGATGTTTGCGGGACATGGCGTTTTTGCTGCTTTGCACTTTCTAGCATGTGTTCTGAGGTGATCTTTTCTCGTGGTACCTTTTAGTTCTGATTTAGGAATATACCCAAGTTCATGCCTATGTACTGGTTGCATTTTGAATAAAGATTGTCGAGAAACGGTCTGAGAGGATTCTTGTCGGGCAAGTAACCCTTTTTAGGTGCTCCCTCGAAGTGATTTACATGTTGCTCACTAGAAAAGCACCCAGTGAACCACAGAATAGGGAGCATTGAGATGACGAATTACAGTATAATGTAATTGGATGCAGGGAAGACTTACAATGCCACCCAAGTGCCGTGATCGCGGTACAGTTGAGATCAACGCATAAGCGGACCCCCGAAACCTCCGTCTCCATAGTGGTATCCATCCGTTGCGACATCGCCGCGCACATGCAAACCTCGGGAAGTCTACCATTCTCAAACCTTATCTTACCACTACCACCTCTCCTCCCTCCGCCCTATCCCCAGCCGACCGCACAGGCCGCATGTTCGTCTGACAAGTACAAGATAAACCTACCTTAGGAAGGACACGAATAAGACACTGAAGGTAATGTCTGGCGGCAGCAACGACTTCCGCGTGGTCATCGCGGGCGGCAGCATCGCGGGCCTAAGCTTGGCGCTGGCGCTGGAGCGGGCGGGCGTCGACTTCGTGGTCCTCGAGGCGCACGCGCAGGTCGCGCCGCAGGTCGGCGCTAGTATCGCTGTGCTGCCGAGCGGCTTCCGCGTGCTGGACCAGCTGGGCTGCTACGCGGACGTCTTGGAGCTGGTGAATTGTTCGATTGACAACTTCATCATCCGCGACGCCGGCGGCGCCAAGCTGATCCATGTTGAGCATCTGGAGGAGCATCTGATGCAGCGGTTGGTGGCCTCTCTCTGTGTTTCGCTGTCTTGACTCTCTGACTCTGCCTTGGCCTCGAGGAGCTGACTTGGGCTTTGATTTTGGGGTGACCTTTAGCCATGGGTATCCCATGATCTTCTTCGAGAGAAGGATGGTTATCGATGTGCTGTACAGGAACATCCGCCAGAAGGACAAGGTCTTGACCTCCCGGCGCGTCGTTGGCTTTCAGCAAGACGAGCAGGGCGTCGTCGTGGAATGTCAGGACGGTTCTGTCTATCGGGGAAGTATTCTCGTCGGGGCGGATGGCATCCGGAGTACTGTGGCCCGGAAGATGTCGGAGTTGAACGGCACTTCTAAGAAAGGTAAATATGCTTCTCGTGCTATTTCAGTGACTCTTTTTTATGTTCAATATGTTGGCACTCGTGCCCTTTGGAGAACATTGGGCGTTCAAAGAGATGCGTTGGATACTTTCGGATCCCATCAGGCTTTGCCGCTCGTGATTGTGCTCTACATTCCATTTGCTCAAGCGCATTCGACTTCCTTGAATCGAGGCGCGCTCCTCATTGCTGGATGAAGCGGGAAATCCCAGGATCATGGTGTACAAATGATCAGTTTCATCCATTGCTAATAATGATCCCAGATCTTCCAGTCCAGTACAGATGCCTATTCGGCATATCCGATAAAGTCCCAGGCATAGAAGAGAACACAATGCACCATGTCACCAACTACTCTTCATCACTCTTCGCCGCATCAGGGCCCAACGACCGGACTTACTGGTGCTTGTTCACCAACCTGGGAGACACGTATTATGGAGATGCGCTGCCACCGTACGGTGAGGAGGAGGAGGCCGAGACCGCAAAAATCCATGGCCCGGACGCTGTCACGGAGACGGTGAAGTTCTCGGACCTGTACGAGCGGCGAATCACGAGCGTGAGCACGCCGCTACATGAGGGCGTGTTGGAGAAGTGGTACGATGGGCGGTGTCTGGTGGTCGGTGATGCAGTGCATAAGGTACAGCTTCCCCCCTTGACTAAGCTGTAATAGTCAATACGCTGAGACTTCTGTTTAGTTCAACCCCATCATCGGGCTCGGAGGTATGAGCGCGTTGGAGACGACCGCCGCGCTCACTAACAACCTCCTCGCCCTCCTGAAGCAATCTCCATTCCCATCCCGCGCCGAAGTGGAATCTGTCTTCGCTGCAACCCAGGAATCCCGCCGGCCCCGCGCAAAGGCGCTGGTCGACGTCTCCACGACGACCCAGCACCGCTTCGCCATGGAGACGCCCTGGCTGCAGTTCATGAACCGGTACTTTATTCCGGCCAAGGGCCAGCGGTCGGCCCTGCGGCTGCTGTCTGAGGCGTACCCCGGCGCGACAAGCCTCAAGGTTGCGCGGCAGGGCACGTCGACGGAAAATAGCAAGGCGCTGCCGGCGTGGCTGCCCAAGCCGACTGCGCGTGCGTTTCCTTACGAGGACGAGCTCCTTCGGGCGCCCGTGCCGAGGACGGCCTTCTTCAGCCTGGTAACCACCATCACACTTGTCGGCTTGGGTCTTTTAGGGGTGCGCCTGCTCTTACAGACGTCCCTTTCGAACGGGACTTTCAGGCTCGTGGATGAGGCGGTCTGGCAAAGAAGCGTCGAGGTGCCGGGGAAAGGAATGGTAGAGCTGAAGCCGCTGATCGGGCCGAACGGCTTTTTATCCGGCGTGGATGAGCTACTAACGACGCTGGTTGCCGTATTTTTGCCCCTTGTTGCAGAGGACGTAACGGAGGTGGCGAGCCTGGAGAGGAAGTTGCACGCCGGCTACTTTCTCGTATCCGTCTTCCTGCCCATCATTGCGGTGATCGTGGTCGAGGGTAGCAGGAGGAGGAATACCTGGTCGTTAGTATGGAGGTAAGTCTTCCAGAATCATTTCCCCAAAAAAGAAAACACACAGAGAAGATACTGACACCTGCTTCCCCACACTCACAGCCCCAGCATCTGGCTCGCCCTGGCCCAGCTCTTCGGCCTCGGCCTCATCATGCCCCTCTACGTCCTCGCATTTTTCAGGAGCTCCGCACATACGGCGTACTGGATGCCTGCCGAGCGCTTCGTCCCCGAGCGCTTCAGCAAGGCGGTCTTGCCGGCCCTGGTGCTCGGCTTCCTCGTCCCGTCGGCGCTGCTGGCCGCGCCGATGGTCTCCACTGGAGTACAGAAGTACATCCAGCAGATCATCGCATTCTGGCAGGTCACGCCTGTGTTGACGTCGTGGCTGGCCGAGGTAATAGCGAGGTATTTTGTCCGGTCGACGGTGACGGCCAAGCACGGGGCCGTCGAGGATTACTCTGGGCTGGATATTCCGAGCCTAAGCCGGCTCTACGATGCTATTTTCTTCGTGGCGGGCAGTGTACACGCTGCAATGCTACTGGCTGTCATTTGGGTGTCTGGCTTGTCCATCGTTGGCATCTTCCTGCCGAGCCAGACAGCGACCCCGGTGGCGAGTATTGTGGAAGGTGTGGGCGTTTTTATCAAGTATGACCTTCTCATGACTGTTGTGGCGACTATAATGTGGTGTATAATCAATTTCATGGAAATGAAAAGGGTGGGGATCATTCAGGGCTCGACGTTGAAACGCGTTGTGTGGCTCACGGCCGGTTGTGTTGCTGTCGGACCTGGAGCAACATTGATTGCACTTTGGAAATGGAGGGAGAAGAGGACGGCGAGGCCTGAGTTGAAGGCATAAGCAGTCAAACGATGCTGATCAGCTAGAACACTGAAGAAGCATTTTGCATATGAACTGCCCTTGCAGCATTACTCTTGATAGCATCCGCAAGGCACATCTTGAAATGCGTGGAAACTTTATGGCCTGTGATTCAACTTGCTCGTTCGTGCTTTGGGGTGCCATTCATCAACGCTCACCTTCTGCTCCTGCCGCACTTCGTACGCATGCCATGTATTTGCTTAGACACGCGACGCGTTGAGGCTTCTTTCATGACAGACACACCCACGTCATGGAAGAGTAGGGAATTGATTGACTGTTGAAAATTGTCTAGAATCATCTATGTAGGGATAATCGTGGAGGAAAATAGAAGTTTTGACATAAAAATAATTTATCGTCATGTTGCTCGACCAGCGAGGTTACAAGTCAAGCAGAAGTCATCGCACACTTACAGCACCCAGAGCCCAGTCTCAAGCAGATATGTATGGCAAGGGGATGTAATTACTGCACCGGATCTCTTTCACCACCTGGGAGGGTTCATTCTGCCTTGCGGCCTTCGTTTCCTGCCATGAGGCACTTGGTTTTGCCAACATGGACTTTTCGTTCTGTCACACCTGGGAGCGAACACACGGCTCTGAGATCTGGTTAGCGATTTCATAATTAAGTTTCATCTGCTTTGGGGACTGGGCTACTGGGCTGTGAAGAAATAGTATTTTGCGTTGTTTGTTGTTTGAATGGGAGTGACGCAGTTTGCGGGGCGACTGGCAGGGAGTGGTCTGGAATCGTTGGTCAGCTATAAGAATACCACATGCCTGAAGACCGTTCTTACAGTACTCTTGATTGAATCCTGAGAGGTTGAGAGCGTCTGGCTTAGCACGCAGCATTCTGCAACGTACGGAAGTACTTCTGACCTCTGCCCCGCCCACTCGTTGGTGCTCCTAGGAGCGGACATCAAGCCACATGTCATGCTTCCGCTGCACTTCGTATACATGCTGCGTAGTTGAGCAACCATTCAAGGGTTCTTGAACGACACAAGCAATCACGTGGAGCTGGAGATTCATGTACTGGTTGATCTTGTATGTAAACTTCTACATAGGCAAAGAGGTAAGGAGAAAAGAAGTCATTTTCATTTTTTTTTTTTAAAAAAAATGCCCATGTGGCTCGAACCACGAGAACGTCAATCAAGCAGAATTTATCATAGGATAGCAGCGCCCAGAGCCCAGTCGTCAAGCAGACATGTGTAAGCAAGGAGGGGGGATGTTTGGATACTTACTTCACCGGACATTTCGTACTCGCCGCAAGCTAATTAAAGCTGCAGCACCAATCTCGTATCTTTCGAAGTTGTCATGCATTATCATCATGGCAACTCCACCACCTGTACTGTCGATGACCTCGATTGCAAGGTCATATCTTCTCTTCTCTTCAGCCTTGAGACAGGCCATCGCTCTTCCCAATGCGACCCATTGCGAAGTCGAACACACGGCTCTGGAATCTGGTTAGCATTTTCATAATTAAGTGTCATCTGTCTTGACGGCTGGGCTACTGGGTTGTAAAAATGGTGTTTTTCGTTGTTTAAATGGGAGTGTCACGGTCCACAGGGAGACTAACAGCTGGCGACCAGCCTTGTCCGAACTCAGGCCTCAGCAGCCCCAGCCATGGGATAGCAAGATGGCAAAGTGAACGGGACAATTGAGTTCTAGTGGCATGATGTATGGCAGAATACGTCTTCTACTGACCACATTCATTGTCTATAATTGAGTACATATGTACAGAAGTAAAGGACCCGAGAAAGAATTATGTACCAAACCATCACCAAGCCAACCACTCCCGATGAGTACCGAACCAATTCACGACTGCCAGCTCGATGCGACCGTGGTAGCGGAGCAAGGCACAGTCAGGGTGTGATTCGGGTCAGCCTCCCAGGTAACGCTGGACCCCGCGACCTTGAGAAATTTGTACTGGACCACACTGCTGGGAGCGAGGTTGACCGTTGCGTACCACAACGGGTTTGCGGAGGTGTACTGGGAAGCGTCTAGCGCGATGGCCTTGCTGGTGTCCCAGCTGCCTAGGGCTGCGACGCTGCCGGATCTGCGGGTGCGGGCAAGGTGATATCGCGTCAGTCTTGGCCTCTGCCGTATTACCGAGCAACTCGTGCGCGGCCACGTGCCCGACGATTAAACATCACAAGACAGGACGTGACCTTGAGGGTGGGGGTGATATTTTAGGCCGGGGGGGGGGGGCTTACAACTTGATCGTCGTCCCATAGGAAGTCGTCACGAGCTCGTTGAAGGTGACGGGGACTGACGTCGCGGTACAGCCTGCTGCCGACGTCGTGGTGGTTGGCGCGGGCGAGCCGCCTCCTGGTCTTGTTTAGAGACTGCCTTGAGGGCTTTATCCAATTCCCATCTTCATTCGCATGTACCAAAGATGCATGTGAAAGACTTGAAGTTCCTTTTCATGGAGGATGAACCCAGTACACTGATCCCACCTAGCTCTTCATCTTCCCCTCCCCTCGCCATTGCCCTTCTTGATTGTGGAATTTGAGAAATTACTCACCACAAATGCCACTCCCGCTGAGTGCTGCAGTCGGGTAGAACACTCTTGGCACACCGCCGCTAATTGTCACTGCCAAATCACCGCTCGACCCGGCGGTGAAAGAAGTGCAGCTCATCACGTCCGTCAGGGCCTGGCCGGCAGTGAAACCCGTGTTCGCAGCCGTGAGGGTGACTGTCGTGCTCGCGCTCGAGCCAACGTTACTGTACACACCGACGATCTGATAACCGGTGTACCCTTTGCGCATAGCAATGGTATGAGAGTCCGTGTAGATGGGCCAGGCCGAGTAGTCCAGATACGTTGAGTCTTTTGAGATGGCCAACTTGCGAATAGCATTCAGGTTGGTAATCCACTTGTATAGCTCTGCCGAGGTATCATAGCCAGACAGCCAGATGGCTTCCCTGTTGTTGGGAGTGTCCCCGCCTTGGTAGTGTTGTTCTTGGCCCTCATATATGATCGGTATGCCATCCATAAGCATCGTGAAAGCGATTGCGCTCTTGGCGAGGCTCATATCGCTAGTGAGCGAGGGGAAGCGGACATTATCGTGGTTCTCTAGGAACGAGCCGTATAAGCTCAAATCAGTCGCTTGACTCTTCATAGTGTTGATTCCATTAGCCAGGTCAGAGATACTGCCCGAGGTCGATTGAAAAGCTCGCGTAATCCAATAATATGTAGGATAGTTGATCAAGCCACTAAGGTACTGCTGGTAGGGAATAACATAAGTTGGATCGCCATTGAATACCTCACCAACGATGTACACCCCTGATGCATCCTCGAAGCTGGGCAAGAAGGCGTCGTCGACATGCTTAGCGCTATCAAGCCGAATCCCGTCGATGTTGTAAGTGGCCACGACGTCTTTGATCCAACTATTGAAGGTGTTCAAGACGTCGCTATCCTCGGTGCGCAGGTCCGGGAGGGAAACGACTTCATCGCCTTGCCAGCATACCTGGATGGAGGTCTGATTGTCGTAGTTGATGGAGCACGGGTCGTGAAAGTATGACTTTGAGTTAAAAGGGTCGAAGACGCTGTAGTCGACGCAACTACTACAGCCATTCCAGGCGTAATGGTTCGTAACGACATCTAACATCAGGTACATTCCCCGACTATGGAGAGCCGCAGAAAGCGCGACGAGATCACTGGATGTGCCGAAGGCTGAGTTGACCGCATATATATTCTGTGCCCAGTAGCCCTATGATTGATCATTAGCAATGCTCTCATCAGTTGAAAGGTAGGGAGACTCTGGGCTTCAGTATCGATCCATCATTTGATACGAAGTGGCGAGGCATCAATCTTTGCTTACATGGTACGATGAGCCGTCTGTCGTGTCTCCAGACATCTGCTCGACAAAAGGGGAAATCCATATAGCTGTAAAGCCCATTCCCTGAATGTAGTCCAGCTTGCTGATCAAGCCCTTCCACGTGCCACCACAATAGACTCCTTGAGAGGCATCACAAGTCGCCGTCGTTGACAGGTCGGTTCGAGCAAAGCGGTCAGTCATGACCTGATAAATGCTCTGTGCCCGCCATCCTGCGGGCGTGAGGGATATGGCTGGCGCGACAAAAGTAGCCGCTACAAGCAGGGGGAGTAGAGGGCCGAGAATCATACTGAAATACTGGACGGAGAAGGAGTGGAAGAAAGAAAGGAGCACGATCTCTATACCTCACGACTTTGGGAAACATCATTGCTCTCGGGCTTCAATCACTCGGTGGCCACAGGGCATTTATATCACAAAATTGTCGAGACCAAGCTTGGGGCGAAATAAAAGTACAGCTGTTTCCATTGACTGGAACACTGTCACTCTTGTGACCATTCACTCGCGCGAGGCCTAAGCCCCCCCTCCCACGCCTCAATCTTTGCCATTGCCTTTGAGAATTACATGTGCAACACTGTTGTCTTCCGGAACAAGGAGCCGCGTGGTTGACCTCGGCGCCGCACGCGGTTCCAGCGGCGCAAAGCCGCAAGTCACCCCCCAGTGGGTGACGGACAGGAGACCGCATCTCGCCGATGAGCACTTAACCTAGATTCGGCAGGTTGGAGAAGAACGGACGCGGATAGAGTTGGGTGCCTGGAGGTGTGATTGGCAAGAATGAGCGGTAGAGAGCAAAGACGGCAAGGACAAGAATCTTTAACGGCCCGACCCAGGAAGAATGCGTTACTGGAGCGAATCAAGTATGGTAGGTCGGTGTAAGTGGCTGCAAGGTGGTCAGCTGGGAGTGTCATGAAACGCCTATGTGAGTTGTAGAGGCGGAGGGTGGGTGAAGGTGACGACTCAATTACCCCAACTCCCTAGTCAGGATTTACATGGTCCCGCCATCTTATTTCCCCGGAATCATGACTGGAATCTGCTGTCACTTGCTAGCAGTAACGAATAGTAAGGACATGGTCGTCGAGCGGGTATATGGAAAGGCAATCCATGATGACATGTCGGCCGGCGAGCTGCAGGTACAGCAGAAATGGCCGAGTTCCTTCCGGCTGGGTAGCCACGTGCCCCATCCATTCCCAGACCTGGCCGGCAAGTTGCTTGTGAATTTCCTCATACAATCCACGTGAAGTAGTGGGCGCAGTGTCAGTGTCATGAAGTTCGGTTGTGGTGAAAGCTCAACCCTCGGTAGCTGCAGTAAAGGGCCGAAGACACCCACGCAACGCGTTGATGACTGCATCCGCCTCGGTCTCCCAGCTCCGAGTCTCGACATCCGGCCATATAGCCGATCGAGCAAGTCGAGAAGTCGCTAGACTTCCACTTGAGCGCGGAAGATGCTGCCGAAAATGGGCACGCACCCGCCTCCCACCACGGGGTGTTTTCGGCGGGATGCTGCCCAGAGCGAGGTGAGGCCGTGGGATACCGCACTGCGGGAGATGTGCAGGATTTCTTCCCGTAATGGTATTACCCCACAGACTCTTCCAGACATGACCCATGTCTCTGTCCGCATGCCTGGGCATCTGGCCAGTCTCCCTCGTCGAGACCGAAAAAGGAATGGCTTGAGGAGGAGGGGAGGGGCAGCTGCACACTTGTACTTCCAGGTGTGCCTGACCTGAAGACTCTATCATCAAGGTACGGCTGTCTGCTCTGAACCCGGGAAACTCTGGTCCATGGGTTCCCAATTGACTACCAATTGAGCTCGCTCGAGGACCATCAGGAAACACAATAGGCATTAGGGCATCGACTGGGTGCTTCGTTCTCCATTGTGCTGAACGAAGGCTATTCAGAGCCACAGAGAGTCAGTCGGTCCTCCAACGGATGGGCTGGAAATTGGGACCAGGTCTCCTGATGTCATGTAGGCGACATGGAAGGCTGGAAGAGGCTTGTGAGTGTCATAGAGCAACATCGGCTGGACGACGCCAGCAATTATTGTCTCATGCTCGCTTCCTGGGGTCGGAGAGGCTCCTGAGATGGAAGAACTATTGCCGGGTGAGGAGGTGGCTTCGATGTCTGAAAGCCACGCCCAAGATCCAAGACATCATTTGTAGCTGATGACACCGTGGGCGCCTGGCATTGATGATGGAAGGTGTTGTCAGGATCTCAAGGCTGTGATTCTGCAGAAGTTGAAGGGGAGAAATCGTTCACAGCAACAATGACCTCCCACCAGAGGAAACATTGCGTAGGTTACAGTATTGCCTGCCTCCTGCCTCCTGCCTGCATGCACAGGCCCAGCCTAGCCCAGCCTCTCTGCCTGCTGTTGCCCTGTTGCCCTGTTGCCCTGTTGCCCTGTTGCTCGGTGTAAGTGCTAGCGCCCGCATGAGCGTTGAGAGTCTCCACCCTGGCCCACTATAGCTCCTGTGATTGGTCCACTGGCCTGCAGGTGCACGGCTTATCGCCTATCGGTGGATCCAAACTTTTTCAAAAAATCTCGAGGCCGGTTCTCTCTTCCCAAGGGTCTTGGTCTTGGTTCAAGTTTCCATCCTGTTTCCTTTACTGCTCCTCGAAGCGCAAAGCAAATTTTCGCCTTCACTTTCTATTCCCATCTCGTGGTCGGCATCGTCCTGTTGCGCACCCTTTCCTGTCCACTCAGCCTGTCGTTTCTGCACGGCATTTTACGGATTTCCCTTTACCAAACTCTCGGCCATATTACACGCCCCTTCGTCCACCATGTCGCCCTTGCAGCCTGTCGCCCTCTTCGGGCTTGAGGTCCCTCCAGGAGACATTCTGGTCCCTGTCAGCCAGTCTTTCCCTGCTACTGTAGGTCTTCTATCTTCCTTTCCTGCAACCGGATACGGCCTGGAGATCTGAGCAATATGATGCAACCACTCGCGCCTTGCTCAATTGCATTATACATACACATTCATTCGTCGCGATGGCTGACAGTAGCAGGTCCGTATCACCATGGCAGCCATTGACCCCACCGAGGAGGTTGAGGAAGATGCCGAAGTGCCTCGTCGCCCCCGCTCTACCTTGAAGCTTGTCAAGCAGTCCATTGGCGACCTAGACGCCGAGTCCGACGAGGATGATGAGTACCTGCGCGATCTGCTCCTTGGCGGAGGCGATGACGACGACGAAGAGTCCGAGGACGAGGATGAGGAGACCAACGGCGGCCCCAGCGATCCCTCCAAGTCTAAGAAGGCCCTCCAGGCCGCGGCTCTCAAGGAGCTGTTGGACGCCACCAAGGACGAGGAGGATTCTGATGAGGAGATGGTTGACAGCGCACCTGGCAAGAAGAAGGGCAAGAAGGCGACTCCCACCAAGGCCGCCAACGCTAAGGGTAAGGCCAAGGCTGTTGAGGTGGAGGAGGAGGAGGAGGATGATGAGGAAGAATCTGAGGACGAGTCCGAGGACGAGGACGATGAGCTCGCCGGTCTCGACCTTGAGCAGTTCGTGGTCTGCACTCTTGACACAGAGGCTGTAAGTGCCGCCGCCACGTAAATAGTCTGCTCCCACTAACGATACCACAGCATTACCAGCAGCCTCTGGAGCTCACTATTGGCGAGGAAGAGAAGGCTTTCTTCGTCAACTCAGGCACCCACACTATTTACGTCACCGGGAACTACGTTATCAACGAGGACCACGCCTCCGACAGCGAGGAGGAGGATTCCGATGAAGATGATTACGACCTGCCCCCTGAGCTCGACGAGCTCATCGGCGACGAGTCGGAGGACGAGCTCGATGACATCGACGGTGTTGGCCGTGTCGAGGAGATCGACACTGATGAGGAGGCTCCCACACTGGTGGAGACGAAGAAGGGTAAGAACAAGCGCCCTGCCGAGGATGTTGCCGAGGGTTTGGACGAGTTGATCGCCAAGGAGGGCAAGGAGGACTCCAAGCTCAGCAAGAAGCAAGCCAAGAAGCTCAAGAACAACGAGGGCAAGGCCGTGGCTGCCGAGAAGGACACACCAAAGTCGGAGAAGAAGGTCCAATTCGCCAAGAACCTCGAGCTAGGTCCCACTGGCTCTCCTGCTGAGAAGGGCAAGAAGGCCGCCGCCACTACTGGTGTCAAGGTCGTTCAGGGTGTGAAGATCGATGACCGCAAGGTTGGCGCTGGTCGGACTGCTAAGAGCGGTGACAAGGTCGGCATGCGTTACATTGGCAAGCTTGAGAACGGCAAGGTCTTCGACTGTAAGTTATGCATCCCGTTAGCCGTTGGAATGCGAGTGAGCACTGGGGCATGTATGCTGACATCACGAAACAGCCAACAAGAAGGGCGCGCCATTTTCATTCAAGCTTGGAAAGGGCGAGGTCATCAAGGGCTGGGACATCGGTGTTGCTGGCATGGCCGTTGGTGGGGAGCGCCGACTGACCATTCCCGCTCACCATGCCTACGGTAGCAAGGGTGTCCCAGGCATCCCGCCCCACAGCACCTTGATCTTCGACGTCAAGCTCCTCGAGATCAAGTAAGCTGTCAGGGCAGAATTGGCCTTTATTTGTGATCCGTAGTGGACAGTCTCCGGATAGTCCATTGGACATTGGCTCAGGGTAGTCACCCACCTATCATCAACACACGGAGCCAGTTTGCACGTGGCCACCCGTAGGAATTAATGGGCTTTTCTTGGTTGTGGTGGTCGATTTACCAGCAACGGAGTCTTCTGACCTACACACAGTCTGCGAGGATCCGGTCACACTAGACACGGGTAGCAGATGTTATCGGAAGGGATGACGAGGTCTGCATTGCATTGGATGGCGTACAAAAGACATGAGGTTTCTTGACTGGGCTTTCTCTGTGTCTTCTACTTTTTCGTGTTGTTTCGTTGCACGCCGCTTTCCATAGTGCAAATAATTCAGATGAGCTTGTGAAATACTATGTCTGATCAGTACTATACGTTAAGGCGTTGGGCACTATGCCAGTAAGAAAGTCCTCAATGTTCTGAATATGATCATACCCAGGACCTATCGAAATCAGCAAGCACGATGGCCATGGAAATTGAACCCAGCTCTTGCCTCTGGTGCTGCGGCACAATGCTCACCAACAAACGTAACAAATCTTGACCCGGTAGGCGCAACCAAAACACGACTTCAATGCAGCACACAGGCATGACTTCTCCTGGCTCTCCAATTTCTGCTACCTTTTTTTTTAATACTTTGCTTCTGAGCATCCCTCTCCACTCGCTCTTTTGCTAAAGGCGAACGATCTGGGGATCCCTTCCGTTTCTATTCTTTTCATCGTTTCAATTGGTGTAATCAGTCGTAAATGGAATAACTGTCATTCACTTCAAATCTCCAATGGGACTGAACTCGTCGAGATGAAGCGAAGGCATTCACAGAACAACATTACTCCGACATCGAGCATCGTGTCCCGGACTTCTTTCTCTTCGAGTGCATCTCAAATTCATCGATCGAGGACAGCAACAGAGACTGACATTCCCTGTACACCGCCGTCCAAGCTTCGCCGCGGAGGTTCAAGGTTGCTATCTGCCCTGAAGTCGCTTGCTAGTCGCACTCACGGTGAGCTTCTGGCTGCATTTCTATAGTCGTACCTTGATGGCGACAATGACTAACTCAGACCTTATTCTTGTTAGCATCAACAATGTCCGGCACTCTGGATGTACAAGCCAACTTGAATATATTGAAGGAAATACCTTTAGCTCAAAGCGAGGCGAAGCCTAAGTACGTAGGCGAGGACTCAGCCAAAACGGAATATAATTTGCGGAAAATGGCATCGATCATCTTTCGAGCTCCCAACGAGCCCACAATAGTCTGCCGACCTTCACCCAAAATGCGACCTCCTCTTCAGTCCTAGGAGGCTGGAGCAGGGAAGTTCCAGTCGTCACTACAGGAATCTGATATGGAATCGTCGAAGTCATCCCCCAAGTCGAGCCCGACTTCCAGCATTTACACTGTCAAACAGTCTGACTCCACCGGAAAGACCTCCGTCGAGTCCAAAACCTCTTCTGGCAACTCTTTTGAGAAGAGAAGCCCCTTGGCCAGATGGAAGAATCAGCAGCATGCTTTATCGGCTGTTCCTGATACTGCCAGCGGTAGCCTGGACACAATCGAGGAAAAAGATGCCGAGACGGAGATCACACCCACTGTGGCCACCGTTGAGAAGGCTGCCGCTGCCAAGATCTATCTCGAGACCTATTTCAATGAGCGCCTGGTCCAGCCCAGTGCACGTGAGATGCGCCTGCGTTCACTGGATAATGAAATTTGGCAGATGGGCGTTTCAGTCCCCAAGGTTGAGAAGGACCGGCTGAGACACCAGTTCTACCGCAACGAAACCAATTATTTGCGGGAGACTCGGGTGATGAAGACCCGGGCCATTAAAGCCCTGATTGGGGGCAGAGGTATGGCTTCTTCATGCTGCAATGACTACCAGAATGTCAAGGCTCTTGGGAAGGGAAGCTTCGGGGTAGTGAGGCTGGTCCAAGAAAAGCTGAACGCCGGAGACAAAAAGTCCGGCAAGAAGGTATATGCAATGAAAGTCATTCGCAAATCCGGGATGCTCCGCACAAGCCAAGAAGGCCATCTCAGGGCTGAGAGAGATTTTCTTGTTGCTTCCGAGGGGTCCAGGTGGTTTGTACTGAGTCGCCAACCAAGACTGAAGGCGTTTTGCTAATGACCGTATCAGGATCGTGCCTTTGGTTGCCAGCTTCCAAGACGCATCCAACCTTTACCTGGTCATGGACTATATGCCAGGCGGCGACTTTCTCGGCCTTCTCATCAGAGAAAACATCCTCAGCGAGCCTGTAGCACGCTTTTACATCGCCGAGATGATTATCTGTGTCGAGGAGGCTCACGCACTGCACTGCATCCACCGCGACATCAAGCCTGACAATTTTCTTGTGTCGGCATCGGGACACCTCAAGATATCGGACTTTGGCCTTGCATTTGACGGACACTGGTCCCACGATTCTTCATACTACCATGCCAGCCGTTACTCAATCGTCCAGAAACTCAATCGTCCAGAAACTCAATCTCAAAGTCGAGGGTGACGAGCAGGACAGGCAAGATGCCCGAACTTTGTCTCACAATGTCAAGTGGAGCTCAAACATCATGATGAGTCTCAACAAGCACGAAAAAAAGAGCTTCGGTGACGGTGAGCCTCTGCTGCAGTGGCGAAACCGCTGTGGGATGAGGACGTCGGCTAAGTCAGTCGTGGGAACCAGCCAATACATGGCCCCGGAGGTAGTCCAAGGAGCCGCGTACGATGGCCGCTGCGACTGGTGGAGCATCGGAGTTATTCTGTATGAATGTCTTTACGGCCATACTCCGTTCCTTACTGATGAAGGGAGACAACACACAAAGCAGAACATTCTGGTAAGTGGGAAAGCCTTGCAGCTAATCAGTGGACGTCTGTGAAGCTGACTTGGAAAAACACACAGAACCACCGCTCGACGTTTGCTTTTCCTTCTCGCCCACTGGTCTCCGGCCGCTGCCAACAGCTCATCGCTAGCCTTATTCAAGACGCGGCAACCCGGCTGTGCAGCCAACGCTACCAGTACAAGGACATTCAGCAACGCTCGCAATCTGCAAGCAGCAACGGCAGCAGGATGAACCAGGAGTTCACAGACCGCTTCGTTTTTCCATATGATGCCGAAGACATCAAAGCTCACAAATGGTTCAGAGGCGTCCCCTGGGAGAGGCTCCACGAACTCGACCCGCCTTTTGTCCCATTGCTTCGGTCGACCGATGATACACAGTACTTTGATGACGAAGAGCCCATCACCGACCTGTCCGACAGCGATGAGGAAGACGAAGATGAGGCACTGTCTCAGCCGGAAGCGCCAATATCTGTTGTCGATAGGAACGCAATCGACGGTCTGGACGGGGCGGCTGCTAGCGGACCTATCGTCCAGAAGACGCACAGGACTGTGCCAGATCCTGGCTCATCGGCTGCCGCGACTGTCAACCATGTTCATTTGTCAACAATTCTGAACTCAACACCGCTCACTCAAGCGCGAGAAGAGGGTCAGTCATCTGCAACGCCGAAGGCTGCAGCCACGCCCGTGATTGCGGCCGCCAGAATCGTAGCCACCGCCATATCCAAGAAGCGTGCTGAACGTGAGGCTCTCCTTGCCAAAACATTGCAACCATTTGACTGCGGCATCCAAGCCGCGGTACGTTCTTGGCTGAACGTCCCCTATAATAGTCTTCGCCTCCGAAACTTTGAGATGCAAGTCGACACGGAGCCCGGACTGAGAGCATCAGAGCGTGATACACTGAAAGCACTTGTGCGCATTTACGGGAAGAAGGAGAAGAAGCGCCCGCGCGATCGTTTGTTGCGCGACCCTGCAACAAAGAGACCGGCCATGGAGTTGAGGAAAAAGACAGCTTTCATGGGTTATGAATGGAAGCGGATACAGGCCCATACACAGGCACAGATACAGACGTTGACGACAAATCTGCCTTTGTCGACAAGCATGGGAATGGGCACGCCAATCGGACCACCCGCAAGTGCAAGCACAGCGAGTAGCGGCTTGCACGCGGCGACGAGTGTGGTGCCACTGGATGAGGGAGGCCATGTGAGACCACCGCCGGGCTTTGAGCACCTTGCTCCATTAAGAACGTTTCATCGGGGAAGGATGAGTATGAACTGACACAATTGTACCATGGAGCTTGCCCGTCTCTGAGACTGCATGACGCAGGCCTCTGGGAGGGATGCATGAAAAAGTATTGTGGAGGAAAAAGTATAGATAGAAGGGTAGGAAGCTGAGAGTGGAGGAACACCGACCGCAAAGTTTAGAGGGGAGTATGAATAGACCGCATTCAGTTCTTGTCTACATTAATAGATTAATATTCTTTTGCTTCTCAAGCAAAATATATACATGGACCCTTACGATTAATAGACGATCGTGGGGTACGCCAAATCGAGGGCTGGAGCCGCTCCTTGGGCTCATGACTTCAGCCCTCTGACCTCCTCAACAACCCCGTGACCCTCACCGGCAGCCAGCGCCCTGGCATTCCTCAGCTCCCACTCGTACTCCTTGAGTGCACGCTGTTCGCTGCCTCTGAAGAACAACAAGGCCATCAGCCCGTCGACACAGCCCGCCACGAGGCCGAGGCTGCTCAAGAGCAGGAGCACGAAGTTAATGGCGTGGTTCTGGGACCGTGACAGGCCGCCGCCGTGGTGGGCGGGGACGAACCACACGGCGACGTAGCAGGCGATGGTGATGAGCACCCAGGAGCCGAAGTGCAGTGCGCGGTGGAAGGCCTGATCGGCCTCGCGGGCCTGGTAGGCCTCCATGCTGGCGAGGAGGGCGTCGAAGTCCTCGGGCCGGCCAAAGGGGGACAGGGATGTGAATGACGGGTCGCCGCCGCCCGGCGAGGGCCGGAGGGAGGAGAGCAGCTGGGCGTCGTGGTCCGCAGCGACTGCTGACGGGCTGCGGGACCGGGGCCGCTGGATGAAGGATGTCCGTGTTGATGAGGGCGTCGGGGTCTGCAGCTGGAGGAAGGCGCCGTTGGCGGGACTGCTGCTGCCGCCGCCGCCGCTGTCGGCGCGGGCGGGCGGCAGGGAGGAGGAGGCGTCCGGGTGGTCAGCGTCCTTGGTGTCGTGTGACCGCCGGGGGAACAGGGTCGAGGCGCGGAAGGCAGAAAGTGAAGAGGTGACGCCTGGCGGCAGCGGCCACTTGAGGCTGGCCTCGGTGGCGGCGTCGCGCGGCGCCGTGTGGAAGGCCAGCGTCGCCTCGACCGAGAAGTGGTCCGACAGGCTGCAGCCCAGCTCCGGGTGGCGCGCCGTCATGCCCACGCGCGCGTCCTTGACCACCCAACCGCCCACGCCGTCCTCGAGCTCCCGCGGCCCCGTGCTCGCGAACACGTAGTCGAGCCGCTTCCCGCGCGGGTCCGCGCGCCCCGGGTCGACGCCGATGATGGGCCTCCCCGCCCCGAGCTTCTTCTGCTCTGACGGCGGCCACCGCCACGTGTTGAAGACGCTATTGGACGTGACCCCGTTCTCGACAAGGTTGAATTCCGCGGTGGGCATATTCCTCCCCCTCGCCTTCTCGATGTCGTCGTCCGCGCAGCCCAGGCTGGAGTCGGGATACAGGACGCGCCATACATCCCGCACGGGTGCAGTACCTGTGATGATGCGATGGTATGTTGATAGTGGCGTCATGTTGAAGTCCCCGGCGGCGATCACGAGGTGGCCGCGCTCGGCGGCACCGCGCAGCAGCTTGGCGATCTGCCAGGCCTGGGCCTCGCGGTGGACGCGGTACGACTCGCCGTAGGGGGCGTGGGTGTGGGTGTTGAAGACCTCGACGACATCCCGGTCGCCGGGCCCGTAGCGCAGGCGCGCGCAGGCGACGCCCTTGCCGACGTACCAGTCGCCGCGCCAGAAGGCGGTGGGCCGGCCGTTGAGGGCGTAGGGCACCATGGTGGACTCCTCGATGGGCCACCGCGACAGGATGGCCAGGCCGCCGCCGAAGGCACCGCTATAGTAGAACTTGCCATGGGGCAGTATGGCGGCGGTCTCGCGGCGGATGGCGAGGTAGTCGGCGTGAGCCCATACCTCCTGCAGGCAGAGGATGTCTGGTGCGGGTGAGGCATGCGCGATCTGACGGCCGATCTCTTGCAGGCGAGGCTGGCGGAGCTTGGAGATGTTGAACTTGAGGCCCCAGCAGTTGAGGGTGGTGATATTGACCTCGGGGGGGTGCGTATGCTCCATGTTGGGGAGTTGTGAGGTTGACTGGGCCAGGTGAGAGCGGCCGGTGAGGTGGTGAGAGTGGATGAGGCGCGAGGTGAGTTGACCGAGGATTATATGAGCTTCAGCTTCACGTCACATCGCATCACCAGCTATCTCAATCTCATCCTGTCTTGTCCCTGTCTGTTTTACTGTATTATCCGTCCTGTCTGTCACGACCTGTCACGCCTGGCTCGGACGGGGTCATTGGCGGGCGAAATTTGTCATGGGGGGTGGTTGTTGGAAGTATGCTGCAGGTGAAAGGGGAAATAAAAAGAGATTGAGGCAACCCATGCGATGAGCGCCGGGACTAGACGCGAATCGGCGGTAGTCTGTCTGTCTGATGGGAGAGAGGCATATATCAAGAGACGGCTTATGATGCTTGGAAGGATTTCTCAAGTCGATATTGAAACCCAACTGCTGCCCATATCGAGAGCTTCCCCGCCCTTAGCCATGGCTGGGTTCGTACGTCTTGTGTGTGTGTGAAGATCGGATCAATTTATTATTATCTGCAGTATTACCGCGGCTCTGAGAATTTCGAGCAGCAGCCGGCGCGCGCTGACAGCTGCTGGGGTTGTTGGGTGCTGGGTGCTGGGTGCAGGGGACAAATTAAGCTCAGGCTTAAGACGTCACCAATGAATCCCTGGCTTTAGTTGCACTGCTAATCCCAGCTCCTGCAACTGCAACCTTCCTGCCGCCATCCCTGTACGCCTGGCACGGCCTGGCCCTCTTTTGCCTGCCGCCTGGGGCACCCCCCAGCTGCGAACTTTCTGAATTGCTTGTCGCTGCTGGTGGGATTTCCATCGTGTCGCAGAACATGCTGCTTCAACAACTCCACCAATCCAGACACATCAGTCACGCCAGGCCTCAATTCCTCAGAGCTGTTCAGAGATCGCACCATAATGTCTGATCCTGAGCTCGAGGACAGGACCTCTGCCCAGTCCTCCAAGCGGCGCAAGCGAAACGATGGCAGTGCTGAGCACAGCTCCCCTGGGACAGATCCAGAGCCAGAGCGAGAGCAAGAACTCGACAATCCAGCGTCAACCTCACAACGCAGCCAGCGACGCAGCCTCTCAATACGCCATGCGAGACCCCAATCCAGGTCGCAGAGTACGGATCCACACAACGACGAAAGCCAGAGAGATGACAACCGTCCATACAGCCCACCCTCAAGATCACGGTCACGTTCCAGATCGAGGGCTGGCTCGCGCTCAGACTCCAGGTCGCAATCGAGGTCGAGGTCAAGATCACGGTCACGATCAAGATCGCGCCTAGACTCCCGCTCAAGATCCAGATCTAGATCCAGATCACGCTCACGTTCACGCTCACGCACCTCTTCGCGCCGGACCCCGCGCCGCTCGACCTCCACCACCCCTGACCGCCCGTCGCAAAAGCCCCTCCGGCCGAACTTCGAACCCTCGCTCGAGCTGCGCGGCCACGAGAAGCCAATCTCCCAGGTGCGCATCTCCCCTGACGGACGGTGGATTGCCTCCGCCTCCGCAGACGCCACTGCCATGATCTGGGACGCCGAGACGGGCGCCCACATGGACACCTTCGTCGGCCACATGGCAGGCGTGTCGTGCCTGGCCTGGAGCCCCGACAGCGAGACCCTCGCGACTGGGTCCGACGACAAGACCATCCGCCTATGGAACAGGACCACCGGCGACCCAGCACACGCCGGCGGTGCGGACGAGAACGCCGCCGCCCTGGGGAGGATAGGCACGAGCGCTCGAGGTATCGGTGGGCGCGCTGGCGACTCGGGCGTGAGGGGCAGCGGTGGGAAGAAACCCCTGCTTGGTCACCACAATTATGTTTACTGCCTCGCGTTCAGTCCCAAGGGGAATATACTAGCGAGCGGGAGCTACGACGAGGCTGTCTTCCTGTGGGATGTGCGCGCGGGGAGGCTCATGCGGAGTCTGCCCGCGCACAGTGACCCCGTGAGCGGGATTGATTTCTGTCTGGATGGCACGTTGGTGGCGAGCTGTTCTACGGATGGGTTGATGTAAGCACACTTCCTCCCCCTTTCTTCCAATACATAAACGAGTCGCTAAATCGAGACGGCAGACGCATCTGGGACACCGCCACCGGCCAGTGCCTCCGCACCCTCGTCCACGAGGACAACCCCTCAGCCAGCTCGGTCTGCTTCTCGCCCAACGGCCGCTTCGTGCTGGCCAGCTACACCGACTCGTGCGTCCGCTTGTGGGATTTCATCAACATGCCCTGCGCCGTAAAAAAGACCTATCAGGGCCACGTCAACGAGGGCTACTCCATAGGTGGCTGTTTCGGAGTGCTATATCGCCGCCGGCCGGGAACCTCTCGCAAGCTCATGCAGAATGGCGACATGGGCCAGGAAGAGGAAGAGCCGTTCAATGGAGAGCAGCAGATCGAAGAACAAGAGGAAGACTACGACAGCGCCCCATTCGTCGCCTCAGCGAGCGAGGACGGCGACGTCGTCATGTGGGATGTCCGCTCAAAGGAGATCGTGCAGCGCATCCCCCGCGCCCACAGCGGCGTCTGCTTCTGGGTCGACGTCCACAGCGACTCGGGCACCATGGTCACCTGCGGCGACGACATGCGGATCGTGGTGCACCGCCACAGGTACCCGGAGCCCGAGGGCGGGCACGTGAACGGGGACGTGAACGGGAAGTACCCCGCTGACGAGGACGATGCGGCCGACGAGGAGATGCGCGAGGCCGGGTTCGGTGCGGCGGCGGTCCAGGTAAATGGCAACGGTCACGTACATGTCGAGGACCTGGAGGACAAGCGGGTAGAGGTAGAGGTAGAGGCCAAGGCCGCGGCTGGTGGGGACATCCCGATGAGCGAGTAGGGCGCAAAGCTGGGAGTCCCGCGTGAGGCGCAGCGGGTGGTCCTCCTGTCTGCATTTCGAGACCAGCCGAAGGGTATATCTCGGTCCAGGTTAATTACACCCAAGTGTGGGGGGCTTCGATACCCGCGGGCGAAGTGGCCGTGGAAATCCTGAATAGCAAAGCATAGCACGGGCGTTGGGTTTTCCTTGTCGTGGTTGACAAGTCGAGTCAGTGGTACCCAGGTAGATGTGGTACTTCATTTTACATGTGAGGGTTTGGCAACAAAAGCAGTCTATCAATTATCTCGAAAGGGAATCCATCAATTGCGGTGTCTATCAGGAGGGGTTATCTGTCATAATGTCCATGCAGTATGAAAATACGCCTGGTGCTGTGCTGTGCTGTGCTGTGCTGTGCTGTGCTGTGCCGTTCCGTCATCCGTAAAAACCACCCATGTGTATAAATCAACGAGACCCTCCTGTGACACAAAACTCCTTGAACACTTGCTGCCCAAATCTATGCTGGATTCGGCATCTCACTCATCTCACCTTCCTGCCCACTTCATTGGACCTTCTGTCTTTCGCTTCTCCAGCGACTGGTCGAATTAATCGACACCATCATCGTCATCATCCTGCCGCGAGTCGTCAGGTTCCCCAGTCTCTCCTCCTCCGCCTCCCCAAGGGAACGGGACGCCCTCAGATGCAGTGATAATATCGCCGATCTCACGGTCTTCGTCCTCACCGATCGACTCATCCAATCCAACATCATCGTCATAATCGCTCTGCAGCCCATCAAAAATGGCATCGAGATCGACAGGCACCGGCGCCCAGCCGTACACTGGCGGCGCCCAGCCAATATCGCCATTATCCTCGTAGTCGTCATCATTGTCCCCGTCGTTGTTGGCCAGGGCCCAGGGCGCACGGGCATCGCCAACTTGCATCTCGTCGTCGTCGTCGAGGGCCCATGGTGCAATATCGTCCGTCTCCCGTGCCTGGTCGACAGGCGGCATTGGGCGAGGAGGGAACGGTTGACGCATTAGTTCGAGGAGCGCGTCGAGTCCGCGGAATCCGGCGGCAGCAGGAGGACGAGGGATATCGCGGTCTTGGTCACCCGTCTCGTCCGGGTCCATCTCTTCCTCTTCCTCTTCCTCCTCTGCCTCTTCCTCCATGAACTCGTCCTCGAAATATTCTTCACTACCATCTAGTCAAATGGTCTCCCACCCGCCATTGTTGATGTCCGCCTCAAGCCTGCGCGAAATGTAGGATGGCACCCCGTGGCTAAGCCACATGGTCCGCAGCATCGAGTCGTAGCGCTTCTGCGACAAGAACAGCTGCCTACTATGCCGCAACCCCATATCCGCCTCGCCGTACTTGTCCATGTAGGGCGCGTTGCTCCACGACCCGCTAAGCCGGTGCAAGTAAAAAGTCGCGCACTTTCGGATGTTAATGAAAAGCCCGACGTTGCCTTGGCACCTAATTTTGCAGATTGTTAGTTTGGCGTCCCACATTCTCCGAGACTCGATCCTGTCAAAGAACTTACTTTCGCATATGCTGCTGGGCCCCACCGATCCTCCTCCTGCTACCTTGCCGCCTGAGCGTCGTCGTGGTGTCCTCTGCCGAGCAACATATGCTCTGGCCGCAGAAAACATCACCACAGAGGAGACAGATCATCGGATCAGAGATATCCTTGCCCGTCCGCGGGCACCGTCGCCTAGTACACTCCTCGATGAGCGTGTCATAGTTCATTGGTAACCCTACGAGCTCAAATATGCCCGGATGGCTGAGCATCCGGTCCCGGTCGGCCACGTCAAGAACAGCCACATCTCTGGACTTGATTCGTGCCCAGCAGTGTGCCTTTTCGTGCCGGATCCATCCACGGACAAGCTGATCGCACAGGGAACCCGGCCAGCCGACGTGTATGCCTAGAGGCGTGAGCGCCGCGCACATGCTATCGAAGTCCGGTAGGCGAAGAGCCTCGGTCAGACGGTCGAGTTCATCCTGTTCTGGCTGGGGTGAGATGTGACTGTTGAAGTCGACACCGTACTTGACGTAAAGCAACACCACACATTTTCGAAGGAAGATCTGAGCGTACTTCTTGGTGAAGGTGTAAAAGTCGGCAATGCTCTGGAAGCACGGTTGATCGAACCCGTGGTCGAGTTGAGGGTTCGCATCACCGGGTATCGTGTACTCCAGGTCCATGTTGAAGACGGTCTTGCAGAATTCGGCGAAGTTGATCAGACTTCTATCCTCCAGACCATCACTAGACATCCACTCGTGGTTGGGGAAAGTGATCCTGGCCGTGCGGTAGACAACCTTGACCATCTCAGCAAGATAGCACACGCGCAATAGGTATGAGACATCGATGCCGTTCGCTGCAGCAAAGCCGAAGGCGCTCTCACAGAGGAAAATGAACGTATCCTGCGTAAGAAGTGGTGTGTAGGCGGCCAACTTGTCTTCTCCATCTGGGACGAAGAGTTGGAAGTGTTGCCTTTCGCTGTCTTTCTTGAACTCCCTATCGATTCGATTCTGGCCCGCATACTTTTGGCCTCCTACGGCGATGTAAGAAGCGACAGTCTCTGCCAAAATGCGCAAGTGAGTGAGAGCCTGCTCGGGTATCTTCTCGAGCAGAAGCGAGCCGTACTCGGAATCTTGCCCTCTCTGCTGTATCTCCACAGCTGAGATCGAGAAGCCCACGGTTTGGGCCAAGACATCGCTGTCGCACAGGTCGGTGGGGTTTCCAAGCGGCTCGTTCATACGTTCGAGCTGATCAGGGCCGTGCCTTCCCACAAGGCCATTCCGTCTAAGGGTATCTCGGAGGCGACGGTAGACGACGACCAACTCAGTCATCGCGCTGCTGCTCTCGCCCATGCCTGACGACTGTCCACTTGACTCGGGTGTGCCGCCGCCCCAAGGCGTACCGCCGGATGGTGTCTGCGATCCGGAATCCCAAGCGTCCACGACGAGATGAGATGATTTCTCTGCCAAGTTGGGCAGTAGTGTGCCCTTGGTGTATTGTGAGAACATCCTCTGGGCTGAGTGAGACTGAGGCTCCAATGCCAGGGCCGCGTTATGTGTAGAAGAGAGATTCTCCTTTAGAAAGACTGCAAACGCTTCAGAAGAGACTTGAGTCTCTGTGGGAGTCTGCAGCACGCCCGGATATGATTCCTCCTGGCCCCTCCAGACGATCGGCAGGAAGGCGTTACCCAAGGCTTTGCAAAGTGGACACACGAATTCTAGGCGATACGGGTCCTCGGGGTGGTGACGCGCGATCTGTTGCTTGTGCCGCTGCTGGGTCGCTTCAAAATAGACTTCAAAACAGCTATAGTGCATGATGTGGCCGCATCCTATGGAGACTGGTCCATTCCGTACTGCGTGTGGAGGAAAGCCCTTGCCAATAATCTGGCGTTCCGTAACGAAAGTCTGTCCCTGTTGGTTGACCTTCTGCACGTCCTTACGATTTTCGTGAGCCACTCCAAACGGTCGGATAGGCTCAGCAGATCGGTCAAGGTCTTTGGGCGTGTGGAATGCCTCTCGCACGAAGTCAGGGTCTGACAGATCCGTCTGCCGTAAGATCCCGCTCTCCCTAATGAAGCCGAAAGTTCCGTATAGCCGACGATCGTCTGTGTCTTCCTGGCAAAGGATACATGTCCCGGATGGGTATTTCCAGAAGTTCTTCTCCTCAACTGGTTCAGGCAATTCGTCGTCTTCCAAATCATCGACGTCGCCCCAGTCAATATCGCCCTGGTTTGCGAGGAAGTTCTTCTGCTGCTGTTGAAACTGGGCCATCACTCGCGCCTGGCGGTCCAAAGCTGCCTTCTTCTTGCGTTCTCGCTCCTCATCGGCGTTGGCAATGGCTGCCGGCGAAGCGGTGCTGATCCTATCAACTGGGACGCCAAGTCGCACATATGCTGCCTCAAAGTCGGAGGGTCGCTTCTGACGCATGCGTTTGAGTACAAGAGCGATTCTAGGGTGGCAACCTTTGAGCTCCTCTTTGGTGGACATCATATCCAAAAGAGATACAATAGTCTTGGAAGTGGGGGCTTCCTGCATAAAGTTGCTTCGCGCCACCTGTGTCAGAGCGGTGTGAATGAACGACGGTCGCGACGAGTCTCCTCCAGGTGGCTTGTCTTCGGCAATAGCGATGAGAATGAGGTGCAGCACCACTTGCAAGTACGTTTCAACCCTCGTGTAGGGCACGGTCGGTGTGAGCTTCTGGCACACAAGCGGGTACAGAAGACTGTAATAAATGATCTGGGCGAACATGCCGGTGCTGGTGAACTCGGCCAGGCCGGCGAAGACGCCGCCGGGGATTGGACGCAGCTTCGGCTCGTACACAACATCCTCAATTGGCCTGCCAGTCTTCTTGGCCACACATTTACGCCAGGCCATCTCTGACTCTTCTCGCTGGTTCTTGTTGTAGTGCGCGATGTAAGGGTCGACCTCCTCGACGAACTGCGGCTTCAACTCGAACGTGCCAATGTCTGATACACCCTCTGGTGCTCTGTAATTAGACATCTCATCAAGGACTCTGGTGAAATCCTCTTGCTCTTGATATCTCTCGGGCAACTTATTTCCTATTTCAGTAAACGAAAGCGGCTTGAAGCAGAGCACATGAGTGATGTCGCGGCGCATGGCCAAAATGCGGCTATTTGGCTCATCTTCGGTGCGAATTAAAGACGTCCTGTCGCTCAGGAGAACGACGAGGAGGTGAATCATGTCCTCGACAATGTCCAAATGCTGCGCATCATCCTGAGCGGTGGATTTCTGTTCAAATAAGCCTTTGGCCCATTTCTCCATGCCGAAACGATCAAGGATTGAAGCGAGCACTCGACTTGAGTTACACACCACAAGCGCTGTCTGCAACAAGAAAATGTCTCGATGATGAGAAACATCCCTCTGTCCAACGCCACGATACGTTCCAGCTTGGTGCCTTAGACTCATGCCATTGCGAACCCACATTCCAGCCTTCATTTGAGCTAGCCATGCGCACACCCTCAAGGGGTAATCGAACGCCGCCATAAGGAAATCCTCTGGTCCGTAATCGCGTCTCGGCATCGCCCGCTTGCCCATGAGACGAGGGTGGCCTTTGAGTTCTTGGGCTGTGAAGCTGAGAACAGCTCGCAATTGTTCGACAGACATAGACTTGCCACATTCAATCAGCCAGGACAGGGTGTAGTGAAGAGCGTGATGAAAGCTGATGGGCTGCTCCTCAACGATGAACTTAACGACATCGTATTTGGAGTTTTCGCCATCAAATTCAAAGTCGCCCAGAGCTTTGAAGCGCACTTCGTCCTTGATTTCAGCTTGAGTAAATCGTGCGCGCTCCGCACCAATGGAGTTCACGAGTACGGTCTTGGCTGCAAGACGGATGGCACGACAGACGCCGTCCGTGTCTTCAACGCCTGTGAAAGACCGGCTGAAAAGGCGGCACAGTCGGTTTATCTCTCGTGTAATGAGTGATGCACTAATCCAGGTGTCGGTCTCGTACTCAACGTGCTCTCCGACCGCCCTTGTGTTCGGACATATGCCTTGATGAAGCTTAACGAGGTCGAGGAACTGCAACATATACCGGTCCTCTGTCCTCAGCCGCTCTTGCACATGTGGAGACAGGAAAAGATACTTGAGGTCGGCAAAGAAATGGTACATGCGCCTGTTAGTAACAGACCCAGAGTCGAAAGCCAAGACCGCAGTATCCGAGACATTCCATGGATGGCCGACTTGACGAGTCGTCAAAAAGGTGTACAAAATAGCCAACAGGCTAGTCAAAAAATTGCCGCGTTCCACTACCTCTGCGGTGATCGAGGGCGTGGTAAGCATTTGGAGGGAAAGATTGATAATCGAATGGTCTGGCTCTCGATCTCCAATAAGATAGAGTTGGGCCAGGGTTGTGTAAAGGCCAGCAAAACGCAGGCCAAGAACGCGTTTGAATTCAGGGATTGTAACGACGGTGGATATGTAGAGAGATCGCATGTCGTTGCGCACCTTCTTCCACATCCGGAGGTCAAAGAGGATCATCCAGTCTAGGCGTACCCTCTGGAACAGATCTTCTGATGGCGGAACATTTTCGGTCTCTACGTATGCGGCCGGCGCGAGCATCCAATACCGGCCCGACTTGGGCGGCGTTGCTTGCTCGTCTTGCGCCACGCCTGGCGTTTTGGGCACATCGAGACTGTTCTTCGCATAGATGGATGACGGTATAAGAGGCTCTGCGGTATCAGAATCAGATGGGGTCAGATCTCGGTCTCCGATGTTCCGACGAGGTCCACTGGGCACTGGAGGGGGAGGCGGCGGCGGATAGCCTGCCATGGTTGCTTCGTCTGCTTCTAGAGACTCATCGGCTCGCCAGTCAGACATGTTGACGTCTCCGGCAGCACCCGGCGCAGAATCAAGCATCATAACGTCTTCCTCATCTTCTTCGACGTCCTCGTCCATGTCTCCCTGCGAAGATGGTGTGTGATTTTCGCCATCGGCATCGCTATCATCATCGTCATCGTCTTCGCTGTCATCCATGTTTCTCGTGTTTATACCGCGCCTTATCGCCTCTCTCGCTTGTTGAAGCCTGGCAGCCTGCAACAGCGCGAATTGGGTGTAAACGTTCATGGATGTGTCTTCTTTTTGGTCCTCCTTGTCCTCGTCGTCCATTCCTTCATGGCCGACAATGGCGTGGGTAGCTGGACTTCCCATTCGCCATGGTTTGAGAAGTTCTTCGCAGACAATGACCCGCAGTATGGAAGAATCCTGTCCAACAGCGCAGCCCGAGATGTCTTTCAACCACTCGATGATCGTGCCGCACATTTGCTCTCGAAAGGTATCACGAGAAGAGCGTATCGTAACGGTAACACGGATCTGCTCCAACGTATTGGCCCTTGCAAGGAGAGTCTCAACCTTCTCGTCGTATGTGAGGATGCTTCTACCGATCGTGTCGGTTTCGTAGGCTTTTTGGAGAGCTTCCCGCTGAGTCATTGCACATGCCCTGGCAACTTGGTCTCTAACCTCAGTGATGGTATGCTTTTCATCGTTCCACAGGATAATGGCGTATTCTCCCGGAGATCCCACATCGCCGCCATGATACGTCGAGTTTAACCTCGACATTTCCTCGTCGCGCTTGATCGACTCCGCTGTCTTTGCCTGACGCAACTGCTCGGGCGAGCACGATATAACGTCACAGAGATAGTCAATGACCCTGCCTATTGTCATCCTGATGCTGAAAATTAGATCGTCCGGCAACCTCGCGACTTCCTTGTCCTTGCCCTTTGGTTGCTCGTGCTCCCAGGTCGAGTGTATTGTACAGAACATAGGCGTCTTCCATGCCTCCGGGTCGCCACAGTCACAGCAGCCACTATTGCCTGGTGAGATGCTTATTCTCACCATGTGTCCCGTGTGGTCGGTGGCATCAAAGCATTTTGCGCAGAGGCAGCAGGTATCATCGGTGCCACATGTCTTGCAGCTGTATGAGGCCTCTCCTGCTTTAAAGATGTGCCCGCATGCCATGCCGCGAGCGGACTCTGTATATTCTGCTCCCTCTACAGCGCCTTGGGCGTCTTTGAGCTTGAGGATCGTGCCATCGACAACAGGTCCTCCGTTTGGGAAGAAGAGCCGAAGGTACTCGTCCTTGCCGCCAGACATGAACCTGAAGAGGTTTTCGAGCAAGAGGTCCTCCGATTCTTTGGTGTAACGGTATCGCTTCTGAGCGGGCAGCTCCATCAGAAACTGACAGAGCTGCAGCTCTTGTGTTGACATTGTAGGGTCCATGTTGGAGAGCTCAGCTCATGTCGATGTCGCGCGACCTGGACGCAGGCTTGCGCTTGGTTGGAGATGGCCCCTTGGCCTCTTGGAAGGTGTGCAGTTCGTCGAGCAATTTTAATGTTGGGTTGATAGGAGCATTAATGACTGCATCGGCAGCAAGGACTCCTTAGAGAAAAGCTGGGAAGGTCAAAGTCAGCTTGCTGTGGTGTTGAGCGCGGGGTCTGCAGTGGCGGACTCTGGGTCGATGAGCTAAGGGACCTCGAGAGGGCAGTACTTACAAATGTGTTCCCGCTTATCCGATGCCTCGGACAGTGGGCAATTTCAACTCTGGATGCGTTCGGTTCGCAGAAGAAGCATTGCCATGCAGAGGGTTGGATTAGTGATCGCGTTGCAGCAAAGGCTCACAACTCGGACTCGCGAGTGGCAGCGGTTGATGGATGCGCAGTGCGTGTATCACTAGCAATTGCGCTGTGGGTAGATGGAGTGCCGTCACGGCGTCACGGCTTCACTAGCCCACTACGGTGCAACCCTGCTGCACATACGTGCCTAGCCCCTAGGTGCGTCCGGGCCAGAATGCAGGGATACAGGGCGCATGCGATATACCTAGGTACCTTCCACATGTGTCACCCATCCAGCGGCTTCCCGCACTTGACAGCCAAGCTATGTTCGATTAACACTTCAGTCTTAACATGCGTGCCTGGCATTTGAAATACCTTTGCTTTTTCTGGAAAGTGTATCACCGAGACAAGAAAATTTCACAGCACGTTAAAAGATCGTATGCCGATGAGCTGGTGAACCAAGGATTCCTTACGCCAATACCTGCTACATAAGTAATACCCAAGAATCTATGAACGCAGGCTTAGCAGCAGATCATGCGACTTCAAGGCTGAGAGGTAGGGACACGCCAGAATATGCCACAAGCATTGGTCTTCAGCAACGCAAAAGAAGTGCAAGTCAATACTAAAATTTCATTGGCATGAATGTCATGCAAAATTTGGGCCTCCCGACCTGCCGGGCGACTGCACAAGGCTAATATTATAGCAGTGCTGAGCTTGCCCGTCATTCTCACTCCAAGACAGCGGCCTCACGAGGGAAAATCATGCTTCATCATCTGCCAATGCGTGCATTCGTTTTGTCACATTGCGTGAATTCTCAACCTCATACTCGTCCTCGTCCAAGAGCCTACTCGCTGCGCGTAAGTGATAGTCGGTAGTGTGTTGTCACATGCGGCGCGTGCGTTTCCCAATATTCATCCATGAAAGACAAGAGTGCACTTGTTTTCGAGTGCACCGAAACCGATCAAGTTCTTCACGTTGTCATTTTCGTCTAAACAGCCCTCGTCTATGCAGTACAAGTACACCCCTCGTCAGGGGCCGTCTGGTTCTGGAGCCTTGACGTACTCTCCCCTAAGCCCAATCACTTCGCCCATGTCGGCTTTTCTCCGGGTTCGGACTCCTTACTCTTCCTCCTCAGCTCCCTCGAGGTACTTCTGCTTAACATCTTTCCATTGGCGCTACGTGGTTGTTAGCCTGTGGGGTCTCGATATTCATTCCACGAGGTGGAGGGAAAGGTGGGCGGCGGTCATACTCCTCGGTTCATGTTGTCCCACATTCTTGTTGTTGTAACATCATAGGCCCTGGCACACGCTCGTCAGCTTCATCTGTTTCTGCGCGTCGCGTTGTCGACTTTGGATCGGGTCCAGCCCGGGTAAGGAGGCGTACATCTGGAAGCCGAAAGCACCGGCGAAGACAGCGCCCAGCATAGCGTAGTTGCTGCGAAAGAGGACACTTCAGATCATCCGGTTAGCCTTTCGTTCGCAATCGCCTGTCGTGGACTCGGGGGTGACCTGCTTGTAGAGGGTGGTCTGGCCGGCCTGTTGTTGCGCGATTAGCTGATGCAATTTCAATTGAGTCCTGGGCGCAGGGCAAGGTGTACCATTTTGACTGGATGTGACAGTGTCAGACTTGAACGATAGTGCGGTCGTGGGAAGTGGTCGGTGGAAATAGCAATTCGTCGCTGAGATGCGTGAGAGCCGGACGGGTGAAGCTGGGAAGTCGACTTCAAAATTGGCGACGCCATCCCGATGGTTCCCTTGGCTGGCCAGAATCATCGTCCAGCTGATTGGCTAAAGCTCTCCGTAAGGCTCCACCGGCCGGATAGCCTCACCACGCGGCCGAGTACTGGACAACCCCACCAAGCCCTTTTGTCCCGCCGTCCATTTACATTTACAACAAATTGGGCGTCATCGCTCTTCTGACGCTCACCGCGGAGTGCTGCTCATCGTTCGATTCTCCGCTATTCCTGGGGCGGTTCCAACTTTGGTGACTTTATTTGGGCGCATCCGACTGCATAATTCACACAGGGCTTTCTTCTCACAATAGCCAAATCTGTCCCTTGTTGCAACCACTCCATACATACATAATAACTAAAGTCTCCCGGATCTGCACGCCCCAGTTCCAAGCATGCCGTCACAACCCACCAACGCCGGCATCGTCACCGATGAGTCCTCCGGCGAGCGCCACATCCCCGAGTCTGTCCGCGCCGACGGCTCCACCCGCAAGGCCATCAAGATCAAGCCCGGTTACCGGCCCCCCGAGGACGTCGAGGTCTACAAGAACCGCACGGCCGAGGGCTTCCGCAGCCGCGCGGCAAAGGGCGGTGTGATCGGGGCGGAGGCAGCATCCGACGACACCGCCGCGCCATCCACTGCTGGCTCCGCCGCCGCGAATAAGAACGCCAAGCGGCGGGAGGCCCGGAAGAAGGCTAAGGCTGCGGAAGAAAATGGCACGGCTACGGGAGGATCAGAAAAGACGAACGGCAATTCCGGGGCAGGATCCGGGGAGAACGCGAAGAAGGGAGAGGGGCCCGCCGAGCCCGTGCTGGACCCCGAAGCGGAGCGCGAGAAGAAGGCGAGGAACCTGAAGAAGAAGCTCAAGCAGGCCCGCGAACTCCAGGACAAGAAGGAAGGCGGCCAGGCGCTGCTGCCGGAACAAATCGCCAAGGTCATCAAGATTAACGAGCTGGTGCGGGAGCTTGCTGCGCTCGGGCTCGACGCCGACGGCGAGCCGCTTAAAAAGGAAGGCGAGGGGCTGGAGGGAGGTTCCAAGGAGGAGAAGGCGCCTGCCTGAGCTACAAATTGAGAGGACCAGATTTTCGTCCACGAGATCTTGAACTTCTTGGTATTCCTGTGGAGGTCACAGTCATTGCCTCGGCTCACCCCCTTTCACCTACCGTGAAGAGCGGGCAGTCATGTGTCAATCCCAGGAGCTGTCCGCCCAAAGCGGAGGAGGAAGGGCGCCGACATGGACGAGGGTCGTATTCAGGCTCATGTGAACCTGGAAATATCACGTATCCCTCTTAGTAGCGACGGCTTGCCCAGAATGGCCGGCCTGGTCACGCTACCTGGGTACTTATGCCGTAAATGGCTTTGCAGTCTTCAGTCAGGCCAGGAATCAGCTTGTCGGGCACCACGAGGAATAAGAGCTTCGAGAGCATCAACACGTTATGTTGAAATAAGGGGAATCCAAGCGAGACTTCACGCGAGCGTCTAGGTTTTGGAAGGCTTGTGGCCAGATCTTGAGGGGCGGGTTTCCGTGACGGGGAAGACGTTCTTGCTAGTATGAGTTAGAACATTAAAAACTATCCATGACTTTGTCTCCTTTGCGGTAGTCGTGAGTTCCTGTAATCTTTGTCGGTAAGGAGCAGAAAGGAGCAGACGTGGTCCACTCTCAGCCCATAAGGTCACCAATCATGCTAGTTTCAAGCGTTCCAATATGCAATAGCCAGGGACGGGTTGCGCGCCTGGACACTTTATTGCTTTACGTTAGGTAATTGTTTTTAGTTTCGGTTGTCATCAAAGTACATCGGGCGTCATCATCGATGTGAGATTGACCCTTCAGAGTGGTGTTTTCCATGCCTGCGCCTTTCCGGATGCCTCTTTAACTGGGTACCAGATCCCGCCATCCTATTCCGATTCGCTGGTATAAATTTTACATGTTTTGAGACATAGTAGTAAGACAATCCTTTGGCACGGTGCCGGGTCGTCCAAAGTAGGGCTAAGTTCAGAGTCGGTCGGGACGGATAGAAATGAGGCTGTAGACAATTCGCGAGCGTGTGGGTGTTGGGGAGTAGACGCGACGGGTAGGCCTATTCTGGGGATGCATTGGGTCGTTCTGATGAGAGAGGTGAGACGATCTCTCGCCACATCAGATGTACTCCCTCGCGCTCTTCTGCATCTCAATCAATCGCCACCCTCTCGTCTCGGGGTTGTTCACGTCTTCTGGCGTCCTTGTCACGCCGATGGCGTATGTGACAAGTTGAACCTTGTCTTCCATGCCGGCAGCCAGTTCGTTCGTCTTCGCTTTCCGGTAGACATGAACCTCCTGCGTCCTGCATGTGATGATGAACACAGGAATCTCGCCCGGTTCCAGCATCCTCGCTTTCAGGATGTCAACGTGCCTGATGTCGAGGATGCGCCCATCTGATTTCAGCCCAGCCTGCAGGTACTGCTTGGTGAGAGCCTCGTATACCGAGTACTGCGCCTCGGACAGCCACAGCTTCAGCGTCTCAACGTCACCCTTGACGTAGGCGTCAAGGACCTCCGGTAAGATATACTCGCGCAGCTCGCGCAGGAAAGGCTCCACCTGGAAGGCAGGGTCCATCGCGCGGAACTTCTTGATGACCATTGCCGTCTCGTTTTCGGCGAAAAACCCCGCCACACGATCCGTTATGCTGCGCGCGGTAAGGATGAGAGGGTTTTCCGACTCGTTGTACACATCCTTCATGCCGAAAAGTCCCTGTACAAACTTGTTCTGGTCTTTGAAGTTATTCCAGGCCTCTTTCCACTGCGCATCTTTGTGTACAGTGACGTTGGTGCCGGCGCTGCGGACGGAAAATGATTAGGATTTAAGTTCATCTCAGCTCAGGAACAAAGGTAATGAAGCAGGTCCAACATACTTGGGGTCCTCCTCGAGAACCTCGTGCTTTCTCAGCCCATTGGGGTTCTCCATCTGCTCGCGCAGCTCCCTCTGCTTCCTCCGCTCCTCCTTCTCTACCCAGCCACCATACCTCGAGCTGCTGCCGTCGTCGATGACACTCTTCACGCTCTTGTACGCCTCGGTGTCCCGGATTGGCTTAGTCGTCTTGTCAATGGCATCTCCGGTGACATTCGCCGCTTTGCGGACACCCTTCATCACCGGTGTATCCCATGTCCACGCAGCGCCCTTGCCGACTGCGCCAGCTGTACCCTTGAGGACCTTACCCGCGGTCGACGAGACGGCGCCGGTAGTTTTCTCGTATGCCTCCCGTGCTCGTCGGACATTTTCGCTCTCCACGAAGTCAGTCGCGCCTTGGGCGAGTTGCTTTGTCGAATCATTCCATTCCTTGGAGGCCTTGAATTCGCTCTGCATGGTTTCCATGAACACCTGCCATGGTGTCTTGTCGCCATGGGGAGGTGGTGGGGGTGCATCTTCTTTCTTCTCCTCCTTCTTGCCTTCCTCCCCTTCCTCCTCGGCCTTCTTCTCTCCAGACTCCTCTTGGGGTTCTTCTTGCTTTTGAGACTGCTCTTCTGTCGCGGATGACCCTGTCTCTGTAGGCTCTGTCTTCGGAGACTCTGCCTGCGTTTTGGCCTCAGACTTTACGTCCTGTCGGCTGTGTGATGATATGGAAAAGGCGCGGAATTGCGACTGCGACAGCGCCGCTCTTCGGATGGTTTCGGGTAAGAACTGAGATCGCAATGGCGGGAGCTGTGAAGGGATGCTCGACGTCAAAATAACATGACTGTCATGGCCAGGCGACGCCAGACGGCTCGATATGAATCTCCGATACGCTGGCGACCTGCCATATGGAACTGCGGACACATTCAGAGCCGAAGCTCGCGAGAAAGAAGTTGGAGGAGCATTCCTCGAGATTGTCCTAAATGAGCTCATGATATGGAGAAGACGCCCACCTCTCAATAAGATATGAGAAATGTCCCGGTGGTGACAGGAGGCGGAGGAGAGGGGCCCAGACGGTCTTGATGTCGAGTAGGATGGAAACTTTTTGAAATTTGGGGGCGTGATGCAAGAATCCAGGTTTTGCAGCGACCATATGGGCCATTTTGGCGGGCAAGAATCGGAGCTTGATGGCAGGCAAACCACAGGGCCGGGGTTCTCCGCATTAGCGGCTACAGGGGTCCTGAGCGCTGCAACTTTTCGGAGACTGGAGCTCCAAATCGCATCAATCTGGAGTGCAGCATATTGAACGTCGGTGGGAAAAAATCGCGACCTGTAACCCGCTTGACGAAGACGAAGACGGCGGCGACAACAACCACAACCCACACCCTGAGGATGAGCCGCTCGCCAACAGGCCGCCAATTGGCGAGCAAACTATACACAAGGCTGTCAATCCCGTCAATACCAAGGACACGATGCGCGGCGACACAACTGGCCCAGCCCTTCTCGACCTCGTGTTGCAGGCCAGCCGAAGGCGATGGCAAAGGCAACCTCCTCAGCTACCTCAATAAGCCACAAACAACTACCACAAAATCTGCTCCTAGGCCCTCTTCTCCTCCGATGAACTCTCCAGCACAGCCGCAGACGAAAGCCTCGACTATGGCTGATCTCGTCAAGACCATACCTGCCGCGCAGCTGGCCTCAGGCCGTGCCGTCAACGACACTCGGTATGTCGATACGTCCGTCCTCGGACAGGGTGGATTAGCTGGCTTGGACCCTCTCTCGGACGGCGCAGACAAGCAAGAGGATTGGGGCGCGGAGCCATTCCACTTCCACATCTACAGCCACAAGCACAACACCCACGTCACGGTGACGAAGCCGAACCGCGACGCCATCGTATCCCTATCATGCGGTAACCTGGGCTTCCGGAAGAGCCAGCGGAAACACTACGACTCGGCGTACCAGCTCGGGGCTTATGTCATTGACAAGCTGCAACAGCAGGGCTGGCACAACAAGATTAGCTCACTTGAGGTTGTGCTTAGAGGGTTCGGTCCTGGCAGAGAAGCGGTTACAAAGGTCATCCTGGGCAACGAGGGTCGGTTGCTCAGGGACAAGATCGTCAAGGTGTCGGATTCGACGAGATTGAAGTTTGGTGGTACGAGAAGCAAGAAACCCAGACGTCTGGGTTAAGGGGCGCGTGGCTTGGGAGGGGATATGGGAATATTGTCGGTCAATAAGCCAATGACCGCGAACATAATCTGCTCTCATAAAAACCACTTGGATGGAGTCATGCGTGTGTGAGTTGTAGGCTCATGTGTAATGTGTCAAAACTCTTGTACTATTATGAAAAGACCCATCATAGAAGTCATTTTGTTCCATGACTTGGCAGCAGGCCCCAATGAAGCGCTGCAAAACACGCAGGAATGGGTTTATGATCTCAGAAAAAATCAGTCTGGTCCTTCGATTATTGTAAAATGCCACTCACAAGCAGCCAGCAATTGTGGACTGTGGTCGTGCAAGAGAGGTACTAAGAAATTGATCAGCGAAGACCCCACTACGTCCTGCCAGGAACTTGGTCAACCACTCCCGGCATCTGAACTTTTTCCTCATCTCAGCCTCCCACAGCCCGACGATGCAGGTGCCTATGGATCCGGCCTCGCAACCAAAGCCTGCCATAATGGACGGCTTGAATTTCAACAGTGTCCTCGAGTCCCCTGTATTCGCCGGGGGTCTCGGCCTTGCAGCACTCGGCAGCGCCGCAGCCCTCGCCCGCCGCGGTGCCATCCAAGGCGCCCGGCTGCTGAAACGGCAACTCCTCGTCAACGTCGAGATCTCAAAAAACGACCCGTCTTACAGATGGATCCTGGCTTATCTCTCTCGCCCGCGCGAGACCCCTGGACTCCTGGCCAGCCGGCTCACGCGCATTCGGGAACTCTCCGTCAAGACCACCACGCGGTCCATTGCGCCGGGGAAGGGCAACGGCGCCGAAGGTGCGCCCACGCATGCGCACTTCTCTCTGGTGCCTGGATACGGCTCGCATGTGATTAGGCACGCGCCCGGCGTGTACATCATGGTCCAGAGGGACAAGAGCGCGACGGCGGAGATGGCAACGGGTGAGCCGCATGAGACGATGACGCTGACGACGCTGTGGGCCCATCGGCATGTGTTTGAGGAGATTTTTGGAGACGCGCATGGTATGATGGCACGTGCGACAGAGGGGAAGACCGTGGTGTACACCGTCCGCGGTTTCAACTGGGAGCAGCTCGGAGAGCCAAGACGCAAGAGGCCGCTTGGTAGCGTGATCCTGGATGAGGGTGTCAAGGAGGGGATCGTGGCGGATGTCAAGGATTTCATCGCGAGACAGGAGTGGTACGCCGAACGAGGAATACCATATCGCCGTGGCTATTTACTCTTCGGACCACCGGGAGGAGGCAAGTCCAGCTTCATTCACGCGCTGGCTGGAGAGTTGAACTTCGCCATTGCGACAATCAATTTGAGCGAGAGGGGCATGGCAGACGACAAGCTAGCGATGATGATGCAAAAGCTACCGCAGAGGACGATCGTCTTGTTGGAGGATGCGGACGCCGCCTTTGTGAACAGGAAGCAAAAGGACACAGACGGCTACAGCGGGTCCTCGGTCACCTTCTCGGGTCTGCTGAATGCGCTGGACGGGCTGTCTGCGGGCGAGGAACGGATTGCGTTCCTCACGACGAATCACATCGAGAGGCTGGATCCTGCCTTGATCCGTCCCGGGCGGGTCGATATGATCGTGCGCGTGGGCGAGGCAAGCAGATACCAGGCGGGAGAGATGTTTGAGCGCTTCTATGGGGATGTTGACCAGGACGGTAATGGCAAGAAGCGGTTCTTGCAAAAACTTGACGATATGGGTATGTTTGACGAGAAGACGGCGAGGAACACGAGTGCTGCTGCCATCCAGGGACTGTTCCTCTTCCACAAGAATGACATGGAAGGGGCCATCAACATGGCTGAGGTGCTGGGTCAACCCCAACATACAGACAGCTGATGCACGGAGAATGGCAATCAGATGGAAGGCTCGTCTACTTAAAATCTCAATTGGCAAATGATGATGGTCGGGCGCCAGTGGGTAGGCCTGGCAATGTACATGAGGTATGTGTGCCACACATATAGAAAACGATACCCCTACTACTAATAGAGTAACCCAAGCGCTTACCAGCTGCAAATTCAGGACGAAACTGTGAAAGCTACGATTTCACGCCTGAACTTCATTGTACCGCATGGTTCTGGACGCAGCTGTTGTCCATTTCTGCTTGAAAGCGAGTGCCTTGGCCTCCATCAAATGCAGGCAGTCGCGACTTTAAAGGGGGTCTGCGCTAACGGAGGCAGCAGCCTCTCTACACTCAACCTGTACCTTGTCAAACACACTCTCACCCACACTCATTCACTCACTCACATTCAACTCAACTGAACCATTGCGAAATAATCATCACAGGCTTGCGCATAGACACAATTTCTAAACTGCACTGTGGAAGCTTCCACTGTCAACTGAAGAATCAGTTGAGAACGGTGGTACTTCGCAGCCCAGACAACACTTTGTTCGTGTACTACCTTCCCTTCACACCCAACCGTCTCATTCTCGAAAATCCGCAACCATGTCAAGCGATCAAGATGCGACCACTCGAGGTCGCGGTCGCGGGCGCGGGCGCGGACGCGGACGGTCTACCTGGAGAGGTGGCAGAGGTGGCGGACGCGGAGGTTTCTTCAACGGCGGTCAGCGATCAGAGGCCAAGCAAGCACTCGCGATTATCGCCGGACAGACTCAGGCTGCTCTCCCTTACATCCTCAACCGCCTACCTAATGTCAAAGGAGACGAGTCTGAGCTTCTGTCACTGAACACGGATCTGCCACAGCTCAAGAAGGAAGACTGCCCGGAGCACGCCAAGACCACAATCAAAGTCATCAATGAGGACACCTTCGAGGCCGCTATATCTATGATGTCCTCGGACGATTCCAACCAAACCAAGAACCCATTGTTCAGGCCAGCCGTGCTCAATCTGGCATCAGATACCTCGCCAGGTGGAGGGTGGCTGAACGGATCAATGGCACAGGAAGAGGCCTTGTGCTACCGTTCGTCCCTGTCCCTGAGCCTTCACAAGGCGTACTACCCATGGAACGCCATGCAAGGCGTCTACACGCGCGACGTGGTCATCATTCGGTCATCTACAGAAAACGGCCACCAGCTTGTCGCGCCAGACACGCCAGTAGACGACCTGCCAGTAGTCAGCGTTCTCAGTGTGGCCGCGATTCGCCGCCCCAAGCTCTCAGATGGACAGGTCCTAGGGAGTGGAGCAAAGAGAAAGATCTTTGCAAACAAGGAAGACAGGGATTTGACAAAGAAGAAAATGACTCTAGCGCTGAGGATGGCGGCTTCCAGGGGACACGATCGCCTTGTGCTGGGTGCGCTGGGATGCGGCGCTTTTAGGAACCCGGTTGAAGAGGTTGCGGAGTGCTGGAAGGAGGTTCTGGAGCAGGATGAGTTCAAGGGTGGATGGTGGAAAGAGGTATGTTTCGCGGTGCTGGACCGCAAAAACGAGGGCAACTTCGAGGTGTTCGAGCAGACCTTGGGTGGGATGGAAGTTTGAGAAGTGAATTGGAGCGCGCGTGCTGCATGTGCCACATCAGATGGCAGTGCATGGGATAAGACGACTCGACATTCAGACTTTCCTTAATTCTTCATCTTTGTGTGTGCGGCGAGTACGTCGGCGATACGATGCACGGTGTTGCTGGCATTGAGAGCTTACGTTGCATGCTTTCATTCAGCTGGCCGACTTTCTGGGAACGGCTGTCTGCAGCCTTACATTGCGGCATACAGGTGGCAGATGATACCACGGACCCCAGGTGCAGCTATCAAGCTACGATTTCATATTTTCTGGCTCCGTGAGAGAGTGAGTGTTCGGATGTTCACGGGGATTCAGCATCACCATTACCAGTTGTGGTGAACTACCCTCATCAACTTACACACTGCGAGGCTCTGCCACCTTGTTTCGGGGGTGGAAACATATACTGATGCGGCGAACGCAGACGATCAACCATCCAGTCGATTTGCCGACCCCCATTCCTCGTTAGGTTCCATGAACCTAGGTAGTGAAGAAGCCCTCTGAGCACCTTCTACGCAGCCTAGCTGCATTCAACTGTGTCTATATAGCTGTCAACAGCCCTGCGAGAAGCAGACCAACTTCGACAGCTCACAGAGACCAATTTCGCGGTATTCTTCCTGCCAACATAGTTCAGCGTGCCTCGCAGTGGCCCAGCTGTCATTGTAACCCCAGACCAGCTTAAGCTCAGATGACGCCATACCGAGACTAGACTCTTCCATCGCCAGTTGTCTCGCGGAAACGCCCGCAGACCTTTTCCACACGAGAACCTCTCAATTGGGTGAAGATTAAGATTGAGCCCATACCGCAGCCAACACATATTTGCATCTCCTAGGCCCCTCCACACTCGGAACATACTGTCGCGAGTTAGCTTTAAGAAGTTTTGCTTTTGTGACATCTTGGATGCATCACATGGCGGAGAAAATGCACACTAGAAGGGAGGCGACCGTTCTCGCACACAGGCTCAGCCAGCCAGTTGCCAGCCCAGGTTGACGATTCGATTAGTCCATCTTTCTGAGACCCTTGTCGTGCTATGTCGCCCCTAGCGCCAACAAACCCCACGAAAGAATCCCTCGTGCCGTGGCTGGAACCTGCAGCGCCCGCAGGCCAAGTGTTCGTTTCCAAGGCCGTGCCAGGCATGTGCAAGTTGCCGTCCGCCGTGTCAAGCTCGTCGCCTGCGGCTGGCGGGACGGGAGTGACGACACAAGACGCTACTATCACCGATCAGCCGCGTCTAAAACTAGTTTTACAGTGGCATAGATGGTATCCCGAGAGCCGTGGCGGCTATGATTGTGGCGGCTCGATAAGCTTTAAGTACCTAGATGCGTAGTGCAGAGTTTCGAATATGAATGCGAAGATTCCGATGTTGTCCGGGACTGAAGTTGACGTGGCATACTGCTGTGGAACAACGAACAACGTAAACCTCGAGACAACTTGACTATATACTTGGTCTTTTTGACTATGAGGCCTTCATGAAGAAACATTTGTACAAGCATGCAGCGAGATCAGCCTGGCCTGAAGCCATGCTGAGGGCTGTGTCATGGACCGTTTCCTGCGATATATAACCAAGCGCACAAAGGAACAGGGGAAGAATATGAACGTTGAGTGACGCCTCACACACGTATAGACACGGTACAACAAGCATTCGGCTCAGCGGCTCTCGGGACCGCTGTGCGCCACTAGCTGACACCCCCAAGGCTAGCCTCTACCAGATCCGTGGGGTCCCTCCCCCTGTCCCCGCGGCGTTTAGGTAGACCGCCCCAGTAGTCTAAGCTTGATAGCGTTACCGCCAGGGCCACCAAGGCTGCGCTGGTCCGTTATCGTCCTGGTCAAAGGAGGGTGTTCCTTGCTATCTCGCGTTGAAAGACGAAATAAATGTTGCTCAGAAGCACATGTGAGAGAAGGCACCATGGGTGTTGGGATGCCTCTGCAATTTCTCTCTTGTTGTCCTTCTTCTACCACCAACACTGTGGGCTCAACCTCCTCCATGTTTGATTCTTGACTCTTCTGGATGTGATCAAAATAGTCATAATTCTGAGTCCAAAGCATCTAGTCTTGTTTGGTGATTCCGTTCTTGGACATCAAAACTCAACTCATATTCATTCCCGGCACTCTTTGGTGACCGACTCGTGAGGTCCATTGTTTGCTGCCTCAACAAAATCAAGCCTTCACCAATCCTCCCTGGATCGTCAGTTTGTCCAGCTGGACTGCTTTCCCCGCTGTTGTCCATTGCCAGCACGGAAGCAATAGGGCCTTGTCATTCTGGATATATTCGGGTGGCTTCCTTCAACTTCCACGACGAGTCAAGACTCACTTACCTCTTAGACCCGAATCCACAGTCTCACTCACCACGCCAACCCCTGCATATCATATGAAAGCAGCCAGCATACGGCAACACTGAGGAAGACCCCAGGGACTAAAACGTCTGATTTGCCGTATTTTCCAAATTTTTCCCACCTCCTGTCAACATGGCTATCATCGACGTCAACAAAGATCTCGCTGCCATTTTCTCGCAACAGGCCATCGCAACTCCTGATGCTATAGCCCTGGAAGACAAGTCACATACTTACACCTACGCCCAGCTCGATGACATTACCAGCAAGCTTGCCAGCTCACTGGCACAACATGGTGTGGGCCGGGACGACCCCGTTGGCGTTCTCATGGGACGAAGTGCCGACTATGTGATCGCATGTCTAGCCGCCCTCCGTGCTGGAGGGGCATTCTTAGTCCTCGAGCTCGCCTACCCCCCAGGTATGCTGGCAAATGTCATTGACGATGCTTGCCCGACTGCCATCATCACTAAGAGAGAGCATGTCGGCCGGATCAAGGCCGATGTCCCTCTTATTGTAATGGATGAGCCAGATTCAATAAACAGGGACCCTAAGCGGGGAGTGGGCACATCAGTCGACGAGCAAGACCTGGAGAAATTGGCTTTCATCTCGTACTCGTCAGGAACCACTGGAAAGCCCAAAGGCATTGCAAACCCTCACCGGGCGGCGGTCCGATCTTACGACTTGAGATTTAAGCTGAGCGATCTCGGGCCCGGCGACCGAGTTGCCTGCAATGTGTTCTTTGTGTGGGAGATCCTGCGCCCGTTGCTTCGTGGAGCCACCACATTCTGCATTCCGGACGAAGCAAGCTATGATCCCGTGTCATTGGTGGATCTGCTTTCCTCAAGGAATATCACTGAGACTCTGATGACACCGACTCTTCTTGCTACAATTCTCACCAGGCATGCGAGACTTGGCGAGCGCTTGCCAGAGCTGAAGACTCTGTGGCTGAACGGCGAGGTGGTTACAACCGACCTGATGCTACGGGCGATGAGGGCTCTGCCGAATACCCGTCTGCTCAACTGTTACAGTGCGAGCGAGACGCACGAGATTGCTTGCGGTGATATTAAGGAGATGATCAATCCCGAGCAACCCTACTGCCCAGTTGGGCCTCCCCTGGATCCAAAGCACACCTACGTCCTTGACGAGAACATGAAACAGGTCGGACCTGGTGTTTCTGGCGAGCTCTTTATTGGAGGTGGGCTCCTGGCTCGTGGATATCTTAATCTCGAGGAGACGACAGCAAAAGCTTTTGTACCTGATCCGTTCAGCGAGACTCCCGGGGCTCGCATGTACAGGACCGGCGACATGGCCAGAATCCTTCCATCAGGTCTGATGGAAATCACCGGCCGGGTTGGCGCCATGATCAAAGTTCGCGGTTACAGTGTGGTGCCAGGAACAGTGGAAAATGCAATTGTCAAGCATCTGGCTGTCCGCCACTGCGCGGTCGTTGCCCGAGGCGATGGCATTGAGAGACAGCTAGTCGCCTATGTTGTCCCAGACAAGGACGCACCCGATGATGCCGATCGTCCTGCGGTGTCGATTGACGAGTCTGGGTTCTGTCCCAAAGGGCGTAGAGCACTTATGGAGCACTTGGCGCATTACATGATTCCAGCCTTCTGGGTTCAGTTGGACGAATTGCCCACTCATGAAGTCTCGGGCAAAGTCAACTTGAAGAGCCTGCCGCCGCCTCCGGACCCAACGGCCACAGCCAATAGCCCTGGCAAGCCGAAGGTCAACAACAACACGACAATCAAGCCTGAGAAGATTGGTGAGCTCTGGGCTGCGGCTTTAGGCATACCTCCAGCTGCCGTCACGAAGGAGCACAGCTTTTTCGATCTCGGTGGGCACTCTTTGACTCTCGCTGATTTGTCCAACCGCATGACGAAGACCTTTGGTTTTTCTGTGCCGATCGGATCACTAGCTGGTGACCCTACTATAAAGGGCCACGTTGAGGCTGTGACTGCGGCCCGTGACGGCCACACTGCCGCTGTCCAGGCAGACCTGCCTGCGGTGCTTCGCGCCGACTCCGTTCTGCCGGCCGACATTCAGCCCAAGAACACGAAGATGCGTCCGCTCAGTGACGCAGAGACAGTGCTGCTGACGGGTTCGACTGGATTCTTGGGCGCCTTCATTCTTCACTCCATACTCGAGAATACTGCAGCAGATGTGATCTGCGTAGTCCGCTTTAACGACATCATAGACGACCAGAGGTCGGCTGGCATGGCGAGGGTGCGCAAGAACCTGGTAGATCTTGGTCTATGGAACGACTCCATCATCGATCGCATCGAGATTCTTCCTGCCAATCTCGCACGAAAGCGCCTGGGGCTTACCCCTGATCATTTTGAGGAGCTTGCCTCGAGAGTCGATGTCATTATCCATGCTGCGGCTACGGTCAACCTCGTCTACCCCTATGCTGCTCTACGAGCGCCCAATGTCGGTGGAACTCGTGAGATATTGCGATTGGGATGCCTCGCAGGTGCGCCTGTTCACCATGTCTCGACCAACGGTGTGCTCCCACCGTCAAGCGACGGATGGTCTGAGGACACGATCATTGACGTGGACGATGTGCCCACGAAGCTGCAGGATGGTTACAGCCAGACGAAATGGGTTGCAGAGCAGCTTGTTATCGAAGCCAATCGTCGCGGTCTGCCCACAAGGATCTACCGCCCCGGAACGATCAGCGGGCACAGCAAGTCTGGCGCTACCAATGCTTGGGATCTCTTGACAGCTATTGTGGTGGAGTCTCTACAGATTGGATACGCGCCTGATATCCCAGACTGGCGTCTTGAGATGACCCCGGTCGACTTCGTGAGCAAGGCCATCACGACCCTTTCCGACCACCAAGACATGACCCAGCGCATCTTCCACCTCGGTGACCCCTCTCCAATCGGCGCCAATGACGTATTTAGCTATTTGAGCCAATTAGGATTCAGCACGGAAAAGCTTGCTTGGGACAAGTGGGTATCGCTGTGGTCAACAAAGCGCGGCTCTGGGCGGTGGGGGGAAGGCTCCTTCACGGTCGACATTCTCCGCTCTGGCATGCCCACTGTCGATTTCATCCAAGAAGTGACAGTACTGAACGACGCAAAGACCCAGCCAGTCCTCGAAGGCGTCTTTGGCCTAGCCCGACCAAAGATTGACGCTAAGTTGCTTCAGACATACACCAAACACTTCTACGCCCGAGGTTGGCTGCCACGCCCACCTCGCAAGACCATCGACAACATGTCCGTCCAAGTTAAGCCACGAGGACCCCTCGCTGGCAAGGTCGCTGTCATCACTGGGGCGTCATCAGGCATCGGTGCTGCGGTGGCCAAGGCGCTTGCCGCCGAAGGTGCAAATGTTGCCATTGCTGCGAGGCGAGTCGAGGTCCTCGACTCGCTCAAGTCGACGATTACCTCTACCTCGGGTGTGAAAGTCCTCGCACAAGCTACCGATGTGACGGACCGCAGCCAAGTCGAGGCTCTCATCAAGACCACGGAGGAGACCCTCGGCCCCGTGGACCTGCTTGTCGCCTGCGCGGGTGTCATGTACTTCACCCTCATGAAGAACGTCCACACCGAGGAGTGGGAGCGCACTGTCGATGTCAACTGCAAGGGCTTGTTGCACAGCCTGTCCTCGACAGTGCCGTCCATGCTCGCCCGCGGCAAGGGCCACATCGTAGCCATCAGCTCCGATGCCGGCAGGAAGGTCTTCCCCGGCCTAGGCGTGTACTCGGCGTCCAAGTTCTTCGTCGAGGGCACCCTGCAGGCGCTGAGGGTCGAGACCGCCGGCTCTGGCCTGCGCGTCACTAGTATCCAGCCCGGCAACACCGCCACCGACCTGCTGGGCATGTCGACGGACGCAGAAGCCGTCAAGAAGTATGGTGAGCCCACCGGCGCCAAGATACTAGACCCGGAGGACGTCGCTGGTGCCATTGTGTACGCAGTGACAAGGCCCGAGCATGTCTCGGTCAACGAGGTGCTGATTGAGCCGAGGGATGAGCCTATCTAGATGTTGGGAGCGTGAGCAGGGTAGACTAGCGAAAGCGGTTGATGAGTGGTCCCAGATAGAGCACATCATCTTGTGGTAGCGAATTACATGATCCGTAGAATAATACAAGTATAAATACCAGATCTCATAATTGTTGACTATCTTGACTTCAAGGCTGATAGTGCCATGTGTTTGAGCTTGAGCAACATAGTAGGAATACAATTTGTGATCGAAGAAGCGAGTTAACGCAGTAAAGAATCAACTCTTTCACGGGAGCATGATATCGACGTAATTAACCTAGGACAGTAAAGGAGTGATCAGCGAACGTACGTTGCGACGTTCGAGCCAACTCCAATGTATCTACAGCCATGAATTTGGTATTTATTGTAGCCAACTACAGATTCAGTTTTTCTTAAGAGCGCTGTTGATAACATGATGGATCAACAAACACATCGAACGTCTCATATTGTATGCTACCTGAGTGTTTTCCAGAATATCTCGCCTTGCAACATTCTCTCCTCCTCTCGAGTAACGACGCCAAGATGTCTGCCGCAGTTGACAAGGGCGTCACATTTACCGTCCAGCATGTGAGGCGTCCACAACACTTCAAGCGGACACAGAAAGCTAGATAGTACGAGGTAGATTTAGCCGTCGCATATATTTACACCAATGTCAGCGGCTTATCAATGGCGAATGCTGAAAGGTAAATAGTTCTTTCCCAATCCTCATATCACTTGCGATTGCTTCTAACGACTGGAGATGAACCCCGATCTCCTCATTACTGCGCGGAGCTTCGCCATGGCCTGGAGAACATACTTGTCCGATGGCTGCTACCTCCCATGTCTTGATTCGATGGAGGCAGGTAAGCACTACTCTGACCGGGTGTATCTCGGCAGTAGTAACCCACCTCTTCTGTAGTTTTGAAACACGCGTACCTGGTTGCACAGCGCGCCCAAAGCCTATCAGTTGTCGTGGAGAATCGAACGCTTGAGAGTCCTGTTCGATGGGTTGCCTTGGCAGATGCAGTCCGACAGTGTCTCTGTAAATTCCTGAGTAAGCACCCTCTGACAGTTCGACAGGTGAAGAAGCCACCCAAGGCCTATTAATCTGTTACAAGATAAGGATATTAAATTCTTTGCTGTTGCGGCATATGAATATTTGAGAGTATAAATGCGGCAAGAACTCTTCTCGTCCGTTGACTTGACATGGCTCTCCACCATGCGCCTTTTGACGACAGCTCTAGTGCCCCGTGTTCATCTTCTGTGATAGCATTTTCTCTAAATCATGTCTTCACCATCCGACCAGACACTACTCGTCACGGGCGCGAACGGATACGTAGCCGGTCACATCATTAAGGAAGCCCTTGAAAGAGGCTACAAGGTGAAAGGCGCCGTCCGAACGGACTCGTCAGCGGCGCAATTGAAGGCAACGTTTCCAACGTATTCCTCACAGCTCTCTACCACAATTGTCCAAGATATCACCAAGCTCGAGAGCTTCCAGGACGCCTTTGGTCAAGACGTCACTGGAGTCATCCATACAGCTTCACCCTTTGTCTTCGATTACCAGGACGTGCGACGCGAGCTCCTCGACCCAGCCATTAACGGCGCCGTGACGATCCTCGAGGCGGTCGCGCGGTATGGGAGCTCCGTGCGGCGGGTCGTCACCACCGCCTCGTTCGCGTCCAACCTGGACATGCTCGCAGGCAAGCGCCCCAACTACACGTACACTGAGCTTGACTGGAACCCCATGACGTACGATGAGGCCACGACCGCCCAGCCAGCAGCCGCGTACTGCGCGTCCAAGGGCCTGGCGGAGAAGAGCCAGTGGGAGTGGATGAAAGCCAACAAGCCCGCCTTCGACCTCGTAGCCCTATGCCCGGCCTGGATCTTTGGACCGCACGTCGCGCCGCTCAGGGGGCTCGGCCGACTAAACCAGTCCAGCGCGGCTCTGTGGAAAATGGTGGACCGGGAGGAGATGCCCGAGATGGACTTCATGGGATTTGTTGACGCGCGGGACGTCGCTTTCGCGCACATTGCCGCGTACGAGAAGCCTGAAGCTGGTGGCGAGCGATTCATCCTGGCAACTCATTTCGATTACCAGAGCGTGGCGGATGCGGTGAGGGATAGCATCCCCGAGTTGAAAGATCGGATGCCTGTGGGTAATCGTGGAGCGGGCTGGCAGGAGCTTGAAACTGGCGCCGTGTATGCCATTGATAGTGGAAAGGCACAAAAGGTCCTCGGGATCAAGTACACCCCACTGAGTACCTGCATGAAGGACTCGTTTCTGGAATTGATGGAGGCCGAAAAGATGGCTGCCTGAGATGATTGGTCGTGTTCTGGGAATTTCATGGCTGTTTTCTGAACAGCGAGATGGATGCTTCAGTACGTTTTTATTGGGGCTGTGAAAATGTAATTCTTGTCTTTGACCTGAGCCAGCATACATGGGCATCAGCTGGAGGGAATATATGCTACAGTAGACGCACCATTTCAAAACTGAGAATGCATGAAGCTGTTCATTAGCGGTTCATTAGTAAAGCTAAAATTATTTTCTTGAACAGCTATATCAACTCATTAAAATACTGTTCATGCTATCTTTACACAACTGCCTCAAACCATATACTCTTAGCTCACCCTTCTTGACACCTGATTACTGTGACAGTAATAGCAGGTAATCGAAATTCACTATGAGCAAGATGATGAGGATTAAGTTTAGTCCGTCATATTAAATTCTCAACCAGCACAACTACGATATTCTCGCACGAAATAAGAGCATTGTTTTAGTTAGATAGATGGTATCATCATTTATTCGAAATTTCTTGGGAGTCATCTTCGTACCTTGTGAGGATTCAAAACTTATATAGTCAAAAGAGAGTAGTTAAGTAGTACAATAGAGACCGCGAATTCACCTCATTGTTAATTTTCATGCCGTATTATAATTCTCCAACCAAAGTAGTAACACATCTGTCTCGAAAAGCTCGAGCCCCAGCCTCAACGCTGCATAATGCGTGGCTAAAACGGTTGCGACCTACAGTCTTTCTAAACTACACTCAATAATCACGGAAGTATTTGATGAAGCATGAAACGACTTACATACTTTGATTTGAGATGGGTTGTGTCTCTAGCTCGGACTTTCTCTGTCTAATTCTTGTGTCCGCCAACAGCCCTGCCTGCAACGCTAGATAAGGCCGAATCCTGAAGGCAGTTAAGACTTAGACTAGCAATATGTTCCTAAAATAATTAAGACATAATGATCTTCCAATATTGCAGTTCTACCAAAAGCTGCTCGTGCATAATGGTGCCTTGGTCCCTGAGACGCGGACTTGCCCAGCTACACTGAACACAACCCGAGAGTGAAAAGAAGAGTGCCTCGCATCCTCTAGACTGGCAGTCTCAAGCTCTATCCAACCATTAGTTGAGTATCACGTAGCTTTCCGATTAGCTTAAAACGAGTTGGCCTTGGACAGCTTCTCAGGATCTCACCGTGAGGTTGCCGTACAACGATCAGTGATCGCGTGCTCCTGGGCAGTTTGAAGCAGAAATGAATGGCAATCAGGATTGATATATATACAGTGCAACTCAGTCTTCAATCTGATGATCTCAAAATCTATCAGTTACAATGTATTCAAAAGTTTCAATTTTCTTACTTCCTCTCAGCCTCGTCTAAGTCAACGCCCATCGCGATCTCTGATTGGTTCATGCCAATGGCGCGACTTGGAGTACGAGGCTGGGCATGTGGCAAGCCTCCCGTACGTCTCACGGACGTCAATCTAAAGCCTTATGAGCTGCAAAATCCGTCAAGCTCGGTACAATGCTTTATTTTGATTGTTTATAATATGGTTTCCGGTAATTCCTTCGAGCGAACATACCTTTTTCGTTTGTATACCTCTTGTTTCCTCCCACGAGGTGAGGGTGTTTCCCATCTCGTCCAAGCATTCTCTTGTCTCTTTAAGAAAAAGGTCCATTTTCTTATTCATTCGAGACATCAAAAGCAGAAACGACTACGCGACCCTGCCTTTGCTTAGCGAGCAGTGCTAGGAATGTTTTGCACCTTAACACGTCAAAATGGTCCCGGCAATGCGTCATCCAGCCATGGCATTCTTCGGCAGTGGCGACTGCTTTCCCAGACAGACTGCCACCCTCTCAAAGCCATCCCCTAGAGTGCGAGTTAGATATTGTGCTCTTTGCCCTCCGTTGAAAAATATTTGGATAGGAGTTGTAACAAAAGCCTTGGCTCGGCTATTGCGATCAGAGGCGCCGAAAACGATGAGCAGCCATACAACACTCGTGGGAGTGGGCTGTGCCGAGCTGCAATGACAAAATGGCCAACAATATCTTTCATTGGATTGCAAAACTTCTCGAACAATGTGACTCATGGCTCCTCTTTCCTTGTCTCGGAGCGACTGACTCCTTCTGCTAGTGCCAATAGCTAGCTCACAGTCACAGGCCATGGGAAACTTAGAACAGACAAGTTTGAATCAACACGGACAATGTTGACCAGATACGAATTCCAAGACATAGCCAAATATCCTGAGTCACGGAATTTGTATCATTTCAGGTTAATAGTGAGCCGCGTCTCCAAATTTGCAGTGGTTCCGGTGTGAGAAAATCCACTGGACGTGGAATTCTGGCGGATCCCCAGCCATAGTCGGTACACGGAGTCTCCAGTCTACTTTGATTAGTCGAACTGTCCCGAATGAAGGCAACAGTGGGGTGTGAGCTGCTCGTCAAGGATAAAATTAGGTTGAATTTGGATGAAGTAGCTAGACTGAGGGTGCAACCTCAGATCTGGAAGTCAGTAGGAGAGATTCCTCCCATTCTCTGTCCCAACAAACGCTCTCAATCGAACCCTAAACCCCCCTATTGGGACCTTTGAGGCCAGTCACCATCGTAACAGCGCATCTCGGGGAATATTGGTGTCACTTCAGCGGCGATATGTATGGATAGAGGAAGCTAAAAGAGAATAACTTGCTATGGGATAGCCTGCAACCTGCTTTGTACTACCTGTCATGGAATAACCCATTGTAACTCTACCTTCTGCACGATAACCTACCATGGGATAACTTGCCATGAGTTGCACTACCATAGGATAACCTGCCACGAGTAACACGTAACATACTGTATGATAATTTGTGATTTACTGCAGGGTAATCTGCCCTTAAATAATCTGTCATGGAATACTATATGATGTAGCTATGTAATAAGCTGTTATGAGATAATTTGCTCTAGGACCTTCTGTTATGGGACAACCTGTCTCAGAGGACTGTGTGGTGCATCGTTAAACATCTCAGTCTTATGCTATGATTTCAGAACCATGTAGAGCTCCTAACCCGCACGACATCAAGCGAACTGTGGGCCGGACCGCCAGAGCTAGCTACCGAATTGGGCTAGACCCGGTCCCCAGGTCGTTTCTAGGTTCTGGTAGGTCGCAGGGGCGGCCAGCACCGGATTTTTTTTGGGGCCAAGGCAAACAGAGTCATTGTGCACAGGTGAGTCAAATTGGTCAGATCCCACATCGACACTTTCGCGACACTTTATCAGTACGGAGCCGACTGTCTACCAACCACATCCCACAGTCGACGTCCAATACCAACGCGACGTACTCATCACATTAGATACCGCGACAGACTTGAAAGATCATCAGACTTCCAACGTCTCAGCCTAATCACACATTCGAACAGAGACTGTCCTTGATCGATTACCCCGCCAACACAGCATCACCACCATCATGTCGGCAAACGGCGAAATCGATAAATTTGGGAACGATGTCGCCGACTCTGGCGACGAGTCCTCTGGATCTGAGGCTGGCCAGGGTCTCTCGGACCACGAAATCGAGGAAGAGAAGCCTCTCAAGCCTGCCCTGAAGAAGACCGCCCCGGCCCCCGTCGTCGAGCGACCAATCTTGCCCCCTCAGACCGAGCCCAAAGACCTCGACGTGTCCACCCTGACCCCTCTCACACCAGAAATCATTGCCAGGCAAGCAACGATCAACATCGGCACCATCGGTCACGTCGCTCACGGAAAGTCCACCGTCGTTAAGGCCATCTCGGGCGTCCAGACTGTCCGATTCAAGAACGAACTGATCCGTAATATCACCATCAAGCTTGGTTACGCCAACGCCAAGATCTACCAATGTGACAACCAAGCGTGTCCAAGGCCCGGCTGCTTTAGGAGTTACAAGAGCGACAAGGAGGTCGACCCTCCTTGCGAACGGGACGGATGCGGTGGTACATACAGATTGTTGAGACACGTCTCGTGAGTCGCCACGCCACTTAACGCGCGCCGAAGAGGCATCGCAAGGCTAACCAAACCTCCTTACACCCAGCTTCGTCGACTGCCCCGGTCACGATATTCTCATGAGCACCATGTTGTCAGGAGCCGCCGTCATGGACGCCGCGCTGTTGCTCATCGCTGGCAACGAATCCTGCCCTCAGCCCCAGACTTCCGAGCATTTGGCTGCTATCGAGATCATGAAGCTCGATAAGATCATCATCCTCCAGAACAAGGTCGACTTGATGAGGGAAGAGGCCGCTAAGCAACACTACGATTCGATCCTGAAGTTCATCCGAGGCACAGTCGCTGGCAAGTCGCCCGTTATCCCCATCTCCGCCCAACTGAAGTTCAACGTCGATGCCGTCAACGAGGCCATCGTCAACACAATCCCCGTGCCTCCAAGAGACTTCAGCATGGACCCTCAGATGATTGTTATTCGGTCGTTTGACGTAAACAAGCCCGGTGCCGAGATCGAAGAGCTCAAGGGTGGTGTCGCTGGTGGCTCTATCCTGCACGGTGTGCTCAAGCTCGGCGACGAGATTGAGATCCGACCAGGTATCGTCACCCGTGACGACAAGGGAGATCTCAAGTGCACGCCCATCTTCAGCCGGATCGTGTCGCTCAACTCCGAGTCCAACGACCTGAAGTACGCCGTTCCTGGAGGTCTGATCGGTGTCGGAACCCGCATCGACCCTACGCTCTGCCGTGCCGATCGTCTTGTCGGTTTCGTCCTTGGTCTGAAGGGACGCCTGCCTGAGATCTACTCCGAGATCGAGGTCAACTTCTACCTACTGCGTCGCCTTCTCGGTGTCCGCACAGCGGACGGCAAGCAGGCCAAGGTCGAGAAGCTGGCTAAGAACGAGGTCATCATGGTCAACATCGGCTCCACATCAACAGGTGCCAAGGTGGCAGCCATCAAGAAGGACGCCGCGAAGCTGATCCTGACATCTCCGGCCTGCACAAACATTGGAGAGAAGGTTGCTCTGTCCAGGCGTATCGAGAAGCATTGGCGTCTGATTGGTTGGGCCACTATTGCGGCTGGCAACACTCTGCAGCCCAGCACAAACTAGGCGGGTTGGAGTACACGGAGCAGGAATGTGGAAAAATGGCGACTTTTAGTGAGTTTCATGCAGGCGAAGTCCCTGTCAGAGAGGTCCAATGAGTTGGTTGCCTTTCCCTACGGTTTCCGCTGTAGAATCCGTGAAGCAAGCTCTTTTGGGGAGGGCCTCGGTAATCTTTCGCTGCGGTGAAAAGCCGATGAGACAGCGTCGTGGCTAGAGCTACGGATGATGGGACGGTAGCATTGTTGCTCATACGTACTAAGGAAGGGTATCGCTGTAGGGCCCAGTGACAAGGTAGGGTTACCATAGGCAAGCAGGTTAGGAATACAGAAAAGCTCAGTCACACCACGCGTTTGGGTACAGAAAAAGTGTGCGTATTATTAAGTCCTCAACTTCATCAGTAGACCTCTTAGTGTCCCGATGCGTTGTTTTATCTGCCTGGAGTTTTGCGATGCGGAACACCAAACCGCCAGTCAACATTGACGAGGCTCTCGGCATACCATTACAGCCCGCCATGCTCTGCGCTGAGTGCCTTGGCCCACTCGATATCTATAACTGCGTCTCATCGTCTTGCCCTTACTTTCTCGTCTTACGGGCGTGCTTCACTAGGTTCTCAATGACCCCCTCGAACGCCTCTCTCTCCCCAATCTGCTCGTCCGTCCTCTGCTGCCAGTAGTTCAGGACCGTCTTGGCCGTGCCGTCTAGGCCCTCGAGCCTCTTGATGTGCTCCTTCAGCTCGGCGTCCGTCATCCCGTCCAGGGCCTCATCGGTAGTCGCGCACAGCTGCTTCGCGGCCACCAGGTCGAACTCTGGCGGCGGCGCCTTGCGTTTCGTCCCGGTGCGCGCCCCTCCTCCCCCTCCGCCACCGGTCCCGCCCCCAGAATCTGATGGGCTGCCGCTGCCGCCCTCCTGGCCTGGCTGTGGGGTCTTGAGACGTGATGGGCCCTTCGATCCTGATCTGCGGGAGTCATTGGACGTTCTGGGTGAGTGGACGGATGGCAAGACTAGTTTCTTCTGTTTTGATGCGGGCAGGATCTCATCTAGGTCGACAGGTACACCGAGCGAGACGAGAAAGAGTCGCCTGATGCGTGAGCGAATCCAGTCTGGCGGTTGCAGCGGTGGTGGGGCGACTAATTGGGACCAGAGGGACGCGGATCGGGGAGTGAGAAATATTGGGTTGTCTTTTGATGGTGGGGTTATGGTGATGCCCTCATCTTCAGCTGTTGTGGGGAAGAGAGCGTTGAGGTAGGGTTCTGTGGTGCTGAGGATATCGTCTGTGTCCATCCCGTCGAAGTCCGGTATAGGCTGCCAAGAGTAATCAGCAAGGGAACCCAGGAATGAAACAGAATATGTCAAGAGGCCACACACAAATGATAGGGGTTGTACAGCCGGTACCGACGATGGAGCTGGTGCTGGAGGGGCACCGGGCGTTTCAGGCTCTTGGAAGCCATCGTCAAAATCGCCGAAATCCGCGTCGTCATCACCGTCTTCGAAGTCGTCAAAGTCATCTCCGAAGCCATCATCATCAGCACCTTCGTGATTGGCAACAGAGGACTTTCGTCTGGAGCGGACAGATTGTGGCGAGGACAAGGCTGGTGATATTGGTTCTTCATCTACAAAAGAAATACTCAGCACTTTTGAGCTTTTGAGAGGAGGATCAACTACACTTTCGTACCAGTTCCCTCTTCCCCGTCCGTCGACCCATCAGGCTTGAGAACAAGATCTGCCGGCGTGTCCGCCGTGTACTTCTTCTCTGGGTGGGACTGCTCCTCTGAATTGCCGACGCTCTCCTCAACCACGGTCTTGGGGATGGGATGGCCGCCAGGAGTGGGTGATCTGAGCTCTTCCTCCTCTTGACCCGTCTTCTGCTCCTCAGTGACCACCGCTATCTCGTCCGGCTCAGCATCCTCCTGCCGCATTTTGTACGCCTCCGTCCCGGGGACTTCGCCATAGGAAGGCTCATTGCTGGTCTTCTCCACTCGAAGCTTGGGAACAGGGGAAGCACTTGGGCTCTGAGGGGCGGACTGAGCGTCGGAGAAGTGGTCCTCGGAATCAGAATCTAGTCACAGAACACGTTAGCACTGGATCCCGCTATACACAGACAGCTAAGGAGACACGTAGGAAAGAAGAAGTACCTAATTCATGCGCTCCTGGATCCTTGGTGCCACTCCTCTCAGGAGGAGAAAGGCTGTCCCGCCTGCCAGACATGATCGGATCCTCTAAAACAGGTAAGGCTGAAAGAAAAGGCGCCCGAGATGGCTCAGGCGATGGAGAGAAGCGTGCTGGCCGAAAGCACGTGCAAAGGAGCGATTTGTCTGGCAGTGGTTGAGGGGACAGAGGGAGGGGACAGTTGTATCCTTCAGTCTCAATGTCCGGGGTAGTCAGTCATATAAGGAGACCGGGCTGGGGTTGGAGATGCTCAAGATTGTTCAGAACGTTCCAGGCTGGAAGGGATTCTGCATGAAGTAGGGTAGAGGCCCGCGACAGGTAATAAGGGTAGCTATCAACAGGAGACGATCGACGAATCCAGCCTCGATCCTGACGTCTCACAAGGAGTCTGGACCTAATAGACCCTCGATGACAGCAGATTGAGGGTGGGGTACTGCCCGGCACGTCGCAAGGTTACTGGCAGGAGCTGCACGGCTGCACAGCCAGGCCTGCCCAGGAGGGACCTTCTTGGCCAGCTGCGTCCAAGCAAGACGGACCGTTTTACCATGAGCGGCCTAATTTTCAACCACCATCTGCCTGCTTGCCTGCCAGCCAGTAACTCACCACCCATCAGAAACGCGACTCCAACCTTCCTTTGACCTGTGACAAGGTGACTTCTGTTTACTGGCATCCATGTATTTGCTCAAGCTGGACATTGAATATGCCACAAGAAAACACCGAGTAGACTACTTTTTGGGTCTTTCTGCTAGGACACCCTGTTTCATTTCAGGACAGGCTTCTGTGGAATATTCTGCTCCAGAACAGAACAGTCTCGAACGTCTAGATGTAGAGGGGTAAACGCCTGTACCCAATACTTTGAACTCAGGTCTACCAGGTTTCTTGAATCCATTACTACGCAAACTTGGGTGGGGACACGCGGAAAGATCTCAGGCCCCTGTGAGCTGCGCTGTGCTTTGGCTGTGGTTTAGGGACAACATCCCTGTTCCAAATTTTTGGTCCAAGGTTTGGCGGCCGGCAGACACTGAGCAGCACTGGGAGCTCAGTCGGCGCGCTACGATTTGAGAGCTGTCGCGACAACATCAACCAACCTTGACTCTCCAATCAACGCCCAACATAGTCACTTCACGTCCAAGACCGCAGGGCCTGAGGCACGCCTTCACTGGAGTGCGCCATTCTTGTCCAAACCCAAGCCATTCAAGTGAGGCAGGACATTTGCCCTACAGATCTCTTTTGATGTCCAGGCGCCTGCTGACTTCTTTCCGCCAGTCGATCAACCTTGGGGTCCCCAACCTGTGTTGATACTTGGACATTTCAGCACCGTCGCGACTTCGATTTCCTCCTCTCACGACCCCTCTAGATCCATTGATCATATTGGCCGAAATCATAGCCAAGGTTCTGACGGACAACCCCATCCAAAATGTCCTTCTCATTCGGAAAGCCGTCGACCTCGGGGGCACCCTCCTCATCAACACCCGCAACCTCGCTTTTTGGTAATCAGTCCTCAACCCCCTCGAGCGGTTTCTCCTTCGGCAGCGCACAGAAAGATAGTGCTGGAGCTGCAGCGCAACCTGCTGCGGCCGGCGGCGGCCTCTTTGGAGGTAGCAATGCTTCGAAGCCTGCGACCTCGTCGTTGTTCGGCGCCGGTGCGACGACCAACACATCCTCGTCTACTCCTTCGCTGTTCGGTGGTGCTGCATCGACGGGCACGCCCCCAGCAAGCGGCGGGGGTCTCTTTGGTGGGATGAGCAAGCCCGCTACGTCTTCGTCCAACCTGTTTGGAGGAGGCTCAAGCACCCCGGCAGCTGGAGGCAGCACACCAGCAGCCGGAGGCAGCTCGACGACGGGAGCAAGTCTCTTTGGTGGTGCGAATACTGGAACCAGCTTGACTCCATCTACAAGTGCTGGCACGAGCAACTCTTTGTTTTCAAGCAGCACTCCAGCTGGACAGGCGACTCCAACAAAGCCACTGTTTGGCGGCCTGGGGTCCACCACTCCAGCAGGAGCACCTCCCTCCGACTCGGCCAAGCCAACGCCGAGTCTCTTCAGCCAGTCAGCAGGTGGCCAAACGTCTCAATCTCCGAGCCTCTTCGGTGGAGGAGCGGCAGCAGCATCAAAACCCAGCTCCAACCTCTTCGGCGGTGGATCTACTTCTACGCCCACTTCTCAACCTGCCGCAAGCGGTTCCGGGACCCCCAGCCTTTTCGGCGCAAAACCTGCTTCCACTGGGTCGACCGAGAAGGCCAGCCCGTTCGCCGCTGCCCCTACCGGCGGCGCCTCGTCCACTCCGTCCCTTTTTGGTGGCGGCGCTTCTGCATCCAAACCAGCTGAGAGCGGCGGCGGCGGCGGTAACGGCCTCTTTGGCGCGAAACCTGCCTCAACAACAGCGCCAGCGAGCACCGCCGCAACGACGACGGCTGCCTCAACGCCGTCTCTCTTCCCTAGCCTTGGTGGCTCTACTACAGCTAGTTCGACAGCACCCTCTAAACCCTCGTTGTTCTCTGCATCCGCTTCGACCCCTACGACAACAACAGCTGCAGCCGCCTCGGCTCCAGCGGCAACCCCGTCTTTGTTCTCGGCCACCACTACATCCGCACCCGCACCCGCCACAACATCCACCGCGGCGGCCCCAGCTCCCAGCGCGAACACTCTTTTCGGCGGAAAGCCAGCTGCCACCACGGCCGGCACATCTGGAAGCACAGCTGCGCCAGCAACCGCCACTGCTAGCACAGAGAAGACCGCTACCCCAGGTGCGGCTCAGAACAACATGTCTGCATCAACCATGGGCCCTCCCTCACAACTGCCCCGACTGAAGAACAAGACTATGGACGAGATCATAACGCGGTGGGCCACAGATCTCCAGAAGTATCAGAAGGAGTTCAAAGACCAAGCGACCAAGGTTGCAGCCTGGGACCGTCTCTTGGTTGAAAACGGCGAGAAGATCCAGAAGCTCTACCTGCAGACCCACGAGGCAGAGAAGGCTAGCAATGAGATTGACCGACAGCTGCAGTCTGTCGAGAGCCACCAAGCGGAACTGGAGTCTTTCCTCGACCGGTATGAGAAGGAGGTCGACGACATGTACTCTAAGCAGATCGGTGGCAACGAGCAGCTTGCTGGACCTGATCAGGAGCGTGAGCGGACTTACAAGCTTGCCGAGAACCTGACAGATCGGTTGGACGAGATGGGTAAGGACCTGGGTAAGATGATCACCGAGATCAACGACATCTCAGGGTCGCTCAGCAAGGGCAACAAGCCTGATGACCCAGTAAGTCAACCACCCAACCCGAGAAATTTCCTCTCCGTTTAGGAACCTCTTACTAATCACACGTGGTTTATAGCTCAGTCAAATCGTCCGTGTCCTCAACGGCCACCTTCAACAGCTACAGTGGATCGATACCAACGCATCTGCCCTGCAGGCTAAGGTGAACGCCGCGCAGAAGGCCAGCAACAATATGGGCAGCAAATTTGGCAACCCAGACAGTGATGCCGCGGAGAGCTTTTACCGATCTTACATGGGTCGGAGGTGAGCAACAGCGGCAGTTGAGATTTTGTCGACCTCGAACCCAGCCATGGAAGGAAGCTTTAGATCAAATGGTGGGCATCGGTCGTGTTTGAGGCTGTCCGATTACTCTAGAGCCTTTGTATTCATATTACCACCGAGGTGGATGGACTACTGGAAAAGAAACACGAGGTATATGGGCACATGCACATAGCTGTTTTCCCCAACGTCTCTCTCGAGACAGAGCATAGCAGGGGAGATAATATGATGACGCAAATGCATGTGTTAATGTACAGTACTCCGATTTCCGAAGAAAGTAGTGGTCGCCTGATGGCCTTGAAAAGGGTGATCATCGGTATTTGGACCCGTCAAATGTCATACAGCATCGTCAGCATCATTCTGCGATCCGCCATGACTGCCTGCCATGCTATTCGGTTCGATCGTCCACTAATCTGCATCATTCTCTCGGGCTTGCCCACAAGGCTTTTGACTATCTCTACCTGGTCTCGCTACGGAGGAAGCCTAGACTGCTTTAGTTGTGCTCGCCGCCCTGCTCCTTGGTGATCTCGTCACTGTGAGTAGAGGATGCAATTAGCATCACATGTCTCCCTGACGCCGGAGGGGCAGACCGGGCCCGGCAGGGTGTGGCCGTTGCTGGGGTTGCAGTTGGCGGTGGTGTTGACGTACATGTGGTCGGAGAGCTGCTTCAGGTGAGCCTGCTGCTCGGCCAGCTTCTTCTTGAGCTCGAGGAGCTTTTCCTTCTCGCGCTGGCGGATGGCGTAGTCCTCGTTGGCCTTCTCACGCTTCTGGAAGGCGTCGCTAAACACCGCCAGCAAGGTTCACTGTTAGCCGTCTTGTCCTGCGTGCCAGCCTATATAAGCCCGTACAACTATCCATGCGGTGCAAAGGGTGTCGTCCGTTGGACGCGTGATATGTGGTCTGATCGTGGACCCTGCGACCCCCGCTGTTTATGCTCGGTCTCACCGGCGACGGACCAGCGGCCCTGTCCCACTCGGCCCCGGACCCCGAGGCCCACGGTACGGGAGGAGGAGGGGAGCTTCCGGTCGCCCGGTACTGGTGCTGGTGTGTGAGGATTGGGAAGTGCATGGTGGTGATCAACTTACGCCTGGCCCAGGCCCTTGGGGGGAGCTCCCGTGTCGCCGGCGGCCATGACTCGGGTGGAGACGGAGAAGGCTCTGGTGTTGGCAGGCCGGGTGAGCTTGGTGATGGATTGGCGAAGCATCTTGACAGTGTCGATAGGTGCAGACGAGGGGTGTCTAGAGCTTGAGGATTAGCGGGGAGAGAAGGGTGACGTTTGTCCAGAGGAACTCACGGAGCTTCAATTGGCACCTGACTGTGCTTGGGAGGGTGTGACGGTGACGACGGGGTGTGGTGCAGTGTGGGCGTCAACCGGGAAGAGAGCTCCTAGTTGGAGAGAGCTGGCGGACGGGCCAATGACGGAATATGTCGGTTGCCTGAAGCCTGAGGCACGAAGTGAAGAGAGGGTGGACGCGGGTTTGGGTGGTGGGGCCCGTTCCAAGGTTCGACAGCAGCAAGGGTTTCGGGGAAAGCCAGATGTCGCATCGATCTGCCTTTGTCCCGAGAGTGGCCGACCAATGAGACTACTTGTGCATGGGGCTGACTTTGTAGGGCAGCTGGATCATCGGAAGGACAGGAGTGGGCTCTAGGCAATTCTTTGTTTTTCTTCTTTTGCTGGTGGTGGAGGCATCTTGCTACAGCATGGGGTAATTTAGGTTGCCTCCAGGCCTCAAGCCTTGTAGCTGGCCTGAGTCCATGAGTCCATGGTGGGAGGACTGTCCTGGCGTTGGGCAGAAGAAGCGCCGCTGCCCAGAGCACTCTGGCTGCAACAAACCTCCAACTCCACTGTGAAATTGGAGAACTAGGATCACTGAATATCAAAACATCTGAATTTAGATGTTCACATGTCACCAAGTATTCTGTCACTATTCACCAAGTACAACAAGGTGGAATCTGTTTGAGATGGGCGCCTCGGAATACCTAGGTACCTAGGTACCTGACCACGAGGTGGCTCCAGGAACTGAAAGGGGCCCCTAGTCAAACAAAAGCCTTGTTTTGTTACAAGGCAGGCGCTACCAGAATAAACAGAAAGACCAACCTGACCCAGGGACGCCAGGGCAGTCACCTGGGACAGCAAGGAGGCCTGGGGAGGGCAGTCGCATAAACTCTGAGCACTGTAAGACGTCTCATGCATCCACGTCCAAAAGCCCTGGGATCCCATAGCAGGCAGTCACGCCATGCTAATGGCCACAGTAGACCAGAAGGAGAAAGGGGTGTAGAAGGTGAAAACGCGTGATAGAAAACTACAAATAGAGCCTGGGCTGGCATACGCCCACTGGATAATGACGTTGTATCACTGCACCTGTGAAAAGCGACAGTGGCAGTGCATCCCAATAGGCCCCCGGAAAACCAATAGGGCGAAAAGCAAAAGAGGTGCGCTTTCAATTTCCTGTCAGGCTGGCAGCTGGACGGAAATATACGAGAGGGTGAGATAGAGCTAGAGAGATACGCGAGTACTGGATACCCGCAGAGATAGTCTACAGACACAGGGAGAGACAACATCGTACAGTACAGTACAGAGCAGACAGACTCACGTGCCTCACCAAGGGATCAGTCCAAGGAGGCGTGGCTTGCGGCTTCCCCTTACACCCTCATCAGACACGTTACTGTGCCTAGATAGATTAGGTACCTACCTGGATTCCGACGTATGCAGGCTTGCAGCAGGTACGTACATGTGTAGACATATAGCAGCCGACAGGCTTGCCTTGCTTGGCTTGGCCCTCCCTCCCAGGTGTCAAGTGCCAGTCAGTCAATCAGTCAGTGCCTGGCCTTGCCGTGAGTGAATGGGACCAGAGGCAGAGAGAATGGGAGGGTGCGGGTGCGGGAATGAGTGGTGGCCCTTGCTCGCTGGCGCCGCTGGACTGGGCTGGGCTGGGGCTGCCGCATTGCATGATAGGACCCCCCAATTTTCCATCCTACAACCTGTCTACCTGCAACCTCCCCCATCAACGACCTCAACCATTCCGCTTCCCACTTACTTTCCTCTCCCTCCCATCTTGCGATAAACCACAATCCTTCACTCGTGATTTCTTCACCAGTAAACAAAGTCGAAAAACCAAACCACATCCCATTTCCGTTCCTTTGCAATCAGGTCAGTCTCCCTCAACCCACCCCCAAGTGTCATACACAACCCCCTTTCCCAAAACAAACAGTCCCCGCCCCCGACAGCATCAACCTGGGCTGGTCGCGAGATGGCTGTCGCCTTGCATCATTGTCGTCATTGCGACTCTGTGCCTCTGCCCTTGCCCTGCCCCGATATGCCCTCCATACACTGCACCTCTTGCCCCACGGCGCACCCATCTCCAGAGTTCCCAGTCGCACGAGGCCGGGAGCGCATCTGCGCTGCTCAGCCCGACGGCGGCTCCTGGGGTCGCCGGCCTGGCCTACACGCGCAACCCCACCGCTGAGCGGGGAGCCTCCTTTTTAGTCATGAAGTCAACCACGCGCAACAGCGCTTCGACCCCCAGCTCTCTAATAACGTGCCCACGTTGCTACTCATCTGCTTCCATCACTATCATCCCATCTTTTGGCAGTCACATCAACCTTATCAGCCTCACTTTGCCCTTGCGATCGCTCCTGAAGCCTTTTTTGCCTCCCAAGCCCGAATTCCGACTTTCAGCTGACAATAAACCCCGACTTAGAGATTCAACTCCGACAAAATGGGTCACGAGGATGCTGTCTACCTGGCCAAGCTCGCCGAGCAGGCTGAGCGCTATGAGGGTATGTATCGCGTTCGATACGGTCTGGCGCCCGGTGGGCCGTGCTGACTTTGGCCGCAGAGATGGTCGAGAACATGAAGATCGTTGCCTCCGAGGACCGTGATCTGACCGTCGAGGAGCGAAACCTGCTCTCCGTCGCCTACAAGAACGTCATCGGCGCCCGCCGTGCCTCGTGGAGAATCGTCACGTCTATTGAGCAGAAGGAGGAGTCCAAGGGCAACAGCACCCAGGTGACGCTGATCAAGGAGTACCGTCAGAAGATCGAGGCCGAGCTCGCCAAGATCTGCGAGGATATTCTGGAGGTCCTGGATCAGCACCTGATCCCCTCCGCTAAGACCGGAGAGTCCAAGGTCTTCTACCACAAGATGTAAGGATTTCGCGCACTCGGGGGACCCGACCGCTTCGATACTGATAACCCTCAACAGGAAGGGCGACTACCACCGCTACCTCGCCGAGTTCGCCATCGGTGACAAGCGCAAGGACTCTGCCGACAAGTCCCTGGAGGCCTACAAGGCTGCTACCGAGGTCGCTCAGACTGAGCTGCCCCCCACACACCCCATCCGCCTGGGTCTTGCCCTGAACTTCTCCGTCTTCTACTACGAGATCTTGAACGCTCCCGACCAGGCCTGCCACCTGGCCAAGCAGGCCTTCGATGACGCCATTGCTGGTAAGCTCACAATCCAAACTAGGCTGGAATCGCGTGACAACACCTCGATACTGATCACACACACCACAGAGCTCGACACGCTGTCTGAGGAGAGCTACAAGGACTCTACCCTCATCATGCAGCTGCTCCGCGACAACCTGGTAGGTCTTTCTGCTGGTCATGTACTAAAGCCGCAGCTAACGTTGTTCTAGACGCTCTGGACCTCGTCCGATGCTGAGGCCGCCCCTGCCGCGTCGAATGCTCCCGCCGAGGCTCCTGCGGCCGCGGCCGAGGAGAAGCCCGCAGAGCCTGCCCCCGAGGAGCCTAAGGCTGCCGAGTAAGGGCAAGGTATCGCGCGTTTTCCCTCTATCGTCGTGACCGGATTGGTTTACAATGCTTGATCCCCCCTGGAGGAAATCGGTGTCATTGGAGTGCGGTTTCGGAGAAATCAAAGAAATGCGGCATGGTTTACTCGACGCAAATACACAAAGACGGACGATTTTGAAGTCATCCACCACGGGGCTAAGAAGCATTTTGGAGTTCTCTCTCTTCAAATCGCTCTTATTTAGACTCTAATGACGGAAGGACCGCGATCGTCTGGACAATAAAGCTGACTTGACTTTACTCTGACTTTTTTTACACTGCTGGTTTTTAATGGCCTGTCTCATTCAACGCTCAGACTTACATAGTCTAGGTAGTTTACGGAATGAGTACCTTCTGCCCAACTCATAATACGTGAACCTGTGCTGTGCCGATTCGTACCTGATCTGGAACAATCATCTCATATGAGATGGGATGGCTGGTTCGACGGGCAAACGCGCTTGCGCGTCGCGATATTCCTGCGTCAAGCAGCAGGTGACTGCCCGTAGAGAGCATTTTGATGTGCGCCGCCTTTATCTCCACATCATAAGCAGCCCACTAGCGGAGAGGGTTGCTGGATTAAACGCGTCCTATGTGACGCCCACCTTCAGCCTGGCTGCCCCGTTGACTGCGCCGCGTGCCCCAATGGACCCCCACGTGAGATCTCATCCTTGCTGCTCACACCATCACTCTCGATGACACCACCACCACTTCCTCCCCCTCCTCCTCCGACACCATCATCAACGTCGTCTTCGACAACAGCAAAGCAGACCCTCAGCCACAGGCTGCAGTCCTGGCATCCCACGATCAGCTCGCCCAGGTCCCCAGCCTCCTCCAGGTCGTCCTCGCCGAACGCGAAGCCCTCCTCGTTGCCGCACCTGCAGCTGCGGTGCCACCGCGTCGTCGCGCCAGCCTCGGAGTAGTCCAGGTCGTCGAGGTCGATCGTCTCGATCCCCGTCTGGAAGGTGGTGCTGCCCCCGGCGGCGCTGTTGTCGCCGGGTGCTGCTGTGGGGTTGCGGGTGAGGGCGAGCTGGCGGTTGTAGGCGGCGCGCTCTGCGGGGCATGAGAGCGTCGTGTATGCTAGGGCTATTTGGTCCACGGTGGGAGGTGTGGTGGTTGTTGCTGCTGTTGCTGCTGCTGCTGCTGCTGTTGTCCGGTGGGGCGTGTTTGTCTTATCTGGGTGGTGGCGGAGGAGTGCACGGTGGTAGGCTTGTTTTATGATCTTGGGGATTTGTTCCTTGTTTGTATCCTCTATTAGGCTCTTTGGTATGGCCAGGACCTCGTAGTGAGTTGGTTCTGTCATTGTGGGCAGTGATGTCTGTGATGGTCACTCATGTCGGTTGAGAAGATGATCTCATTGGCACTTCCGGATGAAGATTTTCTCTGGTTGAGTTATTCGAGTCACGTGCTATCTTCTTAGATTGGGTTCATTGGAGACCAAATGCATGTACACACATTCAACATCTTGTGAAGAAGATTTTGGTGCATAACAGTTTTGTTCCGTAGGATGAGTTGAGGCGCGAAGCCCTTTTGATCAATGAAGCAATCCTCTGTGTCAGGGGTTGATGCAGCAGCTTGGCAATATTTGGAGAGCTTTGGTCACATCTGGGCCGGAGACAGTCAAACATTCAGACACTGCGTGTTGTTCGATATTGTTGACATTCTTGATAGCGCAATATCGCTTTGTTGAAATTCATTTCTGGTACATTTTTGTACATTGTGAAGAGCAATCCCATCACGACCATGCTCTCTATTTGGGCCATCTGGTCCAGTTCTTCCGCCCAACCTGCGAGGTACATTAGCAACAGTACAAACTGGGTCATGCAGTGCCGGGAGACGTACCGCTTTCCAATCCCTGATGAGCGCCGGCATCTTGAGCATGGCTTCTCTCCTCTTCTCCATCCTGGTGTAGCATGGTTAGCCCGGGTCCTGCCTAAAGTAGCTGCGAACGACAGCCAGATCTCCAGTACGCACTTGGTAGCCAATTGTCTTTCGTGGATCTTGCCCTTGACCTTCTGGTCCACGCCCGTGCCCTTCACCCTCAAGCCATATTTGACCCGGAACTTCAGCTGCTCCTCCGTCTTCTTGGCCGTGAAGGGCAGCAGCTCCTCGACACCATTTTCACGAGCCAGCTTCACCAGATCCGCCTGCCTCCTGAGCGAGTATACTGGGTTGTGAACCTTGCCTGTGGGGTGGAACTTCTTGGGTTGGAATGGATTCCGCCGTTCTTGTTGGTAGGCAGTCTTGGGGAATTCACCCTCCGCAAGCGGGTTGAGGATCTGGGTTGGTGGGTATCGTGCGAAGAACCGCTGGAGCTTGGGAGGTAACGTCTTCGCCAGGCTGACGTACTGTGATACGCTGGTGGTCGCCATGTTGTGATGTCTCGGCCGACCTCCTCCTCCCGAGATGCGGACGTTGTGATGGCTTGGGAATTGAGTACGTAGGCCAGGTGCGATCTCGAATAGCCAGCCGCGCAGGTGAGGACCGAATGAACTTCAAAATTCGGCCCTGCGGTACGGCCTGGGCGGCAGGCAAGGCGATCCGATACCAGCTCGCAGGCGCGCATGCATGCATGCACTAGAGATTTCCGGCATGGTTGCCCCGGTGGTCCGTGCACGACGGCTCCTCCCACGTCGCTTCTCACGGCTTCTGAACTCCCCTGGAGCTATGTCAATAAAGGTGGACCTTGCCGATACCGATAAGCCTTACATAATCGGCGTCCCTCGTCCACGGGTTCCTAAATAGGTTGCCTTCTTTCTTCCGTTAGACCACCCTACATTGTATTTCACACTCTCCTGAGTTGGAACAAGTCTTTTTCCCTTGATAGACAGTGTGCCGTGACACGGTTTTTGTCTTTATAGGAACGCGCACTGCAAGGCGCCGCAAGAGACACCACAGACCAAAGACTCGCCGCCTAGATCCTCCTGAGACAGCCAAAACGAACCTCGAAGACACCTCCAGAATGGACGGCACAAAGAAGAAGGCCCCCCTCGATCTGGAGGAGCTGATCAGGAAGAAGAAGGAAGCTGATGCGGCAGCGAAGAAACCTCGATTCATACCGAAAGCGCAGAGGCTGGCGCTCCAGGCCAAGAAAGCCGAGGAAGAGAAATTGCAAGAGGCAGAAAAGGAGCGAGAGCGAAAACAGTCCAGTGAGCGATCAAGAAGAGAATTTCTGGCCCTGAGCGACCCAAGATACCAGAAGAACTCCTCAGCCATTCCTACCGGCCCCAAGGCGATGCGCCACAATGGGACCAGCAACGGGCACGTGAATGGTGACAGAAAGAAAGATGCAGAATCGGACAAGGTCAGCAAGGGTAAGCGGACCTGGGAGGATGACGAAGAGACGCTCCGTAGGGAGCGATATATGGGGCCTCAGGTGAATGAAAGTACCTTCTCCGCCAACAAGAAACGAAAGAGGACGGGCAACAAGTTCAACTTTGAGTGGGATGCCTCAGAAGATACCAGCAAAGAATACGATCCTATTTATGCCCAGAAAGCATCCTCGTTCATCGGGTCTGGTCGGCTGGCTGGTTTCGGGGACGAGGTGGCAGAAGAAAACGCGAGGAACTTTGCTGCCAAGTTGGCGCAAAGGGATCCTCAACGGGCAAAAGAGTACCTCGAGCAGTTCGAGGCGGCCAAAAAGAAGTCGGCGGCTCGAAACACGCTTGGAAAGCACTGGTCTGAAAAGGATCTCACGGAAATGCGCGAGCGAGACTGGCGTATTTTCAAAGAAGACTTTGGCATTGCTACCAAAGGCGGAGCGATTCCGAATCCAATGCGGAATTGGGGCGAGTCGGGCCTGCCAAAAGACCTCCTGGATGTGATCAAGCAAGTGGGCTATGATGATCCCTCGCCTATCCAAAGAGCTGCGATCCCCATAGCTCTACAGGCGCGTGACCTGATCGGAGTAGCTGTGACAGGTTCAGGAAAGACTGCAGCTTTCCTCCTGCCCTTACTGGTCTACATCCGCAGCCTTCCGGCCCTCGACGAGTACAACAAGGCCGACGGCCCTTACGCTCTCATCATGGCGCCGACCCGTGAACTGGCGCAGCAGATCGAATCGGAGGCAAAGAAGTTCGCGGAACCTCTAGGCTTCAATACAGTCAGTATTGTTGGTGGACACTCTCTGGAAGAACAGGCCTTTGCTCTGAGGAATGGTGCCGAGATCATCGTCGCAACGCCAGGACGTCTCAAGGATTGTATCGAACGACGTCTCCTGGTACTCTCACAGTGCTGCTACATCGTTATGGATGAAGCAGATCGAATGATCGACCTCGGCTTTGAGGAGGCATTGAACAGGATCCTCGATGCCCTCCCCGTCAGCAACGAGAAGCCGGACACGGAAGAGGCCGAGAATGCTTTGCTCATGAAGCAAAATATCGGCATCAAGGACCTTAAATATAGGCAGACCATGATGTACACCGCCACTATGCCGCCACTCGTCGAGAAAATTGCCAAGCAGTACCTCCGACGACCAGCCATTGTGACCATCGGCAACGTTGGAGAAGCTGTCGACACAGTTGAGCAGCGGGTCGAGCTCATCAATGGAGAGGACAAGCGCAAGAAGCGGTTGGGAGAGCTTCTACATTCAGGCCAGTACGACCCACCCATCATCGTTTTCGTCAACATCAAGCGAAACTGTGACACGGTCGCGCGCGATATCAAGCGACTCGGTCTCAACGCCGTCACGCTGCACGGCAGCAAGACCCAGGAGCAGAGAGAGGCGGCATTGGACTCCTTGCGCAAGGGCGAGTCGAAGATCCTGGTGGCAACGGATCTTGCTGGACGTGGTATCGATGTTCCGGACGTCTCACTGGTCATCAACTTCAACATGGCGCCAAGCATCGAGGCATACACCCATCGTATCGGTCGTACGGGTCGTGCGGGAAAGAGTGGTGTTGCAATCACATTCTTGGGCAGTGAAGACGATGACGTGAAATATGATCTGAAACAGATGATCATGAAGTCCCCGATATCCAAGGTGCCGGATGAGTTGAGGAGGGACCCAGCTGCCCAGCAAAAACCAGTCAGAGGCAGAAAGACGGAAGCGCCTGCTTTTGGCGCAAAGAGCGCTTGGTAGATACCCTCAATCAATGCTAGCCTTTCAGGATACCTTCATTCTTCTCAACTCGCCCATCTTACGTTACTTTATGGGATGATTTCTGTGCAACACTCACATCCCAAGTAAGCCATTTTTCGGTGCAGACCGTCATTGATCAGCCGTACACCCTAAATATATCCCAATTGTTTGCCAGTAACTTCAAACTACGTGAGAATAGACCGAGACCTTGTTCATTCATCCTAGAAACGTTTTACTTGCAATGCTTTTTACATTGGGTGTACCATCACCTATAGATGAGTATCACTATTGAGGCTGAACGTGGCTTTGATGCCCAGGTGATCAGTGATCCAAGCCTTCTCGAAGCCGAGAGCAAGCAGGCGATCTTTCTGCCTCTTCTTCTCCTCTTCAACCTCGACATCGGCACCAAATCTCTCGAAGTTCTGCAACTTGATACCGGCGCCACAGAAATACACCTTGTCCATTCTGGAGTAGCCAAAACGCTTCCGTAATGCCGGCAGCGCCTGCTGGCCCCACGTGAACCCATCTTCACCGCCCTCCTGGCCACCGAGCTCGAGGTAGGCGTCCTTGAGGCCATTATCCGAGTGTAGCGCGGCGTCGAACGGCTGGACGGCGTTGAAGTCGCCCGCGATGACGGCGCCTGCCAGCCCGTCCGCGTGCAGGTGCGGCGCGGCGGTGGCCACCTGCGCGGGCCGCATCGGGGGGTCGAGGGCCAGAGACTCGAGATGCGAGTTGCCCAGCCGCACCGTCTTGGACGTCGCTGGCACCGTGACATCGACGAAGAGTGCGTCACGCTCCATCTGCGTTGCCGAGTAGTGTACCCGGAAACATGGCCCTACCTCCAGGCGGCGGTCAACGAGCATGGTCGTGCCGTACAGGCCAGACGCCCATGCGGAGATGTCCAGGTCTGTGATGTAGAACCTGTCCCGGACCCACTGCTTCTGGCTGATGGTGATGAGGTCGGAGGGGTTGCACTCTTGCAGGTTTATGGCGACGGCTGTGGTGGAGCCCGAGCTTTCCGTGAGTTTCTCCAGGTGGGCTAAAGCTGCATTCATCCGTGCCTCTGCGAACGGCAACATGAAGTCGATATTCCAGCTATACAGAGCTATGGTGGTAATGTCCGAGGATTCCGCCTCATCCTTAGTCGGAGACGTTCCCCGTGTTGGCTTGATGGGCTGCCAGACCTCGCTCTCCAAGTCCCAAGAGTAATAGGGCTGTGGCCATGGCTCGTCGGCCTTCCATGGAATGAGCTCCGATGGCTTCTTCTGGGCTACAGACTGCTGGATGGCTTTCTGAACTAGCTCATCCATGATCACGATCGTTCCCTAGGGTTGTTGTCAAGCAGATGGGGGCCGCAGAAGGAAAGAGAAAAAGAAGTGAACTTCGCACCGGAGGTTTAAGTGTATTTAGAATACAACAGCTGAAGGCGGGGCTGAATGTTTCACGTCATCTAACGTACGATATGTCAGATACTTCACTTGCTGCAGTAATGTTCCTAGGATCGTTGAGAAATTGGGTTTGAAGCGGCTCGGCCGGAGCGGTGTAGTGGATTTATGCGAACTGTACGACCAACTGTTCACCAACCAACTGTGTATTAACCGAATGTTCGCCAACCAACTGTCTCCAGCCAATTGTTTACCCACCAACTATTCACCAATGAACGTTGGGAAAATGCAGATTCAGTAGCCTGGTCTTGATGTTATCCATAAGCTGATGTCTTGCACACCTGTGGGCGGGGAAGCTGAAGTGGTTGTGGGGGGCCAGCGGCGATGACCTCTTGGTATTTGGACAAGAAATCTGTGACTTTTCTGGGAACCTCAACCCAATACATGTCAAAAGAGCCTCCTTCTCGCCTGAAGATAGCACATTACCAAACATGGTGGTATGCCAAAAAAAAAAATAACGTTGACCAGCCAGAGAAGGGGTCTTGTACCTAGGTTGGCGCCTCTGCCCTCCCACTGTTGGTCATAACATATGCCCCCCCCCCTTACCTGGAAAATGGAACGTAATAGGAATTTTGTTTCTGCAATTTTCCAACCATATGTTTACGGCGATGAAGATCCTCACAATGGCGGTTCGGCAAGAGGGTTTGCATACAAAAGTGTACGAACTATCGATTCTGAATAAGACTATATGCAGTCATCACACCTCCAAGTACTACTATAAAGCTCTTCTACCACGCATTCGAGCGATACATCGGTTGATAAGGCGTCAGAAATGCGACGAGTTCGTATGACGGTGACATCCTGACGCCCGTCAAGGCTCACCGGGTCTCACGCAACTGGCGAGGTGGGGGTGTGGTCATACGTACAAGGCAACTCGAGAACCCCATAAAGCTGCGCTTTAATTCGACCAGACTGTGTGTGACAGCAGCGTAACCGAGCTAGGACTCATTGGTTGAAATACGTGGCACGCCGTTGCCGCACATGAAGTGATATGTGGGCAAATTCAATAATATTGAGACTGCATCACGATCAGAACACCCACATGCTAGCCAAGGGCAAATAGGGCTACGGTGGAAATGATCATTGGAGAACTGCTTAGTAGAACGGGGTTGAACACTACCTTGTGTTGAATCTTAGAGCTTTGTCAAGATAAGTGCGACGTATGCACATGCTAGTTAGACTCTTTGCCCGGGTATATTTTTGTACACTTAGTCGAGACTCGATCTGGAGGCTTGAGACCTGAGAGATATCAGGAGAGATGAGTTTTTTTATCAGAAGCTGTAGTGCCGTATCCGTGGAGTTTCGAGCCTCTTAATCTAACATTATGCCTACTCAGAGGCATAAAAGACTTAGTGAGAACTGAGCAACTAATCAATATGTAATATTCTTATATGCCATAAGGAGTACCTAAGTAACCAATTTGAAAGACAAAAAGAATTCCAAGTATTTCCTTCTTGGAGTCACTAAATTGAAGAAGTATTCTAACGAGTGAATGCTGGCCGTTCATACAATATCTAGATCGTCCTGCTCCTCCTCATGGTGAACCGTAAACGAAGCTTTGGCAAGGCAGGCTGGGAATTCCTTTCCAAGTCTCACACGCTGATTAATGCTTTCTATTGTGCTTCCATACGTCTTAACGAGGTCACGGTGTAGCTTTTGACTACGAGAGCGAAGATCAGAGGAGAACCGTTGTAGTAAAGGCAGAAAATCTTATTAGTCCTGTAATATTCCTGATGGGTAAAATAAAACTAAGATCCCAATCCAATGTCTGTGAAATCACAGTACTTATATGAAATCACGGCCCAGTCGTAGTGCTGTTGATACTAGTGGGCCCTTCACTGAAGTCGTTTTGATGTTGAATATAATGAACAATATATTTTTAAGGGAGCAACGGCTAGCAAATGACTGAGTATCAACTAGCGCAGCACTACCTTGGCTCGCTTCCAGCAAGCATTTGCCTTTGTCAACAACAGAATTAAATATGCAGACGGTCTTCTGGTATAGCCAAGCCCTCGAACCACGACGTTGACTTCGCCTGTAAATCAATCAACGTTTTGTCAGTCTTTTTACTTCGTAAAGAAAGCGGATGGCCAGTTGTGGCCCACCGCGTATTGGTTCACAGTGTCGTAGTGATCCCACCACCGCTTGTCCTTAAGGCACAATAGCTTGGGTTGTAATCGGCGGTCATTTGTGAACGTAGCAGGCGTACTGCTAAGGGTTCTGATTGATCTGATTGTACGTGGGAAACAGCAGCTTTATCTATTGACCTTTTGCATTTATTGTGAGCCGGGACGTATGAGGCTCGAGAAGTGTGGCTAGATTTATGTCTGTTTTCTATATCTCAGTGCTCAACGTCTGTACTAGCGTGCCCTTGCAGCGGCAGGCCTTTACAATATACACATAATGTCGAAGTGTGACCGTGACACTAACGTCTGATACGTGTGTGCCATGCGTATGGCTGTTCATGTATCCTGTTGTGTTTGGTGTTTGAGGTCGGTACAGATAGATTTAGTTGACTAGTCACAGTCAGTGATATGATAGTGTCGTAGAAATTGACTTAATCACTTTTAGTATTTTCAGCCATTTTGGCTTTTTGCCCTTTATCGAAATCGACTTTTTGAGGGCATCTTTTATATTACGCTCTTGAGTAGGTCTGGCATACCTGCTTGTCAATTTTTCAAGCCTCAAGCCACAATCACATTGAAAAACAGATACAATGTCGACATCAAACAAAAAGCCGTACTTTCTGACCATGTGTTTAAAGCTACCAGCACTTTTCAGGCGGAAGCCTGCAGGTTATCCTCCGCCGCCCTTACTTCAATTGCCACCAGAATTGATCCTAACGATATGCGACCACCTCGCCACGGACCCTGCATCCCGCTGCAGCCTTGCCATGGCATGCAAGTACCTTTTTGCTGTTCTATCTCGCAACGGGAAGCCACCTCCACTAGAAATGGGAAGTCGAAATTCCTTCCTCTCTCTTCTCGAGCGAGACCTCGGCGAACGATTCTACCTCTGTTGCAGTTGTTCAAAGCTGCGTCGCTTCGACAAATCGTGGGGACCAACACGTCCTGACAGAAGCTGCGCCGCAAAGTCCAACTCTGTTTTTTCCGAAGGAAACTACCGCCTCGGCTACCACCATGTGCGCCTTGTGATGAATTATCACAGATCTGGTGGGACCAAGGGTATCCCTCCCAAGAATCTGAACCAGACGGCGTGGGTCCAAACGTTCGACATATTTAAGCGCAGGCCCGGTGGCCTCTGGTGCCAGACGTGGTCGGCACTGGTCATTAGCAACGAGCTGTTCCTCAGTGTCCAGCACACGCTACAGGCCCGCACCGACAAGCAACTTCGACAGGCACTAGCCACAAGCTCTTATGCAATCTGCCCGCACATAGACATTAATCAGATGCCAGGAAGCCGCCCGTGGGGCCTGCGTCCGGCTCCTCTGGAGGATAGAGACCTCGAGGCATGCTGGGAATTCCCAGGCTCTTGTTCAAGATGCTTGACGGATTACATCCTGACTATCGAGAGACCTCAGGCCTCTGCGGGGCATTCAAAGCGTGGGGGATGTCGCATTTCTATTACCTCGTTCCACCAGCTCGGTGATGGCATGTCACCGGACGACTGGAAGTGGGAGGCATACAGGGGTTCACGTCCTACTAGCGGTCCAGTTCGCGACGTCCAGGAATGTCCAGCAGGTTTGATCATGGAGACATGGAACTCCGGGCATCCGTAATCGAATACTTGCACATCTCTGATCTTCAGCACGCGTTACATTTGATGTGTGACTGCCAAAAGGGTTCGATGAGCTTTGGGAGCATGCGGCATTCCTTCATTCCGGGGATCATGATCTTAGAGGTGTTGCAGCTGGGCCTAGCGGTCTGGCACTGAAGCACATAGATGCCAGTGATTTCTGTCCAAGGTGTCTATTTCTGAAGACCCCAGCACATGTTGTGTCAGAGGCCTTGTTCTTGTGCGATTGGAGGAGGGAAGAAAATAAACATTGTGGCTGAAATTCCTCACCGGGAAATCAGCTTGGCCAAGTCTACAAGGTCCAAAAAGTCGTTTTAGGAGAATAAAAGAGCGTTCCCAGTGTTGTTTACAAATGAATTTCTATTATTAAATCGTTTGTAAAAAATGTCTTAGGCCCCTGGTCCAGGGCGCACGCGATTCTTGGAGCAAACGGGGCCGCTGAGAATCCACTCCGATCGCCCCTGCCCCGCGCAAATTCGCATCTGATAACTCGAGAAATCTTATCAGATCCGAAGAGTTTGCGGCTTGGCACCCGCGCCCGCATCAATCCGAGGCATCATAGGCTCCCTGCTTTGGGCAATGGGCCACCAATTTCGCGCAACCTCCCCTCCGGACGCTACCCGTACTACCTGACTTACTGAACACGAGCCCAATGACTTGAATCTCTGCTCCTCTCCAAGGAAATACGGCACTCTCTGCGCCATGTGCCCCCATGTGCCCCGCCCATTGTCGGTCGAACCTGGAGGCCGATCTTGACGAGCGGTGACTGCGCCTGGCCTGGCCCGCTCCAGGCCTGCATTATTCTTAAAGTTGGTCACCAACCCTTCCCCCCCTTCTCGATTTGCCCTGCTCCCCGTGTCATTCTCTTCCAACACGACCCAACCACTCTCCCTCCCCTCAGTGCGGCCGTTGGTTGCGTGCATATGCGACAGCGTGAGCTGGGTGCGGCCCCCGGCTCGTGAAGGTGTGCTCGCCCTTTTCCTGGCGGCTACCATCAGCGCTCCTCGCCGTCCAACGCCGGCTGCGCAGCTGCGCAGACTTGTGAACCTGACAGTGCCGTTGGTCTGTAAAAGGCGCATTGACTGACCGACTCATCAAGGCCTGTTCAGGCTCCAGACGACTTTTCCCCGCGACTTCCGACGCACCAGCTGCACAGCTTTCTCCCGACACAACAACCAATATGACCTCGACTCAAGTGGCTATTGACACGCCTCGGCCGGCCTCCATTCCCTCGCCCTTGGACGTCAAGACACGAACGGCGGCAATGGAGTCCATCGAGGACATCTTATACGGATCGGTATGCCTTTTCACACACCCCTGACTCAGCGTGCTGCGTGCTAACAACGACCCCTCCAGGTCGCCGGCATTGTTGGCAAATACATCGAGTACCCATTCGACACGGTCAAGGTCCGGCTACAGTCGCAGCCAGACCACCTTCCTCTACGCTACAAGGGTCCTCTGGACTGCTTCCGCCAGTCCATCAAGGCAGATGGCGTTCTCGGGCTGTACCGCGGTATCAGTGCGCCCCTCGTGGGCGCAGCGGCCGAGAACAGCAGCTTGTTCTTCTTTGAACGGATAGGGAGGGAGACCCTGTTCAAGACCGGGTTCTGCCCCCGCGACGAGCCTATGCCCTTGCCGGCGCTGTTTCTCACCGGCGCCTTCTCGGGGATCTTCACATCATTTGTCCTGACGCCCATTGAACTCGTCAAATGCAAAATTCAAGTGCCGGAACATGAGGCCGGTGCGGTCAGAAGGGCGCCTCTCAAACCGCTGAGCGTTGTCAAGGAGATCTTCCGACACGACGGATTCCTCGGTTTCTGGCACGGTCAGATGGGGACGCTTATCCGAGAGGCGGGAGGCTGTGCGGCATGGTTTGGCTCTAAGGAGACCACTTCCAAGTTCTTCATGAACCAGAATTTGAAGAAGGCCAAAACGCAGGCACAGAGAGATGAGATGCTGGCCAACCCCTTGCCATTGTGGCAGCAGGCACTGGCGGGCGCCTCTGCTGGCGTGGCCTACAACTTCCTGTTCTTCCCCGCAGACACGATCAAGTCACGCATGCAGACAAGCCCCACTGACGGGTCGACCTTGAGAAGGTCGTTCTGGGCGGAGGCGGTTGCACTGTGGCAGCAGGCGGGGCTGAGGGGTTGTTATAGAGGGTGCGGCATCACATGCTTACGGTCAGCACCGAGCTCGGCGTTCATTTTCATGGTCTTTGATGGGTTGAAGAAGTACGTGCCGCTTTCATGATGAATTGGATACCCAGACATAAATCACACGGAGAGATAGATGGCACAACTTGTTGGGCAAGGCCCATGCAGTTTTGATATCTTCCCATCAGCGGGGATATGATATAGAGTACAGGAGGACATAAGTAGACGAATGCCGCCTCATAGATGACACCAAGCCGGATCAAAAGGCTTTCAAATTTTTGACATGCTCTTCACACAACACCGTATCCCTTTCAAATGACCAGACTCGTGCGTAGTGGAAATGATCGGTGCGAGACAAGCTCATTGGGCAGATGACAGCAAAAGTGGATATTTCGTGTCTCCAAAAATCTTGGGCACCATGCATTGAAGTTGAATCTCACCCCTCGTGAATGGACAGACGGGTCTCACAACTTAGCAAAATCACTCCTCCTTCTTAAGGTCCTTCTCCTTAAAGCTCCACCCGTTCAGGTATCCAGCCCCAGAGCAGAGGTACGTCGCAAAGCTCAACCAGCCCAGGTACGGCAACATGCAGTAGGCAGCAGTCCTGTCAATGGGCCACCAGAGCTTGGTGAGGTACACGTTCAGCCCGAGGAGGGCGACGATGTCGACGGTGGCCTCGATGGGGCGCTTGAGGCCGAAGAAGAGTGGCATCCAGGCCAGGTTGAGGCCGAGCTGGATGGTGTACAGCGTCGCCGAGTGCTTCGTGTCCTTGATCAGCTGCGGCGTGGACGTCAGGGGGCTCAGGCCGGCGGTGATGGCGCGGTGGGCGGCGTAGCCCATCAGCCCGTACAGGAGCGTCCACGCCGGGCCGAAGACGTAGGGCGGTGGGCGGAAGGGGGGCTGCTTGATCGTCTGGTAGGTCTTTTGGGTTTCCTTTGCTGTGTGGTTGTCAGAGCCGGTTGTCCCTCGGCGAGGGCTAAGCTGAGAGTGCGTGGTGTGTACTCACGGCGAGTGCTGTATCCGACCATTGTCCCGAGGCCGATGGGGAGGAGGATGGAGGCTGCCGGGTTGGCGAAGACGCCGTGGGGGATTGTCAGGGCTGGTATGTAGGTCGTCATGGTTGCGACTGTCGCTGGAGTCGAGTCTGGGGATTCTATTCTTACAGCTGCTGAGTGGCCTTGTTTTATGTACCTTCCAGCATGAATGCTGTGTTTGGAGATGAACAGGCGATGGTGGTGAGACTCGATGGGAAAGCTCAGTATGATCCGGTCGTTTCGGGTATTTATGACGACATGCAATGAAGCATGTGAGCGTCCAGCAGCTCCAAGCCGCAATTGAGCTTGGCTATGGATTCTTTTGCTTCCTTTCAGAGAAAGTTTGACCTACAAAGTTACTCAACTTGAAATGGAGCTCTATAACCCCAGTGAGGATCGCTCAATTCGTAATGTGAGAGGTGGAGAGCAGTCTGGACGGTCCCATGCTCCTCCAGCTGTAGCTGCAGCTCCCATATACAGTAGATGCATATAGTCTAGACTGACTGGACTAAAAGTACCCAGGTACCCAGGTCCCCAGCTGCAGACGCTCGTACCCAGAGCTAGGTGTCTTTGAAGTGGGCTGGGCCATTATGTAAGGCCACGCTAGCCCCAGGGCGGCGGCTCTTGTTGGTCTGGCGGCGTGGCCCGCCGACTCCTCCCTCTCCTCAACCACCAGACCAGACCTACCTACATCCTCGGGGATATCCACTCCTGGGACGAGAGGACGTCAAGCTGCTGTATCTCGCAACAACACAGCGCCTGCATCCCGACTCGCAATTTTGGTCGCGCAGTCGCACTCATACCAATTGTTCGTTTTACCTTTTCCGTTGAGTTTCGGTCCCCCCTCGTGGAATCACTCCCCCCCTTTTCTGCCATGTCCCAAAGACGATAGCTTCGCCTCAGCTCTGCTTCTTGCCCACCCGCCCACCTGTCGCATTTATCATCATTTGCTTGTCTTGTCTTGTCAAGCTCCAAGCCAATATTTTCCACTTCTTGTCCTCTTACCTCATCATCGTTTGCTACGGACGGAATCTGCGTTGCTACTGGTCTTCTTATCCAATCGCTCAGCCCTCTTGCTGTCTTCAAAGCCATCTTCATTCTTCTTTTCAAACTGTCCTGGTCAGAATGTTTTCTCTAACGGCAATCACGTCGCCAAACATTAGGCTTTCTCTTTCCTCTAGTCTCCGGCAATTGCCTGATATAACCTGACCAGTGCCGACGCCAAGCTCCTCTTCCAGACCAACCAATCCCTCTGTCTAAGGCTCTCGCCCGCACCCCTCGAGGAAGTACGACGACTTAAGCACAATGGATTCATACTACAGAGACTCCGCGCGCTCGCCAGGGGACAGGGCCTGGACTCGTGAGGATTCGAGAGGCAAGATGGACAGGGCGGACGACAGCTTCTACCGCGGCAGATCTCCCGGTTCGTTATTTTACCTGGCTCCTCTGTACAAACTGGCATAACTTGCTGCGGATCCATGTAGATCAGCGCACGTTTCAAGAAGAAAAAAACGCCTGCTTCTATCCCTCCCAGGTCGTTGGCTCTTTCGTCGCAATACATGCTTACTATTGGTCTCACAGGTCACGATCGACGTCGGTCCAACCGCTCACGATCGCCTCTACCCGTCGACAGGTATGAGCCTAGGCGAGCCAGGGAAGACTATCCTCCTCGCGACAGAGATGACAGACGCCGCATTACCTCTCCGCCAGCGAACATTGATCGATATGTCCCTGGGCAAGAGGCAACTCCGCCTCAACCTATGACGGCCAACCCCATTCAAGACCCGTTGAAGCTACCTTATCAAGTGGGATTTTCCTACTTTGGCGAATGGTGGAGGCTGAATGAGAAAGTCAAGGAAGAGAAAGAGCGTCAGCGCACTGGTCGCCGTCGGGAGCCCGACCGTGTTCGTGCCAACACCCAGGAGGAGCGCGACAAGGAAAAGGCCAAGATTCAGGCCGCGTATGACTCGTACAAGGAAAGCCTACAGGCAAAGATGGCCAAGACCTTTGTTCAGCAACACAAAGACGAGCAATGGTTCCGTGAGCGCTATGTTCCCGAAATTAGAGATCCCCTGAAGGCTCAACTCACCGAGTTCCGAAAGGGACAGTACACTCAATGGGAACAAGATCTGGAATCCGGCACTTTTGATGAATTCACTTTGGAGGGTATCCCCAAGAGTGAAAGCAACGGCGCCGGTGGTGTCATCGAGAAAGAGGAGGGCGAAGCCACCGCGGCGAACGAAGTTCTTGGTGTCGGTGACTTGGTCCCTGCTAGCAACTCTGACCTCCGAGATGAGAACCTCTTTCAGCCAACCCTTCTCATTAAGACGATCGCTCCTAGTGTGAGCCGTCAGAATTTGGAGGCGTTTTGCAAGGAGCATCTTGGGGAGGAAGAGGGTGGCTTCAAATGGCTTTCACTCAGCGACCCTAACCCGTCCAAGCGGTACCATCGCATCGGTTGGATCATGCTTCACCCGGCTGCGGAGACTGGAACGATCATTGATCGCCCAGACCCCAAAGAAGAAGACGAGGATGGTGACATTAAAGTTAAGAGCCCTGGCGCGACGCTTTCGACGGCTGACAAGGCATTGGAAGCCATCAACAGCAAGACAGTGAAGGATGAGGTCAGAGGTGATTTTGTGTGCCACGTTGGTGTGCATAACCCGCCCGCCAACCCGCGCAAGAAGGCCTTGTGGGACCTTTTTTCATCTCCGGAGCGCATCGACAAGGACCTAACTCTCGTCCACCAACTCGTCAACAAATTTGAGGCGGACTATGGCTCAGATTTCAATGCTGTTCTGAAGGTAGAGGAGAAGGTTGATGAGTTGAGGAATGCAGGACGTCTGCAGCCTCCTGTGACTTCGGCTTCGGTCAAGAAGGAAAAGGTCAAGAAGGAGCGGTCTGTTAACCTCGACGAGGCTATGGACGAAGGGGAGGAACCCGAGCCTGAAGATGAAGAAGATGAAGAAGAGGGCGCTATTGACGATGATGAGGTCGATGATGAGGAGCTCTTGATCAAGAAGAAGCAACTTGACCTTCTCATCGAGTACTTGCGCCGCGTCTTCAATTTCTGCTTCTTCTGCGTCTTTGAAAGCGATTCTGTTCATGAGTTGACTCGGAAGTGCCCTGGAGGTCACCTTCGTCGGCCTAGGAGCACGCTGTCTTCTTCAGCTAAAGAGGTTGCCCGCGCAAGTGCTCTTGGCGAGCCTTTCCCCAAGAAGCGTTCGGATGCCGCTGAACTTGAAGAGGGCGAGACTACTGAGCCAGACCGAAAGTTTAGAAACGCCAGCAAGTCTGAACAACAACTCCAGCGCGCCTACAATTGGGTGAAGACATTCGAGGATAAGATCAAGCAGATTTTGGAGCCAGACGCGGTTGATATCCGAAAGCTCGGCGGTAAACCCATCGACGAAGCCGTCAGTGAGGAGATGGCCAAGTTCGTCAAGCAGGAAGATGAGCACAAGTGGAGGTGCAAGGTCCCCGAGTGTCAAAAGCTCTTCAAAGAGGAGCACTTCTGGCGCAAGCATGTTGAGAAACGGCACGTGGACTGGATGGACAGTCTCAAACAAGACGTAAGTGAACGCATGATTTAGACTGCGAAGACTAAATGCTAACACATACCCAGTATGAATTGATCAATGCGTACGTGATTGACCCGGCTCACATAGCGCCTTCACGGACGGACGCCAATTCCAATGGTCACTTTCCGCCGGCGAATGGTCAAGCGCCGACGGGTACGCCACGAGGTTTTAACCTGTCGAACTATGGGCTGAACAATATGTTGCCTATGGGATTCCCTCCCATGCCTAACTTCCAGCAAATGTTTGCAGGCGCCATGGGTAGCCCCGCAAACTGGAGCCAGTCCAGCGGAGGGGATGACCGTGGCGGCGGCGGCCCCGTTCGCCGTGGTGGAGCCTTCAACTCTGCCGGGAGAGGCTACAATAACAACCGATCCAACCCCTACGATCGGCCGCGAAACCCTCGTTTTGAGGGCGGGATGGGTGGCAACATGATGGGGGGTGGCCGCCCCAACCGTGGAGGTCGCTGGGGAGATGGCGCTGGTGGTGGCGCGGCCGTTGGGCCACGCGAAGCCATTCAAGGACGCACGCTGAAGAGTTACGAAGACCTGGACCAGGCCAGCGGTGGTGGCGGTGGAGAGCTGAACTACTAAACCGTTGGGGCCTTGAGGTCTCGGGGTGGTTGTCGTGTTTGCTCCCATCAGATCGAAGTATAGCATCGAAGACGAGAGATTAAAAAGAAAGACTTTCCATACTTTTAAGGTTGTGCTGTACATTAGAAGCTGATTTCGTTGCTATCCTGGGCGGTGGTTTGGGGCTTAGTAAGATTAGCAAATCAATTTTTGACAACATTTCCTGGTTCGGCGGTTGGTGTTCTGCGTTACCGCTTTCACATCACATGGCCTCCTCCCCGTAGAACAATCTCCCATGGAATAACTTCCTTCGAGATAACCCCCTACCTCCTGTGGGATACCCTCTTCCGAGATAACCTGCGACTTTCTGTGGGATAACCTCTTTGAGATAACAGCCTACCTCCTGTGGGACGATCTCCTAGTGGACAACTTCCTGTAGGATGACCTTCGAGATAGCTAAGCAGCATCTAGATAGGTTTTGACCGGCTTTCTGGTCGCTTTCTGCCTACTCGCGAGTACCTAACCGTTCTGTGGGTTACTCGCAAGCTGTGGCCAAATCACGCACAACACGTCTCGAACCACAACCCTGAGATCAATAACCGACGCCCCTCACGTCGATTTTTCATTAGCCAGTCTGTGAATTACCTGGGTTTGTCTCCGTTGATTAAAAGTACACTGCCCGCAAAAGGACGTCCCAAATCTCTCGAGATCCCGGCAAAGGTCCTAAAAAAGAAGGCACCGGAAGATCCCACCAACACACCCTGAAAAGCCTCCCGAACACCAAACGCCCGCCTCTCGCGACAACACAGCACAGCTCAGCCCCGAGCGCGCCAGTTGTTGTAATCCGTGATCTCCTGAGCAGTCGGAGACCTGGCACCAATGCTCGCCAGCGACTCCTGGCCGGCAAGGCGCTGCAGGACGAAGAGGGTGAAGCGGCCGCCCTTGTCGTTCCAGTGGTTCTCCTCCCTCCTGACGACTTGATACAGACCATCGTAACGGATACCGACCTTGGGCGCGTAAGCCGTACCGTTGGCGGCTCTCAACACACGGACAGGGTTGCCGTTCTGGAGAGACACGTTCAGGCATTTGGTGCCACGCTTATCAGGCGGCGAATGCTTGTCCTTGTTGTCCGCGCTTCCGGGGATCGAGTAGTAGATCGTGTTGCCAAGGCTTTGAAGCAAGTGTCAATTGATTACAATCACAGTCTGGGAGAAGAGGATGACTATCTTACTCATTGTTCACACCCTTGTACTTTTCGGCCACGACGACACTATGCGCACCATCGCGTTCGTTGCCTGAAATGCCAGCCTCCCGCTGGCCATGGACTCCGCATACCATCGCGTGGTGTTGGGTGGGGCACCAGTGACCCACCTGCACGCCGTTATGACCAGAGACATGTGCCGAAGGACGAGGGTAGTCGGGATCGAATATGTGAGTCTTCGCTTTGCCCACCTTCTGCAGGAGGCCATGCATGATGCCATTTGGACCATAGTGCGGGTCGTTTCTGGCAGGAAGCAAGACTGTGCCGGTGGTGTTGCCTTGCGCTGCAGCAGGTGCGGTCGCCGCGGACGGAGGAGAGTCAGAGTCGGAGTCAGAGTCGGAGTCAGAGGCAGAGACAGAGACAGACTCGTCACCGCCAGAGTTATCGTCATTGTCCACAGCTTGCGCCGCCGGTGCTGCTGATACCACTGGTGCCGTGACAGTGTCCCAGTTCACGGCCGTGAAGCGCTGGTAGAGATTCTCAGCCTGACGCTGGACATCCTCTGGGAAATGACAATCCGCACGGGAGAACAACTCAAGACCCTGATCAATCTTTGCCTTCCTCATCAGCAACGGCGACATGTTGGTATTGAACTCCAACTCGTTTAGGTAATTCTTGGTGCGCTCCATCTGTTCGCCATGGATTTTCGTATTCAGGTCGGGGATACCGCCGAGCCTCTTGCTGGCCTGAGCAAATTTCTGGACAACGTCCCGCTCCCTACTAAACCAGTCCGCATCCGCGTAGTCCTTGCGGGCGACGGCGGAGGAGGTGGTGCTGGACGAGGTATTCGCGTTGCCTGCCATCCTGAGCTTCTCTGTATGGAGAAAATTCAGCCTAGGCCCTGCAATGGTCTGGTCCGTCCAGCTGCTGCGGACCACGTCGAATGCAGAGCACCTTTTGGGCCAAAGGGGGTGTGCAGACTTACGTGTCGATGTTTTCTCCGGGGATGCGGAGCAAATGTCTTGCGTACTTGCGGATTCTGACAGTGCAGAGATGAGATGCCGGGTGGTGCTGTTCGGGATATGGGTCAATTTGATGAGAAAGACTGCAGCAGTTGCCGGGAGTCCAGAGGAAGGTGATCTTGGCTCGGGACACGTCCAGCACACGTCCATTTGATGTTGAAGGAAAGGGAGGGAGGGAAGGAAGTGGAAGTGATTCCGGCTGCTTCTACTGGAGTGATGCTTCGGCAGGGGCGGTGCTTTCTGGCTCGGAACTTGTCCAGTACACGTCCAGTTGGTGAAGGGAGGGAGCGTGGTTCTGGATTGGGATACGTCCAGTTGGTGATGGACGAAAGGGGAGGTGTTAAGTGAAAGTGGTACTTACTGCTTCTGCAGAGTTGATGCTCGTTGCAGGACCCAGTTGCTTCTGGTCCGGTACACGTTCAGTTAGTGATGGTACGAAGGGGAGGAGGTGTGTGAAGGAGTTGCCAGCTGCTGCTGCGTGATGTTTGTTGCAGGACGAAGGTTTTCGGCTCGGAACTCGTCCACTTGATGGAGAAGAGGGACCAAGTGGAAGTGGACAGCTCCTGCTAGGTGAAGCTTGTCGTAGGGGCTGTGGTTCCCGCGGCGATGTCTGACGATGCGATGTCTAGGAGCTGCAGGAGCTCTGCAAAAACATCGACACTTGAGCAGGTGACCACAACTCAGTGCGGAATCTTGGAAAGAAAATTTATGAACCACCTCGGATGCTCTAGATTGTCAACTTCGCCAAGAAGAACGCAGCATCAGAAGACGCTTTCGGCAAGTGCTGGGCTGTGGTATGGTTGAGTGTACTCTGTACTTGCTGTGCTTCCGCCGAGCTCACCTCGGAGCTGTCAGTGGGCAAACAGCTTCAAGGTAGGTATCACACAAGAAGCAAGCTCGAATTCTATACACAGGTAGCTAAGCTACAGTTGGATTACATGACAGAGGGGTTGCGAGCTAGATATGCTGCTCTATACTGTGAACTCAGGGGGCAATCTAGCGTTGGCATTCCCAGGAAGAATATCACACAGATCACAAGACATGGATGGGGAAACACACAGCATTACAGCTGATATGATACTGGAAGACTTATTCAACAAGATTCTGATTTGAGCTTTGTGTGTATCCTAAATCGGGGCAAGTGAGAAGTGCTTGTTGGAAACATAGAATCAGGGGCACTCTTCACAGATGATGGCTCACAATTTCATGCGGCATGTCATATTCTTTGCCTTATTTCTTGTGCCCCAGTTTGGTTTGGTACCTGCAAAGACAGCCTGTATCTATGTGTCCCTTGTAAACGCTCACCCACTGTGTATGCCCGCCCTGGTATGTCATGTCATTATTGTCCAGGATAGTGTAGCTCTTACTTGGTCAATGACTACAAGCCACTTAATCATATTCATTCTGCAGCAGAAGTACTCAAAGACCTGTCGCGAAGAAGAGATCTAACACTAAAAGAAAAGATTCGGCGCGAACAAAAGACACAGTATCTCCAGTGCCAAGGTTCAGACGTTATGTATCGCTGCGGCAAAGCTTCCGTCCGAAGACACTTGCTAGGACGCAGAACCTGAAGGCACTCACGCCCCCCCCCCCCCCCAAGGCACTATACAGCGGCACTCAAGGCTTATCCAACATTTCCACCCAAGAATCTGACTGCAGGGACATAGCATAGTCGCTTCTTAGCTTGGAAATTACTTCAGCATTGGTACCTTGGAGGCGATAAAGTCCACAAAGCCGCAGTGCGATCGACGCTGTCCGCCCCCATGAAGAACGGGCATGTTTGTGTCGTCTCGAGCTGGGTCGGAAAGGTTAAGATGGAAGGCCTTTTGGTCAAAGACCGGCGAACATCTATACGACCACATAAATGGAGTCTTCTGGGAAGTTTTGTTCGCGGTGTGTGATTTTGTCGCAGTAGATATGAGTCTTTTCTGGCTGCCGTTGAAGATCAGGGACTTATTCCCCCAAAACCAAGGTCTCACACGCTTGAACGATGACACAACGGTTGACTCGATCAAACGTGAAGGGCAGATGGCATCGAAGCTTTCTTCAAGCGTACCAACATCTGCAACTACAAGGGGCAATCGCTCTGCCGATTACCTTCTTCCAAAAACGAGCACCTAGTCGACGCCGCTCCTGTACGCTTCCAGCATATTTTCCTTGTGGATGGTTGCGGTTATATCCAGTGACCGTATTTAACTCCAAAGACCGAGTCCTTGCAATATTTGTCTGACAAAAGAGTAATATGTGAGCGCTCCATGAAAAATATGGCCACATGAAGCCCAGTGATGACGAAGGCTGGACACACTTTCCAATATCCGCGGACTCGACCTCAGGACCAACCCAATCTAGGCAGGTGAAAACCCTCAGAAGGCCTCAACGCTTTGCTATCAATGCCACGATAATATGGGCAATCGTCAACGAAATCCATTTGATACGGCTACTGTCGGCATAGGCCTCCAGATGCCCTAGCGGTGAAACAGTACGGACGAGGAAGCCCGGGTAGAGGATGCATCCCGTGGCGATACAGGTGAGAAGGTTCAATTGCCGGGCTCATGTGCATAGGATTTATCTAATGGAATGGTGGCATGGACGCCTGACTGAATCGCCGCATCGCGATGGCACCGGTCCGTTGTAGGACTGGAAAGGAAGGCAATGCATGAGTAACATCGGACCAGGAGAAGTCAATCCGGGAATGCCAAAGGGACCAAAGAGATGTGTAGAGACCGCTGAGGGCATCGATAAACACTGTAGGAGCCAATTGACAATTCCCTGGGAAGAGACTTGAAGCTCATCTGCGGAAGTGGTTGTTTTCGTGTAAGTGTAGATAGAGGCATTCTGCCCAGGGATAGATGGACAGCTTGTGGTGTCTGTTGGAGTTGGTCTACCTGTGCTCGGTTTTCAAGTCTCCAATGTGCCAAGGTTGCACCAATCTCACCTCAAGACCGTTGAGCCTCCGATTCTCAACATGCTAGTGACGCATCAGATCAGATCCGATATCGTCCACTGTGACAATGTACAGTAGTCTAGTCGACGGAGTGGTTTTTGAGAGCTTCAAAAGGGGGATCCACAAATTGAACGAGATTCTGGAACCGGGTTCCGTAGGCGCTATCCTTCCACATGCAAGCTTCCGGCCCAACGTCAACAGTTGGCTCCCGGATGTCATCCGAAAGGGGATGGATTGATCAGCCTCCAAATCTTGCGCGATTGAGCATCGTCGAGCAAGACCGGGCAATTCTGAAGAGCACAGGACCGGTACAGTATGACCATAAGTCTATATCGCGGCGCGATACGATGGCCGGGACCGGACCGGTTCCCCCGCGTTCTTCGAGGCGTTACATATACTGCCAGGAAACATCGCCACGCTTCACCTTATACATCTCAAGCCCTCCAACACCACCGTCACTTATCAAGCAGTGCCTGTAATCTATCAGACGCACCCCTCACAAATTTCAAAATGCCTGCGGCAAAGGAGCAAAACGCATGGATTGGCTACCGGGGCGCCGCTGGCTGCGACCTTCGCAGTAAGTCAAAACGTCATGATTCTAGATTACAATGAACAAAATCCTGACCTGCCACCAGGTGACACCCAGACAACGCCAACCCCCTCAATGCTGGCGGCCATTGCCAATTGCACTCTCCTGGACGATGTCTTTGAAGAGGACACTACGACTATTGACCTGGAAGCTCACTGTGCCGCCCTGGCCGGCAAGGAGGCCGGCCTCCTGATGCTGTCGGGCACTATGGGCAATCAAGTTGCGCTGAGATCTCTGTTGACCCAGCCACCCCACGGAGTGATCTGTGATCACCGTTCCCACATCGTGGTGTACGAGGCTGGAGGGTAAGTGAAATCGAACGAGCTCCCTTGGCCATCGTCACTCACTGGTTGCAGCGTGTCCGCCCTCACCGGCGCAATGTTAGAGAGCGTGCGACCAAGCAACGGCATTCACCTGACGCTTGAGGATATCCAAGAGCACGCGCACATTGATGACAACGTCCACACATGCCCGACACGGGTCATCTCGTTGGAGAACACCCTAAACGGAATGCTGATGCCCCTGTCAGAGGTCCAGCGCATCTCAAAGTGGGCAAGGGAGCACGGCATAAAGATGCACCTCGACGGCGCTCGCCTTTGGGAGGTCGCCGCATCAGGGGCTGGAAGCATCAAGGAGTTCGCTGAGTGCTTCGACACTCTCACGCTGTGCTTCTCCAAAGGACTCGGCGCCCCAATTGGGAGCATCCTCCTCGGGACAAAGAGCACCATCAAGCAGGCGCGGTGGACGCGCAAGTCTATCGGCGGCGGGCTCCGGCAATCGGGCGTGGTGGCGGCCGCAGCGCGGGTCGCAGTCGACGAGACGTTCGGCAGCGACCCGAGCGGCAAGGACGGGCTCCTGAAGAAGTCGCACGAGATGGCTACGCGGGTGGCCAAGATATGGACGGACCTCGGCGGCAAGCTCACGTACCCGCCGCACACCAATATGGTGTGGCTCGACCTCAAGGATGCCGGTTGCAGCGACGCGCGCATCAACGAGCTGGGCAGGGAGCAGGGCCTGCGGCTGCTCGGTGGCAGGATTATCTGCCACTACCAAAGCTACCAGAACGCCGACGTCGTGATACCCAGGTTGGAGACGATATTCAAGACAATTATCGCGGAAAAGGGCCAGGGGGTGGAGGCTGCCAATGGGAACGGGGCGAAGGCGCTTTACAAGTAGACGGCTCTAGAATACACTTGTTGTGCTGCAGCCAAGTCAACGGCGTGATGATCCGTTGATTTTCCCGGCTTTCGACACTGGACGACAAGCTGTCTCTCGAACCGGTTGTCTGGCTGGGCTGGTGGCATGGCGTCCCGTCGCCGGCTGCCTCTTGTCGGCCCGCCCCCAGACTCGTATTTTGGATTCCAAGCGTTTCCTAGCCGAGAGCTTATATGTACTTCTTCGCCAATCCCCAACCGTGCACCATTTCGCTTCCCAATATTGAACTATAGGCACAACCACCAAACCCCTCTGCCAGGCATACCAAGTCTCTTGGCCCGCCGACTCCGCTCCTCCAAGCTGCATAGGACAGGTCTTGACCTGTCTCAGGCCTTGGGAATGTCCCTTTTGCCCACCAAACAAAGAAATCAAGTAATGTTGGGATCAGTAGTACTCAGGAAAGCGTTCGGCCTCAAAATTAATGACGGTCGACCTCACAACACTTACGCGCCCAGACGCAGCCCGAGACTAGCCTCACTTGCACCGGTCAGTATTAGCTGGCAAAATAAAGGCCAGGTATCTCGAAGGCTGGTCCCAAGCATACTGTCAGCCAAGAGAAGCCGAACCAACCTTCAAGCTTTCCAAGGTTGATTTTGCGTAATGCGCTCCACAATGACGCCGTTGTGTACTCATCTCCGGCCTGCGCGGATCGTGAGCTTAATACAAAAGCCCGTCGGGACGCACCACGATGTCGGTCAGAGTGCGAACGATCGTATGACTCTACGCCTTGCATAAATAACTCCACGGCTGCACGTCCTTCCTCCCACGCTGATCGGTTCACATTGCTTTGTAGACGACTTCGGTGACAGGCCTCGCTCGCCGCCTCGGTCAGCACAGTAATCCCTTCGCGCAACATCTTGCCAAGGCCGCGCGCCCAGTATGGGACTCGGTAAGGAGTAGTTCATAACGCGATGAGATCTTTCTATACACTGGCAGCCTTGGTCGCTGCTGTTCCAACGAGCTACGGTCAACCACTCGACGGAATCTACTATGATGGAGATAACATTGCACCATGTAGCTCCGCGCTATACTGCTACGGCGACATCCTGGATTCCATCCAGAGGGCGAGACCATTCGCTGACTCCAAGACCTTTGTGGACATGTAAGTCTCATGTGCGTGCAGAACAGAAGGAGGAACCATGGCTGACATGCCTCAAGGCCTACGAGGGTTCCATTGGAAGAGGTCCAAGCCGCTTATGATCAGTTGACGAAGCCGATCCAAAACAATACTGAGCTCCTTGACTTCCTCACCAGCGACTTCGCTCCCGCTGGGCAGGAGGTCATCCCAATAGACCCAGAGTCCCTGGTTGTCAACGCATCATTCCTCGACGGGATCGCAAACGCGGTAAACAGGGAGTTCACCGAGGCCGTGATTGATCTGTGGCCCGACTTGACGCGGTCGGTCAACGAGTCGGCCGTCTGCGCAGAGTGCAACAACAGCCTGCTGTCCATCAAGCGACCTTTCGTCGTCGCAGGGGGGCGATTCAGGGAGCCGTACTACTGGGACTCATACTGGATTCTGCATGGCCTGCTTCGCAGTGGTGGCAACTTCACTGGGATCGCGAGAAATCAGATCGAGAACTTCCTGGATTTCATAGAGGATTATGGGTTTGTACCAAATGGTGCCAGATTGTACTATCTCAACCGTTCACAGCCGCCACTGTTGGCGCAGATGGTCAGGATTTATGTTGAGCAGACGGGAGACACAACGATCCTAGATCGTGCTATTCCACTGCTGATCCGGGAACATGACTTCTTCACGTCGAATCGGACAGCCCAGGTCACAGTTGGAGACAAGAACTACACGCTGAATCGGTGAGCAACCAAAGGATACAAGCTTGAAGCCATATCCCCTTGGAGTTTCAAATCACTTACGCGAGCAATAGATACAATGTCGCCAACACTGAGCCACGGCCGGAGTCCTACTACGAGGATTACACACAAGTCAACAATGCGTCATACTATGCAAGAGACGGCAGCATCTACCCAGCCAGAAACACAACACAGGCTGAGAAGGACCTGCAGTACAAGAACCTCGCATCAGGCGCCGAGTCCGGTTGGGATTTCAGCTCGCGGTTTATGAAGGACCCAATCATCGCAGCGAACGACAGCTACTTCCCGCTGGCATCATACAACATCGTTGAGATGATCCCCGTGGACCTGAACGCGATCCTGTACTGGAACGAGGTGACCATCGCCGGGTTCCTGCGCCAGCAACAAGAGGCGCAAAACACCACCGCCGCAGACGCCTGGGAGGCGCAAGCCGCGGCGCGCAGCGAGGCGATGTACGAGGTGCTGTGGAACACGACGCTGGGCGGCTACTTCGACTACAACCTGACGGCGTCGCGGCAGGACGTGTTCTGGGCGCGCGACGCCGACTCGCTGGCGGCCGAGGCCGGGCCGGGGTTGGGCCAGCAGGTCGTCTTCAACGTCGGGCAGCTGACGCCGTTCTGGACGGGCGCCGCGCCAGCCGCACTAAAGGACGACCCGGCCGCTGTCAGGCGCGCCTTCGCCCGCGTCGACGAGTACCTGCGCTCGCGGAAGGGCGGCATCGCGCCGACCAATTTTGTCACTAGTCAGCAGTGGGATCAGCCTAGCGTGTGGCCGCCTCATATGCACATGCTCATGGAAGCGCTGCTGCAGACGCCGGAAGTGGGTGGTGAAGATGGTGGTGGTAGCGAGGACTGGGTGTGGACGCAGGACCTAGCGCTGAGGCTGGGGCAGAGGTATTTTGACTCGGCGTATTGTACTTGGTAAGTGAGGCACGTTGTGCTGCTTTTGACACAACCTGGCTGGATCCTTGTCGGGCGAGAACAGACTGTAAAAGGGGACAAAATAATGCTGACAAGACACCACATGAAGGCGCGCAACAGGCGGCGGGACACCCAGCTCGCCTCCGCTCCCCAACCCGCCGCAGGACCTCGGTGGCCAAATGTTCGAGAAGTACTCGGACCAGTCACTCAACGAGGCCGGCAGCGGGGGCGAGTACGAAGTGGTAGTGGGCTTCGGCTGGTCCAACGGCGTGCTGATTTGGGTGGCCGACACGTTCCGCGACGACCTGCAGACGCCTACCTGTGAGGATCTGTCCGAGGCCGGGGCCCAGGAGAAGGAGAAGAAGAGCAAGCGTGGTGGCCATGGCGATGGTCCGAACGCCAAGAGCGCCCTGGAGCTGGATTATTTCGATGCGGTCTGGACAAGTGAGCATGTTGGGGGCCTGCGGGTCGTGAGGTAGCAATTGTACAATGATTGGTGTATCTTAAGGAGACTTGGTGAAGAGTGGACTTATTATTCTCGGGAAGGCCTTTTCCTGGTGCTTATATCAAAGCCAAGAATCGGTATTTTATGCCGTGCTCATTAAGATTATCTCGAGACTCCAATCGCTCACTGATCGCCTGTCCGTCGAGTTGCTCCTTATTTGTATAGACCGCACCAAGGAATTTGACCAAATTCAAACTTTTGCCTCTTTTCTGACCGAGATTTGTCGCCAGGACAAAGCCGTGCTGTCTTGCCCTCGCAGTCGCTGGGCTTTGTATATAGTATCGTCTCGAGCTCGCACTGCTGCAGTTTCCGCAAAATTCCTACTGATACCGTCTTCAGGCTGCCCACGGTATGAACAAGTGAGGAAGCTGAGCGTAACAGAGCCCATACCCTCATATGATAACCCCTTCCAACGCGGGACACTCGTCCCTCAGCAACCCATAATCTCTCTGATCCAACGACTCCCCATTCTTCCAAATAGCCTTCCTCCTAACGCCCTCAAACTGATATCCAGCCCTCTTCAGCACGGCGTCGCTCGCGCCGTTTCCCTCGTAAACCTTAGCTTCCATCCTGAGCAAGTCAGGGAACGTCGCAAATGCCCAGGCTGTGAAGGCTGCGACGGCCTCGCTGGCGTATCCCCTGCCCCAGTGCTCTCGGCCGAACCAGTAGCCGATCTCGATGGTGCGTGCCTCGACATCGTTGAAGGGCTTGAGGCCAACGCCGCCGACAAAGGCGCCATCCGAGGAGCGGCAGACGGCGTAGGTGAGCAGGATACCCTCCGGGCGTAAGGGGCTGGCCGACTTGTCCGATAGGGCAATGTTGTTGATGAAGGACTCTGCATGCTGCAGCTCGTAAGGGAAGGGGAAGGTATTGCGCATCCACTTGGCTATATCCGGGTCGTTGGCCTGCTTCGAGCTGTTTGGGGCATCGCTGGGGTGATAGGGGCGGATGAGAGTCTTGCGAAGGGTGAGTATGGGCGTTGTTGGGAGAGATGGTATTGAAGGGGCGTGTGCCGTGGCTGAGGCCATCGTGAGGGTAGTGCTGGGCCGTCTCAGGGGTATTCGCTCGGAAGAATTCCGCGTTGGTCCAGTGGCGACGGTTGTATATACATTGGCGTCCTGGAACCCAGAATGATGTGTGACAGACAGCTTGAGGTGACCAGGCCTTGATAATATATATATACAGCTGGCTTGATGAGTTAATGAGTCACGTCCACCGCATATATGGACCAGGCATGATACTGCTGACTGTATCACGCCGAGGACAAAAAGGGTGAGTAGTCTAGTGGACGCATCCACGCACCCACGCATCCGCAACTATTGCCGACGGGCCTTTCCTCTTGAGGGAGGCGAGGGTGATCCTCCCGCTGCGCTGCGCCGCAATCGCTATCGGAATATGCCTGAGACGGAAGCAAGATGGCATGCTAGCCCTTGGATGTTGTGACTGCTCACATCATCGAGCTCAGATAGCGCTCGGGGAGCAATGCTTGTTGGTTTCGACCATTGAGTCCCACCCCGCTGGTAGGACGGACCGACTGCGAGCTGCGAGCAGGAATTTGCGTTTAATCCATGGCTCTGGCGTCATATCATGACGCACTTGGCTGACCGAAAACTCGAACGAAACTAGTACCGTCGGTAGAAAATGGTGAGATAGAATGTAATCGTAAGCCGGCAGTCAGTCCTATCAATGACTGAATTGGACAATTGGTGTGGTACATGCACTTAGCCAGAGACACTGGACCCGACACTGGACCCTGGGAATCGGGACGTACCATGGCGGGCCCCCGGTGGCTGACTGCAGGGGGTCCAGTGGGGGCTGCATACCAATTCAAGGTCCTGATTGGGACGCCCCAGTGCTAAGACCGGGGAAGCTTGTGCTCTACAGGCACGGCTTACACGTGCGTGGGACTGCAAGCCGCGCAACCGCAGAAGAAAATGTGAGGTGGCCTTTCGGACCAGACCAGTGAAGCGCACTTCAGGCTAAGCTCATCAGCCTCGTTGAAGCTGTCACCACCACCACCACCTCCACCTTCCTACTCTCCTTTGCCCTCTTGTCACTTCTCGCTTGAACTGGCTGGCTGGCTTCAGTTGCTCTGCTCCATGGTCAACTCCAATTGACTGCTGTTTTCCATGACACCTGTCTGTCCTTCTCCCGCCGCTCCTTAATCGTGGATCGGTCCCGTCGCATTCCATCCCCTCGATCCCTCTCTCTGCACCAAGCTGGGAGCTCTGGAGTGACACTGCAGCTGCCAATTTCCTCCAAACTGGGTCGCATTCGCAATCAAGATGTCTGCAAAGTCTCGTTTTACGAGGCTTGACGCCTTTACGAAGACCGTCGAAGATGCGCGCATCCGAACAACCTCTGGTGGCATTGTCACCATCGTCTCATTGCTTGTGGTCTTGTACCTGGCATTCGGCGAATGGGCAGACTACAGGCGCACAGTAATACACCCAGAGCTAATTGTCGATAAAGGGCGAGGTATGTCGCTGCTACGTCCACCTACATCCCCTCCATATCCCATGGCCACAGACCAGGCGGGCTGACGAGTGGCGATCACTCAATTAGGCGAGCGGATGGAGATCCACCTCAACATCACCTTCCAGCGGATCCCTTGCGAGCTCCTGACCCTCGACGTGATGGACGTCTCTGGCGAGCAGCAGCACGGCGTGCAGCACGGTGTCAGCAAGGTGCGCCTCCGCCCCGAGTCAGACGGCGGCGGCGTCATCGACGTCAAGGCCCTGGCCCTCCACGACGACGACGAGACCGCCAAGCACCTCGACCCCGACTACTGCGGTGGCTGCTACGGCGCGGCCTCCCCGGCCGGCGCCATGAAGCCCGGGTGCTGCCAGACCTGCGACGAGGTGCGAGAGGCTTATGCCCAGGCTTCCTGGGCCTTCGGCCGGGGCGAGAATGTCGAGCAGTGCATGCGCGAGCACTACGCCGAGAGGCTGGATGAGCAACGCCACGAGGGCTGCCGCATCGAGGGCAGCTTGCGTGTCAACAAGGTCGTCGGTAACTTCCATATAGCCCCCGGCCGCAGTTTCAGCAACGGCAACATGCACGTCCACGACCTTAAGAACTACTGGGACACCCCCGTCGCCGGCGGCCACCGCTTCTCGCACACCATCCACCAGCTGCGCTTCGGACCCCAGCTGCCTGAGGAGATCACCAAGAAGCTGGGCACGAAGTCCCTCACCTGGACCAACCACCACATCAACCCCCTGGACGGCCTCGAGCAGGTCACTGAGGACCCCAACTTCAACTACATGTACTTCGTCAAGATCGTGCCCACCTCCTACCTACCCCTCAGCTGGAGCAAGAAGTACCGCGATATTATATCCGACGCCAACGCCGCCCTCGGCCAATTCGGCCAGAATGACGATGGCAGCATCGAAACCCACCAGTACTCTGTCACGAGCCACAAGCGCAGTCTGTCTGGCGGCGACGACTCTGCCGAGGGCCACGCGGAGCGTCTGCATTCTAAGGGCGGCATCCCCGGCGTGTTCTTTTCTTATGTAAGTCACCACTCCTTTCGTACTCAGTCCGAACACTTAAGTTACCAGGCCTGTCAAGCTGACATGTTGATTTCCAGGATATCTCGCCCATGAAGGTCATCAACCGTGAGGAGCCGGCCAAATCGTTTGCCGGGTTCCTCACTGGGCTGTGCGCCGTTCTCGGTGGCACCCTGACGGTCGCGGCCGCGGTGGACCGGTTTGTGTTTGAAGGTGCGACGAGGCTGAGGAAGCTCAGGGCCAAGGATCTATAGATAGGGATCCAAAGCGCGCCAGGGAGGGCGAAAAGGGGCCTTGAGCTGGCTGTATGGTGTAGTTACATCCGCAGCTCTCGAGGAATCCCCTGCGCTTTTATTTTGCTTTTGCATCGGCTGGCGTTCGGGTTAGGTAGTCGGGAAAATTCAGGCTTATTTTCTTCTTACCTCTATAACGCCGTCGAAGGGGCTTGCGAAACACCTTGTGTGGCCTTGAGAGCCGTGATTCCTCAGACATGTGCTTATGCTGTGATGCATGTTATGGTAGGGGTCACTAGCTGCCGACTCCTGTTCCTGAGGGATTTCTTCTCACAATGGAAATATAGACTCTCGATTCCCTCTGGAATCCCGCATCGCTAGGCTGCGCAGCCAGCCCGTCGACAGCGACTAGACGGACTACAGCAAGAAGTTGGCAGTTATCCCACACTTTGTTATTTTACAGTAGATATACCCGATTATTTGTACTGAAAGACACATACCTCTCAACGCGCAGCATTCGCCTCCGTGAGGTTTCTCAGTTCAATGAGAATGAGCAATTATCCGCAGGAGTTGGAGCCTTGAGATAAGAAGCCATCGGATTTTGGTTATTAACTATCAGGCATGGGCAAGGGCTAACTATCCGATTTTTAGTTCAAAGCCTAGTGTTGGACAAATCAACTAGTCGTGAATGTATTATGGACAATAATCATTATCAAGCAATTGTGAGAACCGTCCTATTTAAACCAACCCAGCTTTCTCATAAGTTGGAGAGAGTTATTTTATCAAAGACACACATCAATGCCTTTTATGATGACATCTCAAGATATACAAATGGATTCGCAAACCACAAGTCGTCAAGCCCAGAAAGAAGCAGACTAGCAACTCCAACCAAGCCCAAAAATGACCAAGAAGAAGCCTCTCGCGAAAAGGCCGACCAAGCGCGGCAGGAAGCGCGCCCGCGAGATCGAGCGCCAGGAGAATCTGGCAAAGAAGGCGATAAGAAAGGAAAACTATCGCAACGAGCTGGCTCTCCTGCATGGCGTCACGGACGGGTTTGGCCTCCGGTTCTGCGGCGATATCATCATCCAGCCCAGAGAAGATGCCATTCAGGCGGCCACCCAGGCTTCCGCGGCACCTTTTGACCCTTCCCACCGAGTGTTTTTCGTGAGCAGCGCCAGCATCGCGGAACGGGCCAAAGGAAAGGATGAAGGCGCGGGGCAGAAAACGAACATGAGATCAGCAGGCGCTGCCGTGGTTTATAGACGACGTCCAGCGGAAACTAACCAAATTTGGCAAAGAAACTTATTTGGTCTTGGTGTCTCAGCAGGGAACAGGAAAATCGAAGCCGGCGTTCTTGCCATCGCAGAGTGTTTGGCCATCGCCGCCACGGAGATAACGTGCGCAAAGGATCAACCGACCCCTCGAAAGGTCACCGTTTTCTCAGATTGTCGAGCCGCAATGGACAGGGTCAACAGGTTTCGCCGTGTTAACCGTACTGAAAAAGAACTATACGGCGTACCTGTACACCGGAAACTCATCACAGCTTCACAGTATCTTTCCCGCCACCTCGGAGTTGAGGTCGAGCTGCGTTGGGTACCGGGGCATTCCCGTGTCGAGGGCAATAGACACGCTGAAGTTGCCGCTCAGAAGGCAGCGGCGATACTTGAGATCCGCAAAGGTGGTGACAGTCTTGATAAGGGGCTTCAGGCGTTGATTGAGAGAGCCACTCAAAGTGGAAGCAAATGCTCAGAGACTCGGAGCACAACCCAATTCAACGAACATGAGGATCCCACAAAGCCATCGGCAAATCCGATACCCCACGAATCAGGTTCAGCCCAGGCAATTCCACCGGACCATCAACAATAAGGCTTGGTCCTTCCCTAATTCTCACTGTGACACCACGAATCCAAGCCAGGCCAAGTCGGTCCAAACTTGCATTACCAATCATCACTGTGGGAGCATCGGAGAAACCTGACGTATATCTGGAGAACCTGAATTAATCATGGTTGCTCTCACCGCTCATGAGATAGAAGCTCTGGAGGCAAGAAACTGACCTTCCAGAAACCCATGGATACGATAGAGGGACGACGCTGCTGGTTCAAAACACCTGACAGGTCCGTTTTCTTTTCGTCAGTTCGTCAACTGAGAAGGCTTGGACAAAAGAAAAAGAAAAAGAAAACCGTGATCCCAAAGGACGTGCTCAATCGGGTCTCAGGAATCGAACCATACACAACACGTCTGTTGTTGCCCCAGGCCTGTCACCACTGTGTAGCTTCCAAGGGAATCAGATCACCTACCTAATTCATGAAGCAGTAATACCGGAAGGGTCTGTGGCAAAGCGGGTCAAGCAAGACTGAGAGCAACTATCGCGGGTACAAAGACAAAGACACGAATGGACGGGAGAGGTAAAGATCCATGGGGGTGCTCAAGCTCGGAAGATAATGTTGCATTTCAAAGCAGGCCAAGGGGGAAAAATGCGCAGACTTTGAAGAGGATGTGCAAAAAGAGAGGCAGTGGAAGAGCGAGAGGAGAACAAGATCAACAAGAGATCTTGCGCGAAGACAGGCGACTTCTCAATGGGAAGGTCTACAACAGCTTTGGCGGGCTCCTTCCTTAACACAAAAGAATCCGACTGGGAAAGCACCAATCGAAGAAGCCTCGCCTGGAAGGCCACTTGATTTCAAGAAGGCAACACCTAGCTGTAGAACTGGGTTGTCGGCGCCACAAAACGGGTTACCAGCTGATGCTGAGGAAGGAGCCAGCTACGAAATGGCTAGATAGCAAAGCCCTGAGGTAGCTGAGGAAATATCCATGAAGCTTCAATCAAATTCTCACCATGGCAGTCCGAGACGTGTTACTGACTGAAGCGCCTCTAAAAGAATGACTGGCCCAGCTCTGACCAATGACGAAGTATACACCTAGACAGGTATTAGCCAGCCCTACTGGGTGGAGGAAATGGTTCACAATCCTGCATTTAGTGCTCTCCCCGGCAAGCACTGCGAGTGGGAAACTTTACTGCGCATCAGCTAGACTAGTGCACTGGGCTTCATCAAGACTGATCAGTGATATAATTCAATGTTGACGTATGTAGAAATCCTCAGCAAAAAGGTGGTGCTGTATGGAGATACCAGCTGCAGCGTGATACCTAGGCACGCATGGTGCCTGGGTACGGTACCGAAGGCTAGCCGCAGGCCTCACACCACAAATAGATGAACGGCGAATAAAAGAAAAGCCAAGATGATTATATTGGTATCGCCTCTGAAATGGTAAGATTTACCATGCTTGATTCAGCTAGTGCGTGATATGTCGACCCTATGGTACTGTCAATAATGCACACCCAATTTGCCCGACGCGCCGTCGACAACACGGTACGCGGCGAGCTCAATGTCGCGATCGATCGGGTTTTGATGCACCTGTTAAGCTTTCTGGTGCCAGCTGCTGACACCTTAATTTTCCAAACTGCTCTCCTGCCCGGGCAGCTACTAGCACAGGGACGTTGCCTAGGTAATGTGGTGGTAATAGAACAAACAAGAGAACAATATTTACGTAAGGCTTGATTTGCTATGCTCTTTTTGAGCTGATAGCATGAAATCCTGATAATTAATACCAGCTGCATACTCCATTGCGAGAAAGCATGTGCCCGCCCGCACAGCAGACGCTCGCAAAGGAGCTCGGTCGGAAACAATCGCCCTACCAAAACAGGGGTTGGCCCGGAAGACAGCTACAGGCAAGAGGACCGCGTTCTAGTCCTGCCTTGGTAGGCAATCCCGTAATTGTACCTGTGCATAGTGAGGTAGGAGGCTCTGCGCGCGCTCACGTGGCCGCCCCATGTGGAGTGAAGGCAGTCCCGACATTCTGCACATATACAGGTACGCTATGCTTAATGCCCATGTATTACTATGTATGCATTGGACATACGAAGTGATCTGGGCGGGGTGATGTGTGGCCAAATTGCGGCGCCCCAATCACCGAGACATCGCGAAATGGGGACCCCGGGCCGTTGCAGCGGTACCCACCGGTTACCAGCAGCAGCACATGGGCGACGACTCTGGGTGGAAGAGAAGGGGACCCGCGGGCGGAGGGTGGTTGGTCGACTGATGCCCGGCGAATCCCAAGCCTGGTGTATGTATGTGTCATGAAGAAGCAAAACTTCATCTCGAGGCTGCGACGGTGCAATTTCAGGGCTTCATCACAAGTGCTGCCCCGATGCACAAAATGATCTTCGCAGGGCCTGAGGGCTCGACTGTGAGCGTGGAGTCTGTTTGCCGGGGCCGCACAGTCGCTTTGCGTCGCCGTTTTTTTCTCTCTTCTTTCTTTTGTTTACGTGATGGGCTGCTCGGCAGTGCGCTGTGATGGGGACGGCCTCATTTCGAAGCCTAATTTCCGCGGGGAATGTCGGCCGAGGTGGGTACCACCCAGACTAAACACCCTTTTCTCCACAAGGGGGCACGGCCGCCCTCGTCTCGCTGTGTCGAGGAAGAAGCTCGGGGGATCATTTTAGGGCGGACGCGTCTTGGAATCGGCGGGATCGGCGAGCTAATGTCGGTCATCTCAGTTCGAGGGGGGAAGCTTCATTAGCCCCGGAGGGAACAGCCACGATGGTGGCATTTGTGAGATTTTGTGACAAGTGAGGTGGTAGCGGGGCTTGCCGACTGGCAGGACTGGATGCTCCAGGTGACTTGATGGTTCCTGATAGTCTGGACGGCTGAACGGGTTCAATCAAAGTGATGGAACCAATGCAGACATGACAGCCGTTGTGAAGACTGGAGGAGCGGGGGTTTTTTGCCCGGGATGCAACTCTGAAATCTTGCCCGATCCAGGTTCAAGCCTGGAATGCTGAAGCATGGGCCTCGAGAGCCCAGCCAGTCAGCCCGTTGAAGCTGGGCGGCGTTGGCTGGCGATGGAGCCTGAGGGCAGTGTCGGTCGCGTGATTCATGTCAAAAGCTGGATCCGATGGCTCAATCGATCGCTGTACTGTATGCTCCCCGCGTTCCGTGTTCGTGACACCCAGGCACGCATGTACATAGTATGCACGCATGTAGGTAGCCCTGACAGCCTCGTATCGGACCAACACCAACTGCAGCAGACCAGACGCTGTGGACCTGGACCTGCGTGCGGTTGGCTCTCTGCCAGCAGCCAGCCAGGCCAGTGCGACGACAGACCCGAGGAACCGGGCGAGAGCGGTCTATGGTCTTGCTCAAGTTAGAGCCAGCATCCATGGCCCATGTGTTCTGGAACGCGAGGCTACGCCTGCCGTCACTAATGGCACTACCTGGATATGGCGACACTATACCGCTATGGTAGAGAGATCTCCCATCGCGGCCGATTAGCAGCTGATCGATCCGCGTGGATCGCTTGAAGGCGCTCGCAAGCAGGAACAAGCAGCAGAGACCTCGTATTACGTTGCCCAAGACGACTGAGCCTCGCAGCACAAGAGGTCCAGGGTCGCCCGTGGGATTCTTCTTCCCCTCACTTCCTGTGTTCCTGCGCTGAAAGTCCGAAAAGCTCGTCATGTCCATCCATCTACCCGCAGAATGAGACGGATAGATGCAATTGCCGGGCACTAGGCAGGTGCGTCGAAGGGTACATCATGGTCTGTTCTACCTACGTCTGGAGAACGAGGTATCGGACTTGGTGCGTGGATCTGCAGACGTCAACAGGCCTCCCGACCATGGGCATAGGCCTGGCAGCCTGGGTAGGCTGGCTTAGATAATAGCTGAGATGGGATGAAGACGTTGCCACGATCGCTGGATGGATGGATGGTGGCCAGGAAGAGCAGCCATGGAAAGAGAGCTGGAAGAAAGGGGGGGCGTTCGAGAGCTCCAGGCACGCCAGGGTTCGTCCGTCTTTTCCCAACCACGCCTCCATGATCCTTGCGCCTGGCCTAGCGAGGTGGGCTTTTTGAGTGGGCTGTTCCAATTAAAGCCTGCCACCCCTGCATCGACGGCCTTAGCGGTACTACCCATGTCCTATGCACCCAGGTGCCCAGGTGCCCAGGTACCTAAGTACCCAGGTACCTACCTTGGCCGTTCGCAGGGCCGGAGGGTCTCTCACTCATGCCAATTCTCTGTGGACGGGTGATGGGGTTGCCAATTCAATTGTCCTTGCCGTGCCTGTCTCCTGAAGTCCCTACGATTGATTTCTCTTCTCGATGAATTTCCACCACGACAACCACCACCAACCCATTCCTTTTCCTGTTGGTGTGCCCACCTGGTAGGCGTTTCCCGTCCGTCTCTCCAGCGTCGTCGGGACCAGTGCAGTCAGTAGTCATCTGGAAGGAGACGATCGACGGTCGCATTGACTGGGCTTGACTTCTGCTGCGGTGGTGTCCACGGGTCACCTCATCGCCAAGCAACTCCTCTGGCCTGCCTGCCTGCTTGTTCGTGTCTCTTCAGAGGCCCCGAGGTTCCAGGTCAGACGGACAGACAGACAGAGAAACAAGACGCTCGTTCCCCCCCGCCTCACTCATTCTCCCACTTCTGCCCTTGCGTTCGTTGTTTGAAGGGTTTCCAATTGTTTCGGTCTTGTGGACCAACGGGTTTCCAACGGCCCTTCCAACCTCATTGAGTGACGGGTGCAAGCAGCTCTGGAGAGATCCCGACTAGGCCAACCCCAAAGTCCTTCGCTGCTGTCGCCCAGGGTCCGAAGCAGGAATCCATCAAAAGGGGCCCAACGCCACCACGACACCCTCTCCCGACAGGATTTACCATTTTCACGGTCTGTCTACGCGTCATTCGATCGCTGGCAGCATTTCTGCGTGCAGATTCGAAAGTCTCGGCCCCAGCGACGGATTCGTTATCCTTTCTGACAACCTAGCATCCCTACTCGATCTTCTCGTTCCCCCGCGTCTCTACCGCACCGCTTTCAGGGGTCCTATACATTGTTCGTGCGCCGCCGCTCACAGACCGAGCTTGACAGCCAACAACCGACTGCACAACCGTCACGTCTCTGCCGGGTGATACGCAATTGCCTCTGAATTGACGCAGAGCATACAGTCACTTTGCTTGTCTCCTTTCTTCCCTTCTTTGGACGACTTTTCGACCCTCCGACTCTGGGCCATATTTGGAAGTCGACGCCACAGCCGACAGAACGCCCGTTTCGCGCATTCCTCGACTAGAGAGAATCATTCCCCGACGTCATACCTTTTCGCGCACCACTCTCGAGCCGAACCTGACCCTTTCATACCCTTCTTGGAAATTCAGCTGCACCAGGTTCAATGACTTGAGCAGTTCACCATGTCGACTCCAACAAGACCCAATTTCATCGACATACGTTCCGAGTCTCAAGCCTCCGTCCAGCGCCCACTAAGGTCTCCTCGCCTACATGTTGCCGGGGAGCATCCGCCGGAGCTCTCGCCTCTCGATGCGTTCGCTCTGCAGAGCCGGCTGCTGGCCAAGCAGCTGGAGGAGAGCGCCAAAGCTGGTAGGAGAATGAGCCGACTGCCTCCATTGACGACAGAGAGTCCTCTTATCGTGCAAGGAAGATCTGAGTATTTCCGGTCAATGTCTGCTGAGTCTGGTTCTGACACCGGTGGTGATGGACCTCAACAACACTCCGCTGGTCCCGGGATGAGGGCGGAATTTGCAGAGTCGCCCGATCGTCCCAAGTCCATGCACCCACGAATGAGCCAAATCCCACCGACCCCGGATACTTCGATTCCCATACCAACACCAAACTCCTTTGAGCAACTGCGAGGTCGACCACTGGGCAGCCATGATGACAAGAGCAGCTACTTTGGAGCTAGGAGAGAAAACTCGCCTTCATCCTTTGACAGTGCCAGCATCGATGCCAGGGCGACCGATGAGGTGGAGTCCTCGCAACCGGAGCTGCTGGGCGAGCCATCGACAACCCCGAGCCAAGCCTTGTCGTCACCTCGCAAGTTGGAACACAAGACTTCGCACGAGTCTCTCGCTCCCCCAAGGACTACATTCCCCGCCAGGACTTCCAGCATCAAGTCACAGACGACAGAAGATGGTGTTGACGATGATGTTCTCGGCTCCTCTTTTCACTCTAACCGATCGCGCAAGCTCTCTTCGAGCAGTGCCGGTGTATTCTCCCCTAATCACCAGCAGCGATCTCCCTCGATAAGCTCCAACATATCCGAACTACCACGCCCAGCGTTCAACTTCTCGAGGCCAATGAGCCGAGCAGGAACACCTGGGCTGGAGACACCAGTACGTTTGGACCCGCCTGCGCGGCAGCCCTCCTCCGACAGTCATTCATCTTTCTTCTTGGCCGACGACGCAAGCAATACTCCGATCAGTATGAACAGCGAGGGATTCCCAGATATAGCCGAGGATGGAAAGCCAGGGTCATCGACATACATTTACTCAAAGTTCAACCTTCCCCGAGGAAAGACGATGCAAAGGTCGAATTCCAAGGATCGAGTACCGGCCTCAGGGACTTTCCAATGGGAGCAGCCCGCTGTTGCTCCCAGTAATGAACAGACGATCCCTTGCGGTGGTCAGGCGCCGCCATCCCCTCCAACCAGGCCCTCCAGCTCAGCAAGTCGCGAGCTGCGGAGACCTTCAGGTGAAACGAGCCTCGATGTGCCACGTCCCACAACACAACCGTCACCGAGCGAAAACCGACCGGCCACTAGCGGCGGGCGTGCCTCTGAGGACGTACAAAGGGGGCGCAGCGAGAAGCGGTTAGGGACCGCAACAACCAGTGACGCAAGCACCATCAAGGCCCGTTCCCAGCACTCTGTCGCAACCACGATGGCAGATACACCAGCGGAAGAGCATGTCAGCAAGGCAATTGCTCTGCATGAAGAAGGCAAGGTCAATGAGTCGACCTATCACCTTCGCTATGCCGCAAAGCAAGGCGATCCTGTAGGGATGCTACTTTTTGCATTGGCATGTCGACACGGCTGGGGCATGCGACCCAACCAGGCAGAAGCTGTGATATGGCTTCGCAAGGCTGCCGATTGCGCAGGCGTCGAGATTGCAGAGGACGAGAGCAACGCGAAGGAAGGACAGCACGTGGATGTGGCAGGGCGCAAGACGCGTAAAGCGCAGCTGGCCCTGAGCATCTACGAGCTTGGTGTAAGCCATATGAATGGATGGGGCATTGAGCAGGACAAGGCTCTTGCCTTGCGTTGCTTCGAAATCGCTGGAAGTGAGTGTGCCCCCACTCCCCCACCTCTTACACTAGGAGCGACACTGACCAAGGTTGAACAGGCTGGGGCGACGTCGATGCTCTTGCTGAGGCAGGTTTTTGCTATGCCAAAGGTGTCGGCTGCAAGAAGAACCTCAAGAAGGCGGCGAAGTTATACCGCGCGGCTGAGGCCAAGGGTATGAGCATGGTCGGCAACAGCTGGTGAGTCTCTACTGCATTATTGTTACACTCTGACATGACACTAAGTACGTCCTTGCAGGATCCACAAGCCGAAGTACAATGACGACGAGGACGAGGAGAACGACGATGCAAGGAGCACCAAGTCGCGATCCAAGTCCAAGTCACGGTTCTTTGGCAAGGTTCGGTCCCACACCACCACCGGCGCACCATAGTCCCTTGGCTGCTTCGGCGTTGCAAGAAACCTCTTTCTTTTCTTCTTCTTTTCATGATGATGACCATATTTTCCTTCTACCTCTCATATAGGAGTTGTCCTTCTTCTTTCACCTTGGGAGGGTCATTGGCAGATTTGCTTACGAGCATTAACGAATTCCTTGCTCTTCCTGGCATTTGCGATTCGAGGGGATTACCTGGTGGCACAACAAACCCAATTTAAGATACCGCAAGGGCATAGCGGGGCCTGCCTTTTATTTTCTTGAACTTTTTTTGTTTTTGTTGTTGGTTCCCTTGTTGCTCTTCTGGTATTCCCCATTCCTGGAGGAAGAGGAATAGGCCGATAGGCCCTACTTTTACTTTCCTCGCGGGCCTTTTATTTTTTGGACGAATGTCTCGAGAGACATCGAGCCCATAGCATATTGTACAAAGATCTTGGGGGTGACTGAGATATCGGAGACGGAGAGGAAAAGAGAAAGAGAGACTGGGTTGGCGTGGGAGAAGATTGACCTCAGGGTGTGTATTGCTGTATATACATACATAACCTTTTGACATATTGCCCATCGACGGTGGTCGAGGATACCTGGGCACTGGAGAGCTTCTTGAGCTTTGAAAGCGATTTAATTTTGGTCTGCGACTGAGCTGGTCCAATTCATACAAGCTTCTCCCTCCCTTTCTCACTCGAACTTGGCGTGAATCGGTGAACGAGTGTAAAGCTGGAGAGGGCGCAAGCAATCTGAAGTTATGCATAAATGCCGGCGGGGATCGAGACATAAAGCTGGTGGAGGGGAGGGAGGATCCCTACTCCCAGAGACGCAGCTATTTTGCTGGACCATACATTGAAGTATGATGCTCCTCCGTGTGTTTATCTAGATTTTGACTCAGTGCTCTCCTCAATTGGAGTACCCGAGCCTGTGCGCTCCAGGCATTCCTCGTGATGGAAAGCACGGCACAGCACGGCACGGACGGCTCTTGCTGCAGCTGCTGGGAGGTTTGGATCGGTATTGCCTGACTGCGTAAGAAGCTCACCGAATATGTCACGCCAGGGACAGGGGCAGGGGTAGGCGTATTCTGTCTCACCACAGCATGTGAAAGTGGAGTCCTCAGCAGCATGAGCAGCCGTTAGCTACCTCCATTCGGGCAGTTTCTCACACCAACGTCATTACACTCGCCCCGTCCGGGACTTTTGCTGTGCGCTGAGCTGTGCTGCGCTGCTGCGCTGCCCCTTGCTGACGGGCCCTTCCACAGCCCGGAATCTTCTGACGATCGATCTGAGCAGACAAGTCTCATTCTTCCCTCACCCACCATCATCTGGGCTTTGCTATCTCTTTCTACAAGTAACTGTGCAAGTCTGTCACGACACATGAAAGTTTCCCAGGATCCTACCCAATTGACGCAGCCAAGAAAGAGCCTGCATACCTAGCTCTAGAGCTCTACCGTAGCTACTCGGCAGCTGCTAGCCCTTGTCTTTCCTTTCCCACTACATAGCTCGTCACCACGTCGTCTTCACTAAGGGATATCGAAGTCCGATCACAAAGCACCTTGCCGTCCGAGACTCAAGGAATCAAGGGCGAGACCAGAGCAGGAGCTATCATGGCTCCCTCCAACGATGCAGGTGAGATTTCAGCAGCAACATTCATGCCACTTTCGTCAGCGCCGACGCAGCCGGGCCCGGACCTCGAGCTCGAGATGGACGATCACAGACACAGCAGCGCCAGCAGCAGTCCGCCGACGCACCCGTCCTTCTTCATGGCTTCGCCGGTAATTGCCCACGCAGGCGGAGCAGGGGCCACTTCGGGCAAAGAGAATGTCTGCCCCTCTCCCATGGCAGCCGCAGTCTCCCCGCTCGGGTCCCCCATGACCATACGCCTGAGTAGGAAGAAGGCGTCGCAAAGGCCTACTGCTAATGCTGGAGCTGTGCTGAATAAGTTCATCGATGACTGCACGAGCCGGTCCTCCCGAAATGGAGTTCAGAAGAGAGATACAGGAGATATTGACATCAGTGACACAGCTGCACAGCCGTCAAACGACGTAGAACAGCCCGCTGATTCGAACGCGAGCAAGAAGAGTAAGCGGAAGTCGAAGAAGACCAATGGAGTTAAAGAGAAGAACAGGGCGAACACGGAGGACCAGGCAGCCTCACAGCCCACGTCGTATGCCGAGGCCGTCAAGGAGGATCCAGCCGACGTCGCAGACAGGCAAGACAGAGAGACTAAAGAGGAGAGCAATGGGTCAGACCCGAGTCAAAAGGCCAACGCCGACCAGCCGGTAGCAGAGAAGCCTGACGGTGATGCGATTAGGTCAGAGGCCGAAGGCACTGAAGACAAGAACGGTGATAAGAAGGAGTCTCAGCCCACGGCAGCGGGCAGCTTGACATTCGCGGAAGCAGTCAAAGAAGGGTCATCTGATACGGCCCAGACGAACGGGCAGGCTACGGAGCCTGATAACGCCAAGCCTAGGAGTATTGAGAAAAGCAGCATACAAGAGCAGGACAGCACGTCTGCTCACTCCAGCCAGGGCTCTACTGCGGTCGACTACCCCGATATCCCTTCTGACGCAGAAGACCGTGGGGAGGAAGCGGCGCGGCGCCAAGACCAAGAGAAGGCACAAGAGGTCGCAGGACTGCGCTGGGCTCCGCTCAAGGTACCGTTCAAGCGCCGGCTGCAGACCTTGGCCGTTCTGTTTCATTGTCTGTGTATGGGGACCACGCTGTCTATTTTCTTTGCATTCTGTGCGATACCGCTGTTGTGGCCACTACGTAAGTCACTCACCGTTTACTCACTCTTCCCTTGCGGCGTCGATTGCTCACTGTCACCATAGTTATCATTTACCTGGTCTCGATTCTGTTCGCGACAGACGCTGTGGATGGCAAGCTCAGGAGGCGGAAGGAGTGGGTTCGCAGGCTGCCCATCTGGAAGTACTTCGCCGAGTACTACCCTGCCAAACTTCACAAGACCCACGACCTCTTGCCAACACGCAAGTACATCTTTGGGTACCACCCGCACGGGATCATCTCCCATGGAGCATGGGCGGCATTCGCGACGGAGGCGCTGGGGTTCTCGCAGAAGTTCCCCGGCATCACAAACAGCCTGCTGACGCTTGACTCCAACTTCCGGCTGCCGCTTTACCGCGAGTATGTCTTTTCCATGGGGGTATTGTCGGTCAGCAAAGAGTCCATCACCAACATTCTGACGCGCGGAGGCCTCAACGGCGAGGGCATGGGGCGGGCGGTGACCATTGTGGTGGGTGGAGCGCGCGAGTCGCTCGAGGCGCAGCCACGCACGGCGCGGCTGATCATCAACGAGCGAAAGGGCTTCGTCAAGTTGGCGATGCGCACGGGGGCGGACCTGGTACCCGTGATGGCTTTCGGCGAGAACGACCTCTACGACCAACTTGACCCCCACAAGCACCCGTGGCTGCACGGCCTGCAGCGCCACGTGCTGAAGGTATGGAAGTTCACGGTACCGCTGCTACATGGGCGTGGCATCTTCAATTACGACGTCGGCATGATGCCGTACCGTCGGCCGCTTAACATCGTCGTCGGCCGCCCCATTATGGTCGCCCAGGCCGACAATCCCGACAACTCGGAGGTCGACCGCTTGCATGATCTATACGTCGAGGAGCTGAGGGCTATCTGGGACCGGTACAAGGATGAGTTCGCCAAGGACCGGCTGGGGGAGATGGAGTTCTTGAGCTGAGTTTTGTATGTATGAGAGGCATTATTCCACTGAAAAGGAAGAAGAGGGTGGCGCTTGGGAGAGCAGCTTCTACGATAGATGTATCCTTATCTTGCGGTCGGTCGGTCATGCTTACTGGATGGGCTGGCGGTGTCTGGTGCGCGCAGCGTTTAGTTGATTCTTCAACGGAAAACATGTTTTGGCGCTGTCTATCTACTTGTATGCACCAGCAACAACGAGCATTGTTGAATTTATTCTTCGCAAGAGCACCTGGCTCGATTTTGAGAAATGGCTGGTTGATGGCCGATATGCTTGAGAGGAGGACAAGGAGGCTCTCTCTCTCACCCAGCCCTGACGGAGAGATGTCTATCTGGGATACCCTCTGCTGCTTTTCCCTGGATGACTCGCATCGTGCAGGACGTTCTCGTGCGATGAGGGGACGAACGGATGGGTAGGCACGCTGCCCAGACAGACAGGACATGGCAGGACCTTGATGCTGCATCCCTATGTGAGCGCGACTACCTCTGACGGAATAGACTAGTTGATTCGCTCTCATTTGCTACGGAATATGGGCACGGATCCCCCATGGGAGCCGCTGGTTTGGTTTCGGACGGGCCTCGGGACTCGGGAGGCGGACGGGAAGGCTCAAACAGGAAATCCATGTGTGAGTGGCTAGCCTTGAAAACAAATGTGGGCATTCTGGTGTTATTTATGTCTTGTCTCGATATGGGGGGCGGCAAGCCACCAATTCCAATCACAGAGCGCTGATGCGGGGCTCTCTGCCTTATTCTGCTCTGCTCTTCGTCTGGATTAGGGTTTCGGCTGGGCGTGGGATCTGTCGTTGGGTTTCCCAATGGGGACACGAGGCGTTGCGTCCTGTTGTTCGTCTGATGTGTGAGTGAGTGGGAGTGGGTGTTTTGGCGGTTTGAAACCTTCGCTGTGTGGCTACGCGGGAGAGACACGGGAGGCTCGGATGGCGGGCCAGAAAGGTCCCGTCGGTCAGGCTTGCCTGTGGTGATCCAGGTGGCAATCTACTGTTTGTACGGCATCCTTCAGTGACTCGCCGAAAGGATGTGCATTTCGGTCTGGCATTGGAACCTCATTTCATGGCATCGATGCTGGGCTGTGTGCCCAGGCCGGTAGGATGCTTGGGAGATCGCTTGGGAGTTGGAACTAAGGACGAAAAATAAGAGAATAAGGAATAAGGAATAAGCCGACGCCCGTGCCGCCCTGCCGCCCTGCCATGCGTTGTCTCAGTCCAAGGGTGGCTCTCCACATTCTCCTGGCCCTGGAGCCCTGCTGGAGAAACCACAGGTGTATCATGCGCATGACGCAAGAGGCTTCGATGTCGATCTCGTTCCAGGAACTGAATTCTTACGGGTTCTATGTGTGCTAGCTTGACCGGCTGAGCGTTGTCTGAACCGCAGAGCCGGGCCATTCGACATTCCCGACAAGTGCGGCAGACTGATGTGAACGCGTATGTGTCTGTGTCTTGTGTCTGGAGTCTGCGTCTGTGTGTTGTTCTCGTGTCTCTTGTCCCCGGACGCCTGGTGCAATGGTGACGGATGATAGCAGGTTACAGAGCCTTGCCAGGGTGCCGCTGTCCCGGATGATCGACAGGCACAGGCCCACGAGCTGCCAAGCCTGCTGTTTCTATCTTACTCCCTCCTCTTCCCCCAATCACTTTCTTTGTCTGCTGCGGCTGAGCACCGGCCGCCGTGGGCGCCCATTGCTTCCTACTCATCCCATCTCAAACTTCCCAAAACACTTCCTATCATCTCATACACTTTCTGCTCGGCCCCCTGTGCCGATTCAAATGTTTGACGCCGACGCACTACGACGCCCTGCTCGTATAAGTCTTTTTGGCCCTGCTGATTTTCTTTCTGCCTTGCTTTTTCCCCTTTTCCCCCCTCCAAGACGAAGCCTCCGAACCCCCCGACCGACCGACCGATCCGGCCCGGATTTACTCTGCAGGACCATGATATGAGAGCCGATGGGGCTTGTGTGTGAGGAGATCCGCCGCCAGCACCGCCGCCTGTCTCGATGACAGCTGCTGCCCCCAAGGTCGGATCCTCTGTGGACTCGGACTCGGACCAACCCAACTCGCATCCCGAGTCTTGGCCGTTGCCCGGGCCCGGTCCGCAAGCCGGCAGCGTCGGCGACGGCGACCATGCCCGCCAGCTCGACGCCTCCGAGCTGGGCGCGCAGGGGCGGCAGCAGCAGAAGCAGCCGAAGCAGCAGCAGCCCGGTCAGGGCAAGCGGCCGTGGTGGAGGAGGCGCATCGCGATATGGTCCTTCGTCATCGCTGCCGTCCTGCTGGTCGCCTTCGTCGTGCTGCTGGTCCTGGGGCTGCTTGGATACCTCAAGGTAGGCGCCTTTTCTACTCGGAACCAGACCGAACAGGCTTCGTCAGATTCAGAACAACGCCCGCCAAACCCTCTTTCTACTATTCCTCTTCTTTCTGAGCCCACATTCACTTCTGTTGCTCCCCCTCCTCCGCCAGCGACCTTGACTGCCGCTGCTGCCACCCCCATTCCGACTAATCTTGGAACGCTCAACATTGTAAGATGATGAACGACATGCCGGCGCTGTCCCTTGTGGTCCCTTCCTGGCGTTCCTGGTACATGTGTTGAGAGCTGTTTACATTGTCAGAATTAAATTATCGCCTCATTCTGTTGACGAGTTGGCTGAGCCGGTATTTCTGTGGCCTGTCATCCTCATGGGAGGAGATTGACATTGTTTTTTATTCTCTGAGTTCTACCTATTTATATTTCTGTGAAGCTTGCATCGCTCGAGACCCCACCAGACCCTGTGTTCGCATAGTGTGCATGTATTGCTGTTATCTTTCTTACTATGCTTCAGATTGCTGACAGACCACTACTAGCCGGGCCAGGATCCGCAGGTCAACTTGGGCTACACGACCTATGTCGGAACGAATTTGGATGGGGGCATCAACCGGTTCCTCGGGATGCGTTATGCAGCACCACCCGTAGGAGATTTGAGGTGGAGGGCGCCGGCAGCTCCGCCGACGTCGACCTCACCTCAGTCGGCCAAGTCGTTCGGGCCCATCTGCCTAGGAATCTCGGTCTCGTCTTCTGTAAGCTACGAGAACGAGGATTGCCTTTTTGTCAACGTCTGGGCCCCACAGAACGCCAACACGACGTCCAATCTACCGGTCTGGCTGTTCATCCAGGGCGGCGGCTATGTCTCCAACTCTAACGCGAACTGGGACGGCGAAGAGGTTGTCCGCCAGTCCGGGAACAAGATCGTCTTTGTCAACTTCAACTACCGCGTGTCCATGTGGGGATTCTTGGCCAGCTCCAAGGTTCAGGCCAACGGTAATCTTAATGCCGGTCTGCTCGACCAGCGCTTCGTCATGGAGTGGGTCAAGTCAAACATCGCGAGTTTCGGGGGTGATCCGAACAATGTAGTCATCCATGGAGCCTCTGCCGGAGCAGGGTCCGTTGCTCTGCATCTTATGGCATTTGGCGGCCGGAACGACAACCTCTTCACAGCAGGCATCGCAGAGTCTGTCTTCTTCCCTGCGCAGCCTTTCGTGCCCCAGTTGGAATACCAATTCGACCGCCTTACCAACGCCACAGGCTGTGCAGCACAGCAGGACCAGTTGGCGTGTCTGCGCGCCTTGGACACAAAGACCCTCCAGGCGCAGAACGTCCCCTCCATCTTCCCAGGCCGCACCCAGCCGCCACTGCCCCTTTTCTACTGGACGCCCTGCATTGACGGCGACTTCCTTCAGGACCTGCCATACAACCTGCTCGCGCAGGGCAAGTTCCTCGACGTGCCGCTACTGTTCGGGAACGACAATGATGAGGGCAGCTACTTCGCCACCAACGCCGCCACGCCGGAGGATATGGCCGAGTTTTTCCAGAATAACTATCCTTTGCTCACGAGTGACGACACCGCCGCCATCACTCGCACGTACCCGCTCATGGCCGCCCTGCCCCAGCACAATGCCTGGTTCCCCAGCGCCAGCATGGCCTACGGCGAAGCGACCTTCATCTGCCCGGCCATCAACCTCTTCGCGGCGTACACGCAGGCCTCCTTCTCGCAGGGCACCAGCACCGCATCGGCGCTGTGGCTGTACCGGTACAACGTGACTGACAACGACAACGTCGCAGCGGGCGTCGGCGTACCGCACCTGTGGGAGTCGTACGCCGTCTTCGGCCCGACCAACCTGGCGTCCAACAACGTCCCCGAGAGCTATTTGACGTACAACGCGCCCATCGTCCCCATCGTCATGGACTACTTCCTTTCATTCGTGCAGACGCGCGATCCCAACCCGCTGAGGGCCGCAGGATCCCCCGAGTGGGAGAGCTGGGGGTCCCAGATTGGGACCAGCAACGGCACCAGAATCGTGCTCGAGACCAACAACGTCCGCATGGAGCCCGTCGAGGCGGCGCAGGCGGCGCGTTGTCAGTTCTGGGCGGGACTGGTGCCGAGGACGCAGCAGAAGGTGAAGAAGGCGAGGAGTGAGGCGGTTAATCTGCCACTGAGCCCAGGCTCGCGCCAGGCTCGGAAGAGAATTTTATATTAATGCGGTGGAGTGGTGTCAATAGAGGTTCGAAACAGAGTCGCGATATATACATGGGTTAGCATATTGCTACTTCACAAGCCGAGGGCAACTCGAGGACATTTACACCACGTACTTAGAACATTAGATAATGAGCTTTGCATAGCGCGCATGGGTTGGGTATCACTATTCTAGACGTTTTGTTCATAATTGGATGTACACTTTTGAACCAGCACCACCGTCCTCCTGAGACAAGTTTTTAATAGTGATCCAAACCACCTCATCAAATCAGAGACCCGTTTCCACGCCTCAATCATGAAAAGGCGCATGACTTCTTTTCAAGACACCCCCCAACCAATCACCTCGACGGACACTCTGTCGATAGTGTGCGCCATTGACGCTCTCATCCCTCATGTCCTTCCTTCCCGTCCACAACCGGACCCAACAAGGTCCTATACAGTGCCACCATCGCAAACCGAGTGCCGCCACCAGGCCCACTGTACAGCGACGCGCACGGCACAACAGCCATCCCGAGCTCCCTCATGATAGACCCCATCTGCTCAGGCTCAAAGACCTCGCAGTTGACATATACAAGGTACGGCATGGGATATCTGGCCTCCGCCTTCGCCTCACTAGATCCGACACACGGCACGCACCCGAAGCGGCTCTCATAGCTCATGCCCACGAGCTCGTTAGCCTCCTCGATCTGCGCCTCCAGAGCCGGGGCAGCGGCCTGCTGCTGCGCGGTGTCGCCAGCACCAGGGGCCTCGATGGCGGCCAAGCTGTGCAGGTAGGTGTCGCCGCCTTCCTCGCCGGGCCCGAGCACGACCGCCGAGTGGCCGATGCGACACCTGCCGCCGCGCACCGTGTCGAAGCTCTCATCGTCATGGACTGCGAACCGGCCCGCGGCCTCCCACTCCACGTGGCTCAGGCCGGCGTGGGCGTGCCACTCGGCCTCGGCGGAGCGGGGCAGCTCGTCGACCTCGGCGGCGAAGAAGAAGGGCACGGGTCTCCTCGGCCCCTCTTCCTCCTCGTCATCCCGGGGTGTGTTGGCGTAGTACGGCAGGCTGGTCTTCTCGGCCTTGTCCGCCTCGCCGTTGCCGTAGAAGAGATACTTGGCGTTGAACCTCCTGTCCCACAAGTCCGGTCCGGAGTTGTCCTCGTCGCTGAGCCGGGGCGATACCCACTGGTGCGCGGCCCTCCACGCCCTCCACGCGAGCATCGCCTTGTCCTGCGCCGGGAGGTCGTATTTCGACTTGCTGCTGCGGGGGAAGTACACCGCCGCGCTCGTCCACCACTGCACGCTCATCTCGACACCAATGCGCCAGAGATGCTGCAGCGAGAGTACTAGCTGCATCTCCAGCCCGCCGTCTGTCGGCAGGTCCATAGTCGCCGGCACGAGCGGGATCTGGCCTGCTATGTGGGCCATCCGCGGCCCATTGGCCGCCTCCTTTGTGGCCGCCATCGGTAAGGTGATGGCCTGGCTGTAGGGGCCGATGTTGGCGGGTGCCCAGTATGATCTGGACTGCACATGCAGACCTTGCCTGTCCGCTGCGCTCGCTGGATCTGTTACAGTAACGTAGATTGTGATTTTTGTGTCTTCGGGTAGGATATCGCCACATGCGATGGTGACGCGAGAAGGTGGGTTGGGGTCAGAGAAGAGAGAGCCATAGACTTTGTTGATGGTTTGGAAGTCAGACATTGAGCGGAGTATGATGACTGTGGAGACGATGGCCTTCGGCGTGAGTTCCTGCTCCCGGAGACGAGCACGGATTGCATCGACGAGGATGCTGGTATCTGCCTCAATCGAGAGCTTGCCGTGTTTTGGGTGGCCGATGAATGCCCAAGTCTGTAGTGTAGGCCCCATGCTCAGGGAAGAGACACGTTCTTCAGTGTCCTGGGTCATATCCGATTCATCAACAGACTTCATATTCTCCAGCGTCGCAAAAAACCTCTCATCGAGGAGACCTGGCCTCCTAATGACCAATGATTCCTCATCAGCCTCGGTCGTCACCTTCTCCACGACCCTGGGGTACCGAATTCTCAACCACGCGGTTTCGCCTCCCTCTCGAATAACCTCCCTATCATCCTTGATTACTGCAATGCTCTTCTTGAACAGCCGACTCGGCCCATCAACAACGAGAGTCTCGAACTCGCCGCCCTCGCCCAGAACCGCTCCCTCACCACCGAACCTCGACGCGGCCACCTTGAGCATCGTCGCGCCCTTAGCGCTGGCCACGTTCTCCCATAGGAAGCTCTCGTTGAGCGCCCCAGACGCGACCTTGATGATGCGCGCGTCCAGCCCAGCCGAGCCCATGTCGTAGAGCAGCTGGGCCTCGTCATCATCAGCGCCTGCCACGGATGATGACGGGCTAGGAAGCGCCGGGTACTTCCACAGGTACGCCAGCGGCGTCAACCCCAGGCGGATGGCCACGGACTCGACGCGGGTGCGCTGGTACGTGCTGAGGATGGCACCGGCGCTGACGGCGTTGGCCTCTGGGTGGGCTGCCTTGACTTTCTCTAGCAGCTGGAGCATTGATTCAACTTCGTCTTCAGTGGTCGTAGAGGCGGTCGAATATTCCCTCCCGCTCTGGACCGCGCCGCCCACAATCGGCTGCCGGTACAGCGGAATCCCGGTAGCTTTGGAGTAGAGTGGGATGACCTGGTGCCCGACCGTTTGATACATGAACGAGTTGAGGTCCGTCTCCTCGTCACTATCGGCGCTCGCGCCGTCTTCCTGGGGCTGGTCCCTGTTCAGATTCAGCTGTGCCAGACTTGAGTCTGGATCATCGCTAACACTGCCGGCAGCATGCTGGGAACTGTCATGTTGGCTACCGCCGGCTCCCGTCACACCCGGCCCAGAGCCAGAGCCAAAGCTTGTCTTGTCACTGACAGGTCTAGAAGTTGGCGCCGATGGTGGCGGAGGGTGCAAATTTGCCAGGGCGACCACGCGATGACCATTCTCCAGGCAGTGCAGCGCAGAGAAGAAGCTATCCTTGCCACCAGATATCAAAGCAATGACATTCAAGCCACCATCACTCCGAGGCGGCGGCGCCATGGTGGCCAGTGAGTGTCTCCGCGGCAGGCCTGAGCGGGCTGGCAGGTTGAAGGGCCCCAACTCTTCTGGGATGGCTGGATATCCGTGTGTCTCGTCTGCGAGACCGACACCGAATCGCGCGCACCAGCGGAGACGTCAGACTTGGCCTTGTCCCGACAGAAAGAGATCCCCACCGTAGTGTCGGGACTGATGTGTCGTGTCCCGGCACTCAGCCTCACTGCGGACTTCGGGAACTGTGGCACCCAATATGTCAGGTCCCGATTATCGCGGTCGTATCGATTCGTGTCGTATGCCGTGGCACCCACGTGCACGCACAGTACGTCGAAAAGTGACCAAGGATAGAAGACTTTTTCGTCCTCTACGTGCTGCTCCTCGGTTCGGTGGTGTCCGAGTAGTCAGTTCCTCCAGGCCATTGACGATCGCGCTCTAAAATAGTAGCGGAACACTGTCTGAGGTTGATGCGGCCTGAAGAGACGACTCACGAGGGCGCCGATGACGAGTCAGGCCTCGTCAGGTTCCGACAATGACTGCTCAGGCTGCCTTGGCGTCGATCTCTGGATCCGTAGCTGGGGCCCTAAGTCTCGTCCCTTGGGGTGAGTCCTCCTAGACGATATCCCCACGTTGTTGAAAGTTTTCGACGGCCATCCCCAGTCGTCGGCGAGGTCTAGCCTGGCAAGGGTTGCAAGGGTTGAACCCTTGAGCCCTTGGACCCTGGGTGATACCGACAGAGGGGTGCTGGTCGATCGTTGACGTGATTTGTTGGACGCGCAGAAACATTGCACTAGAGAAAGCAAAGACTTGGGAGATCGACCTGGACCTGAATGGTGTGTGTTTGGAAAATCTGTGCGCAATAGTCGCCAATAGTCAAACTAATGATCCACCAGCTCTGCAGATGCTGAAGAACATCGCCGCGTGGTCTAAGATCGGCGCGGTCCGAGCTGGAGGAATACAGGCTGTTTAGTCTATCTACTGTCTACGTTGCTGCTTCCGAGCTTGCCACACGGTTTTAGGGCCGGCTATCATCAGTGCCCAACACGAAAGTATCTTGATCACTGGAACAAATTGCCCGACTACAGTAGATACTATACTATACGGGCAACCAATGAATCCTGAGCAGTCAGGTCAATCTATGTGAGACCGTGTCATTCGGTCTTTGGGCCAAATCATCGTCTCGGGGGATACAGCCCAAGATAGCTAGATGGTCTCTAACGGTATCACCCACAGAGCCTGACGTCTCTGTCTCTCAGATCGACACCATCTGATCACGGCAAAGGCAGCCACGATGCAGGAACCCAAGAGCGGTGGCCCACGCCAGCCAGCCAAACAGTTGCCACCAGCAGCACCAACGTAGACACAAGGCGCCATGGCAGCAATGTACTCCCGGGCGAGAGATACATCGGCCACAGATCCACAAGATCTGACAGCCAGCCCAGTCCAGCCAGCCATCAGCCATCCAGCGCTCGCTCGGCTGGCAGAGCGAGGAGCAGGACCACACGAGGCCATCCCTCGCACAGGATTCGACCGGCGCCCAGAGCACCCGGGCGCCATTGTGTCTCGCCGTGCCCCTCATAGCCCTACGAGCACGCGAACGACCACCCGATGCCCTCCGTGGCGTGTCTCCCGTCTTGCGCCTCCTGCCTGCCAGGACGCACAAGCACGCCCACCGTCCCCGCCGAGCCAATCCTCACCGATAAGGGTAGGCTGGATGGCAGGCAGGTCGCCCTTAACCTGGCCACTCACGTGGGGTCTTCCTGGGGGAGGAAGGATGGAGGGGGTTTGGAGGGGTGCAACGGGGAGGATGAATGCGCATCAGATGTCGAGATGCACAGCATGGTGTCATTTCCGGCAGGATCTCAGGGGCAGGGGGTGAGGGCAAGTATGTGCGTGTGCTGTATGATCTTTTTGTACAGCACTTCAACCCGAGTGGAAAAGTCTCTAGACGAAGGCGTCTCGCATGCAGTCAGCTGAAAGGATGCAGGAACGGGTCTCTGGGGTGAGAGGAGGGTGAGGGAGGGGAGATCGGGGGCCAAATCGGTTAGTTCGGAAGTAAGCAACGTAGCCTAGGTTTTTTTTTTATTCCTCTGATATCGACGACATACGATACCTGCCTATGGGCCAATTGCCACGGCAGGATTACGTCGTATCGCATGGTAAGAGCCAGAGCACCGCATCGAATTCTGACCACCTGCACCAGCCAGAGTCCGATCTCACTCTCGTCTCACCTCGTTTGGCAGACATTGAAGCCCTGGGACTTGTGGGTCAAGGCACTGGGTACGGATTGAGGTTCGATTCGATTCGATTCTGCTGTATTTCTTGGATTCAGCTACACTGAAGTGACGTTTGTCCTGCTTCCCGTCTCGTGGTACCAATTGCTTGTGACGAATTACAACCAATGTAGAAGAGAAACCTGCTCCACAGACTGACTGCCGAGACGGAGAACGACTTTCAAAAAGAAAAGGTACTTGATTTCGCACAAACAAGCTACTAAGTTCCGCTCTCAGATTCCATCATGTGCCTGTCCAGACAAGGCTTTTTCGCGGCCGTCAAACCAGGCCATCGCGCCTGTCCATTCCCTTTCCTTGCCATTGCGAGAACGCTCACACAAAAAATTGACTTCGGCCCCGGTATCATACATACACTGGACTCCTTACATTCCCGCTGTCCTGTCCCTTCAAGGATCAGAAACTCGCCTCAAAATTTTTTTGCTTTCCCCCGAAAAACGATTCGCTCTCAATTGTCCTCCCTTTTTTGGTTGTCATCATGCATTCCCTGGCTCAGGTGAAAGAACTCCGAATTCGAGACCGAAAGAACCTCGTAGTAGTGATACAGGAAGGCCCAGGGTGTTGTAAATGCAGCATTTGAAAAGTTACCCTCGCGTAGACTTTTGATCAAACTCCTCATGACCTGTCGTGAGCTTGCTGTGCGTAGCAAGAACCCACGTGGAGTGATCCTTCCCTTTAACCCTAAGGGTGGCTTGCTCCGCGTAAAGGTAGCGGGGTGGGCCTAGTCGTGAAAAAAGTTCATTCAGTCATGCAGCGTCTTGTCTTTTGCAGAGCCGCCGAGATTTGGAAACAAAAGCGAGCAAGCTCGCGGAAGCGAAGACGCTTTAGTCAGAACGCTTCCTCTTCTTCTTGCCGTTGCTGTCCTCATCGTTCGACGACATGTCGCTGCCATTGGCGGGAATCTCCGAAGCCACCTGGAAGAGAACCTTGCCGAAGTGGCTGTACTCCTCAGGGCCTGGTGGTCCAGCCATTGCAGGGGCGTAAGACATGCCTGGTGGCGGGTGGCCGTAAGCGGCAGCCATGTTTGGGTCGTCAATCAAGTTCATGACGATGGCTCCAGAGCCATGGGTGCGTGCATGCTGGGTGAGGTTGTCTGAGCGCGAGAACTTCTTGCCACACTCGTTGCACTCAAAGGGCTTATCATGAGTGTGGAGGGACCTGTAGTGGCGCTTCAGGTGTTCTTGTCGGCGGAAGCGGCGGTTGCAAAGCTCGCAGATGAAGGTCTTCGAGGGGTCCTCGGTCAGGGACTGCTTACGTCCACGACGGTTGGGCCCTGAGGGGGGAACCTGAGGGGTGCTGCCATTGTCGGAAGCGCCAGAGGAGCCACAGTTGGGAGTGGTTGACTCTGGGGCGGCGCTGCCACTCTGGTTCTGGTGCTCGGGGGTCTGCTGAGGCTCGGAGCTGCCCTGCTCAGAGTCTGCAGCGCCTTCCGTCTTGATTCGCTTTTGACGGTGACCGTCGCTGCTGCTTGCAGCCGAGTCTGGGGGAGAAGGCATGCCGAAGGACTCGGAGTACTCGGAGTACTCAGAGAAACTGTGCGAGGTAACTCCCGAGCTGGATCGCGACCTCGCCTGGGCTTGCTGCTCGCCAAGGTTGACGAGGCCGTTGACGAAGTTGTCCTCGGAGTCGAGGTCGGAGAAGTCGTCAAAGATTGGCAGACCGTTGGGAACCGGGGGAGTGACCTCGGCGAAAGAGGTGGAGGCGTGTTGCGAAATTGCAGGGGATGTTTGTTGCTGGCCGTATGCGTCGCCCCGGAGCACAAGGTCGTTCTCCTCGTTGTCACCGGCGCACAAGGTGGGCAGGGCGGAGAACTCGGGTGCAAGGGTGGGGTTGACGGTGCCGACGGTCAGGTTGCGAGGATCGCAGAAGTCGAGGCCCTGCTCCGAAGCGGCGTAGGGCGAAGGGCAGGGAGAAAGAGATGGGCACGAAACGGACGAGCTGGTGATGGCAAGGTCGGACTGGTGGCCAGGAGCAGGGGACGCGGGTGCGGATGCGCAGTACTGGGGTTGGGCGGCCTGTGCCTGAGCTTGAACCTGGCTGTGCAACTGTACGTGTCCCTGGTATGGCGACTGCTGGGGCAGGTACACTGTAGAGGGGAAAAAAGCCACTTGTCAGCACTCTTTTTCTTCGCTTCCAAAATTCCACCACAGGACTGCGAAAAAGAAAATAGAGAAATTGCCAACGGCGGCGACAATTTTTTAATGCTCCGTCTTGTGTAATTTTTTTCTCTCCAGACAAAAAACATCCGCGCCTGATACGTCTTTCGCAGGACAATGCGATTTTCACTCTGGCACAATTGGGCTCGACGTCCACAAATGGACTAGTCCGCTTTTCGCGACTAGGGATAATGCTGCAATGGAGTATCGACTTACTTGGTGTCATTGGCGGCGAGGAGCATGTGTTCCACTCCAGCATCGGGAACTGCTCAACGGGCAGAACATCGACTTCCTCCTTGATGCCCATTGGGGTGCCCTCGAGGCCCGAGAACATCGGGTTGAGAGGGGTCGCCAGCATGTCACAGCTGCCAGGGCTGCCCATCACGCTGCCCGCGGCAGACAGTGGTGGCGTCTGAGGGTAGCACATGCCATCTGTCTCGTCGAACTTGACCGTGTCCAGGACGATCGTTGGCCTGTGGAGCGCCTGGTGAACCCGCACTGGGGATGCCTGAGGGGTGAGCACCTGTTGCTGGGGAGCGCTGGTGAAGCTGTGCTTCCCTTGGGTGTGCATGGGTGGCTGTGAGCATGAGGAGCTGGGTCGGGAGAAGCCTGGTGTCGAAGGCAGTGGTGTCGATGGGAGCACCGGCACCTGAGGGAACATCTGCATCTGTTGAGGCACTGCGTGGTGTGCGTAGGGGTGGGCGTGGTGTGATTGGGGTTGAGGGTGAGGGATGAAGTGCCCGTGATGCCTGTTCTCTGGGTTGGGGTCTGGGCTGTAGTAGAAGAAGGCCGGAGCCATTGCTTGCTGAGCCATCATGGATTCCATTGTGGTGGTGCTGGTCTGGTGTCTCAACTGTATCAGCCTTGATGTACTCTTGGTATACGTCTCGGGTATTGTTCCCACCCACCAAGCTGTGATGTGTGATCGTTGTCTGTGTGCCCGACTCTGGTCTTTGGTCCGCAGTTACGATATTATATGTATACGACGTGGTGATGGTGGGGTATTGTACACGTCTCTTTGAATAGAGATGCTGTCGAGGCAAGTGGGCCTAGCGATGGTGTGGTGTCGGATCGATCCGGTTCAAGGAATGGTTGACAGTCTCAAGTCGGTGAAGCGAGAACTGTCTAGTTGGATGCTCGTGGGCTACTGTTATACATAAACTCGTCTGGGAGGGACCGGGCCTTGGGATATTGACTCTGTTCTTGGGTCAAGGGTGCAAGGCGGTAAGAGAGAGTGGAGGACGCGTTGTCGTCTGTACGTAGTAGCAATAACGAGTTATACTGAAAGAGGGGATGGAATGGATATTCCAAAGTCGAGGCCGGTAAAGAAAGGAAGAACCAATATGTAAATGGAAGAGGGAAACGTCTAGCTATCTGCCGATCACGAAGTGGAAACAAGAATGAGTGTGGTGAAGGGCAAACCCCAGAGAATATGTAAAGAATGAGGGCAAGTGTATAGTAGAAAGGTTCCCAAAAAGGATCAGCACCACCAGCGGATGGGTGTATTGCCTAGAAAGGGTAGGGTGAGTCGCTGACTGGGGGGGAGGGCTTTGGCTCGCCTCCCGGTCCCTACCCTGGCCTTGGACCACCACACCGCGGAATGGGATGCCATGCACCAGGAACCCTGCCCATGGCCCAACCAGACCTCCACCCTTGCCCACCTTTCCTCTTGTCTGCTTGTCTCACTTGCGCCCGCCGCTGACGAGGGCTCCAGTCCCGGAACCCCGGCGGGCGAGACGGTGCAGAAACAGCATCCCTGCTCGCATGTCTGGGGCAGGGGGCTGGAGATGGTGGGAGGAACTTGGGTGCTGGGTGGGTGGGCAGAGTGCGCTAGCCGGATCCTATTTTAGCGACCTCTCTGTGACCGCGAGGTCGGATGTACCGCTCGAAGATGGGTACATGGCCCATCAGGGTCGTGGGTCCCATGGCTGTCCCGGGGTCCCGAGTGGTCTAGGGCCCCAGCGGTGGAGAACAGGCACCCTAGCACCAAACAGAAGACGTGTGCTGGTCCGCTGGTTGAAGTTTGGACGGGCACTACTGCTCAGTGCATGATGAGCCCAGCAAGTCCACCACATACGACACCTCGCAGCTCACAGACGGAACAGCGTGAACAAGGCCCCCAGTACTGTGTACCGTGGGTTCCCTAAGACAACGCCTACAGACCGCCTGAGAGCCTGGCGCTGTTACTGGTCAGTTGCTCGGTGCAGAGGAGGCGTGTGGCATGCTCAGTACGAGCATGAAGACAGGGCAAATTCAGCTATTCGTGTGGCATACGAATGACTTTTTGCCACCGCGCACGCTGTTTTTCCTGTACTATTTGTAGCTGAGGTATACGTCACGGCGAGAACACGATCGTCTCCAGGGCTCTCATGTCGGGCAGGCAGACTGGCAACAGTGGGCAATTCTGACGCTGAATCCTGACTTGATCGCTGTCGTGGTGGGAGAGTCAGCTCGCGGGTGATGGAGACAAGAGACCGTCTTTCATTCGAGGTTGACACGAGCGGGCGCAGACGCAAATCCGTGCAATGATAGTGCACCATTGTGATGTGGTTCCTCATACGTGTTGTCGCTCGCAATTTGAGAAGCACTGTGGGAAGGATACAGGTACCCTATGCTCACCCACTCGCGGCACATGGAGGGTGGCACGCCTGGTACGCCCAGCGCACAAAACCCAGAGGGCGTTGGAATTGGTGGGTTGCGACAATTCGCTTGTCACTCGTGCAGGCTTGCTCCTGTCCTTGGATTCGCTCCCAGCTGCTGGTTGGGGCCCAGAAAGACCCCACAGGTACTGCACAAGAGACATACTGCACTGTGCCTGTCTTGTGCTCTGCATAACGCCGGCGTAGCAGTGGGTCCCTGCTCCACTTGATAGGACAGGACTCAGAGGACAGCCGCTGACCACACAATCGCTCAGCATGTCGCTCGCACTCGAGGATCGACTGGTCCGCCTGTCCGCGCGCAGAGCTGCAATTCGACGCACTCATTCGCTTCTCGACATCCAGTCGCTCGCCCAATGACTCCCCCCGAAAAGGGTGACTGGACGTGCTCTGCCTGCGCTAGGCATGGTGAACGTGCCAAAGATTGTGCAGAACGTGACGCTGAGATGACTGCGAGACACTCTCCATAAGAAACGCCCGTTTGCCGACGAGCTACACCAAAGCGTCGCGCCGTCACCGTTCAAAGCGCCGATCCAGTGGTCACCATGACTGTTGACGATGTGTGATGGCCTACACAGTAGTGTGCCTGTCGCCATAGTAGGGGAAGCTCAGGCCTTGTTCCGCCTAGGGTGGGAGGCTCAGCCGCCAGATTTTTACCACAGCACATGTAGTTGGCCCTACTAGAGTTTATGCGTGGCCAGTGATCTTCAGGCACTTCCCATGCCCAGCTAACGTGCCACGCCACCGCGCTTGTCAGTCGACCCGGGAAGTCGAAACATGCAATGTGGGTTTGTGCTGTCAAGCGCGGCAGCCGATCTTCTGATGAGGCCTCTTGAGTCAATAATAGCATTGAAAGTGTCGTCTCACTGGCATGGCCGAGGATGAGCCGCTGTGCATGGCAAACGAGGTGGCAATGCGATCCAAGTTGCTGCGTCCTCCAAAACCGAGGTCTACTGCCCAGTTACGGGCAAGTGGTCCGGCGGGTAAAGTTGCTTCGGGCACACAAGATACTATAGTATATTGCGCCAAAGGCTGAAGACGTAACCCAAAGCCAAATTTGAACACAGGCCCGCATTAGCAGTGGCTGTCGGATCTAGGAAAAATCTGAAATCTGCAGTGAGATTTGATAGTTCGGACCGACGCTGACGGCAGAGGGGCTAAAGGGGGACGTGTGACGGTAACAATAGGATCACTTCCAAATCAGGAGAGGGAAAACTCTGTCGACGACGCATCCAAGAATAAGTCGATTGAGTGATATCGCACCTGCACCAAAGGGCCTAATTACTGCATCTTAGAGGCGTGTGCATGGCATCTTCAAGTGTCTTTCCTGGAGCGAGATGGATGACTGGATGGGTGTCTTGTCATCTTAGCGGGCCTCGCTCCCAAGCTTTCAGTCAGACGATGCGTCATGAAGCTCGTTGGCCGTTCCTTGCAGATGACGGCCGCAGCGAATGGGGCATCGCAACGCACACATTGCCTCCATGATAGCAGCCAGCCCTGTTTGTGGAGTTATTTGATGCGGCGCGGCCCACTCTCGAGGCATCTCCTCTGCACTTCATCTCCTCAGGGCTGCCTAGACGTGCTGGGCTGGAACCCGACATGCAGGGAACGAGAGGCACAGAGAGTGCGAGGACATGATGATGGCTCATCGATGGCGCTAGCAGAGGGAAAACGAGGAAGTCAAATCGATTGTGACGAAATGCGTCTGTCCCTAGCGTAGAGGCCAACCAGAGGCCTGGGTAAGACGCCGGCTGCAGCCGTAGTAGCCAGTTGAGAGAGCCACTGCCCTGGAGCTTCCTGCATGCGCTTGGCCCGGATGACCAGTCAGAAGGCGGCGCACGGATTTTTGCTCAGGCTGCTGGCGCTGCTTGCGCTGGTGGTATCGCGACGGTCTGGTTCTGAGGGTGCTTGGCGTGACGCTTTGGGCAACCTCGTTGGTGTGTCCAGGTCGCAGTGGGCGGCAGTCCGGCTTGATCTTATCAAACGGCAGCCTCCCCTCCCCGACCGACGGGTATAGCTTCACATGTTGACGCCGTCTGGAACATGTCAGCGGCTCGCGCGCGCTGTGATAAGTGGTCTGTGATCTGTGATCTGTGACCTGTGATCTGTAGTAGTAGTCTTGTGGCTGCTCCAGGATCTGGGCTGCGTCTGTCGAATTGCTTGCCAGGAAAGCCATCAGCCCTACCTGGGCTAGGCCAGCATGGTGGCAGAGGATCCAGAGCACCGGGTATCGCAGGCGACATACTCCCAAGATTGTCTATCGTTGAAGCCATGATGGCGCTGGCTTCTGGCCCATGTGCTCACGCTCTCAGGCCCGCAGCGAGTGCACACGTGTGCGCGTGCGTGCATGTATGTAAGGTATGAATTCAGGCGATCCGCCAGATACAACCCGTGGTTGTGGTGGCTGTGAGCCCAAGCAGTTGGCACCTCCCCATAGATTCGGTGGCATACTTGCCCCCCAAGTGCGGCAAGTTCTCTTCGTGTTGTGGCGGCCCGACGTATCGACTTGGGTTCTGACTCTCGTCAACCCACACCATCGCTCCAGCACGGCATTTACAATGGGACTGCTTGCTTCCGCCTTCCGCCTCCGCTCCCGCTTCCTGTGTCCCCTCAAGAGCTCGTACTCATTTCAATCCCTGGCATCAGTCCATGGCATTGGTCATGAGCCAGATTCTCCAATCGCACCGTACGAGCACCTGCGAAGGAGGACATGCGATCACAAGAGGCAGGATCTGCGTCTTCACGACCACCATCACCTGTCGTCTGCTTCGACATCCTGAAACATACTTCCTAGCACCACTGCTAGTCTCCGCACTGGACCGTCCGCCTCGTCCAGTAGAGTACTCACGCACAGAGACACTACCTAGGCACTATGCACAGCATGCCTCGATTGGGCGACCAATGCGACTCCTCCAGCCTAAATGGCAAAAATGCGTGGGCAACTTGCACCAAGTTCATCCACTGGTTCTTGTTTCATGTTTTGCCGCATCGCAGGCTATACTATGGCGCACAACGTCGTCGCCGACGATCCTCAGAAACTTGGGTATGGCATCGGGGCATTCGCTGGCCTCGACAGCCAACCGGTGGATATGTTGTGCTATGCTCATGGGCCAGGGTGTTCCTCCCTCGGCGACACTTGAACCAACGGATAACAGTTACACTACCTGTGTTGGCACGCTGCCAGCCTGACAGTATCCCACAGCAACAGTACTGTACTCCGTACTCAGCTCAGTACGCCACCGCGCAGACAAGGGCCAAGCGACCTTCGTCGTCGCCCTGTCGCCCGCGGAGTCTTCACCTTCCCGATGCAGCCCGCGGTGAAGGGCTTGCTTTGCTTGCATGCTTGTCTGTTTGCTCGCTGTCGTACCAGCACACGGTGTTCCTGCAGGGCCTGCGAGGTCTGCGGCTCCGAGTCTGGGCCTGTCACCTGATTGCGTTGGTTTGCATGATATAATGGACCGATCGTCTCCGTTTTCTCCACTGCAAGCCGTAATGCAAACGTTCCTGCTTCATTCTGCGGGCGGCCATTTGTCCCCTTCTGGAAGCCTGTCATAAATGCGCAGTACCAACTCCAGTCGATCTGTCAGGTTCCAGCTGCTGCTCCGTCTGGTCCGTTTGGAGACTGTATGAGGGGTTTTCTGGGCTCCCTCGATGAAACCACCCCTGTCGTCCCCGCCGTCTGCATCCCCCGTCCTGGTCGGTACATCCGCAGCCACCATGTAGCTCAGCCTCTGTGGTACTCGGCCGTCGACACTGGTGGTGGCAGCCTCTCGTACCTGCATACAACCTTGCCAATCTAATGCAGGTACTGCGTGTTCACCCAACACGGAAAATTCGAAAATCGGTCGGCTCGTCTTACGACAGCCACCCAAAGGCTGCTGGGACGCGACGACAGGCAGAACAGAGAAGGAATGGCCTCCGATGGTTAGTACTCTGCTCCTTACGGCCGTTGACCACCCCATTCCTATCGCACGTTCAGATCTGGTCTCTTGCTGAGATCTGAAGCGCAGATGGGACAGCAGACCCGGCGGGACCTCCCGCCGTCGCTCCCGAGTCATTCAGGCCCTCATGTTCACACGTCTCGCCGACACCGAGCCCTGCTCATTCTGTGCACAGTACTCGCTTTTCTGTACTGTATATACTGACGGGCTTAGTGGCCGGCCCCGTTTCCCGCTGCCCATGAGCCGTCAGACCGTCTTTTGCTAAATTCCCGCGAACCGTGGTCCTGTATCCATCTGTCAGGGCTCGCTAAGCAGCGGAACCTGACAACTCTGCACCACAAGGTTACATCCACGCCAGGGTCTAGGGCTGCCGGAACCGGCAGACACTCTCGCTAATGAGTGCAGCAGTTTGGCGGGGGCCACAATTGTTGGTCAAGAAATCCAACACGGTGCCCGGCGGTGTCGAGCAGCCCAGCAGCCTCCATGAAAGCAGACAGCGGTCTTTCCATCGAGGCCCTCATCGCCTTTGCTTGGCAGAGGGATCTGCGGCTGCCATTCCACGTCGCCGGGCTCAGGGACCTGGGCCTAGATAAGCGCGATTTTACCATGGATTGCCCGCTCACGATCCGAATTCGCCACCAATCTTTTGGGTGCTGGCGGGCGTTGATCGAACTTAGTTTGATTGAAGTCCAAGGTCGTGGAATACGTTTCTGCCATGGAACGTCTCGCATCTCAACTCAACTTCATCGTGAGTCCGGTTGCTATGATCCGATGTCCTCTGGATCCTCTCGGAAGTGTCCGTCGACCTTCGCGGAGACACTGATGGATCGGATCAGGTAGCGATACCCGCACGTCATTGAAGGGCATTCTAGATTGGCCATGTGTTGTTGCTGCTCCATTCACGACTGCCGGCAGATAGCCCTCGTCGTGTCCCCAGTCACCCTATGCCTAACCCGACGAAGATGGACAACGAGGCATGTGCCATGCTACAGTATGATTCCCCACAACGTTACTAGATCTTCGCCGCGAGGACCGTTTTGGCGCGAGGAGAACCCACTGTGGACAAATGCTAGCCGTCTTGGGATAAATACCTCTTTCACATGATTATTGTGGTATAGTATTGTGGCATTGGCTACGAAGTACCACCAGGGTCTCAAGTCGCTTGCTCATCGAACCAACTTTAGCTAGCAGCCAAATTGATGGCGGCCAAGCTACTCGTGGCTATTGTATATCAATGTCCTGGACCCATGGCTGGATTCGCTGGAAAACCAATATTGACCACTTAGTTCCAGCGGAGGCTTGGTCCCATTACGGACCGCTGGTTTGCGGGCCGCGGGCGGCCGTCAAGTTCCTTGTTGGTGGCTCGAGAGACGGCCCAGAGAGGGCCATGGTGGGAAAAGCCGACCTCCCCGGCCCAAGCAGCTTGCTGCCCCGGATTCCCACAGTGGCTCGCATGAAGCAGACAGGGACCCCCTAGACTTTGCAATCTCTCGTACCATCTCTGCGGGCCTGGATCCTCTAAGCATCGAAAGCTTCACCGCGAAGATCTCAGGACCTGGATGGCGAGCGACTCGCCTATCTCTGCGTCACCTGACCCCCTCTGCTAGGCACCACGAGCAGACTCACGTGCTAAAGCCGCAGACTCTGTCAGTCTTCAGGAAGTCTGGGAGGAAATGAGGAGTCTCGACATGCATCCATTCGGTCCTTTGACTGATTCAAAACCACCAACTACTCTGCCCACAGGCGGCGATACAATTTCGACCGAGGGCAGACAGTTGTGGAAGACTTAAACGCGACTTGTGAACAGCTTTGAGCTCCTTGCAAGGATTCATGGAGCACCCCGCCATTCTAATTCCCATGCCTAACTCTAGCAGTTCGATGCGGTGAGCTCTGATTGAGCTCTGTACTCTCAACAATGTCATGCCATAACGGGCGAGAGATGCATTGCCTAAGAACCGGTGTGAAAACGGCGTCGGTGCGTTCTCTAATTGGTGAAAGCTTTGTCGAGATGATTGTACCTCGACTGGCGACATTGACTCTTCACTATAACCCATCAGGCACGCACTTTCTTCGGGCTTATTCGAGCTTCTCGCACGGTGACAAGGAATCCCTTGCTGCCTCCATCAATGCAGTATTTTTGCGGGGCCGGTGACCAATTGGCAATTCCGCGGTCCTGGCTAGCAGAGCCTTCCTTGTCCTTCTCGAAGGTTTCAGCGGGCGCTGAGAGGTGCTTCGAACAAGCGGCGTAGGAGCAGGAGTGGGCAGGCCTGCTGGCTCGGCAGCTTGGTGGGGTCCAGGTCGGCTCTGCGACGCCGCTTCAATTTGACTCGCGCCATCCACTTCATTTATCGCATGCGTCCAACATCGCCCGACGCTTTGATTCACCCAATCCCTGGCTGCCAATAGTCTGTCGTCGAGTATTATTGAGGTCCACGATGCTGCGACCTAGCAGCATAGGCAATGTTTACACTGAGGCGGCGATCATACCGTCGCTGCCCATGAAATGATGACAGGCGCGGGCACGCCGAGGGCAATCCATCATGAACACTGTCGCGGCCTTAGGTCAGTCTAGAAGGATTTTAGAACATGCTTGCCAGCAGTGCAGGAGGAGGGCGTCACTGTCGGTGTGGCATGCAGTAGCAGGCGGAAACTTCGCGAACGCAGGTTGGACACATTAGCGGCACCAGACCGCCTTCTCCATTGTTGTTCCCCAGCTCCTCTTCTTCCTGTGAGGGCTGAGAGAACAGTTCATCCCGCAGAAGCGACCCCACGAACGACTTTGTACACGCATCCTTCGTGGGGGTGGTTGCATTGGCATGTCTGCCACGAGAGATAACGTTCGGTCGCATTTCTTCAAAGCATCCGGCGATCGCCTCTCGACAATCTTCCAAGTCCTTGACCGTGGGGCTCTTCCCCAACTGCCTCGCACACCGATGCTGGGGCTGTCAATTCTAGACTTGATGTGGTTAGGCGTCTCGGCGGTAGACGGCGAGGGCGACGATCGTTCCATTGCTGCTTCTTGCCCAAACTGTCTCGGATGGGACCGCAATCTCAACGGTATGGGTACCCCGCCGTTGACAGCAGCCTCTGCCCTGGAGTGTCTCAGATCCAGGCATCTGTCGGCCGTCGGAAAAGTAACAGCCTTGCCTGTCAGGCCATCTGCCGCATGGACATTTATCGAGGCAGTGTAAGACTCGCAGGAACGTGCCTGTGAGCTGCAGCGGTGGCACTCGGGACGGACGTATCAGATGCCAATTGGCACAGTCGGAAACCCGGCCAAGAACAGGATGCGCGGAGTACGGACCGAGCTCGAATCCTCTTGATGTGTGCTACGGCAGCACATAGTCTACTGGGTAAAAAGCAGCTCATGTCACATGTTACGTCCCCCTACATGCTGCAATAGCTCCCAATGCTGCGATCCGCGCTGCAGCTAGCCCTGTTGGCTTAGAATATAGGACGGCAGCCCATAAAAGGAAGTACGCTGCCATCATGATATCGTTGAGCGATCATCAAGCTTTGACAGAAGCATGGTCTTCTGGGCTGTCAAAAGCGGGAAAGTCTCAGACCTGAAACCACCCGTCCTTGTGCTGTCTGCAACTGGCTGCGTGGTGGCTGCGTGGTGGTTGCGAAGCTACAGCACAAAGAGCGCACTACTGCAGGGCCGCTTGAAAGCTCAATGGCTGCTTGGGTGCTGCGCAGACTAGCAGACTCGACGCCAACTGAGGGGAAGACGCAGGGGTGCAGGTCGCATGTTGCAGGCTGTCCCATGCGTGCCGAAAAGCTGGAACCGCAGATACGGTTCACAATGGAAGCTCTGAAAACCCTGTCTGGCTGCTCACTCGCTGGGCCTGAATGCATCAACGTCAGAAGGGAGGTTGACGTTGACATGGGACAGACATCATGGGCCATCCCCTCTCGCCGTGAATGACAGCGGGCCAAAGAACGAGTACGAGCCTACCGGGTACTTTTTGAGTCCCCAGTCGTCCCCGTCGTCCCAAGCTGCATCAAGGGACTCCCCTAGACTGCGCTGTGCGCTACGGTTTCCTCGGAGCAGATCATAGGCCTAGAGTCGCGGGCGGGTTGAAGACTTTGCCCGGCGTCATGGCCTGACGTAGCGCAGAGCTGGGCAGTGCTGAGCCTGCTGCGGGTGGTAATCAACAGAGGGCTGCATTGCGAATTGGCTGAGCCTGTTTCGTGTCCCTCGTTTCCACCCGACGCCCGAACTGGCAACCAACCCTCGACGTAACGGGCATTGGTGGTGACGCATTTGCAGATCGCAGGACATCCCATTTGCATCCTAATGATGTCTATCGGCGGGGGTGGTCTCGGCCACTGCCTGAGCCTAGTGAGCGGCGCGCAGAAAAGGCAGATGCGTCACTCTTTATCACTGACCTTTGCAGCCTTTGCGATGTACTGTACTTTGGCATCCTTCCCAGGCAGCGTCTTTTCTGCCTCAAAGGGGATGATTACCTTTCTGGGCAGGTCGTAGGGGATCCTGATGCATCCTGGCCGCTGCAGACGTTTGGCAGTCGCACCAAAGTCGAAAGTGTTATGATGGGGGCGAGGCTTAGCTACCAACAGCACTGCGTACCAACGCTCTCGGGGTGACCCGTTCGTCTGGACCCGACCTCGGCATATGCACGCTCACTGCTTGGCATCGCGATCGGGTTCTCATTGGGGAAACCATCCTATGCCCTCACTCGGGTCACCACACCATCGCAGTGCTCTCCAGATCCTGCAGGACGCTTCTTGAACCTTGAGAGCTCGTGCAACTGTTGGGGGCCAGCCGCGTCTCCCGCAACGCAACGCCTTGGGACGACGGCTTGCGATTGGCATCTCGTTGGCTCCTGGGACACTGGGATGGGGATGCGGCGAATCAAGGTTCGGAGGATCTGCCAGGTACGAGTTGCGCCCTCCCGCCTTGGTTTCCATGCCATTAATTCAGACAATCAATCTATACAATCCGATGTTTTAGAGTTCAGCTGGGTGGACTATCCCAATACTCCATGAGCACTGCTCACCCGCTGGCTTCCGATGATCTGGCCAATTGGGACTGTGCTGCCTCGGTAATGCCTCGTCACTGACAGCTTTATCTCAGGTTTGTGCGGAGAGAGCAGACATTGTCCGACAGGGACTATCTTGTCAAGATCTTACTAGGAGATGCCTGCTTTCACTCGACTCAGTATCGTCCCAAGTACCAGGACTGGTCAGGTCAGGACACAAGCCGTAGATCTGCCCATCGACGTGTCAAGGGCACTCCCCAGCGGGCTGTGGCCATAGTGAAAAGGGTGCCCTGTCGAGACGTCGCCGGGAGAGAAGGTTGACGCGTAGATCCCTTGGGTCCACCCCATGCTTTTCGCTTCCATGGCCCATGAAGCGGCTGATCAAGGTCCTATCGATGACTCTGCAACAGTGCGGTCGTCCTTTTAACCCAGGTCGCCCACATACGCCGGTGCAGCCCGCCTCGGCTGTTTCAAAACTATTTTGGACTCCGACAAAGTTGGAAGTGGCCCCGTCCATTACTAGTCCCGCATTGAAGTGCGTACCTCGACGCCGGTGTGTACACCGAGCAGCATGGCACGTTGCAGCGCTGTTCGAGGAGGGCCTTTTTCCTCTGCCACACCGTTGTGGGCAGTCTGCTCCGGCCGGGCGCCCTGGTGAGCAACCAGCGGCCGAGGTTCTGCCATGTTCTGGAACACCCTCTCAACCCTCCCTGGGTGCGTACACGTCTACGTATGGCATGATGATGATGATGTTGTTTTAGCTTCAGGTTGAGCAGAGTTGCGCGGATGCTTTTCTGCCCATAGCACGCTGACGAGGCTTTACGGCGGCGATACTGTATTTCCTGCGAGTGCAAGAACATCTCTTGATTCGAGAGGGCGTTGCTATTCATGGCTCTTCTTTGATCGATGGCGCCGAAACAGATTCCGATCGATGGCGATCCGGTAGAACTCCGGGGGCACGTCTCTTTTTTTTCTTTTTTTCAACGTCTTCTGTTTTTCTCTGTGCGTGCTGCATGTCTGTGGGAACCGCAGGTTACCATTCGGGCGCGATTGAGATCTCGGGGAGCCTTGCCTGCTCCCTGACGGCCACGGCCGGTTGGCATTTGCCAGACCAAGGGCACGGGCGTTTTGTGTTACGACGTCAGGATGGTGGGTTTTGGCATGTCATTTCGGTGCCGGGAGGTCTGGAGTCTGTTCTCACGAGGTGGACATGGATGTTGTGCAGTTTTGACGTTCTGAGATGCACGCATCGCATATTGGGGACAATCTTAAACCTCCGTCACTGCCGAGTCACATCTAAGTTGCACACCTTTTGTGATACCGTTGCTGTGTACGTTAAGATGACAGCCGGGCTCGAGCGCTTACGCAGGTACTAGTCGTCCAGAATACCCAAGTGGGTTGTTTTTGCGGCCGTGACCCGTTTGTTTCCAGCTTGTAGAACAGACTAAAGTCTCGATTCAGTTGGCTCATTCGGATTATGCCTGATAACGGCCACTATCTCTCGAAGCTTCCCACTCTGCTTTCGCAGGACTATTATGAGACGTGCAGATGATCGACTCAAGATCAACAAAACCAACCGAGCTTTGGAGAACGGAGGCCGCCGTCGGAAAATCCGGTGCTGCGCATTCATGCATGGCCAGGTTCCAAGGTTGCGCAGGTGTTGACTAGGCGCAGGCACAGCCTTGCGGGTTTGTCTCGGGCGAGCCGCTTCGGTTCGGTTCAGCCTGCCAGCTTTCTGCTCCGACGACCAGATCCCCCTCCTCCCATCTTCTAGGCCCTATAAGATGTGCGTGTATGGCGGTTTTGAGCAAGTTATTCCGTCCGATCTGCGAGAGAGGGACAGGCAGGTGTCGCGCGAGTTGATGCTTGAAGCCCGTTCGCCTGCCCATCTCCCTGCGTGCCTGCGTGGACCCTGCCTCGTCGTGCGCAATGCTTATATGAGGGCTGGCATGGCCCTTCATGAAGATGGGACGACCGGATAGCAGATGGAGCAGATGGCGCACCTCGCACAATTATGCCGACGATCAACCCTGGGATCAACGGTCCAGTAAAACCAGGTCACGCTCGACAGAGGCTAGTCTGGCGATTGGCTCCTCCGCCGTGCAGTGGGAGGGAAAGTCTGTGTTGTTTCGCGTAGATTAGAGTTCCCGAGCCGCAGGCGTCATCTTCCCTCTCTCTTTTCTCGATGTATCCTGTGGGCTGGGGGACTTGTGCGCCATGCAATGCGTGCCCCCCTCACCCCCGGACACCTATAGCATGTCGCATTACGACAGTTCGGCCGTTGTGTCTTGGGAGCGGTCCTGTTCCTGAATTCGACTCATGGGTGGCTTGTCATGGGCGCACAGCCTCCTTACTACCGCCTAGCTGACGCAAAGGTCAACGTTAGTGATATGTGTAGGTATGTCGCTACCGCAAAGCCATCCCTTTCGTGGTGACTCGAGGTGAAACCCTCACAGGTGGTGGAGAAACTATCACAGAAAGGGAAAAGAAGAAAAAAACTTAATTCATCGTAGCATTGAAATCTCGCCTATCTGAGATCGGAGCACACGCCAAATCCCGGGGGAAGGGCGGATGGCTCCATCGTACCAGGAGACAGCCGTCTGGAGAGCGGAGAAAATGCCATTGCCTCCACCAACACGGTCGTGCTCCGGGACAGTAGCTGACGGGTGTGGCTTGTCATGTCCCCCAAACCTCGTTAGATTTGCGATCGGCGCTGGGCTGCCCAGAGGCTCACGGTCACATCGTGCGGTCTCTACGCGACGGAACGGGAAATTTTCCATACGACTAGGAGGCTTTGGAGGTCGAAAGGGAAAGGCGCGGTGGGCTTCGAAGGGAAGGGAAGGCTAGGAAGGCTAGGGATGTTTTTTCTTGGATGGCATCGCTGTACGGGGCAGATCCCGTACCTTCTCATGTGCTTCCGCCCAGTTCGAATGTGACTTGGAGACCATTAGCTCTGGATGGTCTCACGTTTCCCGGATCCGGTCAAGATGGATGGATTCTATGCTGTCTAGTATCAAGTGATGAATGCTACAGAAGATAGAAGGCAGGGATGGCCTTCGCCGGCTAGATTTCGGTACAAGAGCACTGTGATTGCAACTTGACGCCTGATGACTGCCTGATCAGCGCCGTGGCAGCTGAGGTCCGGTGGAGGTCCATTGCGTAATGGAGCTTCTCCCAATGATGGGGCTCAACCAACTAATTTCGCGACGCCGCGGCGGCAGCATTCGCTTCATCAGCACGCTGGACACATTCCTCCAACACGTGCCAAAACTTAGTGGTATCGAGACCCCTCGGTATCCGCACGCCTTCTTCTCCAGCCGGAAGCAACGTTGCGATGGTGCGGCCCAGCTGCGATCCCCGGTGTAGAGCGTCGTCGTGGGTCCCTTCGGTGATGACCTTGACGGCGAAGCGCTCGCGCTTGTTCGGGTTGTCCGAGGATGAGTTGGGGTCGCACTCGTCAAATGGAATCTCCCATTTAGTGCCAGTCAGTACGGCGGCGACTGCCAGCGGGTCATGTAGAGGAGGGCCCTCGATGATGCCAAAGATGTCTCTGTCAAGCACAGGCAAGGCCATTAGCTTCAACATATCTTCATGGAGACTGATCGATCATATTATACACTCACTTGTATGTCTTCGCGAAGAACATCAACAACTCGACCAGCATCGTTCGGAGAACTGTCTTGCCGATCCTAGGCCCGGTGGTCTCGACCGGCTCTGTCTTCGAGTCGTTCAGGGACACCCTGTCAGCCCCGTACAGAAGTAGCTCTTGGACATCCTGCCTCGCGAGCACAAGATGTGTCGTGTCAAGAGGCAAGATGGTTGTCTTGGCTGCGAGTTCCTTGGTGTCGAAGATGAATGCGGAAGCTTCTGGATCAATGACAATGTTGCTATATCCTCGAGTGTCAGTGTGACGGTCACATCAATGGAATCTGACACTGGCCATGTCTGGTTGGCATGCGAAGTATCATAGGCTAGGACTTCATCAAAGGCATAACACTTGTTACGAACCACGATGAAGTCTAATGTCGAGAGCCAGAATTCAGCACTGTCAAAGACAGCAGTTCATTTGTCGTTCCCAATGATCGATGGAAGCAGTGTTGATGAGCGTCTCATGGACGCAGTAGAATGAGAAGAATAGAGCACACTCACAACTCGGCCCATGGAGTCCAGTTTCCGATGCGAGCCTTACCATCAACAATGCCGTACACAGCGCTGGTGAAGCCATCTCCGACCGCGCCCCCCATGAGACTCAGTCCCTTGACATGACCGATCAAGTCCGGATACGTCTGGAACAGCTTGGCAGCGTTTGTCAGACTGCCCGTTGCGACAACCCACGCCGTGCCGGGCTTGCACGACCGCAAGGCGGCGGCGGCGGCGTCGATGGCGGCGACGTCCTTCCGTGGTTGGACGAGGGGCTCAGGCAGCAGGGACGTTCCATCCAGGCCGCTCTCGCCATGGATGTCCTCGGCGTTCTCGGACAGGCGCGGCCTCTGGAGCGGCGACGACGCACCAGGGTAGATAGAGATGTTCTGGTGCTGCCCAATGGCTGTGAGCACGCTGGTGGCATTCCAGGTTACTTTCCTGGGAGGCTGTGGTCAGCTGCAGGCCTCCTCGTGTTGACAGGGACGAAACGGTGGTGCGCTCTGGACCGGGATCTGCCAAAGCAAGAGGCGCCGCGGGAAGACCGCTGACTGACCCATCATGCTTTTTCGGGTCTCCGATGCGCGCGGTCCGGAACGATTGCGAATCCGGGACGCACGTACTCTAGCGGAGCATTGCCGAAGACTGTCGATATGCCCAAAAGCTTAATGCCTGGGTGATATGCTGCGAGAAGAATCGCGAAGACGTCCTGGACTCCGGTCAGCATGAAAGATCTTAAATTAAAGACGTGGTGCTTCTGAACGGGTTGGGATATGAGTTGCGGTGAAGCAGAAAGACTTCAACAATGTGCGCAGGAGTCGTTAAGAACCGTCATGGTCTCTCTCAATCGCGATTCGTCTCGAATTGTGCGTTATCAAAGACGAACGAGCGAGTCTGAGGGTTCATGATGCTTGGAGACGCAACTCACGTCGTGTCCAGGGTCGGCGTCCAGCCAGACTGGGACTCTCTCGTCCTCTGTCATATCGGCAGAATGCAGTGTCTGCTTTCTCAAATGAATGGAGATGGAGTGTTCAGAAGCAGTGACTGTGGGGACACCTCGAAACAAAGAGCGAGAGCAAAGTCTAAAGGTGTAGTCAGAGCGAGGTGCAAGGAACAGCAAACGGAACGGTCAGTTGCGGTCAGTGTTCGGTGTGTCGCAGGAGCGGTCGCCGAGGCGGAGGGTCTAAGCCGCCCACTTCTTTGCGGCGCTTCACCCGGCAACAAAGCGGGCTCACGGCCTCTATCACATGTTCGCAGCCCAGTGGACATTGTGAGAGGAGGACAGCACTGCATCACGATCGGTACTCAGTCAGCCATCATTGGATATACAAATAATTTTTTTCTACGCTTTATTCGCCAACAGTTGGCCATGCTCGAGGGTATCATCAATTCAGTATTGGCTCACTGGTGCATACCTGCCCACTTCCCCTGAGCCCATGCCGGGTCTTTACGAGCCAGCCGCTTTCCTCTTCTCGAGGACTTTCATCACGTCTGCAACATTGTTGACATCACCCTTCTTCTTCTTGGGCCCTCGCTTGCGTTTGGACTTGCCGCCGCCTCTTTCTTCATCGTCGTCGTCAGCACCCCATTTAGACAGCTTGGTCTTGCCGTCGTCTTCCAACTCCTCCTCATCCGCCAGGCGGTTCGTGCCGAATCCTAGGTCCATATCCTCCGCATCGCGATCTGCGGACGCCATCATCTTCTTCAGCCTCACCTGCCTATCTGCCTCCTTCTGCTCCTCCTCCGACTTAGTGGCTGCATTGAGCGTCTTTGCTTTCTGGAGAGCAGCCAGAACCGAGGGATCGCTCATGGCCGGTCGCGCATTCTCTTCCTCGGATATCAAGCTGGACTTGAAGTAGTTGCGAGGATGTTGTGCTTGCGGCTTGGGTGGGGGCCGCATGTCCTCTTGAACTGCATCTTGGCTTATAGAGTCGACCTCGCCCTCGCTCTTTGGTGATTGAGACTGTGCCTTTGCCACCTTCTTCTTTGCCTCGTCGGCGTCAGGCTCGTCACTGTCGTTCGAATCGGATGATATGCCGCCCAGTGGATCGTAGTCTGACTCCACATCAGAGAACATATTCACCTCCTCGTCCGCGTCGGCCTGCTCCTCTAGTTTCTTCTTGTAATACTCCGGGACTTCCATACCCAGCACTTCGGCATTAGGATTAACCTTGAAAGATTCGCGCTCTCTCTCAACCTCTGCTGCAACTTTCCGAACCTTGCGCTTCTCATTGCCGTCTTCATCGACAATGATAAGCACCTCCCTGCCTCTGGCGTCGCGCTCTATCCTTGAGCCTGGCTCCTTCTTGGCGCCAATCTTTTTAAATCTTGACCCTAGAGCCGACTCCTGCTGTGCTTTGGCAGCTTCACGGGCAGCCTTCATCTCGGCTAGGATCTGGTCCCGCGTCCGTTTCTGTCCTGGGACCAGCGTCGTGGTGGCTAGTTGACCCTTCTTCCTAGCCTTCTCCCTCTCGACAGCAGTGACCTCCTTCTCCTCTAACTCCTCAAATGCGTCGTCCACATCCTCTTCCTCGGGTTCGTCTTCGGCCTCGGGCGATGGCTCCGCTTGCCCTTGGCTGGGCTTTGCTCCACTGAAGACATCCTCGCCTCTTCTGACCCTCTCGAGTAACTTGAAGTCGAGGCCTTTGATCAAGTGCGTACTCGACAGATCACCGCCAGCAATCTCGTCTCTTAGCTTTTCAAACGTGGCTTGATCGATCTCCTCTTTCTTCAGGGACTCCTCTAGCGCTTGTATCCGCGCTGCCTTATCATCCTCCTCCTCCTCTGCCTGTCTCTGTTTTGCGCGGTCAACGTAGCCCTCCGCGAACTTTGTGCCCTTCGGTGCAGAGGTTCGGAATTTCTTCTGCGGTCGGTCTTGGTTATTGCGCTCAGCGAGTTGGCGCGCAAAGTCGACGCGGCCTGAGCCTGCACCAGCCACAGATCGTCTGCGAAGACCGTGTGTCAGTGTTTATGCCACCCTCAGAACTGTTCCAAAGAAGCTGAGGTAGAACTCACGGTGTCATCGGGATGCTGGACTTCAGTCGCGACCCGAGAGCTGAGGACCCAGCACCTCCAGTTGCACGTGGAGATGGGGAAGCGCCATCCTGAGCTCCGCTCGGCGAATTGGCTAAGTTGGCGAAAAGCAGTTTCCGAAATTGGTCGTTGTTCATTTTGTACCACCTGCTCCACGTAGAAACTTCCCTCCAAAGAGCGAATCGTTGAGGTGCATGGTGGAAGTTGGATTTGGACGCTGCGAGTTATCGGGGCTTAGCCCACTGGATGAAGCGCCTGCTCCGCCAACCCCCCCCCCCCCAACATGCCTCCCAAACACCCTCCTCCAAGGGTTAGGAGAATCTCGGCACCGGAAGTGGTCAGCTGAGTTCGTGGCGACAGCCTACGCGTTACGTCAGATAACCCGCGCGTCCAGTTTCACACGCCTTTCACACAAGACACTCATGTTGATATGGCTGGATTTGCTTGATACCCTTATAGAGCTTATAATCAGGCTTTGAGCTCATGCTTTTCTGCCTGGAAGCGTGGCCAAGCGCCCCCGCACCATGACTCTAATGTTGCTGTCCTGTCGACTTGGCTCACACAGGAAGAAGTGCTGATATTCGAGGCCATCTGAGCTTCATTCACAATGGGTAGCCGTCTCGACAAGAACTCGAACGCGGTGCGTAAGCGCATCGAGGGCCACACCTTTTCCGATGAAACCGGCGAGGAATACGAAGGTAGCGCCTTTGGGGGCTTTTCCGACTACTTCCGGCGCAAGAAGATCAAGCTTCAGAACTTGGATGCCGAGCTTCGTGAAGGAAGCAGTAAGGCCCAGATCTTCAAAAACGTCGTTGCTCATGTGTCCGGATACACACAACCGCCCCTGCACATCCTCCACAAGCAGCTCGTCGAACATGGCGCAGGTTTCTTGCAGTACTTGGACTCCAAAACGATGGCCACTCACATAATCGCCTCGTCACTCACGCCAAAAAAGGCTACGGAGTTCAGTAACTACCGAATAGTGAAACCAGCTTGGGTTGTAGACTCGATTGCTGCGGGCCGTATGCTACCGTGGTCAGATTACCGGGTGATCGATGAGGGTCCGAGGCAGAAAGTCATCAAGTTCGGTGAAGATGGCAAGATCTCTTCACAAGCGAACACGCCGCAAAGAGGCTACAATGACCAGATTCAGAGCAGCTTCTACACAAGCCAGTTCAAGAAGCCTACGACTCCGGCTAACAAGGGTTCCTTCCCAGGCTCATCTGCCACAGTACAAACCCCAACGCCATCAAAGTATGCTCCTTCGAAACTCCAGACACTTGAAAGCATCGAGGATGAGTACGGGGATGATGTTCTGAAAGACCTGGAAATGGCAGACTTGAAAACCTCGTCTCCCGTACCAGAGGAAACACTGGAGACAGGCGTGGATACAGATACTGCTGTGAGCTTCGGGGAGGCAGGAAGCCCTTCTTCAGAGCTGCATGGTTCTGTTCAGGATCAAAAAGTCTCGCAACCACCCAAGCAAATATCACACGAACCAAATGATCCATCCCGCCCTATATCCCACGACTCAGCTCTGACTTCCGAGGAGCACAACGCATGGCTCCTGTCCGATCCGAGACTAAGAAAATCTTCAACCGCGAATCCAGATTTCCTGAAGCAGTATTACTCTGAGAGTCGTCTACATCACCTATCCACATGGAAAGCAGAACTAAAGTCTAAGATGCAAAGGCTCGCCAATGAAAAAGGCAGCGGCACGACCAAGATCATCAAGCGCAGACCTGGAGCTCGGCGGTATGTTATGCACGTCGACTTTGATAGTTTTTTCTGCGCGGTCTCGCTCAAAAGTGCACCCGAGTACGTCGACAAGCCCGCTGTAGTGGCACACGGCACCGGAACAGGGTCAGAGATTGCATCTTGTAATTATCCTGCGCGAAAGTTTGGTGTCAAGAATGGAATGTGGATGAAAAGAGCGTTGGAACTTTGCTCGGACATCAAGGTTCTGCCATATGATTTTCCTGCCTACGAGGAGGCGAGTAGGCTGTTCTACGAGGCAATACTGGAAGTGGGTGGTGTCGTCCAGAGTGTCAGTATTGATGAAGCTCTAGTGGACATCACCATGCTCGTCCTGGCCGCTTCAGGGTCTGATGGCCATGGTGTCTCTGAAGGCAGCATCTGGAGAGAACAAGAAGGTGCAAATGAGCTTGCCACTGACCTACGCAAGCGGATTAGGGAAAAGACGGGGTGTCACGTCTCCGTGGGGATCGGCGCAAACATTCTTCTCGCCAAGGTTGCACTTCGTAAAGCGAAGCCGGCGGGCCAATACCAAATCAAACCAGAGGAAGTCCTCGAATTTCTAGGAGAGCTCAAGGTGGAGGATCTACCAGGCGTGGCGTACAGTATCGGCGGCAAGTTGGAGGAAATAGGAATTCGACTGGTCAAGGATATCAGAGATGTATCAAAAGAGCGTCTGGTATCTGTACTGGGCCCGAAGACTGGCGAGAAAATTTGGGAATACTCAAGGGGCATCGATCGTGCTGAAGTGGGCGATGTGTCGATCCGCAAATCCGTGTCAGCAGAAGTCAACTGGGGCATTCGCTTCCTCAACCAGCCCGAGGCTGAAGAGTTTGTCTTGAACCTCTGCCAAGAGCTGGAGAAGCGCTTGTTAAACGAGGGTGTCAAGGGCACGAATCTTACAATGAAGATCATGCGCCGGGCTCTAGACGCTCCACTGGACCCTGCAAAACACTTGGGCCATGGGAAGTGCGATACATTCAACAAAAGCACAGTATTCGGTGTTGCGACTCATGATGCAGAAAAGATTGGTAAGGAGGCCATCTCAATCCTGCGTTCCTTCAAATTTAGCCCTGGAGACCTGCGAGGTCTAGGTGTCCAGATGCAAAGGCTGGAGCCGATCAAGCCTTCAGCAGCGCCTGACGGGAGCCAGAAAAGGCTCAATTTTGGCACATCCGGTTCCCACTCATCAAAGAGAGTGGTAGCGCCCATGGCGCCTATGGGTCTCGATGAAATTTCTGATGCGGGTAGCCCTGCGAAATCAAGAGTTGCGGCTCAACAGACAAGGCGAGATGTGTCGGAAGACCCCATCTCGGACAACCCTCTCACTCCTCGCAAGCCGAAAGGGCCCTCTGTCCACCCTGTTCTTGCCCTGTCTAGGGCAAATGAGGCCGATGACAAGGCGAATACGCCCTTGAACGTCATGGGAACGCAGTTTATCATGCCATCGAATCCAGACCCTGAAGTCGTCGCGGCGCTCCCCAAAGACATTCGTAGCCGGTTAATGGCACAGCAACGGCGTCGAGATCCTGAATCAGGAGTATCAAGGGAGGGCTCTCCTGCCTTTCAGAACCCAAGCGGGCGTCAGTCTCGCGATCAGAGCCCCGCGGTGGTAGAGCCTCAAATCCCACCCGACATTGACCCTGAGGTGTTCAATGCACTCCCAGATGAAATGAAGGCCGAGGTGCTAGCACAATATGGTCCACGAAGTCGAAATGCACAGAGCATGCCCGCCCAGCCACAGTCACCACGTCGAGATCGGATCATCCGCCCACAGCCCCAGAGAAGCCCGGCCAAAAGGGGGCGAGGCAGGGGCGGGATCCGAGGCATGCTGAGCAGGACGCGTGAGAGGCAACGAGACGCGAGCGCCGGACTTATGCAGACAAGCTTTGTCACGATGGGCAACAGGAGGTCCGCACTGGAAAATGAAGCTGACGAGATCGAGGAGATTGACCAAGCCTTCCTGGCCGAGCTACCCGAGGAGGTCCGTAAGGAAGTCATCGCCGACCACCGCCGTCGCAAGCTCGCTCATAGGTCGGGGCTGGGCCTCAATCTACAAGGCTTGGGGCGGCGAGGCGCCGCTGACCGGGCGAGGGAGACCGCCGGTGGTCAGACCAAGATTGCCTTCCCGAAACCACCCGCCAAGGTGGCATTCACAGCAACCTCGCTAACCTCTGTCCAAGAAGTGAAGGATATGCTCAGTGCATGGCACAGGGAGACAGAGGATGAGGGGCCGCACAGGGACGATGTTGAGGTCTTTGAAAAGTACCTTGCTCGAGTCGTGATAGAGGAGAGGGACATGGAAAAGGCTAAAAAACTAATAAGATGGCTGGATTGGCTTGTTGATGACGGCGAGGACAGCAAGGGCAGGAAGGGCTGGATGGAAGCTTTTACCGGAGTCAAAAATGCTGTCCATCGGGCGTTGGAGGATAGGGGCCTAGGACCTATGGTGCTTTAGGTATTGCGGTATCGGGTACGCTATGTTTGAATATGTAGCAGGTGTTTTCTGCGCGTCATGGTAGGCATGGAGCGCGGGTATTTTGAATTTTTCATCAAAATGAAGATGATCAGCTCAATGACTCTCAGGGGCAAAGCTAAACACAACTTCAAAAGAACAAAATGACAAGGCTCGGTGCTAGAGTCCCTGGAAACGCACGTTGTACAACAATGCAACGGATGGATGAGAAAAACCTCATCTCGAAAGCAATTTTCCCTTTCGCCCGAGACGAATGCTATGGGTGCGAGAAGCACTACAATCAGGTTGCCATTCTCCAATAATACACCATCTCACGCTTCAAACCATGAAGGTAGTGCAGTGTCATCTTTGGTATGCTTGTTCAACGCACATGATCTGTTGGTGAGTACGAAGTACCAGGCCTGCAGTTTAATGCCCAACTCCTTGAGCTTCCCATCTAGGCACACGAAGTAGAGAACTTGCGGACAAATTCCACCACCCACAGCAAGCCTTCGTCATTTTCCCTCGCAGCCCACATCATGAGCGGCGTCATCCAGACTCACGGCCCGTCCGCTCAAGATATGCGCGCACCAGCATTCTCAGGGATGGTTGTCATTATAGCCAGTCAGTCTCAACCCTATACTCAGTCGCAGTCATCGCTTCAGATCTGCCGAGCCTCATATTTACATCAGATCTCCTCAGAAAATCTGCAGATAATGGAAAGCTGTCATCATCAATATGGCAAGACAATCCGTTTGCAGATGTATAATTTCTTCAACTGCATAAAGAAAACTCTGAGCTTTCAATTGAGGGTCATTCAGATATGGCTAGACTAGTTATAAACAAAGCGTCATCAAGCAGGCTAACATCCTACAGAACTGATAACCAAAACCGGAAGAAAGCAAAAGGGGAAATGGAAGTAATTACAAAAACGGCACAAGGGCAGGTAATGTACAAAGAAACCAACCACACGAACAAGGACGAGTCCAGGGCAATATATCAATCAAACATCAGAATCTTTTATTGAGGATAACAACTCAACCTAGCAGTTTCGAATTAGTTGTAGCATTACGGAGACGCTATTGCCACAACATTGGGTTTAGGAGTTGTCTAAGTTCAGTGTATTCACGACACTAGCACGGTAGCTCCGAAAGCGCTGCGCGAATAGAGCAATCTATAAAATTCCAGTCGGCCTAGTCGTCAGACAACAAGCTTTGGAACAAACAACTAGAAATATGTAAGTAACTGTTTGTTTCTGTTCGGATGGATCAGCATTTCTGACAGCTGTATTTCAGGTGCATCTGTCTGAGACGCTTTTATCAGAACTGCAGCCACCAGCTCGATAGAATCGTGCGATGTGTATGTCTAACTGTTGTCACCTTTGGAGCTTAAGAAGTCCCCACTGTTCCTTTGGGTGTATCATTCAAGCAATACTGAAAAGAATATAATTTATAGGCTTTACCACTCTATTGGAGGCGCGGACGAACTGATGAACATGCTCAACTTTCGCCATTTTTTGGATGTTTCGACTGCCTTGATGAGATTCGGGAAGACTACAGAATTGCTTGCCCGGATTGTACCGGCCAAGGCGATGTTCACAGCGAAGCTGATCTTGTAATGCGGTATCATACTGTAGATGGCAAGGCTAGAAACCCTGAAGCGTATAACTTGGCGATAACCAATTACCATCATTACCTCCTCAACCTTCTAACTACAGTTGTGCAACATACAGTTTCCAGTGAGTATCGACCTTTGAAACAGTTGTTTGCCCTTGGACAGGGCTTTCGCAAACATATGCACTACTTGGTAGAGTATATTTAAGTGATGAGAATAGAGCGTTTTTAACAATTTTCCGGATTTAGCATTCTATATCGAATACGAAAAGTTACGCCTGGAAAGGGAAGGTGGCGATGATGACGAACTAGCCGGAGAACAATTCTACCTTTGGGGTGCCGGGGACGGTTTGCTCAACAGGGGGATTGAACTCGTCCTGGCCGAACTTAAGTGCCGACACGCTACGACTCACGGAACTCAGGATCCTGTGGGCATGTGGCAACGAGACGAAACCCACCTGTCTGAGCGGAAGCCATATCTCAATAATGTTTCGACAGCCCTCAGGAGGCGTATAGGTAACGACTTATTATCTGACTTTGTTAGAGAACTGGGTCTTATTCTGTGGCCTATTCAAGCCCCTGATTTTTGGAACAACGGTTCGAACATGTGGTCAGTACAGATGTGGATTGATAGTGTGAGAGAATATCACGGGTTCATGAAAGCCCTTGCAGCCGATGACTTACCAGGTCCAATGAAACCGGGCGTGCCGCGCATCCCATGGGATACTTTGGAATATGTCCCTATACTCACCACATTGGATTTCCAAACTCGTTTGCGACGACTGAACACGGAAAAGTTAGATGAGCTGAACCGAGTTGAGATAACGGCCGCCAGAGGTGAAGATATACTTCGGGGAGATCGCCAACTTGATGCTTATCACAGAAATGAGAGTTTTATCGACAGGACACTATCATTCATCTTCGAACTAATAACTCTCGACGCTGGGCTCTCCAGGGATCGGGTGCTTGATATCGGGAGGATGTTCCACTCTATTCTCATGATGCCCTGGTACAACCAATTCGGGCACCTCAGACAGCTATCAGACGACACTGCTAGAGAGACCGATGACATGAACTCTCGATTTCGGTTGACTTTACTTGTTATGGACGACTATATAAACGCTGGCCCCTTCCGCCCCGATATTCAGAGGGACGCTTGGGTGCGAGATTTTTGGGGATCAACGTGCTATCAAGAGCTACTGCTCGACGGAAATATAAGAAACCCTACAATCAACAATGTTGAGAGGTCAGCCTTTAACCGCTGGCAAACATTCTACAAGGATTGGCTCAGGATACTCCTTGGTGTCGAGCTGACTGGTGTGCGTTTGACTCAGCAACAGTTGGACGCTGAATCCTTACAAAGCTGCGCCGTATGCGCTGACGACTATGATGTCAACAACGACTACGACTGCCCGGTCTACATAAATTGCGGCAACGGGCATACACTTTGTAAAAAGTGCTTCACACAACTCAGCCTTGTGCCGACAACACCCTACAGTTCTCTTGCCGGAGGCAGAAACTGCCCACAATGCCGGGGCGCAATAACCTATACCACACCTATGCCGGATCTCGCAGCTACTCTACCGTTGATACCAAGGCTAGATACGGACTTATTAACCTCCTCCGGGACTTAGCCAAGAGGTCATTCATACCTCAACATACCTCGATGTTTTAGCCTCATCTTCGAGTCGAAAATGCAGACGACGGGCTGGCCGTAGATGCTAGTCGCCAATGCACCGCAGGGAACCTGTACGTCGGCGAGGATCTTGGGCAAAGTGCTGCTGCAGCTATCGATCTGGCACATGAGCTGGGTCTACTCGGCATGCTCTCTCTTCTTTGATGACAAAGGCAAATAGTGTCGAAAAAGTCGTCCTCGGGCCCGGGTTGAGCTTGCAGTCAAATGCAGTTCGATAAAATCAACGACCAGTGGAGGAACTCTTACCGTATTTACCTGCGCCTGAAATGCGAAAAGCGAAGGCGGAAGTGTGTCCTTAATGTAAAGCTGCTCAACACCCCAAGATTTGAGTGCCGGCTAGTCTGGGTCTGCGCGAGGTGCCCTAGTGTGAACAGTAGTAATTGAATATCGCGTCTCAGATTCATGCGCTTTTCTGGGTGGATCTTTGCCTTTAACTTAGTTTGTCATTTGTCTAAGTCAGCCGTGGAAATCTTTATGATGAGAAAGTGGATCACTTTCTGATCCTCTCAATTTGGAATTTTCTGGTGATTCTTGTATTGTTGGTGCTGTATCGGAGCGCCGGATGGTGGGGTTTCCAATGCAAAGCTATCAACCATCCATCACCGCAATCCAAGACTTCCCTCACAATAAGTGAAAGCTTATTTCTGTCCGGGTCTTCTGGCTCATAAGCCATGGATGATCATGCGCAAACAACGTCCTAGGCCAATGGAGGAAATCAAACCGAGTTTACTCCGCCAGGATCGCGGAGAAGATCTGAGGCGGAGCTCTTGGTATAAACCCGCCCCATACCCCTCGATTCCATTGCCCCCTCATCGTGCCGCACTCAACACCAGAATGATTGATCGACTCGCTCACTAAACCTTCGAATCATGTCTTTCGATTACTCTTATCATTATGCCGGCTTCAAGCCACTCCGCGAACCGGTGGTTCGTATCATCGATATTTCGCATAATTTGGTCGTCCGTCAAGTGTCGACGATGCTCCGGAGGCTGTGGCTGGTGGACCCGCCCCTGTCAGACGAGGAGCTCCTTCAGGAAAATACGCTCAAGGCGTGTTTTCAGGCCATAACACAAGCCATTGGCAACGGAATATCAGATGATCCTGAGGAGGTGCGGTGGGATCACGGCCTCTGGCTATCACACACCGAGCTCCGGGTGCTCAACCCGGCCGCTCTGGCTGCAGCAGAGCCGTTTGATGTGAGGAGCGTTGTTTCTCCATGGCGGTCGGAGATTTACGAGATCTACAAACATGTCTTCATTGACATGTGGCGGATGATGAAGGAGGCGCCGGAGACTGACCACCTCGGGGAGTTTGATCCCTCCAAGGAAGGATCTGTGACCCTGGGCGTCCTGAAAGCCGAGAAGCTCAAGGCCGACAAGACTGCTTTCCGTACAGATACGTTCCTGTACCCGGTGTGGATCAACCCGAAAGCAAAAATTTCGTTCAGCATGGACGGCGTTGTGGGGAAGGAGCACATTTGGTCGGATGACGAGCCTTCGTCATGGGTTACGGGGCTGTGGGTCCAAGGTGAGAAGGAGGTCACTATGACAACGGAATTGGATGACATCGAGGGAGACCAGACTGGAATAGCAGCGGTCTTCGTAATGGGGCACTGCGAAAAGGGTGCTCCCATGCAGCTAATAGAAGAATTCCGGGACAGAGAAACAAATGTTTTAGGGCCGGCAGGTGGCGGCGACAGCAAAGCTCCAGATTACGACGTGCCTGAGTTTGTGGCAGAGGCTGATCACCTCGCGAGGGCGATCTTCCTGAAGGCGGGAAAGGCTGTGGAGCAATGTGCATTTGACATTGTCGACAGCGAAATCGACCAGCTCCAAGACACAACTTCCTGGCTCGAGGTGGATGTTCATGAGAGCGATACGGTATACGAGCCGCTACCAGATGACCACAGCATCAGGATTCTCATCGTGGAGCCCGAATCGGCAGGACCGGATCTCCAAACACGACTTGAAGTCGTGGACTTGGACAAGGATGTGGCATATGAAACTATGTCATATACATGGGGAGATCCAAAGGACCAGGTGCCGCTTCGAGTCCGCAGTCAGACCGTCATGATTCCAAAAAACCTCGAGAATGCCTTGAAGCGACTTCGACACGCAGATCACAGGCGATACATCTGGGCTGATGCCGTCTGCATCAACCAAGCGGACCTTTCTGAGCGTGGTCAGCAAGTGTCGATCATGCGCAAAATCTACTCAAAAGCACGAAGAGTCCTCGTCTGGCTCGGGCAAGACAAGACGAATTATGCAAAGCTGGCTTTCACCACCATTTGCGATATTGTTCGCTCTTGGCGCCCTGCGAGTAACCCAAATCGATTTACAAGTTACAAGGAAGCATTTGAGCCTCGAAAAGAAGCTCTTAGTATCGACGAAGATGGCTGGACGGCCCTCCAAGCCATGTTTCAGACTGAATACTTCAGCCGGTTTTGGGTGATCCAGGAACTGGTCCTTGGGCAGAACGCGACGATAATCTGGGGTAGCCACTCCATCGACTGGGGCCTCGTCGGAATCAGCGCGGCATGGCTGCTGACCAGAGGGTGGCCAACAAACCAGGACTGGCCTATCTCTGCTGCGTACAATGCATTCCTGATATATGTCCTCCCACTCGCCAGGCGGAGTGCGATTTCGAGCTTCTCCAAGCTCGACCTATCTGCCGTCCTGGCGACAACAATGGGGAAGTTTAAGTCGACAGATCCGAGGGACAGAATCTTCGCACTTCTTGGACTGCCATTCTCGGGCAATGATCCTGAGAAAGGGACGCTCGTCGACCCGGATTATACCGCAGAGGTGCAGTCGGTTTATCTTAGCGCCACGAAGCGCATGCTTGCCCAAGATCTCAATCTGAGGCTTCTGAGTGCCGTACAGCACGGTCTGGAGATCGACACCACCTCTCCATCTTGGCTGCCAAAATGGGACCAGTCTTTGTTCGCAGAGCCACTGGCCCTCCGACAGGAGCATGGATACTACGCCAACGCGGGAGAACTATTCATTCCGGGCGACGACACTTTCGGCGCAGATGGGAAATCGCTCACACTTACAGGACTCAAGGTGACCACCGTGTCGGACGTCACGGCACCATTCACGGCAGGCCAAATCTCGTTCTCCGGCCTGCCGGACAAGAACAGGGACGCGATGCTCATCATCCTGTCCTACCTCAACGACAAAGACCGTCAGGTCCGCGCGTCGTGGAGCGCGACGCTGGAGAAGAACACCGTCCCGGGCTTCAACGACCCGGAGAAACAGGCCGAGTTCCTCGCGGAATATGGTGGGTTCCGCATGGCGGCTACGAACGCACTGCCCGGGAAGTATGGCATGCGAAAGTCCACCGAGATGCTGGACGGCGAGAAGATGGGCGTCGACAACCTGGGCGAGTTTTTGATTTACTGGCGCGAGCGTTGCACGTGGGACGTCGAGGCCCTCCGACACGACGACTTCAAGGACTTCTGGGCCGCCGTGGAAAAGGAGGAGAGCCCGTATACCACGGAGCGGGCCCTGTGCTCGATGAACGCCTTTCTTGGGCGGAGGGTATTCCACTGCGAGGATGGGAAGCTTGGGATCGGGCCCGCGGCGATGAGGCCGGGAGATGTGGTCACTGTGCTTTTCGGTGGAATTGTTCCGTATGTGTTGAGGCCGCTGGATGCTGCCGGTGAGGATGGGAGTGATCAGAAATGGGCATTTGTGGGGGAGTGTATCGTGCCTACATTAATGCAGGGACAGGCAGTAGAGGAAGCTGGGCTGTTGGCCGATGGAACATATGAGAGGGGCAAGGATGGGATGCTAAAGTTGACTCCGGCGGAGCTGGATGGTACGGATCCGCGCTTTAGTCGGGAGGTTGGGAAGGATGGCGTTGAGAGGTTTGAGATCAGGTAGTCCATTGCCTTCTCTACTGTCATTAATTGAAATCATGTCTCTCGGTCAAGAACATTGCCTCGGTTTTAGCTCGCTTGTCTCGCATCGTGCAAACGTCGGAGGGACGTTAACTCCGTCCATAAGGTGTACACAACGATCCCTCGGATATAAGACATCAATCAAGGTTGCTTACACCCAATGCCCCAACTATACTTGGGGATATCTAGACTAGCATGTCAGGATTGTAGTAGATATACATTACACACGCATCACTACAATCAAGGGCTTCACTACGAATAGCCAACCACAAAATACTGCAATATGGAGTCGAAACGCCTGCAAACAGCCAAGAAGTACATCAGCCACTTCGAGACCCTAGATACAGACACCCTGGCCTCGGTCCTGGCACCAGATCACACCCACCAGTTCGCGCCAGCCTCCCTGGTCGTCCCGGGCCCGTTCACAAAGGAGCAATTTCTGGCGCACAGTGCGGCCCTGCGCAAGATCATGACGGGGTTCCCGGTGTATGCGAAAGAGTACGTCGAGAGCGAGAGCAGCAATCAGGTCACGGTGTGGGCGACGAGCCGGGCGCACTTCAAGGAGGAGGTCCTGGCGGATGAGCAGGGGGATGAGGAAGAAAGGAGAAAGAAGTGGGAGTTTGAGGGCGAGTATGTGTTCATGTTCTGGATGGACGAGACAGGTGAGAAGGTTGTGAGGACGGTCGAGTTCCTAGACAGCAACTTGACCGAGAATAAGCTGCGGCCGCTGCTGAAGAGGGCGAATGAGAAGGTGCAAAGTCGGAACTGGTTCTAAAAAGCTTGAATACAAAGGTATATGCTCATTGCAAACCTTGTCTATTGACAGCCACGCCTGGTTTTTATATGCACCTCATATCCAGAGGCGTTGTATCGTCTACGCATGCTCTTGTCATCAAACAGACAGCATTCATCACTCCTTGACTGTGGCTCCTGTGCCCCAGCTTCCCACCAGGGCCATGGCCTTCTCGTCACCATCCGCCACGCGGTCATCCTTCAGCGCATCCGCCAGACACTTCCAAGGGTCTCGGCTCCCACCCCACTTGAGTAGACCTTCTTTCAACTGCTCGCCGTTCTCCCTGCTGATGGCGGCACCATCCCGTCCCGACGAGAACACCTCTTTCCACACCCGCTCGGCCAGCACGCGGTCAAACAAGTAGCTGTAGTACGTACTACCGTACCCGAACAAGTGGCCAAAGAAGCCCTGCCACCTACAACCTGGCGGGTCGACGGGAGTATTACCGTACTCGAGCTGCAGATTGCGGTAGACTTCTGTTGAGTCAAGGGATCCGCCTGCCGCACGCGGGGCATGATACTCCTGGTCTAGCATCGCAAGGAGGATCTGGTTCTCGTTATCTGTGCCCTCGAACCGCCGGGCCTGTCGTATCCTGTCAACGACCATCTGGTAGTTGAGCGGCTCATCCGTCTCGTAATGCCGAGCAAAGAGGCCCAGCACTTCTGGGTCTGCGCAAAAGTGTTCCATTAGAGTCGAGGGCAGCTCAGCCAAGTCGGTCGCACAGCGTGTGCCGGAGACATTTTGCAGCGAGGTCCGCGCCAGGATGCTGTGGATCGCGTGGCCCATCTCATGGAATAGCGTCTCCACCTGACCGTAAGTCAAGAAGGCGGGCTTGTCACCGCCAGCCTGGCTCTGAGGGAAGTCGCAGACGAGTGCGATGGTGGGTAGTTGTTTCAATACGCCATTACTGCTTCGAGACATGGCCATACCATCGTTGGCAGCCTCCTCTGGCGAGGCGAAGTCAGGAATGCCCGCTACGGCTTGCTGAGCAGCAGCCTCTGCTTCCTCAAGCTCGGAACCTGCGATCTCGCGTGAGCATCGCACTGTGAAGTGCGCCGGGTTAGGCGACTTGTCTGCCCGGTAGAACAGGTCGCAATATAGGACTGCGACGTGTCCGTCAGTGTCGGATATCACGTCGAGCCGCCGCACGTCAGGGTGCCACGTCTCGCCCGGCATCGTCTCCTTGGCCACAAATCGGATTCCATAGAGGCGAGTGAAGAGCCTTGACAGACCCTGCATGATGGTTCCAAGCGAGAAGTATGCAGACAAAAAGTCTTCGCGCTTGAGTTTCGACCTCTCCAGATCCCTGATCTGGTTCATGTAGTAGTCTTTATCCCAAGGCTGCAGGTCGGAAGAAGACAAACCCGTCTTGCCGTGCTTAAAGGCCATGAGGTCCTCCATCTCGCGCCTGACAATCGGCGCATTGTTCTTGTTAAGGGCTCTCAGGAACTGCTGGACGGATTCGGGTGACTTGGCCATCATTCTGTCACGCAGTGCCATGTGGCCGTAACTCTCGAAGCCAGACAGGTCGGCTATCTCGGCCCGCAAGCTGAGCAAGTGCTCCAATTGTTGTACAGTGCTCCTCGACGCGGTTCGCGAAGCATAGTAGATTGCCTTCCTTGTATCCTCGTCATGAACGGTGCGCAGCGCAAGAGACGCCTCGCCACTCAGGGCAGGTAGGTAGACGCGCCCCCTCCGGGTCATTCTGCGCGCTATCGTGGGCTCCAGACCCTGGAGTTTGCTGCTCGGAAACGTAAGGACGGGCTGCTCTGGGGCCATCTGCTCCACGAACGTCTGACCGACATCGCCTATCTCTGACGATAGGTCAACGAACCTCTCCCTCGCCTCCCGGGGTAGGTTGACGGCCGATTTTGTGAAATCCAGCTTCAGGATCTCCGCCACAGCCCTTTCCTCTTCCGACCAGGCAGACGACACATCTGGGTTGTCCAACGCCTTCCCAAGCTGCTCATTCAGGCCGGTGGTCGTATTCAACTGGTTCATATACTGATATACGATAGTCCATGCCTCCGAAGCCGCGGCCTGCATCTGCCTGTCGGGATGTGTGACGCGCACGAAATCTGAGAGGTCTATGACGCGACACAACAGGTCGGACAGCCGGTCAAGGTCGCGAACGACGGCCCTATACTCCACCACGGAGCTTGCGGAGAGGACTTTTTCGACGATGCGTTGGGCACGTGTCAGAGAGACCTGGGCAAAGGCGAGGAAGCCCTGCGGTTCGGTGAGGTAGGCATTGCGGAAGAGCCCAACGCGGGGCTTTCCCTTGAAGGCGCCTGAGAAGGCCAGCCATGCCGAGGGAGAGTCGAATATGCGGCGCAGGTCTGCATCGTCGTGTTTGGCGCGGGCGGTCGTGTGGGTGGCGGAGGGCGGGATAGAGAAGGTGTATGGAGGCGGCTGTGCTGTCTCAGTCTGGGTAGCCGTGTGTTGCCATCGCGGGGCTGCTGCTCGGGGGAAGTGCTGGAGGGTTTGTTGGGCCTTGCGCCGGAGACATGTTGAGCATACCCACGACGCCGAGGCTGATGTTGCCGGGCGTTGGGCGAACTTGATCATTGTCTCGGCGACGGTGCTGGGCCTTCACATCTCATGGTCTGTCCGGTCTATCTGGTCTGCTGTGCCTACACACGAGGAGAGGAGGTCGGTTGCCTCTGCGAGAACCAAGTCAAGTCAAGGTAAGGACTGAACCACTGGACTGCAACTTGTATGTGGAGAGAGAACGAAAGGAGTCATGTCGCACAATGCCCGAGGGGCGATCTTTCAGAAACCAGAGAGCTGCAGGTGCTTGCTTATCCTGCTTCGCGATTGCCGACTTTAGCCCGTCTCCGGCCGCTGCACTCCGTAGGCCTGTTTGCTGTAATAGAGTAGACATAGATAGTGCTATGACGAAAAAGCGCTAAAATTTTCGAGAAAACCGGCCGTCGGAAAGAGCCGCCTGCTGGAAGTGGGCGGGAATTTGACGACACCAGCAAAGCAGAGCAAAGCAGCCGGGCCATACCCATGCACGCCTGAGTACGAGTCTACTTCTCCCTCAAACTCAACCTGGAACTTCGACACCTGCCGCTGCTCCAGAGCCCCCTCGACCCTCGTTCAAGCCCTCAACCGACCCAATTGAGCTCATCATGGCCGCGAGAGTCCTGCTGCAACGGGTGAGGACACTGACCCACCGCCCCAATTGACTTCCAGGCCTCTGCTGACCACGCTCTTATTCTCGCAGCGCGCGGCGCCGTTGGCAGCGTCCATGCTCGTTGGAGCTGTCGCATTCTCCCCCAAGCTGGCCCATGCCGAAGCTCCAGAATCACACAGCTCTCACGTACGACCAGCCCACGCCACCCACTAGGTTCAATATTGTGCCGTGCCATGTCTTGCCAGGACAAGTCGGACTGACACCGAAGCCTGCTCTTAGCCCAGGAAGCCCATATACGACGACTTCGATGTCGTGCCCACAACAGCCACTCTCACGCCCGCGAAGCCCGCCGCGAGACCAGACACCCCGTCGTCCTCGACAACCCTGGCACCCGAGAACCCGGCATCGCCCACCTTGACCGAGGTCGTCAACCACCCACAACAGCACCATGGGCCCACGCCCACCGACCGTCTCGCCGCCCAGATCCGCGAAGTGCGCCTGTTCATCTACCGCCACGCCTGCAATGCCGAGGACGCCGTGAACCGCACCATGGACAGCGCCTTCCACCTCGAGAAGTCCTTCACCGACACCATCGCCTCCCTGGCTCCCCCGCCCGAGTCGGGCGAGAAGCTGATGCCGGGGCTCGTCTACGTCCTGGTGGCCGCCATGGCCGGCAGTATCGTGACGCGGCGGAGCAACATCCTGTTGAGGGCCACCGTCCCGGCCGCCTTCGGCGTAGGCATGGGCTGGACCGTGCTGCCCTACACCATGCGCAACACGGGCGACCTGGCTTGGAAGTACGAGCAGCGTTACCCGCCCGTGGCGCAGGCGCACCTCCAGATCAAGGACAGCTGGAGGCAGGGTGTGAGCTTTGCCCGGGTGCACACGCAGCTCGGACGGGACAAGCTGCAGGAGCAGGTCAAGGGTGCGAGGGAGACGGTTGAGGAATGGGTGAGGAAGGGAAAATAAAGCATCTCGTCGGAATGAAAACATGGTGGACTAGAGCGATGGGATTAAAGCCCTGGTCGGATTGACAACTAGGCTTGTATCATATGGGATATAGATGAATTCGCAGTGCTGGTGTGAGGGCTTTGTGTGCCCCGTATCATGAAATGGAGGCTCATCATTGATATTTTTGATGTCCGAATTAAGAATCCATTTGTGACTATCGCCTCTGTACCTGACATCGTTTCGTGAAGAATTGTTGACACAAGCCAACTCAACACGAACGGGATGTTGCCATCGCAACGGCGTGTGCCATGATATCTACCATTAACTTTTGTTTTCCTCTTCCGTACGCCAGCTATGCAAAACCCTCACAAGTCCTTCTCCTTGATCTTCCCATCTAGGCTTATGAGTGTACCCAACACCCTCTCATAAGTCCATACCGTAACCGCGCTCGCGGGCGCAGCCTTGAGCAGACTGACCGTCAGCCCCCTGTACAGACTCCTCACGCCCTCCGTCCGCAAGATCGACCGCATAGTCCCCAAAGTCCCAAGCCCTACGTAGTCGGGGATGTTCTTATGCACGTACCGCGCGCGCGTCGGGCCCTGCACCTGGATCCTCTTCCGGACGGTGTCGAGCGGGAAGACGCCCGTCTTGGAGGCGACGCTGGCGAGCGTGCCGGCCAGGGCGTCGCCGCCGCCGAAGGGCAGGTCGAGGGCGGCGAGCGGCGGGCGCAGCGCCTCGTACGCCGCGAAGAACATGCCCATGAACGGCACGATCTGGCCCAGGCCGGGCGCCAGCCCGCGGAAGAAGCCGCGCGGGCCCTCGTCGTGGTATATCTGCGCCACCGCCCGCCGCAGCGACGTGTACACCCTGTCCTCGTTGCCCTGCGCCGCGAACCGCGTCCGCAGCAGGTCCAGCGGGTACGTGGCCGCCGTCGCGACCGCGCCCGCCGACGCCCCCGCCAGGAAGCTCTCCGCTGAGCCGGGGATCCGATGCTCGCCTGCGACCCGGCGCAGCAGCTGTGTTGTCGAACGGTAGGTCGTGAACTGGATGGCTGAGTAGCTGACGTACATGAGCTCGGCGGGGACGTTGCCCTTCCACAGGCCCGTGAGACCCTCGGTCGCGAGGATGGTCCTGAAGGTCGAGATGGTGCCCTTATAGATTGGTCCGCGCCCGCGAATGTGTTCGTACGAGAGAGGGTCGGAGAGGGAGTGCGACTGAAGCTGCAGGCGGATCTTGACGACGTCGAGAGGCGCGATGATGAAGCGCGATATCAGGCCGGCCACGGCGCCGGCCGCGACGACCTGGAGTCGAGAGCCCTGGAAATGGACGTCAGTGGACGGGCCTGATTGATTTTGCTGGTTTTGGAGGTGTACCTCATCCTTGAGCTGTTCTACTTTGGGAGACATGCATAGATTCTGCAATGTGCGCCGTCGGTGAAGCCGCTCGTGCAAAAGAACAAACGTGTGGTCGATCAAGCTTCACGGCTGAGCACAATCAGGATGCGATCAGAAGGAATGGAGATGGTGCCCTTGTTGCAAAGGATCTCTCGCCAACCTGTCCTCTAAGCCGTCAAAGAATATCGAAGACAATGTCCATGATCAACGAGGCTCCCGTTCTCATTCCTCGTCAAAGGCAGAAAGGGGTGGACCTGGAGCTCAACATTTACTCCGAGTGGCTTTGTCTCACTATGATAAGCTTATCTGCAGTGGCTGCGGAATGACATCAGCTTGCGCTCCCACTGGCCAACGGAGTATTTTCCCACAGGCATTGGAACCCGATGTAAACAAATATCTGGATTAACCCAGAACCTAATTTTTGAACTCTGGTGTATAAAGCTAATTTCAGGGTCCGTTGAATGGGCTCATGTTGTCTAGAACGGGCTGGATGAAACTCAAGAAGGTAGTGTCATGGAGATATACAGTACCATTCCCCAACAGTTGATTCGACGAGACGGCAATCGTTTCGCCTGCAATTAGTTGTCTTCATGTCCCCTCGTTTTCACCACCCATTAGTCGGGGGATCAACATTTCGCTCAGCAGTCTACCAAATACAAGGTTGAGGGTGCCCAGAGGAGGACCTGAGGAAGCTCATTTGATCTGTGGAAGATCTCCTTTGAAAGACAAGACAAGAGGCATTAAGACGATGTTTGAGCGTGGAATGGCTCAAGAAAGCCTAGAGCTGGACCTTGTGGACCTCGTTAGAAGATGAGAAGAGGTTGCGAGAAGCAATGGATGGATCAATTGAGGTCTAGGAGGACAGTATTGCCCACCATGGCACGGCAATCCGTGCACGTTGCGCCAGGTCTACAAATTGTCGTGGTGGGGCTCATAGATCCCATCCAGACAAGAATATTGTCGATTCCCAGCTAGGAAATTCGAATTCGCAGCGCCCATGGTCAATTAAACAATTACGTTTTATTGGTATCTCTAGGTAGAAGGATAGATATGTCTCAAACAATCAGTGGCTTTCTTGCGTAAATAGACAATGCTGCGCTGCGCTCTGCTCTCGAAAGTCGAAGTCGAACCGGACGTGGCCTCGTGAATGGCCAACCAGCATCCATCCCCATGACAAGCTGCATGCATGCCAGCCAACTCCTACTGGCCATCAGCCGAGTACGTTGAAGAACGGAGAGAGAGAGAAAAAAAAAGAAGGGAAGAAAGGAAACACAGAAATTGAATGGTTGAGCTAAATTCGACAAAGTGAATAGAAGAAACAAGACATATCCTGAACGGAGACAGGAGTACCAGATGTGACAAGGCCTTGATCCGGTCTAGGTAAGAACATAGAGGTTACATCTTTGATCGAGATAAGTAGATAAATATGGAATCAGATCTGCCCGCCCCCTTCTTCCCCCCTGGAACACGCCTAGAACGCGCCTCTCCAGCCCCCAAGCAAACACCCCGGTTTTGAAGGATTAAAACAAAAACACACAGGCCACCACCCCCAATGAAGAAAAGGCGCAGCCCGCTTTGCTTGCCCGCTCCCTATTTTTGCTAGATGCCCTGGCATTATGGCGAAAAATTGACTTGTCTAAAAATACAGCAGATGAAATGGCAGGACTGGGTATCTTTCGTCTGACAAAAGCATTGGTGGTTTTTTTTTCTGTGTACGACTTGAAGGGGTCGATGTGAGGTTTACACTGGGTGGTCGTTTCGTGCTTCGGTAGTGTAGGTAGTAGTAGAAGTATGGTGGTTCGAATGGGCGGAGTGGACGAAATATTGAGAAGGCTGGTTGGCCTCGGATGAAAGGAATCAAAGGCGCGCTGTGAAACAGAAACCGCTTAAATCCTCGTCGGCAGCCCCTTGCCCATGGTCAACTGGCTCAAGCTCAACGTCCTAGCAGCCTTCTTCCTCTTCAGGTCAGCCTCGTCCTCGTCCTCCTCGGGATACTGCGCGATGCCACCGAACTCGTCGACGCCGCCGAAGGGCTCGTACTGCTGCAGCCCCGGCGTCGCGCCGGGCTCCTCCCTAGGCGTCTGGAATGCCTCGGAGAACTCGTCGTCGGCAACCTCCACCACGGGTGAGTTGGTAACGCTGCTGAAACGGCTGTCCTTGCCGAAGATGCTCTGCGCCTTGCTGGACGGGTCGACGGTGGGGGCGGCCTTGGTCGTGTTGACCGAAATGGGCGCCAGATGCGCCGCGTTGGTGGATGCGACGGCCGATGTCGCTGTCTGTGGCCTCAGGCGCTCGCTCGACTTTGACTTTGCTGGGTCTCGCACCATCGCGAACATCGTGGATGAGAGGTTGTTCATACGCTCCGATAGCTTGCGCACCTGTTCCTCGAGGGCGTATCGGGCGGCCCGCTCGTTCTCGAGCTGCGCAACGAGAGCAGCGCTGTTTTGCGGATAATCCTCGCTGCTGGATTGGGACGCTCGGGGCCCCAGTGATGGCATGCTGGTGGCCGGACGGACAGTGGACTCTGATGTTGGCCTTAGAAGCGCGGGGGCCTGAGGCGGTGGGACGCCAGTGGCGGATTGGTTCTGTGTCGCAGAAGAGGAAGGAGGGTGCAGGGAGTCGATGTAAGTCCGCCCTTCACCAAAGGACATATGGGAAGTGTTGTCGTCCGTGGTGTCTACCGATCGGCGGGAAGATGGTGCCAAGCCAGCATCGCGGCTGCCGGTCTGGTAAATAGAGGGTATCATGGGTGGCACGACGTTGCTGTAAGCGTAAGTCGGATTGTTGACGGGTACTTGGTGTAGCCCAGATCCAGACGCGGCCCCAGAGCCTGACCGTTGTCGTCCGCCGCGACTCCCGGCTCCGTTATTGACTTCCATGAGAGGACTCTTGAACCCTGGGACCGAGTGGCACAGTTGGCTCACTACTCGCTCTAGCCTGTACACGCGGTTTTCAAGGCAACCGAATCTCTCGTCGAGAGTTGCGGCTTGCGTAATTTTCATCCCCGCCATCTCGTTCATGGAAGACAATGTTCCGAAATTGAAGGGCTGCGGTGGTGTCTTTGGCACCTTGTCACCCATTTGCGACTCCGCCACGCTCATGGATGCCCGGCCATGCTCGTACTGGTCTTCGTTGCCAATATCTGTCTCGTTCTCGTTCGGGTTCGATGAGAGTGGTGACAGTGGTCCTGGAACATCATAGCTTTCCCTCCAGAAACGGATTTCATCGCTGCGACTGCGGCGTCTAGCATCCTTCTGCTCCTGTGCAACCTCGTAAAGCTGCGACAAAGACCGCGAGCGTCGCTTGTGCCCACTCTCGCCGCCAGTGTCACTGGTAAGCGCCCGACCGATCTCCTCAGGATCGTCCTCAGTAAAGCGACTCCCGCGCGCATGTGTGCTTGCTGGCCGAGGCGACAAGCCCGCCCATTCCTCTCCTCGACTCCGTGGGCCGGGAGCCATCATGAGGAACAGCTTGCTGTTGGTCGCGGTCGCGGCTCGTCTACGATTTGGCGATGAGCCTAGAGCATCGAACGACAAGGAATTACGCGCGCTTTCTATGGCCGTAATGTCATCTGGACCTATCGAGTGTGATCGGAGAGCCCGGTCGAACTCGTTAACAGGCATGGACGCCACACGCTTAGCTGGCTCATTCTGCTGCGCAGAATCGAGTCTTGCAGCTGGCGGAACCTGGTGGAGGAGACTGTTAGCCAATGAATCAGGCGAATAGAGCTCTCCGTGACGGATATGAGCATGAAAGAAATTGCTCACACTGCGATGCTGTGAAGGCCCACCGAGGGCAGACTGTCGATCGGTCTCGCTGACAGAGCTCAGGCTGCCCTCCTTCTTTTTCCGCCTCAGAAATTTGCTGAGCGCGGAGCGCAGCGTAGACTTCTTGCGCTGCGGTGGACTGTTTGAGACATCGTGAGACGTGTCGCCCGTCTTTCCGGAGTTGGCGCTTATGGTCGAGAAACGGGTGGTGGTGGATGGATTGGTTCGCTGATACCGTGCCGGAGAGCTCCTGGCGGCCGATGCGCCGGAAGAGGCGCCGCCCTCGGGGCTTGGCCCGGAAGACCCGAGCTGTTGGGAGTACGGGTGTGGCGACGGCGAGCCGGGGTGCTCCGGAACAGTCTGTGGAACATCAACTATGTCCGCACGAATCGGCGCTGACTGTGCGACAGGAGAGAAGGCCTGTGTCACGGGTGAGGCGAGGGTCGGAATTGCCTGTGGTGGCGGCGGCGGCGGGATAGGGTCACTGTCCAGCGGTGTTGCACTTGCGATGCCGGTCCCTGGGTTCCTTATTGGGAATTCATCGTCCTCTATGGGGTTTGTCATAGGAATTGGACCTGATATTCTCAGGCCCCGGATACTCTGGTGGCCGGTTCTTGGCCGGGCGGTGGTAGGGGAGGCCGGGCCGAAGACTTTGGTCTTCTTCATGGTAGCGTCGTGTTCGATGGGTGAGTTGAACCTCTGAACCGCCAGGGGGGAGTGTTGCGGCGGCGAGGCGATATCAATATTGGTGATGTTAGATGTTGGTATTGGTGGCGGTCCGGAAGAGCCATGAGGCATTACGATTAATGGTAGTCGGACCCTATGTCGACTGTTTCATGCGGTGAAGATGATTCGCGGTCGTGAGCTCGACAACTGTTCTACTCTGCCTCGGTCTTGCATCGATCCACATGGTCAGCAATGCGTGCCAGCCTAGAGGGTCCCGGATCCAATGCAATGCGTTCGAACAGGATGCGAGCTCGCCGTTGGTGGTGTGACGGCCAACCGGCGCCGCCACAAGCAGCAGCAATCGAGTCAGTGGCGTCGTTCTCAAATTGGCCGAAGATGGAGAGACCTTGAAGATTATGGGCTAGAGTATGACCAAACGATGGACAGCATGGCAGACCCCAGCATCTGCATCATGTACCGTGCTGATTCGACCTGCGTTGGTCAGGCGTTGGTCCCTACGGCAGAGAAAGGGAACATCAAGGTCAACAGGCGGCCCGCGATGGGCACATCAAGATGATATGTAATGAACCCGCCCCTTGGAAGGATGCGGTCAGTGAAACGAGCAACGCACACGAGTTGGAGACCCAGTGGCCCCCGTAAAAGTGGAAGAGACACGCATGCTGGGGTGCACCCAGCAGCCATGCTGCATGGGCAGCAGGGATGAGGACAGGGAGCCCATGCGGGAGGGGACAGGCATGCTACTTTAGGATCGAGGTGGTGGAGAAGGGGCGTGAGAGAAGAGGGCCCAAGCAGCTGCACGTCCGGCGTTTGATACTGTTCTGGTCACCTGCGACAATTGGCCCACGACGCCTCTTGTCAGTATCTTTGCGTCTTGTGACGGACCAGAGCATCTTGAGATAAGCTCGGAGGAGTTGCCTTGAGGACCGTGATCCTAATTTGCTGGACGACGAATTGGACCGGCCACAGTTCCGCAGCCGCAAGCCACGGCCTGTTCGGATCATCTCACCGACGATCAAAGCTGCAAGTATTGGGAGCTGCGTGGGTGGGAATCCGACTTTGGGTGTTTTCCACGCAGGCCATGATCAACGCGACCCTTCGATATAGACCGTCATATCCTTAATAGACCTTGATAGTTCCGATGGAAACAGACCAGATCGGGAAAAGGAACCCCCGTTGGAGTCCAAGACCGCGGGGCTGGCCGCCCTTGATCATCCTCCAACATCTATTTGACAGTTCCTTCATCACACCCCTGATGCAGTGATCAACCCCATCAGTGAGGTCCCGCGACTCGTCGACGCCGCAATACGGAGAGACGTGTCGGCCTGGACCACATCCGGCCTGCTGTCCTCCCATGCTTGATGAGCACGGACGGTGTGTGTCCGCCTGGCTGCCTGGCTGCCTGGCCGAGCAAAAGGTCTCGCAACTGGATCCGGGCATTTCCAACGGCGGCCACCGGCGAGACAGCATCGGCTGGCCACCGTAGCCTGAGCCCCTTTCGACGTGCAGCTACTGTTGCACCTGTGGCGTGAGGCTCAAGCAAACGTGCTCATCCTTTCGCATGGGGACCTTTGTGGAAGAGCCAACCCCGCGCAACCATGGCTGGCGTCGTGTTGGTTTCCTATTCAGCTACCCATGCCGTCGATGCTAGCTGATTCAGGACCCCACCCCCGACTCGGGTCAGTTGGCTGTGGCAGTCGACAAGATCCTTGGGGCGGCAAGTCGCTGCATGTCGCTTTCTCGCGGGCAGAGCACGAATGAGCGTCCAGTGTGGCTGTCCGTGGGACTGCCCCCAGTGTGCGTTGCGTGACATCCAGTTGGCCATATTTAGACGCACTGCAGACGCGTTGTGGTAGTCACAGGAGGGGTGGGCATCCAACCAATGCAGGTGGTGCTGTGACTCCCGATACGCTTCCTTTTTCTGGCCCACGCCCCCAGCATTTGGGGAAAGTGACGAGACAAGCAGCAAGCAAGAAGCTTTCCGCTGTCGACTCGTCTGGACCAGCCAGAGCTTGTGACCCAGACATCGATCTAGAAGGTCCCTCGGGTAGTCTAGCGGCGGGTGGAGGCACACGTCTATTGCGTAGTCTACTATAATATTATGCATCTTATAGCCTGAAGTCGGCTCCGGCGCTCAACTCTAGGAAAAACTGGACGACGCCAGTTTCGAACCCCCTTCCCAACCGCATTCTTTGGTTGAGTCCACCAAGACAAGCTCCCGCTTGCGCGGCGCGCGCGCCGTCGATGCGTAAGCGCAATGCGCGCCAGATAAATATCCATGAAGAAAAAAATTCAGCCGGCCGGCCGTCGTTGGTGAAGATAACGGAGGGTGCGCATGCGTCTGTGTTCGCGCACATCATTGCGTGCCCCGGGTTGGCGTGATGTCTTGTTTCTTTGGTCCGACAAGCGGATTGCCTGAAGCCATGTTACCCAAGGGAAGGGCACATCCCGCATATCAGCCCGCTTTGATTCGAGGATCTTCGAACCGTCATGCGGCATGGTCAGTCTTCATGCCGCGCGACTTTTAGCTTTGGAGCTACTGGAAGGTTAGAGATCTGAGATTTTTGGTTGACCTCAGTACCGCAGTCATGAAAAATAAAAGGCCAAGTTGGGCATCCACTGTTTCCATACAGTCCTCCGGACAGATAGGCCATGTTAAGCAAGACAACACGCAGATCGCGGTCAGAAAAAAAGTTCCGGCTGTCGTCTGATGTTCAGATTTAAACTCGAGCGTCCCGAGCATTGACACTATTAGCAGCGACTGAGCAGGCAAGCGAAATGCTAGGGTCTCCATGTCCACGACGCACTCGCGGCCCTCTCGATTGCACCCCGGGGTGATCTTGGGCACGACAGACGCGCTAGCCAGCCAGAAGCCAGGTCTCCATCAGATGAAACTGCAGCTGCAGTGCGGACGAGGAGGAATACGAAGCTACGCAGCGTTCGATGATAATGCGCAGTACATATATGCTAACCCCCTTATTTTTTTTAATGTTTTTATTTTTATATTTTTGCTGTCAGGACCGCTTGCATCTGTCACTTGCATGTGCTTGCTTGCCCATGCGTTTCGGTCGGAGGGGCTGCATACCCCCTCATCCTGCCACAAAGCTGGGCCATGGGCCACAGAGGGGAAGAGGAGACCAGCATATGGCGGGTACTCTCGCCTCGAGCATGAGCCCCGCCAAAGCAGCGAGACGATTTGGTACTCTGATTCGTCCCGGACCCTGGAGACGCCATTGGAGAGAGCTTCGTCGACACTAATTGACGTGTTAATTTCCCTAAGATCATATTCAATGTCGCTATCAGTGATGTCCCGCATAGTGTGGTCGTATTCGCGGAGTTCTGGAAAAAGGTACGCCAGACCCGCGGCTGCTCGACAGCCCCTGCTGGACAGCTCATCCCTGCTGGCGCTCTGACCCCTAGACCTCGGTAAGAGTCTGAAACCGCAGGGGTGAGCTCGATGATCTCATCCGATTTCTACAGCGCCGTTCTGCACGTGGCTCTGAGATGGGGGGGATACTCGCTGTTCGTATGGTCAAAATGTGCGAAATATGGACTCCCAGCCACCCATACGATATGGATCTTTGCGTCGGGCGTTGTCGAGCCGATCGTACTTGCCATTTGACCGACAGTTCGAGACCATTTGTCCCACGAAATATATCCCTCAGTCAAGGGCAAACTAACCGAGCAAGATGGCGCAATCTCGCATCGTTCTCGCAGAGCCGAGATACCTCGACCGTCTAAATCTGACTAGATCTACGAGGGGCCTCATCTTGCAGTAAAAGGTGGTTCGGCGGTGCCCGCTGTAGGATGCCTACCTGAGTCTCCGGCCAGACCTTTCCTGCGGTCCGTCCAATGTTGAATGTCTGAGCACCTTCAGCTTCGGTGGGGCTTCTAGATTGGGGTCGACCGAGTGGATGGCTTTACGAACGACCGTCGACGGCTCACTTCAAGCGTCCGCCGTCAAGGATGCGAGGTCAGGGTACCGCAGGTCTGCGTTATCCTCGAGGAATGTCATCCATTGCTTCAGGAACTTGCTGCCTCTGTTTGCCGAGAACAGGCCAAGGTTAGCTCTTCGTCATCCGTGGAGTTTGGTGTTGTCTCATGTGTGCCGTCTGTCCGTGCAGTGCTGTTTGACATCTGCATCGCAAGTGCTTCCGGACAAAGGGACTCATTCGAGAGCGTCTCGACTTACTTCTGCACCGTTTCCGAGTCACCAATTATAGTAAGAGAGCGTTTGGGCCGTGTCATGGCGACTGCCGCGGGTTAGACTCTTTGTCCAGGTCTCACTAGCGGATACCGAGTCTTTGGGGAGGGTGAAACATACCGTTGAGGCGGCGCTTTTCACCGAGGAAGCCGACTTCACCGTCTGAATTGCTTCGGACGAGGCTGACAATGATTGCCTCTTTTTCACGGCCTTGGAAGCCATCGACGCTTCCAAGCTCGATACCAGGAAATTCTTCTTTCAGAGGGGCTAGCTGTGCTAGCTTATAAGAGCATACCCTGTCAGCGATCGTCCTGCATGAACTATATCACAATGCGATATTGCTGTCAAGATGGGATGGATCGTGAGGCTGAAGACCCGCAATGTATGGCACAGTCCAAATGTGGGACTTTATACATACCTGGGCATTATAAGGCGTCACGACAGCGATGTCCTCAGTCTTGACACCAGCGTCAACGAGAGTGCGAACATGCTGCTTGACAAGCAGAGCCTCCATCTCGTTGCTCTTGCTGTCGCCTCGAAGCGATGCCTTTGCTTTCTTGGGAGTCTCTTCCTCGTCTTCTTTCTCGGGGAAATCCCCTCCTTGTGTGTCGATGAATATCAAGGGCTCCGTCGTGTCATCACAGGTCTGCACGTCGTAGGGCAGGTCCTTAAGAAGGCGGTCCTTGACTGCATCGGCAGCGATCAGCTTGGAATCATACAATTCGTCCGAAGGGAAGCGCATGATCTTCTCGTGCATTCGATACTGAGTGGTGAGCATTCTCTTGATTGACGGGCCATGAAGTGCCAAAAGACGGTCAAAAAGGGTAGTCTCTAGCGTTGCCCCTTTTGGCACCTTGTCGCCATTCTTTGCGCTTGTCTTGGTTTTGCTGTTGAGCGACTTGATAGTAGGTGGTAGTTGGAGATGATCTCCAGCGCAGACAGCCTTTTTCGCTGAGAGCAATGGTACCCAGCACTGGGCTTCGAGAGCTTGGGATGCTTCGTCGATGATCACGACGTCGAACTGCTCGTTCCGTAGCTGATAGCCTCCAGCGCCATGTAGAGTTGCCAGGACCACTTTGCTGCCCTTGACCAGATTACTGATGCAGCCCCTTTCCCGTTCGCGGTACTCCTTCCTCAGCTCCTTGAGGTCCATATATATTGCTTTGCGTTCTCTGCCATTCCTGGTCTTCTTGATTGATGCCTGTTTGGCGTCCATCTCATCGCGAACATCTTTGACGATTTGACCAGCTTCAGAAGTGCGCGTGAGAATGTCGAGTGAATGATTCAAGACAGAGGGGAGGAGGCGTGCGGGATGGCCCAAACGAACAATTGGGATTTTATGTGGTGATAATCTCTCGACAATATTGTCAACTGAGATGTTAGACGGCCCGCAGACTAAGATCCGTAGACCTCTCTTGATCATCTGCAGGATCAACTCAATCAAAGTATGCGTCTTGCCAGTCCCAGGTGGGCCATGTATCAATGCGATCTCCCTCGACGCCAGAGCGAAACGTATAGCGTCTTTTTGCGAATCATTGAGACTCGGGTCGAACCAATCCAGCTTTCCAACATCGGGGTCAGAGCTTAGATCTTCGGGTATTGGCGTAGGGCTCGACTGGCCAAACAGGACTCTCATGAAGATTGAGTGCTCAGATTCGGACATGGCCTGCAGTCTGCCCATTGTTTGGTTCATCCTGTCATCGTCAGTACTGAGAGCATCGACGATTCTTGTGAAAATAGTACCGCTTGAACGTCACCTCGTCCGCCAGCTTCACGATCCACACCCTCCCACCAAGCGCTGCCCCGACATCCTCCTTGTCCTCATCCAGCGCCACGCCGACGTCACCTTTTCTCACCCTCGTGACCACGCCCTTGACACCTTTGCGCTCGAGGTCCTTCACCTCCCGCTTCTTGGCACTCCCAGCCGGCTGCTCGCTGACGAGGACGATGTCTCCAGTACGGATGCCGTGCTCGGGCAGCTCCCCGTCCGAGGCTGACACTGCGGAATCCGCGGTCAGCTCTATGACCGTCTTGCCGCCGAGCCCAGTGCGCTGGGATGACACGGTGAGGTTGGTGATGGCGACGCCGGCGCGCTGCAGGGCCGACGGCGAGTGCGCCGAGATGAGCTGGCTCGTCTCTGCGATCTCTGATTTTTGCTCGGCGTCGAGCAGGGCGATCTGAGTGCCCGCGAAAGTGGGGATATCTACAGCTTTGGGTGCCATCTTGAAGTTAACGGGTACGTGACCTGATGCTGAACAGACAGCTCAATAGTTTTCGGCAGCTCAGACAGAACAATAATCGCCTGAATGTCAAAACCAGCAGCTCAGACCTGAATGTGTTGAACAGGATCAATGTCAGGGAAGAAGGAGACCAAGTTGCCCAAGTTGTGGTTGATTTGCATTGATTTGAGGTTGTACAGACAGGAAAGTCGTGACCTAGCAGAGCTCTTTGCAGCAATGACGAGGGGTCTCAAAGGATGAGGTCAGGGCATAGTGCAGCAACCGTCTTGAACAGCCCAAACATAAGGATCCTTTCCCTCCCGGTTTAGATATCCAACCAGACAAAAACTAGACCCTCAAAATATCCGATTACTCGCAGTAAACAGAGTTGAACGACACATGAGTTTCATAGGATAAACTCCATACATTGACAGGTCAATCACATGCACGTGAGGGAGGCGGCGGTGTGATGCTATCGGCTGCCTACAAAGATCCTGGCTCTCTAGGCCCGGGAGCTAGGTGCTCTTGGTGCTTAGGCTTGCTGCTGTTCAGCACACCCCGGCCACTGTAGATGTTTTGTTGGGCCGCCAACAGATTCTGGGGCAGTATAAGGACAATCAAATGGAACCAGCCCCATGCAAACACACTCCTTCTCTTCTCTTATCATGGACACGATAAAGGGCACCTCTTTTTGGCATACTTGATGTCATGAATTGCAGACTATGTCGTGATGCATCCAATGTGGGCTATCGTGCGACAGAAACGCTACCAGTATAACAGACTAACTAACAAATGCGCCGACCGGACTCCGAAATGCACCGCTTAGGTGGGCACCACCACGGATCTCCCCACGCGGCCGCGGACAAAACGGCCCACGCGATGACCATGCTATTATAAAACAGAACCCAATGCACACAGTTGTGACCAAGGTACCAGGTAATCCGAGGCCCCGCCTACACTACATGTCCTCCTCCACCATCCCCAGGACATCCAGCTCGGTCTTCACCATCCGTTCGAACTCGTCCCGGTCGATGCCCGCCGCCCGCGACAGCAGGAACAGGCTCCTGATGCTCCGTGATACGTGCTGCTTGATGCCGAACTCGCTCGACTCCTGCCGCCCCGCTTGCTCCTCCAGCTTCAGCACCGTGTTGGACCCGTTCGAGCTCGCACTAGACTCCGGCCTAGGGTGTGCGAGCGATGCCGTCCTCTCCTCCTCCTCCTGTGACCTACCGCCCGGCGACGGCGCCAGCGTCCACCCACCGTTGGTCTCGTTGGCTTCTTCGCTGTCCTCGCCTGCCCTCGGGCCCGAGCTTGCCGGGTGTTGCAACCCCAGGGGAGGTACTGAACCCGTGATCTCTTGTGCCGCTTGAGCCTCATCTGGGTCGTGGTTGTCCATCGCGGGCTGCACGTTGTCGTACTGGGCAAAGTATGCATCGTCCTCCTCGGTGACGGCTTGGTGAGTAGATGCCACTGTCTGCTGTTGTGCTGACTGCGGTGCAGGCGAGCGGTTGACCTGTGGTGTGCGCGCTGGCGTGGCATCATAACGGGCCCAGTAATCATCGTCATCGTCCTCCTCTTCGTGGTTCTCCTCGGCAGCCAGGTGCGTTACCGCAGAGCTGGCTGGTTGTGGGTTCGGCTTGTGGAGGTTCTCGCCCTGCTGCCGGAACGAGGTTTCCGCCACCTCGATGCTTGGGTACCCCTCGAACGACGCGAACGGGTTCGATTTGTCTGGAACGCTGATCTCGCCGACCCGCCACCCGTCGCCACCTCCTGCCTCGTCGTTGACGCAGTACACGAGCCGAAAGAACAGTTCAAACTCCTCGAGAACAACAAGTGCTTGCAGCGTCTCCTCATCCAACCGTCTATACTGTGTCTGGACGTCGTAGTCCCAGTCGATCTCGACTTCGCCCGAAACGGGGTGCGGCTCTAGCCTGTCGCTTCTAGCCACCTCTGCCAAACGCGCATCCTTGCCCTTGTCGTAGGATAGTAAACGCAGCCATGGTTCCGTGCTGGCTGAGGACAAGAGCTGAACACGCTGTCGGAGGATAGGCGACAGGAGTGGCAATATTGCTGGCGCGGGTTGAGTCGAGAGCGCTGCAGCAGGTAACGAAGGTAGGAGCGGCGTCAGAATGTCTCTGAGGTCGGGTCTCGTGATCGTAGGACTCATTTTGGGCGTATTTGGGGTATAGTAGCACCGTCGGCTATGTGTTGTTGTCGCCGTCGTCCTCTTGATATGTCTTGACAGTATGTTGCAGCAAGGAGGGAAAATGTGAGACAGCCTGACCGCGATCACATGCAAAGCAAGGCAAAGCAAAGGCTTGACTCAGCCACAGCAAACTTGGTGCTCAATAACAATGCAAGGGCGTGGAAGGAAAGGGGATGTTTCGGCCAGGTCAATAAAAGTGAATGGCAGAGGAAGACAGAACTATCCCATCAAACTCGGGGAACACGACGAGTACATGACACGGAGAAATGGAGGAAGGGAAGAGTGCCTCTGCTCGCGGGCCCAGACGTCAGTCAAGCGATGCCAGAACTGGACTACCCTTCTGCCGTCCACGAGAACCCCACTGTGTGCAACATTGTAGCGAGTTTCAATTGGAGCGGACGGGCGGAACTTGTGGGTCTTGGGTCAGATCTCAGCGGCAGGGATTACCCTGATGACCGCATGCCGCAAGTGGGATGCTACTCTACACATCCCGAAGTTCATCCATTTTGGGACTGAACTGACCGGCTCCGTTGCAAAGCCGAGACCTGCTGTTTGCTCAAAAGAAATCGTGCTTTTGTGAATACGTGACAGTACCGATTTTCGAACGAGAACCTCAACATCAGACAAGAATGGCGCGCTTGCCAAAGAGTCATCTTTCCATCCCCAGTTTAATCAACACAACTCCAACAGAGACAACCGCATGATCCTCCTCCAACCTTATCGGTTTTCCACCGGGGATTACGCTTTCGGTCAGCCTACCAACAACAGTCAGCCCCGTTCCATCTGATGAGACATGGCACTCATTTCGCCACCGCAGCTCGGAGGAAGTCTTTGTTCACATCGTCGACTTGCATCGTCGGGTGCCTGACAAGTGGATTGCAACGGCTGAGGGCTCGTCTCATGAACCGCCCGACCAACGTGAAGCCGGGGATTCACGATCCCATGAAAGCTGGCAAGCGCTCAACGTGTCTATGAAGCTAATTGTTGAATGTTATACGAGATAGGTGAGGGATCAAATACTGTGATTCCATCACGATACAGTGTGGTCCATTCTAGGAATTCATGTTGGGCTCTTGACACGTTGAGTTTCAACGCTCATATTGTCGCTAAATTCGATTCGATCTATGCCCCCAGAGGTTCCGCGTCCTCTGTTGGTTTGATCTGTTGATTTCATAGACTCAGGCTCAGCCCACGTCTCCTTCATCTGTGTTGTTCATCGAAAGTGGCACTCCACCAAGGTCACCCCTCGACTCCGGTATCGCATCGTGCATCAGCGCTTCCTGTCTTCAATGTGAAGTTCAACAATTCCACCAGGACAGTGCTCGTGGAAATGCGAGATGTTCGCAACAGCCCCGGCGTAGACCTCAAGCCGCAAAAGTGAAGTAATTCATCTGAGTACTGCCTAGATCTAAGTCCGTTGTCTTTGCTAGAAATCAACGTCAAAATTACAAGGAAAGGCGCAGTGCCTCGGATACGTCAGAAAAGTGAAGATTCTCTCCAGGCACTTTTACTACGGCACCTTCCCCCCCCCCCCCCAACAAGCCCCCCCTTTACAACCGTGACGGACGGCACGCTCGATACAAAGCCAAGGACACATTCATCGTAGGACTCAACCAGAGCAACGATCGAGACAATTGGCTGTAGAGGCAGTCTCCGGAGACGGGTGGTGGGAACAGAGCACAAAAGTATTCAAATGCACGTCCTGTCGTCAGATTGACGTTCGCTCTACATCTCGTGTTCTACTGCCAAGGTCTGAGGAGACTTGCCCAGCGGTTAATGAGTCACGGCGAAGGTTCCGGTCGCCCGTTGAGGCGACGATTGGGCCTCATGGTATGTCCTTTGCTGCGAGCCTCGTCAATATCAGGAAACAGTGGGAGTGCAGTGACTCAGAGATGATTTATCTGCGTACTTCAGCTTGATGTACACCGACCTGCAGCTAACACATCTCACTGAGTCCAGTTCTAACCCCAGAGGGCTGGTATTGATGGTACTTGTTGGTCTAAACATAATGAATCGGAGTGTCTATACCTTCATCCTCACAGGTTTATCAAAACTGTACCGCCGCAAGTCTGTCCTGGACAGGAATTGCCCAGCAGTAAACTTTGGTGAATTCAACGAATCATTTGCCACCCTTTACTGTTACAATCTTGCTCGGTCGAAGGTTATGATGACAGTAGGACTGGGAGAGCAGCCGGGAGCGGAGCAAGAGCCGAGTTGAGAGAGAATCATGAAGGTGCTATTCACACAGATGTGACCACTCTGTCGGATGGCACAGCCAGAAGCAAATCCGCCCAACACATCCCCAGATTCAAAAGGGCCGCGCAAGTCTTGATCGCGTGACTCGAAGACCCTGTCAAATGCAGTCTGATATGTATCAAAGAGGCCGTGACCCTGTTCACGTGCAAAGAGATCTGCATGGCCTGAGTGGTATAGAAAGTGGTGGCTCTAGATTCGGCTCCCACGACACGCACATCCTCGTCCGCCTACCACCCCCGAGACAATCGTGAGTTTCACAGCATGCCTTGAATGGGTCTTCGGGCATTGATATTTGAATCACGCTGTGAGTCAGTACTATTCTCCCTTGCTGTTTTTTTTTCTTCTCCTTTTTTTCCCTCTCTCTCTATCTTTCTTTTGAATCCATTCATTTCTGGAGAAGCCTGTGACCATGCGTTGTGGTTTCACGAATCCGTGGCTTAGACATGTGTAGTCAATTCAAATATTCAACCAGTAGGAGCCCTGTAGATGAGATAGGTGTGTGATTCCTATCTGCTGTCCTCGGATCCGCTCTTACGCGTCCATAGTCGTCCTCCAAGATGAGCCACGCTCCCAAGTCTTCCTCGCAGCGGCGCAGGTCCGAGTGTCGCGGTGCTGTGATATCTACAGGCCATCTTCGATACCGCAGTCAGACGGAAACTGCACTCGAATCTGTCTGACGCTCCGCCCACGCGACGTCGTGTCACAACGCTTTGTCTGCATGGCCACCAGGGATTCGCATGCGCACGACTGGCCGCAGCTGTGACGCCCGAAGACCACGAGATAGAATGCAGACTGCCCACAAGTCGTCAACCGTATACGCAAGCTCGAGGCTGACTTGGCACTGCGGCAACGGGCAAAACCCAGATTGAAGTAGGACTGCATGCGCATCTTTCTATTTTGCGAATGCGCGTTCTAGTTATCAATGGACCATTGCTTGCCGTGACTGTGCGGCTATCGGAACCTCTGGTCGAGATGTGACATAGTGACGATCGACATTAGTAGTCAGTCACAAGTAGTACACTGGGCAAAGGAAGTTTCGTTTTGCTTTTGTGAGAAGTGTATACATATTCAAGCGAGAATAAATGACTTGATATGCCTGTTTCGTGCCCAATAGTTGTTTTCTGCTCTAAATAAGATGGCCAACATGGACGATTTGGAGCATTGAGTCTAGGACAAGACCGTGGTCGGTGACAGGGATGATGTGACCGCCATTCATGGACCCTCGCATATAACAGGGCTCATCTGCAAAACCTTGGGGACTCTGTCAGCTCTGGTGCCAGACGTGAACTGGAATTTTGTGGACGGAGCAAAAGTTTTCTCCGCGCTGGTGTCAGACTAAGGCTGATACAAAAGTAGCTGCACCTGTTCAGATCTCACCACTGGTAAGAAGTCTCCGAATGTGCAAGTGTTCGGAGGTCTATCTTTATCAACAGCCACTTTCAAACTGGCCATCATGACTGGATGGTGTGAGATGGCTGCAAGGAAGGATTCTGTGTGACCTTGGGGCCGGATGTCAGAACTCTCCCCACGCTTCTCGCAGTGCCTGATCTAGCACAGCCGGCTTCAGCCATGGAGCTCTGTGGAGGGAGGCTTGGTTCTATTCCAGGCACCACTTTAAAACACATGTCTTAAGGCATAGTTCGATTCAGCGACCGATCATTTCGTAGGTACTCATGCACGGAAGCAAAAGGGCCCCCAAGTCAAGGCAGACGGGTCTGCTGCGGTCAATTTGGGCTCGGGCTCACCACGGCCACGGACCCTTGAGGCTGCCACGGACCCAGAGCCTCAAGAGCCCCTCGAGACAGATGCGCACCACTGGCTCACTGCCGCGTCGGGTAGGTAGGTACCTTGATCTGCAGAGCCGAGAGGCAACAACGAGCAGATGTGCTTTTCTTAGGGAGAAGCCCTCCAATGAGATACCCCAGACAGTCCCGATGGGGCAGGTCGGGGCGCACAGGCCGCCTCCCCCACGCTTGGGCTCCCAGGGGTACCCAGCTCGTGGGCGATCAACCCGCTAGGCTCAATCGGTGCTGCTCGTGAAATCGAACGCCCAATACGCCCTGCAGAACGCCGTTTGGAAACATTCGAAGACAGCTTTGGATAGTTTGGGACAATGTCTCGAATATTATCGTTGTGATGTCGTTGCAAGGATGTCACTGGTATCTACATGATATTAATCTTTTTAACTTCCAAACGTGAAGGGCTCTCCAAAGCCGCATCATCTCCAATATAGAGTGGCTGTTCGGCTACTGGAATGCACCCTGGAAACGGAACACGTCACTACCACCACCAAACGGCTACCCGAGAAGCCGAATGGCGGCCGAAACAGAGTATCTAGGCACGTCACTACCCTCAACTTTTCTCACGACCCCTCGACTGCTTCCATGCGATCTTTACAACATACATTTTTCATGACACCAAGGAAAGCACCATGGAGTCTCCAATCCCTAGAGAAGTCAAAATTCAAGCTGCCCTGAAAGAACTTTCAGAGGGCAAGATGACATATGCAGAAGCGTCCAAGGCGTATGGAGTCGGCGTGGGCACATTACACGGGCGAATGCACGGTGCGAAGCCTCAACGTCAAGCCCATAAGGCTGTTCAGAAGCTGTCACCAGCGTTAGAAGAATCAATCGTCCATTGGATTCTCTTCGAAAAGCTGGCCAATCGTCCCCCAGCCAAGGTAATGGTGCACCGGTACGCACAACACGTGTGCGACCTGTCAGGCATCCAGACCACGCTTGGCAGACATTGGGTTGACCGCTTCTACTTTCGACACCCCGAAGTGAACATCAAAGTTGGTCCATCAACAGATTCTAAAGCTTTGGGGGCTATGATTCAGAGGAGGCGATCAGGATCACCCGGCTCAGAACCTCCCCGGAGTGCGGCACGGAGCGAGGCATCAATCGAAAATAGCGGGGAGCCTGCAGCACGTTTCATGCCAAGAGCAAGCGGAGAGCATACTTCTGCATCGTAGGTAACACTGGAGCCTGCTTTTGACGTCTTCGTCTTGCATACCACCCAGGCTGTGAAGAAGGCCGAGCCCTGGGGGCCGTTGCACCGAGCATGTGGTGCCATGCCGATATACCTCACCAAGGCTCCCTGTGCGACGGACAACTGCAGTCCTTTTGGGGGCGTTCAAGTGGCTTTAAACGCATGCCAGCCTTCTCATGGCATTCGCATCTGCCATGACACAAATGCTCTCATCCATACCAAGGCACACTTGATCACATTCATCTCCACGAACGAAGTCTAGTTCAACCTCTCATTACCCCACAATGCGTTCTCGATTTGAAGAGTGCGACACCGACGGGGACAACCTTCCAGAGGGAATGACCCGTATCGGGTATGATGCTGATACTGAGACATACACCTTTATCAGCAGAGACGGCAGCATCTGGGAAGGTTCTCCCGGAAACCGATATGGAAGTCTCACAAGGGTCTGCCACCCACTTCAAAGATTATCCGACGTCCCAGTAGTGACCTTGGAAGATCTCGCACCTCCACCCTCAGCTCGAACGGATGATCTCGCGCCAGAATTTGCGCCTCTGAATGTCCAGAAAAATGCAGGCGGCAGACGAAGATCAGCATCAAGGGTTCTGTTGCGGTGCGTGTCCAAGGTCACATCCTCGCTTCGTCCGCGTTCGGACAGCCAGACTAGCAGTGCGTCTGTGACTTCGGCCCATACGTTGTCACCGGACGTAGAAGACTTCCTGTACTCCCATGTTAGACGGCAGCAAACCCAAATTGTACCAAGGCAATGAAATGCGAGGGGACGAACGCTCCTTTGGGAAGCCACGGAGGTCCGAGCTTGGGGGGAAGTACACAGCGAGATTGAAATGGATAAGATGATGCCGACATCAGAAAGCATGTTAACTTGAGTTTGCTCAGTTCCTAAAATTGTATTCAATCCAAAAACCGCGGCCACCAACCTGCCTTGGTAGAAATTGCAGCTTGCCGCTTCCAAGCATCGCTACAGTCTTGGAAGCTGTTGAAAGCTACCGCCAGAAGGCACGGGCCAAGACCCTTTGAGAGCATAGATATGAAGTGACTAGGAGAACGTGATTATGTAATGAGTGCGAAGTGGGCAGTATCATCAGAAAGTAAAATTCCGTGGCCGGCCAAGCCTTTTGCGGCGGTGATAGACTTCCTGATTCCAAAGTCATCCCGATCACGCTATGCAGTAACCCGAAAGTCAGTGTGGATAGCCCGAGCCAATTCGACTTAGGCTTCGGTCAGAATGCGGCTCGCCAGGATATCCGAATCCGCGCGGTTCTCAGGCAGCCACCGGCACGACGCTTGTCATTATCAATGAAGGACCACCACCGCCGCGGCCGAGAGCGAGCCATCACGTCGACTCGTTGTGTTTCGTGGGCACACGCAATAGCACGCCCCTGGACCCTCTGTTTTAATAAAGGAGCACGCTTACAGACGAGGGACCCCCGCAGGAAACGCATGTTTGTCCGTCGCCAAGCAAGATGGTGGAGAGCCAAGAACTGCATTGCACCTCTGGAAGAATTCCAACAGGGCCCTCTATTGATGGAAACAAAGCGATCTGCAGCTGTCGGCCCTCAGTGAGGAGAACTCGTCCGGGGAGACGAATCATGGGGGAGAACAAACAACCGAGAGGGCTTGGTACCCCTATATCGAAGAAGTCCACCTTGAGGTGTCGCCAAGCAATGTGATTCCACACTGTTGGATGAGGTGTGTATCGGGTACCTGGACCGCCCGTGGGCGAACGGTATAAGAGATGGCCTGGGTGCGCGGCCACTGCAGTATGAGAGGCTGTCATTGAGCAGCCCATCCGATCTTCTCATTCGCTACCAAACAACCTCACGTTCCACATACTCCATCATGAGGTCCTCCCTGTTGTTGGCGTCCGGCGCTGCTGCCGCTGCCGTCGATCTGAAGCTCGATGGCCGTGCTACGAACACATCCACCACGTCCTACCTGGCCCGTATGGCCGATACCCATATTCGCAAGGGTATAGAGTTGGACTTCGGATACACAAGTCAGTACTTCTTCAAAATACTCTCGTCTCCCTGGGCAGTCTTAGGCCTTGTCGAAGCCTTGAAAGAGGATTTCCTACAATCGCAACAAGTGGCTGCTATCAAATATGTGGGGTAATCATTTGCTGACAAAACACCAGACGCGGTCATCTATGGAGGACTCGAGTTGGCATACGCTCTCACCAAAAATGAGTCCATTGCAGATGCATACGAGCCACAGATGTCCATCATCAATGAAGATGGCTCTATCAAGGAGTACGAGTACGACTGTACGTGTCCTCCGACTATATCTTGACCCAAAGCAATTTGCATTGAATTTACTGACTTCAATCAAGTCTACTCACTTGATGAGTACCGTTTCGGCATGAATGCTCTCTGGTGGTACAACAGAACTGGCGAGGAGAAGTACAAGATCGCTGCCGATGGGATCCGTGGCATGCTCGACAGACACCCACGCACGCCTTCAGGTGGAGTAAGCAGCTTCCTCATACTTTTTCATCATATTGAAAATACGGACCTGTCAAACTCGTAGGACGTCTTACTGTTCTATCGTATAAACCATTGTACGGCTACAGTTCATCAGACAAGCCTTGTGCAGACAGTGTCTAAACTCCTACCCACACCTCCCTCCATTTTCCCCCTAAGATTTAAGCTAAATATTATTGCAGTTCTGGCACAGGGCTCCCATCTATGAGAATCAAATGTGGCTAGACGGTATTTTCATGGCCGACTCTTTCTATGCCAAGTACACAAGCCTGTACGACAGCGACAACACCACTGCGTGGGACGACATCGTCCAGCAGTTCGACAACATCGAGCAGTACACCCGCAACCACACGACGAACCTGCTCGTCCACGGCTATGACGAGTCGAAGAAGGCTATCTGGGCTGACCCGGAGACGGGCGCTGCCCCCTTGGTGTGGAGCCGTGCTGTTGGATGGTACATGGTCTCTCTGCTCGAGACCATCCCGCTGATTCCCGAGTCCCACGAGGGCCGCGAGAAACTGACCGGCTACTTCCAGGCCCTGGCCAAGGGCGTGCTGGCAGCTCAAGACTCCGCCACCAGTGGCTGGTGGCTCATTATGGACTTCCCAGGCAGGGAGAAGAACTACATCGAGTCGTCCGCCAGTGCGATGTTCACCTACGGCCTCCTCAGGGGCGTCAGGACTGGGCTGATTGATGCTGCCACTTACCTGGAGCCAGCAAAGAAGGCATATCAGGCGCTTGTTGACGACTTCGTCGTTGAGAACGACGATGGCACTTTGGATTGGGAGGGCACAGTCCTCGTTGGGTCTCTCAACAGCAACGCTACCTTCGAGGTGAGTTTACAATTACAGTGTCTGATTTTCAATACGAAGTTATTGCAGAACATGCTAACCTGAACTCAGTACTACACATCCATTGCGCTGTCCCCCAACGATTACAAGGGGGTCGGGCCATTCATGTATGCCTCCTACGAAATTGAAATCATGTAATCATGTAATCAAGTCAAAGGTGTGGCTAAGGTCTTTCGGGCTTTTCAACATTCCTGTATATATCTCACCAGTAAGAGCTGGAAATTGAAATTGCACATAAACATATTTGGATTCAATAAAACAGACCCAAGGCTATCACTGGATACTTGGTTGCATACATCTGATTCAGCAACACCTGTGCAAATAAGTGCTGGGCCTCGCTCAGGGGGCCGTGCGAGTAACACAACACATACCAGCAACGCATCACTTCCATACAGCAAGCAAAAGCCTTCCAAGTCTGTCACTAAAAGTGTCAAAGTGTGTTTATACCCACATTGTGATGGCAAATTTTCACAGGCAGCTGTCTACCCAGTCACTGGATACGACATGACTTAGGGCTGAGACATGTCGTGTCGGCCGTCCAGTCCATGTTACTGACGACTTCGAGAGCAGTGCAGCCACGATGTGATTGGAAACCCTTCGTGTGACTACTTACTCAGTGTCCCTTGCGCGTCATACTCAAGGCCCCAAGCGGGTAGTGCTCTCAAGGTACCCTGCTCAAGGATTCAATTCAACTCTTTTGAAAGCCTGTGTCTATTGCCCCTCTTATAAATCAAAAGTTTGTTTCCGTCTCTAACAATAGTCACTAGAAGCCTAATAAATGGCGCCCACAACAATCTCGACAACTTTGGTGCGTAGAAAGATTTATTAGGGAGTTTCAAAGACCAAGTACGAATATGCATGCTGAAATAATGCTCACTGGTGTCAATGATCTCCCCTCCCCACGTCAGCATGGAAAGTCTCATTGAGAACGACAGCCGTGGCCCTCATTTGATGATACTATTACGCCACGGATTCATGCACAGTAGCAATCTAGCGATCGGTCTTGCTATGAACTGAGTTTCATGAGGTGTCGGCAATCACCTAGACGTGTGGATTGACAAAAATGAGGCTGCGAGACTTGAGGGCAACTGGAAGCTCTCATCTATCCACCCGTCGCTGACCGGACAGCGTGTCGCGGATCAAACGTGGAAACAGTAATCATTCAAAGACCATAGGTGGGAGCCAGCAGATCGCTTTCCAGGTCATGCCTGCGACTTTCGGTATCGAGACTGGCCCAAGGGCGATGAATTGCTCCTCTTCGCCTGAGACTGGTATCGCCATGAATTTCAGGCTATGGCATTTGACTATGGTTTCTGTGGTTTCAGATAAAGTCTTATAGAAGCTATAGCTGATCAAAACCACTTTCAGTCGTAAAATAGCCTTACTTTCCTGCAGCACAATTGTAAATATCATTGCAATTGTGGCATGCTTTCCCCTCTCGATCAAAGAGAAGCCCAATACTTTAGACGAAAGCATACATCAAGAGGAAACAATACTTCAAAGAGATGACCCCGGCCCTGTACCCGTTCATCTGATTTGGGCGGGATGACAAAGCTCCAATTCTCGAGATCTGAAACATCATTATCTCCCTGAGTACCAGTGCTCCACGACCTAGGAAGCATGTCACAGAGAAGACAGGCCATTCGACTACCACACCACACCACAGTCCCCTTCATCGCTCAAGCTGACAAGGCAGATAACATTTTCCAAATCATGATTCAGAAAATACATGGCTGATGAGCATCCTCGGCTTGGATCTGGGCGCAGACTGCTGCAGCAGCCGCTGAGCCTGAGAACAAGGCCTGGTTAGCAATTTTAATGGGCGAAGCTTCGTCTCCGGCAACAAAGATGCCCTTTTTCGATGCCTCGCAGAACATGGGCTTGATGACAGGATCACCCATCTTATTCATTTCTAGACCCAGCTGCTTGTGAAAGTCACCGTTTGCTTCTGTCGGGGGTTTATGTCCAAGAAAGCCTTCTGTGACAGTTTCCCCTCCTTCAAAGTGCAGTACGACATCAGCGAATCCCGGGCCCTTTTCGATACGGATGATTCGACGGCTGTCGGTCTTGAACAGCTGATAGTCACCTTGTGCTTTTTGAAGGCCAGTCTTCAGCTCGTCGGAGCCGTGTGTATAGATCGTGATGGACTTGGTGAACCTAGCCGCCGTGCGAGCTGCATGGAGAGCTGTTGGAACAGTCCCTATATCGGGAATCGCTAAAATGCCAGCTGATTCGACACCTCGCGCTTCATAACCCTTGCAGAAGAAGCAATGATAGCTGGGGAGTGCAATCAGCCTGGGCCATACACTCTTGGTCGTGGACGTCTCTTTGAAAGATCACTCACATGCCTTTCGCCCAGCAGTCTGCATAGCCTTCAATGTCCGGGAAGACATCGCGCACGCCATTTGCAAGTATTATCTTCCTCCCACACCACTGCTTGCCGTCGCTACTGGAAGCTGTGAAGGTTTGGTGTGATGAGACATTGCCCGTTGTTTCTTGGGCAGATACCACATATGCCTTTTCGAACTCAATGGTGGAGTAATAGTCAAGCATATTTTTCTTAGCTGCTGCACGAAATTCCGAGGGCTCACTCTGATCCCACGTCAGGATATTGTAAATGTGAGGGCTCGGTGCGTTGCGATAGGCTCCTGAATCTAGCACGACGGCTGTGTGCTGCTGACGAGCCAGGGTGAGTGCCGCAGCGAGCCCGGACACCCCGCCGCCAATAATCAAAGCATCATAAACTTTAGCTGAAGTAGTTGAGCCCATGATTGAGTAAATAGTGACGATGTGAATGTGTGTGTATGCTTGAGGTCCACGCGACTCCAGAGACACTCACATCTCTCTGTCGTCCTAGAAGCTCTATATGGATAATATCTCCTTCATCTGGGCCTTAGAATCTCGCCGATTCGGTCTCTGCCGCGGGAACCGGCCGGGGCGGTAGCCGGATGTTCAACACGTTCCGCGCGCGCCGACTGACCGGGCGCCGGTGCACTCCTCCCCATCCATGTCCGTCGTATCCAAATGTCAAGGCGGATCTTGGAGCTTGACTCCGAAACTGGTCTCTTACAACCGGATGAGATTCTATTTGCGCATAGGTCAAAAAAGAAAAATGCTTGCAAACCCAGAAGTGTTCGACGTGATCATCGTCGGGGCGAGTTATGCCGGCCTCTCCGCGGCCCTGACGCTCTACCGGGCTACGCACACCTGCCTGGTATTTGATTCGGGCGCACCCCGAAATTCCCTCGCGCGCCAGACTCGTCTGACGTCTGGATGGGAGGGTCAGAATCCTGAGGCGATGCGGACGGCATCGCGTGCCGAGCTCCAGGAATCGGGTCTCGTTGAATTCGTGCAACGTCGGCTCGAGTCGGCCCAAAAAAAGATGGACGGGTTGTTCGAGGTGCTCGACTCCCAGGGAGCAAGGTGGACGGGTCGAAAGTTTCTTTTCGCCACAGGGGCACAGGAGATATACCCTGCCATCGAGGGATACACTGAAAACTATGGGACGTTGATGTGAGTCCTACAGCCAGTCTGCGCAATTTTTCGAGGCGGATGATCCTAAAGAAATTGTGCTTCGCAGATTCAACTGCATGTTCTGCTTCGGCTTCGAACTACGAGGTGATTCCTCTGCTGGATTGCTAGCAACAGGGACTCTTGCACATATAGGCCATGCTATCACGAATGCCCGTGACGCTCAGAAGTTTGTCGATACTGTTACCATCTACACCGATGGCGATGAGCCATTGGCAGATAAGCTGCGTGAAAAGTTGGAGCATGGATTACGTGTCGACCATAGAAAGTTGAGGAGACTGTCCAAGCCCAAGGACAGCCATGGGCTAGTGGTATGGTTCGACACTGCCGAGACAGAAATTATAGCATTCTTGGTACACAAGCCCGACCTGCAGGTCGATGCTAGCCTACCTGATCAGCTAGGCTGCGAATATGTCTCCGGGCTCGGGTTGAAGGTGACGCCGCCCTTCAATTCAACCAACATCGAAGGGGTCTTTGCAGCAGGGGACTGCTGTTCTCCTTTGAGAAACATTCCCAATGCTATGAGTATGGGATCTTTCGCAGGTTGCGGAATAGCAAGAACATTGCCGGCCCGAGGGAATCATAGGAATCAGGGCTTCAAGTTAGAGGGGTTCCCCGACAAACTGAAGCAAGACCAGCATGTATTGAATGGCATCAAATGTAAAATTGAGGCGACGGGGCAGTGAAGCAGGTACTTATTCAGAAGCACTCCTGTTGGAAGATGTGGTCGAAGAGAATAGTAATGATGCCCATTTGAAGAATAAATACAAGATTTCCTGTTGTTCTGACAATTGATGACCATGACAACACCTGATGTTTTTCTCCTTTTTTGATCACCTTGGTGAGTCATTGATAGCGAAAAGAGCCCGACCTACCTCCTGCTGCTATGCTGAAGGCTTTCTTCCCCATACGAAATGCAGCCGAAACACTCCTCCCACTTCGCGAACTTCTTTTTGGATCCTTGGGCCAAGAGTTTGCAGTTCTTCAGCCGAGAATGACGTTGAAATACCTATGAATATTCCAAAACAGGTTAATTATGATCAAGTTGCGAAGTATGACAAGATTATTGTGACGAGAAATCAGACGTACTCTTTGCAACTTCTGCGAGCCCCTTCACCACCAACTCGATCATCCTGGCACTTTTTAAACGCATTTCGTCACTAGAACTCGCCTTCCCTATGGGAACATCAAATATGTGCTCCTCCACATTCAGCAGGCCCAATTCATCTTTCATCCACGTCTTCAACTGTGACGCATAGTTTGTTCCTGTCTGCATGAAGGCGAAGACATCGGACAGGAGCCGGAAGAAGTCTGCCATGGCCGGGCCCTTGGACACAGAATGGTCCGGCTCCACCAGTTGCAACCAACCACCCGGTTTGACGAGACCAACGAACGCGCGCAAGGTGTCATGGACGGCGGTCTTCCCTGCTGCTGGGAGTGCCATGCGCTGGTGTACAAGGTCAAAACTTGCCACCCACTCTTTTGGCCATGGCTGGGTTATAGACTGGGTGAAGAGACTGATACCCTCCGGTTGTGGCCGGGGGAAGTAGATGTCGGTGATGTCTGTACCGACAAATTCATGTGTGTCGCGAGCTGGCTGAGGAACAGAGCCTCGCACGTCTTGCAGCCAAATACCTAATGATGCTTGACATTAGCAAATGCCCCTCTCCATGGACAGATCAAAAACAAGAGAGAGTGTGGGCACTGACTATCAGCCGTGGCTGAATCCAAGACACGCAGCCCGTTCCTGTCAAAGTCGACCGGGGCAAAGACGAGTTTGCCTACATAATCGTTGATTACGCTTTGCCCGAGCCTGAGACGTTCAAGCTCTTCCGGGTTGCCGTCGAGGAAATAATGAGTCTGGTTCTTATCGTCCGCCATTTCTGACGATGCAATTCAGCTCGGATAGAGAGTGGAGTGTGTTCAGTGAGTCTTGTTCAACAGTCGCAATGAGGCTCATAATCTCGGGTAACGGCGAACACAAACGAAAACAATACATGCAGTGTTTTTCATGTATTATGCTCCACAGTCAACTGATTTTGCGGCGAGGTTCCCCAGACTTGGAAGACCTCCGAAGGAACGCGACAAGGTCCTTGTGAACTAAGGCTTGTAATGTACATGTACCACCTAAGTACCGGTACACTTGGCAATTCGGTCCGATCTCGAGCTGCACAACAGAAATTGCTGAACAAGGCTGTTAGCAGTCTATCGGAAGATGAGACTCAGTTGAGGTGGGCATATATGCGGTCTTGCCTTTATTGCTGACATGCATACCTTACCTATATTCGACTCGCCGGGCCCCGAGACGGCTCGATCGACTGGTCTGCCCAATCCCCCCCAACGGTCCATGCTTGCCGCCTGTTCTCCATTTATGGTGAATGCAGTTGGGACGAGGACTTCCAAAAATATCTCGAAGGAATGTGTCACTTGCTCATAGACACGGGCCCATAATGCGGATTTGAAGGATATAAGGGTTTTACTGAGACAGAACTTTCCATTTCTAACCGGCTCTACTAATTTTCTTGCAGGAGGTACATTGGCTCAGAGCTCTTATTCCCCCGTCGGCGCCCTTCAAATTCTTCGTGCATCTGAACTTCCGAGCTCTAGTATCCGGCCGAACCCAGCAACATGACGAAGTTTCAGGCAACAAACAGCCATCAGCTGGGCATTGTCATTGCCCCTGTGATCGGAGTCACACTGGCGACTGTGTGTGTCGTACTGAGATTTCGCTCCAGGCGAATACGAAATCAAGCCATCATGTTCGATGATTGGCTTTGCCTTGCCGCGCTCGTGAGTCTTCTCTCCTCTCTTGTCGTGGCTTTGCGCACTAATCATATGCCAGATTATGACTTGGATCTTCCAAGGAATCAACATGGCGGCGGTCTTCGCAGGAGGGGCAGGCCTTCCAATCGCGACTGTCATAGAGATTGATCCTAATGCTATCGTCACTTACCTGAAGGTACGCCGAGAATACTGTAATGCTGTATCGTGTCTGCCTACTGACCGGATAGATCATTTTCGCCAATTTCATCCTCTGGTTCTGTACGGTCACCGTCGTCCAGCTGTCGATTCTCTTCTTCTACATACGGATTTTCGGGATATCCCCCTTCTTCAAGTGGTCATGCTATGGCTTGATTATTCTAATCACCTGTTTCTGGGTTGGCGGATTTTTCTCCGAGGTGTTCAGCTGTATTCCCGTCAGCAAGTCATGGAATGTTTCAGAGCCCGGCACCTGCTTCCCATACAAACCCTACTGTGCTTCCATTGGTATCTTGCACGTCTTTTTCGACCTCGCGATTGTGGTCCTGCCTATGCCGATGATCTGGCAGCTGCAAGCTGCCAGGAGAAACAAAATCATCCTGTCCGGTCTGCTCTGCCTTGGACTTGTGTAAGCTGCTGGCTCACCTCCCGGGTTCCAACTGACGCTCAGGTGGCAGCGCATGGTACTGACAGTGTGACGTAGGGCCACGGTCATATCTTTCCTCAAGATCGTGTGCATCATTGATCTCACGGGGATTCCGCAAGCCGATGTCACCGACTATCTCTGGCTCACGATTCTGCTGCAAACACTCGAATTGCCCATAGGAATCATATGTTGCTGTGTTCCCAGTCTGCGACCCGCCGTGGCTGAGATCTCGGACACGTTTAACTCCATCACCAGCCACCTCCTGTCCTTGACCCAGCGGAGCCGAAGCACGGTGGACCAGTCGTACGACTCCGTCGCCTTTGCCAGCGAGAACGATTCGAAAGCCCGTTTTGCGCGTCTCAATGACAGCTCGAGCAACGTGGAGAGGAGTCGTGTCCAGAACAAGGGCATCGGTCACGGAGCAGGCATAGAGTTGAGCGCCCGGGGAGGCCAGCCTAATGTTTCGCAGGGAAGAGACATCAATGTCACTAACGAGTACACCGTCAATTACGAGTAGGCGGAGTTCAAGGCAAGAGGTGGAGCCATTTGCGTGTTCGCAATTTATATTCACAGCTGATGTGTTCTTCTGAACAAGACTGATTCGGGGCGTGATGTATCCGACGACAACAGGGGTCTTAAAGATTTAGGTACAATTAGCACGTTCAACAATTTCACTCCCTTTGTAGTATTACCTGGGATTTTCAAATACTCGTATCGTCATGTTACATTGAAATTCTTTACACGGATCTTGTCTGTGAATTCGTGATGTTGTTGACTACATAACCGTTCCACTCGAGACGATGTGTACCGAACCCCGATTCCAAATCACACGATCCCGACGTGAGCGGCAACGGCAAATGAGGGAATTCGACCATGTATAGGGCATTTTAGATAGGGCGTCGCTCGGTGCCCATAGTTCCCCGGCCCCGGGCGTTGTAGCTCTGACTGCATATCGCCGGGTGCTAAGGTGATTCCAAGTTAGAGTATTCGGCCGCCGAAAGTGGACGATATACCAAGGTTTACCAATTCAAATTCCTCGCCACAATCACCCAACGCTCATAGTCCAACGGAAACCGGAAGTCCACACCCAGAATGAAAGCGAATGCGAGAGAGGTCCAAGGGGACCTCAGGTACGATGGTCAGGTCATCATTTACATAATCAGAGGTACGCGGCACGTCCCCTTCACTCTCACGACTCCTAGGCGACATCTTTTTGACCGTTATCCCTGTCTCATCAAAAAGCGGATCAAACCAGTTACATCAATTATATGAAGCCATTGATCCTGGCAGAGGAGCTGCAGATCGACTACATCATTTCCGTGATTGATACGAAGTCTGCTTGGTATTCCCAAATTCACCCTGAAAAGTATGTTCCCGCCATTAAAGACTGGTGCCCAGAGGCGCAGAAGGAGATCGTCGTTTTCGAGAGTACCGCATGCATGCAGTATCTCGCCGACCGGTACGACAGTGATGGCTTGTGGACTGGGAGAAATGCGGCGGAAAGAGCCGCCGTCCTGTCATGGACGGCGTACCAGACGGCTGGACTTGGGTACGTCCTTAGTGCTGCCTCTTCACATCCCCCCCGTGGGCCATATCAGGCTAAACAGGTGCTTGCGGTTCTATGGGGTTAGTCCTACAGCAAAATACTGGTTGTACTTTTTGAAGGGCTATCCGAATCGGCAGAGGCCAGAGGTCTTGCCCAAGACTGTTAAAAAGTAAGGCTCTGAGATCACCTTAGGCCACCAAGAGAATGGCGGCTAACCACACAGGTTGCACGAAAACTGCGTGAGGCAGTGGGATATTCTGGAGGGCCGGCTCCGGCTCCCAGACCAAGAGTACATTGCTCTCCCCGACAGGCCGACTGTCGCAGATATTTCATACTTTCCCTTCGCCATGCCGTGGATGTTCCAATTTCTGGACGTTGAAATTGGAAATTACCCGCAAATTCGAGCCTGGGGTAATAGAATGATGGCAAGGAATGCCGTCAGGGGAGTTGTGGAGCGCGGGCCGACTTATGGGCATCAATTCGATAACGAGTGAAACGTGGCGGGATAGAGGAATGGTCAGCTCGTGGGTCGCGCACCCCTTTTGGGACGAGAAGGTTCATTGCACTTCGTAGCACGTCAGTCCGGCCGATGACTCCGGTGAGCCTCGGGTACCGGCTTTGGGGCAACAAATTCAGCACTCAGCAAGGCATTGACTGATAAGACTATCGGGGTGTCTTAAAAAGAAATCAACTACAATGAATTGCTACAGGCTGGCTTGTACGCCTTGTGAGATATTTCGAAGAACTTGATTCTGCTTCATGACCGGGTCAAACGTTTGTTTCTGCCGAGGAAGATCCAAGTTATGTATTCATCAATGTCGGAGGTGTTCATCCCGCTGCTTTTGGTCGCAGTGTCATGCCTCGTTGCGTTCCGTGTAGACGTGCTCGCGAAAGGAAATGACTTTGTGTCATATTTCATGAACGTATGTCTGCAGGGGTCCTTGGCCACGACAAACGGATGGAATTTAACATGGCCCAGCAATATTTAATCATTAAGCATCCCATCCGCTGTTACGGCGACACAAGTCCCATCTCCATTCCGACTTGTCCTTACAAATGGCCGAACGGACAAGGTGATGTAGCAAAGTTCTTGCAAGGGGAGAAAAATAGTCACGACTGGGCTCGGGAGTACGGTTGGATATACCGGATATGGAGTGGGATGACTCCAGAAATGTTGGTCATTCTTGTTTTTTTCCCCTTTTCTCAACTTCACATTTGGCTGGAGCATGATCGATTGCTAACAAAAACTGAGTACCTATAGTGTCTTGACTCGGCCAGAGGACGTGAAAGCGGCCTTCCGGGACTCGGACCAGCACTGCAAAGGGGTCAACAACGATGCCGGTTGGCTCATGGGCGAGCTGTTGGGCAGCTGCCTGGGCCTGATCTCCGGGGCGGACTGGCGACAGGTTCGTGCCGCGACGGATGAGGCCTTCACCCGCAGAGCTGCCGTCGCCCGTATCGATCGCATGGTGGCCATGACAAGGGCGCACTTTGCCGACCTCCTCGGCGGCGGCCCCCCAGGCCGGCAGAGCCAAGAAAGGCTCGATCCGGTCGCAGATCAGCGCCACCTCCCCTTCTGGATGCTGGCAGATCACCTGTACGGCGACCTGACGCCGGCCCTCCGATCACAGCTCGCCGCCCTGATCCCGCTGCGTGAGGCCCTGTTTCGCCGCGTGATCCAGGGGGGCACGACGCGCTTCGCCTGGAGCCGCTTCCTGCCGATGCGGACGAACCGCCAGCTGCGGGCGTTTCAAGCTGGGTGGAGGGCCTTTAACGATGCCGCGTGCGCTCGATGCCGATTGGCGGGGGAGAACACCGCCCCCGTCGTGCGCATGTACGACGCATGTTGTGCGTCGTCGTCGTCGTCGTCGTCCGGGTCTGTCCGGAGCGAACACGTGCTGCAGACCCTGGACGAGGTGCTGTTTGCGAACCTGGACGTCATGATTGGCGGCATCTCGTGGAACTTGCTTTTCCTGGCCGCCCACGGGGACGTCCAGACCCAACTGCGCGAGGAGATCGCCCAGGCCATGGGCCCCTCTTCGGAGGGAGGTGGACAGTGCTCCTCGGCGCGGGCGGTTTATCTATCCAAGAACGATACCCTCCTGGCTGCTTCAATCCGCGAAGCCGCGCGCCTCAGGCCCGCGGCAGCCTTCTCTATCCCGCAGGCCGCCCCCACGGATCGTGTAGTCGGTGGCTATCTCGTCCCTGCGGGGACCAACTTCGTGGTCGACACACATGCCATGAATATCCGCAACCCCTTTTGGGGTCGTGACAGCGAGGCGTACCGACCCGCCCGGTTCCTGTGCCGCAAAGCCCCCGAGCTGAGGTACCAATATTGGCGGTTTGGGTTTGGTCCCAGACAGTGCCTGGGCAAGTACATCGCCGATCTCATCATCGGGGTGCTTGTGGCGCATCTCGTGGAGAATTACCAGCTTAGTCTGGATTCCGCGAGCACCTGGGACAAAGACTGCGAGAGCTGGATTGCGCAGACCAACACGACCATTCGGTGCAAAAGGAAGTGCTAGTGTAAGAGGCATGTCAGCGTTGCACTGTTGCAAAAGTGACACCTTGCCTGATCCTAGTGGTGCGGCACAGGCCTAGAATATGTTGGTGATACCGATACTTTGCCACCTCTGCGTGCCCCCCCCTCTTCCCCTTCATCCGTATGAGCTTCCGAGGGAGTTCCCGGGCCAGCGTAAAGTCTGGCACCAGCGAGGCTCGCAGGGATGCCACAAGAATTATTTGGACGCATGTCAGCTGTCAGACGCAAAAGTGAAGCGATTTTCACCTCCGGTGGTGGCGTCCTCCATGTCGTTGCTCCATCTTGGGGGTGGGTAGGTAGGTGGGGGAGGGGGACGGCTTCGCGCCCTTGGCTTGGATATTTCCCAAATGGGACGCTTCAATCACCTCTGGGAGGTGCGTTGGGCCTTTTTTCTCCATAATTCTGCAGATGCAACTTCGTAAGGGGCCAATTCGGTCGGTGCTACCAACAGCTTATCGAGCTAAACAAGTTCGGCCCGTCCTCCGGGAGGTGTTAGATAACCATTTATGGCTGCACAGCATGAACTGAGGATGACGAGGACCAAGAAACTCTCACGTTGTACCAACCAGAAGCAAAATTCGTCAGGATGTCCCAGCGATCAGTCGATGTCCTATCCTCACTCCATTCGCGGAACTTGCCCTCCCCAAGACCGTCCAGCCCTATGCACTGATTCGCCGTGCTACAGAGCACGCATCTCCGAACAACGGGTCACAACTGTCAATGGTTGTCCAGTGTCGGGACAGCCCTGCAGGGAGGCAATGATGCTACCTACCTACCAAGTACCTCAAGTAGTAGGGCTGAGCCTCAACACTCCCTGCGAAGGATCACACCCCTAGCGCTCTAAAGTTCTATTGCCGGCCCCATGGCTACAGATCTGCGGTCGTGTGGAGAACTTGACACCGAATTTTTCTGTTGGCTCTGCATCTGTAGCAGTGAAGGAGATTATAGGGTAGTAGCTGGCACCATACTAGGTGCCAGGTACATAGGATGCCAGCCTGGGACGATGTTTGCATCTTGAACAAATTAAACCCGGATCAAGATCTCCTGTGCTACCAGTAGACACATGCTGTAGGGGGCGTGCGTTCAGTAAGAATACCGGCGAGAACACGAGGTGAACGGGGCATCTATATCCGTCGCTCTCCTTCCCACTCGTTCTACCTGTTGCCGCCTGCCTTGGGTCAACCTGGAAGATCAGCCGGTCACGCAGCACCATTGTACTGCACGTAGAGAGTACATGTGACTCTTGGGGTACTTAGATCTCACCTTGGCGCCGCACCAAGTTTACACGATTCCTTCCCGCATCCTGATTTCGATCGAGCACTGCACCTGACCTCGCGCCGTGCAATGAAAACGCCACTGCTCCAGCACAGTTATTCTTTGAAAGGAGCGGCCCGTACCCGGTTATGATGTTTCCTACTCCTCAGAGGTTCGTGTAAACAAACAAGAAGTGCAATTGAAGGGGACAAATAGAAGTGGAAAGAACTTGAAATCAGAGACGATACGGTCGCTAAAAGCTTTGATGGACAGCCCTCCCAGCACACAATGCGCGGCAAGCAGCCGTTCACGGCCCAGTCGCCTTCGCAGTGCGTGTACGCAATGCAGCATAGCCAAGGTCAAATGTTCAGGCGAGCGTGCAGGCTGCGATCGATGCCGGAGCACCGGCTCCACGTGTGTCTATATGGAGTCGAGGGTTGGTCGGGTCCAAGGGCCCCGAGCCAGGGGCAGGCCGCCGCCGCCAAACGACGAGCATCATCATCGTCGTCACAACCATCAGCACCACTACCACGAGATATCGCAGCCACAGCAGCAGCGAGAACCAAGGGCACTAGGGCGGGCCAGCTTCTCGACAGAAGGCTCGGTGGCCACGGGCTCGACGCCGCCGCCATCGAGCGCCTCCAATACTGACGCATCGAACGAGCTACTGCGCGACAAAGACGACGAGGATGACGGCGCAGAGGACGACATCATGGCGTGGACGACCCACCAGTGGCATCTTGCACCATCTTCCAATTCATCATCCAACGTGCCGGCCGCCATCATCAGCACGGACAAGGCCCAGGACCCTTCCAGTATTCACGTGGCGCACCCCGATGCTGGCACAGGCCGGGTCACGGCCAGCGGCTCTGCAAACTCGACGATGGCGAGCGTCTCTGGCTGTGAGGACTACGACCTTGCAGAACTAGATACCGATCTGGCGGAGTTTCTGATGGCACAGTCGCCCGAAGGCCACACGGCCGCCACCTCGATGGCCGAGGGGGGCCCGTCTGGGCCCGACGCCAGCGCCGACCCCGCCGACGCAACGTTTGCAAGGGCGCAGCAGATGATGCCCATGTCCCTGGGTCTACGGCCGCGGAACGAGGTCGACAGCCAGTGCTGCATCGAGTGTTGCCAGGTGATCAGCGACCTCGAGAGCTACATCATGGCCGAGCTGCGGACATTCAAGATCCTTCTCAGCATCATCCGCAAGGCGCTCGAGAAGCTGGGCCACCTGATCGGGGCCCAGCAGGGCTCGCGCAACCTGCGTTGCATGATGCTCTTTACGGCGCTGATGTACCAGATCTACGAGCTGCTCGAGGCCTGCTTCACAACCGTAGTGCAGGAAAAGGACCGGCAGCTGGGCGCACGGGGCGTGACAGGGGCATTGCCTAGCAGCTATGGGTTCGGCTTTGGGGACTTCTCGGCCATCGACGTCGAAGAGCAGGCGGTCCTCCGCACCCAATCCGTCTTAAGGGAGGTGCAGCAGGCATCCGAGGTGCTAGGAAAGCTGAAGGCGCTGGCTACGGTTGGGCCTGACGTGAATGGGGCCCAGGGGGCCACAGGACCGGATCCGGTGCGAGGCGGCGAGGCACGCGGGAACTGCTATCTCGACTTGGAACTGCGCCTGCGTGATCTGGCCATGCGCTTCTCGATCGCCAGGGAGGGGTAGCAGGCAGCGAGGCTGGCTGGGAATGATCCGACTACCCGTACCGGTCAACGCTGGAGAGGAGGCACGCGGGGACATGGGTGGGGCCTTGTCTCAGAGAATCCTTGATCGACCTGATATTGGGTAGCAGCGCACCTCTATGCCCGCATGCACCCCCGAGGTTGGCTGGGGAGTGTTGCGCGACTTGTCAGTGAGTGTATGCGGTTTATGTGTGTTGGTGCCGAAGGAGGAAAGGACGTTGACGTGCGGCTGGTGATTGGATGCCTTGTGCTGGGGAGAGCAGCGGCACTTAATGTGGGGTTCTCGCTGGTGGGGAGGCAGGGGGCACTAGTGTGTGCCCGAGTATCCAGACAGGCAATGATATGTATGGTTCTCAGCAAGGCACGCCACCAGGTAAGCGCTAACACCGGTGCCCGTGCCGGGCCGCGGGCCGCCCTGCGCTTGCGCCTGACTGCATACTTCACTTGAGCAGAACGATGAGTGACAGCTGTGTCCGTCGTCTGTCACTGGTTGTCTTTTATCGTAATTATATGCCATAACCGCGCCGCTTACGCTTCTGCGTCACCTATCTGGCACCTACGTGCCTATCTAGGCGCTAGCGTACAAAAGGCCCAACCAAGCATAATCGAGTCAGGCTCAGCCTGACATGGCCTGGTCACGGTCGTGTTGTCTGTGCCTCTTGCTTGCTTGCTCTTTTCCTAGGTATCTCGCTAGTCTCACACCTCTGGGCGTTGATGTCTGCAAGATATCCCGGGAGTCACGGTACCTGTCAGCCCTGCGCAGGTACCACGACGGTGCTATCCAGCCTGGGGTCCCTTTCCTCCTCTACAGAGGCTGACAAGCAATCAACAGGTTGGCCAATCCCTTGGATAGGTAGATAGGTAGGCTGCACCAACAGGTTGCACCACTAGGTTGCAGCCAGCCGTGCCAACAGGTTGCAGCCAGCCGTGCCAACAGGTTGCACCAGACGTTACCAACGGTCTGCAAACACAGCGTTCGCTTTGTCCGCCTCTTCAGCTGCGCATAGCTGCGTGGTCACACCAGTCCTGCCTGGCCTTTCGTGTCTGCATGTTGTGGAACATTCCCCTCTTTTTCATTTCACACAGGGACAAAAGAGACGCTGCATGTGAGTGCACGATCTCGGCAAGATTGGGGTTTGGGGGCTCAACCGCGCCTGCTGCCTCCCGTGGCTACTACCTTTGTCAACCTCACAAACAGGGAACGATAGACGTGTGTTCTTTCCCTGCCCAGCATATTTACTGCTCTCTCTTTCCGGCCTCGCTCAGCCCAGTTTCTCCTGCTCACCCTGCCCTGCTCCTTGCTACCTGGGGCAAGACCTTGAGGTAGAAGCGCAATCTGAACCTGAGCCGGAACTTGAGCCCTTCACAAGAATACCCACGCCACAACCACCATCACCAGCAGCAGCCTTCAGCCATGCCATTCCAGCCCAAGCAGATCACCCAGTACCAGGCGGAGCATCTCGCCGAGCTCCAGGGCGATGTCAGCGAGCAGGCCATCCGCTTCACCCTAGGCCTGGTCCCACCCTTCTCCGCCGGCGATGTTATTCACGACAATGCCTGCGGCTCCGGTGCGGTCACCGAGACCATAATGGCCCTGCCACCACCGCCAAGCATCCATATCGATGCTACCGACGTTAACGAGCAGTTTGTACAGGGTGTTGCCGCCCTGGTTGCCCAGAAACAATGGCCTGTTGACACCGCTGTGATGTCCGCTCAGGCCTTAACTTTTGCCGATAACCACTTTACGCATTCCTTTACTAGCTTCGCCTTCCATTGCCTGGGCGATCACGATGCCGCTGCACGCCAGGTCTATCGTACCCTGAAGCCCGGCGGTATCGCTATCGCCTCCATCTGGATCTTCATGCCGCACGTCGACGCTCTACAGCACGCCCACTGGCGTACACGCGGCCGCGACGGGCCCATGCCCACCCTCCTCCCCCTCGAGGGCTTCCAAGAGGCCGACCTACGCAAGGCCCTCGAGGCCGGCGGCTTCCAGTCCGACAACATTGATTGTTCTACCAAGGACTGTTATTTGAAGATCCCCGACCTGAAGCGCTGGGCCCAGCTGGCCTGGAGTTACCTGGGCACGCTGCCCACCGGATGGACTCAGAACGACGAGGATAAGTGGGACGAGGCCATCGCGGACATCGTCGAGGAGCTGAAGAGCGGCGATGGCATCTCGCAGAATGAGCAGGGGGAGACGGTCCTGAAGATGATTGCTTGTGTGGCTGTTGCTAAGAAGTAGACGAGGCCAATCTTTACTGCTCAGTTTTTAAACATTCCGTCAAACACAAACAAAAATTTCACAGACTCAGTGTTCACATGCGCATGCATGATCACGCCATGGGTGCAGCAGGGTCTTCTACGTCTTTCTGAGATCAGAGGACCGTGTAGAACGATTTTACATATTTACCAAGATTATGCAAGTCCTGAGGACAATCTCGCCAGTGGTGACAGACGAGACCTCAAGTGTCCACCAGTGTACTAACTCAAGTAACTCACTTGTTCCGCTTGCTGCTATGTACTGATGCCTCTCCCTCATCCTTAAACTTCTCCACCTTGACTTGAAAGGCCATCCGGCCATTGATTGAGAGCATTCCACTTTGCTTACTACAGAGATGTCTGACTCCACACTGCCACCATCTTGAAATGGGCCCCTTGAGCTTCCAACTCCTTCTGAATTGCGTTCTGAAAGTCTTCCAGCTCGCCTCTGTTGGGTGTGACGGAGGCTTGAGCTAGTCGAGATTGTCAGCAATTTTGTCCAGGGCCGCGCTACCCTTGGTGCTCACCGTGCGTAAACTCCCACAGGCCCTTCGAAGCCGTCACCAAGTGTGACACGCTTTTTGTAGCGATCTGGGCATCTTTGCACGCAGCACCATAAGAAATGTTAAAGATGCGCTCGTGCACATTGCGGAGCTCAGCACCCTGCAGGTATGCCTTCAAGGGCCGCGCGTACTCAAAACCGACGCCGACAGCAGTTAAGAACTGGCGCATCATGGTCTCAAACTGCTTCATGGCCGGCCCATTGGTAGAAGGCCCCGTGAAGTCTGCCTCGACAAGCTCGATCCATCCTCCCGGCTTGACGAGCTGCACAAGGCGGGTGACACAGTCGATCACGGGGGTCTGAGCGGCCCCGGCCAGCGTGAGGCGCTGATGAACGTAGTCGAAGGAGTGTTCCCACGCTTGCGGCCAGTCCTGTGTGATGGACTGATTGCAGAAAACGAAGGCCGGGGCCACCTGTTTCGGGAAGAAAGCGGACGCGATATCGGTGCCGATATACTCGTGCGTGCCATCGCGGTCTCCGAGAGATTCTTGGAGTTCACGAAGCCACAGACCTATTGTTCCAGCGACGAGGGAAAACCACGGCTCGTGTCAGCCTCTACTTGTTCTAATGTCTTTTTTGTCTAGATACTTTTGAAGTGAGGACCGGTCGGGGAAGAATATACCGTCTGCAGTCCCCGAGTCCAGAATTCGCAGATTGGGACGGGAAAAGTCAACAGGTGCAACCGTCAGCGCTCCCATGGCATGCTTTAACACCGCGTGTTGATCAGCGAGCCTCTGTAACTCGCCTTCAACACCCTCCATGACATAATGCTCCTGATTGTTTGATGCAGAAGACATGATAAGAGAGGCGAAATGAAGACGGCTGGATCCAATTGCTGTAAGTAAGCCACCCAGATCGATAACGCTGGAGCGAGGCATCAACGACCGAGTCTGTCTTGCACGTCCGGCCTTGCTGTAATACTAGTACCGTCGTAGCTAACAATGTCTATTCTTGAACCTACGTGCAAAATTGCTGTCTTTGGCGGCCACAAAATTTGTTCCCGCACATGCGTGTGTCCTTCAGTGACCTGCTTCTCTTGGAACCTGCCCAGAATCGGACGCCGTAGGAGTTGGATCCGGCCGGGTTCCGAGCCAAATGTCCACTGAGGCTAGGATGGGATTAATGGTAGGGATGGATCCGGTGGATGAAAAAAGCTTCCTAGAATGGACATCCAGAAAACATATCATCGATTACACTGATTGCGCCGTGCTGTGTGTGTGTCAGTCAGAAATTCAACTCAACAGGCGCACAGCATGGCTACGCCCGTTGGCCAAAACGCCTTCGTACCCAAGCAGGCCATTACCAAGGACGTCGACCTTTACGCCGAGATCACCGCCAACTCCACAAGGGACGTCGCTCGAGCCATATTGGATTTCCTGCCGCCCATACCCGCCAACGCCAAGATTCACGACAATGGCTGCGGATCGGGCGAGGTGACCAGCGCCATCCTGGAGAGGCTCACCACCGCACAGGATGCCGCGACCGCCGTCCGGGGCCCGGGCGTCTCCATCGAGGCGACCGATATTGATGACAGCTACCTCGACCGCCTGCGTGCCAATTTGCACGACGCGCACGACGAGCAGCCGGCAGTGGTAACCGTCTCCCACATGCCCGCGGAGCAGCTCGCTTTTGCTGCTGACCACTTCGACCTCTCCATCGCCAACTTTGTCGTATTTCTGACGCCCGAGGAAGGATTGCCCGCGCTGCGACACATGCACCGCACGCTGAAAACGGGCGGCACCGCCGTTGTCACCGCGTGGGCACGGCTCCCGCACGTCGACCCCGTGCGGGCCGCGCACCTCGCGACCCGCGCCGGCAGCGCCGGCGACGTTGGTCCGGATACCGAAACCCACCACCCCGGGCCGCCGCCACCGCCGCTGCGCGAGATACCACCCCAGTGGTGGTCGGGCCCTTATCTCCGGGACGCGGTGGTGCGAGCCGGTTTCGACGAAGGACGGGTCGCGCTGCGCTCGGTCACCGTGTCCATTACGGCACGCGACGAACGGCACCTGGCGCGCGTCCTCTGGAGCTATCTTGGTCCGCCGGTCACCGGGTGGCTGCCGTCGGACGAAACGCGCTGGGACGAGGCGATGGATGTTATTGTGCACAGCTTTGGGCAGGTGGAGGGTTTTCAGCGGCTAGAGGGGGAGGGCGGGTTGCGGATCGAGTTGACGGCCAACGTGGTCCTGGCCACGAAGTAAGTTCATGGCCGCGTCTGTCATCAGTCCTGTGCATAGCTATTTTTTCCCTCTTCAAGACGAGATTACTGTGCCAAGTTGCTTAGTCAACATACCTAGAGTATCTACCTATCGAAGTATTCAGTCCTCGAACCCAGTCTCAGTCTCCATCTGCTAGCCCCTCTGCTCAAGCACTTGAAATATTGGTACACCATGTTGATTCTTCGGAGGTTGGCTCCGCCGCCCCCCACAGAAAATGTGTGGTACCTCGCTTATGGCTCGAACCTAAGCTCCTCGAAATTCATCCACGATCGTGGTATCGTGCCCCTCGCTACCGCAGTGGTCACAGTACCCGGCTGGAGCTTGGCCATGGACAGCGCCGGGGTTCCCTACTCAGAACCCGCCTTTGCAAGCATTTCGCCCATAGGTGAAGGCGGTGGTGGTCTAAGGGACGAGAAGCGAGTGCAACTAATCGGGACGGCGTATCAAGTCACGCCAGAGATGTACACCAAGATCCTCGCATCAGAGGGGGGCGGCATCGCCTACGCAGAAGTGGAGGTCCGGGCGCAGAGACTTGACGTTGATGGCATTCTGGGGGGTGACCCTGAGACCCCTCCGGCAGACGCCACATTTGCAACACGGTCACTGGTGACGGTCTTGAGAAGGAAAGCCAGGCCGAGTGCTCGTTACATGGTATTCATCTTGTTCCCTGCTGAATCTGCTGTCCCAGCCCGGTCGTCATCTATCTCGCTCGTCCAACACCTACCTCTCCTGTGTGCCATCTTTTTTGGCGCATGCTCAAGCTTGCTGATTTCTGCGTAACGTTAATATAGAACCTCCTCTTGTCAGGGGCCGCAGAGGCTCGCATGCCTGCGGCCTACCAGGAGTTTCTGGAGAGAATTCCCAGATACCCACCTCCAAGTGAGGCCGTAACCCGCATGGGTGCAGCTATCTTCCTTGGTTTCTGGGTGCCGGTCATGTCGGCCATGGAGAGACTCACGAAGGCGAGTTTGAGGAGGAGCAAGACAGGTAATGCGCCGGATTGGGTCGTGCTCATCGTGCGGGCTGTGGTAATTGCCATGTGGCTTTACCACGATTATGTCCACGCGCCAATTTGGGGGAGAGGAGACTAACGGCCACCAGTTGGCTCCGGAAAGACATGGTTCGATCTTTACGATAGGATTTATGCGAACCGTGGTCCATAGAGAGATGACAGGCTAAGAGGTCACAGCGCAACGAAGTTTTTCTTAGGGATGGGGGGAGGGACACGCACAACTCCCTTGACAATGTTGATTCGTTTTCAGAAATCTGCGTGGAGGCGTGGTGGAAAGTGTTTTGCTCCACGTGCGGGACAAGTTTATACACATATTATATTAAGAGAAAAAAGTGGGAGTTGACACCGGGCCATAGGTTCAACACAAAGCAGTTACTCAAGTCTAACTGACACTTTGACAATCAACGGACCTCACTTCTGGAAGGTATCGGCTGGGCCAACTTCAATTAAAGACCAAGCAGCGGACTTCCACACTCTCCCGCGGCGGTCTGTCAACAGGTGCCTCAGGCTTCAGAAATGCACAGTGAGCACACACTAGGAACGTTTAGCTTTTGTCATAAACGACACTGATCCATTTGGTTTGGTGGAGAATAGGTTTCCGGGACTTACTTTTTGCCACGTCTTCCTTGTTGTCCCAGATCTTGATGAATGTCACTTCTGTCGGCTCTTGCTGATCAAGATAGAACCACTGTTGATCATCGGAGTGGTTAATAGACACGGTCTGTCCTTGCATCTCGAAGCGTTCCTTGAATATGCTGGTTGGGTGAATTTCGGAATCCTTGATGCTTCGATAGTCCATTAGTGCCAGTGGCCAGTCCTGCACTGTCCCATGAATGGGACGCCAGACACTTTTATGTAGTCTGTCAGCTTTATCGTTTTCGATTAAACAAGACAAAAAAGAATCACAATATGTAAGAACGCACTTGAGAATCTGTGCTCGTCCTTGCAGCAAGGCCTCAGCGTCATCTCCACCGTGGCGCCGAACCCGTTTGACTGCACCCAGAGGGCCTCTGCCGAACATAAGCACGATGATATATGTGTGCATAAAGGGTTCATTCATACTGATCACAATGTACCTATTACGAATTTAATTTTGTCAGGGTCGAGAATGAATCTCTGAGATCCGAACGGAGCACTTACTACAGTAGCTGGCTGTTCCCTGCCATTGGGGTTCTCGTGAACAGCGAGTGATGGGTCCCGTTTCCGGTATGTGTGGTCAAATATGATCACTTTGCTAGCTCCTGTAACCTTCTTGACCAAATCCTCCGCCAGGGGGTAATATTCCCGTTCGACGAGCGATTTATCCCTTGACCGGATGGCTTGGATAACATGCTCCGAAAGCGGTTGATCATCATAAAAGGAGAAGCCGTGGACGTCAAGATCAAATTCATTCTTCTTCGGTCTCGCGTCGTGTATTTGAACCGTGTACTCCCGGTTGACGAAATTGGTGCCCGGGAATAATTCTTCAACCTTGCCTCGGACGTACGGAGCGTCCTTGTCCGTCCAAGGCTCCAGATAGGACATTTGGCTCTTAACAGTGGACATTATGAGGAAGTCTCGTAAGGATGTATGGTGTGGAAAAGTCTCTCGTTGGAAAGAAAGCGCTGGAAAGAAGGATAGGAGCAAGGAAGACTTCGCCGGGGGATGGAAAGATGGCGCGGCGGACAGACCACTGGAAATTACAACTTAAAAAAATCATTCACATGTAAGAGGACACTGTTCGATCGCGCAAGTGATGAGTTCAAGACAAAGTCCAACTTGATTTGATTGGTGACAGATCACCGTGTGATTAAAACAACTCACAAGGTCCAGGCTAGACGCCCTGCACCAGTTCCGGTACCCGACAATGAAAATCGCTTGTTCAATCCGGGAAGCAGTCCAACCTCGGGAGCCGTCCACACTGGAAGCTACGACTGTATCGCTCCTTTTCGTCATGCGCGCAAAGCCGTATCCTCTTCTCGGGGACTTTTAAAGAGTTGTAAATGATATCGGTACATCTCAAATTGCGCCACAACGTGGAGAATCAAGTGAAGCTACCACAGCAGTGACCGAGGGCTACTTCTGGAGTTGGGGTGCTTCAAAGCGACCAACGAGATGGTTCTTGGATTTTCCATCGTTGCCACATACATATCTTGAAAAATCTAAGGATCATCAAGAATACTCGCCCACGCGTTCCACGGTACCTCTTTTTCGTAAAGCGCTGTCGAGCCCAACGCCTAGTCTGCGGAGTGCCTCAGCTAATCTGTCCGGATCGAGGGCAAAATTCAGCCTTGCCCAGCCTTTCTCGCCATCGGGAACATGATAGCCACGCCCCGCGGAAATGGACACCCCTGCCTCTTTGCATGCGTGAACCGTGTCCGCCTCGTCTTCCCACGTCTGCGCGTCGGGGACGAGTCTAGCAAAGAGAAAAGGGCCCATGTTTGCGGGGATGTAAGTCAGACCCCGGGATTTCAGCATAGAAGTGATCGTGCCATACGCCCGACCAAGGCGTTCTGAGTTCAGGTGAAGGAGATGCGGAAGCTCTGGCGACATCAACAGGCGGCTGGAGGCGATGGCGGTCAGAGACGACATCTGGGTATTACATGCCAACGCTAGGCCCACGGCCAAAGGTTTGTTGTTTTGTGTGATGCAGCAGCCCTGAAAAAAGATTGATTTGTTAAGACCGGCTAAGATTGACGGGCTGAATCCAACGAAGGGGCTTGGAGATACCATTCGTAGACCACTGGAGCCCAGATCTTTGCTGGTGCTCCAGATTGTATGCACATGCGAGGAATCGCATCCCATACCCTCCACATCAATTTGTAATGCCGAGACAAACGGTACTGGGTCTGGAGTATCCATGTTTGAGAAGCGGGATAGGGCGTAGATCTCGTCCGATATGAAATGAATCTTCTTCCTGTTGCAGAAGTCGATGATGTCCTTGATGACAGACTCTGGGTAGCACTGACCCAAAGGATTTTGAGGATTCGTGAATAAAAGCCCTTTGATCGATATCGTGCTCTCGGAAAAAGCCGCTTCTAATGCTTCAATTACATCAGATGTAAAGACCCGGTCAAGAGACTGCGTTTTAACGAATCTCGGCTGCACTCCGGATCTGGCTTTGACAAGCCAATCGAATCCATCTGTGAAGAAGATTTTAGCACCGTTTATATCTCTGGCGTTCTAATACTTCCAGTTCCCACTTACTCCAGCACGGTGTAGGAATGAGGATGGCGTCTCCGACTGCACATATGTTGTAGAGAAGCGCATCCAAGGCATATGCTGCACCGGGAGCAGTCGCGAGATGCGCGGTCTCTACGGGAATACACGGCTTGAAGAAACGATTGAAGAAATGCGACAGGGCTCTGAGGAGTTCTTGATCACCGGAAAACCCGTCCGGATAAGAGAGATGCTGTGCAGGACTCAACTGGGGACCTAAAGCTGAATTGGTAGGATTATTGGGTTTTTTCAAACATACCTTGCTTGCCAAGTCATCCTGCACAGCCCTCTTGTAGAGATCGATGAGCTCATGTCGAAGGAGCCAATTCTCAGACGTTCCCATGTCAATGCTAGAATCCTCTGTCTGCTGTTCTCTGTCTGCTACGGCGCTGGCAATTCGCGGCCAGATAGCCTCCACGTTTGCAGCACCTCGTGCCGAGAGCCCGTAACTCTCCATTGCAGCAGATGTGTTCTAATCCGCTCGAAACAACCAATAGTACACGCGGGCGTGCAATTTCGGTGACCAGTGCTCTTAGACTCGGTGGCAAGCCAAAAGCGGTGGCACTTTTCGGACTCTGACAGTAGGGTCTACCACTCGGAGGCGAATGAGCATCGGATAATAAGATCTAGTTAAGACAATTGGAAGAAAAGATTCGGCCCGTATCGAGTGCACTATTTCCTCGGTTCCCGTCAGGCCGGAATCTTAAACAGGTTCTTGCTGCGGATGTTCCTTATTGTGAGAGGGAAAATCAGGAAGAAAAGAGTTTATCAAGGCGGCTTCTCCATCTTACAGAAACAGAGATAAGACTACTGATTCAACGAGAAACATGCCAAGGAGCCGTCAACCAACAATGTCGAATACAATGACAGACAAAGTCTCCCGCTGCATTCAGCACCGCGGTCTTGCTGTGCCTGCTACTATGCAATCAGCAATTTCTCACACCCAACCATGGGACTTGTTTCTCTCTGAAGTTTCGACTGCATTAGACATACCTCTGGCGCTTGTGGATCCGGAGTCCAGCTTTGTTGAAAATGGGGGTGACTCTTTGTCATTCATCGGACTGAAAGCTGGATTGAGCAAGTACGGAATACTGGTTACATTCGAGTCTGTCTTTTCTGCCAGAAAGTTGATCCATCTTGCTTGTGAGCTGCTGCGACCCTTTAATTGTACTGCCATCCGCGAACGCGCGTACGCGATTACTGAACCATCTCATCAAAGCAATTGTCATCGAAGATTCTTCGCGTGTCAAGAACATTTCCCTATTGCATTCGGGCTTTCCGGATGGCTCTACCAAGATCACGAGTTTCGACGCAATTGAACCACACCCGAAGCGCATTCGCCGCACATCATATTCGCTTACAGTGGCTCAGACCTGGGCCGAGCAGTCACTTTCGAGATGTCCAGTAACCGAAATGCAGCGTTGCCTAGTTCGCTCCACCCAGTTCAGCCCCGGCCACAACGTTATCGAGTATATCGAGACGCATCGAACGGACCGTATTCCTGAGCTGAAGCGAGCATGGATGGAAGTCTTGGGCACCGAGGAACTGTTCAACAAATCTTTCAAAATTGACGGTTCTGAGATTTATCTCGAGCAAGACAGAGGAAGAACATTTATTTGGAAGGAAATCACCGTGGACAACGAGGTATGCACTGATATGGATGTGCTTGAATATGTGGCTGGGTACCTATCCCATTGGACCAAACCGCTGACTAGGAACCAGACCGCATATCGACAAGAAGTTGAAAACCCCTCAGAGATTACTGCTCCCGAAAGCTTGGTTGAATGCGGATTCAGGGTCATTACGCTCCAAGAATCTCCCGGGTATGAAGGCAAGAGCGCCGTGATCTGGCGGGTCCATCACGCCATCATTGATGCCGCTTCATGTGCTCTTGTTCGATCGAGAGTCCGCTTGGGAGACAGAGCCCAGACACAGCCTCAAATGGCCCTTTCGTTTACTTCCTTCTCCTTACAGCTTCAGTCTCTTCAGAAACAAGGGCGCGAATCAGCAACTGCCTTCTGGGCCCAACAAATCAAAGACCACCCATCCCCAGCCCTGAGCCTGCCACTTCCGCTCCCTTCAAACATCCCCTTCGACAATCGTCTTGGAACATTCTGGCTTCAATTCGAGTTGGATAAGCTAAAGGAGTATTGCAGACGAGCCAAAGTCACTGTGGCGTCGCTCTTTTACGCGGCATGGGGACTTGTCTTGGCCAGATACACCGCATCCGACCACGTTTGTTTTGGCGTCGTCTTCTCCGGCCGGAGCCTTCCCATTGCTGGAGTAGAGACTGTTGTTGGGCCTACGATCAATACGTTGCCATTCTACATCTCGATCGATGCTGAGGCGACCGTCGAACAATATGTCAGCCAGGTCTTTGCCTCGCTCGTGCGCTTGACCTCGTTTCAGTGGAGCGAGCCGGACCACGGGTTTTCAAGAAACTTCTCTTCGGCCGTCAACGTCCGATTGGAAACGCCACCAGCCCTGACTGGCGATTCCTTCGAACCGATCGAGCATCCTTACTACAGAGTAGTCTCGGACTTTCCACTTCATATCGAAGTTGGGAATTGTGGCCGTGCCTGTCTTTCTTACAATACCCAGACTTTCTTTGCTGCGCATATTGGTCGGGTGGGCACGATGTTTGCCGCAGCTCTGGATGCTATAATAGATAAGCCCGGGAAGACCGTTGGGTCGTGCTTGGAATCTATCATCGGCAATCAACAGGTAGTGCAACTGGCCAGAATGGGGAATTGGTCGTCTGGCTGGCTTACATCAGATTCTATTCAAGATGACCTGATCTCGCTCTTCTCTCGAGCTGCGGAGAAATACCCAACAAAAGTGGCTATTGAACGTGGTCCTCATGTCCTAACATATGCCGAGCTACACGAGATGTCGTCCTCCCTTGCCAACTACCTCCTGACTAGCTGCAACATCAGGCCAGACGACGTCATATGCGTTCATGCTGATGGCTCAGTCTACTGGATCGTTGCCATATACGCGGTCCTGAAAGCCGGTGCGATTTACTGTCCTCTCGATGAGCGGCTACCTGACATCACCAAAAGAACAAACTTTGCAGCCGCTGGCGCAAGGCTGTTTCTTGTGGGTAATACCTCAGCTCTGTCATCCAGGCCTGCTCCGATCGAGCCCTGCCTTTCTATAGAAGAGCTACTTGCAAGAATGGATCCACCAGTCCTGGAGGCTCGACAGCATGTGGTACGTCCTAATGCTGATGCATATATTTGTTTTACATCCGGCTCGACAGGCAAGCCCAAAGGTGTCATATGTCGCCACAATGGCTTAGTATCGTTTCAAAACGATATCGATATTCGACTACAAGCCCGCCCTGGATCGAGAATCGCTCAAATCATGTCGCCGGGATTTGATGGCAGCATTCATGAGATCTTTTCAGCTTTAAGTTATGGCGCCACGCTGGTATTGAAGGACCCATCAAAGCCATTCAAGCATTTGCAAATATGCGACGCTGCTATTCTCACTCCGTCGTTGGCCGAAGCTCTCGATCCGAACAGCTTTCCAGATCTAAAAACCGTATATTTTGTCGGGGAGGCTGTTTCTCAAAGTCTTTGCGATACCTGGGCGTCACTGAAACAGGTCTTCAACATGTATGGGCCTACCGAAACGACCTGTGGAGCAACGATCAAGCGTCTGATTCCGAGACAGCTCGTAACGCTTGGCATTCCGTGTGCCTCAACCCGTCTATATGTCCTTGATAATCAACAGAAATTGGCTCCGTGGGGCACTATTGGCGAGATTTACATCACCGGTGTGCAAGTTGCTGCTGGCTATGTTGGTCGACCTGAAGAGACTGCGAGGAGATTCTTACCAGACTCCATCAATCCGCAGTATGCCCGACAGTCTATGTACAAGACTGGGGATCGAGCATACTGGAATGAGGATCGAGAGTTGTCCTTCATAGGCCGTGTAGACCGCCAGGTCAAACTCCAAGGATTTCGGGTTGATCTGGGTGACGTCGAGGCCCGAATGATAATGGCAAACAAGCGCTGCACTGCAGCTGCAGTCGTTTGTATGCGGGACCACCTCGTTGCTTTGGTTCAGCCCGCTGATTTGGATTTGGACGATTTTGGGGCTCGGATTCGCGAACATCTCCCTGCTTACGCAGTTCCACGTTATATTAAATCCGCAAGCACTTTCCCTGTGACCCCAATTGGGAAACTCGACTACAAAGCCATCGCAGTACAAGTACAGCCCGCCTTCGAACCATTGTCCACAACAATTTGCCAGAGAACACATACTGTGGAAACAATACGGTTGAATGCCATCGAGGAAATAATCATTTCCGAGCTTAAAGCGGTGGCTGGATTGCAACATGGCGTTGAAATCGACCTGGAGTCTTCTCTTGACGATATCGGGGGAAATTCGATCCTCGCGTTGTCATTTCAACGTCGTCTCTCGCGATCATTTAAGCGACCCATTCCGATATCGACGATCCTGGAGACAAGGACTATCAAGACTATGGTGGAACATATTGCATTATTTCATTTCTCACAAGAACAAAGATCAAAGCCAACACATTGCGTGGACATGGTACTCGGCGATCAAGGTGTTGCGCCGATTGAAGCTGAATGGTGGCAGAAATACCAACAGAAACCGAATTGCGGCAAAGCGTCCTTCAACGTCACTTACGCTTGTCGGCTACCTGTCTCTCTCGACCAAGCGAGATTCATTGCTGCATGGGACACTTCTATCAGCAGACATCCCATCCTCAGTTCCAGGTACCGGTGGGACTTAGATTCCCAAAGCCTGGTGAGGCACTACGCTCAACAACCACCCGCCTGCAGACAGGTCGCAGCGATTGACGTTCACCACGAAGTCAACGTTCCATTCCACCTCGAGGCGGGCGAGGACCTCATCCGAGTCTCGGTCTCTCGAACGCACATGCTCGTTGTGGTCAGTCACATCATCTGCGATCTGACGACCCTAAATATTCTGCTGCGAGACGTAGCGGAGACTTATTACGGCATAGAGCTGAAGCCCGTAGGAAAGACGCATTTCCAAACGACGCGGGCGATACCTGCTGCGTCTGAACAATTATCCTTCTGGTCGGATTATCTTGCTGGCGCTCCTTGCGTTTCTGACTCACGCAAGGGCCGAACTCTCTTCAAGCAAAACAGCCGGACGACCTGGTCGGGGACATCTCACGTTGTTGATGTCCGCGACGAAACGCACCTGGCCATGCGCAACTTTTGCTCCGCGCACAAGATCACCATGCATCAACTCGTTCTCGCAGCAGTGGCCTTGGCCTTGCAATTCGATTCCGAAGACTGTGATATTGTCCTTGGGGCGCCATATCTCAACCGGCCGTCTGAAGAGGACATGCAAGTTGTCGGTCTGTTCCTTGAGCCGCTTCCGATCCGAATCCGGTATCCTTTACTGGGGCTCGAGATGTCCCGGGACAAGTCGGACGTGCATCCGACAAACGTGTGTTCGTTCATCAGTGTCGTGCAGCAGTCATGTAGAGCGGCATTGTCGCATGCAATGCCCTGGCACCAGCTTCTATCACACCTGGGTATCGGAGCCAAGTTTCCAAATCACCCCTTGTTCGACGTCATGGTTACTTTCCACGAGCCTAGCCAAGAAGTTGAGTTTCCCGTCGAGGGCATCGAGTTTCTTCCCACCTGGACCGAAGGTGCCAAGTTTTGCATTATGGCCGAGTTCACAGCTAGAAGCAGTGGCTCTTTGAGTATGAGACTGGAATATAGTGATGAGTGTCTCGAAGAGACAGGCATTCATCTGATGGCAAACTTGGTGCTAGAGGCAATCGAGGCCTTGGTGGTTGGTGATGATTATCCAGTTATTTCAAATAGGCTTAAGTCTGTGTCCAGGACGAGGGTCCTTGAGGATGAGAATCTGGATGTAGAGGGCCAGTGAGCTTCGGCCTTGACTGCCAGGGTAGTTGCCTACTTCGTAGATACCTGGGTATATATCACAACTCTCAAACGGTCCGGTTCTGAAAGCTTTCCGTCCGTCCATGCCAGATATTTTTGCAAGTCAAGGAGTGAGTCTCACTTAGTTCTATCAGCAGTAGAGTTTTAGTTGCTCCTTACATAGTGGTTTACATATGCCATATTCCATGAAGGTAAGCCGTCGTATCTCTGGACTCGGGCTCTGTGGTTAAGAGCTGTCAATTTCCAAAACAAATTTGCATGAGGAATGCAAGGGGAAACACTAAGACGACAATTTATAGGTTACCTATGCAGCTAGCGGAGATAAGACAAGAACTTCGAGAACCTTTCAAACACTCCAGAGCCTCGCTCCGGCCACCACACCATGTGTAAAGACAATTTAGTAGGTGGGAGAAAATCGGGATAGACCGTCATGTTGTCCCAGTTGAGGAATAGGAGGTGCCTGGCGATGATGTAAAATTGGCGTGGTCTCGTACACGCCCAGGGATTGTGATCACGATCATCAGTCATTACAGTAACAAAATTGGTTACAGCGGCCAAGTCTGCCGACATTAGAAGCCAAACGTCTAGCTCGGAATAGATTGCCACTGCTCACGAACGAGTATTGTATCATTCTGCGACTCTCCGTGAGACTTCCCATATGATCTATGTTTGGCAAGTTTGAGGTGTCTACGACTTTCTTCGCTTTATAGAAATCCTTTGAGTCTGATTTGGGGCGAATTGTCCGTTGACAGACAATCTGGATGGCATGGCCTTTGGAGCATCCCCGGCCCACTGCAACTCATACTCGAGGATGAGCTTGCTAAAAATGAGCTTGGCCTTTCTGATGGCGTAGAAGCGTCCCGTACAAGAGTGCTTTCCGAATCCGAATCTGGAAGTATAGTGTGTCTGCAGTTAGTATACAGGACTCAGCTTGTTCGCGTGAGGGTAGAATCGATGCATCCTGAACTTACGCTAGATTAGTTTCTGAGACGGTGGCAGCACCCCATTTCCAATCGCCCGTATCATCAAAGAGCCCTTCTCCCAGTTGAGCGAATCTGAAACCATCGAATGCAAGAGGGTCTGTGAAGTTCTCGGGATCTGTCTGGATCGAAAGCACTGGGATCGCGATCCTCGTCCCCGAAGGGAGCTTCAACCCGTCGTGAAACGTGAAGCCTCGCGGGTCCATGACGGTTCGCGCGCATGTAGCAGAACCTGTGGGGTAGAGCCGGTTAATCTCACGAATAAAAGAGTCCATCAGCGGCATGCTGCTCAGCGCCTTATCTGTGCGGCCATGCAGTCCTATAACCTTTTCAGCCTCCAAACGAAGGGGAGTCAGGTACTTCGATGGTGGCTCGAGGAGGACCTGGAAGACCATCTGTGTAACGAGTCCACCTGGTGCAGCACTGCCAGCCCACAGATTGTGCAGCAGCGATAGGGCGATTCGTCGTGGATTGTGATCTTTCACATGCAGATCCTTTGAGAGCTCAAGACTCCATTCTATAGCATCGACGCACCCATGGCCCTCCCTATGCATCCAATCATTTCTCCGTGGCCTTACGGACCGAGTCTGAAACTCTTCAAATCGTGCTTCGACAAGCGGTAGCACAATTTGCATAGCCTTCCGTAGGTTTCTTCGGTGAAATACTGAAAGCATCTGGCTCGCTACGCGACGGAAGGGCCCTAGTGGCAGCATGCTTAGGAGAAGGCCATTGACAAAAATTGAATTTGCGAATGTCATGGAGGTGCGAATAAACGACTCGCTGCGGCAGAGCTCTGGGCCGATAAGTATTCTGCTGGTGGTACGGTGCATTATGTTCCCAAGTAGAGTTGCCGCAGTGAAAGTGGTCCATTCTGTCGACGATCCAATCTCCTCTCCGAACGCGTAGTCACATTCTTCACTGAGAAGTGATACCACTTTTGCTACATTTCACGTTGTCAGCTTCAAATCCCGGCCTATTAAATCAATGTTTTGAAGGAATAAATACGTAGTCGAGTGTTGATGCCCCTTCTCACTACATCGGCCATGAGATCCGATGAGTAGAGATCGCCGACTGAGGCATACAGGCTGAATGCCTAGTCGTAGTAAGTATCATCGTCAAAATTAAGAGGTGTTCACTCATCCTTGAATAGGCTAACCTCGCTAATATTTTCCATGAAATTTAAAGTCTGTGTATCTGCCCGCTTGACATCGACAAGGTATTTGGCTGGCAGGAAGACATAGTCCAAGGCCCAGAATTTCATCACAAATGGTCGTTGAGAATTTGTGATGACCTTTTGTGCAGAAAAACGTAAGTTTTCGCCAAACAGAGTCACGGAATCCCAGCGTGATTACCTTCGTATATCCTTCTTGCATTTGCTTTTCCATTGTGAAGGTCGAAGCGTATCTTCCAGAGAGCAGTGAGGAAGGCCATGATTTGCCAATTCGGACAAAGGGACTTCGTGCGGGCGACGCAAGGAGGGTTAGGGCTGCGAGTGCGAGCAGAAGTGCTGCGCAGGTCGCCACATCGAGAGGATGGTCGTGTATTTGCGGAAGTCTAGGCATTGCCACTGCTTGGATGTTCTGCTTCCTTGTGCAAACAGAATTTTGGGGACTTAAAGGGCTACTGGCTGGTAAAGGGACAGTCCAATTAAGCTGGTGTATGGCTGGTTTGTAGAGGCCGTAAGGACCTAGGTAGTCGATTGAAAGATGACTAATTCCCTGTTTTTTTTCCCGGTGTACAATACAATGTGGACAATTGCTATTGTACGATCACAATTGATGTCATGGAATTCGCGTGGCGGCGGCTTATGTCTCCGGGAGCCGGTTGGGAGGTACCCAGTACCACATGGCTCTGTATAGATGGTCGGGCCGTAAGCCATCCAACACAGTGTGGGCCATGGACCGGCAGGAAGTCGAGTCTGGCAAATGCTGGCTCTAGGCTGCTCATCTGTTGTTGTACGAGTAAAAAATGGTTGAGCTGTTGAGGCTGAATACGCGCGTCTATACATTTGCGTCGGTTGTTGTGCTATAACGGGCTCGACACCTAACGATTTCCTGTTCATTTTGACAGGTATAGACCCCCAACGATTGCGCCTGTGCATTGCCAACGTAGCCACCTCTATTTGACCCAATCAGCATACTGGTCAAAGACCTACTTTGGATGACCTTATGAATGGCGTTTGCTGGCTAATCTAAGATTTTTTTTGTCAGATGAAACTGCATCCTCTTGATCCCAATGTGCAAGCTGAATCATTCTGAGACTCTTTGAAAGACTGTGACTCTCGTCGCTGAATCTATGCCCCCATTCTCAGATTCAACGATCGTTATCCTTATCAGTAGCCCACCGACGCTCAGTAGCATTAGTGAGAGTCCAGTCAGCCCAGCAGCGAAGTAGAAGACGCTTCCAGTTGCTGTAAAATACGCCTGCAATCCACCGAAAAAGAGAGGCCCTACTACACTTCCCAAGGTTTCCATAACAGCCAACCCTGCTAGAGCTATTGGTCTTTCGTTACTCTGGAAGAGACTCACAAAATATGCCTTGATGAACGAAGGGGTGGGAAGACCAAATGAGAGAAAGAAGGTGATAGCATACAATTGCCATGGTTTGGTGGCGAAGACCAGGCCCAATAATGACAAAGCCTGGATAGAAAGTGAGACCAGGGCCAGAACAAAGTCTCTTCGTCTGGCGGCTGACTTTGCTCTGGGTGAAACAGATGCCCCACGTCTCGCTCTAAATGCTTTTATAGTCCGCGGTACAAGATACAGGGTGGCAAACACATAGCATGCTGCCACAGAATGGGCAATGGATATAATAAAACCGTTCTGCTTTCCTGTGAAGCCAAAGCTGGCTGATGTGTACACCAACAAAGCATTGAATATGTACGACTGAATGATATTATAGGTGAAGAGACTCCAGCCGATTAGAACATACACAGGCTGATTCTGGAAAGGTCGCAATGGTGACAGCAGAGTGACGAACCATTCACGAATGGGGTTAATTAAATCGTTTCGATTTTGGCGATTCTCATTGTCCAGTAAAGTGTTTGTCGGCGTTTTCTTTTCTGTTGAGGCGTGATTTTTGATGCAAACCTGGGTGTATAATATAGACAAGCTGAAGAGACCGATGGCAATAAAACAGCTGATGGTGAAGCTTCTGAATAGGCCTGCTACAACAGGGCTGACGGAGATGCCCACCATATAAAGTGCAAGCGAGTAGCTGATGAGTGAAGATGCTTCCCATTCATCACCTTGAGCTTGCGCATATATGGAACTGAGGGTAAAGTGTAAAAGATTGTCAGAGGCGAGTCCCTCAAAAATGCGGCTCGAGAGAGCAACATAGATGTTATCAACAGCCACTTTCATTCACAGATTAGATTTTCCTGTCTCGTCTGACGATGGGGTGAAAGACGCTCACCGCCAACCAGAAGCATCACCGCACTCATTGAACGGATCGTCATCCAGAGTAACAGACCAAATTTGCAATTCATAGTCGCGACCTTCTGCAGATGCCCTAACGCGGACATGCCAAGAATATTGGCAATGCATGTGGCAACAGCCATAAATCCAGCATATTTGCTGGTTTCAGAGCTCCTGCAATGGAGTGGATCTTTGCAGAGCAGGCTCGCAAAGGCGAAGTAGGCTGTCGCAGCTGTCGAAGCCATGGCCAGTGCGGCAAGAAGAGCGATTGGTAAGGCGCGTTCGACTGGGAAAGCTTGAGGAAGAGCGCACGTGGTATTGTCATTTTTCGGAGAGTCATCGTTGCTTTCACTGGTTAAGAGAGCTACGTTGTCGTCGTCGTACACGGTGGTATCCGGCATGGTCACTGACTGCTCAGGTATCGTTCGCCAGCGAGTAACGGTTTGAAGATGGGACCCCCTAGCTGATGTCTGATTTGAGGACTATCGTGTCTGCAGGAAACTGAGAATTTACATAGGGTCTTTTTATGCCGTTCCAGTTCGCATTAACTTTGGGCCTATGAGACCTGGTCTTGTCAGTTTATTGTTCGCCGGGTCTTCCGGGACCCGTGGTTGCTACCGAACCGCTCCCCGATGGCTCTTATCGGCTCACAATCCCTTCTGCCGTTTGGGGGTTGTCTATTACAGGTCTGAAATCCATAGCTTTCACCCAGGCTCTTCTTAAATCATAGATCTCCTTAATTTGCCAGCCTGAGCGTTCAGCCAATGCCCGCCACTGCGCTTCCGTTCGTTCCTGACCATCAGCAGTCATCATCATGTTGATGTCCGCGTACTGGCTCAACCGATCTGACTGACTATCCGACAAAATAGCCTCCAAGACCACTAACCTACTGTTGGGCCCCAGCATGATACTCTGCCGGATGTTCTTCAAGATTACCACCGCTTGAGCGTCCTTCCAGTCGTGGAGGCACCATTTCATAGTGTACACCGCACGCGCCGGTACTGACTCGAAGAAGTCTCCTTCGACAAGATCTTCATCGCGGAATTGATCTTCAATATCCGAAAAATGACCGCTTGGCCGGAAGAAGGGACGAACATGGTCGATTATGTGCGGCAGGTCATAAATGCCCCCGCGCATAGTAGGATATTGGCGGACCAAGCCGGCGATGAACGCGCCGCTGCCCCCACCAACATCCATCACAACATCATGAGAGACCTCCTCCCAAGGATAATCCGCAAGAATTCCCGGCATCTGCGCAGCGGCTCCTCCTCCTAACGTTCGGTGCAACTCGGGAACCCAGCCTTGTCGTTTGAAGAAGGTAAACATATTGTCATCTGTGTCATAATTGACCTGCGCCGCCCATCTCTTCGAGTCGTTGTGAACCGACGCCGGGATTCCACGAGCAATGTCGTAAAATTGGTTCCCGTAGAGCTTGACCCAATTCTGCCAATGTGTCCAATGATCGGACCGGAGAAGGGAAGAAGCCGGGGTGTTTGAGTAGTGACCGGTCGATTCCTCGAAAGCGAAAATCCCGGCGTTACAGAGAATGCGTAGAATCTGGCCCAGACGATCGCTGCGAGATTGTGTTGCCTGAGCCAGTCCATCCAGCGTCAGGGGCTGCGTTTTGAGAGCATCGGGCACTCCCCTATCAACTGCGGCCAGTAGGCATTTCGATTTAACATACCCTAGTCGCCATTGAGTAAGCGCATGTATAGTTCAGCAGAACGAGAGTCACGTTCGAGTGACCGCACCACCAGACTTACCCAGAAAATGGTCGGCGAGGATCAAAAGCGGTGGGTCGAGAAGCACCTGAATCCTGTGTAAGAGGTCGACCGCGTGAGCGGCTTGCGCCAAACTTTTCGTGTCAGGGAGCTGATTGCTGTCATGGAGGCTGTCGAGCAGGCGTGGTCCATGTGTCTGCAGCAGTCGCAAGTGGCGCTCGAGATCATTAGTGAGATCGGTCAGGAGTCGAAACACGTCTGAGGGATGATTCGGCTCACAGCTGGCCTCGGTATCGTGCGCTTGTGTCATGATTACACGTCGAGATTGCTTTACCGGTGCCCAGTAGCGATGCTCTTCAACGTGACTCTCCTTTTGCATGAATGAGCACAGAAGCGACTGCAATATTAATACCTTCAAACGATCCGTTTCTTGGTATGATGTCGTCCGCGAATTTTACCATCCTCGGGGACCGTCCGGCGATACACTTGGACAGTGTCGGTTTTGTCGCGGGACCCGATATTGGTCAGCACTTCCCATTGAGTTCTGGGAAGATTCAGGTATGTACGTACGCGACGAGGATCGAGACCAATAAAACACTATTACCGCTATTCAGACGGACGCAAACTTCAATTCGCAGATCAAAACCCATCTTTATTTCAACATATAGCATTTCGAGGTACGATCAGTAGATCCAATCAGTCCGGTGCCCCTGTCACGCACGCCGAGGATCATGGGTGGAGCGTCTCCCAATATGACGTTGGAGGAGCCAGATTCTTCCATCTTGCCTCACATCCTGCTATGGACATGCCAGATCTCCGCGCTGGCGAGTAGCCCATTCCGCGGGCGGCGAACGATCTTCAGCTTTCTCATCATCGCATTGGCCATACATTGCAATTTCCACCCATACTTCACCAAAGATTTCGGGTTGGCCCAACCATTTTCGATTTCTTGGTCATTTCATCTAGCCACGCTCGCGAAACTACTTTTCTCGCCATCTGACGGGCCCGAGGACCAATTCTGGCGGATCGATAAGCCGGCACGCGAAGCACGATCCTACGCTGCGTTCGGAATTAGAAAGCTTCGCTGGACCGCGGCCCTCATATTCAATCAGCGTGGCATCCGCTGGAGCCACCAGGTCAAGAACATCCCGCAGTCTCCAAGCACGTCCAGGCACCTGTTCTTGGGGAAGCGCCTCCTGGAGTTCATCGGCTGCTTCTTCATTGCGGATCTTTGCTACGAGCTCCATCGCAGGTTCAATTTCACCAGTCCGAACGACGACGTTGGGTGGACTGACAGCAAACACTTGACGCTGCGCCATCCCGATGTGACTTTGAGACTCGCGAAGTCGGCCTCTTTCGCGGCTTTGCCTTACTTCATGCTGAGCATGCAGTACGCACAAGGGGCATTTCTGGCGGTCTTGCTCGGACTGAGCAAACCAGAGGTCAGGATAAACAATCTTACAAAGCCTTGCTTGTTCATTTGCTCACTGCTTGACCAGGATTGGCCTCCCATGTTCGGATCGTTCGAGCATCTCAGAACGGTGCGCTCTTTCTGGGGTTCATTTTGGCATCAACAACTTCGGCATGTAAGTTTCTCGATGTCATACACTTCGTTAGGGCAAAGACGATTTTCAATAGAGTCCTTGTCAATGCGAGTATGTTGGGGGCGATACTGACGTTACGTGGACATGCCAGATGCTCACATCATACACTGATGCCTTCACAGCCGCCCTTGGCATCCCCCGCGGCTGCAACCTCTCATCTTACACGAAACTTTACCTAGCCTTCAGTATCTCCGGCATCTTCCATGCTCTGGGCCAACTCTGCCTTCCACGTCCGTCCAACATCACAGCGGCGGAAAGCTCTCTCGGGTTCCTGTATTTCTTCGTCTGGCAGGCCGCGGCCATCACCCTAGAAGACGTTGCAATATGGGCCGCACGAAAGTCCATTGGTGGGCCCCTCGGTGTGAGGGTCCAACGAGTTGCTAACGTGATTGGCTACATTTGGGTCTTGATGTCGATGTGGTGCAGCATACCTCTCGTGGGGGACATGGTCTTGAGGCTTCGGGTTGGAACAGCGCGGTTTTCACCATTTCCACTTACAAGGCCGATCATAGGGGCCCTGATACCGATCCCTGTATAAATGAAAATCATGACGATCCTTATTTTTCAAGGAGAATTTGATTCTTTCCGAGGTTAAGCGGCTGTTATTCAAAGAATGGTTTCACGTCGTCCTCAAGCGGTCGAACATCCCTCATCACTTCTGCGACTGACTCAACCTGTTCCAACACTCGAATAACATTCAGACCCATCACCCCGAGTAAATCGTCTTGTGTGACTTCCCGCCTGAGCAGCTCATTGATGAGACCCGGGTACTTGGATACATCCTCGAGGCCTTCCGGGCCCGCTGGCATGCCATCAAAGTCAGACCCGATACCAACATGTTGATAACCAATCATCCTACCGATGTATTGGATATGGTCTGCAACAGATTCCAATGACGCAGTAGTGGTGTCTTCTTCCAGGAAGGCCGGGTAGAAGGTGACCATAACGACACCACCATTGCGCTTCACGGACTGCAGGATATCATCCGGCACGTTCCGGGTGTGGTTGCATCTTCCCAACGCGTTCGAATGCGAAAACAGCATCGGCGCAGCAGCAACCGCCAATGCATCGCGCTGCGTTTGAAAACTCGTATGCGATAGGTCCACTATCATCCCCAGCCGATTCATCTCCCGGACCAACGCCCTCCCCGCATCCGATAACCCGCCGTGCAGCGGCGCCGCGGGTTCCTCGCTGTCCGCGTAGATATTGTGGCACGTATGCGTGAGCGTGGTGTAGCGAACGCCAAGGGCGTGGTAGATGCGCAGGATGCTGGCGCTGTTACCGATTTGGTGCAGGCCTTCGATACCCATCAGCGACGCGATCCGTTGGTGATGGCCCCGTGCGTCGAATGCATGACGAATATCGGCGGCGCTGGAGGCGTGGACCAGGTGCGAGGGATACTCCTTCACTAAACGGTGGACAAGGTCAATTTGCTGCAGGGTGTCGTGGACAATCTCCCGATAGGTCTCGTCTGAGTAGTTACTGGACTGCCGAGGGCTGTTTTGTGTAAGCCGGAGTATTTGAGATCATCCGGTGGTGTTTAGAAGACTTATAGAACGTACCATTCGACATATACGCTCCAGAATTGGCCTCCGAGACGGCCCTGCCTTAGGCGAGGGAAGTCCACCTGGCCAAAGAGCTCAATGTCTCCGCTAAAGTTTTGTTGGTAGATGTGGTTTTGGTAGAATGCCCGAACCCATATCGGGAAATCATTGTGGCCATCTGAAATAGTTAGCATTCACTCCAGTCCCTAGGGGCTTTGCAGAAGAATGCAAGCAGCGTAAGCAGGACTCACCAATGAGGGGTGCGAGGTCAAAAATATTATTTCCTGTTGGTTGCTTGGTCGGGTAACACCTCAAATACCACCACAAATAGCCACAAAATACGAAAGCAGTAAAACAGATTGATATGGCATGTTGTTGCCATTTGGTACAGAACGCTGCTTTGTTTCTGGTGATACATGTTTGAGAGTGTGATTGGACGTCGAGCTTAATCCCAGGTGATGAAATGAAGAATGAGGCCATATTGAAGAGACCCACAGCGTTGTCGTAAAAGTGAACTAGGGATGACACGCGCTGAGCCGATCCTATGATTACCGGTAAAGCTGTCCATGAGATTACGAATCACGGTTGAGGTGATCCCCAATTATTTTCGGTTCCCGGGTGGACATGGAAGCCGTTCGGATATGTTTTGGTAATTGGAGCCCCGGGCGCATGTATGTGTGGAAACCTTCTGACACAAAGATGATTAGAATGACTTGCATTATGCCAGGATATCGATAAGACTGCTGCTAAACTATTCGCGGCTATGGCCGAACAGAAGGTATGAAGCCCTGGATTAGCTCTACGAGCTTTGGAGGGGCTAAAATCAGAAACGTTCTTGAGACCCAGATATGATTCAGCACATAGAGAACAGAATCCAGTGGAGCTCCAACAAATTTAATCCTGCTCACTCCACTGTTCCAAGCTCCAATTCACGATTGATTCCTTCAGTCTTCTCATACTTCCGTTTCCTCTCCTCTTCCATACCAAATTCTGTTTCCTGGTCCATTTTCAGCTCAAGACTTTGTTCCAGGAACACCAAGAAAAAAGCCACACCGGCCATGGCCGCAGCAGCTTCCCACACCGCCTTCAATGCTGAGCTGTACACATCGAACACTTGTTCTTTTACGACGGGTTCAAGTCCATTGATTAATCCCGTGCCAGCGTAGCCATAGGCACCGCCGTCTCTGAGCTGCTGGCGAACTGCATCGTCTTCAACCCAGAACAAATTTCGATTCACCTGTGCGTTGAAGATGACGGAGGGAATGGTGATCCCCCAGACGAAACCAAAGTTACGCACGAAGGCGAAGGTACTTGTTGCCGTGGCCAGGTACGATTCTGGATGCGAGGCTTGGATCACAGGAAGGATACTGATCATAGTGAAGCCGGCACCAATGGACAGAAGAAGTTGAAAACAGACCCAAGCAGCACGTGAAGAGGTGGCGGTCAGGATAGCGAGCAGCCCGCAAGCCACCGATGTGAAGCCAAATCCCACCCAGTGTATCGGTTTGTATCTCCCGAACTTGGACATGAGACCACCGGTCAGGACGGCAAGCGGAACATAAAAGACACTGAAGGGGAGGACATCGATTCCGGATTCCAACGGTGTAGCCTGCTTTAGGGATTGAAAATAGATCGGGAGAAAGTACACGATCCACTCTAGCAGGCTGTTGGAGATGTAAGCCAGGGCTAGACAGGTGACTGAGGTCCGGTTGTTGAAAAGCCGAGGGGGCATACTTGGCTCTTTACAAATAGGTGAGGCCTGATGGACGTGAAAGAGAACCCAGCCCGCAAAACCTAGCACCAGGGGTACAATAATGTGCCACGAAGACCATGGGTACTGAGTACCTCCCATGATGAGACCAAACAGGACGGCCGATATCGAGGCAATGAAGATGGCGTTGCCGAGAAAGTCGATGCGTGCCAACGCCTTCGCCCAGGTGGGCTCGCGCTTGTATCTCAGGCGAAGAAAGGGAACCATGATAAGCAGCGCAACACCACCGAAGGGCAGGTTGATGAGGAAGACCCACCGCCATGATGCCTGCGCGAGAGCTCCACCGAGGACAGGCCCGATAATGGTGGAGATCGTTGCGATGGCGATGCGAATGCCGAGAAATTTGGCACGCTCGCGAACCGGCACCAAGTCGGAAACGATCAAGTCATTTAGTACGAAGATGCCCCCTCCTCCCAGGCCGGTGACCACTCGGGCGGCGATCAGCATGTTGGAGTCGACAGACGCGCCAGCCAGGGCGTTGCCGATGGAGAAGAGGACCACCGATATGATCATAGGCATTCTACGACCAAAGATGTTGGACGACTGACCAACAAAAGGCATGACGGCCGTGCAGGCGAACACGTAGGTGTTGGCAAGCCAGACGTACTGGGACTCTCCCTTGAGATCGGTGGTGATCCTGGGAAGCGCTGTCGTGACGATGGTCGCGTCAAGCGCGGTTGCAAAGTCCACGAGGCATCCCGACAGAATGATGAGCCAAAATTGCAGGCCTCGAGACGTCTTTGGCGCAGACTCGGCAAGTTCAGAGGATAGCGCCCCAGAATCCTTCGCGGCAGGATTTGTCTTGAGTGTGGCCGGCAGGGACTCATGATGCTGTGGGCTGGCCATAATGCCACCGCCGCGGAAAATGAAAGTTGAAAGTGGATCAGACCAAAAGCCAAGCAACGGCTAAACGCTGATCAGGCCTCCAAATGCAGCTTGACGCTCCAATCTTGCTTCGGTGCACATTGGGCCCGGGTCAATTTGAGGTGGAATCGAGTTTCCTCAACACAATTTGCGCGGCGGCGAGCCTTTCCTGGCTTCAGCTCCGGGGCCCGGTTCGGGCCCCGTTGCTGTGGCGTTTGTTGGTCAGCAAGTAAGACAAAGACAGTGCCTCCAGCCGTGACGCCGATTGGCTTGAACATAAATACAATGCTGGCCAGTGTGAAAGAGAGCTTTACGTAGTCACTCGGCACGAACTTCGGGTAGGGAGGACTTAGCTGGGCTCACTGGATGCTGTCGAGAAAGCATTCATCTGTGATGCGACGTATCAAAGAATAGATATGGGTCGACTCTATAGCCAATCCCGTTGAATTTGTGTAATGGGAAAGGCTCTCTGAGCCCATTATGATTGAGACACTGGTGAATCTCGAGACATTTCGGTGCATTCCTAGGGACGGTGCAGCGCGATGTACGGCTGACCTCTGTGCCCAAAGGTTGTATGCTGCAAAATACCCACCTAGGAGATAGGTATCTTCAACTCCAAACGGCTAGTCTAATAGCAGCATTCCCGCCGCATAATATCAACACATGATTGCTCAATGTAAACTGGATGATTGAAACTACTTCGTCTTTCATGTCCTCGATGATGTCAATAAGTTAGATGAAGTAGCCCCAGAACGCAGGAACTGGTCTTTGTCTCTATCTTCCCTTCCCCGTCTTTGCGCTGTGGGCTTTGCCAAATGTCACAAGATTGACACTTCGAAACTAAACAAACGGTAAGAGAAGACTGGATAGATTTTGCAGTTATCAAGGAGGGTATCTGTGCGCGTCTGCAAAATGATCGTCACGCGCGAAGCCATCGCTCCCTCACAGGTTTTCGCAAAGACACGCCAGACAAATGGGCCCATTTCAACCTGTGACTCGATGTCCCATTGAGTCGTGCCCCGCTGCTTGCTCTTGTCTCAATCCATATGCGAACAGCGCCTGCGACCGAACTTCTGCGAGGACCCTGCACAGCGCGAACAGGGGGTTGATGAGGTTGAACCAAGGTTAGGAGCTGAAATGAGCCGGAGCACTGAAGTGGGCCACGCACTCACGGGTCGTCACTAATACCCTAGTGGCTAGTTTCAATAACGGGGTGCGAACAGCTTTGCGCCTGACTACGAGAAGCGCCTCTTCCCCTGGAAACCTCTTGTTTGGGACGTTGACGGCATTTGTGGACCCGCAACCCTTGAATACCTCCGCTACCCAACAGTGATTTCTACCTTCCATCTTCTTATGCCCGTCTCCCAGGGTTGGTGGAGAAACTATCGTGAATATGGGACGAGCATCTGGCGAGTTCAAACAATGCGGTCGTCCTGGGCCATCGAACCCCTCTATTCACCGACAAGGACGATCCAGCGCAGATGCATTGCAAGATTTGGGGACAATCATAGGCAGGAACGACCCGACAATGACAATAAATGTAATTTGGAGCTCTCATGACACGGCTGGCCCTTGTTTACAGCAAAACCATCTTACTTTTATTGACGTGCCTAACATTTTGGTGTGCCAATGCCAGGCGACATCTCATCCTGCACACGTGGTGTAGATATATTTACTTTTTCTTCTTTCTTTTCTTTCTTTAGTATTTCTTCATTTTATATCCCCCCCTTCTTTTTTTCCCAAAAAAAAAATTGAAGTAACGCAGTTGCGTATGTGCGCTGGAAGCTGTTTACAGGCAGTGGGCTGACAAGATAAGTTATCGATAGGTGCCTTGGCTACAGGGCCCTCACAAGTTTTTGGAAAGTCAGCCCTGTCGTGCATCAGAGTGGGGGTCACATTTGAGATCTCATGTAAAGCACACCGATGCTTACAGCATGTTCGTCTCATATTCTTTTTAAGCCATGTGGCTTTCCCGTCCTCCCGCTTGCAATATTACGTGAGATCTAGTTGTGTATCAATAAAATTCTATGCTATATTACTCTATGTCAGACTATTCCTAAAGGGGGAAATGCTGTGAAAACTGTGAGGCTGAATGTCACAACGCTGCCTGGCTAAGCCCTGTAAGCTCTGCGTTGAGCGTGGAATATGGGGAAAGGATCGACCGTTCTGGTAAGCTCGGACTTCTCGCACTCTGATTTTACCTGTCGCCATCCCTGGAGGAGTCGCTCAGCCCCTGGATGTTGGACGACGACATGACCTCGTAAGACTGCCCAAAGCAGGCATTGTACTTGCGAAAGGCTTGCTCCACAAGGCCCCCAACTTCCTTCCGGTTCCTACCCAAGATCCCGACCGAGATCATAGCTTCCGTTTCTTCAATCCAGTCCTGCAATTTTCGGAATTCCACCTCGTCCTTGGAGAGCCGCTCAATAACCCCAGACCCCTTCAGCAGGGCCAGTATACCGGCGATGACCGTGTTCACGGCGCCGAGGACGGTGATAGGCACCTCGTAGAACTTCGCGTTGGGGCCAAGTGCGGTCAGCACCGCCGCCACGATGATCTGGATAAAATGGGAGATGTAGAGGATGACGCCGAGGGTGTGGTGCTGCAGCTTCTTCCGCCGCTGTTGCTGGATGACGCTCCTATACACGCCAACTGCGTGCCGCCGCCCTTTCTCAAGCGTCTCGCTGTCCGTGAAGGTGCTCGCGCGGTCGCTATTGATCCCGACCGCCCGCCTGAAGACGAGGAGCACCTGGCCGTCGTCGTTGTTGTCTCTCATCCGTAGGCCAGCGGGTGTTGCCCATGATAAGTCTGTGTCAACCTTTGGCAGACGTGCAATGGGCGTCGTAGGATTCTTGTTTGAGATCTTCGCGTCCGTGTTGAAGGCCGGTGGTTGCTGTGGTGGTTGCTGTGGTGGTTGCTGCGGTGGTTGCTGTGGTGGCTGCTGGTCTCGCGCTTCTGTGGCTCCAGGCTGGCCGGCAGAAGCGAGCAGTGGAGATGTCTCAACTGGCTTCGGTGCAGCTTGTGTTTCTGGGTTTTGCGAGGACATTGTAATAATTCAGAAAGAAAATACAGACGCGAAGAAGTCGGACGCGAAGAAGTCGGACGCGAAGAAGTCGGACGCTATTGTGATCTGAGAGTAGAATTTGAAGATCCGTGGCAGAGTGGATGCGGTTTGACTATAACATCTCGATGAATCTCATTGCTGAGGGCTTAACCAACCTTTTATGCTCCGCTGGTCTTTCTTGAGGACCAGGCATCGTGAATTCGCGCCTTGACCGAAACGTGCAATGCTGAATATGAAGGTGGTCAGAGAGAGTTGATGGAAGGAACAGTCATTCTGCACGACAGGTGATCAACTTCGCCATGTTGTTCGTCTTACCCCAGGGACGATCCTTCACCGGCCCTGTGCCGCGCTGTCTCAACTTCGATGACCAAAATGTCCAAATGTGGCTGTCGACCCGTTCATTTTCTTTCATAGGCCCATGGAACTATTTGTGCGTCTCACAGCCACCAAGCACAACATTCGCTTACGACCGAGCGATGAGGCTCATAGCCTGCGAGTGCCCGCCCCCACCGCCACAGTCTCAACCAGGCAGAGACGATAGCTTTCACGAGGGCATCAAGCCTCTTCCTCCCCCTGCCATGCTGTAAGGCTGAGATGATTAAATCGGACACTTGTCAGCAGTATTGTCGGCCGCACCGGTGGGTGATGATCCTTCTCAGGCCATGCGACACTTCGCACGCCTTGGTCCACTCGAGCCAGGCGCACTCATCCTACCCACGCTCGGTGAGAATATTCCAAGCCCCGCAAGTCCACTTGCCAGGTGACTCAATCTCACTTACTTCTTCTGCCATTCCTATGGTGTGCAGCAGGGCTGACCTTCCAAAACCCCCTTTTGGCTTGGGGCACACCGCCGTAAGGTGTCACAGGAGAGAAATAGAAGAGACAATGCCCGCAAGTCTCGCTCATATTGTAGAATTCTGAACAAGACCTTGTCTTGCTAAGAAAAAAGTAAGAAGGAAGGTTACCTCTGATTGATGGCAAGCTTTTCTTCCTTTTTTTTTTCTTCTTTCGTCTTCCTTTCTTTCCCTTTCCTTTCCTTTCCTTTTCCTTTTTCTCCTCCTTTTCTCCTTCTTTTCTTTTCTTTCCTTTTCTTTTTTTAAAATTATTCTTTAAAAGCTTGATAATTAGTTTATTTTTATTTTAGTCTTTAATACAGGAATACTCGAAATGCCAAGATTCACATGCCACTACAGGCAGCAGTGTACACATATAATCAAAGGGTTGGGGAGAAAGGATTAATGACCACGGCGAGCGTGATTTAGCATGCATATTCGTACTTAGTCATATCTAGGATAAGATACTCACACTGGGAAGTGCTGTCACTCTGAAGATCAACCTTGATGGCCCTTAATTTGTCTGCAACATCGGCACAGAGATTCCTGTGGTCGTGGATAGGATGCAATGCCTATAATATATAACGACTGCGGTCTCATGTGTGACGGCACAGCTATTTAAGACTGCACTGTGTTCTAGAAGGCGTTCTGGAATTCCGACTTTTTGAATAAGGAAACAGCCCTAGCTATAGTGCAGCGGTCAACGCGCTGTCACACCATGCGACATCTCAGATAGCCAAACCGTCAATGACCTGCCTGTAGGTGGCGACAGCAAGTTCGGTATTGAGTACGTTGCTGATAGCTCGTTGAAGAGCAGAGAAATAACTGCTGCTTAGTATTTTGATGGTTGATAACATTATGGATGGTGAGCACAGATGGGCCATTCCTGGAATTACATGCGATGGGCGAAGATAATAGGAAGAGCATTTTGAAAAGGGTGCAGGGGGAAAAGAGATTATTTTTATGAGATTGTAAATGGTCATGTTAAACCCATTTTACAGCTGAATCAACAAATTATTCACTGAAGAAATGTAGCACCAGGTGGCAAGTGTTTGAGAAACACAACGCCGGATTCAAGTCTACATAGGCACGTTTTGAATAGCGTGTACTACCTGGACTTGTTAAGCCGCCGCTTTCATACCGTTGTTTGTGACTATGTTTGCGACGAGGGTGTGAATGGAGCTCTTAAGGACATGGGTTAATTAAGGCTCTAGCCCTGTATGACTGACTACACGGTTAGATCCTTCTTCTCCGGGTTAGCTCCGGCGCGACTTCACACCGGCATAGCGTAATCATATCCACAAATACAACGACGCAACGACCTCGTTGTTTTCTCCGGTCAACTTCACAACTGTCCGACTAAAGCAGGCAGCCCGGAGATAATGGAGAAGATCTCTGCATCAGGCGGAATTGTTCAGCCGCAGACAAGGCGGCGCTCCCCATTTGCGCTCCTCTTCGGCCTCGTCGGTCTTGTGAGCGTGTATCACCTTGCGACGAGGGGATGGCCGGTCTTCCGTCATCACTGCTCTCATCACCAACACAGCGCACTCTCTCCATACGGGAATTTCCCGCAGCCAAACGACGCGTTCAAGTTTCTGCCATGCACTAACATCACTCGACCTCCTGCATTGAACGACAAAGACCATGAACTTAGTTGGGCCAAGTTATTTGACCCGGACCCGGACCATTGGAGCTGGGGGAACAGCACGACTGGCTCTTCCGAGGATCCATACGCCGGTCGGGGCATTTATCTCTGCGGTTACATCGACGTACCACTGGACTATAAGAACGAATCCGATCCTCGCATCACTCGTCTGGCAGTGACCAAGTTCCAAGTGTCAGGACTCGCTCGTACGGATGGGTCTTCCCCTCCTGGGGCTGGTAGCAAGAGCGAGAGAACGCTCGTCCTTGAACCTGGGGGGCCGGGCGGCAGCGGGACACGCATGGTCTGGAGCTCTGGGCAGCAGCTCACAGAGCGCTTTACATATTCCCAATTTGATACCTTGGGATGGGATCCTAGGGGGGTGAACGCGAGTCAGCCGGCCATATCCTGCTACCCCTATGATGCTGATAGAGATAGATGGTCCGCCCTCACTGGCCAGTACCGCGAACAGCACTCAGACCCTGAGACGCAGCTTAGAATAACCGATGCAATGAACAATGCAACTTTCCATGCTTGTTGGAAGAGGCATGGCGACTTGGGGCGCTTTATGACGACCACGCTAGTTGCAAGGGATCTAGAGGAGATCAGGAAAGCCCTTGGCGAGGATGACTTGACCGGTTACCTCGTTTCCTATGGGACTGGAATCGGACAGACTTACGCCAATATGTTTCCGGACAGTGTTGGTCGGATCATATTGGATGGGACGGAATACGTCCGCGATCATCGGTTGCTTGGTGGATTTGTAAGTGAAGCTGGGGACTATCTGTGCTTCTCCTCCTTTCCACTCGGTTGTGCTGACCTTTTGCCACTCAGGGCTGGACTGCCCTGGACAATGTGACCGATGCATTCCGTGACGGCTTCCTAGGCGAGTGCCTCAATGCTGGACCGCAGCACTGCGCACTGGCGAAACCACATGGTGGAAGACCAGTCACGCTCAAGGATTTGGAAAAGCGCGTAGAGACACTAGTTACGGGCCTAATCAGTGACCCAATCCCGGGCTATACAAAGAACAGTGGCCCTTCTCTCGTCACTTACTCTGCTCTCATCAGCGCCATCTACGGATCATTGTACAATGCAAAGAGTTGGCCGGCCTTGGCTGAGATGCTCTATGATCTTGAAGCCGGAAATTCGACATTAGCTGCCAGTTTTCTTGAGCTATCAGCCTGGGAATATGACCCGACTCTGCCTCAGCTGCCTTCGCCCAGGCCCTCGACAGATGAGCTCACCTATATCGTCATTTGTGGTGATGCATATGACGCACCCCCCGAGGGGCTTGACTGGTCAGTGCTTTTTTAAGATTCATATCCTTCCCTATGCGGTCTTGAGGGTAGATTCGTGAGAAGTATAAGGGATGAAGACTCTCTACGACATTGATGCATTGAGATAAGTGGGAACAATCTGCTGACACATCCTCTAAGGTGGTCCTCCCTCTGGGCAAACATGACTTCGAAGAGTTTCATCTCGGGCAATTCGCGCTTTTCGAATGTGTTTCCCTGCCGTCATTTTACAGCTTATTGGCCAGACGTAGCTGAGGCATATCGAGGAGCTCTGAACAACACCTTGAAGAATCCCGTTTTGCTCATTGCGGAAACTCACGATCCCGCAACGCCACTGAGGAATGGAAGACGGCTAGCGGCCGAGATGGGCAAAAATGCCAGGCTCATCGCTCATCACGGCTATGGTCACTCATCCCGGGACCTGTCTAATTGCACAGAAGATCTGGCGAAGGCTTTTATATTGAACGGAACGCTTCCTGAGGAACCAGAGACGGCCTGTTACGCTAATGAGAAGCCGTACCTGTATGGTGTCAAGGAGAACAAAGTCTCGGAGATGGGAGCCACGACAGCGACTCAGGACCCCATCACCACTTGGAAAGAGCACATTCAAGAGCTGGCCAAGTGGCAGCCCTGGTTGTTGTGAGACAGCGGTGAGCATTCGCGCAGACGGGTTGAGCTCGGATCACAACGCTGTGTTATCTGATTGTTTGGGAGCCATTGATACACAACCCCATGGGCAGCAAACAGTTTTCAGCTGTCGGATCATCACCTTACTTTCCACGACACACCCCCGCCCCCACTCGTGAGCACAAGCGAGGGGGATTGGGTAACTTGACATGTATATATGAATGCTGTGGTCCGGAAGCTTCTACTTGTTACATGTTGTTCTAGTCTGGGTGCACGGCAGCGGGCTGGCGCGAGACAGATTCGAGCCAGGGTCTTACGGCCGCTGAAGCAGTCCACACCGCCGTTGTTACCGCCGCTGTTGCCGCCCTCGGTTATACCTGTGCTGTTTGTGACTATCAGAGGCTGGACCGCTGCTGCCCAACGTCATCTATCTCAACGTGAATAGCACAGAGATGCAATGCGAAGATGTTGCAGACTCCCATCATCAGCTCGACTCGATTGCAGTCTCTCCGTTGAATATAAAGGCAAGTGATATGGACCCGTGGATTTCGTAGCAAAATAAATACTAGAGCTTTCAGCAGTTTCTTTACACCCGCATATACAGAGCTTCCAGTTCGATCCGTTGATACATACAGATCAACGTCATTGTGACACGCTCAATTCACACCACAGCGAAGTCCATATAGTTTCCAAGATGCCCTCATACCAACAATGCCAACCCCAAGAGGGTTATAGGTCCTACTTCGACTTTGTTCGAGGTCAGCTATTCTCATTCCGTCCACCCCATCCAGCTCGTAACGCATCTAATATGATTTTGTCGATTAGACTTTAACATTGACGCCGGCGATGTTTCCCTGCAAGCTGTCTATATTGTCGATACAGCAAAACGGTACGCCGCCGCATACGGCGACACAGAGGATGTTCTGATGAGGGAGGCCGCCCAGAAGTACCGAAGCACCGAGCATAGGGGCCGGGAATTCAGGTTTTACGGAGCAATCATCAACCAGCTGAAGTACCCTCTGTCCGAGGAGATCATCAAGCACATGGAGAGGAAAGAGAGGAGGAGACACCGCCGTTGAGGGGTCTTGTGGTAGAGACTCTTGAGCAAGTCTGTAAGAAGAAGGCTGGGCATGATGTTGGGTAGGACAGTTGACGACTACCCTCACGGGTCTGTATCCGTCGTCCGCTTAATCATTGTACAATTTCTCGACATGTCTAAAAACTGATCTCTCCTCTTGTGAATAAGCTTTTTGATTACCTAAGAGTGGAATGGTCAGTTCTAAACAGATGAAATACGTGAGACCACCAAATAACTGATCACCGATATGGAATGGGCGCCCTCCAATTTATCACACAGATCACAACTCCTCGAAGCAGGCTGTGTGGCGCTGGGCAGACCACTGGACAGGCTGCGGGACAGTAACCGGTCGCATTCACGCTTATTGGAAGCATACATTTATTTCCCTTGTCTGGTTTCAACACCGATGATCTCATCTACGATGAGACTTGAGCTGGGGTCCTGCGAAAGTTGCAGCAACTCACTTCGTCCCTAAGACCTCCTTCGGTTAAGCGAATCCTGTAAGGTTGGTAATTACAAAGAACACGAAGACGCAATCAGAAGTAATTCATGATTTCAGTTTCATTGTCATTCAGACTCTCCTTCTATATGCAATCTAGTGGTGTCGGAGCCGTTAATCAAAGGGCAGCTGTAGGTATCAGAGTTAAACGTTTGAACAGTCTCAAAGATGAGGTCATAGCAGTTTGAAAGAGCCCCGGACAAGTCCTTGTGAAGTGAATATTCCCGCCGGGTCTGTGTTCCGCTGGATCTCCTGAAGTCGAAGTTTGCTAGCTTCACCGTAGGACGAGAATGGGTCCTGAAATGGACCTGCATAATTAATATACTGCCAAGGGTGAAAGAGACCCTTCGCCTCGGCCTCTGACCTGGAACGATTAGTCCACCTCTCAGCAAAGCTGTAAATGGCAGTGTCATCCTCCGATTTTCCCCATCCCAGTGTCAGGAGCGCAACTGTCGGTGTGTGGATTGATTAGTGTGTGAGATGTACTATTGCGGGCTGTGGGCGTCGAGGACTCACTCAGCAATGACCCGTCAGACTCAATACCCAGAGCGTTTCCTCCACGTTGATTCATGGCCTTGATTGAGTTGATGTGTAGGGCCTGCACAACAATAGCCGTCGTGAGGTTGGCTGTCGCCTTGATGCCTTGTACTTCTTCGGCAAAGATGTCGATGATTTTTCTGTGAAGCTCCCGGGACGGATGGAATGTTACTGTGGCATAGAGGCGTCTGCGTCGCGTTAGAAGACACCGCCCGAACATGCAGTGATGATGGCCATTCATTCTTACCGAAATCCATGTGGAGAAACCTCGTCGAGTGACAAGACACTCGCGTGGTCAATGCGGACTTGATCTGTGAGGGAAGGAATCTGATTGAGACCATCAAAGACAGATGGATTGAGGACAGGCTGGTTATATTCCTGAAAGAAACTCCAACTGAAGGAATCTTCGGACTGAGTATAGAAGTAACGGTTGTGGAAAGCCATGTCCAAATCATTGGACAGCGTTGTGGCAAGCTGGTATCCCTGGTCAATGAGTTGATCGGTGTAGTTCGCGGAATATGTCTTCCCGCCGCCAAGTCTTTGGCCTTGGGGAACAACGCGTGCCCGAAAGTTGGTGATGATTCCGAAATTGTTTCCGCCGCCACGAAGTGCAAAGTACAAGTCTGGGTGGACTTGCTCGCTTACATTGACTATAGTCGAGTTGGGCAGCACGAGCTTGGCGTAGATGTGGTCAGTTTCAACTCGCCATATAGCCCATCCATCGTCGCAATGGGACTCGAAACAAATGCTCACCTCGTACTCAAAAACATTGTCAAGAGCCAGTCCGAATTTGGGAGCAAGAGCGGTCAGTCCGCCCCCGATTGTGTACCCGGCCAGTCCGACATCAGCTGTCCTGCCGCCAAAGTTGCTCAAGTTGAATGGCTCGAGAGCAGCATATGCATCTCTGAGGATCAGTCCTGGTCCAAAGTCGGCCTGAATGTGGTCATCCAGCAATCTGACATGGTTTATCCTCACGAGGTCGACGGTGACTCCGCCGACCGAGTTGGATGCATCGCGGTTAGTGGAATGCCCACCGCTCTTGATGGCAATCTGGCAGCGATTCTCAACCGCGATCTCGAGAACTCTGGCTACCTCGACGGCATTACCCGGCTCCACACGGCAAGCTGGCTGAACTCCTTGAGCTTTGGCATCCCAGATTGCAAAGTCTGGGTCGTCGTTGCCTGGATGAAATATAGAAGGGAACTCAGTGCCCAATTGCTTGCACTATAATCGATTTAATCAGTGCTCAGAAGTTGACAATGTATCATGCTAATCTCCTAGTGGGTCAGTTCCACACTTACGGTTTTAGTACAGTTGGCTGTGATAGGTAATTGGCCCGGGGAGGGCTCGTTTTGAGCCAAAGCCAGAGCAATCTGGAGATACCGTGCTGCCGAAACAAAGATACTAGAATTCGCGGAAACCATGTTTCTTGTTATGCCAAAGTTCAAGGAAGTATAGACATAGATAAAATCATGGCCCAGATATCTGCAATTTCGAAGAGGAGATTCTGGCGACCTCGTGATATTTGAGTCTGGTTCATCACTCCGTCCAACAGTCTGCAATAGTGGAGCCCTGCAGGCTGCGTCCACATCACAACAGCCCTCCAAGAGCGTTACATTCGGTTTTTAGGATAGGACTTTACGAATAAACGGGCTTTAGCATAATATTGACAGTGCCTATCTCATATCTCCGCATCGCAACCTTGCTCGAGTTCCACTGCCAATACATCGGCTTGTCTGGGCGCATGAGAACCCGCAGACAAGGGGCAAGAGTGGATGACGCACAAGAGGCGAGTTCATACGCGAGTCGATAGCAACATGCGATACTATTGGAAAATGTATGTAATAATAGGCTACAAGGTGCGGTAAGTTCCAGAATTGACGAACGTTGTCCTGTTCTCCCAACAAACTGGGAAGATCCAAAGTGGCTTCAAGCACTGCGCCTTGTTCTTGGAGCTGAGCTGCAGAAACTTCAGACCTTCCCCGCACACCAAGTTCCTGGGGATCAATTTTGTATTCGGGCCGATTGTTCTTAATCCTCTATGTTCTTTCGGTCACCTGGGTGTGATGAGTGAAGAAAGCTCTGATGTTGTTGCGAAACTGTCACATAGCTGTTGTGTGACCGTGTATAGTACCATAGCATCACGAAGACCGTGAGTTCACAGCCGAAAATCAACTCCGAACTTACCGTAATCGGCATTTTCTTACACGGACACAACCATGTTTGTAACAACAATTGCTCTTGAGGGGAGGCCGGAAACTATGAGCTTGGCGACGTTACTGCGGTCAGTACTTTGGTCGAAACCTTGCTTGAGTGTATATCCATCGTGCCCCTACGCAGCATTCATGGTTGCATGTAGACCGTGTATGATTCATGTAAGGGCAGTATCTAAGTCGTTGTGCAGATATTCTACATGAGTTTACAAATGAGACCTCGACGCTTCCGTTGTTGAATAGATACGGGCTTGAGGAGATGACGATGCATTTTATTTTGGTATTGGGCTGCCTCCTAGTATCCTCGTCCCTCAGTATCGTCACTTCAAGTGGCATTAATCTCTATACTGGAGTGTGCTACTCACCTCATAACCTGATGTACCGTAACATAGATCTGAGACATAAAGTTCACCTTGTTCTTGGCTGCTCATCCGACTGAGATTTCACAGCGTTTACCACATCAAAGCACTCGCACTTCTCCTTTCGAACCTGAATTGGACCTTTGGAGTATTTGAGAAGTAATTGATTTGGTTATTATTTGCTGAGGCTCATGTAATCCACTTGCCTTCTTGGAGAGTCTTGGTATCTGCATTTACAAGCAATGGGGTTCCCACAACCTTGGTGCTTTCAGACTAAATCTACCATGTGCTATTTTTGCTTTTTTTCTTCAATTTTTTTTTAAAAAAAAAAAAGAAAAGGAAAGGAAAATGAAGGTAGAGTCAAGTGGAAATACAAGAGCATTTTGTGTGCGCGAAAGCTCCGACTAATGCTCGCAGAAGCTATAACTAGCCTGCTCCCAGCTTCTTATAGCCTCTCCGTGGTGCGTAGTCCTCTCCTCCATTAGCTTCAGCCGATGCTTCTTCGCCTCCTCGAGACTAAGTGTTGGCAGATCAAAACCACCACGCACGATGTCCAGCAACTCCGGAGGCAGCGAGGCCGTGGAGCCACTGCTTGGGAGGGCAACCCCCTTCTCTCGCAGTAGCTGTACCATCTCGCCGGGCAGACGGCTTGCGGCTGACGCTTGGCTGTCTTCGGATTTCCCGAATACAGACTCCGCCCACCAGTCTTGCTGCTGCGGCGGTACGTTGGCAGTTGAGATGATGCGGCAGTGGGGGTCGACCAACCAGAGCGCGATGAATCGTCGATGGCCCGGTTTGTTTGGGTCAGCCAGTTTGAAGGGGGATACGCGATGTTGAAAGACATTAGGGAAAGCTAGAAATCGCCCCTCGCGAGTCTCGACACTACCGTAGTTCTGAATGCAGGAGCTGCCGTGGGAGAGACTGGTACCGTAGCAACACTCAAGCCAGTGATATGAATCCTGACCAACGCGGTCCTGGAGATCGTCTTGGTAGGACGAAGTATGCATGCGGAAGGACAGGCTGCTATCAGTGATGTTCTCACTGTCCAAGTAGTAGAGTGCAGTCGCGCAGATTCGCTCGTTGAGGAGACCTTCGATGTGCCACCCTCCCCCGGGGAACTCAGGTTTCCCGGGAGTCAGCTCGATGGAAGCCATCTTGACGATGATTTGAAGTCCTGATGTCTGGAACTTCTCGCGCAGGCCACGCATGAGAGCCGCAGACTCTTTGAGTTGGGTTGGCGGGCTATGCAGAGGGGTGTCCAGATCATCCACCACTTTTGAGGGGTCGTAATTGATTTCGACAAAAGGATCCGGCTCTCTCAGAACAGGCGTACGTAAGAGCCTCCATTTTCGTTCTTGCTCCTCTTCAACCCAGTCGAACCTCCTATCCTGGCTTAGGTCAACCTCGACATTGGCCACTTCGCTCATGTCTGATGGGTTCCAATTTGCCGTTTCCTCGTCACTAAGTCTGTGATCAGTACTCTGTCCAGTATTGAGCCCGAGATTGAGATGTTGGTGTTTTGCAAACAAGATAAGCAGAGATCAAGGCGTACTCAGCATTCTCAGGGATTGAGAACCGCGATCCCCGCCGACCAGGGCCACACGTGCGAAAAGACCTGGTCTCCAGCAGGCAATGGTCCCATGCAGGTAGAGCCCTGTCAATCAGTCTCTCTACTGTGTTGTAGATTTCTGGGTACTTTTCCGGGTGCAGGTTGTTGATGTAACTCATGAACTTAACACTGCCGTCCTCGCGGAAACCGACATTAGACGGCAGCCATTGGTAAGCAGAAGACCAGTAGGAATCTGGAATTTCCGATTCATTGTAGGTCCTACGGGCCCTCTCTGGTACCGGAGTAGTGTCTTTTGGGACAATCTCGCCCTTCCCAGCCCAATGCGAAATCGCTTCAGTCACGCCAACGACTTCATCGTTGAGTGCCCTGCTTCGGCCGTAAATGAGAGGGTACATTGAGGGATGTACCAAGTCTTGTACCATATCACGACTGCCGGGATGCCAATCTGGCTCATCAGCCTGGTCTTCCTGGAGTGTTTTGAAGGCCTGCCTCAAGGCTTCTTGGAGCTCGTCGCTGATGAACACGTCCGACTTTATGACAGTCGCAGATGCATCAAGTGTTGGTATGAGAGCAGTTTCCTCGAAGTAACGAGCTTTGCTCTGCAGCTCTTGGATGCACTGTATATTCGATCAGCCGATTGACAATTGTAAGTGCAGATAGACCAAATCCGTACATAATCAAAAGCTGCCTTCGACATGATTCCCTCCACCCTTGTCGAAGTATTTTCAGGGCGAGGCTCAGTGCCCACATCCACTGGACCTGCTCTATACCAATCACTTGACGGTGCAGCAGCCGCTGTCATAAGATTTTGGTCAGGAATCGCCATTGCCTCTTCTCGCCATTTTTCAACAATGGCCTCGTCGAAGACTTTTTTGTGCCAGTCTTTCTTGTCCGTGAGGCTGTTCATCACTCCCATCATTGCAACTTCTCGGACAGGGAGCATCTCAGAATCTGATCCTCTCACATTTGGATGGGCTGCTGTGGGATATTGAAGGGGTCGATTTCTAAGAACAGATCGTGCTGCGGGCCAGTGCCGGAGAGGCAGCCCAAGACCTGGGTAAACACCCATTTTGAGTTTCCTGTCGGCTATGGCCTTCTCAGTTGGTGGTGATTCGTTTAATTGCAGTCAATCGCGTGGGAAATCGGGGAGCTGATGTGAGAAAATGAGCACAGAGAGGATCTCCAGTGGGCCGAGTCTGTTGGCATCCTTGGAGCTGGCTGGCGGGTTTTATGCACGGCTGGAAGCCAGCAATTCCCATGGATGTTGCTTCGCTGCTGAGGAGGCAGCAGCCGGTGCCTTGAGCGGCATCCACGTCGTGATGAGTTGCTTGGGGGCCTCGTGGGGAGGTCTCACAAAGGAACGCGGCCATGCCGTGCCAAACTAGCGAGATTCAAGACTAGCGAGGGGGGAACAGGCAGCAAGCACATCTATAGTCAAATCTCGGTTTCCTTCGCTATGCTTACCCCGGAAGCTTGTTACGAGCGTTCACCGTTTTCAAACTACAGAATCCCGATGAAGTCCCCAGGTACAGATGACAATTCGGATAAACTGCTCTGCAAGGCTGTTGCTGGTCAGCGCAAAATGAAACCAGTGCATTTGCTATTGTCGGGCTGAGACACTGCGGTGACTGACTACTTGAGCTGGAAGAGACAGCGATATCCTGACAATCTGTCATGAGACTAATGAGTATATTCTATAGATGGCCACTTCAGTGACCAGAGCATAACCACACAGGTGATCTTGCACATAATCGTTCACCAAGCGCGAGCGGTTGCCCCATACTTTACTCTCACGAAACAGCTCCTCCTGACTCATTTCATGCACTAAGAGAGACGCGGGATGCTGCGAAGGTAATGGCTGATGTTCTTGTATTGCAGGTGGTAGGAGGCTCATCAGAATGAGTTCTAGCCGCTAATCACTTAGATATCGTGGCTGCGGTGGGACCGGATAGTGGACTATGTGCCCTGCTACCCGCTCACACCCACAACGGCTTCAAGACATGGAATTAAGCGACCACTTCAGCTCTTGGCCGCGCCAGCTTTGATGTGCAAAACATCTCCGTCCTGGACAACGTAGTCCTTGCCCTTAGTAGCAATTTTACCGCTTGCTTTCAAGTCTGCCTCTGATCCTAGTTCCTTGAGGGCTGTGAAAGGATACACAAGAGCTTGGATGAAGGTCTTCTCGAAGTCAGTGTGGATTACACCAGCTGCCTGAGGTGCCTTGGTTCCGTTTCGAATGGTCCACTGCCGTACTTCGTCTGTACCGACTGTGAAGAAACTGCCCAGGTCGAGAACCTTGCGCATGGCAATGATGATCTTGGGAAGAGCGGAGTCAGCGCCGACGTTCTTGCACTCCTCGAGAGCCGCCTCTTCGGTCTCGAACTGCGTCAGGCGTTCCTCGAAGGACACGGAAACGGGGATGATAGGGTCGCCTGCGGCATGCTCCTTGCACCACTCCGCAACCTTGGGCAAGTGCTTGTTCTTTTTCCGGATGTAATCCTTCTCAGAAAGATTGACCAGATATACCACGGGCTTGGCGCTAAGCAGGAAGAGAGGGTTGATGACCTCGATCTATCGATAATGTCAGCTTCTCCGTTAAACAAGCAGACGATAGATAGAGAAATGAAGTGTGTTCGTGGTATATCAGACGAGTTTTTATCTCAGTATGCGCTCTAGCGTTAATTGGTGAGGCATTCAACGAGCTGGGATTATATCAGGCACTATGGCCCTTTGTCATCATGTAGATAGATGTGCAGGACGGAGCCGGCTCCATCGGAGAGGGGGTGGTTAGACAGAAAGACGGGACTGTTCTTACCTCCTTGGGGCCCCAGTTACCCTTGCGCACATCCTTGCCATCCTTCAACCAGGCCAGGATCTTCTCTATTGTGGCCTCCTCCTCCCTGGCCTTCTTCTGTTCAAGACTCTGGCCACCTTGACGGGTCTTCTTCTTTTGCATCTCGAGAGCCTTCTCGACAAACTCAATATCCTTGAGCCTCAGCTCCTCGGCGATGATATCGAGGTCACGGGTGGGGTTGACATCTCCCTCAACGTGGATGATCTCGGCATCATCAAAGCAGCGGACGACCTGGAAAATGGCGTCGACCGCGCGGATATGCGACAAGAAAGCGTTGCCCAGACCAGCGCCAGTGGACGCGCCACGGGTCAGGCCTGCGATATCGTAGACGGTCAAGTTGGCGGGGACCTTTGACTTGGGCTGGAACTTTTCGCACAGCCAGTCATATCGCTCATCCGGGACGATGACTCGGGCCTCTTCAGGGTCGATGGTGGCATAGGGGAAGTTGGCAGGGTTGCCAAGGTGGCACTTGGTGATGGCTTGGAAGAGGGTGGATTTGCCGACGTTTGCAAGGCCGACCTGATAGAAAGTCAGAGGCGGCCTGAGGTTGCAGATGGTCGGGTTTAGGGGAGGGGCATCGAGGGAGGGCTCACGATTCCACTCTTCAGGTTGTTGCCAGGACGGCCGAGAAGCAGCTTCTTCTCCTCAACTTGCTTCTTGGGAGGCATTTTCCTCTTCTTTGCGTAGTGACGAGTGGAAATGTAGATGAAGGTGCAGCTAAGCACTGGGTGTGGTTGAAAAGCAGAGCTAGCTGCGGGCAAGGAAAACTTTCGAGGAAGAGAAGAGAAAGGGTGCGGGGGTCGCAGGAGAGACGTGGTCGCGACCTGGACGGGCTGTTTCCAGCCCCAAGCACAGCAGCGACTCTGGCCGCCGAAACTCAACCTCTGAGAAGAATTGTGATACTCGAGGGAATATTGGTCTCGATTCCCGAGTTGTTCACTTTTTTTTCTCGTGTCAATGGAGGGAGGAAATTTGGTGGTTGGAGGGTGGAAGAGATTGCTCTCCTGCTCAACAACAAGCAGCTCAAAATTTTGCAGAGCTCTGTCCCCCTCGCTTCCAAGTTCTTATTATTTGATTCCCTCAGCGGGGTTGGCTCTCTTTGGTGACCTCAGCCGTCCCCAAATTTGGAAATTCGGTCGGCAGCGGCAAAACCACAGCGCCGAACGCCTGGGACCACCCGCCCAGACAGCCCACCGAGCCCACCCAAGCCCAAGCCGTGGGTGGCCTACGTACTGTAGTACGCTGTCGCAGTCGTATACGCTGATACGTTGGATACGCAGCAGGTACGGCCAGCTGCAGCCCCGCTAATGATTCGCCTTGAACCGAGCTCCTCTGGGGAACCTTGAAATTCGACCTGGGGCTTTCTAAATGCGGACAGGCCGATTCATTTGGCGTCGCGGCGACCTGACCACCCAGGCGAGGGGAGGATCCCCCAGCCTCGGACGTAATGTGCTAGACTCCCACCCAGCTGTCTATCTTATGCAGGCGTGCAGGTGTATGTCATGGGGCGAGAGCACACCAGCATCTAACCGTCAGCAGCGACCCAATCTCGCATCCCAAAAGCCTCCTTACTCGGTCGCCTTCTCTCCAGCCCCAATCGTCAATTGAGAGCCATCAGCAACGGGCTCCCAAGCGGTCGCGTTGTTTCGAAGGACGAACCATTACTCCGGTCCCCTGTTTCATACGCAGAACATATCTCGAGTGTTTCACCCACCTATACACACCCATCTTTGCTCATTACTCACTGCACATGGCAGTCTGACCCTGACGGATCCGTCACTCTGCCGATCGTGGCCCTTTAACTACCAGCTAGGAACCACACATCCCCCCGCATCCTCCGTTTCCGCCTCCGCCGTCGCCGTCGCCATCGCCAGAATCCACATCCAGATCGCAAGATGGCTCCGCGAAAGTCCTCCTCCAAGTCAGTCAGGTCGCATCGGTCGACGTTGTCGCTGCAAAAGACCGAGATCGTCATCCATGTCTATGACCTCTTGCCGGTACGCGCGATCTGCTCAAAAGACTTCCCTTTCCCTCTTTCTCCAATCTGACATCAACTAGCCGGGCAGGTTTTCCTCGTTTCTATGGGCCATCGGCACATCCCTATTACACAGCGGCGTCGTTATCAACGGCAGAGAATATGCATACGGCGGGCACGATAAGAGAGGCGTCACCGGTGTGTATTGGACGAAGCCCAAGACCTTACCACCGGGCGGAACATTCAAGCACGAGATCCTCCAGGGTTTCACATTGTCACCACAGAACGAGATCGATGCAATCATACACGAGGTTTCACAGGAATTCCAGGGCACATCATACAACCTCCTTACCAAGAATTGTAACCACTTTACGGCGTACCTCTGCCAGAGGTTAACAGGAAGGCCTGGACCCGGATGGCTGAATCGAGCTGCGAGCATCGGAGTTGCGCTTCCGTGTATCGTACCGAGAGACTGGATCGAGCCCCCGGAATACGACACTGCCGATGGCGAACTGCTTGACGAGAATTCCGATGAGAGGTCTAGAATGCTACGGACATCCAGCGAGCGACCGAGGCTTGTCGATCTTCGAGGTAAGGACAACGACGCCGCAGCCTTGAATCTTGATGAAGGGAGTTCTGAGGATGAGAATCGCGAGGAAGAGAGGAGGAGGCGCCAGCAGCATCAGCATCAGCTGCATCAACAGCAGCAGCAGCAGCAGCAGCGGTAGGATGTTGACTGCGTGAGTTATGAGTTATGACATTTGGCGGCTACTATGGCGTTGGGTTGGTGTATCTCCTCGAAAGTCGACCCAGTCTTGCCTGCAACCCACTATCAAGGTCGACAATTAGCATTGGCCATGGACATTGGCCTCTTGCTGGCTCGATATTACCTAGGTACCGTCGAACCACTGAGGGGTCCTTTCCAGGCCTGTGGTCTCGTTCAACGTCATGGACCGCGCGGCCAATCCCAGCTGCTATAAGATGCAGGACTATCGGGAGGGCATTGAATCGTGCAACCAAACGAACGACAGTTCACCGCTGGATAACTGGATGGCCAAGCTATTGTGACAGCGGCGGCCCGCAGTGGTGGTCCGCAACGTCCAAGCAGACATCTCTTCATGCGGCCACCAAAACGATTGCTTAGTAGTCTTGACCGCAGTGCGTTGGATTCCTTTCTTTTGTATTACTCACAGCACGGAACGGAAGAGGGTCATTACACCGGAGTTTATTGCTATGGGTTGGTCCTGGTTCAGTCGAGGGTCGTCGGAGTTCTGGAGTACAGAAGGTGGGCGGGGGAACATTTGTCTTGATATCGATCGAGTCGATGATCTTTTTTTTTTTTTTTTTTGGGAGGGGATGGTGCTCACTTTTTGGTGCATAACTTTTGCCTTTAGTCATTTGGGAAAACCCATGCCATATCGATGGCCATCATTATCAATTCAGCGAAATTCTGATCTCATACTTTGTCTCTACGTTTGATTCGGTGCTATCGATGCTATCTACATCCAGAGTTTCGACCGCAGTCTAGTCCAGTCTGACAGTGACACTGTTGTTTACTCCAACCCTAGCCTTTCCGGCCCGATGCCGTACAATCCGGCCGCGGGAGGTGCTCAGATGTGCTGGGGCTGAACTCTGGAGTTGGAGGTAAGTGCTGCGCTGTGAGGGCGAGGTTGGCATGGGGTGTGATTGGGGGTGTGGAGGAACCCTCAGCAGGATATTCGGGTGGTGATAGCTTCGTGGAGGGGTTGGCTTATGTGCGACTCGAGGGTTAAATCTGTGTGCCACGTTGCTTGGTGTAAGCGAGGGGTTGTATTACAGTGTTTGTTGGGAGTGTATTGTATGTATGTATAGCTGATGCCTGTTAAATATCTACATAGAGCTCTGCTCTATACCCCGAAAGTATTTCATATAGACAGTCTCAGACAGCAAGAATGCTATCACAATATGTAATCTACTAGTCCAGGAACGAGGTTATGATCAGAGCTTATCTTAAGGTCTATAGCTGAATGCTTTCTTACGAATCTACAAGCTCAGCAGGATCACGAGTGTGCGATGTTGGTTGTGTTCCGACTGGTATCGCAGAAATTACATGACGTGTGCTATGTAGATAGGCGGGTAGAGTAGGTAAATCATGTCGTAGTCCACGTCTGCAGCTGCTTCCACGTCGTACTCACTTGTGCCCGGTGTTGGGGTAGCACCCAGACTAGAGCCCAGGCCATAATGGTGAGTGCAGGTATCGTCAAAGCTGCTCAACACCCGACCAGGACCACCCTTGGAGGCTTTCAAGTCCAGATGGAGGCCCCTGAGCGTCATGACTGTACCATAGTAGCAAGATACGACAGCGAACAGATCACCAACAAGCAACTTGTCGAGATTGAGTTTGGTCCTTGAGAATTGCCCCTCGCGTTGAGTAGATATCTAGATGATCTCGATAATAATAACATGTGACAGGGGACAAGTACCCATTCTGCGGTCCGGGGGAAACATTCCAGAGTGGGCCCCGCGATCTGCAGCGCCTGTGCCCACTCTAGCAGCAGCGGCTGAGCCAAGATTGTGGGCCGCTGAAGTCACTCTTCCAAAACTGCAGGTGTCCATGTCTCTGGCATCATTCCAAGCTCTCCCCAGGCCAAAAGTGCTCTCTCCTGAGCCCAACCCTCTAGCTCCAACACATCGCCCATCTCTCAACTTTTCGCCCCCGGGCTGAACATCCACCAGTGCAGCTTCAAAGCTTCTATCAGCTTGCTCATAGCGAGGCGAGTTCTTGGCAAAGCTCCGTTAGGCATCTGCGACTTGAGTGCGCCCCGAACAGGTCGAGGCCGGATCCGGGAGCGAAATCCAACCTCGACGTTCCGTCCTTACACCTCACCTCACCTCACCCACCTCCTGATATCCTGGGCGGCACCATCATCCGTCCCCTGCGCATCACACGAGCTTGCAGGCACTTCAATGCCAAAGAAGAGCGACTACAGGGGAGTTGCGGAAGCACAGTCGAATGAATGCAACCCCTAAACCCATTCCTCGCCGCCTTCTTCAAGAGCCCTCTCCCTGCCCAGTGTCTTCCCGCCCAAGGTCACATCCTCCTAGTCCCCTCTACCGATGTCTTGCTCACCTCCCGCGAGACCGAAGCGGCCCCCGGCTCCAGTGTCGCCGACTCTGTCTCCACCGAAGAGTTCCTCGCCAGCCATGTGCTGCGCATCCCCGACCCGGCGAAGCCAACGGGCGCTGCTGCAAGCGGCGGGAAGGAGTCGACACCCAACCTGCGGGAGATGAGAGGGAAAGCGAAGCAATATAACACCATCAACGGGAGGAACGTCGTCATCAAGGACAATGTCATCTACACCAATAAAGGTGCGTCCAAGCCACCGACTTCTCGCTCGGAATCCGCGCAACACACGCTGACAGTTCTCCCATCTCACAGGGTTCAAAGTCCTAGCCTCTGCCAACCTCCTCGGCGATTCCATATGCTACTCCGACACACTGGAGCCCAGAGGATGGCTAATCTACCATATATCACGACCTTTAGTAGGATCTTGGGAGGAGATCAAGATCATACCAGCAGTGCTCGTTGAAGGAACAAGGAAAGCCATGGCAATACAACAGAATGGTGCCTCGCCCGTTTCCGAATCAAGCGAGTCTTCAATGGTCCCCAAGAAGAAGGAAATCAAGAGCTTTCACGATCTGCTGAACCACTTCCCCGTGATTGCGCGGCAAATGCAGGCTGGCCTTGAACGACTCTTCCAGGAATTCACAGCCGTTATAGAGAGACCTCTCCCACCACCTCCATCTGCGACACACATCCCGGACCCATTTCCGGATGGCCCGATAGCTGCGGCAACTAGGAAAGCCAGATCGAACAGCATGTCACAGCTCCAAGCCTCTCCCAATGGCGGCAGCGGGAAGAGAGCTTTGGAGCCGTTCTATGCTGAAGATGATGAAGAGGTTCTGAGAGTCTCGCTCGAGACCGCTGTCACCAACGCGATCGATTTGTTCCAGAATGTGGATAAGCAACAACTGTCTCTGCTGGGAGCGACGACTGAGTTGACAGGTCCGGTTGTAGAGCGCTTGATAGAGCGCTATGTCACGGAGAATGTGCACAACATGCTATTTCCCCGGTTGGCTGCTCTGAAGAGACCAGAAGACCTGGAGCTTGAGGCCAAGATCCGCCAAATGGACTTTGTGGATGTTTCCCAACTTGGCATCGTGATTGAAGGTGGTCACCGGGGTAAGCAGGCTCTCATTTCCAGACTCACACGAGCGATCGACGAGTTCAAAAAGATCACAAATGCCGGCAGTCCGCCGGAGATGATGGACATTCTCTTGTCTACAATGAAGTCAGTGACAGAGCTTGGCGACACACCCCCGGTGCCTGGCAATCGGTCAATAAGTTCTTCCTCAGAGAAAGGAATTCTCACGATGAACGCCGACACTCTCGTATCGCTGCTGCTCTTTATCTTGATTAGAGCACAAGTCAAGCACCTGCAGGCACGTTTTTTGTATATGCGCCACTTCATCTTCGTCGATGATGTAGACAGTGGTGAGATGGGGTACGCTCTTAGTACATTCGAGGCGGTACTGCTATATCTTGACCGTGACTCAGCCGGACTCCGGAGAGCGAGTCGTCGGAACAAGTCATTGTGGGATGCTACTGCTCGAGGTGACTTGGAGACTTTGCAAAAGATTATGGAACCTAGCGGGGACGCCGTCGCAGATGCTCTGGACGAGGAGGAGGCTGCTGCGGCATCCTCGAGGCGTTCAAGCCGGCGCACTTCAACAAGCAGCAGCTGGAGTTTCGCGAATGGCTCCTCCAGGGCTTCCTCGACTGTGCTCAGTAATTCCGAGCGTTTCTCGCTGGGATCTGACCTCAGCCACGTCTTCCCTTTCAATAGACAAGAAGATGTTACCGGCTCTACAGACGACTTCTTCCCTATCAGGAAGATTAAAAGGGTAACCATGGACATGCGAAGCTTGTCAAGCGGTTCTGAGATATCCTTCCACTCTCGAGCTGCGAGCATCGGCACCCTTGGCAGCGGTATCGAAGGCGACACATCCATTGAACGATTGTCCCAAACACAGGACTCGTTTGGTGAATCAGTCCTGATGATGGCTGTTCAGAATGAGCGTCCAGAGACACTGACGTATTTGTTGGACCTCAAGTCTTACTATACACCAGCCATTGTCCTGTCAGATAGCAACAACGAGGGGACGACTCTGCTCAGTGCTGCCGTGCAGCTAGGCCATGAACGGCTTACTAACATCCTTCTCAAGTTCATGGTTGACGAGCCTACTATCACGGAGGAGCACATGCGAGCATACTTCGCCAAGCAAGACGTTTGGGGGCGCAGTGTGGCTCACTACCTGTTCCATGCACCCTACCTCATTGTCGACTACGGGAGAATGATGCCGTGGACTCAGAAGGACAAGAACGGCCAGTCACCTCTATTTGCCATATGCAGGTCGTACGACCACACACTATACCACACCATGGTACAGCAAGCCCTGGAAATCGCAAGAGACTGTCAAGGTGACGGGCAGCCTCTTCATCTCGATGACCACATTGATGGAAAAGGCAACACCTTATTGCACATTGTTAATGATGCCCAGCTTTGTCTGCGAATATTGCAAAAATGCGATGCAGATGTCAACGCCATCAACGACAGAAAATTTACGCCACTCATGGTCGCGAGCAAATACGGTCGATTTGATGTGGTGCGCGCTTTCTTCGGCGATGCGCGAGTGGATATCACTGCGAAGGAGCTGCGAGGCCTGACGGCTGTGGACTTGGCCAAAGACGACGACGTTCGCAACAAGATAGACGACCTCGTGCTGTTTGCTGCGCCCCCAGGGCCTGACTCCCGGACGACCGCTGTCGTCAGGTCATATTTTGTGGAAGATGCCAGTGTGCGGTTTGTCCTGAAGTCAGGCGCACCGGTAGACAAGCATAGCTATGCGGTCACCACGTGTAGGCGGTCACTCACAGACTTCGAGCACCTCGCGAAGCTTTTGGCCATGGAGAACCCGGCATCGTGGATACCGTCCTTCGCCGCTCTGCGGTCCCCGTTTCAAATCCCGGTCAAGCCCAGCCGGGCGGTTCTCAAGGACCTGCAGGTCCGCATGGATTGGTTCCTCCGCATCCTCCTGGCCCACCCGACGTTCGCGACTCATGAGATGTTGTGGGAGTTCTTCCTGGTGCCGGACCTTCAGCCAGATATGATGGAGCAGCGGAGTAAGCTCAAAGCCGAAACTCGTGCGGAAAAGGTCCGCGATGAGTTCGAGCCACTGGAGGATGTTCGTGAGGTCGAGCAATTCGTGGATCACGCCCGCGAGAACGTCCGCGGGGTCAACCACTCGACCAAGAGTGTTGCGCGGCGGGCGAACATCGTGGGCAATTCTACTTTTGGTATGTCTATTGAACGTGTACAGTTTCTTGGGTGCGATTGTTTTCTAACGCGATTTCACAGATCTCTATGACTCCTCGGTCTTACTTCACCGAGCTGTAGCAACTTTACCCTTCCTGCCGAACACACACATCACAGCATTTGAGACCTACGTCCGCGCGCTGTCCCCAACAACAGTCAATCCATACTCCACTCTTCACTCGACCCTGTTAGCGCTGCAATCTACCATTGATGCCATACTTTCGGCGCTGGCCCGCCCGCCGCGGCTTATCAACCAGATCAATGTGTCGCGTCGTACCGTGGAGCGCAATTACTCGTCTCTCAGCCGCTCTACGCGTTGGCCTCTGGGCCTCCTTGACGACACACGTCAGCGACTTAATGAGGAGCGTGAGGAGCGGATGCGTGCCGGCCAGGCAGAGGTCAATAACCTGTCTCGCGAGCTGAGGTACACACAGCAGACGGTGGCGATGGAGCTTGCGGGCTGGCAGGACATGCACGAGAGGATGGGCAGGAGGGCCATCAGGGAGCTTGCCAGGGGCATGTTGGTTGTGGAGAAGATGAGGCTAGAGGGCATGAAGAGGGCACAGCGAAAGTTGAGCGAGGTCAAGGTTGATGCCGGCACAGGGAACCACGGACCGGATTATCTGGAGGCCCTTGCTGGGGTCGAAACCCGTGTTGACAGTGGGGTTGCCAATGATACTGCTGGCGGCTACGCGGGCCTCAACGCGCCCATTGCGCTGGCCGGCCTCGAGATCCAGGCGGACCGCAAGGCTAAAACTGACCCGGGTCCCCCAGCGGCATCGCCAGGGGAAGGCCGAGCGGTCCAGACCTCACAACCGGACGCGACTGGCTCGAGGATCGACGCTCCACTGCCACCGCTACCGGCCGAGGAATCACCTAGCCCTACCGAGACCCCGCGAGAGGGCAGCACTGGCGAGGCAGTGGCAGGGCAGGGCGGGGAGAGTAGATAGGAGCAAGCCGACCATGCGTCGCGGGATACTTGCCCGAAAAAGAAGGCAAAGGATCTACAGGACTTTACGAGGCGCGAATGATCTGGACCTCTCTGCATAGAGTGGCGAGAAAGACAAGGACAGGGCGCCCAAACACATAATTGGCGGAAGAAAGGGGGATGCTGATAATGAAGGCACTGGGTTGGATTGTATGGTGTCGAGGTCAGGGAGCGAGCGCATGGGTGGTCTATGTCTCTTCTTTTTCTTTTCTTGTCTTATGCTTTTCGCCTATACTCTTTTTGACAATGGATAGATACCCTTTCGTCGACTTGCTTACATCGAGTGGTTTTGGAATGTGTCTGTACGTGTATGGGTGAGTCTGTTGTTCCCTGCTGGTGAGGACGTTGACCGGGGCTCCATCTCTAAGTGGTGGGAGGCGAAGGACGGCATTGATGCTGGCTGGTAAGAGCATAATTGCGACTGGGCGGGACGTGATGGAAGGGATGGGACGATAGCAACATGGGATGGACAGAAGCGGGCAGCTCAGCATGAACGGAGGCGGTTCATCGCATTGCCCCCGTCTACGCATCTAGTCTAGCATAATTGGTCGCCTCCCTCTACTAGACTACTATAGTCTTGGGAATGAACGACGAGGCCCTCGCTCCTCGGTGCCTGTTATCCACAATGGACCCCCGATATTTCCCGCATCAGTCACCATCCCATCACCAAACCCCATGAGTTAATCGTAGATCTCTTGCCACGATGGGGAGGGATCGCGTTGGCCCCAGTTGCGTAACACGTCACCAAAGCCAACCTCTTTTCAGAGAGGGTTTGTCATGGGAGTTGGGGGTAGTGTGGAACCCTTTTTTTGGTTTCCCACTTGGGTGGATTGGGTGGATGGGGAGGGATCGCAGGTCTGACTTTGGACCGAACTCAAAGCGACGCGAGGTCAGGAGGATGGATGGATGGGTTGATGGATGGGGGACGTGTCGAGCTGACGCTGGTGGTCGCGTGCAGATCTGTGTTGCGGCTGCTGTGCTGGCAAGCGGGCGAGGCTGTGCTCCTTCTCGCACGGCTAACTAACTATCTGACTATGTAGACGTAGATGTGTCTGCCTGCTTGATACCCTTGGGCTGGTGGATAGGTAGTAAGTGGCGACGCTACATGGCACTATACAGCCTTCATGCTAAAAGTGCTAAAAGCTTGGGACTTGCAAGATCCTTCCAGCTGGGGCCCCAAGTGGGCTTGGGGAAAAAAGAGAAAGAGAAAGTCAACAGAAGAAATCGAAAGAGATGACACCATTCCTGACTAGGAGCGAAACTAAGAGAGTCCCAATGGCTCGGGATCCGTGGGGCTTCAGGTGAGACGAGGGCGCGGTGAAGCATTGGTTGGGAAGCTCTGAGTCTTTGGTTGAGTTCAGGGACCAGTTTTGCGTGCGGGAGTGATCCCGGGGAATTGAGGGCAGCCAAGATGGGTGCTGGTGGGAGAGGCGTCACTCGGATTTCGTCACATCCAGCTTTGATTTGTGTGGTGACCTTGCAGGCCTTGCTGGTCTACTACTTGTTCTCCTTACTCTGGCTCTCTGGCATTGGTGGCATCTCGGTCGTCCCTGTTTGCTCCGCGGATTCCCAGCCTGGCTCCATCCAGACCCGGAATCCAGAATTGAGAAGTGGACTCGCGCGACGTCGCAATCGATCTTGTCTTCCCCCTCTCTAGACAATCTGAATGCCGAAAAGAGGCAGTGCTTCCTTGTAGATGCCTGCATTTCTCTCTCTTCCCCTTTTTCGGACAGCACGGCATGAAAATTCTAGAATTTTCCAAGGGTTCGTTGAATCCACTTTTGAGCGAGGGTGAGGAGGGGGAGGGGGGGTAAAGAGAGCCCTGGAGAGAGGAATTTCAGAAAGAGCGGTGATGGAGACAACACGAACGACTCCTCACGCAATTCACCTGGCAACGAGCTCCACTATGCGTAGATAGGCGAGTTGTCAGATCCGAGAGGCCGAGGCGAGGGAAGCGAGGCAAGCGAAAATCCAGACTTCCTCCTACGGTACTGCACCTTGGGCAGTTGGTGGTTTGCGGTGTAGGGGTCCAAGGTGGTGGGGCGTGGGTGCTAGCCCCGAGTGGCTGTCGTTCGCTGCCTCAACGACAAGGGGGACGAAAAGGGACAGACGGGGAGCAGAGACCATGACCAAGACAAGACAAGACGCAACAAGGCGAGCCCGACCAGTTGGACACACCCGCATCTTCCGCTCCCCACACTCAATGACCGCAAGGCCGCGTTCCCAGTTTTTGTTTCATGTTTCAGATTTGGGTCGTGGTGGGATGTTTCATCATCTCTCAGTGTCTGCGCCTGTGACTCACCTCGTAAGTTGTGGGGGTGGATATGCAGGCTTGCCTGATGCGTTGCGTGCCCTTCGCTGACGGCGGCGGTGAGCTGGCAAGCATCCTTGACATCCGGACATCCTGACATCCTGACATCGCATCCTGACATCGCACCCTGCCTGCCAGGCCTGCCAGGCCTGCCCTACGCAATACCCAAGTCGATCGCGGGTGGTCCGAAAGGGGAAATTTGACATTATGCGGAATCTTGGGAAAAAGTGGACATTGCGCACCATCCGATACAGCGGGCACACCGCATCACCACCATCATCATCGTGATCACGGACCATGTACCATCGTTGACCGAGAGGAAGGCAACATCTCCCCCAGGTCAATTGGGTCAAGATGCAGCAATGCGAGATGTACAGGCAGACTGGGAAAATGTGGAGGATGGGCCGGGGTAGCGGGGGCGAAAATCGAAAGAGTCATCGTCGGTAGTAACACTGCGTCCGAAAGGGCACACCATGCATGAATGAAGGATGGGAACGGCACACGTCGTTAGTCCACGGCGCCGGGTCGCCGATCGAAGGTTGCAACGCGCCGGAGACACGCCCAGGTCAGCGCGTGCTCGCTAGCCAATTACAGGAGGGATGGTTGGGGTAGCGAGCGATTCTCGCGCTGGGTGCGTGTGTGTGTGCTACCGTCAGATGTCAGGAGAGGGGGTGGGAGAGCTTGTGCGAGTCTTGCTGCGCCCCGTCGCCCCGTTCCGGTGTCACGGGTGATGATCGCTGAGATGATCCGGGAAGATCTTGCTTGGGTGGGTTCTATTGGAGGGGGGGAGGAGAACCATGGGGAGACCTTGGAGGTGCCACACTATGGCTTGTGCTGCACACACACCACCTGGGCTGCTGGGCAGCTTTTGCTTTGGCTGTCTGGGGCTGCCAGGTGTCTCCCATGTAGATTGCTTGGTCGAAGATCAAACCATCTGTCTTGCCCGGTGAGGATGAGCCGGTGTCGCTACGCGCTTTGCTATGTAATTCGAGTGCGGCTGTGCAAGGAGACGATGTAAGGTGAGGGGTGAGGCTTGAGAGAGGGACACGGCATCTTGGAGATCCGATTTGTGCTCTTCTGTGCAAGGGGGGCGGAAGGGCCATTCTGACGGGCAGGCGAGCTGACGAACAGGTGCTCTCATGTCCCCAGGTAGTAGACACATAGTAGGGCAATTTCATCAGCCGCCAGACAGCCCAATGAGACGGCGCGAGGGCTTCCACTCCTCAGGAGCACAGCCGAGCCAGCTGACCACCGCGCGCTTCTTTTTGATTTTTGATTACATCAAGCGATCATACACGCGAGATTTGATCTTCCTCGCACCGTCATGCCATATGGTTCAAGGTGGTCAGGTCGGCTCGGCTCAGCTGGACGGGGGTCTCATTAGACGCCCTTGACGATGAGGCAGTGAGAGAGAGACAGAGAGGGAGATGATCTTTTGTCTCTAGCCGCCCGCTTAATTGTGGCTGGTTACCTAAGCGGCACCTGCCCGCGGCCACAGTCCAATCTCAATAGCCGCCCGTCTTTCCTTCTCTGTTCCCAGCTCCTGCTCAGCTTTGCCCGCACAGACAGAGACATGTTGGTCTTGACAGTGCATTTGCATTTCGACATCAGCATTGCACAGAGCAATCAATCTCGCGCTTAAAATAGCAAGCGCGTACTCTTCGCTCAAGCCATTCATACTGCAGAGACGCCATTTCGCTACGCTGGGGCAATCACCGTCGGCTACAGTTTGAGATGACTGACGAAGCCATGACGAGAGCAGAACCCATCGGGACATCTTGCAAACGGGGGGCATTGGTCAATCAATTCCTTCCTCGAGGGGGCCGAGGTTCAATGCTGAGCCTGAGCCTGAGCCTGAGCCTGATATGCGCAACACGTACTACCTAGTAGACTTGGTAACTAGATTGTGGACCGCAGGACTATGGGGACATCGGCGCACTGCGGCCTGACCAGTCCAGTGAGACAGAGCCTCAAACTGCCCGGCCACCCCTTCGGCCTGGGTGTCACCAGGCTCTGAGCCAGCTTGGTCACGAACCTGGCCATATCGTGAACCCCCTCCTGAGGCTTGGTGGACTCACTCCAGCTCCCCGCATCGCGTGGGATACGCTGCCGCCAGGGCTCGAATTGGCGAAATTGCCTCATCAATGCAGACTTTCGAGTGACGTTGTGACGTTGCCTCTGTCAGGCATGACAACGGGGGCCACCAGGGCAAACTCAACTCCCTCGCTCAGTACATGGTACTGTACATAGTACAAAGTACGCAGTCCCACTCACAGTCAGGGCCAACGGGACTGGGCCAGAAGAGAGGGGCGTCCTTCATCAGTCAGCATGTGCCAGCTGGCTGATGAGGGGTTTACTCGAGGGGGGTAATCATTCACGATGAAGGCTGGCCGAGGTCAGGTCTGGACGGAAACTGTCCGCGTACTAGCCAGCGTGCAGATTGCGGACTGCGGAGGTCACGTTCTCGACGTGTTCTCCAGCTTCCAGCCCCCATCGCGTCTTCTTTGTCCCGAAAGGATCCAGAGCGCGTTCAATCCACGGTTGCCCAGGTGTTCGCCACCCCACGAACGAACCCGCGTCTGCGTCTGCGTCTGCGGTGCGTCTTGCATCCCGCATCCGCGCCCGCGTCCGCACCCGCACCAGGCGAGCACCGAAAAATTCAGAAGAGACCAGCATCAAGGGGCCAGACGGCAGGGAGAGACAGAGGTCGGCGGACCCGACCCGGCACGCCAACATTGCTTTAGCAGCTTTGCCAGGGAACACACCGCGATAGTGTGCAGTAGACATGCACGCCCGATGCCACCTTCACGCAGCTCGGCCCCTGCTCCTGCGATGGCTCGACCTACCGATCAGCAGAGGTTCCCTGGCGTTGCTAGCAACTCAGAAGACCGAGAAGCTAGATTTGTTCCTGCGACAGCCTGCCATGTGTCTATTTTGTGAGTCATAAACGCCAATGGCACCAATGCAGGGCTGGGTGCGTGCATATAGTCCCACAGCCGTCGAGCCACTCAGCTTCCAGAAGCATGCGTCGACAGAGCCGACCCCAGGACTTAGTCCCATCCCATCCTTCCCGCGCTCAACGTCGATTTATTCCCTCTGCGGAAAGGAGCTTGGACCAGCTCGCAAGGAACCCAGCTGCTGGCCTTGCAGTAGCACTATGCAGTGCCTGCAGGGTTTTCGACTTCATCTCGTTCCTTTTCGACTGCGGACCGGGGACAGCTTTCTTCCATCCACACCGCGTCCCAAGGTGGCTCCATCTTGGTCGTTTACCGCCTCTTCCAATGGGCTTCTAGGATCGCATTTTTCAAGCCCAGCCTGGTCTTTGTAGGTTGTACCTTGGCCCCCCAGACCAAGGACATCACTCGTGTCCCCGAGGTACTTCCGTCGCTGACCGTCCCAGTATGAGCTGCTCAGGTACTCATCCGCGTCTTGGCGGGTCTCGTGGTCGCCGGCCGCCAGACCACCACACATGGACCGCCAGAACTGACAACTCTCTAACAAGGCTGGTCACCACATCTGCCCTACCTTTACGTCGAGTGACATGCGCCGGGATTACGGGCTACCTCAAAGTTCGTGTTTCAGGATCATTCTGGGTCTAGTAATCAGAGCAGCCGCGCTGCTATCTCGACAATGCCCGAGTGGGCATCTTGGGTAGCCGCAGATACTCGGCCTCGTACCATCGTACCTGATCCGTATACTTCCCTCTTCCCTCACCCCCCCGGTCATCACCTCTGCTCTGCCGGTCTACTACTACGGCGCTATGGCCATGGGCAAGTCCCGAGAGGCTCCACTCCCGACTTATACACGCCTGCAGTCGGCTGATGGCGCGTCCGCGCCCATGTCCTGTCCAGGTCGGCTTGGGCTTCCGGACGCTCGACATGGACCGCGAGACCTGGACTACTTGTTTTGAACCACCTCTGGTCGACCGCTCATCCGGGCACTTCTCTAACGAAGATTTAAACATCTGCCACATCCCCCCTCAACGATGCCGCTTGTTTTGCATCATCTCTCCATCCTTTCTGTCGCATCAATAACTTGTGTTCACTGAGGTCTTCCTCGGACTTCACACTCCCAACCTATTATCCTCCTTTCAACAATCTTTCCTTCCTTCAACATCTGTTAGAGAAATAGGCCCAGGCCGGCCGTTTGATACGTGACCTGCCTCTTCAGATCGCCTCGCAGCGACTGTGCTTCATTCACCTCACCCCCCCTTTTTACTCTTGCTATCTTCCTGCGACTCTACATCGACACCTATCGGAGCGGGCCTCCCTTGTCGCAGACTCATTTTTCCCATTTTTAAAATTATAATCTTGCTGTCGTGTGTCTCAACAGACACACTGACACCTGTCTGCTCGACAACATGTCCACGTAAGTTTCGTCGATCCTCGGGCTTGGAGATCAGGTGGCCGCGGGCGCTGTATGATCTACAAGCCAGTCACTCTCATCGTCAACATTGCTAACATCGTCGTCCCATACAGTCTGGCAGGGGATGTTCAATTCGACTTCACGTTTCCGTGTAACCCAGCTACACCCCCAAGCTTCACCTTTGACCCTTCACTGTTGGAGATCCCCTTCACCCACAACAACCACGGCCACTCTGGCCACTCCCGATCAATCTCAACCGTCTCCAATGGGTCTTCTATCTACTCCTTCGAGTCGTCGCCCTCCGACTCCATTGTGAGCACCAGCACACGCCGGACCACGCCGTCCCGGTCTCCCATCCGGACGCATGGCCCCATGCTGCTGCCCAAGATCCGCTCCCAGGATCAGAACATTGTGCCGAACGCGGTCCCTCAGCCTCAGGCAAGGCCTTCCAAGCGTGCCAGGACCTCGCCGGCACCAGCCCCAGTGAACAACAGAAGCGCCTACCGCCCTGGACACCAGCGCAGCTACACAAACCCAGAGACGATCAGCTACAACCCTAACCCGGTTGTGTCTGCTGCTTCGTTCCCTTCGACGCTCCCAGAAGAGTACAGCACCTCAAGCCTGCTGTGCTCCCCAGTCATGTTCACAGATGCTGAGTTCGCCCCAGCAACGACAACGACAACAATTGACTACCGCGGACAGCGTGCGACGTCTTGCAATCTTGACGATGTCACGATAGAGAAGTATGGGTTCCCAACCTACCGCCACATGCCCGCCTACGTCCCGGCCGCCGGACAGGTGACCGCTCACTCAGGCAGCCCCACGCCAACTCCTCAACCCACACCGGCCACGCTTCCTGTTTCAACACCAGCGGACCTGTCAAACCTTCCGGCCCCATCCTCTTACTTCCAGCCTTACCAGCAGCCCTACGCATCGCGTGGTTCTTCGCCCATGGCCTCGGCTGCCAGTCTCACACCTGAGCCTCAACCCATTGAGCCCGTTCAGGTGCTGCAGCCGTCAGCCTTGGCGCCCGCCCCCACCACCACCCTGCTCAACTACCTGACCACGTCCAACCCGTCGCCCAGTCTGGTACACTCCATTGCCTTCCCCCTGAGGGACCCCCACATCAAGCACTTTTGGTGGGACGTCAGGCAAATCCGGCCATGGACCTCCTTCAACACCTCCACCATCATGTCGCTGTCTGGCGGCGCGGCAAACAGCCTTCTCACCTGCCCGGTGCCGGAGAGCTTCCTGCCCAGCCCCATGAGCTCGCAGCGCCACCCAGAGACGGAGACGGCCCTGCACTCAATCTACGCCAACTGGTACCTGCCCAAGCTCAACGCCGCACTGGCACTGTCCTCCAACCGCCCCGTCCAGCTCAGCGTGCCGTCCAAGTCCGGACCCCACGCCACCAAGGACACTGAGCAGATGTTCGTCGCGACCATGGCCGGCGACGCCAGCTCCGCGGCGGCCATCTTTGGCGGCAAGCCGTCTGCCCGCGTCGTCGGACTGGTCAAGTCCTTCGACCGGTTCAACACGGGCATGCGCGTCGAGGGCAACGTCAAGAAGGTTGAGTACCTCAAGGGCCTGGCTCACCTGCACCATGTTATGCGGGAGCACGGCTGCCGCTACGGCTTCATCCTGACCGAGATCGAGCTCGTGGTCGTGCGCAACGGCCTCGAGGGTACCCCTCACTTCGGCTTCCTCGAGGTTACTAGCTGCCAGCTCGCCACGGCCGCCAGCGACCTCGTCGACCTGACCAAGGACGACGACAGCGAGGGTGGTAGCAGCGTGCCCATGACGGCCTGCCTCGCCCTCTGGGGCCTGTGCATGCTCGCCAGCGACGAGCCACTCCCCGAGGGCCACGCCACGGCGCGCGCCGAGATTGGCGCCCCCGCTGAGGGCACCAGGCGCAAGGCTCTCGCCCGCGACACATGGATGCCGCAGCCCCAGCTTGCGGAGAAGAGGGAGGCGAAGCGAAGCCGCGGCTGGGTCTTCCCAGAGGATCCCGTCGGCCGCAAGGAGCTTGGCAGGAGAGGCGTCCGCTACGGCGGCGCCTGCTGAGCAGCTGGCCTTCTCAGCGAAAGGGAGGAGTATATAGTGGAGGAAACATTTTCTGAGATGAGGACTGTATTTACGAATTGATGATGACTATAATGATGATGGAAAATACGAAATGGATATGAACATACAACACACAACACATAAAAGGACCCTCATGGGCAGGCAGATGGCTCGAGCAACTTGCTTCTTTCTTGATTTTCTTGGACCTTGCTGGCTTCGGGGACTCGATCATGGGGACACGGGCTTCTGACCTTGAGGCGGTGGTGGGCTTGGACTTGCTGGTCTGGTTCTTGCTGCGATATCATACACGATGCTGATTTAGATCCTTTTAATGGGCTTTTTGGATTGGTTGTCTGTTTGGTGACAGACACCATGAGACAGATCGCACACTCATTTGCTTGAGTGGTGGCGGATATTCTAGTAATTCCAAATAATGCTTCCACATCTTCAACTTGCCTTCCTCGTTCTCAGGTGTCTTTTGACTTGATCTCGTCCGATTCTTTCTATCCGCTTCTCTATCCTTTTCTACCAAAGAAGCCATAGTTGTACATGTACTGTGGTAGCCTTTTGTCCTGTGTCTTACTGCTGTGGCTCACTCGTTCTCCTTGGCTTATTTCTGGAGGCTGTTCTGAAGAATGAGGGAAGCCGTCAGAACTGGCCTCATTGCTCGACATTTTACGGTACCGAGGCTGTGCATTGGAATCAATGCTGTAGGGATCTCTATGCTAACGAACGTAGAGGATTCCCAGCATGGATAACCGAGAACGAAAACCCAAAACCCACAGACAAGAGCCGTGTAGAGAAGAAACAAATCAAGAATAGTACAATTCCTGGTCGAAGGTGCTAGGTACGGTGATATTTAACAGAGGTCTCACTAACATGTATGGATAATTGATTAATGTACTCCACAATTCCAAATTTTCAAGAAAACCATCTAAAACCATCACGGCAGCTTATACTCTCGCGATGTGAGCGCTTACTCGTACCACTCTGCCCTGCAGTCCGAGTGGTGCTTGCCAACAGAGAATGAATCGAGAGCTAACCCTTTCACAATTGATACTTGAACAAGGGGCTCCTATCTCCCAGGCGTAGTAGCTCCATGTCAGTATACTTATCCCGCATTTCACCCTCGTTGACAACGGCGCGTCTCTTGTTCAAGTGCCTCCAGGAAATATACAAGACAGTCGAGCCGATCATACCAGTGGCGCCACAGGCTACGGATAGCCCGTATCCAGTGTCTGTCCAACTTTTCGTCAGTAACTTTGGCAGTCTGTTTGGCTCACGAGCGATTTGAGAGAGCTGTGAGTTTTTGGATATGGAAACGGACGTACCGTAGACTGGAGCTTCCCTGTCCAAAAACATGAAGCTGCCAGCTATCCCACCAAAGTTTGCCACGGCAGTAAGCATTGAAGAGATCATTGCTCGTCGGCCAGCGGGAGCAGTGTTGTTCGTGCCCCATGAGATGAGCAATGGGCACGCTGAGAAAAGACCCATGATGGCAATGCACATCATGATATAAGAGGCTAATATGTGTTAATCACCTGCTGCGGAGCCAAAAGTGGTGCATTCTGGAACATGGCCAAACACAATACACGGGGAAATGTAAAAGGAGACGATTTGTGCTTACGTGCCACACGTGAGCCGTGGAGGTCGCCTTGGAAGGACAAGACGACGGCGAAGCCAACAGTCATAGCGAAGAAGCATGGTATCAGGACTGTGATATCCTCAGTATTGTTCTTTTGTACCTATGTAGAGAAGGGGCCGGGATGAAGAGTCTCTGTGGTGTCCAATAGTCACTCAACTTACAGGCAGCTCGGGTTCCGTAACGGTCGGACAGGTGCGGTATCAACACACACATGAAGCCCGCAAGGATGTAAGGCGGCACACTTAGCAACTGCGCTTTTGTACTGGTGAACCCCATGGACTCTGTCAACGTAGGCAGATTGAACTTGACGCCTGAGACGTGGTTAGCCAAGGCTTAGCCGACATCAGGGGCCAGAAGACAGAGAGCTCACCGTAGAAACCAACAGCCTGGCACGCCAGACAAAGGGCCAGGAGGCAGTTGCGCCAGTTCGTGAAGACCATCTTCAGCTGATACCATTGGAACCCTAGCTCACCGCCCTCGACATCACTCCCGTCGGCACTGAGGCCCCCCTGCTTGAGCTTCCGCTGCACCTCGAGGAACCTCAACTCATCAGGACTCAGCCACCGAGTCGAGTTCGAGGGCAGATCGACTAAGCAGAAGACCGTAATGACTCCTATGACGACCGTCATCAAGCCCTCAATGATGAATATCCAACGCCATCCTTCGTAGCCACCCACGCCGTCCATCTGCGTGATGGCGGCGGCAAGGAGGCCGGAAAATGCACCGGAGATGGCGCCTGTGCAGTAGAAGGCACCGAGGCGGAGTGACAACTCGCGCGGGAGATAGTATGCTGTGCAAATGTAGGTGGCAGCTGGGAAGAACCCGGCCCTGAATCATTGGGTTAGCAGCTGCGCATGGGCTATGCCTTGAAGATCTGGGGAAGGAGGCACTAACTCGAAGATGCCGAGGAGGAAGCGGCACAGAGCCAATCCAGTGAAGCTCTGGACCACGCCGTGCATCGTCATGATGAAGCCGAACGTGATGGTGCTCGCGCCGAGGTACCACGATGGCTTCTTGATCTGCTTGAGGATGATATTGCTTGGGATGTCTGGTCCCGACGGTCAGTTGGGTGTTTTGAAGGGGTCTAACCGATGCCCAGAAGCCTACTGAAGAGGATATAAGATATGAAGAACACTGCTAGCGCAGTATTATATTGGACACCAGTCAACTTCAGGTCTTTAGCTAGGCCTTCAATCTTGGCGTTCCCTATGTTCGCCCGGTCCAGATTCGAGACCAAGTATAGGGTGGCTAGCAGAGGTAGCAATCGCAGGTCAATCTTGAACGGCCAGACAATCAGTCACATACATCGTCTCGAGGCAAGTGATCGGTCTGTTCGTATGGTGATGGCTTGAGCTGGTGTGTTGAGAAGATGACAGAACGTACCTTGCGGTTCAGCCTTAATCTCATCTGCGGCGTGAACTTCTCGTAGAAGTTCACGTCATCTTGATCCATCCCAAGGACCACAAGCCCATCGACTTCACGGATGCTCGCCGCGATGGGGGTTTTGCCAGAGGCATTCTCGACGACATCATTGCTGATACTCCTCTCCTCGGCGAGGAAGATTGGTCCTTTCTCTGCCATCATAAGTTCAAGAAAATTCTATCTTCTGGGCCGAAATGTTGCTGGGGAAAACTGCAACATCTTGTGTCGAAGGTACCCGAAGGAACGGACGGCATATAACGGATCTGGGAGTGAGTTCCCCCCTTCGATTAACAAGCAGTACGTACCAAGCATTCAGGCCTCATTTTCGAAAGCTTAGCTGCGACTGCACTGCTTCCCAATCATGATGGGTCAAATTCGGAAATACGGCGAAAAACGGCGTGAATTCAATGCCGGTGGAAAGTTACTCGGTGTTAACGGGAGCATATGTAAACCCAAAAAGGGGCAGGCCACTGCAGAAGTCTTGGAACATGCCTCACAGCCGCGATATTCCTTAACGCCCCGCTCGTGTACACAACGGCGCCGCTTGTTCTACATGGCCTCGACTTCAGGCCAGATTCACATGGCAAACTTGAGCGAGCGATCCTTTCGCTAGCTTGGCCCAACTGGAGCACAATGCTTGAGACCATGGTCAGCACGAAGAATGCGCGGTCAGCCACATTCTCGGCACCGAGCTTGTATGTCACATCCGGGGGTATGATCGAAGGAAGCGAAGCTCACGCTGTAAGTTTTTCATGTCGGAGGTCGGGGAGTCGCGGTCTGACGTGGAGGCGAGGAAGGATATCCATGGGTCTGTGATCTAGTTGCCGTTTTGCCCACCAGGAACGGTAAACTAGGGACGGGTCGGACCCCCGCGGGTGACGGCCCGGTCCTTGGCGTTGACAGGCCGCTAGAAACGGGAAACGCCTGACGGGACACAGCACAGACATCCCGAAATGACTTGTTGGTGCTGTGTGGTTGCGATTCTTTAAAGGTGCTCTTCTCGTTAGTTCTTGACATTGACGTGATTAAGAGACTCTATAAAAAGTTGCGGTGGTGTGTAAGATCTTCGAGTGGTATCAGGCTAGTTTCAGAGGCTCTACGCTGAGCCGGGAGGTTCCTGGGGAATGGAAATTACCCATGAATGCATGGGCGCTCATATTAACAGCTCTAATGATTAGATGCTAGTCCCAAGACGGTATTTGCTTGAAGCTGATGGATTTGGAAAAGGCACAAAATTCAAAAGTATACAATATGATTTCCACGTGCAACCCAAAGCTGACAAGGACGGTTCGGGCTGGAAGTACATGTGGTGGTTCTTGACGCGACTGACACAATTCATCTAATCGTTATAGCGATAATGATGACGTGAATTATATTCGATAGCGTAGCCCAAGTTTGGAACCCTCATATTAGCTGTGTATCATTTTCGCCAAAGTGTGGGGACCAAGCCCGGTTGCGATGTAATGGAGAGAGTTTCCAGCCAGTGAACGACGTTGGAAAGTATGATCAAGTAGACTGAAGAGTTCTACACACCTTCTTCTGAGACCTTTGTGCTTGGAAGATATGAGCAGAGGGGAAAAGGAGGACAAGATAACGCCTCATCTCATTTTTAATGTCGCGATGATTGGTTATCGATCATCTGTGTGGGCTGTAAGCTTTACTTTGTGGACATTGCTGTTATTTACAATATGAAGCCAACTTATTAAGAAGCATAGCAAGTAGAGATACTGTACCTATACGTTTACTGAGAGCACTGGGTAAAGAGGACTGAGATATCGACCACAACTTAAACTCCAATTTTCTCGGGATCAAAGCTCGCACCGTTAAGCCGAGCCTTTGACTACACACAAGAGTATTCGATTTGTGCCTAAAACAACGTTTGATGATATGATACATCTAGAGATGAGGATTTTGAGATGTATTTGGTCAGTGTTAAATGGAGTGAACTGGGGCAGAGAACATTTCCAATTCAGTTTGACTTTGTGTTCTCCGTGGCAAAGCAGTTCTGCAGAGGAAGACTACATAATTGATGGTGGGTTTTTCCCTCTTTGAGCACTATGCTGGTACCACATGAAGGAGCCTGTCCTCGTACCACAAGATTGTATACTGATATTCGAGAGTACGATTCTGGTTCAAGGAATGCGATTGAGCCCTGTAGAACCAATCGTATGACCAGTCTTGGCATGATGTCTTGCTTTTCCGTTGGACGGTGTTGCCGATGATATCATACCCAAAACCACAACCATCATGGATGGCTGCTCTTCCTATTAGATAGCCACTGACATGGCAAGCCGGCACTTACAACCAAGACTATGTGTAGTTTAGCCAGTCACACAGTGACACAAGTCGGGATTCGTCGAAGGTTTGAGGGATAGACAAGGAATGCCCCCACCCATTCAGGTTAGCGCCTTACGATACACTCGTACACTCAGAACGAGATTCCGGCCAGCTTCACAGTGACTCACTAACCGCAGCGCAAAAGCTCTGACGGCCATGATTTATGGGGTGTTGTGTCCAGGACATATAAAAGAGGGCTTTGGTCGAGGCTTGTCAAGAACTTACTGCTGAGCCTCTCAACTCTTCACCCTCGCATCAAACCCCGCTTCGCCCTCAAGTCATCATGCAGTTCATCACGGTTGATGTCTTCACGGACACGTCCTTCCTCGGCAACCCTTTAGCTGTGATCATTGTCGAGGACAAGGAGCGAGCCGCTTTGGGAAAGGAGAAGCAACAGCTCATCGCTAAGGAGTTCAACCTCTCCGAGACCATCTTCCTCTACCTCCGGCCCGGCGAGACCCTACAGCACCCGGACCGCTCATCGAGCGTCCGCGAGGTCAGCATCTTCACCATCGAGAGCGAGCTCCCTTTCGCGGGCCACCCGACCATAGGGTCGACGTATCTGCTCCTCCAACACCTAGGTTGGGACTTCATCGACACCATCATCCCGCCGTGCGGGCCCATCCGCATCAGCAAGTCAGCGGACGGCGGGGTGACGGCGAGCATCCCACACGACGTCCACCTGCACTCGCGCACGCTGCGTTCGCTCTATGAGCTGGGCGACAAGGACGTCACAGCCCAGATCAAGCCGGCGCTCCACGAAGATGACGCTATCCGAACTGCCGAGCTCGACGCACCCATCTTCAGCATTGTGAAGGGGATGACCTTCCTGCTTGTCGAGCTTCCCAGCCTCGAGCACCTCGCCAAGGTCGACGTTCGCAAGCGTCTGGACCTCGGTGACTACGTGAGCCTCTTGGATGCAGGATCATGGGGTCACGGATTCACGGCGAGATATTGTGAGTGACCTTCCGCTCTCCTATGTGATTATTGGATGGACCTTGAAGGGTAGGCAGGCAAGATGGCCAGCCATAAAAAGGACTCATCCCACGGCCATGAGAAACGTTGTTGTAATAAGAAATCCGAGGACTTCACTAATGAGAGCCTGGACTAGACTACGTCTCGCAGGCTGTTGCTACCGATGAGAATGGGGTGAGGAATGAGACGATTCGCTCGAGGATGGTGGAACTTGACTTTGAGGATCCGGCGACTGGCTCTGCAGCATCGGCATTGACGAGCTATCTGAGTCTGAAAGGAGATGCCGATGAGAGCAGGTACCACATCATCCAGGGAGTCGAGCTCGGCAGGAAGAGCGATATCGAGACGCACATTGTCTCCAAAGTTGGCCAGGAAGGAACGAGGGCGATACAAGAGGTGAGGCTTGGTGGTACGGCAAAGGTGGTCATGAAGGGCGAGATATTTCTTTGAAGTTCTCACTGGTGACACTCGCTTGTTGGTCTGAATCTTTTGTTAGGGTTTGCAATACCTCGAGATGAGATAAGCTGTGGACGTCAGCCGATGGATGGATCTGATCTTCTCCGCGTGTCCGTTGGCCCAAGTGGGAGCTAGGGTTTGTAGACATACATCCGATTATACATATTCATACAGAGCATGGTTATCCAGAGCGTTTTGACCTTATGATCACTGTTTTCGAATTGCAGCGCTGCTTTGACAGTGCCTGAATAAGACGCATGGAGAACAAGGATACCTTAGATGCCTGATGGAACGGATGATTCAGGACTGTAGCATAAAACCTTGGATGGGTTGCAGCAACGCATGCAAGAGACGAGGCTCCCAGAACCCCGGGTCTGAGCTGCCTGAGCCGAATGACATGACATTAGGTTGGTAAATCATCAGACAACGAGACTGCCCATAGCCACAGAGTGTAGGATCCTGCATCTCGGAGGACAAATTAATTGGGAGGTCTTGTTTCTTCGACAGAGTGACGTATGTCTCTTTGCAAGGTTATGATGAGACCTGGATGGTGCTATGTGAGAGCAGGCATTGGAGAGAGGAGAGATGTTTGGCTTGTGCTGCCCGGGATCTGTGTTTGACTTCGGGCTTGATTCATTGATGGGACCACTCAATGAAAATTGCCCTGGCATGTCAAACAAGAGAGATTTCATTGAAATGGCTTTAAATTGAGCACTCGGCAGTGCAGATGCCAGGGTTGGCACGAGCCGTGGATGAGTGGGAAAAGTCTGGGGAAATCAGTCATTGGAAGGAGGGCCAGGGGGGGTCGACTGTGGACCTCCGCTTCTTCCCCGCCGCCCGCTAGCCCAGCTTCCCCACACAGGCAAGATCGGAGCCGACGTTCTAGAAAAACTCAGGCCAAAAAAGGCTGCACAAATCCCCGGGACAACATTGGGCTGATAGCTCTCCCGCCCCCAGCGCCTCTCAGACTCCCAGACTACTCTGCATTCATTCCGCACATTTCTCCGTTGCCAAAGATCCCCCGATGGTTGCGAATCTCTCACAAAGGATTGTGACACCTGGCATTCGATCGAGCCCCCGTACCCGCCGCCCTGACCTAGCCGCTGCACAGCAGCTGGACCCTACTTACAAGACACATTCCACCCGGGCCTAGCTCATTACGTACATGGTTGTCTGGATACCCAACTCCGACTCAAACAATCCAGCTGGAACCCGAAGTTCCGTCGGACCCCATTCACCAGCCCTCGCCGTCGTCTCACCACCCACCGCATCATCCAATCTTCCTTTACCATAGCACTTGATAGCACCTGTCCGCTGGCCCAACTGCGGAACCCACCACTTCTGTCACGTCCTTCCTCGAACCCAAACGCCATCGCATGCTGGCATCATGGAGTCCATTCAGCTGGCCCAGATGCTAGCTGATATCTCGGACCTCAGCGCCGCCGACAAGAAAGCAGCAGCCGCCCTCGTGAACGCGAACAAGGCCCTCAACCAGCAACAACAGACACAGGCCCAGGCTCAGAACCAGCATGACGGCCTCAAGCCTCTCGCACCCACTGCCGGCGCATCGCGATCCTCTCCCTCGGTGTCCAACAGCCGTCTCGACAAGTTTGGACGCCGCATCCTGACACCCCCCATGACGCGATCCAACTCAGCCCAGGGGTCCATGCCCGGGACGCCGCGGGGAGGCTCTGACGTAGGTCTATCTTGCTAGTCGACCGATGACAAACAGACAGTATGCTGACGTGCAACTTCGTGCAATAGCCCGAGGACGACGTCGACCGCGCGAGCACGCTCATGGCGCTTTACGAAATTCGCAATAAGATTAAGCAGCAGGACAACACGAGTCTGATCAGGGCGCGAGAGAAGATCGACGCGATGATCGCGAAGCAAAAGGCCGCTGTCGAGAAGCAGGGCAAACAAGGAGGTGACGCGCCGCAGACACTGGAGAGACCCCGACCGACGTCGCGTTACACTTTCCCCAAGCCGGACGCGACGGGCAACACGGAGAGCAAGTGAGCGGGAATCTGTCTACAAACAAACTTTCGTCCGCGGCGCATGGAAAGGCATTAAAGGGATTGTTTGGCGCGAGGCGTTTGTGGCATGGAAAATTCTGTCCAATATTGACTGCTAGTTACGGTGCAGTTTGGACTTTGGAACAGGACGGGGTATACTATAAATGATCTGGTTTGGGAACGACCAACGGCGGTAATGAAGACGTCAAGGTGACGACTTGGTGGGATTGTGTACAAAAAAAAACATACTTATGCTTGTTTCTTGGGAGGCCGAATAGGTCTGTACAATAGACGGTTGATGCAACCATACTACTATATTGTGTAGCGAATCACCCATTCTTCGCAGTAAGTCCTCATCGCCTGCAGCCAATTTCAGGCGTTTTTGCGCATTTCCTTGGCTGTACTACCTGACAGGAAGCAATGGCATCTTCAGGTAAGAACAAAACACGTGCAGCAAGCCCCCAATGCTCCGACTAGCTGCAACCCTTTTCACAGCCTGCTGTTTACCGCTCGGTCTTCCCTTGCAAATGGGTATTGCGATTCAGTTTTGACCCAACTAATAAGTTCAGGAGATGAATATATATATATGTAAATATACGTCCCCAAAAAAATGTCATCATTGTGCAGGGGAGCCGAGCCTGGCCCGAGCCTGAAGCTCCACTGAAACTGACCGCTGGCACTCGAGCTTCGCGACCCCACCCATCTACCGCCGCCCTTTTTACAGTAAAATTGCACCCCGACGTCACAGCTGCGCTTTTGTTCCCCCGAACACATCGCAGTCGACGCGGCATATCCAGCAGTTTGCCCATCATGGCGACAGGAGTGGATGCGAAGCTCCTCAAGAGCACCAAATTCCCTCCAGAGTTCAGCCAGAAAGTTGACATGACCAAGGTCAACCTGCAGGTCATGAAGAAGTAGGTCAAGTTCCTGCCGCCACCGCCGCCCCATAGCGTGTCCGACGCGACTGACGCGTCGCCGTGTATAGATGGATTGCGGGCAAGATCTCGGAGATCTTGGGCAGTGAAGACGACGTGGTTATTGAGCTTTGCTTTAATCTCATTGAGGGGTCTCGATACGTGAGTTGCCTCTCCCCGGCCCCCGCCTCTGGTTTCACCCAATTGCTAACGCCCCGTCCTCCTTAGCCCGACATCAAGTCTCTCCAGATTCAGCTGACCGGCTTTCTCGACAAAGACACGGCGCCTTTCTGCAAAGAGTTATGGAATCTTTGCCTCAGTGCCCAGACCAGTCCTCAAGGCGTGCCCAAGGAGCTGCTAGAGGCCAAGAAACTGGAGCTTATACAAGAGAAGGCACGCTTCTCCAACGAGACCAATTAAGGCTTGAACACTAACATAGATTGATCAGATCGAGGCCGACAAGGCTGCTGAAGAAGCCCGCAAAAGACGTGAGGAGCTCGAATCTCGCCGTGGCCGAGGAGGGGGTCGCGTCGACAGCTACCGTGGTGGGCGGGGCGACCGAGACACATACCGTGGCGGTGGACGTGGTTTTGGGCGAGGACGCAGTTCTTCAAGATCTCCGCCACCGTCCAGGCGAGGAGGTCGCGATAATTACCGCGGACCCACCCGAGGTCGCGACTCATACGTGCCTGGCGATCGACGCCCTACACGACGACGATCGCCCTCGAAGGACTCCCCGCCGCCCCGTTCTCGCTCCCGCTCATCAAGTGCACACGGCAGTCGAAGATCGAGAAGACGTAACTCTTCGTCCCCTGAACATGACATACGCAAAAGATCGAGGTCTCCACTGCCACGAGAGAACAATTACCGCCCTCGCAGGCGGTCACCTTCCTCAGATAGGAACTCGCCTGCGCCCAAGCGTCGGCGTTACTCCTCGTCTCGGAGTCGATCACCTGCCAGGCGGAGGCGCGGCAGGTCACTGTCATCGTCCGGCTCGGACAGACGGTCCTTGTCACCTTCACGAAGCCCACCACGCAGGAGACGTCACAGAGACAGCCGGAGCCGGAGTGGTTCTCCTGGTGGTGCTCGTCGAGTCCGCGGTCGGGGAAGACGCGAGCTAAGTCGTAGCAGGTCTCCGTTCGATTCCCCGCGTGACTCCCGACGCTTGTCGAGATACAGAAGCAGAAGCCGGAGCAGGAGCTCGAGCCGTGGAGGAAGAGGAGGAAGCAAGAGAAGCCCACGAAAACATAAAACATCCTCTATCTCATCTAAAGACCGTTCGCGAGACAACTCGGCTGATGTTTCCGAAGACGAAAACAGAAGACCCAAACCCAAATCGCCTGCCAAAGATGACAACAACGAGCCCAAGACGACGACAGCGACAGACGCCTCATCGAAGGTACGCTAGTCTCCTTGACTGGAAGGATGGGAGGGGCGACACGGTTCTTTCAAGTTTGTACGCGAGAGACACCTACTGACCAGCTGTTATGTTTCCCGAGTTCTCAGCCCCAGCAGAAGACCACGCAGCAGAGGGCCACTGAATTAAAAGAGAGGCTGCTCCGGGAGCGGCTGATTAAGCTGAGGCGATCCTCGAAGAGTGGACCGAGCAATGTCTGAGGCTAACCTCTGTTGAAGCAACTCATATACATGCGCAGGCACAGGTACTTTATAAGTCCAGCTAGCAGCTGGCATATGTTGTATCCTCGCACCTTCAAAAGCGGGTGATTTCTTTTACCACCATAGCATTGGGTTTCCCTTGCTCCTTCCATAGCCTCAACTACAAGGGCGTCATATAGACCACCCTTTGCGGATGCGTCTGGCAAATCCTCTTGCTTCGCGCGTGAATGATGTGTTTTTCGCACAGAGAATCGAAAAATCGACCGTTCCCTGGTTAAATGACTGTCCCGGTAGCCCTTGCCTAGAAACATGCCCCAGGGTACCGTGCGCTAGGCGGATGGATATGATTCTGTTGTGCCTTCTTCCACTCGAAATACAACAACATCAACGCGAGGGAAGCGCAATCTATTCCAATTCAAACGCGAGACAAAATGCCGCTCCGGCCTTGTCCGGTGCTCGTTGATTTTGTAACAACTTCAGTCATTGATAACATCGCTCTACTCATCACCAAGATACATGTCCATTTGTAAGTGCAATCTCGGAAGGTGATTGGTTTAGCCTTGCGGCCGCAGTGGGCGAGCCCCACTACTGTACTCTAGAGCTCCAAATCAACCCGTTCCCCAGCCTGACGATGCCGGCGAAAAAGAGAATCAAGCTCAGCTACAAGTCAGCCAACAGTCGAAACTTATCCGAGACAGATCATCGCGAAGCTCGTCGTGCAGCCCATCTTGCAGCTCTTCGATCTGCCAGAGAAGACTTCGATCCTCCCTTTGACGTTGAAGAAAACGACGCCGACGAAGGCGACGCCAACGACGAGAACGTTCAAAACAGCGACGACGATACGCAGTCCGACTCAGAGCAGGAGACAACAGTCCAGTCTTCTACACAAGAAAACACCCGCCTCAACGCCGGATTCTCCACCTCTCAAGGATATTCAGTCGCGCAGCAGCACCTGCGCAACGCGCTCCGATACCGATATTCACTGTTGTCCCTCTCTGTTGACCGATCAGGTCACTGGGCCGACCAAGACGCGCAAGGGGAGTCTGCAAAGCCTCAAGGGTAGTTACCTTCCGCTACAGGTCTTCGAGACGTGTCGAGTTCGTTACTACGTGCGGCGGGACTAAGTCGATCAGGAGAGAGTCTCGTGGATGCGACAGCACGCCGCGACGCCTCGCTACCGCCCCAACCAGGATACACCTCCCCCGGGCCACTGGACGATCCTACTTCGATCCTAGGTGGTCCTGAGAGCGGAACAAATATCACTACCGAGACAACGACGGAGCCTACTGATCTGAAAGTCGAAAGCTCCAGTTCCGCTTCGACGAACACTGATACCCCGTCGAGCGAAAACCAGGCGCAAAGAAGGGTGCACTGGCCAGAGGACGCCAAATTGTGCGATTTTCGAGCAGTGAGCCCAAGACAACCACCATCACCGTCATCACAGTCATTACCATGACGGAGAATAACCAGACCGCCGCGGGCGCCGATGCGCCTGGCGGGTTGCCGTTCTACGAGCAGTCGCGCACACAGCTTAAGACGCTCTTGGCCAAGAGGCGCGATCTTGAGAGGAAACTGGTGAGTGTTTCTGCTACTTCTCGACCGAGGCTGCTGGTCGTGCCATCTTCTAACAATAACTCCCGCTGCAGGCCAACATCGAAGAAAAGATCTATAACAATGAAACAGAGTATCTCGAATCAACGCAGGCTGGGAACATCATGACCGGTTTCGACAATTATACCAAGGGGACCAACGCGGCCGCGGCCCAGCGGCGCAAAGGGGGCACCATGGAGCAGCACAGGGTCTTTTCGAGGTCGTCCATCTCCTACAACGCGAACGCAGCCGACTCTACCGCAAACACGCCGGGCTCTAGTCACGCCCCGACGCCGGTGAGCACGACGTTCGCCGGCGGGAGTGGTAGCAACCACCCCACGCCGACAAGCGCCACGGCGTCCACGGGCAAGGCGGGCGGCGGTGGCGGGTCGAAGAAAGATAAGAAGAAGGCTGTTAGCCTGAGCGTTGATGCCGCTGATAGCGAGAGCGACATCAATGTCAAGAAGGTCAGGACCAACTTTGGCGCATCCAGAAAGTAGGGCGATTCTGATGATGAATACGTCCCTCCGGCCGAGACTCGGAACAGAAAGAGGAAGAGGACGAGCAGCTCATCGTCTGAGTCCTATGAATCAGAGGTGGAAAGAGAGAGGACGAGGAGTTCATCGTCTGAATCCTATGAATTAGAAGAGGAAAGAGAGAGGACGAGGGGTTCATCGTCTGAATCCTATGAATTAGAAGAGGAAAGAGAGAGGACGAGGGGTTCCTCGTCTGAATCCTATGAATCAGAAGAGGACAGAGAGAGGACCAGGAGCACATCATCTGAGTTTCATGGATTAGAGGAGGAAAGGGAGACGACAAGGAGTACATCTTTTGAGCCTTTTGATTTTAAGCAAGATCAGGACGAGGAAGAAGAGTCCATCGTCTGAGCTTTTTGAATCAGAGCATGGAAAGAAGAGGACGAGACAGAGGAGAGCATGGTCTGGGTTGTATTCTTGTTTAAATATGTGCTTAAACTTGAAGCGAGGCGTTTCGGACGGATAGGGTGTCAGGGAGACCAAGGTATGAGCTGGACTGTACTTCCGTGTGTACGTGCAGCGTCGGCCGAGAGTCACGGATGGACGGATGTGTTCTTCTGACATAGGGCTGTCACATGCAGCAGCATGAAGCAAGTAGGGAATGCCAAGCATAATACAGCACGGCTCCCCCCACGCGAAAAAGAGCTTCACCCTGACCGAAAAGAGGTGTGCAGCTGCGGGGCACGCCTAGATCGACAGTGCATGCATCCTCAAGCATGTGTGTGTGCGTTTGTGCACATGGGGCACCGTACAGTATGCAACACTTTATCCTTCGGAAAGCCTAAGCGAGACACGAGGGGGACGGAGAGGGTGCATTGGCGAGCCAGTTTTCAGGCCCCCTCTCCCGCAAGAGAAAGCTGCCGGCAGACACTTGGGCGAGAGAAGCAGCTCAGCGTGTCATCAGGGTGCCCGTCAATGTCATAATCGTGAGGGGTACAAGGAGCTCCTCCTCCTCTTTTGAGCAACCTGGACCCGCCTTATTGCGGGGTTGATGGGCCGGACAGGCACGTTAAGGTGTCTTGACTGAGACAAGGACGTGCAGGTCCCTTACCTACCTATTGAGGCAGAAGGCGACGGTAGTAGAGTAGAGAAGAGCAGGATAAGAGTATAAGGCTGTGGGGGGCTTCTTCTTCGTTTCTACCTCTGTCACCATTGTCCTCCTCCTCAGCTTTCCCCCCAATCGTGTGGAAGCTCCCAGACCGTCTTCATGATGACCATCCGCGCCAAGTTGACCCCGGAGGTGCTGCTCTCGGCCCCCCGTAGATCCGCGGGCAGCCCCAATAGCTCTGGCAAGCTGGTCCTGTATACTGTGAGCTGCTCCATCCTCTCTCTTGACCTGTCCTGCCGTCCTCTTAAGAGACATGAGGCGCAACGAGACGGGATAAGAGCCCATCAAGGGACGAGAGTACATCACAGCTAACCAGACCCAGGTGTCTACGTACTCGTTCCAAGAGCATAAGAAGACCAATTCAATCCAGGTCCTTGACCTCAAGTCTGGCCACGCCACGACTCTGTACACCGACTCGAGCTACAGCGAACCTACGTGGGTAGGGGAGACTGAGTTCGTCCTGATCAAGAGCGGCGAGAAGGGCACGTCGAGTCTCGTGCTCGCCGACGTGAATAGTCCAGGCGCATCGTGAGTTTCTCTTACTTAATCTTACCCTCTCTTGACGTATACTAATCCCCACCTCTCAGACCAAAAGAGATCAGCAAGTTTAGCGGGAGCATTTCAAACCTGAAGGTGAGCAAGCAGAGCGATGACACCTTCGCAGTGGCATGCTCCGCATTGGTAGACCCCTCCGGAGCAATCCACAACCCGGAGAATGAGAAGAAACCACACTCCAGCGCCAAGGTATATACCAGCCTCTTTGTCCGGCACTGGGACTCCTGGGTGAGCGAGAATCGCAATGCCATATTCTACGGCTCGCTCAAGAAGACCTCGGGCGCCTTCGCCCTCGAGTCCCCCGGCCTGACCAACGTCCTCGCCGGCACGCGGCTCCAGAGTCCCGTGCCACCCTTCGGTGGCACGGCCGACTTCGACATCAGCTCCTCGGGGATAGTGTTTGTGGCGCGCGACCCGGACCTTAACCCAGCCACGCACACCAAGAGCGACCTGTACTATGTACCCCTGTCCAGCTTCACGCAGTCCAAGCCTCCGGCTCCGCAGCTCATCAAGACAGGCAAGCTGCGCGGTTACAGCGGCGCGCCCGCGTTCAGCCACGATGGCAAGTCAGTCGCCTTCACACGCATGCGCGACATCCAGTACGAGAGCGACAAGACGCGGCTGCTGCTCGTGCCGGACGTCAAGGACCTGTCCAATGTGCAGGAGTTCTACGAGACGGCCGACGGGGAGGGCGGCTGGGACCGGAGGCCCGACAGCATCCTGTGGAGTTCCGACGACAAGGAACTCTACGTCGTGGCAGAGGACCTGGGCCGGTCGAAGCTGTTCCGGTTGGCTGCCAGCCCGCTGCTGGCGAAGGGGCTGCCCGAGGTCATCTCGGACGTCGAGGGCAGCATCGGCGACGTCAGGGCGTACCCCGGCGGCAAGGTGTTCGCCAGCGGCTCCAGCCTCACGGACAACTCGCTGTACACCGTGATAGACCCCTCGTCCAAGAGCACCAGCCTCGTCTCGTCAAACACCAAGCAGGGCCGGGCGTTCGGCTTGTCGCGGGCGCAGGTCGACGAGATCTGGTTCCCGGGCGCGGGCGACTACGACGTGCACGCGTGGGTGGTCAAGCCGTCCGACTTCGACCCGGCGAAGAAGTACCCGCTGGCGCTCCTCATCCATGGCGGCCCGCAGGGGATGTGGGCCGACAGCTGGTCGACGCGGTGGAACCCGGCCGTGTTCGCGGAGCAGGGCTACGTGTGCGTCATGCCGAACCCGACGGGGTCGACGGGCTACGGCATGGCGCTCGAGAACGGCATCCGCAACGAGTGGGGCGGCCGGCCGTACCAGGACCTGGTCCGCTGCTTCGACTACGTGGCCGACAAGCTGAGTGGCTATGTTGATGTTGATAACGCTGTGGCCGCTGGGGCGAGCTACGGTGGCTACATGATCAACTGGATCCAGGGCCAGCCGCTGGGCCGCAAGTTCAAGGCGCTCGCGTGCCACGACGGCGTCTTCAGCACCCTCAACCAGTACGCGAGCGAGGAGCTCTTCTTCCCCATACACGACTTTGGGGGCGAGCTGTGGAAGAACAGGGAGGGGTACGAGAAGTGGGATCCTGCGAAGTACGTGGACCAGTGGGCGACGCCGCAGTTGGTAAGTAGCCCCCCCCCCCCCGGGCTTAGTGACATACTGTAGGACTAGTGTATATAGGAGGAGACGGCGTACTGACCGGGCGCGACGCACCGTTTCTATAGATCATCCACAGCGAGCTCGACTACAGATTGCCAATAACCGAGGGATTGGCGGCGTTTAATGTGCTGCAGTCTCGGAACGTGCCCAGTAAGCTTCTCGTCTTTCCAGATGAGAACCATGTAAGTCACTCCGCTGCTTCAGAGCTCACTTGAACCGTCCCGACTGACGCTTTGGTAGTGGGTGTTGAAACCAGAGAATTCACTGGTTTGGCATAAGGAGGTCATTGGTTGGCTCAATAAGTACTCTGGAGTCAGTGACGGTAGCAAATGATACGAGGTTGTCACGGTGAGATTAAAGTGGTTCATGTTCAAGCCTTGGTGTCACGGTAGCCGCTGCAGTGGTCATCATAGAGTCAAATTGCAAACACTGTCACATGCCACCTGGAACAGAGAGCAATACAGAAGGCCTATAGCAAGCCACATGACACCATGTTCTCAGCTCCTGCAATTCCTGCTAACATGCTTCCCTCGATTGAAACCCTTCCAGACCCAACAACGCCAAACGTCAGCAACCTGAAACCTCTTGACCTAGACTCCAAGGAGCCAGATCCTCGTGCGCTTCGGACCTCCATGTGGGAAGACTTTTGACAACCTCTCGATCAGTCTGTGAGGGCCGGCAATGGGGTCGTCTTTAGAACATCCCTAACCTCCTCCCAAGTCACGTCTCGGTTCAAAGCAACGATTCGACCGCCGGCTCGACGAGCGGGCCGCTTTGCCTGGTGCACTTTCTTGGGCAGATTCTCCTTCAAGCACTCCTGTAACCAACGGGAGAGCTCTTGGTCCTCTACACCGTCGATGAAGCGCCAGATGAAAGGTCGCTGATCCTTTTTGTGCCTGTGTTCAGGGAACTCGCGCCGCATGGAATGGTAATGGTCTGCAAAGGCTCTCACTCTGGCTTCCGCCGGGGCTTGCTCACGTGTCAGCTTCTTTTCTTTGCGATTAGGGACTTCGCCATAAGCATTTATCTCCCCACTCCTCTCCATCTGATGCGTGTCGGGGTAGTGGGGTTTCTCAGATCCAAGCGTATTGTCCAGTCCCTGAGCTGGTAGATTTCGGCGAGAAGGCTCAGCAGCGTCATCAATGCGAGAACGCTTGACGCCTCGGAGGCGTGGCTGTTCGAGTGATCTGACTTGCTGGTGCGCACGATCGAGACTATAACCTCTGGGAGACGAAAAGCCGGTCTCTTCTTCGGCTTCTTGTCGAGGTAGGAGTTGCTGTCCATAAACGTCCTGGGGTTTCAGGTTTCGGAGTGGAGGTCGCTGCAGCTCTCCTTGCTTTGTGGCGAGTTGCCGTGAGACCAGGGAACGAGAATGCTCTCCTTGATGTTGGGCACGTGCGGCTTCTTGAACCATGGTCAGTGGGATCAGGCAGTCCAGCATATAAATTAAGCCAGCTCATACCGGCTATCATGATCAGAGACTCAATGTGGCGGAGCTCTGCAAAAATATCTGTGTTTTCCTCCAGCAGTTTCGTGTTGTCCGCCTCGATTTTCGAAATTCGAGCTGCTATTTTGTCGTATCGACATTGCTCGGAGTCGAAAGTGTCCTGCAGGCCTTTGATGTCTTCTTCGTGGCGCTTGACGGCAGCAGAATTATCGCTGGCTGGGCGGCCTTCTTGTATGGCGAGGCGGTGCTGGAGGTCGGCGATGGTGTCACGCAAGGAGCTGATCTCTTCGTCAAATCGCTTGGCCAGGCCGCTGTGCTTTTCCTGCTCCCGTGCCGTCAGAAGAAAATTAGAAACAGCTTCTGCCATGGCCGTGGGGCTGAACTGCGTCATTGCCGCATGAGAGGATGATATTGATACGGCCTGCCTGGCAAAGAAAGAGTATGGGAAGGGCAATACAGAAGGAGTCGGCAGCCCTGGCTGCACAAAGAAGGAAAAGCCCAGAGGTCCGTCTGAAGATGAGAAGATGAAGCCGCTAAGGATCGGTTCTTTATGTAGAAATTTGAGATTTCTGCGCAGTCCTTCGCCTTCCTCCATGCTTTGGAAGGTACGTCGGTGGACAGCTGGGAGCAGGTGCTCAGATGCGTACTTCCTCCTTCTATTCCTTCCTCCAAATGAATCCAGTCCGCTAGCCGCTACCTTGGACTACATGGCGACTTCCTCCGGGCCAGTCACAAATTGCTCGGGGGACCCGAGATCGTCTGATGCCGACAAAGAATGGCTTATGAGCTCGGAATTTCATCTCAATCCATGGGGTGCCAATTGTCTGGATCTCCCCAGCATTACTCACTAGGCCACACGCATTCGCGGTCTTCTCTTCCCCTCTTGTCTACTTAGGTAAATATGAATAGTGATGTTCAATTCATGGTTCACTGACTCCTTGCAGATGACATAAGAGCTGCCCAGCCATGCAATCGCTGTGGATGCCTTCCGTTCTTCCTCCTGCACAATTGAGGGTTGTGATGCATCACCCCCCCCCCCCCGCCGGGTCTGTCAAAAGAGCCTGGTACAAGATGACCGTTTCGATAGCATCAGAATCTCCGAAATGCGCACGAGGCCACTGCTCTAGCTATACATCGACCCCCCAGCACTCTTCACATCTCGCTATGTTGTCACCTGGGAGGTGTTGAGGTGGTGAGCTCCCGTACCCCACATCTTATGTCAGCAGCTCTAGAACGCACGGGCAATCTGAGGTACGTACCTGCATAACAAGGCCGTCCCCGCGCCGTCACCATCAAGGTTAAATCGGACCTCAACCGTCGACCTGCTACTTAAGCTTGGCTTCCTCCCTCCCGCTATTTAATAATCCCAACCCTCCCATTCTTTAAGGGTGGCAGCCCATCTCATAACAAGCCAGCTTTCGACTCTTTTCTCATTGACTTTTGCACCCTTCCCAATCTGACCACCAGACAGGATCATGACGTAGCTCGATAATCTGAGGCTGAGGTTGCCTGTCAACCTCACATCGCCCCCTCGATGCACATCACCCTTCCACCGCACCAGGTCATCAAAAGCCTGTCGCTTTCCTCTAAGCTCTCAAGGGATGCGCTGCTTAGTCTGAATCGATGGCTGTGAAATGAGGCAGCCAACCAGCAAGGCATCACGCCGACCTGGCTTGCCAGCGACCCCGCAACTTGACCGCCTACGCCGCTAGGGTCAGCTTCGTCCTGGGCAGGACGTTAAAAGGCCCCGCGAGTTGCTCAGCTACAAGTGGCTGGCAATCGGATGGTCCTGGGCAGGACTTGAAACTGCCCAACGGTGTCGTCCAGCAGCGACGTGCTGGCGACAGGGTTGTGGACGATGATCACGACGAAATGAAGGATCACTCCACCGGACACCATCTCCATGGAGTCATCATAGTGAGCACTCTAGACTCCTCCATCTTCTCCAGCTCAGCGACTGATGAGCAAATAGGATATGGCATCTAGACTCAGGCCTTTCAGGAATCCGGATACTGGAAGACCGTGTTCACGAAAAAAATAGGAGACGTACGTGAGATGTCATCAACGAAGACAGACTGTCACAGAGCATCTATTCGGCGTTTTCAACGAACCTTTTTTTTAGGACCTCAGTTTATCTCACGATGTGATAAGGATCCTGCGACATCTTGTGAGTCTCTGGCTTTTGTGTGTCTGCCCCTCTTTCCTTCCCTTTTCTGTGAAATGCCAGCTAACATTCTCGACAAGTGGATTCGATTTTGGACCGAACTTGTCCTGAGCAGGACACGAAAAGGCTCAATGACACCTATCGCAATTTGCGAGGTTGATGAAGCGCAAAACGGAAGGTAATGCTGCTCTATTCGCGCCTACTTTTTTTTTTACCACGGTAAAAGCGACACCCAAACCACGCGAGTTCAACACCACTCACATCGGTCGATCGTGTTGAGCTCGAGAGTGGACCCACTCGCTGGTCACTGCGTGTGGAGAAAGACCACTTTGATCCTCGACAACGCGTCACGTCACGGGCAGCCAGACATGTGTGGTTTTCCAAACGTCAAGTGGCAGTCCTCGCCTCATCATGGCACAGGTACGGCGTCTAGGCATCATATTTATTCGCGGGTGGCCTATAAATAGACAGCCTTTCGCGATGATGATCCAGTAGAACAACATTCGCGGCATGGACAAATGCAGTCGATGTCGCGTTGCGGTGGGATTCTGAAAACGATCTCAGAATACCTCGGCCGCGCGTTACCATCAAGCGGGATTCTTTCTGAAGGAGACAAGCGCGATATAAATGGGCACCCGCTGCCTGATGCTTTCAGCAAACATGCAGAAATGCTCCGGCGGGCCGCCATTTGGCTCCGAAGCCAGCATCTAGGACTAGGCCTAGGAGAATCCAGCCTTCCATTTTGCCAACATTCTCTCCGCTCCCCGCGGAGTGAGTGCCAACAGGAAGGAAAAACCAAACGCTTTGATTGGGAGTTGGAAGTGAACCAACGAGCAACAGCTGGTCGCGCCTCTGGGGGACAGTTGCGCTTCACGTCGCGCTGTTTCCAATTGCTCTCTACTGTGATCCCTGGTTGGAAGGGGGGAGGACTTTATTGTCAGCGTGTACTAGAGCTGGCAAGGGGGTTGACAACGGGGGACATCGGGTGTAGGATTTCGTCGATGGGTTGACGATAAGACGCTCAGACAAGTTAGATAGGCTCCTCAAATTCAAGCTCGACCTTGTCCCCCAAACTGCGTGCCAAGCAACTGCCGGTTAGATGGTGACCATGCTAACGTTACAAGCTTGAGCATCACTCGCAGCCAATCAAATTGCCTTGCTGTTCCCTTTCGGGCAACCCAGCCAAGCCCGTACAGCTGCGGTTCCTTTCACACAACGTTCAGCACCTGGGAAGTTCTTGGAAGATAAAATGAATTGAAATTATTTCCCTTGCGTCTTTTCCAAACGAAGGTTTACACAAACGAGTGTCTGTCTGCTAAGCGAGTAGGCAACTAAAAATATAAAGGAAAAATGGCCTCTCTTTCTGTGTCCAAGTACAATATTTTTGTTGTTGAAGGTGGTGGTATCACAAATCAAAACTCCATTGTTGTGGCCGTCAAGTTCCAACTCGCTCTTCGTCTTTTCCCTCCCTTTCAACGCCAGTGTCCATGCAAAATGTCGTTCGGTGTGCTATGCAGATAGATAGATGGTTGGATGCACACATAATGATGCGATGATGCAGTAGTGCCCCCTCCCCACCCCATTTGTTTTCTTTCTCTCTTTTCTCTTCACTTCTCTCAATTCTTACTAGGAAAATATTCCTCTTCTTGTTCAGGGAAATAAAAACGTGGAAGGATGAATTCACATCACAGCCAGGTAGCCCCCGTCCACCCAAACTCGCCGTCAACGTTGATCCACTCATTCCGGACAAAGGCCCTCTCGGCGCCCATCATGACGGCCAGCAGCCGGCAGCCCATGGCGCCGACGCCGCACACGACGCCGCCGCCCTCAGTCAAGTCCGCCAGCACCGCCAGGTCCATCATGTAGGCACGACCGACCAGGCTCCTGAGCCGGATGGTCTCGGCGCCGGCGGGTGGTGGCGGCGGGAGCCCTATGCTGCCAGCGGCGGCGGCGTTGTTGCCGGCCGCCGCCGCGGGCGACAGTCCCAGGTTCCAGAACATGGCCGCGAAGAAGCCACCTTCCCAGCCGAACGTCTCGTCTACAAACTTGTGCATGACCGACTTGTCCGGCCGCGAGCTCTGCGGCAGCTCCTCCTTGCCCGCGAGCCGGATCTGCTCCTGTGCGCGCGCGGCGCCGCGGAACTCGGGCGCATCGTAGACGAGCGGATCGTCGGACGCGAGGACCAGGAGGGACTTGGACCTCGCCGTGGAGGCGGTCCCACTGCCCAGCGTCGCATTCAGACGGCCGTGTGCGGCGTCAGCGTACGTGGCCAGCGGGATGTAGCTGTCGGCGTACTGGAACTCGAGTGGGTGGCGGTCGCCGTGACGTACGTGCACGCCGACGATCCTGCCATTGCGCGCTGCGCCCTCGGCCGCGGACGTCGTCTTGGCCCTCTGCTCGGCGATTCGGTTGACGACGTACTCGCGGTCGGCGCTGTTGAGCCGGAACAGGGCCTCGTAGCCGTCGCGTGCGAGGGAGAAAAGCTCGCGCTGCGCAGGGCGGTGGTCTAGGCTGGCGGCCACGCCTTCGGCGTAGGAGTCGCCGTCGGGGACGCGGGCGCCGAATATCTCGCGCGCGTTGGCCGACGAGACGACGAGGTGCCGTGCGTTACGCGGGCAGGGTATCATCTCGTGTCGGGGTGGGGGCCGACAGGCCGGCGCGGGAGGCATGTCGAATATGTTGGCGTACTCGCCGTACGCCCATCTGGCGTCCTCGATGAAGAATGCGCGGCCCTCCCGCTTGGCGAGGCCGTAGGCCATCCACAGTGACATAAGAGTCTTGCCCAGCCCGCCGTCGTCTGATTCCAGCACAAAAGTCAGGCTCAACGTGCACGCCGGCTTGTCGGCCAGAATGTTCTTGTCCACGCCTAGCAGGTCACCCTCGCGGCCCGACACCGTGCCCACCGCCCCAGGGAGGAATCCGTGCTTCTCTGCTTCCTTCACATCCATAAAATACCGATCGTTCCCAGCATCTCCTCGGTTGAAACTGATCTGGGCCTTCTCAACAGGGTTGTGCGTGTGCAGCGCGTGAACCCTCATGGCGACCTCCCTGCACTTGGCACAAACATCACTGTATTCCTTCGTCGTTAGGGGAAACTGGTAGTCAGATGGTATCGAGACTGTCCACTTTGCCCGTCCCCTCCGGTCGGTCACCACGATGGGCGTAGGGAAGTCCGGCAGGTCATCCTGCCCCACCATCTCGTAGGCCTCGTCCGAGGACTTGCCCCAGCCTATAGCAGGGACGACCTGGCCCTGGCGAATCGACTGGGTCGCCAGGTAGAGGATGAGGAGCATCCCGGAGAGCCATAGCAAGCACCGGACGACGCGGCTCGGGCGGGGCGTGCTGGACGATTTCCGCATCCGGGGAGCTTGTTGCGGCAGGGGCAGACCCGGCGAGGGTGGCGGGGAGTTGAAGATGAGGTGGTCGAAGCCGAACCGAGAGGAGGAAGAGGATAGCGGGCCCCTGTCGGAATGGTTGTAGGAGGCGGCGCGCCGCAGGTTGATGCGAGGCGGCGAGATGATCATCTTGTGTGAGCGCGGTGACGATGTATGCGTCACCTGTATTGTGGGCGGTGTCATCTCGTCGAAGGAGGAGTTCCCGCTGACTCCTGAAGCGGAGTCAAGGGACGCAGTGCCAGCTCGCCGTTATACAAGGGAAGAGGTGAGCTTAAGGCGGTGGCGAAATGGTGATCGTCTGGGTTGCAGTTCGCAGTTCCACCGCTCACTGCGCAACCCACCAAACAGAGTGTCCAAGAAGAGAAGCAGCAGAAGAGCAAGTGGAGAATAAAAAAATAGTAAAAGCCGCCCTAAGCCAAGGGCAGCGAGAATCGAAATGCGACCGCGGAGAGCGCGAGGACTCTCACAACTAAGCAGCCGTATGCTCATCAAAAGGCCGAGGAAAGGTAGGAGTCCATGGGCGGGTTCCTGAGTTGCTGTGATAACGATGGGCCAAAAAGAACAGCGTCCCTGAGTCAAGCTGATGGACCAGCCGATGAGAAGAGAAGACGGGTGTCATGTGCCAAGATTGCTGTCATCTGTTGATGAGCTCCACATGAGAAACCCACGGTCGTGGTAAAAGGATGGGTCGGGCGTTGGGCTGTCTCCTGAGTTGAAACAAAACGGCAGGAAATGGCGAGGGTGAATAGGAAGGGCAATATCCCGAGTTGAGCTGCCTTTCCCCTCGGCTGGAAACTTGGGAGAGGAGAGAGAAGAATCCCCAAGTTTAGCCAACCTGGTATGCTCGCTGACTTGAAAACATCAGGGACGAAGACGTAGACAGAGGGAGGGGCCTAGTGGGACTGCGATGGCAGCCTCGGAAGCGCGGACGAGGCGTGCAGTTTATTTCAGATCTTGTCCGGAAGGGCAGCCGTGGGAACGGGGATGGCGTGGGGCTTCTATTCGCTAGGTGCAGCCCACTTTTGCTCCTCAAATAGCGAGGCAGCCCCTCTCGATGACAACAAGCTTATACAGATCCAGCAGGTGGAAGTTTCGGATTGTTCAAAAGAGGGCCCCTGCAAGCCGGTCGAGCGCGCGAGTGAGTCGAGCAGAGCGTTGGAAATAGCCAGGGGGGTGGGGGGTGACAGCCAGATATTCTTCCTATTCGAGAAGCCTGTGGCCCAAAAAAACCTGGGGACAGACGCACGCACGAGAGGCGCGCATAAAGCAGAAGCTGTCATGCCACTCCCTCGGCAGCCCCTCTTGGCGGCGATCCCGTCAAGCAAGACAGGGGAGGACCCAGGGCGTCGGTGTGATGGCGTCCTTGAGATGATCTTCACATAGACAACTCCGCCGCGTCAGCCGGGGGGGGGGGCTCTTTCTGAGCTGGCTGGCTGGCTAGGTAGGTTAGACATGCTGGGCATGCTTAATAGATAAATATGGATGGTTGTGAGGTGAACGGGTGGTGTCAGTGTTTCACTGTTTCACTGCGTTTGCGAGCAGCTGTTTGCTGGTCCCAACGATGACGGCGTCCAATCAGGAGGGGAAGGGCGACTGGTGCGGCACCAAGGGAAGGCTCGAGCCGTGTTAGCAGGCTGGCACCTGGCTATTGCGATGACAATCAGTGACAGTGACAGTGACAGTGACAATGACGGGTGGGCGGATGGCATTGACAGCTTCTGGCAGAGGGCTAGGGGTTTCATCCTGCAGCCTGTCTGGCCGTGCTGGCCTGTGAAGGAAGAAACAAACCGAGGGGCAGAGCAGGTGATCGGCTCTCAGCTCGCTGCATCCAAGCATTCCAAGCCACCGATCGTCATTGCCTGATGAATATCACCGAGCCAGCTGCCAGGGCTGCTCAGTCAGTCGTGCCAGTCAACTTGATTAGACTCTGCCCGACGCCCGACCAACCAACCAACAGGCTGAAGTAACATCACAATACACAAGTAGTGTCACTTGACCAGACAGACGGCCAGATGAACCAACGGGGGCAGGACGACGCAATTAGGAGCTGCTAGGTGGGGCGAGGGACAGAGTGACAGAACGACTAGTCTCCTCAATCTGCCACACACTCTCTCTCTCGCTCTCTCTTCCTCTCTCTCGTCCGCCACCCCGCGCGCCCCGCGATTGGCCCCCAACACCCACCGGTCTTGTCGATCCGTGAAGAAAGGCATAAGTCCCTCCGAGCTCGTCTCCTCAACTATACAGCGCCAGGCTGGCCATACCACTCGAAGAAACCTTCTCCTCAACCGGAACTCCAACTAGGAACAGGCGCATTCTGTCTCTCCCCTCCTCTCTGACATGGACATTTGACATGGACATCATCGTCATCGTCAGCGGCCGAGCCGCAAATGCAGAGGAAGGGTCCCAATCTCCCTAGACCCCTGAACCATGTCACATCTGAAACACCTCGACACCCAGGGCGACGACGCGACCAATCACAGAAACTCGAGCACCGCACCCAAGAATGCCCAAGATGGACGTCAACTCCTACAGGGTCCTTGCTCCGCACCCAACTCTCGCGCCTTGCCCCTTTCTGTCTACGGAATTTACCCTCGTTCGCGCTACGCTCTTATGCCTTCCCTCTCCTTCCCTCCCCGTCGACCCCAAAAATCTCCTAGAGCCATCTCTTCAATCTTGTTCGGAAGATGGCCATGTGTCATGTCAGCGCTTGTGATTCCCGTTGGGACAAGGCGCAGCGTAGGATGGCCCGGCAGTGGATTACACGGATGAATACCGAGGCAGGATTCCTCACCGTGATATCTGCCTGTCCTGTGTCCCCGTAACACGACTGTGGCTGCCACTGCGACACTCGTGTCATCCTGCCATGTTCAGTCCTCTGGATAAAGTGTTTGCTATCAATTGTGTTTGTGCTTGTGTATGTGTATATGTGTATATGTGTATATATATGTGTGTGTGTACACATATACATCTGACAAACAACACCTTATGCGTGACGACGATGGGATGACGAGTCAAAAATACAACAAACCGTCCAATATCGCCGCGAGACCACCCATGCCACACTCACATATGCTCACATTCCATCTTCATGCGAGAGTCATCCTAGCTCAGCCTAATCTAGACCTATGCGACTCCAATTTAGCAGGACCGCAGAGACAGACCTCACGGCAATCTAATAGATGAAAGTAGACTGCCACGTCGAGGCATCTCGCGGCCGCAGATAGATTAGGGGAAATTGACGCAGAGCAATCCATACACCAACCTCCAGTCTGCATGTTCTACCATGTCCTATCCTACTCACTCGCTCGCTCGGTCACTCGGCCGTACATACCGCGTCGTCGTAACCGTAACCGCAGCCTATCAAAGTCACGACACGATGGACCTGCTCGTCGACCAACTTGGCAACCTGCCTTTCTCGTAGCCGGCAACTGTTGCAGCCAACTCTCACCGTAATACACACACATAGACACAAACACACATAGGTGCATAGGTGGCACACCTATCTGCGCCGGTCGTGGGCCGTGCGGGAGATATATCAAAACACCCGCTCAGCCGCCGGCGCAGAACCTCGAACGGCCTAGGTAGCTTGACACACACAACACCGCACACCGCGAGGGGATCAATCGCACGGCTCACAGAGACCGCCTCGTGAGAATCCTGCTTGCTCAAGAAAACTCCCAAAGCCTGTTCGATGTCGTCCGATGTTTTGTCCTCGCCCGCAAGAAATCAACAGAGTTCGGGATGCCTGGCGTCCAAACAAGTACCATGCCTCGCCCCCTCCTCCAGATGGCCCCAAAGGGGAGCCAAACCCGCCGCCGTCCGAGGCCCTGGGTCCAAGCTGTTTGTTTGCATGTCACAGATGTCCGTCCGTCGAGGGCGGACATCGCCACCGCGAGGGGCGTGGTGTTGATCGGGTGGATAATCAAAGTGGACTTGTCACACTTTCACTTTCCTCCTCCCCAACACACACTCATACGCACAGCAAGCAAGTTATTCGTGTAGCACGAGATGATAATAGCCCTCTCAATCAATTCATCGTTTCCCCTCGTCGTTCATCGACAGCTATGTCCGACCTTAGGTATACAGTTTAAAAAATAAGGAAAAGAGAGGAGCAAAAAAGAGGCGCTGGCTCAAAGAACCTCAATCGTTAAAACTAGCCGGGCTCGTAATCGAGAGAGCACCAACTAGCCTTGAGCCTTCCGGTCTTTTTTGGTTCTTCGTCCTCCCCGGTAACGGACGGTTCCATTTCCCTTTCATTCCCTTCCTTTGCACTAGAGATATCAATAATATCGTTCCCGCAAACACAAAAGCCCATTCAATATCGCTCTTCTTCGTGGCCATTGGCATTCCCGCCACGTTGACCACTCTCCTAACCACTCACGCGCGCGCGCGCACACACACACACACACACACTAGTCGGACGCATACCATTTTCCGTTGCGCAGAACCCAACATTAACCGTGCCTCAAAAATTTCGGGTATAATGAGAAGGAGAAAGCAAAGAAAAATATGCATGAAAAAAATAATACCAAGACAGTTGGCCACGAAATGGGGCAGACTATCAGTCCCTCGCCAGTCCGAATCAACACCCATCCCAGTGGTTCCAAAAAAAAAGTTTCAAGAAGCAAATCGCCATGCTGACTTCACAGGCTCATGACTCTTCATCCTCATCAATGCCAACTCCCGGCAGTGAAAAATAGAGACACTCTCGGCTTGATGCGCCTCTATGCGGCGGCGGACGATCGCAACGTGGCCCCGCCTTTTGGGTTTCCAAGCAACTGTCGCAAATTAAGAATGTTCTAAACCTCGAGCACGACTGAAGGCCGGTGGCTGCTCTCGCTGCTCTGCCGGAGGGGCTCAAGGCGGTCGACCAGGGGCTTCTCTCTCTCTGCTGGGGCCACGACGCGGACGCTACCCCGGGTGCTCTTGACGATGTGGCCCGTCTCGACTCGGTCCTGTATCATCTCGTCCAGAATGCGACTCATCTCGTCTACGCTTCGCCGGTCCTTGGGTGAGGATCTGACGCTGCTGTGCCGAAACAGCGGGCGTTGGGGGCTCGTTGGCGAGGTAGGGTTGGAGCGCGGCCCGTTCTCCAGCATCATCAGTTGAGAAGCGCGGGTCTCAATGCTTCGGTCAGCAATCTCCCCTCTCCTAGCCGCACTCCGCAGGGCAATGAGCATTCGGTCCTTGTCTTCCAGCTGAGCACGCAGTTCGGCTATCTCAGCGTCCCTCTCCTTCAGAGCTGTCGACACGCTGTGGTCCTCGCCAACCATGATTCCCTTGCTGCCGGAAGATAGGCCACCTGACGTACGCGATGAGCTTGCCCTCCGGGCCTGGAGCAGGCGCTTCTCCAGAGTCGCGATGTATCGGTTTTTGTCCATAAGGTCGGCCTGCAATGCCCGGTTCTGGGCCGACAAGGATGCGATGCCGTCGCCGAACTCGCCGACACTATCGTCCTCATCCCCTGCAGATCTGCCGCTGTTTGATGTTCGGTGGTCCATGCTGGGTCTCCGCCCGATCGTGGACGAAGACGAAGTCAAAGACGCCGAACGCTCAAGCATGGGCCTACCTACTTGGGATGGTGTCATGGACGACCGCGAGGACCTCATGGACGCCTGCGAAAACCGTGGATGTGAACCAAGAGAGCTCCAAGTTCCGCTGGCGTTGACACCTATCGATTTGGAGCTCAGGATCAATCGGTTGAGGTGATCTATGCGCTCTTTGAGCGCCGTTCGAGCAAGCTGCATCTCCAGCATCTGCTCCTCGTGCCGTGCTTCTGCCTCCTTCTCTCGCGCCAGCTCCTCCTTGGCGTCCTTGACCTTCTCCGCGCTGTCCTCGTTCTTGTCTTTCTTGGCCTGTGATTCCAGCTGCGCCCTTAGCTCCGTGATTTCCATTCGGTATCGTTCGAGCAGCACTCTCGCGCCACCCTCACCGCCAGCACCCAATGCCTCCTCAGCACGCTTCGCATGACTGACTAGGTTGTTCTTCGCCCGCGACGCAAACTTCAGCGTGTTGAGTGTCTCGGTTGTGTGGCTGTTGGCGGATGCGGCACTTCCTGTCGACCCTATTTGGATTGTGCAGAGGATACTAACAAGCGAGTTGCCTGACAGCGCACCTTGGAGCAGCCTGGTCAACTTGCTGTCTCGGTAGGGCAAGTGCTTGCCGTCCTTGTCCGATTTGCCGTCCTTGTGTTCCGAGAGCTTGGACACAACAGTTCCCAGAGTCAACAAGCTCTTGTTGATGTGTGAACCTTCCTGCCGCCGCTCCTTGCTCTCGGCAGCCTTTTCTGATCCTGCAAGATCAATCAAGCTCAAAGTCGAGACCCGCACACCGCCGGGCAAAAGACCAGATCGTTTGTTCTCGGCCGTTGCTGCAGGCCCTCCAGGTACGCGCTCTCTGCTCTCAACGACGATTTGCACTACCGCGTGACTTCGAGAACTCCGGGAATTGAACTGCGTGCTTGCTGTTCGTCGCGCTTGATCGCCCCGGGCGATTACTCTCAGAAGTTGTGTCGGACTTTGCACGATTTCCTCCTTCAGCGGAGTCGCATAGACACCTCGCTTACTGTCCTCCCGCAACTTGATTTCCTCCTGGGCCACCGGACCACCGACAGTCGCACCGGTCGGCATGCCAAGAAGATCATGGATCCTCTCGTTGTAGATCTCTAGATAGCTGACTCGAAGCAAGAATTCCCGGGAAGGCGTTTCGCGGATGTACGAGAAGATATCGGTGATTGCCAGAGGGATCACACCAGGCGACGAAGCAGTTCCTTGCATTGAGAATGTTTTTCCCGTTCCTGTCATTCCATAAGCGAAGACTGTCCCGTGGTAGCCTTCCATGACTCGTCGGACGAGCCGTTTCGCGAGGTGATCGTAGACTCGGTAGTTGTCATCATGCGTCGTGAAAACGTTGTCTGGGAAGGTTAGCGATGTAAAACACCCTCCTGATGTCCTCCGCTGACGTACCATAGTAATAGTCACCCCCTTCCTTGCCCTGATATCCGATCAGAGACTTCCGTCCATCGACCATCCACTCTCCATCAGGTCTATGGTCTTGACCTCCAGCGTCCGGCCGCACCCTTACGCTGACAATCACATTGCCTTTGGTGTCCCCTTTCGACTGTTGTTTACTGGAAGCGTCTGCGCCCGACTTTGCTCCTGAGGCGTCAATTGGGTCGTCATAGGTTGTTGCCGACGTCGAGTAGGAATCTTGTGCCGAGGAGCTCCGGCTTTGCGGAGGCGATGATACGCTTATCAGACCGTCAGAGAATCGTGCACTCGCCCTTGTCACAGATTTTCCTTCGCCGGAACCGTTCAGCAGACTCGGTGTTCCATTCGAGGTTGAGGTTGTCGCAGTGACTGTTTTTGACCTTCGGCCGCCTGACAAGGGGCTTGGTGGAACACTGCTCATACGAGTGTCTCCACGAGGCGGCTGAGGAAACGAGTTGATGCTAACTGTTTTCCGCAGGGCCTTGGTCCCTTGTATGGCAGCGGACACTGAGCGTGGTTGCGGCAACGCAGTCGTAGGAGCTGGTGTAGCTGGCGGTGGGAGTTGGGTGGAAGAAGGAGCTCGTAACCCACTCTTGGGTGTGGTCATTAATGATCTGGCTGGGGTGGACGGTTGCTGGAGACCTGATGACTTCCGCGTTTTGGCGACAGGTAGCGCCGGAAGGGCCATATTCGGCGGCGCATGGGGATTCCGCTGTGGTTTGGGAAGTGCGGTCGTCATCCTGAGTTTGGAACGCTACCCAACGGTAGCTTCGTGCCGATTTCGTCCCCCTCGACGGCAAACGACAGTTGGAGCACGAGTATGCTAGGGACAGGTTCAGGAAGACTATGTGGTCGACCAGTTGTTGGTTGTCCTAAGAAAGGGCTGTTGTAGTTGCCCAAGGAACGACCAGAGCCCGTCCATTAACTGGCATCCGAGATCTCGGGTGGCGGAGCGAACACAGTTCAGGGTGATGTAGTATCCAATTGCACCATGGACTCCCTGATCGTCTTCGTCCAAGGAACTTCGATGTGGTGCCAGGGATCCGCCCAAAAAAAAAACAAGCTAGGCGGAGGGGCCAGAACCCGGCTTATCAAGGAAGAGGAAGTGAAACGGCTTCATGCAACAGCCACAAGCCGACCTCTTCAAGTACCCAGGAGGAGCACTGGGGTAGCTGGCTAGCTAAGGGTTGTCAGCGACTGGACACTCAGAAACAGATATTCACATGGGGATGCTGCATGGGAGGAGCACTGCCTGAAAAAACAGCCCTGTCGTACTAGTAGACAGCATGTGAAATGGTCGTAGCCCAAACGCAGTATAACCTGGGGCTGGTTCGAAGAGCAATTAAGGGCAAGTGAGACCAGAGCGATGTAGGGGTGTTATATCAAATCCGCAACATCTGAGGCTACCTGCACACGGCAGGCTGGTGCCCAAGTGAAAGGGATTCTTTGTGCGCGACAGCTTGAAGAAGGAAAGGTCTTGGAGTCTCCCGAGATCATAGCCTTGCATACCTTTTCGACCTCGTCTCAGATTCCTACGCACGAAGTCGTCCTCCGTCCTCCCTGTGCAGATGTGTATGGTTCAGAGGAAACGATCGGTTTGCGACAGGGCAGACGAGCCCGGATCTAGGACAGGAATGGCACGCCTGCTGTAGCGGGATCTCGCGGCTCGTTTGTCGATCGAGAGGTCGCAGTGGCCTCGCAATGGGAACGCGGTGACGAGCAAAAGTAAGGAGGTCTCGCGGTGAGTGGAAAGTGGGTTTGGTCAAGGCGGCCGAGCGTGGAGCCGAAGCGTGCAATCGCAAGCACGGGCTGGAGTGACAAATTGAACAGAGCAGTCACACTCTCGGGATTTGAGATTTTGCAAGACGAGACGAGCGGGGAGGAGGAAGTCGAGATCAGTCGGGATTTCGAAAAGATGGGACGCAGTGGGCAGTGGGCAGCGAGTGGGTGGCAGTTGTCGTGTCGTGTTCGTGGTCGACCGTTTTGGGGGGGATTCTGGTACCGGTCTTGGGGCCAACGGTAACTAGCAGTGACTGGTACTGTGGACTGGCAGAACGGGAGAACGGGAGAGCTCGAGGGGCAGGGAAGAGGGCTGCTGGACACGGGACGGAAGCAGCCACCAGCGACCAGAACGGATTGGGGGTGCAGCCTGTGGTTCGTGCTCTGCTTCTTCCTCCACGAAATAGTCTAAATGGGAGCCAATGTTGGATAGACTTTTGGATCTCGGGTCCAAGTCGAGGACGTGTGAGGTGTAGGAAGGTGCTGAGCAGCAGCCAAGATGGGCTGGATGGACGGCACAAAGACGCGAAGGGGACGCAGGAAATTGGGCCTGGAGAGACGAGGCCTATGGGGCGGCGGCTGCAGGGTGGGGACCGATGGGCGACCGCCGTCCGGGGTTGCTGATAAGTGCCAGGACGATCTGCACGCAGACTGGACAGTGCTATTACTGCCAATATAACAATCGAGTGATGAATGAATCGATTCGCACAGCACAATTCGACACAACTTCACAAGGCGCAGGGGGGCGAGCACACCAATCGAGACCCAAGGGGCTGGAGGCTTGCAACGCACGCATCGACACGCAACGCAACGCAACGCAACGCAACACACACTAAACACCACATACGCACTCACATATACAACCCAAGCAAAAAAAGGCTCTCTCTGTGTCGGTGGGCGAACAAGCCACGCTCGGGTGCTCAGACTCGACGGAAATGGAGACGACAATAAAATCAAAACCACACATGCTTGAAGGCGGTGCGCAAGGCGGCGCAGGAGGCGTGGGGCGTTCAGTCTACAAGATGACCTAACGTGACAATCAACGTCTGTGTGTCTGTCCGTCATTCCGCCTGTCTGTTCTCTGTTCTCTGTTCTTGGTGCTGTGTGCCATGAGTGCCCTGTGCTCAGTGTGCCTCTTGCTCCACCTTCTCTCCCCCCCTTGATCTCTCTCTCTCTCTCTCTCTCTCTTCTTCTATCTTGCTCATCAGATGACAGAAGGGGCAGTGATGGGACCGATTTAATAATACTGACAGATCGACCATCCGTTTTCGTCCCTCGCGCGTAGCATCTGGTCACGATCCAGTCATCAATCGGTCAGTCGGTCGGGCAGATCGTGAAGGATTGACTTCTCATGTGTGGAGCCAAGGCCTACGAACCATTGCCGTTTTCGCAAGCAGCAATTTGACTTGACCCTGGCCAAGCAGGGCTGCCAGGGCCAACCTTCTTCTCTTCCCATAGGGGTCCCTGACTTGTTGCTGCACGATCCCTGTCCAGCGTCACAGCGGGGAGCCTGTCTTGATAACTGCCTATCGATGACTCTCCGCTCAGGGTAAGGCCTGCTCTCTGGGCCAGTTGCTTGCCCCGTCTGAGGAATCAACCTGGGATTTGTGCTACCTGCATGTACATGCTCGTGTACTATCAAATGTGTGCAGCACAGTATATGCACCCTGCACAATATTGCAGGACACTTTGACCACGCAGCCCACCGTCGGCTTGCTTCTTTCCAAGGTTCCCCAGATCGACCAAAGTCTGGTCTGATCTTTTTTCGGGGAGGTAATGTGCTGTAGGGAAACACATACAGGAGGCTATTGCTTCTTGTCCCGTACGTCCCAAGCCCGTCCGCCTGCCCTTCTGTCCTTCTGCCCACGTCTAGGCCATTATTGACGCAAGGGGACCGAAATCTGTACCACACTTTCACACTCAGCCCATCGCCGTTGGGCTCTGGATGATGGCCGGGGAATCGAGGATGTAACCCTCCCTTTGGACGCAACACCCATCCGTGACCCGAGTTGGGTGCACAGGATCCATGGGCCGTCTCCATCGGGGATGGCGCGCCAGCCTGTACCACAGCCCGTACCACGGTTAGTACCACAGACCTGCCCGGCTGTGTAGCACCCAAAGCATGTGCCCATCCCACCCTGCCCGTCTGATTGCCAGCTTGGTGCTACGCAGTTCCTCTGCTCGATCAATCAGACCCCCATTCTCTCATCTTGTTCCTGGCCACCTGCCCGACATGCAGCAAAGTTAAGCTGTCGAGTCCAACGCTGCTGCATATTCTAGCTGTCTGCCACGGCAGAGGCCTGCGGGAATGAGGCGAGGTCCAACCCGAGGCTCATTTCAGCCCTTACCCCTCGACGTCGTATCCTCAATATCCTTTCGCTCGGCGTCACGACTGCAACGTCTTCCACTCCTCGTCCTCAACGGCATGGCACACACACTCACACACACAGCTTTGACGGCTGTCGCAGGCCATGGCAGTCACAGGCTCGTCATGTCGACTATGCCTCTGGCGCCAATCCCGCAAGCTTTCTCCACCAGCTGTCATCGCCCAGCCTGACCCCAGGATCACAGGCCTTCCTGTGGTCAGCACGGGGTATTCCGTACCGCTGTCAATGAGATGAAAGCTTGCCGGATTGACAGATGAGACACAAAAGAGGAAAGTTTTCCGTCTCACAATTGTTGTTGACACGACACGGATGCACTCGCCGTAATTTCCGCAGGGTGCCACTGAACGGTGATCTGCGAGCGAGGCCCTCAGCAGCCCAATACGGCAATCTATACCCGTTGCCAAACGTACCACGCAGTACTGTCCTGATTCTTCAGAACTATCCGGCCAAGGGTCTCCCGCACGACCGTGATAAATTTGGCATCCATGAAGTGGCGCAAGAGCATCAACAGAATCTCGGTGTTATCCTACAGAGTTTTGCTGGGAAATGACAGCGTTGATGCAGCATGCCTGTGTTGCCCTTGCAACTACTCCCTATCCCTATTCCGAGTCTATAAGATGTCACTGTAAGACGTCACCTCAATATAAGGGGTGTTGGCATTATTGACTGCTGCAGTTGTCTTCACCAGAGCTATAGGGGATTGGCAAAGCGCAAGCCCCGGGCTCGGGTCAGGAGTAACAGCATCTCGGCCCTCGAATTTTTCTTTCTTTTTCTCACACGGCTGTGGTTTCGTCACGGAGGCTGAAAAATCTGCGCCGCAGATATCCTTGCCAGAGCACATGTTCAGAGCAACGAAACGAAACCGCCTCGTCTGGTTCCTCGTTGCCGCTGCGTGGGAACATCCTCTCCCGACGCATCCGTCCTGCATACTCAAGCACATACGTACATGGTTGAGATGAGATGATTGATGATTGACAGATCCGCCCCTCGGTCTGAGCACCTGCTGCATACCCTCGGTCGCACTCGTCCACCCGACATTTCTGCAGGTCGCTGACTCTCGTGCCGAGGAAGATCTGTGACGTTTCGGCTCTCTGCAGATTGGCGAATCAAGACCGCACGTGTGATGGGCTATCACAAGACTTACATCGAGGGCCGAAACATGTTGGCATCAAAGAGACGGCGCCCAAGCGAAAGGACCGTTCCGCGCGAGAGTGAGCGAGACTTTTTGGAGCATGGAGTCCGCGACCCTGAATACCGGGCGAACCTGGCTCACGTTCGGCATGGCAAGCTGCTGAGCGGGCTTCCTGAAACGGAAGTCAAGATGCTGGTTCCCTGCCACAGCAACCTGTCCTCATAGGATCGTCTTTCGGACTGTATGCGTCTGACAATTGTTTCCCATGGTTGGATAGGAATTTTTCGTCCGCACTTTCGCACGTTCGTTTGATTCTAGAATATAGTTCTTACCAAATTCGACTTGGTATTAGCAGCCAGCCTCTCGTCATAAATGTCAACCCTGGATGGGCGGCGAGGGGGATCTCAGCCAGGCCGTGAACCAAGAAACAGCTGAGGACTGTCAGAGCGTCCACAGACGGTTTCGAATGCATGCGGTGATCATTCTCAACGCCGCAATGATTGCTCCTTTGGCTGACAAGCTTTCAGAAATATCATCTGTCGACATTCACTGCCCAATACACCCTACCATCGCGATACCTCAACACCATGACGACTCATACGCCATATTCTTCACTTCTGTATGGTTGGTGTGTGGATAGGCCAGGATCTGGCATACACTTCTGCCACACCCACGGGCTGATCATATTACTGTTCTTCGGCATAATATCTCGCAGCATCGTCTTGTCAGCAGCACGATAGCAAACTTTTGCCCGCCATTTTGCCCTCATTGCAGGTAGCAGCCACCGACTGGCTGAGGGGATCAAGCGCTTTGACCTCGGCAGCTTGCAAGGCTACCCCAGAGCCTTACAACCAAGCTTCGGCTGTTCTGTAACCCGGCTCCTGCAACAGAGGAGCTGCCTCCTCACAATTCAATTCGATTTGGGCAAGGTGATCCTGTCTGAGAATCCTACTTGTTCCAGTGGCTGCTCTCTCGGACCTTGTTCACCGCCTGCTGCGCAGCGAAGCTGTCGAGAGTGATGATGCAGTGCCCACTAAGGCGCAATTCTGCGTCTCGCGCCAGCTCTGCAGGAGCTAGTGCTTCAAGATATGCGAGGCAGGGCCGATTCGGGGAAACAAGCCTCCTTAGGCTCGGCTTGGGGTCCAGCAACATATCAACAACACGCTGATGACCATTGCGCTGCGGATGACAAGAGAAGTAGTGCAACGGTGAAAGTTCGGTTTCTAGAACGGCGCATACTGCGCGACATCGTGGGAACGCCGTCCAGCCATATGCATGGTCGATCACGGAGAAGGCCTTCTTTTTTCCTTTTGACAAGTGTCAAAGAGCTGAACACCTCGTGCTGGACCTGCAAACTGTTCGCCTCACAGGTGTATCCGTGTAACGCAGTGAGCGGTGTTGCCGAGGAAATCCAATGCACGGAATTTGCCTCGTTCATCCAAAACGGTTGCAATATCACAACTCTGATATAAGACTTGTGCGGCAGCGAGATCCGATGGGACAATGATGGTTCGCGTTCTGTACGATTAGCTTCCTCTCACACATGGTTACCAAAAGGATTTCGAGACACGCGGGTCTCTTGGCGTGGCTGTCACGATCATCCTTCCACAGTGCTCAAACTCATACAATGAAGAGAGACCATTCACTGGCAAAATCTAAACATGACAAAAAAAAACTTCAGTGCGCCCTAAGTAGTGACGTCGAACTCAGCAGTCCCCGCTCACGCTTGAACACGTTTCGATAGTCAAGGCCATTCCGTCGCCCCTGCCGCCGCCGTGGCGCTCATCCTATTTTCTTGTTCATACTGGATCTCAGGTGGCGCTCGATAGGGTGTACGGATGTCAGCACTTCCAGACGACGGCGCAGTGAGCTAGACAAGTTGGCACCCGTCAAAAACGGGGTGCTGGGTTTTAGGATGGCCTGGTTGGGGGCGTGAATCCCCACACGCCGCTTCCGAGCCGCCGGCGGCATGACGGGACCGGGTTGATCCAAGATAAACACAACGGCCTGCATAGACTCTCGGGGAGGTCATAGCTCTGCAGGTAGCCGGGCACTCTTGCACTAGCCTCTCAGCGCTCTCCTAGCCCTCTAGGATGGTGGTGGGATGGAGAGGGGCGGCGGATCCCCAAGAACAGACAAGCGCATTGAGCGCGGTGATATCGTCAGACGACACAGCTGAGTCGAGCAGGTCACTGCTGTACGTGAAACACAGGATGGTGGACCTCGGAAATGGGTACCGTGGCTCCGGGCCTGCTGGTTCGGACGGTGATCATATTGCCTAGAATGGGGCCCGGCTATAACGTCGCAATCACATCCGAACGCGAGCGGGGCCGGAGAGAACACGCCGGGCATGGGCATCGGGATGCATTATGTCCCCGCCCGTGGTATCTATTCTGCTTCCTTCACAGCAGCCTAACCCCTCTACCCACGCTTCCCGTTTCAAACACCTCCACAAGTCCGGCGCCAACAGCCTCATGCAGTATCCAGTCAAAGGCCATGCCATGGAAGTCTCGCCATTTCCTCGTCTTCGCTGGCAACACCCCAGCAAATTCCCGCCTTTCCCTCTTACACGCATGTTGTTTCGACTCCTGCTTAGCCACACCTCCGTCCCACCTCTCCCTCAGCAGCGTCTCCGGCATCTCTCTATAGGCCGACTTGGTCAGGATTGCTGTCAGCTGCGATAATGCCGCGGACACGAGCTTCAGGTATGGACCCTGCCCGGGCACCGCAAGCGAGAGGTCAACACCAGGGCTGCCCTGATATGTACTACTGCCCCCAGAACGGGCACCGCTGCCCCCCGATGCATGAACAGCACCGCTGCCCCCCACCGCCTCCATGGACCCGGCAGCGGCGCGCGACACGGCGGCAAGACTGATGTTGGTGCCCCGGTCTTCCGGCCGTGCAAACAAAGACGTGACGCTGCCCACGTCGCGGTCATGAGACGTCGTCAGGAATCCCGCCCTCACAAGCTGGTCGACATGACCCGGCTCCAGTCCGCCATCGCCAGCGCAGGCCTTGAGCTTGGCCGGGTTGTCCCTTAGCCAGCGGCAGAAGGCCCCCTTGGCCTCCTCGTCCAGCACGCCCGACGACTCAACGAGCCGCTCCAGGTCCGCACTGGCGACCAGGTACTCGCCGACGCCGCCGTCGCGGCCGCGGCGGAGCACGACGACCTTGCGCACGGCGCCGGCGCGCACCAGCTCGGCCGCCTCGCGGTCCACGGCCGTGGGGCTGCGCAGCAGCGCCTGCAGGTGCGCGACGGTCGTCACGGGCGGCAGCGCTCGCCGGGCGTTCAGCACCTCGGCCACGCGCGAGGAGCTCAGGCCTAACGATGATGGCTGGTCCGGCATCGGGGTGAACATGTGCTCGCGCGAGTAGCGCATCGCCTGGGGCACGTCGCGCAGCGTCAGGTCTGTGGCGAGGGCGTGCACGAGGCCGGTGTCGTCCAGCCTGTCGTGGAAGAAGTCTTCCTCGTCATCGCCCTGCTGTTTTGAGGGCCTGGGCCTGGGGGGCCCGGGTTTCGTCCGCGGGAGTGAGTCGCTCCATGACGAGGACGAGGGCGATGATCTGCTGCTGGTGGCGGCGGTGCCGTTACCGCTGCTTGTCCGCTTGGGTGCGGCTGGCTTCTTGCGTACGCGGTTCGGGTTCTTGAGTATAGACTTCAGCCGGCTGCTCATAATGTTTGTTGAGACTCTGCGACCACCGGATGTTGATGGAAAAGACAGAGTCTCCCAAGGTTGATGAAAATGAGAGTGAGGTCAGGTTGATGGTACAGGACCGCTCTCCCGAAGTGTAAGGGTGGTCAGCCTCACAGCAGCGCCAAAACGTAAGCGGTTAGGTGCCCCCAACGCCTGTGATTCGCTGTGCCGCTGCTGGACACTTGCCACCTGCAGCCACTAATTCGAATTGGCACGTAAGCGTCTGTCAATCCTACGCCCTGCGGTAATGCTGCAGGTCTGCTCTATCGCCAGCGAAGTTGCGAAAACACATCCTTCCTTGATCTGTTCTTTCATACTGGTCTTGTACAACCTCCAGCAGAGTTTTTCCAATGGACTTTCCGAATGATGGTACAACTTACAGTTATCATGTTTATTTCATATAGTTCGGAAAATTAATATTATTATAACTCTATACCGTATCTAATTATACATCACGGACATAGCATAAATATTCCGTTTCTGCCAATCTTAGGATATTTGGTCTCCTTATGGATCATCCTGATTTCAAATGACTAATACGCATGATGTATTGACGGCGGTGAATAGACCTCCAGTACCGTTTGGTGTCCTCCTGCAGAGGACTTTGTTTATGGAAGACTGTGGTCGCAGAGAAAGCCAACATCAATTACGTACGCCTCCTTGACTTCTGAGGCACTGCTTGTACGGTAGACAGCTTGAACAGCTCCGCGTTTGCACAGAAGAAAAAAAGCAACGGAAGCCAGCGAATAGTCGATACTTCTATGTTAAACCCAAGGCGACTTAAAGCCACAGCACCATCGCCCCTTTGGCTGTGCGACGATCTATACTGTGTGTTTGTGTCGATGCATCCAAAACTAATATTCATGATATTACATTCCTGATGGGCCTGATCACTCCTCTGGAATAAAGCTCACTAGCCGTGCCGATAGTATAGTAATTTGCATAGGGGGGGGGGGGGCTTCGTTGTTGATATTTGATTTCCTCATCAGTCCATCCCAGCCGTCTTGACCCAGGCCAGTCCAACTCCTCTGGATTCAGCTTATAATGGGCGATTTCTTGAGATGCTTCGATCACATTGCTTGAAATATCTCCTCGAAATTCAGTCACCGGATCACCTTCTAGATTATCATTCAATGTGTTTAGATATTCCTCCTTGACAACAACTGGAGCTCCTGCCTCTCATGTATCGAAATTCTCTCTCAGTTGTCCAAGGCAATAAGACGACCCGCCTATTTGCGGCGTAGGGTGCGGTGAGTGCATCACGATCATGTAATGAAGTGTTTATAGAGGCATTTCCGCTTTTCTTAGCGGTGCACTGAATCTCTCAGTAGCATACCTTCCACTGCCAAGCCACAAATATGTGGCTGTTGGTGCTATCGAATGGCTCAGGTGGGGCAGCCCTCCGGTGTGTCACCGTTGCCAACGCTGGCAGGCTACCTGTTCCCTTGTTGTTTGTTGTGGAGAGCCGTATTATACTCAAGTGGAGTAGTCTTTGGTGCTTTTGTTGGTCCGCCGCTGAAACAGGAAGCTCGTACGGCAATGTTCCGGTGAGTTCATGATTTGAGAGACTCTTGGACCGAAAAAAGAGCCACAGTTGTATTCAAGATTCAGTTCAAAGGCTGGGCAACAACTGATTCGTCTTCCATATCAGTTGACAAGTCACAAAAGACTCTACCGTTGGGATCATTCAACTCAGCACAGTAGCGATCTAGCTGAATTTTGAGACGCAAGCAATGGAAGTATATAAAACACAAATCGAATCAAGCCATCCAGGGAATGTCGACACAATTGAGACCGACCTCACATTCTTACAACATCGTTGGGTGATCTAGTACTAAACCCCCCCCCCCTTTCAGACCCTATTTTCACGTCGTTCGCTCTTCTTTCTTCATCGAAGAGCTTGCCGGGTCCCATCCGCAAGCCCGAAATGTTCCAGAACATGACCAACTGCCCCGACGGTGTCCCAGATCCTTCCGCGCTCCCCATGCCATCCAACATAACCTTTGCATACGTCGCATCCAACGATACTAGCAATTCAGCGCTTGTGGCATGCTGCGAGACGAACCCGATCAGCATCGCCGAGAGCTGTTTTGCGTGGTGCGAGGCTCCACCAGCATTGGCTTCAGAGCAGAACTTTTCGGATTGTCTTAGTATCAACGAGCACAATGGCAGCCGATGGAGGCACGGTATTCTGGGATTTCATGAGAAAGAGAATGGGGTTACGGTCACGAGCCCGGCAATGAGCTTGTTCATGCTGGGCATCTGGGTGTTGGCGCTCTTCCAATGACGGTGGCGTTCGAATGAACGTGGGACCCCCGGCAAAGCCATGGCACAGATTGATTAGAGACTTTCAGACCCCCCCCCCCCCCCAAAGAATCACGGAGGATTTGATCGCCCTTCAAGGGATGATATGATGGATTGACGGGCGAAGCCGCGGTCAGAGCTCAGTTCACGACCAGAAAGGCATGATCACTGACCGAAGTGATGTGACGGGGTCAAGTAGTGAATCACACACAAATGCACACGGGAGCTTGACTCAAGGTATCGCCGGACCAAACGAAGCTACTACAGATAGGCTGGAGTACCTGAACTCGTACTTATCACGTCTTTCCTGCTTTCCGTAGTTGGGGGCGTGTGTGACAGTCTTGTAAAAGTCAGTCATAACAGTGCTTTTTCTACTCTGCAGTCCAGAGTCTAACTATAACGAAGCTAAACTGATCTCTCCGAAGCTGTGTAGGCGAACACAAACGATGGCGGCGATGGGAACCAGCCTAGAACGATACCGAGGAGATGACTTCTGTTCAAGCCGTATATTTGGACCGGGCAATGTCGAACAATGATATTTGGCATGTGCGCCCAATGAAATATGGACGTCGAGGCTGACAGCAATGGACGCGTTCCCCGTGCCCGGCTGTATATGGGTCTCGGGACCGATATTAGCGTCCGGGGAGTCGGTATTCTTTTAGTGCATGTGCATAGGTCGCCTCTATAAGTATCAGCCAACCATTATACATACTAACACTAAGTACCTTGTCCATTATATGTATATGCGAATATGCTTTCCCGGTTGCAAGCACTGCCCATGAAGCGCAAGATCGAACGAGCAGTCCTGCGTTTCAATGACCTACGGTGGGCGCATGCAGGACGAATCTTGGCCGACTGATGAACCTCACGGGTATCATCTCTAGCCCGTACAATATACAGAACCTATCAAGGCAAATTCGGGTTGGGCTCGAGATCTGGAGGTGCTTCATTAAGAGTGTTGATTTCTGTACCGGTCTCGAGGCTAGGCAGATGGGCATAGTGAAAAAGAAGTGCCAGGTTTAAACCAGAAAAAATTGTAACTTGCCCTCATATTGACTATCTGATTTGTCTTTGTAGTGGAAGTCCTGAGTATTATAAAGACTCATGCGACGAAGTGTTAGTGGTAGATTCAACAAGGTGGTTACGGCCGAGGGCCAAGTCGGGCAACCTTGCCGTTGAATTGAGTGGCGAGGACTCGGCCACACGAGATGGATAGAACTATTCGAACAGTACATGCAGGCTGTGCACTTTACGGCCTGCCACGTATTGAAAGCATAGAAGAAATATCAGGTCATGATGGTCTTCTCGAGATTACCTCCGTCCGTCGCCGAACGGAGCAATCGGCAGGAGCTCCGCTTCTCGGCGGAATCGGAGCTCCGAGCCTCCAACATCAAGCCGGTTGTGTCTGTTTGGCTCCAGCTACTGCAAGATGCGTCACAGCCCGACTCCATTAAAATTTCCCAAAGAAAAAGTTCTTCCCATCATAATGTGGACTGACTGGCCACCAGAGCATTTGAGGGGTGGAAGAGCCTGAACAACCTTCACCAGGACACACGTTTCGATGAGCACACAACTTCACTTTGTGTAGCTTGCCCTATCAAGCGGACTACCGATCTCACCGATAACGATATTGGTGCAACACGCGGATGCCGTAGCCCTGAAGCACGACTGGTGCCACCACGAATCCAGGAGTTGGTAGTTATCAACACCAACATGGCTATCACGCTCAGGAAGTTCGCCGCAGAGCTCGGCCTCCTGACGATCGCCAATGCACCTCGCGACGTTCCTCTCATCTACCTCACACGGTTCCTGCGCATGGCAGCTTATGGCTCTGCCTCGCTTATTCTGGCCTTGTTCTTCGCGTCCCTGGACATCTCCGAGACGCGGATCGGCCTCTTCATGACGCTGACCCTGCTCGGCGACGTTGCGCTGTCGCTGCTCCTCACCCTCATCGCAGATGCCGCGGGCCGCCGCCGGATCCTGCTCCTCGGCTGCTTCGGCATGGTCCTTGCCGGGGCGGTGTTTGCTATTGCCAGCAACTACTGGGTCCTGCTCATCGCCGCAGTGGTGGGCGTGATCTCTGTCTCGGGCAACGAGATCGGGCCGTTCCGGGCTGTAGAGGAGAGCGTGCTTGCCGGTCTGGTCGGGGAAGAAGGAAGGAGTGATGCGTTTGCCTGGTACGTCGTCGCCGGCACGCTGGGCAGTGCAGCAGGGCTCGCTGGGGCGGGGACTCTGGTGGAAGCCTTGAAGAAGGGAGGCTGGACTGAGCTGCAAGCTTACCGTGCTGTGTTCTGCTTGTACGGGGCAGTGGGTGTCGTGAAAGGAGTAGTCACGACCCTCTTGAGCTCTCAGTGTGAGGTCGACGGAGGTAAAAATGCCTACCAGCCGGTGGGAGCGAAGCAAAACAGGCCCGCTGTGGCCGCCGACGAGACAGAAGAGGATGGTGGCGATGGAGCAACACAATCGAGCCCGAGCGAGCGCCCTTCGCCTAAATCAAAGCCGAAGCTAGGCTTTGCGCAATTGTCGAACAAGACGCGGTGGACACTCCTCCGATTATGCGCACTCTTCGCAGTTGACTCTCTGGCCTCCGGCATGGTCCCTTATTCTCTCATCAACTTCTACATGGACCGCAAGTTCCACATGCCAAAGAGCACACTGGGAGACATCATGTCGGTGGTCTGGATCATGTCCAGTATCGGGAACGTCTTTGCATCTGCCATTTCGAAACGCATTGGCCTAGTAAAGACTATGGTGTTTACTCACCTTCCCTCTGCGATCTTTCTGGCGCTTCTACCTTCGCCGAACGTTATTTGGCTTACTGTGGTCCTTCTCGTCTCAAGAGGGCTTTTGGCGAGCATGGATCAAGCACCGCGGTCAGCGTTCCTGAGCAAGGTCGTGGCAGCAGAGGAGAGGACTGCAGTGATGGGTATCGTGAATGTAGTCAAGACACTGAGTCAGAGTGGTGGCCCAACAGTCACGGGCATCTTAGCCGGTTCTGACCGATTCTGGATCGCGTTTGTGGTGGCAGGGTCAATGAAAGCATCGTATGATCTGGGCTTATTGACACTGTTCTTGAAGGTCGAGAGGCAGGGTCAGGCAGGGTTGCAAGAGGAGAGAGACCTACAGATGTTGGATCAACAGACTGAAGAGCTTGGTGATGCATTCGAGCTGGACAGCGATGATGGGGAATTTTCTGGAGACGGCACTACGAGCAAAGGAAAGAACATCTAGCACTGTACCGTAACCTCGAAGCGCTCAATGAGGGCCAGGACCAACGTATGAGCAGCCCCGTATGTGGACGAGTATGTCATTTCTTTTAGGAACCACGAGTCTGCTCTGTAGTTATCTAGACAGCTGTGAATCAAAAGCAGGTCGTATTGCTCTAATCTAATTCATAGGCATATTGGGGCAAAAATATCCGAATGCAATTGAAGCCATACGGATTGAAGTACTACTGTCATCTACTAATAGTCCAGACAGTCAAAGGTGAGTATTAAGCGTCTATCGTCGAGACAAATTAACTGTAAGTAAAGGTTTTAGTACCGTGCTATATTCCAGGATTTCCGAGACGATGCAGTATTTATTGTTGTTGGCATATGCCGAGATACATAAACATTACGGTCAATAGACATAGTGCCCACTCGGAAGGAAATAGCTGAGTCTTCATTGAGAACAACTTTTCGGTGCTAGGCACTAGCATGATTAAGTGCCTTGCCAGGATAGAGATACCGGTGATCTTTCTCACTATTTCATTCTGTACCCCTTTATTAATCCGGAACTTGGCATGGTGAACAGTCCGGACGCGAGAGACATACAATAACTAACAGTGTGATCTCAGCCTGTAACAGTCTCTCAGCACAGTGAATCAAGCATCACAGTGACTTTACATTTCACAGACGCGTGTACTGCGGTATATAACTTGATGAAGACTCGTCTACATCGTATTGATTCTTTGACTGGCAAGCCCAAGTCTCGAGACAACGAGTATCAAAAATCAACACTGCTGCTACTTATCGACAAGGTCCAAGATTCTATCATTCGCAAATTGTCTAGCCGTTGGGTTAATGTCAGCTTGTGACAATTCTTCCGGAATGATCATGGCGGTGGATTCATGTTTCATGCTGTTCTTATTCCAAATGAATCATGCTCAAAACAGGTCACAGCATCAAGCTGGCCTACGACACGGTGGCCAGGGGCGCCCGTTCAGCATAAGCAGGTAAACTCTGCCTGAATGCTCGTTGCCACCCGGGCAAGCCAGTCCAGTAGCATACTGAAGACTTCACTTCTGCTTCATATGGCATGGATGTGACTACGAATCGGACTTGCTGCGCCTCCTCGCCCACGAAGCAGACTGGCGGCATCTGATCTGGTCGGCATCGGATCTCGGTCCATGACCTATATTGTCCTTGAGACTGATTGGCTGTATGTCGAGAAGTGTCCCTGCATTAGGAGCACTGAATGTAAGCTTGGGGGCTGCAAGATAGCCTCGGGAGATCTTGTCCGGGTGAAGCTAATCTAGTCTGAGTGGTGGCGTGCTGTCTCTTATTCGCATCTCTTATCTGTTATCTCTTATTCGTATTCTTCTTCGAGACTTGGTCAGCACTCATAGATTCAGACGAGATGGCTGATCATTCAACCGCGACGAATCACCAGGTAGAACGACAGAAATGCAGTGACGAAGTCGCCTCGTTGCAGCACAGAAAGCTCGGCACTTCTAAAATGTCGTCAAAGGGTTTGGGCTGCACAAGTGGCATGATCAAGAGAGAGAGCGTCCACAGAGGGCCTCAACGTTGAGGGCGCTGATTGGTTGTCGTCCTGCGGCAAATAGTGGGGCGCAAATAATTGCTACGCATTGATTAGCAGACCGCCAATGTTCGCTCCATCGCGAACGCCCGTCTCAATTGGGGATTCCTGTTATTTATTTCGTCCGGCCCGATTCCTTACTCTCGCTCCCCTTTTGACCTTCCTGTCGAAGCCGTGTCAGCCCGCCAGTCCAATTTACCACCACTGAGGTCGCGACATCAATCTTCTTCTTCCACCGGCGCTGCGCATCTTGTCAACATCACTGCACTGCCATGGGGCTCCTTGAAGAGGTGGCAGGGCCGCTGGCCCAACGGTTCAGCCAGCTGGGCACAGCGTCTCAGGTCGGCATCGTTGCCGTTACCTTTGTCGTCGTCTCGATCATTCTCAATGTCTTGAACCAGTTGATGTTCAAGAATCCCAATGAGCCTCCTGTCGTCTTCCACTGGCTGCCCTTGATCGGCAGCACCGTGACTTACGGCATGGACCCCCCTCGATTCTTCAAGGAGAACAGCAAAAAGGTCAATCAAGTTCCGCCATCCATCATACGTCCTCTATCAACTTGCTGACTTGAATGTGCCTGCAGCATGGCGATGTTTTCACCTTCATTCTTCTCGGCAAGAAGACCACCGTCTATGTCGGCCCCCAGGGCAACGAGTTTATCCTCAACGGAAAGCAAAAGGACGTCAACGCGGAGGAGATTTACAACAACTTGACCGGGCCTGTTTTTGGCAAGGACGTCGTCTACGACTGCCCCAATGCCAAGCTCATGGAGCAGAAGAGGGTGTGTCTACGCCCCGTGCTGAGATATGCTTTAGTTTGGATTACGCTGATATTGTGACAAACGACAGCTCATCAAGAATGTCCTCACGACCGAAGCTTTCAGGAGTTACGTTCCTTTGATCACCAACGAGATCTTGTCCTATTTCAAGCGAAACCCCGATTTCCAGGCCCAATCCGGCGTCGTCAACATCCCACCCAAGATGGCGCAGCTTACCATCTTCACTGCTTCTCACGCCCTCCAGGGCAAGGCCGTTCGCGACCAGTTCGACGAGTCCCTGGCTGACCTGTATCACGATCTGGACATGGGCTTTAGCCCCATCAACTTCATGCTGCACTGGGCTCCTCTGCCCCACAATTCGAGGCGCGATCATGCCCAGCGGACTGTTGCCAAAATTTACACCGACACTATCAAGGCCCGACGACAGAGCGGCGAGAAGAGCGCTGACGACATCATGTACCATCTGATGAACTCCTCTTACAAGGACGGCACCCCGGTTCCTGACCATGAGATCGCACACATGATGATTGCCCTGTTGATGGCCGGCCAGCACTCCTCGTCCTCTACCAGCTCCTGGATCATGTGCCGCCTCGCCTCGCGACCCGACATCGTGGAAGACCTGTATCAGGAGCAGATCCGCGAGCTTGGGTCCATCGACAAGCCTCTTGAGTACGAGGACCTGGCTAAGCTGCCACTCAACGCCAACATCATCAGGGAGACGTTGAGGATGCATGCCCCCATCCACTCCATCATGCGAAAGGTCAAGTCGCCCATGCCCGTCCCTGGAACCAAGTTTGTCATTCCTACCAGCCACACTCTCCTGGCCGCACCGGGCGTGTCGGGCAACGATGAAGCGTACTTCCCCGAGCCCGCTGTGTGGGAGCCTCATCGATGGGAGAAGGGCCACCCTCTTGCGCCGAGCCAGTCTTTGAAGACCGATGATGACGAGGAGAAGGTCGACTACGGCTATGGTCTGATTAGCAAGGGTGCTTCGTCCCCTTACCTACCCTTTGGCGCTGGCAGGCATCGATGCATCGGCGAGCAGTTCGCGTACTTGCAGCTGCAAACCATCGTGGCCAATGTCACTCGGCTGTTCAAGCTCAGGAACGTGGACGGTTCGACTGGCAAGACGGTGGGCACCGACTATGCCTCGCTCTTCTCGCGGCCCCTTGAGCCGGCCCCCATCTACTGGGAGAAGCGATAGGAAGAACATGAATCATCGTCTCTTCTTTGATCAGATTCATTACGACTGTATATAACGGTTCGGAACTAGACTTGAGGGTGGGGCGGGGCTTCGGAAAACAAAAGCACGGAGCCAGGGTGCTAGCCACGATAGAAGGATCGAGTCGTGGTGTATAACCGCGCAATAACATCATATAATCCTAATAATGAAGTAAAATACATGCAATCTGCAAGACAATGGTTCCTTGAAACGAATTACTCTAGCATGATCATTTCGCGAGTCCCCAAATGCATTCGCGTCCCAACTAACGGGTTCAGGTCCCAGGGACGCGAGCCATGGTTTCCATCTTGAGGGAAGGTTTCGATTAGGTTCGACAGACCTTGTGTTCTTAAATTGTGACTAGGACCATGTGGGAGTCTAAATCACTTTGTGTAAAGAACATAGAACACCCAGGCCTTGGGCTGCAGCCAAAGTCCCCACTTGCGGAGCTTGAACGGGACAGACAGACAAGCTTTCTGTCAACGGCCCGGGCTCCTGATCTGCGGTTCCATCACTTTGTTTCTCGCTCGGACGCACCAAATCGGGCCATGAAACCTGAGTCCAGTCCAGAACGGTTTCAATTGAGGTTACCGTGCACGTCAGAACGAAAGACTGCGCTGAGGGAATCTCATTTCGAAGAGGTGTGTGCTGATGAGGTGACGAACTGCAGCCCACAAAGTGAGTGAGTGACATTGGGCTGCTCAATGACGCAGAGAAGGCCGGTTCGCTACAGCTGCTCGCCGACAGGCATCTCCAACCTCGTCATCCACGAAGCTCGTTTCATCTATACATGCACCACTCACAAACTGACAACTATCTCCCTTGGAAGCACATTGCAACTCACATAATTGACTGCAGCCATCGTCCCAAAATATACTAGGGAACTTAAACGACGGCCGAAGCAAGGATGACGGACAAACAAGGAGGTCCTCTCCTCCACCTGGCAGGCCTCAAATCATCACAGCTCCCCTCTGCAACCGCCTCACCCGAGGAGCTGACCCCGTTCATCACAGCGCTCCTGGAGGAGGCAGTGCCCTTTATCGACACGGCGGCGCCCAGGGCCGCGGACTTCACGGACCCGGCGACGCCGGCCCCGCCGGCATCAAACACGCTCTGGAAGTCCAAGGGGACCAAGAGCTTCCCCGAGTCCACCGCCAAGATCGATCTCAGCGAGCGGGTCGTCGGCGGCGGCGGAGCAGCGGGCAAGGGCGACCCGGAGACGTGGGCGTGCCGGCGCAGCGTGCACGCGGACGCGGCGTCCAAGGGCACGGCGAGCTGGGCCGAGTTTGCCGACTGCATCCGCGACCGGCACGCCGAGACGGAGGACGCCTTCACGCCGACGGTGCTGGCGCACCGCGCCGCCGTCACGTGGGCCGGCGCCGCCCAGGTCCAGCCGGTGGAGGCGGGCGGCATCTCGTGGGGCGGCTTCGGCCTGGCCCTGCTGGAGATGAAACATAAGATCCCGCCGCCGCTCAAGCCGCGGGTGTTCCCTATAGTGCAGCTCATCGCGACGGCGCTGCCTGGTGGCGGCGCTGCCGAGGGTTCTAGGGACGAGTTTGTGGTCGTCTCGGTGACGGTGTCTGACCTTGCGACGGGGCAGATGAAGGATCAGGCTGCTTTGTCAGTAGAGAAGGGCGTCGTCATCGGGGCGTATGTCAGTGTGGAGAGGGTGAGGAGGTTACCTGGTCAAGGGGATGACAAAGGGAAGATTGAGTGGATCATGGCTACTGCGAGCGATGCGAAGGGTGTCTTGCCTATGTTCTTGCAGACCAAGGCCGTGCCAGGCCAGATAGCGAAGGACGTTGGCATGTTCTTGGGCTGGATCGACAAAGAGAGGGAAAAGAAGGGTTAGAGGACAAGTATCGCTTCCCCTGGAGGCCGTGAAAATCTAGCCCCGGAATCAAGACGTGCGATTGCGAAGAAAAGGGAAATTGCAAGATGTTCGTGGCGCAGATGAAAACTTGGTTGGCAACGGTTGTCGACGTGCAGGATGGGTGTCAGGCAGAGGCCGGGCTCGGATGACAGGCTTCAGTACCTCGAGACTCAACGGTGTAATGTTAATACTGGTGTCTGAAACAGGGACAAGGAAGAATGCATTGTCATCCCTACAGATGAAGAGTAGTTTGATCGTTAATTGGAAAAGGGAAAAAGCTGGTATCACATGACAGCACTACGACTGTTACGGAGGTTGATTATAGTTCGAGCATAAATCGGTCCGAACGCTGCAGCCATCATCATCCCTGGGGTTTCTTTCTACATCTGCGAGTTGTTCTAATAGCCAAGAAGAAACTAAAGCACTCGCTGTCCGACATCCATTATCTGCTCTTTCGGGCTGCCGACGCGAGGAGCGTGCTTGAAGTCCCTTTCCCCAGACGTCTTCTGCGCACTACTGCTGCGGTTTCAGTTCACTTGGTGTTCCCTCGCTGGACTTCCACATCTGGACCGATGTCTAGTTCGATGGTTCTGAGCTTGGGTATTCAGATGACTCCAAGGTTGACCAGGATGCCCGAATTTGGTGGGTGGGATATGAGATCCTTGGAGAAATATCGGCCGTCACGATCGATACAAGCTGTGATGGTGCGGTCACAGTACATTCATCTCACATGATATTACTCATCAAATACCGCAGGCAGAGCTACTCTGCTTAAATGGCGCAGCCAGGAAAGTAGGATTGCCGTACGAAAAGTACAGGAAACCTCGCAAGTTAAGCCTCTGCCTGCTTCGACTCACCCCTCTGCAGTGGTTTCTTGTCACCGCATCCATAACAAAACATAGACACTGTCTCCAAAAGTATTGATTGTCTTGGGACGGAGAATCAAGGTAGACGTGAGGAAACGGACATCAGAAGCAAAGTTTAACAATCCTCGAATTCGTATGCGGTGAGTCAAGCTGGCAGACGACATGCATACCTAAACAGGTAAGAAGGCGAGTGGCCAGGCGGATGGCGGGGAGAATGCTAAAAGGGTTGGACCCTGAGGGCGGACCTGAAACATTCGAGCCCGTCATCCAGTCGGTCAACCGTTGAAGACATTAGAGGCTCTATAATTGGCGACCCGCGTCGCCGGAATGTCTGAGAGCTCCGCCTCCGTTTGATCACGGTAACAGCACGATGGCCGGTCAGACTGAATGTCCAGCGTCCGTTGTAAGTCGCCGGCTGTAGTATTCATTTCAAGGATGGGTGGGATCTGCCGGCGGTGGAGAACATTTGACAGCCATGTGCCAATCGGCACCATTGCGAGCTTTAGAAGGGTTCTGTAGCATCCAGCCGATCATCACAAGCCAGGCCATGCTGGGGGGTTGACCCAGACGCCGAGGATCTCTCCATGGGTCTCGCATGTCCCCGCCCTCCACCAACATATTGCTTCTTCGAGAACAGGGTCCATCGATCTTGTCTTCAGGGTGATCTGGCTCGAGTGCATCTCGTCTCTGGGTTGATCTTGGCTGGGAAGTTGGGATCAGGAACTGAGTTGCTTGCTGGCTCCACACGCGAACATTTCCGCTTTAAGCCATCGTTTCGATTGGGCGTTTGTCACGCAGCGGATCGAAGTGCAGGCCCATCGCGTTACAGATGTCTGTGTAATTCATCCGACGAAAGGGAACGCTCGCCAATGTTTCAAACCAGCCAGCCAATCGAACACGGGCCCGTTGAAATGACAATTCTGCCCACCGGAGACGGGAGACGGACTGCCGCCTTGCCCACGCAGGCCACGCCTCGCACGCTGCCCGTCTCCATCTTATTCTTTCCTTGTCTGGTTTAGCGTTTCTTGTCTTTCTCCTGGAGGACTTGGGGACTTGGTGGGACGTCATGACCTTGATATGGGTCGGCCTGTCCCCCCATCTTTCTTCTCATTGCGTCCCCTTGCACGTCTTCAACAACTGCGTCTGCTCCCAGATCTCATACGAGTCCCTGCGTCCATGTGCAGCCAGTTACCAATTCCGAGACCAGACTTTCATTTCTCAAACCAAACGGACTTTTCTGGAATACCCCAACCCCCACCCAACCAATCCTTGTTTGTTATCTGATCGCAACACATCCTCGAAAGTGGGAATAATTTCCGGCGCGTACCTCGACGCTGCCAATTGTACAGACAAACTCTCAAGACCGATAATTCTTGAGCGTTTTTGGATATTTCGTTTGATCTTCACTTTACGTTCCAACTTGGACTTGTGTGGAGCAGCAAGAATCGTGAACTCGACCTGTATATATATTGACCAACCACAACTAGCCCAGCCAGGGCTCGATCCTATTGCTACGGTATAGCCCAAAAGCTATTAGACAAGTGGTCTACCGCGCGCGATGGATTTCCCATGGAAACGGGTGACGGCGGTTGCTGCCGTCGCCGCATACGTCGCCACTTCGACGCTTAAACAGGCATGGTCACGATCAACCTTCACCAACTACTTCGCCGTCAGCTGGCTACTGAGCTTCCTCTGCTGGGCGTCGTGGACCGTCATCCTCTATCCCAAATGCTTCTCGCCTCTATTAGGCTTGCCTGAACCACCGAATCCATCATGGATCAATGGACAATACGCAAAGATTCGGGAACTTCCAACGGGTGTCCCGATGCTCGACTGGTAACAGACCCGGATATCTCCCCTCGCTCACCCAGCTTCGGACACTGACAGCACAATAGGGTCAACTCCGTGCCCAACAATGGCATGATCCGCTATCTGGGCTTGCTCAACCAGGAGCGCCTCCTGCTCACCTCACCTAAGGCCCTGGCTGAGGTGCTCGTCACCAAGAACTACGACTTTGCGAAGCCCGGCATGGTGCGGTACTCAATCGGCCGCATCCTGGGCGTCGGCGTCCTCCTGGCCGAGGGCGAGGAGCACAAATTCCAGCGCAAAAACCTCATGCCCGCGTTTGCATTCCGCCACACTAAGGACTTGTATCCCGTATTCTGGGACAAGGCGCGCGAAGGTGTCCAGGCCATGACGGAGCAGATCCTCGTTGATGCGGCCAAGGAACCAGCTTCTCCGGCCTCTCAGGACCCAGAAAAGGCAGCGAGCGAGAAGGCGGGCAGAGCCAAAGTAGCAATACTCGAGGTTGGAGGATGGGCTTCGCGGATCACCCTCGACATCATCGGCCTCGCTGGTCTGGGGCGGGACTTCGGCGCCATAGCAGACCCGACGAACAAGCTGTTCCAGACATACAACCATCTCTTCAGGCCTTCGCGCCAGGCACGCTTTCTGGCCACATTGGGCCTCATCCTTCCGGCGTGGTTTGTCACCCGGCTGCCGGTGCGGCGCAACGAGGACGTGCAGGAGGCGGCCAAGGTGATCCGCTCGGTGTGCTTCGACCTGATCCGCGAGAAGAAGGAGAAGCTGGCGCGCAAGGAGCTGACGGACGTGGACATCCTGTCGGTGGCGCTCGAGAGCGGCGGCTTCAGCGAGGACAACCTGGTGGACCAGCTGATGACGTTCCTGGCCGCGGGCCACGAGACGACGGCCAGCAGCATGACGTGGGCCATATACATGCTGTGCCTGCACCCGGGCGTGCAGGCGCGGCTGCGGCAGGAGATCAGGGAGCGGCTTCCGTCCATCGATGACGGCGGCGCCAGCATCTCCAGCCTCGACATTGACCACATGCCCTACCTCAACGCTGTGTGCTCCGAGGTCCTGCGGTACTTCTCCCCGGTGCCCATGACGCTGCGCGAGGCTGCCGTCGACACCACCATTCAGGGCCGGCGTGTCCCCAAGGGCACACGCATTGTCATCTCCCCAGCCGCCACGAACAAGGACACCGCCCTATGGGGTACCGACGCCACCAAGTTCAACCCTGACAGGTGGATGCCCAAGCACGACGGCGACAAGAGTGCGGCATCCGGCGGCTCGAGTAGCAACTATGCCTTCATGGTGAGTACATTTCTGAGAAACCCTCTCCCCATCCTTCGGATTCCAAGCTAAGTTATGAGACCTTCCTGCATGGTCCTAGGAGCTGCATCGGCATGAACTTTGCCAGGGCCGAGTTCGCGTGCTTGCTAGCGGCCTGGGTAGGCCGAATGGAATTTGAGCTGAGGGACAAGGCGGAGATGGACGAGAAGAACATGGAAATTAAAGCGGGTGTGACGTCTAGGCCGGCAAAGGGCCTGTGGGTGAAGGCGACAGTGCTGGAGGGATGGTGAGCATGTGCAGTTGCTGGGCCGGCCCTTGAATGGAGATAAGAATGTGTATATATATACAACAATAATAATGGTGCTATCAGGACGGATCTCGGTTTTAGGTACCAGCAACAATATTAATGATAGAGGAAGTGTGATGCTTCTGGATTAGGGTATCTAGGATCCCAAACGTCGGCAGGTGAGCTGAGTTACTTGCCACAGGCACTTTTCCTGTGGAATTACTTCCTGTAGGACGATATCTTGTGCCTACTTGAGTCCGTATTTAGGTCCTTGATGGGCCCTTTCTATATCTTGTTAGTGCCCTCCAACCCCGAGACTCGTTCAATGGCTCTGATTGCCAGCCTCGAATACCTTCCTACCGCCTTCCTGACGTGAATGATCTGAGAGTTTGGATGCTATCACATCATTCTACTCATGTTTTCGTAACCATCATCCACAGATCAACGCCCTTCGGGCTGGTATATAGTATATATAGCACTCCAACCAGAAGACAATATCGGCGAGTGCCTTGAGACCCACCGTGGTGTTCACTCGGGATAGAATCTGAAAGGAGCACACCGATGCGAAATCACTATGGATATGTGACAGAGTCCACAAGAGCCCCCCCCCCCCCCCAACGGCTCCAGTTCGTATGCTACCCACGGACTGGAGCACCTCAGCCACAAGGTCGAGCGCCGTTCCATTCACCACAGCTAATCAAATCGTATTGAGAGCTGAAAGGTGCCCCATGTCCATTGATGGGAAGAGTCTTGGTTCGGAAGGTCTGTCGTGATGTCCAGGTCGTTTCGTTAACTCAATCTTGTCCAAGACATGTTAATTCAACCTCCAGGTCTTCGCACCTAAAGACCAACACTTCAGCTCGCCATCACTGAGCCGGGCCGCTCCTGCAGGCCAGGACCACCGGCATGAACTGCTCGTCTGCGCTTGGTCCCCTCCACGGAGGGGATAGCCTCTCCACGGGGGGAGATAGTCAGGTCATGTGCCTCGAGCCCCAGCAGCCACGCCCCGACATCCAGCTGCGAGGCTCGACACCCATCTCAAGCATCTAGACCTGATAGTCGCGCTCTAACGAGTCCGTAGAGCGTACCTCGAGATCGGCGTGACCTTCCTCAACCATCTGGGAGGAACCGTCCTGCCGCGAGGGAGATGAGTCTCTGAAACCATCGACCTAGGCCAGCAATGCGCACCTCCTAGTCCTCTCAACGCCAGTGCCAGCATCACATCACCCCGCCGGCCCTTACAGGACCACCTTCAATGCACACGCACTAGATACACAGCGTATCGATACCTCAACCCGCAGAGAGGAGGTGTGTATGAAGGGGCTCCGTGCGCGTCATCTGAACAAGTGTTTGCCCTCCTCCCGCTCAGATCACCCATAGTCCAGACACATGAAACGAGGCCAGCCCGGTACAAGACGGGGGCTGTGCGCGGCAGCTACCGGCCTTGCCTCCCTCGCTCGCCGCCTATGTGTGTCTCTCTCTCTTAGGTGCTGCCAGCCCTGCAGTCAAGTCGTTAGCTCTGGCTAGTGGGGAGCGGGAGATAGGAAGCTATAGCTGCTTGCCGCTGTCTATGCTATAGCACGGGGGAGGCAGAGGGGAGGGGATCTGTGCGCAGGGCCCGTCGGCCGGTAGGTAGGTTCGTCTAGGCATGTAGCAGTGGGAGAGCGGGAAGGTAAGGGGAGTACGTGGGTGTGAGTGACGGACATGGTTGACGGGATCTAAGGTTTTGGGGCCATGGTGTCGAGTTGCTTCTTTCCGTCTCTCCCTTCTCCCCCGCCGTGCTGGATCCATCCCAGACGCCTCGTGCCGTCCTCGACTGCATTGTAATCTTATCAGGGGAGGCGGGGGGGGTTCAGAGAAACCCATCTCTCTGATCCCTCGATTCGCTCATGTTTGGTGAGCCAAATGTGGTCTGCAAGAAGCGTGAAGGTTTCGCGGGGATCAAGGCCGGGCGAGCGAGCGCACGAACGATCATGTTCTGCTGCGCTGGCCCAATTACAATTCGATTCCCAATTCGAACAATGCAAAGAGTCGGTAGGTAGCTGCACAAAGCACATATCCAGCTATCAACAAGGTTTCGACGCCAGAGTCTTGACGTTTGTTGCGGTCAGGCCGCGCCGTTAAGGTTGGAATCCCCCAGTCTCTTGTCGCTCTACCTGAACAAATCGCTGCTTGGGACGAGCCAGCTGAGTGTGGCCGAAGGGACAGTCTGTTGTTGTAGCATTTCAGCTGGCAACGGTCCAGCGGCCCCAGTGTACCTATTGCCTGGATGGCTTGTCGCTCTGATGAACCGGTGCGCTGTTAGCGTAGCCGCATTTTGGGTGATGCTTGGTTGGTCACCCGTTATAGCTGGGTTATAACTTGCTATACGTATATGTGAGGGTGAGTATTGTTTCATCAGAGAGAGCAAGCAAGCAAGCACCAACAGTGCGGTGTTTGAGAAACGGTAATTGTTCATTTAGCCATCGCAGTTCGCTAAGTGCCTTCGAGGTTTGCCTCGAGAAAAAGCAGTGCAGTGTCCCTGTCTAGTAGTAGTCGTCCAACTCCAGCCGTTATCATGATGCAGTGAATAAAATAAGAATATACGAAACAGTTTGCAATGTCATTGCAGCAGCAGAAAAGAATGTGTAGGCCTCGACTTGGGATCACCATGTCCCATGTAGCTTCGCCCTCGGCCTCGCACCCCTATTCTGCAGACCTATCTTGTCCCTGTTGAGTAGACTTCTCCATCTCAAGCTCACGCTGCTTTGGTCCCTCCCTGGTAGATTCCGAACACAGTCATCCCAGACCTCACTGGACAGATCCATGTTCTTGACCTTCTCCAGCACGACCTCGACTAGCTTATGGTCATCTTCTAGACTCCACTGATCACCGCGCTCGCCCACTTCGACGTTGGTGCCCTTGGAAACTTCGATCTCGGACGCATCTGGTGCTCCCAACTTGTGGAAATCTTCCTTAGTGAGTCCGCGTGGGACGTCTGGTGGTGCGATCCGCTGTCTTTTAGGCGTTGATGGGGCGGCCCGTGATGATGTGTCGGAGTAACCCTTGAAGACGAACAGGCCGGTGTCCCTCTTGTTCTCATTGTTCAAGTCAAAGATGTTGATGTTCTCCTTGCCGTGAAGAGCGTCACTGCTTGACCGCGCTTCGTCCTCTCGGTCCATGTCGTCATCCTCGTCTCGTCTTCTCTTGTTCGCTCCGCGAGGCGGTGCGCGCTTCTTGATCCTGTATCGGAGAGGCTCGGCCTGTGCCAGCGATGATGACGGACCTGGTACTGGCTCAGCCTTGCGACGACGGAGGCGCGGCTTGCTCAGAGGGCTGGGCATGTTGGCGAGTGGCGGCGACGGGAGGTGCGAGTTTGCATCTGGAATCGGCTCGTTGGGGATGGGCGATGACAGCATAGTGTGTAGGTTACGGCAAGAGTTGATAAGGTTTCCAATTGCGGTCTGGGTGGAGAGTTGAGGAGGGCTCGCGGGCGGCGAGATGAAGAGAGCGGATTGCAGTCGCGGATGCGACGGGTCGCAGGAGAGGGCAGACGGCAGTAACATTTTCAATGATGCGCGCAGTCTTGTGATGGGTCGCAACGGTTGGGTCTCGGTTTGAAGGGCTGGAATTGTAGCTGCGACAGCGAACAGCAGGGTTGCGAACAAATGCGACTGGTTTGCGACAGGATGCGATAGAGTCAACAAGACAACAACAGAGCGAATGCGCCGGGGGCAACAGGCGTGCGCGGCGGGCTGAAGAGCGGAAACAGTTGTTGAGAGCAGTCGCGAGGGATGAGGAGCAGCTTCGCGATCAAATTGGATCGAATTCGGTCGTCGCAGGGGCAGACAATGGGTGTCAGAAGTCGGGTGGTTGTGTGTTGGTGGTGAGGAGCGAAACGGGCGGCGAGCAGGAAAAAGAGACTTGGGATGACAAGAGGGCGGGAGCGCAGGAGGCTAGAGGGGAATAAGTCGCCCGTAATAAGGGTCAGACCCAGGCCATCGCCCAGTTGACCCGGCTACCCAGAGTACGTACCACCGTACTGGCCACAGGCTGGGGCCGCTCGATGGGGGCCGGTCCACTTGGGAGTGTAGAGTACAACTGCACCTGCGCCCAAGTGGGGCACGGGCGGCACGACAGGGGGTCTGGGGCTCAGACCTTTGACCTTGACCATGTCCCTGTCTCAAGGTACCCGAGATGGCCCAGGTACATGGCGCACCACCGCGATACCTGACTTGCAAACTGCCTGGCTCCTCTCCTCTCAATTCCTCGCCGTCTGCATCTGCATCTGCGTCTGCTGCACAGTACTTGAGTCTCACCAGGCCAGAGCCGTGGGAACTGCCGCCTCAAGCATCTTATCCTGCAGGTCCTGACACAGCCATGACAAGTACCTGACACCGACTTGTGCCTTGCGTTGCGTTGCGTTGCCTTGTCCTTCTTGTCTTCCAACCCCCTTCGACCATTCGCTACCCCCTCTGCTCCTGTCCCTTGCCCTGCCTGCTGGCCCTCTAGCCCTTCTTCGCATCAAGAGGGGCAGATGCATTCCCACCTGCAGTCCACCTGCAGTCCATCTGCAGGTTATCTACAGTACTTACCCATCCTCTCACCCTCAGTCACACCTGACATGTATCCACACCGCACTCAGGTGAGGGGAAACCGGACGACAACAGTCGGTCTGTGGTTGGTATCACGGGCGACCTGGCATGGTGCGTCCCACGATCCTTCCTCTCTCTCTCTCGCGCGCTCAACACCCTGTGCCGACCTCTCTTGGTTGTGATATGTCCCCCTCCAGCAGTTCCGGAACATGGGCAGGCGAGCCTTTCCACTTGCAGGACGCTGATATCCTCCTTGCTCGATGCCTAGAGGGCATATCCCTCCCCTCTGGTCTGTCTAGTTCGGTTTCGTGGTTCTTCTAGTCTCAAAGGTGAGTCTGACAGTCTCGCCTACTCCCGTTGCCCTTCTCCCTTGACAACCGGGCCCGCTGACTGCTGCTCTGACCGCTGACAACATGGCCGTGCGAAGGGTGCTCCCGAATGCACTCGCACGGGTCGATGTACACCTGTGTCAAGATACCCTCGGTGGGCCGCTGAAATATGCCAGAGATTAACAACAGACGAACCCAGGGACCCGTTAAATTGGTGTGCCCTTGCGATGCTCGCCTTCATCTCCAAGGGGATAATCTAACAATCTGACAATCTCGATTCCTGATTTCTAAACAAAGCAGACAATCACGACGTATCCCGTCCGGTAGTCCTCGTGTCGACCAGTCGTGCTGGGATGACAACGCCATCAACAGCCTATTCACCGATGCAATCGCGCATTTGTCGATCGTCACCACGCCTTGGGACGGCGGTGACTACATCATACTTTGCAGGTTCCTTCGGCCTTTCATGGCAACTCACTAGAATATTCCGACCGTTCGGGGATGGCAACGGTGACCACCCTTGCTCGAGGCTACAGGGTGCTATCTTGGCCTCTTATGCAACTTCACATCTCAACCGTTGTCTCCATCTTCCACCATCGCGATCTATAACACCCGTCGCCCGTGAGATATGTCGAGCCCTGAATCTAGCCCGCCGATGACGTTCGCTGCCACAGCTGCAACAGCACTGAGCCAGGAATGATTGTTGTCCACCGTAGGTCCGGTCATCTTCATTGACTGGGCTGGGCTACACGGCGTGTAAGTCATTCTTGTGGGACCAGGGTATGACAGTGACTCCTCCTGGCCCCGGGGGATTTGCACAGCGCCGCACATGGACTTCTGGCTCCTGACTCCATCGTGGAGAGCTCCGGGAACCGCACCGTCCCTTTTGTTCCCCTCTTCTGCAACCACTTCCGCTTCTGCGATGCTTCTGTTACATTCGCCCTGCAGACTGGATTTCCCCGGCTCTCAACTTCCCACTTTCTCCCAGCCATTCACATATACACTACCAGCCACGCCTTTGCATTTTCAGGGAGCAGGAGGGGTAAGTGATTACGAATGCTTCTTCTCACACCGTGCGGGAAGTCTGGCCAATGCCATCTTGCTTCAACAATGGCAGAGAAGGTTTTCCTTTTCGATGAATGCCATCTAATCACCGTACAGCATGGCTAGGCACATGGGCCTGATTGGTTCTTGAGCGGCCATGTGACTATTGGAATCCGCAACGGAGCGTGTCATCGTGGAGAGCATGACCACCAGTTGATGGCATGACGGAGCACTGCCTTCAGACAGAGACAGCCTACTACAATCATTTTGTGCGCCATGTGCGCCTGATGCACAAATCAGCATCGGGTGGGATGGGCTCACAATAGTAGCCTACGAACCACCTCACTCGGGTGGCCAGCACCAGAGAAACGAGAGAAGCGTGGAACGAAGGGGGGAATGGGGGGGGGATGTGCATGCGGTGCCAAAGCTTGAACGCCAGCAGCGAGACGCGTCTTGGGGAAAATCGCGTCTCCGCCGGGTGGAGACGCGAAGCGGGAAATTGACTCGCCCATTGACCAATCGTCTTACACCAAGTTTGATTGACTCTCTCCAGCGCGCCCCATTTGCGAATGGATTGTCGGACCCCTCGCTGGCTTCGGTACCAGTCGATGTGACAATGCCAGATCGCATCGCGGCTGCAACATGCACGCCCATCCCTGGCCACGCGCTAGGAGCTCACCGCCCGAAAGATCCGGACCCGTCTTTCGACTGAACCTCTTCGTCCAGACGTTTCCCCTGAGGAGTCACCGGATCCCCTTTTTGGATTCCCCAGAGACCCAGATGTATCGTGGCATGCAGGATGCGGACCCGTCGTCTTCCATGATGCCAAAAGTCACTTTTGCATCATACCCTTGACAGACGAGACAGCACAGGCGGGAGGGGCGGTGAGATGAGAAACACCCTTCGATGCAGACTCGGCCGTCTTGAATTGCGCCGACAATAGTACACTGCCCAAAACCAGTGGTGCCTCGGCTGCAACAACCAGGACCCTGCCAAGGCAACCCGATACCCTGAATTTGTTGGGGTCAGATGTGCTCTCTCCCTTTTGCCTACTTCATAGACATGCCAGCTAAGAGTATTGCAATAACCGGCAGAGCCGACGGATACCATCTGAAACCCACAAGCCTGTCAACCTCTAAATCCGCCCAATACTTACAGAGGAAATGCCAGAACTGTTGACGGTGCCTGCAATTTGTCTCTCTACATCGGCCATCACGGTCAGCATCCCCTGCCTTCGATTCTTCCTTACCCACCCGTGTTCTATCTTGATCCCCCGAGTTCATGCAACGCCCGTCATCAAACCTTCCTCCCGGACCGTTGCAATGATCCATAAATCTCATCTGGCCAAGAGAAGCAAGCGCACAGGCTTGTGTCCGTAGGGCGAAGAACTTTGGAAGTTTCAAAGTTTTCCAAGTGCAATCCCTGGCTCATTTGTACAACTCCATCCCCGTTGACCCGGAGTGTTCTTTCCTTCGCGGCCCGGCCCCGAGTGAGGTTGTCATGCGCCTGGGATCTTCTTTATGCAGCATGCTTGCGCATTCACCCCTTGCGCGTTTGCACCACCAACAAGTTCTCTCAGCTTCAAATCCAATCTTGTCATCGAATATCGATCAAATGGACAACTCGCATGGATTCGCCACCGCCGGGGGTCGTCACTCAACTCACGGAGATCAGTCTTGCCACGCGTTGCAGTGCTATGCAAGCGAGGCGAGGGACTCGCTTGCAATTTCAGGCCCAACGCCGGCCGGCTTGACTGTAACGGGCATAAATCAACCACCTCTGGCCCGGAGCTTGGATCCCTGGGCTCTTGGAAGCTCCAAGAACTTCGAGGGTCCTCAGGGTCGCCTCAGGGTCGCCCGGGAGCTAGTGCTAGCCTGCAACACCGGACCGGCCAGCCCAAGGGTTCAGAACAAGGAATTCGTGGTTTTGCCAAATTGCCTCATCACGGGCAGGTCTTCCCTGGGAGATCAGAATTTTCCGAGTTGCCTAGTCACGAGTGGTGTCTCTGGTCTTGGTGTCAATGACTTGACAGGGTTCTCTTTGTCGCCTTCAGTCTTTGGCCGGCAGGAAGGTAGGCTATGGCTAACATTAGATGCTGCCCCTGGCACGGCTGAGGAGATAGATCCCGGCGATGTGCTACCCAACTACATGCTATGGGCAAGGCTAAGCCGGAGCATACTGGTGCAAATTGGTCAGCATTGCTCAAGTAGACACTCATGATTCAACAAGCTATTACTTGTCAGCATTCTCTCAGATACATTTAGTAATCACAGCCGTGAACTGTGACACACACAAGTGTGTGAGCCACCCCGTGTCTGTCGGAGTCTTTGCATCCCATTCTTGCTGTTTCACACAAAAGTGATGAAAGACTGGTCTGGTGTTATTGCTCGACTAAATGGTGTTCCCGTCACTGGTGATGACAGATTCTTGAACTATACTTGAATTGCAAGGAGATTCTCTTGTGCTATCCCCCTAGATACAAACAGCCTGAGGGCCACCAAGCTTGCGTATACTCTTTGCACTATCAACTATTACGATGTTGATTTGTTGTATAATCAATCTGCTGCAGCTTGGGAGCACAGCCAATTTACTCACTATGTTTGTTCTCATTCACCTATTGGTCCTTATTTCACATATAGATAATAGTCGAGCAATGCTAATGTCGTTTACATGATAATGACACAAGACGGCAACAGTGGAATTGTCTGGAAGCCCATCTGGTATCTTCCTATCAAATTACTGAAGCAGAGTCACAAGCTGTGATGATCGGTTCGATGGACAGTTCCAACACACGTCAACTTCTGGCAGGCTGAAATGGTCTTGCAACGAATGGAGAGTCTGCCATAATGGGAAGAGCAGGGTGGGAATAAAAAGGTTTGAACATGCAGTCACTGCATGGATCTGTTCTCCTGATCAGTGACCGTCTGATCAGTGACTACTGGGAGGAAGTCGTCCCCTCTACAAACGACTGTTCCGTTCCCTCTGATTGTCAGAGTTGAAATGGGAGATTTCTGACTTGGAATTCGTCCGAACTGTCAGGTGGCAGCTCACAAGACGCTTGCTCCAGAACGGCGTGGAGATGTATGAGGGCGCGAACAACAATATTTCACCAGTCACTGAGCCTCTCATGATCACATTCGCACTTCGAAATAAACCTTTCTGTTGCCTTTCTCCTACCGCCTCACTTTTGCGTTTGTGGACAGCCTCCCTTGGACAACTTCGTAGCGAGCCCACACTCTACTTGGCAGAGAAACTTCAGACAGCAGTGAATCCTGCTAACAGTCAAACATAAAGGTGGTGAGTTATTTCACAGCATTCAACCGCAGTTGATACCATCCCAGTCTTGGGAGCCTACAGTCCCCGGCCCACAGCCTCCCATCTCCTTCTTGCATGGCAGCAGTACTTGTTCCCGAAGTCTGGATCGTGAACTCATCGCTGATTTACAGGCTGGTTTACAGTCTTGAATTCACCTCAGCTTACTCCTGATCTAGGTCCAGTCACCATACACGAGACTGGATCGTGCCAATCACTTGATAACACAACAAATCCTCCACCACCAACTGTCTTCTGCACTGTTAGGTTCTGTTTGACCGCACAGTAAACAGCAGATTCTGTATCTTTTCTTCCCCGCTCACTAGGTGTCTACATCTCCCCTCTGTTGTGGCTCTTGATAGTCACCCTCTGCAGTCCTTGCACTCAAGAACGGTCTTCCTACCCTGCCTTGGTAGAAGCCCGTCAACAAACATACTCCCACCTCCCCACGCTGTACCAATTCTCATTGCACAGTCCTACTCGGAGAGTAAAAATGGATCGTCACACGAATTTCAAGTTGGCCACGATAGTGACCATGCGTTGCGATTATTGTAGCGCCGGCAACAGCACCAAAAACAAATTCGGTTTGCAGATGTGCGAGAATTGTTCTCTTCAGATTTGCCGCAAGTGCATTGAGAATGGAATGCTGGAGAAAGACGAAAAGCACCGAATGGATGCCCAAACCTTCGACGGTCTGAAGTGGAGGGATTCTGCCCAGCCTCAACGTTCCCAGAAACGCAAGGCGGCCGAAGTCACCGAGTCTGCGCCTCCCAACACGACCCGACGAGAACAGCACCAGAAGAAGCCTCGGAACCCCCTACCCCCTCAGGGCTCTCATCCATTTGGTGACCAGCACGGGCCTGCTATTCATGGAAATGGATCTCAGGACCCGAGAGTTTGGCAGCAAATGAATCCTCGCTCCAGCGGCGATTTCAACACGCCCGTTGATAACTATCAGTATGCCGGCCATGGCCCCTCTTCGTACGGCCAGCTTCCCCCTGGATACCCTTCCGGAGCTGCTCCATTGCCGCCACATGCTTTGCAGCATGATGTTGGAATGTCTAGGCCTGGCCAGCACGGTCAACTCCATAGCCAGGGAGGGCTCTCCATGCCACCAGGACCAATGTATGGACACCACTTTTCTACCGCTCCTGGATTGCAGCCGCAGCCTGATCCTCGTTTCTATGCTTTTGCTCAGCCATTCCCTCCAAACGCGTACGTGATCCCCCAGAATTCTGGAGATTACCATGGAGTTTATGCCCAGGCATACACTCCAGCCCCAATTCCTCAAGGCATTGCTGGCCCGGGATTCTACCACAGCCCTTCTCAGCAGCAGCCTCTTGAAGCCTCGATGTACAATGGCAGAGGATACGTGCCGCGTGGCAACATGCCCAATACTCGACCTGCTCCTGGCCCGGCTCAGTACCTCAGCCAGCCCTACGGCGGAAGTCCACACCCTCGCGCTTCACCATCTCAGGAGCCGCCCCAAGGCCGTGGACGGGAGAGCAGGCTCGCACAAGGCGGACAGAATCCTCGCTCTGCCCAGTATCCTCGAGAGGCTGGGGTTCGTACGCCATTGTCCCATGGGAACGCTGAGCAACCCTTTGGATTCTTGAGAGTGCAGCAGCAACAGCAGCAGCAGGCATGGGAGCAGGAGCAGCAACGGGCGCAACAAGCTATACAGCAACTATCGCAGCAACCCGTGCAGCAAACGATCCGGCGAAATGTAGAGGCCATTCCCCAGCAGCAACACCAGAAGCAGTTAGTGGCTCAGGGAGCCACTCGGATGGCGCAGCAGCAGGGACAACAGGCCCAAAAGCAAAAGCAGCAGCAACAGACGCGGGAGCAGAGACTAGAGCAGCATGGGCAGCAACGGTCTCAACAGCAACCCATCCGTCCCGTCACAGAGACCCGTGTTGTCAGTGGGCCTCCTCCCGTCACCACCTCGAGCCTTCAGGGTCTTCAGGAGTCACAGACGGCAGTCCCAGCTCCAGCACCACGGCAGGCGGGCCTGGAGACCAACATCATCGTCCAATCATCCCAGGTGCAGAGAAGAGACCACCAGCCTTCTCCGAACGTGGTGGACTACACGCAGCGGCCATTCGGCATCCCCGCGTTCGCCCGTGACCTTGCCGCCGGTCGATCCAGCCACTACGACGAGACCGCAAGGCGCTGGGCCGGCTCCCCGCCGGGCCACGCCCAACAGCCACGAAAGCAGGGCAACGACGACGAAGACTACATCATAATAAACGACGGCTGGCCTTATTCTCCTTCTGAAGAGTCGGACGACAGCGACAACACAGACCAGAAGCAGCCCCTCTCGCGGGCGTCGCCCGTCGACTCGACGCTGTCGGCGGAGCTGGATCAGGCCGCCAGCAAGCCCGGTGCCAAGAGCCTGCACGGCGAGCTGTTGGACGATCCGGAGGTCGCGCGCGTGCGGCGCGAGGAGGGCGAGCAGGCTGCGCTGGCCCTGGCTGGTGCCGCCAACACGCTTCATGGTGGCGGGCGCGGCCTCCACGGCGTTGCGGACGCCCAAGTTGTCGCCAATGACCAGCAGATCCAGCAGCGACAGGACGTGCTCAACGAGTACTTGCGTCATGAGGAGGAAAGGCGCGGTGCTAAGCGGCAGAAGAAGGAAGGAGCCAACGGTGACGGTGGAGGAGGTGATGTGGCCCGCGGTGGTGGTTCCGGACGTGGGGGCTCTCGTGGTGGTCCTTCTGGTGGTGTGGGTGTTTGAGAAGCCATTTTTGCTGGCCTCGAAGACGAGGAGGCACGAGTACGGATGTCGGGCGACTTGTGTGGTTGTAGGGAGGAAGAAAGTGCGGTTGGATGATGGTGTGACGACAGGAAGGCCCACGGCGTAAAACGCCGGTAGACAGACAGCATCTTTAGACAGTCCAGAGCAACCGGAGCCTGAACTTAATGAGGCGATGACCGAGCAAACAATTGATCAATGTAATTTGGCGCTGATTTTCACAATATCGGCTTCACTAACAGCAGCCTACAGATGCGCTTGTGTATGGAATTGATATTTCATCCCGACCTCTCGTGTTAGTCCACATAAGGTTCGGCCCGTCCCGCCAAGGATACGCGAATAAGAATACTACCAACAGCCAAATTTGGACTTCTCACTGGTGCCAAAATCCTATCTCGTAGAGCAGAACTAGAACATATTGAAGTCCTTTCGATTTTTTATTACTCTCTCATTCACAATGACATATTGACTGTTGACAAGCCCTGCATCGATCGGATCCTCGGCCGCATCACAGACATCCCTGGGATTCGCACTAGGGGCAGGCGGGCCTGCGACACTGTAAGGGGCGCCGTGAGGTTCGTCTCGAACTAGCTGTGGGGTGGTCTTGGATGTACGTCTCTTGTCATGATTTTGCGTCCCGCTGAGCCTTGCCAGACTCATACTTGCGACCTCGACCTTGTCATGGATGTCGTCAACGTTGCGGGGGTCGCAGCCGCTTTGCCTGAGGGTGTAGAAGTCCGTGTACTTCCTCGTGGAATTCTAGGTGTCGTGGATCATCCTCGTTTTTGTCATAGTCTTCGATCTTAGTGGAGATGCCGTGAATGTCCAACCATTCACTAGAAGAACACGGTCTGCTAAGCTGCAGCATGCGTAGATACCACATGGGGTTCATCATTTCTCTGGAAAACCCATCGTGGTGGTCGCCGTCCGCCACCCGATGTTGTTCACTCCGCGAAACAAGTAGTCTATACGTGCGGTGCACCCTGTAAGTAACTCTGAATGATCTCCAAACCAAGAGCTTTTGCACAGATTGCTTCCACACTCCACTACTCTTGCGACCAGGCCACTATGACCTAAGTATTATATTCGTAGGTTGTGAGATCCCTGTGACTATCTGCTCTGGAAAGAATCTACATGCTAAGTGCAGGTAGAATAGAGAGCTTATCCTGACACGCCACGCACAAAATTGGAGGCTCAGCTCTTTCTCCATCACGAACAACAATGCCATGTCCGTAGATGTATGAGTACCTAGATAACGATCCTTCTCCCCCGCTAGACTCATCCCTTTCTCTCTCAAACCTCTATCGTGCTAGTTCTGAAGCCGGTCATCATCACGGAGGCATCTCGCCATCAAGATGTAATTCAATGGCGTCCAATCTCTTCGCATGCCAAGCAAGCTACCTCAAATACTTCGTTCCAACATATGCACATTTGATACGCTGAGGGCCAGAGGCAAAAATATATCTGCGCCACTCACGAGTCGTCGAGACTCCTACGGATGTGGGCAAGCAGGAACGGACAGGGTTGGCCGGCGGCACAAAAAGACATGCAAGTACTGATGCAGATGATGAATAATTTCTCTTTTGAACTGGTCTTTTATGAAATGCTTTTGTACAAGCTGCAGGTCTCCCGCTCCGGCGGTTCTAGGCGCGCATCGGCCAGTCCCTCCTCTAACCCACCGCGTCCGCCAGAGACATGCCCACCTCGCAACCCCTAGAAACCACCCATGCTGACCGATTTGGAAGTTCTACACCTCTCCGATCTAATGCTGATGGACCAAACCGAATAATTTTCCAAGATAATGCAATGCCATTTCCAAGACCGCCCATGCGCAAGCACCCCACAATCTATAGCCATGCCGCCGCCTCATGCAGCTGGCGGTACCGGTGATCCCTGGCGGACGACCATGAGATGCGGCGGCGCTCCTTCAGCGTGGCCGCGAAGGCGTGAAAACGCTCGCTCGCCCGGCCGCAGGGCAGACAACCTCGCAGTCGCCCCGGCGGGCCGTCGTCATCGCTGCCGTCGAGGTAGCTTACGTCGCCCCTCGTGTACAGGGAGGAGCCGAGCGTGCCCCCATCGCTGCCTGGGTCGGGGCGGCCGTCCTACAGGCCATCCCGCTCGATTTCGTAGAACAGGAGGTATACCTCGCGCTGCATGCCGAGAACCTCCCGCGTGCTGGCCTCCTTGATCTTCTCGTCGCTGATGCGCCACCAGCGGTCTTGCTGTTTCTTCTTTGGCGGCTTGATCGTGTGCGCGGACGCCGCCGCGGTCCCGTTTGATGTGGGTGTCCCCGCCCGGCTGCCGCCACTGACGCTTCCGTGTTTCGATGGGGACATCTTTGACATTGTTGACCGGGCTGACGCAGCTATTGACCTCAGACTGCTTGTCTCGGGGTCCTTCTCCCTCGGTGCGGAGGTCGGCCCTAATTTGACAGATCCCCTGCTATTACCATTGAGATTCGGCGAGCTCCGACGACTCGTGTTGACGTGGTCTAGTGACGGGGTCGAGCCTGATGCTGGGGAGGGAAGATCGGGCGTGGCAGTCATGGGTGTTCCGTCCTCTGAGAACCGCTTCGTGGGATTCATCTGAGGCGTTGACATGGGACTAGCAGTCTTGCTGTAGATGCCAGAAGCTTGGAACGTATTTGGATTCGAGTACGGAGCATGAATGTTTTGCCTCCTGAAAGATTCGTAGTGGCCGCTGTGATGGCTGCCTTTGTGGGTGACAAGGCCTAACAGCTTGTATTTTCTGCGAAGGAGGAGCCCTCCTAGCGGCAACCGTTCTGGGAAAGCGACCTTTGCTGAGTTCTTGAGGGATGTCTGCCTGGCATAGATGGAACGGTTGAGGTGGATGGCCAGAATTTTAGGGAAAACCGTGACCCGAGTATGCCTGGCAATCTTGCGTCTCGGCGCATGCTTACTGTCCGGCAAGACGATGTCCTCTGGCGGCTCCTCTGGATTCGTATCTATTGCGCGTTGGAGTTTGTCCAATGCTTCTTGGACCTGTCTTTTGAAATCCTCGGACCTCGACTTTTCCATCTCAGCTTTAAAGACTTCCTGAGCGTGTACTAGCCTGCACTTTTCGCACTTGTAGTCCTCTATGTACTCGGTCTTGAACATGCCGTCGAAGCAGGCATTCAATGTTGTCGAAGTTGCGTCGAGCGGAACGCTGAGCGTGAGCGTGCAGAACCTCGACTCGGTCGGCCTCGGCTTGAATCCGCAGCTCAAGCACTCGATCTGAGACTCCGTCTTCCCTTCCATTGGGAAACCCTCCTCATCATCATCGTCCGGTGAGCTGAAGGCGACCTTGCTTTGCGTGGAGGGAAAAGTTCCTGGGCCGCGACCATTCTCAGCCGTCTCTTGACCTGCTAGCTCAGAGAGCCTCTGTTTGAAAGCGTCGCCGTTTATGTCGCCGGGCGGTCCGCTCGAGCTTTCCAGTCCCACTTTCCATCTGGCGTAGCCCCTTGCCCTGTGGCCCGCGTGGTATTCGTCACATAACCTCTCGGCAAGGACCTGTAGAAATTCCTGCGCATCCTGCTGCTGTCTGCTAATGCGCTGACGGAATGCCTCCTCCAGGCACTTTACAAGCGGCGCGGCAGTGATGGTCTTCTTGTATATCGGTCTCTCATTCAACTGGTCAAGCATTTCTTTCAAGCCCTGTGTGACGAGACCCCTTTGTTGGCCCTCGATCTTCCATTCCGGCTCCGACTTTATGTGCTCGTTGTCGCCGTTGGCATACTCCTTGAAGTCCCTCGGAACAGCCTGAGTATATATCCAGCCCTCGTCAATGGTGCGGCGGTGCATCTCCCGGATCAAGTAGACGCGCAGGTCGCCAAGGCCGGCGATAGCTTGTAATATGGAGTTGATGAAGCAGTCATTGGCCGGGTTGGCGAGGCCGACAATGACGCCCTTCTTCCGGCCGCCGCCGGTCAAGAAGTTGGTGGAGCTGGAGGCGGCGGCATCGCTGTCGAGGAAGTAGGTGGGCGCAAAAACATAGATGAGGGTTGCGGCGGCCAGAGACGCCCCGGCCGCGTAGGCAGCGACCGTTAAGGGCTTCTCCGGCATATCAGGAGTGGCGCACTCGGTGCAGCTCGAGAGGTGCAGAAGCACTGTTTTTGGTTATGCTCCGTGTCGATCAGGTCAGAGTCGTCGGGTGCGGAAGGGGTCGCTGGTCGGGATGGCGGGAGACTCGGAATTGGGCCGTGGGACCCGGCTCTCTGGCGACAACGAGGGCGAGGGGTCGACACTGATGTAACCTGCGCCGAGATGGCTCGTGTAGTCTATATGTGCAAGAGAAGACTGGCAAGAATCCAGAGTACAGTGCAGTACAGTCTCAGTACAACACAGCGACAGGGGCCGCGGGGAGGACGGTCAGACAAAAATCGAGCGCATCGAGGGGGGAGAGCAGTGACGGTGGCCGAGCAGAGACACGGCCAGGCCGGGGAGGCAGACGGCAGAAGAGAGCACCTGGAAGTCAGCAGGCTGAGGCACCAGAATTGAAGTACAAGGAATTCATCTCGAGGTTCTCGAGGTGCGGCAAGCAGGTACTGTGACAGTAGGCAAGTAGGGTGGGAAGAGGTGGGAGGTCGGGCTGTGGGTTGAAGCGGCTGTGGACCCTCCTGTTCCTGCTCATGTGTGTGGGGGGAGACGCAGGAGCAGGCGCAGGTGCGGCACTGCGGCTCGCGGGTTGCCCATCTGGCAGCAGCAGTGAGTGGGTCGCCTGTTCGGCTCTGGGCCCGGCATTGACCCAAGATCCGTACTCCGGAGGGGACGACCGACGAGCAGTCGTCGTCTTGTGCAAGGCATAAAGATGGCAATTTCTGTCCCCATTCAACGTTACCCGGCGCGTGTGTTTGCTTTTGCGGGCTTGAGGGCTCATCCTTGAACCAACCATCGAGTCCCTCGAGCTGCCAGCCATTGAACCCCGCCGCCTCATTCCTTTTGGAGGCTAAAGACGCCACCAGTCCGACCCAATTCAACCACTGCTGCGTTGGTCACGGAAGCCGTGACGTGTCGAAGTGCCTGCTTTGATCGAAGTGCTTATATGCGAAGTCATTTATTGCCCAAGTGCAACTACATGAAACGAAACGGGTGGTATGGTGTGGCATGTGCCTGCGAACATTTGGGCCTCCACAGAGAGGCGAGAGCCGCTATGGGAACAGGCTGAGGAAGGCTACAGTATTTGTTAGTTACAGTAGTTCAACTGATTTAATTAGATTAGACTCGTGGTCCCTAGACCTCAAGTCCAGCCACACCCAATCACTCAGTCACTCGCGATGAGACCTTGTCAAGACATTGAGACACAGCCTTGAAACCTTCGATAAGATGGATGCAACATTGCCTCCAGACAGTCGGGTCCAACGCAAAGCAGACAGGCACGCCTCCTCCTACTAACCACCAGTAACAGCACGTTACAAACAGTTGGCCTGAGCTAGTTGCTCGTATTCATCCAAAAGCGTGCCCTTTGCCAACCCGGTCTTTACAATATTGCGATGAATGTCTGTCTGGCTGAGGGTACCGTCCAGAGCGAGCACGAGTAACCATTCTCACCTTCTAGATATAATCGACTTGGGCGAGTTTTTTATCAGAAATTATTATAGGGTGTTTGTTTCGAGACAACCTGATGGACGGAACCTATGGCGGACCCCCCTCCCCCGGGGGGCGATATATCCCGGGAGTTCTGGGCCCACAATAGTATGAGACACCTCTAAACAAGTCTGTCGAAGGTATATACTTGCTTTAAGAAGTCCAGGCTCGGGACGGCACGGGATATATACCGTGACCGCCCATATTAACAACAGGAGCGTTAGCATTGTACAACTCCTCCTTCTGCTTTGTCGCAGCGCTCTTATGATTCTTAGCCTGGTAGCTGCCACTCAGACGGGTCAGCCCAGCGCATATAAGGATTAAGAGAACGAGTGGCTAAGAGTACATTCCTTACATCATGTCAGGGGCTCTCAATGGATGAGTAGCCAACTGCCTATCTCCCATAACAATATTTCTCAGCTTGTTTGATAATAATTGCTGGCCAGGAACTGCTGTCTGTGTATTGACTATTCTACCTGCCAATGATGTACAAATTGATCATCGCTGCAGACTCAATTCGTTAACTACGCAATTAGAATCTGACTATATGATCGGATCAGACCTTGTACAGAGTAAGCTGTCAGACACTTGAAACGATGCCCCCGTTTGGGTCAACATGGTCTTTTGCTAGAACAGCCATCACTTCATGTATCTGCTCGAAGTCAAATGTTGTCACCTGGTCTAAGCAAGTGCAGTTTCATGATATGTTGTTCATGTGATGGCCCAGGATCAGAATGTTCTGTCTCAATGCTATTTACCGCACTGAGAATAAAATGTACCAGCCCTAGATGCTTATTTCGTGGTTCACAGATTGCATTCCCTCAGTCTCGGTAAGGTGTATCACGCAGAAATACAATTTCATCTCACTTATCGTACAAGTCCACCCGGTACACCAACCCAATCGCGCCGCAACCCAGCCCGGGCATCTCAAGTTTCAACAACCCTGATCTTCCCCCTCAGCGTTTCTCTCCGCTTGTCCGCCCTGCTCCGCAAGCCCACACTCTGCCTCGCGCGCTGGAACAAGCTCGCGCTGGCGGATAGCGGGCTGCGCGACCCCGTAGAACCAGCCTCAGCCGGCGACCGCGGCGCGTCCGGCCCCTCAGACCAGCGCGGGGACTCGGGCGGTGGCGCCGCGACCCTGGCGGCCGCGGAGAGCTTGTGGTCGCCGTAGGGGGACGGCGACGAGGACGGCGTCGGCGCGCGCGACTGCCGCTTGCTGCTGCTGCCGCTGCCGCCGCCGAAGACCTTGGCCAGGATCGAGGTGCGCTTGCTGTCCTCCTCGTCGTTGTCGAAGGCGCTCCGCGCCGAGCTCGGGGGCGGGTAGGGCGTCCGCTGGGGCACGCTGTATTTCCCGGGCTTGGGGGACTCCCCGTTCGGTTCAAGCGGTGTTGGCACGCGGCCCCTGCTGGACGCGCGGCGGTCGGAGAGGCTCCCTGGCCTTCGGTCGACTGAGACAGGTGACGAAAGAGGCTGCGGTGAGGACGACGGCGAGATTTGGTCATGCCCATCGACGGTGAGGGCCTCGACTGGGCTGGCGTCCCAAACGAGGCTGCGCTGCTTGTACACAGGGGAAGATGGGCCCGTGTCTACACTGGTCATCAACTCCGAGGCGCGCGGGCTGCACTTGGTTGTGTCGCTGCCACTGGCGTAGTGAGGGACAACGGTGGCCGAGCTCTTCCTGGACGACCCCCAAGAGCCCGTGTTGCTGCTTTGGCGGTAATGGGCCTTGAAGTCTGTCAGCGAACCGCGCTGGCTGGACGTGTCTGTTTCCCGCAAAGCAAAACTGCTCAACCGAAGCCTTGGGGCCTCGGGGACGGGCGCCGTCGAGACGGGTCGACTCGAGGGGGTACTATAGGTGGGCGCGGTAAGTTGTGTCATTAACCCATTGGGGTCGCTGTGTAAGGAGTATTCAGAGAAGTCCGAGTCGGGCTCGCTGATCGTCGCTTCCAAGCCCTCCATGGAATATGTGCTGGAAGCTGGCGATATAGGGGACACTTCATCCGGGATCGAGTACTGCTCTGGTTGTTGGTGGGTCTCACTGGAGCTGCTCGAGCCGATATCCTCCAATCCTGTGAGCTGCTTGATCTTCTGCGCTGAGTTATGTAACGATGGCTCCAAGGAGGCCAGGCTCATGGACGGGCTGATATTTCCAGTCAGGCGAAGTATCTTCTGCCTGCTATGTCTCGGTTGAGGAGACAGTATCTCATTAGATGGTATCGTAGGAATGCTACTCGCGTCATTCTCTGGAAGAGAGCGGCTTCGTGGTGTTCCATTGCGACCGTCTAACATGACCGGTGTCTCATCACTCCGCTTATCCCAGTCGACATAGTGCCTGTTGTTCAAGTCTCGCTTTGATGTCTTGAAAGCGTTCTTCAAGTCTGGAATAGAGAATGATGTCCGAGGCGGAATGGCTGGCAACGGCTTCGCCTCGTAGTCGGCCGAATGCTTCGGCGGTGCAAAATCGGCGTCCATGATGATTGCCGGCACCCTGCCGGCGCCGACAACATCGTGGTGGCCCGTATTCATGTTCAGGTAGTATCACTCGCCAGTATCACCAAGCCACGGTGTTGTCCGGAGACAGCATGGATGCGAGATGTGCACCTGAAGGTGCCAACTGACTATATTGATTGTGGTCGCGGTGCTATCATCCTTTGGGGTCCAGCATACAAAGACGGCGTAAGATTGGCGCAGCCGACCAGCCGCTTTCAGCCCGTGTCACTTGACGATGCCATCCCGTCTTTTTTTTAACAAAGAAATGCACGATGGAGAGTAGATCCTACCGCATGCTTAGCTCAAACTAATGCTGCATTGCTGTCATTCATGATCAATGATGACGGACACTAGCCGCTGCCACAACGGGCGTCGGTGGACTTTTAAGGAGCACCAAGCCGACGTCCTTTGGCGTATGGGCGGATCATCGAACCGCGCCTCTGCCCCAGCTCATTCTGCTGAAGCTGAAAGCGAGATGTGCGTATCCAAGGGGGCCAAAAAGCCCAGCCTCGATATGTCGCCGTGTAAAAAAAGATCAATTGCAGCTTCAAATCCTTACGCACAGCACCACAAGCAGCCCATTGACTGTCAAGTAGTCTTTTGTCGTGAATCATGAGCGCCCACTTGCTGCAAGACTTGGTAAAGAGGGCACCAGGGCTTCCAAGCTGGCGCAAATGAGGACGCGTGCTGATTGGCGCTGTGTGCACATCTGCACAATGCCCCTTGACGCCGTTCTACGGGCGGGGGAAAAGAATAAGGATCTACCGCGGGTAGTCAGCGGTTTGAAGGCACCTGTTCTGTGGATCTGAGGAATCAAGCAGTGCCATTTGGGACAGACGTTGGGAAACACCACGCTGTGTCTCGGCTGCATAGCCTGGACCGCCAACCAGCAACCGGGAATAGTGCAAAATTTATGAATCAATCAAAGTCTCCGGCGTCGGGGGATTTTGCGCCCTTCCCGCGTTCGCCAAGAGACGGAAAGAGATCCTGCAGCCACCCCGGAACCCCGGAACGGCATTGGTGTTACCTGGCCTGGGGGACTGATTGACGACACCCCTTCTGGAAGGATTGTACCAGGGATGTCCGGGCTACACAGGGCATGTGTTTGTGTTGCCGTGGCTCATACAATGACGATCGGCGGGCGTGTGGGTGAGATGATAGCGATTACCCATAGAAACAGGCGTCTGGTCGCCGGCTGAATGTTGCGATATTTGATGAGAGGGAGGGAGATTTGTGACAGCAGGCAAAAACAGACGGCCAAGAGAGTCATTTGGGCCGACAGATCTCATCTAGCTCGAACGAAAGCCTGTCACAAACTGTCGCAGCTTGGCAATGCCACGTCGAATTGGAAGGGGAAAAGACGTGCGGATTTATTTCCATCTGATCCAGCAGCAAGGAGCAAGGGGGCTCGGTCCGTCGGTCTGTCTTCAGCCCATCAGTCCTCAGTGCTCATGCCCCCAGCCCCTGAGGAATGATTTGTGCTGTGCAGCTGTGAGGGAGGGCAGCGCGCGTTCAGTCTCTGTCAGAGTTCCCCTTCCTGGACCGATCGCCATCATTAGGCCCCACTTTTCGGTCGCGTCGTTGACAATCTTAGAAATGCTGAGGGGCAGAAGGTTCCAACTCCTTGCACCTCACCGCCTCCCACCATCAGCAGGACCACCACCATCACCACCACACCACCGACGATCTGCTGACTGACAGACAACAGAACAGGCGAAGCGCTGGGGAGGCTGTCTGTTCTTGTTCCTGATCCGGGGGAGAGCTGTTGCTCTTGCCGTGGTTGCTTTGCATTGCTACTCTGGTTCCCCGATGAAACACGCAACCAGTCAAGTCGGGGCGCCAAAGCACGGGGCCAGCCGACTCGGTGTCTGCTAGTGCAGGCCGTTCATGGACAACAACTGGCGAAACAGCTCTAGTGAACTAATCCGATGATGGGTGATGGCCATGTTGTGCCTTTCCTGCTGCCTGTTGGTCTGTTGATCTGTTGGGCTGGTGGTTGTCTGTTTTCCGCGGGTGAGCAATGCAACAGGTGAGACACAGCCATCCAGCCATCCAGACGAGATCCTCCTCGTGAAGGTGGAGCCGTATGGGATTGGCACCGCTTGACTTTCCAATCCTCCTTGGCCCTGGCCCCAGCCTGGCCCATACTAATTTGTGCGCGCGCACGCTGATGACTGGACACGTCGGATACCTCAGTCGGGCTCTGGCGAGCCCTTTGTCTGTCCTTGAGTCCTCCTGAGTCCTGGTTGCTGACGGCTATGGGTCTCCTGGCTGCTTGCGTCACTGGGACTGGCTCTCCCTCATCTCGACGGTGGATGCTGGCCCGACGCGAGTCTCCGCAGAGGCTCAGACCGATCGTGGACAGCTTGATCCAAGGATGGTCCCCAGAGTTTCCTTCCTTGGGCTTGGCCGACGTCTGTCCTGCCCTTGACATCCGAGTGGATATGGCAGATTTATTACCTCTCCCATCTCTATCTACTATCTAGACTACAACAAGGCTGTGCCCGTGAAAGCTCCTAGTGGCGCATTCCTTTGCGTGTGGTGGTTTCAAGCCTGGATCCAAGATCCAGCTCGTCGCATCTGCTTTCCTCGCGAGTTTCGTCTCGTCCTTTCCAGTTCAGTCCACGTCCATCTCACGTCACTTGCGTCCGTGACCGTCGCCTCCGGTCAATCGCGTCCCTCTCTCGCCTACTCCTGCCTTCCAAAGGGAGAGCTCTGTCACATCCGTCCACGGCAAGTTCGGACACAACAGAGCAGAGCAGAGCAGCCAACAGTCCTTCTCACCACCAGTAGAGCCTAGGCGACGAGAATGCGATACTCTTCAACAACTTCACAAGCCACCTAGGAATCACGCCGTGAATATGTTCCAGTCCTTACCTCGCCCCTCGCGGCGCTTCCTCATCATCCTCGCCTCGATCCTGATACCCCTCTATATCGAAGCTTTCCTCCACTGGCGCACCTTCGACATCCCGCGCCCCTCGCACGACCTCGACCCTCCCTTCCAGTTGGGCTGCCGAGAGCCAGACGTCCATGGCAAACGCGAGAACGCTGCACTGGTCATGCTGGCCCAGAACTCGGAGATTGACGCCGCTAAGCGCACAGTCGACTCTGTCGAGGCCAAGTTCAACCGCTGGTTCCACTACCCCTACGTCTTCCTCAACGACAAGCCCTGGGACCCCGAGTTCGTGCGCATCATGAACCAGACCGTCAGCGGGGAGGCGAAGTTCGAGGTCATCCCAGAGAGGGAGTGGACTTACCCGTCGTGGATCGACAAGGAGGCGGCGCAGCAGAGCATTCTGGAGCAAGGGGAGAGGGGAGTACACTACGGAGGCAGAGAAGGATACCATCACATGTGCCGCTTCTTTTCAGGGTACGTCCATGAGCCAAGCAATTTTGCGTGCACACTCAGTTGGTTTGGTGATTCTCGTGACTGACGGCAGATGCGCCTCTACAGCAAGTTCTACACCCTGGAAGCCCTGCAACAATACAAGTGGTACTGGCGACTAGAACCCAACGTCGACTTCTCGTGCTCGATCACCTACGACCCTTTTGTGAAAATGGCCCAGCACAAGAAAGTGTACGGATGGACCATGAGCCTGTGGGAGGAGGGCAACACCTGCCCGAGCCTCTTCCGGCACATGGCTGACTGGAAGGAAGCCAACAAGATCCCGACCAATGACTTGTGGAAAGCTATGATGTCGGCGTCCTGGCTGCCCTACCCGTTCCGGAGGTTTTTTAGCTGGCTGCCCCATCATGACAAGCTTGGCGATGTGTGGAGCATGTGCCACTATTGGAGTAATTTTGAGATTGCCGATCTGGACTTCTTCAGGAGCAAAAGCTACCAGGACCTTTTCCAATATCTGGATCAGAAGGAGGGCTTTTATCACGAGAGGGTAGGTCGCAACATTTGACGCCATTCGCACCACAAGGTTTAGGGTATGCTAACTCCAATGCTCCAGTGGGGTGACGCTGCAGTCCACTCCCTCGCGCTCGGCATGCTTGTCGGGCCCGAGCGGGTTCACCACTTCTCCGACTTCGCGTATCGCCACGGCAGCTACCAACAGTGCCCGGCCAACACGCTCGGCGGCCAGCTCGAGGGCTCGGTCGCGCTGGGCGACGCCCTGTACTCCGAGGAGCAGGAAGGCGGCGTCGGTTGCCGGTGCACATGCGACGCGAGCAAGCCGATCAACTTCCCGGGCTACTGCGCTAACAAGCTCAAGCAGCCCAACAGCCCCAAGCGGCCATGGCTGACGTGGTTCCTCTGAACGTGTACTGAAGATTCGTGGCGATGATTTTGCCAATTGTGAAGGGAAGAAGACCAAGAAAATTATTACGATACCCCCCCATTCGTTTCTGCTTTACTCTTGCCGGCGGAGGCAATATGAGCATGGTTCATGACTGGCGTTTTCCAAAGATAGAAGGGGTTCTGAGCTCATGACGGGATTGGCTTTCAAGACTCCAGTTGCTGTTTTGCACGGCAGCGAAGACAGTCTAGCTGGGCATAGGGCGGCGTTCTCAGACCAAGGAACCAAAAAAAGTCAGGTCGGAATGGCTTGATATGTACTAATTCAATTCTAATTATGATTGCGCCATCAAACTCCCAATCTCTTGAAACGTGGTATCATCACTGCGAAATGCTATGAAAAACAATTACCCAAGACCGTAACCCCTGGTGTAGAAATCGAACCGCCTGTCATTCTCACAAAGCCTTGGCAGAATAAGGAACAAGAAGCCCTATTCCTCATCGTCTTCATACTTGCCCTGATAGTCACCCAAAAGTATGTCGTCCACCGCCAGACCCGCATTGTTGTTATTCCGCAGCCACTCGGTCTCGACGCGGAAGAAGATCCAGACCCAACGGCGGAAGACCTCGAGGAATTCGATGACGAAGATGGAGGACTCGAAATCGACAATGTGATCCAGGTGCGGGCTGAGCTTCAGACTCCACGTACACCTTAGCATGAGATCCATCGCGATGACGAGGTAGTAGAGGGCCGGCCCGCCGACCATCAGCCTCCGCCGCAGGCCGAACGCGTGCTCAGGCGATTCGCGCTCGCGCTTCGGCGCGAAGAGCGTCAGGTCCCAATCCTTGGTGACGTCCCAGTAAAAGCTGTACAGGCTATTGACCAGGCAGGCGGCGACCCAAGCGCGGTACAGGCCGACCTTGCTGACGCCAGGGGCGTCGTTGGGCAGGTTGCGCTGCAGGGCGCTGAAGAGGAGCACCGGGAAGGCCGTGGCGTACTTGCACGCGTTGGCGAGGTGCTGGCCGCCCCAGCCGACGCTCTCCTTGTAGGGGGCGGCGCGCACGCGCACGAACTCGATCAGGCACTGGCGCAGCCGGATCAGGTACGGCAGGGCCATGATGAGCGGCACGAGCACCCTGCCGCCGCAGTTGCGGTCGGGTCGGTCGGTGGCGCTGCCGGTCTCGCCGTGGAAGAACATCATACAGATGCACACGAACAGGTCGCCGAAGACCTTGGCGTACGACGTCAGCACATCGGCCAGCAGGATGTCGCCGAACTTGCCGTCGCTGGCCTGCGCGAGGCCGCCGATGCTCACCCGCTTCAGCGTCGCCACGAGGCGGGACCGCCCGCCATGCGACAGCGCAAGGGGCCGCAACGGTAGGATGAAGAGCATGGCCAGGACGACCAGGTAGGTCATGGGCATCCAGTCATAGTAGACGACGAGCTTCGGATCGCGGTGGGAGAACAGCCAAAAGGTGACGATTGAGAAGGCCAGGGTCGACGATATCACGGTCGCGAGCCGATAGGTCGATCTGTGGTGGGGAGGATGGGAGGCTGAGGGCCGTTGTGGGTAGCGAATGAGCGAGGGCACATCAATCTTGAGATTGTAAAGATGGTGTAGGTTGATGCCCCATCCCCAGACAGCTGCAAGAGGAATACAGTGGTTAGCATCGGCCAGTGAAGACCTGTCAATTGGAGGGGGGGGGGGGGTTGGTGTCTTACCTAGGACGACGATGAAGGCGACGCGGTAGGGCAAGGGGAAGGTCAGGCTGAAGGAGTCGAGCTGTGGCTCAACCGCCGGGTCGCCGTCCATTGTGGTCGCCTGCCTATATCCGTCCTCCTATGAAGCGCTGTCTGGTAGCCGAATACATCGAAAAGGGTTGAATGAGAGGAGATCCCGTAGGACATAGGGCCTAGGGCGTCGAGAGGGCGTCGATTGACCAGGCTGAGGATGGAGGAAACACACCGATAAGCAAGCTACGTGGAGGTCGTACGTAGTCTCTACATGCACACGTCGCAGTTTGAAAAGTGCCTCTTTAATTTTAGGGGCTTGAACGTCATCGGCAGCGGAGCCCCCTTGCCTGCATTAGCGGCTGAAATTGGGACCAGCCTTCCCTGTCAACCTGGACGGTACCCCTGCGCTCCAGTGGGCGTCTTGTGCCGAGGCACATCTCCTCATCTGCCCAGGTATGCCGGTTATCAGCCTTACAACCACAACGTGAAGCCTCGAGATTGACGGTTCAGACCCCCAGCTACTGCCTCGTCACCGACCACGACGCGGCCAGGAAAATGCTCGCAAGTCGACTAGGTGAACTGCTGACGACTCCTGGGCAGAATACACCTTGAAACTATGGCCTCTACCACTCAGTTGCCCGCGGCGCGGTCGAGCACTGCCTCGTCGCCTTTCCCATACGCCTCTGCACCAGACATCATCCGCGCCCACCAGAAAGACGCATACTTCCAAGGGCTGCTGACGAACCAGCTAGTCGACCTCCACAGACGACTGCTCGGCGCCCGCTCCGCACACGCATGGGCCAACGAGTCGCGCACCGCGGCTGACCTGCTCTACCTCTGCCTGACCACCCTGATAGGGAACCGCACACTGGGCGAGGAGTACTGCGACCTGATACAGATCGAGGAGCCCTCCACGCCCAAGCTGACATCCTCAAATCACGATGACAAAACAAGCACAGCTGCAGCATCACTAGGCGGCCCAAAACTCCCGTCCATCGGCCGCCGGTCGAGCCTCATCGCCCTCTCAGTCGCCGTGCCCTACGTCCTCTCGCGGCTCCTGCCTAAGGTCCGCAGCCGGCTTCGCCAGCGCCTGGAGGGGCGCCTGGCGGAGCTCCAGAGGCAGCACAAGGCGGCGCACAACAGCGCCGAGTACCGAGTGAAGCGGTACGTGCTGACGCACCTGACGGGGCTGACGTCGGGCGCGCACCTGCACGCCGCGGTGCTGGCGACCTTCTACTTCACGGGCGCCTACTACTCGCTGTCGAAGCGCCTCACGGGGCTGCGCTACGTCTTCACGCGCCGGCTGCCGGAGCACCCGGGCGGCGCCGCCGAGGGCAGGGACGGGCGCGCCGGCTACGAGGTGCTGGGCGTGCTGCTCGTCGTGCAGCTGGCCGTGCAGGCCTACCTGCACATGCGGTCCACGCTCGCCACCGCCGGCACCGCCGAGGACGCCAGCGTCGAGGCGGCCATCCGGGAGCGGGCGTTTGGCTCCGCCGCGGCCGCCGACGTCTCGCTCGACCACGCGCACAGCTACGGCAGCGGCAACAACGACCTGCTCCTGAGCGCCGGGGCCGGGGCCGGGGCCGGGGGCCGGCGGTCCAAGGCCGCCATCGGGGCGACGACGCACACGCCGGTGCCCAGGGGCGACGGCGCCAGGTACGACCTCGGCGGCGGCGACGCGGTCATGGCATGGATCAAGGGCCGGTCGCAGCGCAAGTGCACGCTGTGCCTGGAGGAGCTCAAGGACCCCTCGGCGACGCAGTGCGGACACGTCTTCTGCTGGTCGTGCATCGGCGACTGGGTCAGGGAGAAGCCCGAGTGCCCGCTGTGCAGGCGGGAGGCCTTGGTGCAGCACATCCTGCCCTTGCGCGTGGCGTAAGCTGAGAGGCGGCCTCTAGCTTTGGTTGTGGGACGGCGAGCTTGTAACCATTATCGGATGTGCAATAGCGAAATGAACTTATGAGTACGAAAAAGAGCGCCCGCGGGCTGAAACATTCGCGAAGTCCCATGGGTGAGCAGGGTTGCGAGCATTCCTAGGACATCGTTCTCACAGGAGGCTATGCTATATTAGACCTCCAAGACGAAATTAAACGGCCACTTCGTTCATCAGAAACACCCAAGAATGAGTAAAATTGGTCTACTTGGCCAGGCTATTGGAACCAGGAAAAGAAGACATGAAACCCGAAGCGCCCGTGCAGGATTGGCCGCTACTCCTGTCCCTGCTCTATAAGCTCCATTGAGATCCAGCTGAGGAGCGAACCCATTAGTCTGCGACCGCTTCCTAATAAGTGGAAAATACGTGACATGAGGATCCCAGGTGTCCTAACCGTCCGTCAGGGCATTTCCGTTCATACAGAGCTGCCTTTGCATTGAACCCTTTTGGGGAAGGGTGCAAGAGTAAGCGCTTTGTCTTCCAAATACAGAGCATCAAGCCCATAGTACACATTGAGGTATCATTAAGACCGTCCCAAATCACCATGTTAACTCCACTCCAAGCCAAGTCAAGGCCAGATGCCGCCTCGGCGGCTGATATGCAAAACCGTGATATGCTGCAAACCCACTTGATAACCCATCACTCCTCGTCGGGTGCGCTGTACAACACGATCTCCCCTTGCTCGTTGCGACGCAGGCGTAGCGAGCGGAACAGCTCCTTCTCTTCCCTTGACCTGGACACGTCGTGGCCGGTGTTGCTGCGTTCGCGGTGATATCGTCTCAAAGCCTTGCTCACACTGCAGCCGCGGTGGCTGTCCAGACCCTTCTTGACCAGGCTAAAGAATAAGTCTGCCTGAGGCTTGTAGACGACCAAAGTGCCTGGCCCATCTCTGGACTCTCCCTCGTCATTCTTGTTGTACTCGAGCATCTTAACCTCCTTGGCACCTTCTAGTCGTTTTGAGGTGTGGGAATGACGCTTCTTGGTGGAAGCTGACGTTGTTGTGGAAGTGTGCTTGCGCTTCTTGGATTTGGTTGCCGTTTTCGAGTTCCCGCTTGCAAGCATTGAGGTAATACCACTAAAAATCCCACTATCTGGCCGGCTGGACTTGTGGTGTTTGGAATGTTTCGACTTTTTCAATGGACTCGCAGGGTTCTCAGCAACCTCTCCGCCAGAACCCGAATAGTCAGGTGATGGGGGGAAGGCATGCGGCCTGCTCATGAGGCGGTTCAGTCCCCCGGTTAGATCAGAGTGAAGGATGGGCGCATCCGGCATTTCGAGGTCACGGGTGTCCACGTGCAAACGCTTTCGCTTCTTGTCCTTCTTGTCCTCCTTGCTTGCCTTCTTTCGTTCCCTCCTGGGTGCAGGCGTATCATAGGAGTTGGCCTCGGCCGGTACAGGGCCTGAGCCGTACTGGATGAGGGCCTCGTCGTCGGCCATCATGTCCGCATCGATATCTTGGTAGGGTTCCCGCTTGTACTCGTATCGCACCAGCTCCGTGCTCTCTGCAGGTTCCTGGGCTGGACCAACAGCCTGTGGTATTGCGACGGTGGAGGCGCTCGGTGTTGCGTTCACCTGATAGTCGAAGACGTTGAAACCACCAAAAGTCGCTGGCGGGCTGGGAGCGTGAGGTGGTGCGGCCGGTACATCCTCCCATCCCTCATAGTCGGCGACCTCCTCCACGTAAGCTGCGTAAGCCATGTCCTTTTGCGCAGACTGTGTGTTTGTTGGTGCAGTCTTTGCCTTTTTGTTTTTGTAAAGAGCTCCTTGATACTTCTGTTCCTCGGTCATGCAACTCTGCGAGCTGATCAGTTTGGGGTTGCTGGCCCAGGTGGTACGCCTAGCGTAACATTGGATGTCATACCGTGTGGGATCGATAATCGTTGCCGTAGAAATGGACCATGCAATCAATGCAAGTGAAGGTAGCGCCACGACAACGGTTCTTGTGTGGATCAAGTTTCTTCTTGGTCAAGACATCACCGCAGGCTACATTTGGGACAGAAGGTCAGTTTGCTTTCGATGAGGCGGATGATGCGCAGGTGGCGGAAGGTTGATAAGAAGGAGTTGCATAAAGCCCGAGATGAGGCGTGCGTGGGTGTTTGGGTTCTGGGGAAGGATATACTGGAATTGGGATTGTCATAATGCAGCAGAGACACGGACTGGGGGTGGTCTCAATGCCATCAGACGGAAAGGGGCAGTAGCTGGAGGGCGGGAATGCGACAGAGGGAGGACATGGTGGAGGGGGTGTGTGACATCAAGTCCGGCCTGTGTGGCACCAAGATGGCGTAGGAGGGAGGGAGGGGTGTGCATAGGGAGGGCCGGGGAGGATGTGTAGACAAGACATGAGCTCACCATAGTGGCACAGAGTCTAATCAAGTGATGAAGGATTGGGGTGATCTCGTGGCAGGGTCGAGTCGGGGATGTCCTGACTTACCTTCGCACTGGAAGCTCACCATCTTGGCTGCGGGTAGTAATCGCAAGTGGCCGTTCGTGCCCTCTCTGAGAACTAGGCGAGCAAGTGATTGGTACCAGGGAGCCGAAGATGACGAACAGGACGTGTGGGTGTCTTTGACTGGACGCGCTGCACTAAGCTGCGCTGTCTTGCAGATTTGCCTCTTTGGCTATGTTTGCCAGAGGATTTGGCTGGGCAACAGGAGACGGCGATCCTGCTCGGTACACAGACACACGTTGATTCGGCGAACCTCGAACCTCGAACTTGCCGTTGGGAGTCTTCAGGTCTACAGTACCTGTGCCCAAAAAAAGAGTTCGTCGACAGAGAACGGTAGTTTTGGGTGCGATGCAGCTGAAACGCCTTGGACGCCGGGGCTGAGACTGACAGAGCCAGGTTGGTTGGCGAGTTAAATTTAACGCCCTGCAGTTGGAGGCGGATGGAGGGATGGAGATGAAGTGATGAAGGATTGAGCTTGGACGCGCGACTGTATGAACTGAACCGTTGGGCCCGGCTTATTGGCGGCGGTTGGACAATAACAATCAAAGGCCGGCGCGAAAGCGAGAACCGTCGTGCTGGGAACGATGCAACAAGAGAGGCTTTCTTCCACTGTGACTGAAGTTGGCGGTTGTTGACTGCAAAAGCGAGCGGTGGGGCCGCGACGGAAAAGAATAGCGAAAGTTTCTTTGCCGCAGGTCTGGGTCGCAGGGCTGAAGAAGAGCGCGCCGTGACAAGATCTTTGATCTTTGGGCGTGGGAGAATCCGCAGAGCCTCAGGAGTCAGGACAGCACGTAAACAGTGGTGTGATCAAGAAGAGGTCGGCGAGGTTCGACCACGATGGGCGTCAGTCCTTCTGGTGCTGCTGACGCTGCTGCTGCTGCTGCTGCCGCTTCTGCTGCTTCTTTTCCTCCTTCTTCTTCTGTCGCCAGTCTGGCCAATGTTGTTGACTGTTGACAATCCAGCGAGATAAGACGGGCTCGGGAAGTGGAAAAGTTTTTGCTAGTCGGGCGCCCATGCAGTTCGCTTAGGCCGTGGACGAGCCAGCGAGGGAGACAGACAGCTGCACCTTGACGTGGTGACCTTCTCGTGCTTCTCTCGAGCGCTGTTAGCGCCACGGGCCATCTAGCCTCTGGCCTCTGGCCTCTGCATTCTGGATTCGGCCCTTGCCCTTCTTGGTCGCCAAAACAACTTTCCTCCCGCCCCAGCGCGAAACGACAGGCGCGTGCTCGATTGGTTGGATCCTCTGTGTGAAGCACCAAGTGCGGATGCCAAGCAGGTCGAGCAGAATTGCCGATGTCGGGGTGTGAGCCTAGTTGGCCGTCAGCCAGCCCAGCTCTCTCTTCTGGAAACTCGGGGGTCAAGCTCCCAGCTACCGGCCTAGCTTCCTCAATTTACTGACTACATGGTAGGTTACCAGAGATAGAAAGCCTCGTTAATGCCGCGACTTGTGTGACATACAATAGTAGATACCGAGACCTATAATAGGACTAGGACTGGACTATCTGAAGTCCATCGAAGAGCAAGCCACACGAATGACGATACACTCACTCTCATCTCCTTCGAGACCAGCTGATCAACTTGGGGGCTGACTCAGTGCGAGCTGTCATGAACCAGGCGCCTCGTCCCCTGGTGGAAATCGAGGACTCTGAGCATATACAGTGCCCTCAATGACTGATCGGCCAGAGCACGCCACAGCAGGTCATGGCCCATCCAAATCGAGCAACATGGTTCAGCTCGGGACATCGTCTCTGACAACTGCTCGAGGATGTTGCTGAGCGCATACGGACGCCGACGAGGGGTCCGAGCATCTCGAAGGTTCAATCTCTTCCAGACTTCATCTGAAGTCGCGGTTGGCCGGCTCCAAGTGGGCTCATGGATCTAGAGCCATCCGGTCTTTGACGCCGCTAGACTCGCGGGTCCATCTTCGGAGCCGGACAGCTTCCTGCCTAGCTTAATCATAAGCTCACTTCCAGCTGGACGGGCTGGAGCGTGGATGGTGCGCGCTGTCATTCAATCTGGAGCCCGAACGAGGCATGACCCTGTCTTTTCGACCATATCTGAACGTGATTCTACCACAGTACCTTTGGGGTAGACCAATGTCCCCACCGGGTCGACAAGGGAGTCGCCCTGGGGCAGCAGGGAAATGTGTTTCAGGTTGCACACGACAAGCTTCTTCGACTCCGAGACGTGTGGCCACGCACCGATGAAGGACTTGTGTCAGCACAATCCTGGGCGGGCAGTCCGGTGCAGTCAATCTGGGTATAAGAGCTGCCAGGCAGCCCAACATGAACAGCCGGTATGCTTCCCGAGGTGATTGCACCAAGCCACAAACGCGTATGCTACTGGCGACTATTTGGCTTGCGAACAAGTCGCGGCAGCTAGGGGGGCTTGTTGTAGGGAGCCCACCCTCTTAGCCGGCGAATATCTCTTGGCCTTGGGAATTGTGGAAATGCTCACACTTTCCACAAATTGCACTCGCCACACATGTCGTCCAGTCGGACCCAGTCCTTTACGTTGGAAGAAAACTTTTGCGAATTGTAGCCGAGGTCATGTGTCGTGATAGATATGCCCAGATCTTCACGTCTCTTCGGCGCCAGGGATCAAGGGGCCAGCTGCTCTTTCCCACCTGGAAGAAATAGAAGAAAAGCTCCACAGAACATCAGCTCATGAGGAAAAGGTTGAAACGGCGTCTTCTCTTTTCAGCCCAGGGCTACTGGGTGTAATTAGATGCTGGCGGGCTGGCCCGGCGAGCATGCGAGCATGCGAGCACTGTGCCAGGTGGTGGATACTGCGCGGTGACTGGATACTGGCTCAACTACAGATCAACAGATCTGACATTCTGATAGACTACCCCGTCAAAGAGCGCCCGATACGAGATGGATGTGGACATGGTCTCGCAAGCCAACTTAGTCATGCTTGACACCCAGATCAACAGTCCCGAGGCATCCACAGACAGTTCCAGACGGCTCTCCTCTACAGCCAACGTCTCGGCACCATCATGCTTGCGCAGGAGCCTTCCAGGCAGAGAAGGCATATGCCACGCATCCATCGTGTGGTACCATCACGACGTCGTAATCAAGGCTGCAGTTTCCGGATTGCTAGGGCATTACATTGCACACTGGCACGGTGTTGTGCAGCTCTTGAGACGGCGGGCTGGCTAGCTGGACCCCTGAGCGGATGAAAGGCGGGACACGCAGCAGAGCCCCACATGCGAGCAAAGACGCCCTGACACCCCAGGAGCTCCTGGCTGCCGGGACCTCCCAAGGCCCTGGTCGCCCGCGCGTGGTACCACTGCTTTGGCAGGCCAGGCAGAGGCCCGCCCAAGTATCCAGGTACCGAGGTACCCTGGCAGGCCATCTCGCTGCGCCCGCATGGTGCATGGAGCATGGGGCATGGGGCATGGAGCATGGAGCTCAGCAATTCGAGGTTCGCGGTTCGTTCGTTCGTTGCTCGTTTTGTTCATTCAACGAAAGTCATCCAACTCGTCTGGCATCAACTTGCACAAGGCTCCATCCCGCCCTCACATCGCCTGGGACAAGTCGCATTGCATTAGACCACATTGCATGACATTACATTTACATTACATTACAATTCACTGCACGACACATCAAATAACGACCTCTTCGACTTGCTTTTGTCAACCAGTGGCCTGCCTGCCCGCCTGCCCTGCCAGTCTCGTCTCGGCTGTGGTGTCAGCCAGTTCCGCCCGCCTCTACCTCTACCTCTGCCTCTGCCCGTCCGTCCCATTACCCGTCCGCGTCCCCATACCCATCCATACCCAGACCCAGACCCAGTTCACGGATCTAGGGCAGACCTCGCTTGTTCCTACAGTCCCAACATCTTCCGGTCGATCTCCTTTCTTTCCTGCTTCCTTCCTTCCTTCCTTTTGTTCTTTACGATGTCTTCCCCCGGTCCTCCATCCCAAGGCTTCTTGGAGCAATCCGGCACGCTCCTCTACACCGCCGCCTCCTGGATGCGTCTGCCGGCCATAGCTTCGACTGTAAGGCATACTGCCTCCCTTCCCCTGCTCCCGGTGCTGCCTATGTCACACCCCTTCTGTTTGCTCCCCTCCGCGCCTTTACATGTCGCTCGACTTGCCCTCGCCCCGGCATCTGCCTCCCTCACCTCCGAATGCGCCGGTCCGTGACCGACGACCGAAGGCGCGACCTGAGGCACTTCGCTAATCTGATCGCGACCAAGGGCGTTGCTGCTGTGCTCACCTCCCTTCTCTATTTCAAGCAAAAGTGAGTCTGGCCCGACCCCCTTCCACAGTGTGCCCAGTCCCTCTGGTCCAGGCTGCCAGCCTACATGACAGCTCGCCGAGTCTAGTATCAAGACATTGACAAACTCCCAGGGCTCTTATTTACCCCTCGCACATGCCACCAAATGCCCGAACAGACGTCCCCCGACCCTCGCAGTTTGGCATACAAGACTTCGAAGAGTTGATGATCCCCACCAATGACGGGGAAAAGCTGTCCGCCTTCTACATGCGCGGCCCGCGTCATGGTCGCAACTCCAAGGTCACCGTGTTGATGTTCCACGGAAATGCTGGCAACATAGGGCACCGTCTACCCATCGCCCGCATGCTGATCAGTCTCACGGGCTGCAATGTCTTCATGCTGGAGTATCGAGGTTATGGTCTCTCCACGGGCGAGCCGGGCGAGTCAGGAATATGTCTCGACGCGCAAACCGCTCTCGACTATTTGCGCGACCGCGCAGAGACGAGTAGTCACAAACTCGTGATCTATGGGCAGAGCTTGGGCGGGGCAGTGAGCATCAAGCTCGTGGCAGAGAACCAGAAAGACGGCGACATTGCGGGTTTGATCCTGGAGAACACCTTCCTCTCAATGCGGAAGCTCATTCCGTCCGTCCTCCCCCCTGCGAAGTACTTGTCGCTTTTATGCCACCAAGTTTGGCCCAGCGACTCGATAATACCCAGCATCACAAAAGTGCCCGTCCTATTTCTGTCTGGCCAACAGGATGAGATTGTTCCGTAAGTACCTTCCGTTAGCTCGTCTTGGCCTACAGCACTTCCGCACTCCAGCATTCACACAGAACCTCATTTCCATATGCCGAAGCAGTATCCTTCTTGATAGGCTTGGCCGGCACTGGATACTCTGGCTTGTAACTGCCATATCGCTGTCTTCATGCATGACCTGATGTCTCGCGCTAACTATGTATGTCTCAGACCAAGTCACATGCGCAAGCTCTACGAGTTATCGCAAGCACCGAACAAGATCTTCAAGCCGCTCCCCGGAGGCGATCATAACTCTAGCGTGCTCGAGGAGGGTTACTTCGAGTCCATATCGGACTTTATCGCGTCCATCACCCAGGAATATCCCACCACGCCACCCGAGAAGAGTCGCATGTAGTCGCGCGAGTTCTTGGAGTTGGAGCGGGATGGGTCGTGAACTAAGGGCCATAGTGCGGTGCCGGACGTCTCTCACCGCCCCCCGGTGTCCGGGAACCCAGAAAAAGTTTACTTATTTGTATCAACGTGGAATTTTCGGCTTCGAGTGGGAGGGCATCTGGCGGCATGGCTGGTTGGCAGACCGGCGCCGTTAGGCATGCATTAACGAGGCTATTTTGGCCTGCGGAGTGGGAAGAAATCGCGCCTTTGATAAAGATACCCCCTTTTGAAGTTTGACTGTAACATCTATCTACCTAGCAAGCGACCATGTTTACGTCGGAGCCGGTATTTGCCTGTCTCACACAGAGCTTTACAATTGTGTTGGAGTGCACGAGGAATGGAAGCATTCGAGGTAACAACACGGCCGTCCAATGATGGGGTTTGGGCCAGGGATCTGGGTGGGTCCCAGCATACAAAGTATTCAGAAAAGAAACACAGCAGCGACAACACTCAAAGAAGCAGTCCAATGTCGAGATTTCTGTTTGAAGGGAAACCCCCACCCCTTGTCCCCCCGGTGATCATGGTGAGAAATGACGGTGTTTCAGAAAAGACCGAAAAACGAAAGCAAAGATGCCTGGGGATTCATTTTGAGGACGGAGAGATAAATCTTACTACTCTCGCCTATCTCGCGTAGAATTTCCGGTCCAAGGTGCTAACCACAAGCGACATCATATCACATCGGGGCTGATCAGCGCACAGAATGCACATGGACTGACGATCATTTCATTGCTATCGCCATTGCTATGGATGAAGCGTGCATGGGATTTTAAATAGCACGGTCCATGCACGTGGTAGATGGAGGTCCTGGCTCACTCGTTGGAGCCCGCCCCGGCTCTGTGTGAGCCCGACTGCGCGAGGGAGTAAAAGCGAGATTGCATCTCGTCAAACAACCCTCCAGCTCAGCTTGGCCAAGGGCTTTTAAAGGAAAATTGTTGACCATGTATGTCTCGGCTCACATTGAAAGGCCGAACAATTGTGCAGAGTAGCTGTCTGCATTGTTTTCCTCCTTCCAGCCGGTAAGCGACACAACGCAGCCTACTCCTCCGCGGGCACCTCCCCCTTGCTATCCTGCTTCCTCGCGCCGAGCCGCCGCAGCGCGACGAACCCAGTACCGGGGACCTTGGCGTCGATGACCGGCGCCGCGGCCCACTGCCTAGGTCGGGCGGCGCCGCGACTCGCGACCTGGGACCAGCCGCCGCCGTTGCCGCCGGAACCGTCGCCTTCGCGCCGCAGGACGTGGAGCGAGGTGGCGTCGGCCGTGCACAGAACCACCCCGCCGGCCAGGCCGCCGGCCGCAATGGCCTTGGCGACCTTTGGCTTGAGCGTGGCGAGGAGCGACTCCACCTGTGCCGGGGTCAGGGTCCCCGAGGCTATGGTCGCGGCGATCGTCTTAGTCGTGGCTTTAATGAGGACCTCGTCCGTAGGGAGGAAGCTGGTCGCGAAGGCGAGGTTGTTCTTGTGCTCTGCTGGGACCGCGGAGGCTAGGTCGGCGGCGAGAGCGGAGTCCAGCTCCTCGATGGTGAGGCCGAATTTCGGCCTCGACAGCAGCAGGGCGTTGTACGGCTGCTGGGCGGGCTTCGTGGGTGCCTCTGCACGTGCTGGCGCGGCTGCCTTGGCGATCCGCACGCACTGCATCAGTGTCTTCTTCGGGGCGGACACGAAGCGCGGGCCCTTGAAGATGCTGACATGTCGGTGGGGCTCGGGATCCTGGCTCTCGGAGTCCAAACCAAAATCCTCCGCCAGTGCGTGTAAGAATTGCCGCTGGTACGACTTCATGGGTTTGAACCGCATGTTGCGCAGGTTCGACTCGGCGAAGACGCGGAACTCACGCTCCTGCGTCTGGCCCCACTGGGTGTTGTCCCGGAAGAGCTTGAGCGTGACGGCCTGGTAGGGAATGTGATCATCCGTGTGATCTGGGTCGACATTGAGCGCTTCGGCAAGCTGTCGGTTCCGTTTCTGCCGGGCGCATTCGTCGTCGCATTTCAATGGCTCGCGTTGTGGCCCTTCCGGATTGACTCGGGTGGATAGGCACTTCACTTTCTGCTTGCGCCGTTGGCAGTCGCAAACTAGGAAGGTCTCCGATTGACATGGTCTGTCCTCATTGCAAGGCAATGGTGTATGACATTCATCAACACATTCGTGACCCTGCGGACACGACCGTCTGGGCTTATTGCATCGCTGAGAACAATGCGTGCCGGGAATGTTCACATCCTCGCATTCACCTTCTCGATGGCAAAGATTTTGACATGCGTGCAAACTAAAGTGTATGTGTCAGTAAGCCTAAAGAGCCACGCGAGCTCATGAATGTGTAAAACATACCCGCATTTCAAGTTTTTCATGCAAGGCCGGCCGCAGCGAGGTTCCTCAAACCAACATGGCTGGTTCTTCAGGATCTCTTTGCCGCAGATGCATCGCTTTTCGACCAGGAACGGGCATTTTGGACAGTCCACGTCGTCCGGGTGGCACTGGTGCTCAACCTGGGGGTGATTGCACGTCGTTCGAGGCCGAGTGCATGGGAACCTACATTGAGGAGGCTGCGTACCACACTACAAGATCAAGATCAGTGAATGTCGGACTGGGGGCTGGTGACTGATAAATACATACTGGCTGAGGAGGATAGAGCCGTGTGCGACCGCAAGCACAGCTAATTTCCTCAAATATTGCCTCGAGGCAGGAGTTGCAACTTCCTCGATGGCAGAGTTGCTCACAGAAGTGTTTCTGGCATGTCAGAAGACGCCCGCACATTCTAGAACAAATGTGCTCATCTTCAACATCTTCGGTAGCAGCACCAGCCCTGCGTCTATTCGCCTGACGCTTGGCTGCAGCTTTTTCGCCGCGACAGCAGCGGGAGTCGCATTGGTGCCTTCCACAATTCAAGGTCGCTCGGCATGTTCGGAAGCACATTGGTTGCTGGACTTCTCCGGGAGGCACTTGCTGGCAAGTGGACTCGACGGTTGTCCGGCCGCACTGGCAGGAAATATCCATCTTCTGGAAACAGGGTGGGCATTTCTCGGTGTGACAAGTCTCCTGACAAAAATGGCCACATGCCATCTTGATGCCACAGGTCTGCGTGCAATGGGCGATCTTGTCTTGACATGACTGTCGAGGCTGTGACATGATCTCCTCGAGGGGAGTCTTGCCGCAAGGGCAGTGTGTGACCACATCAGGAGACAACGGACAGTGGGCCGCTTCTTCATCCTGAGGATGACAAGGCTTCTCACACGTGTGGAAGTCGCAGTCGTATTTCCGCCCGCAGCCTTGCTCGCATGCGAATGAGCCTTCATACCAGGTGCCGGTGGGATCATCGGGCTCTCCTGTGGAATCGGCCTGCAACTGTCCAAAATTGTAACTTTCGAGTACGTCCTCGCGTCTGTTGCAAAGGATTTCTTTGCGTTCCTTACCACAGTAGCAGGTCGAAAGCACTGGGACACTGCAAGACCCGCAAAGACCAGGATGACAAGTTTGACTGCAGAAATGCTCTCCACAGGGTAGTAAATCTCCGCAAACCTCGTTACAGCTGAAGCCGTTGACATAATCTGTGTCGACACATCGTTTCTGAGAGGTATGCTTGCCGCAAAAGCAAGGCTGAACAGGGCCCATGAGCGTGCAGGGAGGACATGGGCCCGAGTGGCATGACAAGGGGCACGGATGTGGACAAGTTGCTCGTGGTTTCGTGCAAGTCTGACCACACGAGTGAGGCGGTAGGCCGGGGGTCGACCTTGGATTTAACTCCTTGGAACACCAACAGTGGTAGGGGCCCGGCTCTTCTGTCAACTTCGAGTTGCAGCCGGGGCATCGCCATGTAGGTTCCTGGCCTTGGGGCTGCTCACCCTCCATCTGGCTCTTGTACCATTTTCTGGTGCAGTGGTGGTGAACAACTGTCCAGCAAGTGGTACACGCCCATATACGTGACGTCCGAACGACTTCAGATGAGCAGATGACGCATTCGTACTGTCCATTATCGATGTCCTCGTGGATACGAGTCGTCAAGTCTGGCGCCTCAGACTTGGATGCTCTTCTGGGGAGGGGTTTTGGCGCATCCTGTGGCTTCGACTTGGGCGGTCGCCTCTCCCTCTGTGATATGGGCTGGCCTGGGACGAAGGAAGGAGCATCGGCACTAAGAGATGTTGCAGCTTCTTGATCCACTGCAGATGACAGATGCCCGCCGAATGCTCTGCGAGGAGCAATCTGGGTTCCCTGGCCAGCCTGGCCTCCCCTGCCTCCTCGCCTCCCGCCCCTCCTATCCCCCCTGCCTCTTGAGGTTGCAATTCTGGGCTCTACTGAGCTAGAAGGCCTCTCCTCGGCGGGCATGCTTGGGTTTTGTGCGGTGGCTGGGTCAGCATTGCCGCTCGACCGCGGTGGTCCTCCGCTTCCATGAGCGAGAGCTCTGTTATGCGCTCCTCGGCCTCTTCCCCGGCCGGATCTGCCTCTCCTGTTTGAGTTTGAAGTGCCCCTCTGTGAGGATGACTGTGTCGGTGCCGGTGTGACCGGCGTGACCTGAGGTTCAGCCATGACGATGTGAGTGGATGGTGAGTTGTGGCGTCCCAGACTGGGATGTCGGGAAGCCAGCGTGCTGAGGTGTGGCGTTGCGCTTTTTGAAATACAGCGACTTGTAAACGTTGGTGAATCTACAGAAGAATTGGGCGTCCTCTCGAAGCAGATTGTGAAAGTGATTCGAGGTGAAGAGATGAAAGTTGAAGGCGATATGGCTGGGCAGTCGATCTTGGTAGAGGCTGAGGTAATCCGTTTGGCCACTGCATGCAGTCGCCGTAAAACTTTGTTGCTTCGTAGACTCGGTGCAGAGAAGACAAGCGAGGCTCCTCCCTAGTGCACAGGTGGCGACTTGGCTGGGTCTTATCTGGAGCGGACCTACCAGAACCCCCCAGGGCGCAGGTGGGAAACAAAGATTTCACAGTCGTCCAGGAATTCAGAGATTCCGGCCGAGGCGAAGCCGTCTAAGAGTGACTCAGAATGAATGATGACCGGGACGATTTGATGCAGTCAAAATAGGCACCTGTAGACCCCTGTAGACCCCTGCAAGCGAGCTCCTCTAGCCGCTTATGGGCCAGCGGGCCCGAATGAAGGCGCCGTTTTGCCACCAGAGTCCCGCCCCGGGAGTCTGGATTCGGTGGAGCCTCCGCCAGAGATTGCCAAGCAGTTGCACAATGTCATCCTGCGGTCTCATTGTGTGTGACTCTTTGCACCGCCCTGCCGAAGCCAGCAAGAAAACATAACCATGCTATCCTTGAGGCTGACTGAGAACCTCGAGCCTATGACTCCTCAAGCTGGCATGGGCGAGCGTGGCTCAATCCCATACAACACTCGGCAACAAGTGTCAAAGACATGTAAAGGCTCTGGGGTTCTGGGAACGAGAATACCTCATTAGAACTTGGTATCTTCCTAGACCATCACAAAGCGGTGGAATTGGCACTAATGCTGAACTTTGGCGTTGAGGTTTATCCACACAGCCTGTGATGCCTTCAATTGTTGCAAGGAGTGGCTTCCTCTAGCAAAACCTATTACACGATAAGCTTCGCGGCCGCCGTCACGCAAAGGTTTCCGAGAGCTACTTTGTTTTAATTGAGCGCTTCAGTGGTAGAGTCTCTCACCTCAAAAAGTGGGCCAATGTGAGATATACGATTGATGTGCTCCCATTCGGCCTACATCTTTTATCTAACTCAGCCACCATCTGCCTCTATATGCAGATGAGAGAGTGCAAGAAGTCACGGGACAAATATCTTACAGGTCGCTACCTAAGCTTTTCGTTTGAACGCATCTGGTTTAAAGTACAACTGATATCTTTCCAGTAAAAACTCTCCGTCCTTGAGCTCGCTGCTTCCCGGGTCGCTGGCCCACACGAATGTCAGCCCATCTTCGATGATGCTCCCATCCTTTTCAACATGGATGGAACACGTTGCTGGCCTGTATCGGTGTGTCTCGTAGCGCTGGAGCAAGCTCAATTGCCGGTTATTCTCTGCTTGCCAATACACTCCATGGACTGTGTCCTCGATGTCCCCAGGAACTAGAGTCGGATAGAACCCCCACATTTTCAGTTTGAAGCCGTGGATCGAAGCTTTGTGCAGGTCTGGTTCAGTCGATGTCTCTGCAATCACTCTGATGACATCGGGATCCATGAGGGACCCGTAGAAGAATAAGTTTTTGGGTTTCGATTCCAGGTCGGGCTGGCGATAGAGATGCAATATCGTGTTCATGTATTCGGGGTTGGATTCCAGCATCTCCATCATGGCTTTTTTCATAGCTTCCTGTTCTTCTTGGGTTGGAATTTCCAGTGGCGGGGATGCCCTGTCCGGCTGATCACGCGTACTGTTGTCCATGTCCTCGGATATTGGGGCGCTCTTTGATCAATTTGTGATGCTGCAAAAATAAGCGTGAAGGGCTTAAAGCAGCATTCGTGGTAGGTACTTCCCAGGTTGGCTTGCTTGGTTTTGTATGCCAGTGAAGTGGCTGGGGTTTGGTGTTGGGAACATCAGCTATCTACTTAGCCGCAATGTGCTGGGCTGGAAGGATTTTCGCTAATGAACCAACCCACTGACACACTTACATAATGGCATAGTACGTACAAGTGCGTGAGTTGTTGTGCTGGTATTCGAAGTGATTTGCGCCGACGTAAAGATGTAAATCCCTGAGTTCCCTTGAACAGGAAGAGGGGACAATAGAAGAGAATAGTCCAACCCGTCTATTTTAAAGTTAGAAGTACTCTTCCCTTGCACGCTGCATAGTATGTAACGTCTTCCTCCCACATATTTGCCGACCTGGGGACTTTGCATGCTATGTTGCTTGTTACATTTATTTCTCACTGCTGTGGTGCTCGCTTATAAATAGAAGCTTCCTCTGCCCAGTGTCGATAGCGTGGGTATCCAGTCAAGTCGCTCTATAGTATTCCATACTAACTTACAGCACGCTCAGAATCGTGTCATCTCCACTGGTCCCGTAAGCGGTGCCTCCTGCACGCAGAACAAATGGAGATAACGAAATCTCTTCATGTTGGGTTTACTCTATTAACAGAGTCTCTATTCCCAGGAAGTGGATTCACCTGACCTGGAGAAATGGTCACAGTCATCTCTCATGGGCCCTTTGTCGTCGTCGCCTTTGCAGCGCAGGTTTCAAATTTTGGTTCTGTCGTAGACTGAATTTGGAGGTTTGCCTCTATTTTGGTGCATACATGGTGGTCACATCCGTGGTCTTCGGTCTTGCAAGCATGGCGGCCTGGACAGCCAGCCAAATTGACTGGAGCCACTAGAGGAGCATGTTCACCTGGGTGTGCGTGCCACCGTTACGGTGACAGGATGGGTGGACAGAAGACTAGAACAACATAAATAGCAATGCCTTCGCACCCTTCTCTTTCTTTATCCATCAATCCGATCCAAGTTCATACTCTGAAGGCGACAAAACTACTCAAAAATTATAAGTTTCTATGCAAACACTTGTTATTTCATCCCACTCAGCTTCCCCATCCAGTTAAAGCTGCTCCATTTCACAACTCTCATCTCCGAATACTGCTACCGCCTCCTCTCCAACTGAGTATTCCTGGTCAGCATTAATCTGGGATCTTGGAAATGTCTCACTCAATCGAACTCAGGTTCGGGGTTGAGATAGAGATAAGGATGGGGAGTAAGGTTCATAATTATCAAGACTGGCTTTTACTTGCTTCGGACGTAAGCCAGGAGCTTGCGAGGGCGAGAATCCCAAACCATGTCAACAAGCAATTGACAAAAAATGAGATCGATTTTATCAGGAGTAATCGTTGATCAAAGATACAACCATTCCTAATTTTCCTCGTCAGTCACGCTATAAGCATTGAATTACCTACAGCATGTCATTACTAGCAACTTGCAATTGCATACTAATAATTGGTACTTTCAGGGAGTTTTTAAATCGTATCGCCTATTCTTCTTTATCTACATGAGAAGTGGCCAGACCAGATCACCAGAGTGTGGTTAGTTCTAGATTCTAAGTTCATTGTTGAAAAACAAGTGCCCTAAATGAGCACTAATATTCATCTTTCTCCGATGCTAAGGGCGGCTGAACTTTCAATTGGATTATAAAGTTGGCAGTGGCTGCCGTCTATTTCGAGCGCTTCATCGATTCCCTGGTTCCTGAAATTCGTCGGGCCAACATCTAGTGTCAGAGTAATCGCCATAATGCCAAATTAAAGTCGCTTAAGATGCTACAGGTTTTTCAGGAACTCAAGGGCCTTTCTGAGGTTGATAGCGTGATTCGGCGCATGTGTCTAATGTCGGAGAATTCACCATACAGAAAAAAGCTCCGCAAGAAGGAGCTGTTCCTAGCATCATTTTTCCGCTGAAACTTCCTCGATTGTAAGAGCGGCAAAGGCACCGTCGAATTCAAGCAGCCTTCGGGTGCCAAAGGCAAGGAAGACGCACTCACCTGGATTACTTTCACTGTCTCTTTGCTCGCAGCAGTTGTTTCGGCCGCTGACAAACTAGGATCCGAGAAAGAACCCGCCAGTCTGGATGAGCTGAAACGTTTTGTCAAAGATGGCGCCAAGGCCGCCGAACTTCCCAACGACAATGGGCTCTCGTGGAGAAGTTATTCGCAGGAAAGACATTGCTGCTGCTCGGCATGTACGCCCACGATATCATGGACCCATCGGAGAAGGATCTTGAAAACATGATGATGAAGGTCAAAGAGAATAACATGACTCTTGAGAAGTTCAAGAACCTGTATGGATACAAGTGATTGAGTTAAGTCTGCCTAGGTGGCGACAAGATAGTGAGTGATAGAGTATCGATCATATAGACTGGAAATTTCGTGCAATCAATCTAAACCTTTCCAGGTGGCAGCATTTACACCAGTGCTTAATCAGTGTAAAAGTGTTGGCCGAAAAGAGGTCCGAAGCCTCTCACCTGGATATCCATAGTATGCTCGTTCCCGGCTGAGTGGATCTGAGCAGTGAGATCAGGAACACAGATAAGAGTACGGGAAATCCCGACACAAACTATACGGGACGAGCGGTGGGACCTGATTCCACGCTTGGCTCAGGGACCGTCATCCCCGGTAAGCTGACTACAAGACTATTACTTTAAGCTTGTGGCCACCGCAACATGGTCTTTCTATTTACAGACACAACGTGGGCTGTATCAGCAACGGAAGACCCTATGAGGCAAGTGCCGAGGCATGGAGAGTGGGATAATGATCAGCTGTTCTCGCGGCATCGAAAGGGGTTGCTCGTAAGGTCAGACGGGCACCGTGGTTGTGGGTGTGAAGCAGTCGATAGTCTGTCATATAGCGCCGCGAGAGTATAGGTAAGCTGCCTCCTTCACGAGCCAGTGAGCGACGGACTGGCTTATTGTTCACCCTATCTAAGGGCTGAGAACGGCGGCGCAGATTGAGTGCTGAGAGGGAAATATGTGGCCGAATCGGGCCAGACCCAGACGTTGGGGCGTGGCTGATGATCCCACGATGGGAACCAGTGGGGTAAAGGCGGGATCGTATAGTATGTGCACCTGTGTTGCTCTCACACAGCCGCTTTCCGCGGCTGCAGGAGCTGGAAAGCTGCGTGGGCGCTCAACGTGAGTTATGCATGTCTCATTCTGGGCGGTGGGCAGACGATGACCTGACATGTGGACTTGGCAACGCGGGAGAAGGCTTCGAGGTCATCGGACGGGAAGCGGCAACATCTGAGACATTCAGCTTAGTTGCACATGTACTCTCCCAGCGGTATGGTGACGAAAGCCCCGTCTTGCGGAGAATGAGCCCGCGTATGTAGAGAGGTGCCCAACTTTTCTTACCATCTAGCAGTACTAGGCATGTGGTCTGGAGACCATCGTGGCTGCGCATGTGGCTGGCTAGAGGCACCATCTGATATAGATTGATGGTGTGAGACTCTTACTATTAGCGCAGTTCGGCGCATCAACAACTAGGCAGCGGTTGGTTCATCGAGCTCGTAGTTCTATTAACGTCGAGAAAGTTGTGCAGACTTTGGAGTAGATGACAAACCCCCGTGTGCATGGGCTTATACAAACTTCAGTATATGATGTCAGGCTGAAATTGACCCAACGTTGAACCCGACTGCCGACAGAACTCACTATAACAAAGATGGTCGGGTAACACCAAGGTGACCCAAGCCTCGACAAATCGAAGCTGCTTCAGACTGTGCCGAAACGCATTCGATATCCCCCGAGACTACAGGACAGACATGCAAAGCCTGCTTCCATGCATGCAGCCGACGTCAAACCGGTTAGAGTACCGAGAAGATGAAGTGTGCCATTGGAGGCTGTATCTGATTCTGGCTAGCTTCCTGTGGTGCATTTTCCATTCCTGGCATGAAGATACGTGGGCAGTGCTGACGGTTGCCGAGCTTCGAGGACTTGCATGCCCGACCAGAAAATATCGCGAGAACCAGTCCATTAACTGTCCTCCCAGTGAAAGCCAGCTGGAAGCCTCGCGGAGTCTTTGAGTCATACTGCAGGTGGGTTCTCGAGCGTGGACGCCGTCGTTACTTACGTGTACCACTCCAAGCTCTGGTGTGGCGCGTGGTAATCACCGATGTGACCCTGCCATATGTAGGGTCCCGACGGACTGCAATTTGCTGACCGCCGCCCCGGGCAGTCATACAGCAACCGTGCATCATGTTGAGAGCTTTGAGTTGAGGGCTGTTGGAATCGTCGAGCACGGCCAGGTGCCCGGCTCTTGAAGCTCTTCTCCGTGTGCCTGCAGGTACGAGAGTGAGAATGACTGTGGCGTACAGCCAATTTCTAAGAGAGATGGCGGGTCAGAGAAATGGGCCGATGAACGTCGAGTTGCGAAGAGACAGACCAAGAAGAGCACGAAGAAAAGTAAGCTTGTGCGCTGACAAAGTGTCCTGTATATTTCACATTCACGATGCCACCACCAACGATGCACCCCACAATAATGCCGAACTGAGGGTTACTCGCTACCGGCAGAGGCCAGAACCCTTGACGGAGATCGCAGCAATGGATAGCACTATCTGCATTGCACAGCAATCAAGTGACCTTGGTGCCAGGTCATCAAGACGCCATTGTGCAGGACGAGGGACTACTGTACGCAGTGGATAGTAGTACTGAGGAGCTGAAGAGCGGTAGTGATAAACGGCAGTGGTGTGGGTTGGGTGGTGGGCGTGAAGTAGCCGCAGCAGCAGCAGCAGCATCAGCAAGCAGTAAGTACTGTAGAGGAAAACGGACGGATGAGACGAGGAGTAGGATCAGGATGCTGGCCCGCCCTCGTATTGTCGGGATAAGCACTGAAGTCTGCTCTGTGCTGTTGGCAAGCTCTTGCTTTGCTGATACGCGCTTGGATTGGCCAGTTTCCCATTTGGGCAGGTGGACTAACCAAACTACATGCACATGGATGATATGCGCGGGATGTTTCCTGCAGGAGCCATCCACACCTCTTGCATCCCAAATCTAAAATCTCTGATCTCTATCTCTGCCTGCTATCTGCCTGCCTTGGCTTCTCGCCTCCCCTTTCCTCGCATTTTCTCACCCTCGTCCCTTTGATACCGACCTCTCTGCCGGCTTTACCGAGTTGGCGGTGCCGAGATTGGTCATGTCCGTCACCAGCAGCGAAGAAAGGCGATTAGAGCACGGCTAGGCAGACAGTCGAGAGCCTATCCAGGGTCACCATCAAGTTTTTGAGCAACCATGACATGGATCCAGGAGCTGGACCTACTGCCTACCTAGGTGGATATTAGTATTCAAGAAGGGCTGCTAGCGGGCAACCCAATCTACTGTGGTACTACTAAGTAGATACATACAAAGACCCCAGGCATTATGAAGCCCGGTACCAAGGCTCTTCAATCAATATCGAATGACGAGAGAGGCTCTCCTCTCAGGGTCTTCCAGATTTGTCTCCCAGCAAATTTCCAGTCCGCCTTGTCACGCGTTTTGACCTGCAGTACAACCACATAGCCGCTCGTCGATCACAGAAAGTCCCGAAATTCGGCTTGGACATGCAGTCCAGCTTGCCCAACAGTCAACACCCTGCCTCCATGCCATCTTGGCAAATACGACGCGCTTGTCTAGGCCTCAACGCTCGCTTGAGCAAATGTGCATGAGGCTAACCCCCAAGCTTACCTATGTACTTGCTGCCAACCCATGTCCTCATCTGCAGCCCGGCCTGTCCCCTGTCCACCCCGTTTCTCGGGGAGGCCAAGCTTGTCAATCCCATTGACCTTGAGGGTGGACGATTCCGCTCTTGGGCAGGATAGGACGAGCTGATGGTCTGAGCCTCGTATTTTCGCTGACTGTGTCTGCAGACGTGGGACGATACTACTGTGTACTTGAGCTTGACGGGTCAGATTGGCGGCGCTCTTATCGTCATGATATATCCACTGGCGATTCCCATCTTCCGGGCCCTCGGTTAGCATTGCATAACCTCACCGTCTGCGCTCGTTGATCCAACACTCGTCCTGTTTTCGCTCCGGGGTGGGCGCTTCGTTCACGATGAAGGCCACAGTCTGCGGCCCCCAGGCCTCCGTGCTTGTGCTTCTGTCTTTTGTAAGTAGTCCTCACCATCGAGACAGCCCGACGTCCAGCTCACAATGTTTAGTTATCCACATGCAACGCTGTGATCGTTAAAAGAGCCCTGAGCCCATCTGCTACACTACCTGGAGCATGGCAATACCAAGGTTGCTACACGTAAGCAGGCATTGATGCGCCTAGATGACCGCTATGACTGATATTGTGATGCAGGGACGTTGGGAGAACAATCAATGAAGCCGCCTACAATGACGCAACGAACATGACCGCTGTTAACTGCATCAGCTTTTGCTCATCCAGGGGCTTCCAATATGCCGGAACGGAGTACAGCCAGGAGTGTTGTATGTCTATCCACGCCGCACCTTTTCCATGAGCAAGCGCTGACCAGGTATCCGAAAGACTGTGGAAGCCAACTTGCAGCCGCCGCAGCAAATGTTACCGAAGCAGACTGCTCATCACCCTGCACGGGTAATGCCAACGAAGCCTGTGGGGGAGCGAATCGTTTGACTTTATACTACAGCTCTCAGCCTGTGGGCCCTCAGCCGAACCCAGGCGCGAACGGATACAGCTACATTGGCTGTTATTCGTAAGTCATTCTGAAACTTACCGGGCAAACATGGATGAATTCTTTTCCTAACATCGAGCTCAGAGAGGGATCAAGTGGCAGGACCTTGACACACGGCATTGGAACCGTTCCAGCGGCACAGATGACAAATGCCGGGTGTATCTCAGCTTGCAAGGCAGCCGGATACTCACTGGCTGGCACTGAGTACTCAGATGAATGCTGTACGTGGATCTCTCTTGTATGCCACGTCCACAATGTTCCTTCTGTGCTAATCCTCCACAGATTGTGACAACAGCATCCAAAACGGCGGGGCACCGGCCACGAGTGGTTGTAACATGGTGTGCAATGGAAATCAGACGGAAATCTGCGGAGGTAGCAGTCGCCTCTCCATGTACTCTCTGAACGGGGTTGTGCCCAGCGCTCCGAGTTCCACTGTATCCGCAAGCACGTCAACGGCCTCCACGCCGGCAGCCACAGGGTTTCCAACGGGCTGGTCAGCCCAAGGATGCTGGGTCGATAACAACCAGAACCGTATTCTCTCCTTCATGGCCCCCGACTCTCAAACAATGACCCCCCAGTCCTGCGCCCTCACATGTAGCAACGCCGGCTACACCGTCTCAGGAACCGAGTATAGCACCCAGTGCTTCTGTGGGAATGGCATTTCGAATGGCGGTGTCCAGGCTACATCAGCCACAGAATGTAACTCAGCGTGCGCGGGAGACACCACGCAGACATGTGGTGGGCCCGACAGGCTGTCCATTGTCTCCAAAGGAGAACCTGGTGTCGAGCTGCCTCCAGCGCCGATCGGGCAGGTGGGCAGTTGGACGTACCAGGGATGTTACAATGACAATGCCAATGGCGCCAACCAACGGACCTTCCCGTGGCAGCTCATCTACGCCGGAACCTTAACTCCCGCAATATGCTTGGATAAGTGCGCGTCGTTTGGTTACGCAGCTGCCGGCCTGGAGTACGGCCAAGAGTGTTATTGTGAGTCGCTCCTGAATCCTGACATGCCCTGGTCTTCCAGCCTCAAACTGACTTCATGGTTTCAAGGCGGTGATCCACCCGATATCACAAAGAACAACGCTACGAAGCAAGCCGAGACAGGCTGCAGTATGGTCTGCGCGGGTAACTCTTCGGCCATATGCGGAGGTGAGAGCCGACTTTCAACGTACTTCTGGAACGGCACAGAACCTCTCTATACTTTTAGCTACCCCACAGGTGCCGCAGCTGGAGAATACCAGTTCCTCATTGGAGGTGTGACAATCCCTTTGATGGTGTCCGAGTCCATCACCGGCAAGGTCAGCTTCCTGTCCAAGTGGGGCACCGGGCCGGGCAACGAGACGGGTGCATATGAGCTCGACCTCACGCAAGTGAATAACTTCGCCAACGCGTGGAGGACGTTGCACGTTAAGACGGATCTCTTCTGTGCGGCTGGTGTGGTGCTTCCTGACAAGGGGGGCCGTCAGTTGACGGTGGGCGGATGGTCTGGTGAGTCGACTGAGGGTGTCCGGCTGTACTGGCCCGACGGCTCGCCTGGTGTCTGGGGCACGAACGACTGGCAGGAGAACGTCAATGAGCTTAGCCTCCAGGTCGGACGCTGGTACCCTTCGGCTTTGGTCATGGCGAATGGGTCTATTATGGTCATTGGTGGTGAGGTCGGGTCCAATGGTGCGGCTGTGCCTTCGATCGAGGTGCTGCCTCACACTGGCACAGCGCCGTTGTATATGGATGTAAGAAACCCTCATCTTTATGCCATCCTCCCTTGGCAGGTCTCGATGCTGACTTCTTTGGACAGTGGCTGGACAGGACTAACCCCAACAACCTGTATCCCTTCGTTTCTGTGCTCCCATCCGGCGGCATCTTCGTTCAATACTGGAATGAAGCGCGTATTCTGGACGAGCAGACCTTTGAAACCACGAAGACCCTGCCGAACGTACCCGGTGTAGTCTATGGTACCCTGGGTGGTAGGACATACCCTCAAGAAGGCACAGCCGTACTCTTGCCGCAGGTGTATCCCTACACTGACCACCTGGGAGTACTCATCTGCGGAGGCAGCACCGTCGACGGGCCAGGCAACGCGATTGACAACTGTGTAACCACCTTTCCCGAGGATGCCAACCCGACATGGACCCTGGAGCGCATGCCTTCGCCCCGCGTGATGACATGCATGGCGCCCCTCCCCGACGGTACATATCTCATTGTGAACGGTGCAGTGCAGGGCTGGGCCGGCTTCAACCTCGCCAACAAGCCCAACCTCAACGCCCTGCTCTACGACACCTCAAAGCCAATGGGATCCAGGATCAGCGTCATGGCGAACACGACCATCGCGCGGCTTTACCACTCGGAGGCTATCACGCTGCTCGACGGGCGCGTCCTCATCTCGGGGTCGGACCCCCAAGATACAAGCGCTGCTCAGAACCCCCAGGAGTACCGTATTGAGGTCTTTAGCCCGCCATACCTGCTGGAGGGCAAGCCGCGACCGACCTTCACGATCGCCAACCGCGACTGGGCGTACGGCGCGACGGGCATCCCGTTCACGCTGGGCGGCGCGGCCCAGAATGGCGCCATCAAGGTCACACTGCTGGGCGCCGTGCACAGCACGCACGGCAATAGCATGGGCGCACGGAACCTGGTGCCGAAGATATCATGTGCGGGTACAAGCTGCACCGTCGACGCGCCGCCCAACGCGCACGTATGCCCGCCTGGTTGGTACCAATTCTTTGTGGTGGACGGGGGCGTGCCAGCCGTGGGCGTTTATGTGCGGATTGGGGGGGATCCGGCTGAGCTGGGCAACTGGCCCAATTTCCCCGACTTTACCGTCCCAGGGGTGTAAGTGAGGGCGAGGGCCGAGACTTTCTACATTTTATTAGTATAGGTGCTGGTGGTGGGTTTGAATGATTGGATCGATGGTGGCATCTCATAGCCTGGATGATTGCATATTTGGCTTTCCATATAGTAGCATTAGAAACAATTACACCGAACCGGTAGACTTCTAATGTATGAATCCTCTCACGACTTACTTATCTCCGGATACATTCAATAAGCGATTCTGATTTGGCTGCTCTTGAAAACCCGAAGCTAATTGGGCCAGCAATCCAAGCGCTGGAATGCAGTACTGAGCCACGGACATATCGCACTGACGCGACACTGGTATCTCCTTGCTCGGCAGTTCTTTTCGCAATAATTGTTGCTCCCGGAATGTTCAGATCGAATCGGATCAATTCAGGATGCCGAAGGCTTTATGGTACCGTAAGGGTCGGACGAGGGCGCTACGCCGAGGGGCTTAACGCCGCTTAACCCCAGCCGTCCATTAAGCTTCATCCATGATGTAGTCGGCGGGCTAGTAAAGACATTCAAACCGCCCTGGGTCGATAGCTTATATATATGTAGCTCGGAGATTCCCATTATCTCTGCTCGCTTTGGGGTATTATTTTCAGGTGTCTGCATCTCCAAGCACATAACACCCAGTTCCACATATTGAAAAAGCAGCACCAATTCCAGCCCACAATGTCCTTCTTCTACCGCCAACTCTTCGTCAAGCCGGCGTACCCCACCCGGATGCTTAATGGCCAAACGGTCATCGTAACGGGCTCCAACACAGGCCTGGGCAAGGAAGCCGCCCGGCACTTCGCGCGGCTCGGCGCAGCCAAGCTAATCCTCGCCGTGCGCAACACCAAGGCCGGCGAGGCCGCCAAGATCGACATCGAGCAAACGACACAGTGTGCACCAGGAACCGTGGAGGTGTGGCCGCTGGACCTGAGCGACTACAGCTCGGTCAAGGCGTTCGCGGCGCGGGCGGCACGGGACCTGGAGCGTGTCGACGTGCTGTGCGAGAATGCGGGCATCGCAACGGACAAGAAGCGGATCGTGGGCGGCCACGAGAGCACCATCACGGTCAACGTGGTCAGCACGTTCCTGCTGGCGCTGCTGATGCTGCCGCAGCTCAAGGAGACGGCGCGCAAGTTCGGGGTGCGGCCGCGGCTGACGGTGGTGGCGTCCGAGGTGCACGCGTGGGCCAAGTTCCCGGAGCGCGGGGAGAAGTCGGTCATCTCGGCGCTGGACGCGACCGACGACATGAGCGACCGCTACATGGTGTCCAAGCTGCTCGAGGTGCTGGTGATCCGGCAGGTGGCGCCGCGGCTCGAGGGCAGCGGCGTCGTCCTCAACATGCTCAACCCGGGCTTGTGCCACTCGGAGCTGTCGCGCGACTCCGGGCTCGGGCTGACGGTCATGAAGTTCTTCCTGGCGCGGTCGACCGAGGTTGGGTCGCGGACGCTGGTGGCGGCCGGGCTGGCGGGCGAGGAGAGCCACGGAAAGTACATGTCGGACGCGGTGGTGAAGGACTACGACGTGTCGGACTTTGTGAAGAGCGACGAGGGCAACAGGGCCGGGCAGAAGGTGTGGGAAGAGCTGAGCCAGATCCTGGAGGAGATTGCGCCGGGCGTGACGGGAAACATCTAGCTGAGGTCAGGCTTGGGCAGATAATGGTTTAGTGACGGCATTTACTCTTTCATTTCTTCTCCACTTTGAGATTGACGCTTGCTTTGGAAAGCTGAGCGGTTGGTGATTGGTGAGAATTTCAAGTGTGTTGACGTTGATGCTGTAGTTATAGTTGTGGTGTAGCAGAGCAAGTATAGCAGAGCACCCCTTCATATTTCCAGCGCGCAGACGCAGTGACTTTTGAACTGGTTGATCACATTACACAAATATGATAGACCAGAAAATGACGAGGGTTGTACTCGAATTCGTAGGCCACAGGCACAATTGGGCGACTGATGCTCATCCGTGTCCTGTTGGGTGGATTCCTTCATCGATACCTGGTACGAGAAAGTACTCAGACAGATTCTACCTTTGCCCAGGGTATTTTCTTGATGTACATTGTCAAGGGATGGCAGCGCAACCGAAGCCGACCTGAGGGAGCCCAGTGTGCATTTCATGCAAACTTCGAATGCTAAAATCTGTCTTCTTTGCTGGGGGTTTCTGTTCTCGTGCCTCACCTTTCCTTCCTCTCTCACCATGAAGAAATGAAGAACAGGGGAAAGAAACAAGGCTATTGAACGTCACAGTATTCTCTGCTCTGCCCCAGTGCGTGTGGACATGGGCAGGGGTGGTGCGGGAAGCCTGCGTCCAACCCGCACCCTGCCCCCCTGCAGCCTTCAAAAATAAATGTTCACTTCACCTCACTAAACCCACGTCCAATTCTATACCACCTCCGCTTTGCTCTCTCTCTTTCTGGCCCTCAACTCCAGCCGATTATCTACGCTCACAGTCGACGATTAAAGTCTGACATTAAACAGCAGACGAGGCCCCTCAGAATGTGTGATTAAGCAGCAGATCGCCGAAGGCTGGCCCAAGCCGTGTATAGCTACAGTTACAGCCTCGGCCATCTCCCCCTTCGCCTTCGAGACCCTGCCTCGTCAACCACCAGGGCTGCCAGCTCACATATTTTCAACGGCACAACCCACCTAGTCACTCGGCCGCTTATTTACCAGTGTGGCCACGCGTCAAGGCGTGTAAACCCATTTGCATCGGCTGTGCGCGTTTTCACTGCAGCATTGCTACCTTTGTAGATGCTGAGATATTCAACCTCCAGACCTTGGACCATTCTGTCTGTATCTACGCTATGCTCAGGCTACATGCGGTCCGGCCTGGCGTTGTCAGGGACCTCAGTATTTGCCGTCCATCACTTCGAAGATGCATTCAGCGCCGGGGTTTCTACGTCCTGGGTATTGAGACATCTTGTGATGACACATGTGTCGCGCTCCTGAACATCACAGAGAACTTGTCACATTTGCACCGTAACCTCAAGGTCTCTTGTGCAAATAGGAAACTCGGTGGAATAGAGCCCAGACAAGCGGTTCGGTCACACACTCGGAATCTCCCCGCACTTGTACACGACGCTCTTCTTTCCCTCGAAGGCCACGTGCCAGATCTTATTGCCGTCACCAGAGGTCCAGGCATGAATGCTTGTCTGGGTGTCGGCGTCTCATTTGCCAAGGCTTTGTCTGTCGCCTTCGATAAACCGCTCGTCGGTGTCCACCACATGCAAGCACATGCCCTTACTATCCACCTGGAGGGATCACTCGCCAATCGAGGATCCCAGCCACGGTATCCCTTTCTCACTCTGCTGTACGACCTCCCCGTTTCCCGTCTGTATGCACACGGTCGCTGACTATGGGGCATGATCAGGGTTTCTGGTGGCCACACAATGCTGCTTTACACCAAATCGGTCACCGAGCATAGGGTCCTGGCGTCGACGCAGCGCGGCATCACTAATCCGCGCGAGAAGGGTTCAGCCACTGCCATCGGAGAGATGCTGGACAAATGCGCCAGGGTTAGTAAGTAGTTCTCAAATCTCGCCTGCAGGATTGTTCTTGTTATAGAGGCCCTGAACACCAAGACCTCTGTGGCCGCCTCACAGCATCGTTTATCTGGAACTAGCGTCTAGTAGCAATCTTTTACTCACAAAGTTTCAGTCCTCCCACCAAGCGCTATTCCAAGCAATGCAGATGCTGTCGTCTATGCGAAGCTCATGCACGGTTATTGCCAAAGCCAGGAGAAATACCGTGACCTGATGCGTCACGATTATGAGGCTCCTCGAAAACGGCAGGACGAGATCGAATATTATCAATCAGAAAACGGCACGTGGGCTCTTCCTCCCCCTCTTCGGCAGTCGCGAGATATGATTTACGACTTTACGGGGCTGGGTGGCAAGGTCCGTGCGATCATGGACGAGAGGTCTGATATGAAGACCGATGAAAGGCAAGAGCTGGGTTATCACACCATGCGGCTCGCTTTCGAGCACGTCATGAGCAGGGTCATTCTTGCATTGCAGAATGACGAAGAGCTCTTGGCCAATCCCCCACAGGCATTGGTCATTTCTGGGGGCGTGGCCAGCAATATGTTTTTTAGGAAAGTTGCCGCATCTATGTTGCAGGCACGAGGTTTTGGTGATATTGATGTCACGGCCCCCAGACCCGCTTGGTGCACTGATAATGCTGCAATGATCGCCTGGACAGGATATAAGATGTATCAAGCTGGCTGGACCACGGACAACGCGTTTCTGCCCCAAGGCGAGTGGCCGATCGAGGAGATCTTGACAGGCGTCGACTGTTGGGTTGAAAACAGTGACGCCGCCTCTTTGAAACCTACGGAAAATGTGGCGGCTCCTCCGCAGGACACGTCCCAGGTACCGGATAACTTGCAACCCCAGGAGCCAATACTTTCCTCAACATCAAATGCTCCTGCGAAGTCGGATGCAAGTGTTAAGCCGAATCTTGACAAAACAAATCGATGTGAAGCAAATGAGAAGTCCTTTTCACTAGAGGAGAAACTGCAACGTATTCAGCGCAAGCTCGAGCAAATCACTACAGCCAAGGCCGAGTATGACGACGGCAAGCCAAGTGTGGAACATGGTCCATGTCGACCGTCGTTGCAGGGTGAACTGCACGCTCCGAACAGTGAGGAGCCAGACTCTCTGCCCAGAGGGACCCCAGGACCTCCATCGACGCAGGCACGAAAACGCCCAGCCCAGTCGGAAGACTCATCTACGCAGTTGGCGCGGAGGACGTCGTCCCCGTCAGGACTGCAGCGCCGCAGGAGGGGCAGGGAGCACACGAGTTCGGTGCGAGACTTGATAGAGAAAGAGAGGGAGCTCTTGCGCCCTATCAGTCGGCGAGCAGCGGACCCTTTCAGAAGGCCAGAGACCGGTACTGGCCCCAGATCGCCAAGTCGTGCCGGTGTGGACAGGGTTTGGACCCCAAGGCATCGACTCGAGAGAGCTGGCGAGTCCCGGGCCAAGGTCGGTCCTTTCGCCTCAGGACCAACAAAGGTGTCCACCGACGAGGTCATACACCAGGCGGCGGAGGTGCGGAAGCGGAACGAGAAGCAAAAGGGAAAAGAGGAGAAGGGTGAGAAGCGTCTCGAGCGGCTGCGCCCGACCGCGGATGACACCTCCGTCGAGCCTGAGAAGAAGAGGACCGTCGTACGGCTGCTTCCGCGGGCGGAAAACCCGGTCCCTGAGGGGCCGCTCCGAACAGGACTCAATTCGCTCAAAAGATGGGTTGGTCTGTAAACGAGACCGGGACGTGTGAGGGGCAAGTCCCAAATTGGATATCGATCCTGCTGAGGATCAATAGGTGACCATACCAGCGGGCTGTCAGAAAGGCCTGTGCTACGCGGTGTGTTCGAGACAATGGACGGTCTCGAGGGACTGCTTTCCGCCAGATTGTCGCGGAATAACATGTGATTTGTAAGATATGGAAATCGCAACTCGCATGAGAGGGCGTCGAGGACACTTTGTGGGCCGTGTCATAATCCAACCAGCGATCTAGCATAGCGTTGAGGTCGGGGACAGTGTGCATTGCAAAACTTTGTCATTTATTTGTACAGGTACACGGGCGTCTGTCAACTTCTGCAGCCGCCATGGATATAGTCGAGATGATGAGATAGCCTGGGCCCATGCTAAAGAAGTCCAGGTCCATCTGCGTCTAGCCCACCACCAATCTCGAGGTTTGCCATGTCCATGTCTCTATGCCCATTTCTAAGCCCCATCCTTCAACCCCTCGTCCTCCATCTAGTCCAGGTTACTCGTGACATTGGTGAACTCGCCCTTCTCCAGCTTCGTTTTCCAGAAGATTGGGTTCGTATCGTTGAAGCCGTGCCTGACCCATCCCTCCTCCTTGACGTGGTAGAGGTTGATGAAGCCACCTGAGTACGCGTCACGGTGCGTGGCGGCCAGGATGCTGCGGCGGCCGAGCTCCAGTGCGTCCTCGTCCGACAGTTCGTAGTCGTACTCGGCGTCGAGCACGCCGTAGGCGAACGTCTGGCCGGAGCCGACGCAGAACAGGTTGCCCGACAGCCGGGTGCCGTCCGAGTCGATGTAGTAGAGCGCGGGGCCCTCCTCCTTGGTCACGCCCGCGCACATGGTGCCCATCGACAGGCCCATGCCCTTGTACTGGTACACCAGGTTCGCCAGGATCTTGGACGCCGCCGCCACCGAGATGCGCCGCTTGTGCCGCAGCTCGTGCAGCCGGCACTGCATGCCCAGCCACGCCAGCCAGTACTGGCAGTCGGCGGCACCGCCAGCCATGGTGCCCAGCAGCTGGCTGTTGATCTCGATGACCTTCTTGACGGTTTGCGAGGCGATCCAGTTGCCCGCCGTGGCGCGGGAGTCGGTAGCTACGATGATGCCGCCTTTGAAGCGGAACGCGAGGGTCGTGGTACCGTGGGCGATCTTGATGGGGCATTGTGGGTTCGAGCGGTCGTCGGTTGCGGCACGGAGCCAGGATGAGGGCTAATGGGGGAATTGTCAGTGATGGTTTCAGTTGCAGAGGTTGTATGTAGTGTAAGTAGGCGCGAGATGGACGGTAAGAGTGGTCGAGAGTGAAGGTAGTGACCTTACCTGTGCTACTGGGGGCATGGCAAACTTCAGAGATGGGCCAGGCACGCCATCGACGAAGTCCATCTCATCCTGCTCTGTAAGGCCCTCGTTCTGGGCGTAGGCCGGCCGGCTGTACTTTGCGACGAGGGTATCCATGGTGACGTCGGTTGTGTGTATGCTTCTCTCGAAATGATTCACCCAGATGCTTGAAGGAATGGAGACGAAACTGAAAAGGCCACCGCGGTCGAATATGGTGGAGGTGCGAAGGCGGAAGACAAGTGGGTTGGGCAAAGGGTCGATGAGGTTGACGACGGGACGATGGTTTGGCGAGCTGATGTCGTTGGAGCTCAAGGCAGCTCAAGCAATGCGCGTAACGCTGCCGGCCGTGAGCAAGCTGGGGGACCACACTAGCCACCCGCTGACAGTGGACACCTTCCAGAGCTGCAGGGGTCCAAAGCTGGAGCACAGGCCAGTACTCTGTCATCTTTCACAGGCCGCGCAGACAGGCATCCATCCATCCCTGGTGTGGTCTCCTTTTGGCGACAGCTTGTTCGCAACCTTGGGATTTACACACTGCGGATCCTCTCCACGAAACCAAGAGACTCTCGCTCGACGGCTGCGAAAGCCGCAACACCACTCATCATGGGGTTCATCAGTGGGATTCTTTACGGTCAGTTCAAGTGACTCTCCATTTGCGGACACAAGGAACTAACACCGTCTCCAGTCGTCATCCTCATCCTCAATGCGATGTGTATCCTCTCCGAAGACCGATTCCTCGCGCGCAGTACGTTGAACTGAGCCCAGAAATTGTCCAGTCCCCGTATCAGTCCCACGATGTGGTCGCGCATCGCCTGTCAAGTTCGGCAAAGGGGGCGATCCGACCCATGAACAAGTAACCAGCCAGAATATCCAAGAGACTGACCTCTCTCAACCCATAGTCAACCTCTCCCCAAAATCCATCGACCCAGCCTTCGGACAATCAGGAGCAGATGCCAGCGTTTGGAGCAAGGTTGCGAGTTTGATATCGAGCGTGCGGATGGTCGTGAGATGTACGTCGGACCAAGGGCACATCCCTTGCCTCCCTCCCCTGGCGGCTGTGGCCGTGGCGCAAGTTCGTACATTTGACAAAAAGCTGACACCAACCGCACACAAACAGTCCCTCTCATATTCGTAAACGCCGTGATAATAGTCTACGAGCTGATCCTAGGATGAGCGGTCCTATGGGTAATGCTGCTCAGCGCTCTATTCTACCTTGAGAACCTCGAGACCAGACGGATTCGCGCAGTCAGGAGACAGAGTAGCTATCTGGCTACGTGACACATTTTGTGTTATTTTGGCATGCTTAGGGATGGTGTGGGCAAAGCGGGCATATATGGTCAAAATCACCTATGCTCGGATGTGCATGGCGTCAAGGCGTTGGTTGGGAGGGAAAAACGGGTGGCCACGTTTTACTGAACGGTGGTTACGATGTCCTCGGGGCTAAGAAGGTCACTCGCCAGTCCTTTGCCTTGGAAGGCTGGCCGGGTGCAGATGAGGATGATTCTCTTTCAGGCATACCCAGCTCAGAGGTCGTCGATTTACAATATATGAACTACTGTATAAACTCTATAGGACTTCACTAGTCTCTGTCACATTTGCAAAAGCCACTTGGTGACAATTCGTGTCAACATGACACTTTCTGGGCTTCATCGTCGCGCAAACCTGGTGTCCGTAGAACAGCTGCAAGATAGTGAGCTTTTCTAAACAATCTCTTGTGAGACCCGGAAATTAAATTTCGCTGTCTTCTATTATATTTACATGTACGCGCTCGCTTCGTGAACGGTACCTCAGGCATTGTACATCAAGAACAAACCTTCGAGAAAGCTTGTGAGATCCGGGCGGCTTCCTTCCATCCACACTGGCGACCGTACAAGTCTGTATTTATTTTTGCTCCGTTTGGTATATATACCAGCCAGGCCGTCGCAACGGGCTGGTTGTCCAGAATGCCAAAGCCAAACGCTGACTGGTTTCGCTATCCACAATCAAGTCCGCTCAAGTTGACCCCAGTGTACCCAAGACATAGCCAGCCCTTGGCCGAGGTGCACGACTGTTCCTTGAGCCATGCTAGTTGAGGCCAGCAGCTTCAACGCGGCACCCTTGCCTTTGCTCGACCATCTTCTCGTGGTTATGGCAAGAAGTCCCGTGAAACGCCCATGCAGGCGCAGTTGCTCGGCTGAGACCCGCTGAAATTTCACTGTCTACGAAAACACATTGCTCTTTTTCCGCCCGATGCCGCTGATACTGAAACGCTCTTTGAGAGCATGCTTTTCGGGCCGGTCCGCGTTGGAAGAGGGCCTGGCCTCGGTGCCGTTGGCGTCGCCTCCCTCGGACGGGCCACTGTCTTGCTTTTGGATCTTCTCGTCCTTGTTCTTGTCCTTGTCCTTGTCTTTGGAGCTCCCTGACAGCCAGCCCATAGACTTGCGGCTCAATGATTTGCTCCCTCTGTGCCCGCGGCTCAGTAACTTGGGGCTCGCGTTGGTGGTGGCGATAGGACTCGACGCAACCACATCCTTGCCCTCCTTTCTGCGCTTTTTCTCTTCCTCCACGGCCGCTGCTTTGCTCTCGGCCAGCGCTCTCTGCAGCTCCTCTTCGTTAGTTCTGCGTGCCTCCATGATGCGTTTGGCGTTCTCCTTGCGTCGCTTCTCTTCCTCTTTGGCTGCTTCTTTCTCGGCGACTTTACGTGCCTTCTCGGCAGCCTTGAGCTCCTTCTTTTCGAGCTTCTTGTCCTCCTTAATTTGTTTCGGCGTGTGGATGTCTTCTGAGGGCCGCGCAGGAGTGACAGGGGTCTTGGGTTCCACGGCTGGTGCTGGAGGCGGTGCGGCATTCAGCGGATGTGTGTGTACGGGCTCGGGAATGTTTTCCGGAATAGGCGGTACTGGGGGTGGGTGATCAAAGACCCCAGGTGCAGTTATTGCATGGTCCAGCACAGCGAAGTGGTCCTTGTCGTCTATCGGCGAGATAGGCGTGGTGAGCTGCCTGAGCAGTGGTGATTTTGGCTCACCATTCGACTTCACGCGGTCCAGTGCTAAGTCGGCCTTTTCACGCTCCAACCGGACTTCCTCGAGACCTTCCGCTTCTTGTTCTGCCATGACCTTCTCATGTGTGGTTTCTTGGTAAAATAGGACGTATGCGCAAGCCATACCGGGCTTATCACCAAAGAAATTCCGGACGAAATGCTTATCCACCGGTTCTACCATCTCATCATCGAACAAAAGCCATCCTCGGTCTGGCGTTTTGATGATAGATACGTAATGTCCATGGTAGGCGTTTCCTCCTATATGCACGACGACGGCGTATAGCTCGTATAATCGATCGGGATCCTCCGCGTCATCTGTGGTATTGAACATGCGCAAGTGATACGGGTAAACCACTCGATGGAACAATTTCTGCAGCCGAGTGAAATCTTCCGTGTACTTGAATCGCTTCAGGTGAAGAGCCAATACTTTTGGCAGCTTCTTGATTTTCATCCTCTTCTCAGCTTCCTGCAAACCACCGCACTGGTCGCAATGAAACTTGTTCCGCTCACACAGCATCTCCTCGTCAGAGAATTTCCTCAGGCAGGCTGTCACGGATGAATGCTCCTCGAGGTCGATTGAAAGATCCAGGAACGTCTCGTCTCGTTGTGAGGTAGTCTCGCAAGATAGACACTTCGTTTCTGATGTCAGAACTCCTTCAAAAATATCGTGGACCCAGCCGGTCCCGGGAGAAGTCGTCCCTATGGCCTGCTGGGCCTTCATCAGTGCGGCTGAAGCTCCGATAGCATTTCCAACCGAGTTTGCGTATCCATTTGCATTTGTCGTCTCGAGTTCCTGCAACCGCATCGCATTGGCTTCCACACTTGATATAACGTCGTTCAACACGAGGCCATAGAACTCGTGTGCGTCCTGGTGATTCTGATTTCGGAAATTCTCGTTATCGCGCTTGAAAATTTCGAGAAACCGCTGAGGGCTGAGCACGCCTGTCCGGGTGTTGCTCTCGATCAGAGCCGTGAAAATGTCCTTCAGGCCCGTAAAAGTGCATTCGTCCATACCATAAGCCTGGGTATTTTCCTGTGCCAGTTCTAACACTGGACCCTTGATCATTGCCTGCTTTTTCTTGTATTCAGGGGAATCTGGCCTGTCCTCTGGTTTTTGCTGCCCGGGTGGTAATTGCCCAGTACTGATCTGTTGTCTCTGCTTCATGGCCTGAGTGGCCGTCAACGGTTTTTGCTTGTTTGCCGGAGTGGTAGCATTTCCATTCATCGGCGGTCTGATTGTGACCTTGACTTGGCTCTGTTGTCCATTCGGTGTCCCTACGGGCGTGTGCGGTGGATAGCTCACAACATTAGTTCGGAAGGTCTCGCAGTAGTAGAGCGCCTGTACGATGGAGTTACAGTAACTGTGCCACGGTCAGTGTCTTGGGCGCATTATCGTCGAATGTGGTGTAAACTGTCTCGTACCATGTGTTGCCGAACTGAAGAAACACCAAATTAGCTCGTGTCAGAACCAGAGGTCAAGCAAGGCTCGCAACGCACATTCTCAAGGCCAAAGAACTTGTCACTTCCGTCGCCCCGTACCGGCCCTGCATTTTGTAGCAGCTTCTCCAGCGGGGTCAATTCTTGTGGCGGCTCGTCCTTCTTAGATTTGAGTGTGGGGTCTTTCGTAGCAGTCGAAGCGCCCTACAAGCCATGTGTATTTTGAATTAGCCCTTGTCTGGGGAAACAACGCCATGGAGGACCCAGTAGAGTATTGTGCCAGGACTGCAGACCGCAGAGGAGCAGTCGCATGCGACTCACAGTGCTGGCGCTTCTCAGCTTCTTCATGAAGCCCGCCATGATAGTGTAGCAGCGAATGTGTTGGTGGCCTGAGCGAGCGAAGAATGCGCGGGGGAGGAGAAGGGTACGTCGAACCGGTTGACCGGCCGAACCCAGGAGTTCAGGTAGATGGGCGAGGTCGAAGGTCCAACATTCGGGATGTGCGCAACAGTCCTGGGACTTTGCCCGCTCGAATCAGGTCAGCTCTCGAGGCGAGGTATTCTGACCGGGCTGGCCGTAGTGGCGGGTGTGTGACAGTGAGGTATGCAATCGTGCGGCGCGGATGTGCGTCGAGCTTCCCATGCAACGCAGCACGGCGGGCAGGCGGGCGGGCGTGTTTCTCTATTTATCTCGGGAGGTGGGTTCGTCGTGTAAGTTGGGCGAGGGCGAGGGCGAGGGCGAGGGCATGGGCGAGGGCGTTGGAAGGACGAATTGGTTCGCCAAAGAGGTCGCAAATGAAGCGACAATATGAGCAGCACGAGGGCAAGCTACCTGGTTGAGCGAGTAAGCGAGGTGATCTGCGGTGGTAAGGAGGGCAGCAGCAGGCGCAGGAGTAGGAGCAGCCGCAGTAGCAGTAGCAGTAGCAGTAGCAGTCGCAGTAGCAGCAGCAGCAACAGGAGGGCAGGTAGACTAATGAGCAGTTTGTCGTAGCCAGTCAAACAGTCGAGGGAATATGCGAAGGCGCGGCGGAAGGAATCATTACAAGTGGTTACTAATGCTGCAAGTCCGGGGCAGTTTGCCTATTTCCCCATGGCAGCCATGGCCTTGGGGATCGGTTCATCCGCCAAATTGGAGTGACTGGGCAGGGGGGCTGGCTTGTCTGTGGAGTAGCTTGAATTGACTGCAGATACAAGATCCAGTACAGTGGACTAGGTGCTGTGTACGTAGACTGCCCGACTGCCCGACTGCCAGAGGCAGTGGGTGACAGGCGGGCATACTGTGTGGCGAGGCATTTTTCACACTATCGTCTCGAGTCGACCTGGCTTGACTCGGCTTGACGGGCATGAAGGATCGTCGAGCGTGGGTGGGCAGGCTATGAATATCCGGAGGTTGCAACGAGCAGAAGAACCCCAGGAAGTGGCCACACGTCAAACGACCAGACACCAGACCAGACCAGACGACCAACTTGCAGATGTTTCCTCCAATGTGGCGGTGTTGGAGGAGCTTTGGAAGCCATGTCACTGTATTCGAGCATAATAATCATCATCATCAATGTCGAGATGGTCTGGACCTCGACCTCGACCTGGACTCTACCACGCAGTACCTAGGCGTGCTAAGTACACTAGACTAACCCGTACACACGCTTCGGTAGGGAGATGTCGCGAACTCCGTGGGCCTGTCCACTGCACCACCATTGTAGGGCCCTAAGGGAGAAGCTAGTAATAACCTAGCCGGGCTCAAAAGAAGGGAGCGATTGATTGATCCGCCGTTGGCTCCAGAGTCGGCGTGGGATCAGTGTGATAGGCGCTGTGAGGTGCAGGTGCAGGTGCAGGTGCAGGTGCAGATGCTTCCTACTGCAACTCTGCTGAGGCGGCAAAGTCCCCCGTGTCGCAGTCGTAGGGTTGAGTGTCTCGAGGAAGCAGGTCGTACAGATGCCGCGATAGAAGCCTTCCATGTGCCAGGTTCAACCCAAAGCCAAAAGCCGACCCCTAGACCAATCCTTGGACAGACAGCGAGCGACATCCGCTCAAGCAGAACTAGAAGACAGGGCAGGGGTGCTGCAGCTGCAGATCAAGCGCGTGGTTGCTGCGGTCATTGGAGGGGGGGTCGCTCGCCGTTTCCCCTCTCTGCCAGACAGCCGGGCCCAATCAGAAAATAGGTGGTCATACACTGTGTGGTATGGGACGGTCAGGGAATCCATCGGGAGGTACATCAGTTGCAGACACGCACCGTGTCGACACACCCAAAGCCACATGGCCTGTCCCGGGTTTCCAGACCCCCTACTGGCCGCTGGAGACTACAGGAATGCAGCCATTGACTTTTTCCACGCGCCAGGGCGCACAACAGATTCCAGGTCCAGGTCCAGGTCCAGGTCTAGGTTCCAGAACATGCCGCGTTGCTCGTTTTGACATTCTCATCATCATCAAGAGGGGTCACACGATGCGATTCAACCGAACCTGCGTGTCAAGATGCGGCTGGGCACTACCACGCTGAACGTTGAAGAACGGACGACCGGTTCGAGTCAGCCAGCGAATCTGTTTCATCAGCGACTCTCGGACGTCACAGCCATCCGCCGCTAGCAAAAAGACCTCGAGACCTCGTGACCTCCGCAACCACTGCTCTTCGACAGTAGGCACTCGCTCACTCCTCACTCCTTTACCCTGCGGGTGACTACCTGGCCCCGCCTGGACTCGCTCAGTCTCTTTCTCGACTATAGGTGGTGTCCCATGGTGACCGTCCCGATCTGGTGGGACGCACCATCTGTATCCCGCGCCTGGATCGTCGACGACGTTACATTGCTCCGACAGGCCAACCCTCTCTGGTGCATCGGCCCAACAACGTTTTTCTTCTGCCAGGTGCTGCCATCTCACGGCCCGAGACTCGCCAGCTCTGCGTGCTCCGAACCATCCTATTTCGCTCATACAAGAGTCGGTTCGTTGTTCGAGGCAGGGGATGTGGTATACAGTGTACCGTGACATGCGCCACACGATGAAGCCGCATCCAGAAGGGACAGATGTCTTCACCAACTTCTGGGACAAGCCTGCTTCTTGCTTATTCTGTGCTCTAATAAGCCCTACGCATACTGTGGCAACTATCCTGTCCATAGCAGGCGCCTGCTAACACACAACCTACCAGTAGTCTGTGTGTGGGGTAAAAAAAAACCGACCCGACGGTATCAAGCTTGGGCTCAAACCTGGAAGCTCCGTGCAGCCATGTCAGCCTTTAACGATATCCCGCACCATCAAAGCTTCTCGAACACCACGGTCATTTTGTCTCTGCCCATTGAAGCCAGGATCGCCGGTTTACTGTCCGCTGTATGCTTGGCTTCTCCAGCAAATGCCAGAAGCTCGGCCCCCTTGCGTCTCATTAAAAGAATTATCTCGCTCTGTCTGGCTCAGGAATAAGCGACCCCGTACACCCCCGCAGATCGTCATTGGAGTCGGGGTCGGCTGTCGCCGCCGCTCACAGTAATGTGGTCGACCTCTTGCACTGTACGCTCGCAGCCCACCTTCGTCGTATGCCGTGCCTCCACACCACATACAGAGCATGACGCATTGCTTCAACCTGCTCTACCAACCACCTTGCATGGCCCTACAGCATCTTCAATGAGGAGGGCCGAGGAAGCACCGTGATGCCAATCGACCATGGCCAGCCTTATTGTGGAAGCAGCATAATCAGGCAGGCCATAGGGCTGTTCGGCTGGGGCTGCGATGCTGTGCCTTCGACGTATTCAATGATAAACGAGAAGGCAAGCCGCAATGTGTCACGCTCGTCCGTCCAGTCTCGTGGGCGGCAGGGCTCTGGGCGACTTCGGCAAGCAACATTTCGTGCATCCCATCGCATCCCACACCCGCACAAAAGCTTCGAGACGCATCGCACGAATAGAAAAAGTCTTGACCTGGTGCCAGTGCAGCCACCGCCGCTCTAGCGTCTCGTCCTCACGAGGTCGGCAGAAGGGTGTGTGAGGTACGCCAAGACGACGGCGAAGGCGAAGGCAGGCAGAGACTGACCTGCGTACACGCCTTGCGCGGCTGTCGACTGATTGCCTGCCCACAAACACCCGGAATCATCCGCTGTAACGTGCCTTTCATTCAAAGGTATGGCGAGCGCTCCGGACGACGACAGCACGCCCGTAGGAGTTACTGATATGTTGGTCTTTTTACGGCTGTCGGAGATCATGTCGTTGGCATGTTCACCGAACGATCGACGGCACGTCATGCTCATGATATGGCCCTGGTGACTCAGAACCTTCGATTGTGATGCAATGAGTTGCACTTTGTGATTATGCAGCTCTCTATCTTGCTTCTATTGTCAAAACTCCCCATGCCGACATGTTCTATGAGCAAGACATGAGGCAAAGCAGCAGTGGCGCTTGAGCTATCTCCGCATGCCCATGTACAGGTGGTCCTCGAACCCCAGAGTGCCGTCCACTGGATGAATCACGGATTCTGAACACTCTTCTTCACGCCCTCCACAAACGCCTCCACAGCCTCCCCGCCACCGAGTGGCATGCTCCCGCCGCGCATGTAGCCCCCGTTCTGGACCCGGACGCCCAGCGCCTCCGAGATGGACGGCAGCCCGCCGTCGCGCAGCGCCATGGTCAGGCTGGTCAGCGACTGGTGGAACTGCGGCGACCGCAGCACCTTCTCGAGCAGCGCCTTCTTCTGGCCCAGGCTCATGGTCGCGATAGCCGCCGCTGCCGAATCCGCGCCCGGCTCGTTCTCCACCTCGTCCCCGGGGCCGTCCGCCCCCTGCTGCGCCAGCACCAGCACCACCGGCGGCAGGAAGTACAGCAGACTGTCGACGTAGCTCTCCTCCGCCGTCCGCACCATAGGCACCGTCGTCGGCGCCTCCAGCAGGTCGCTCAGGAGCGGGTACGCCTTGCCCTCTGCTGATTGCTGCCCGCCCGGGACGCCGCCCTGGCCGCCCTGGAGGGAGGCGAGGAAGTTCCGCACTGCCGCCGCCGCGTCGGGGGCCACGTTGCTCGCTCTGTCGACCTGTTAGCGGATGGTTCACTTGGAAGGCATGGAGAGTGCGAGCGAGCAAGTAAAACGGTCGGGGTCTAGATCCATAGTATCAATTCTTTCCCCGTGCAAGTCATGTCTATGAGTACATCTTGATATCGTAAACTTTTGTTGGCCTTGCGGCTCACGCTTCAAATGCCCATGCCCAAAAGGCTTCTTTGGTATTATGACCCCAAAAGACGCCCTTTCATGGCACAATGCCAACAATTTGGCTTGCAGGACCCATGGATCTGAAGTCGGCTTGTGATACGGAACAACGACAGGGGAGAAGGAACCTACGCTCTTGCGCCATCAGCGCCACCCTCTCGCGCCTCCTCGCCCTCGTCCCGAACATCACCGCCTGTGGCATCCGCACCAGCGCCACCGCTTCCAGGCTCATGGTGCTCACCGCCCTGGCCCTGAGAATCCTCCATGGACTCGTCGCCGTCCCTGTCCCGGCCGCCGGAGCCACCTCCATTCCGCACCGAGGCGAGCTCCGCGTTGACGTCGACCTCGTCGCCCTGCAGCAAGTTGTTCACAGTCTCGCCGATCTTGCGGTCGCGTGGGGAGAGCCACGTAGCGTCGCCACTGCTGCTCTGGGGGTGTGACTGTAGCCAGAAGAGGTGTCTTGTGGAGGAGGACTCGAACTTGAGGACGAAGATGCGGCCCTGGGTCTTGGCGGAGGGGGTGTTGGCGGGGGGTTCGACGGGTACAAAGGTGCCGTCGCCGGGGATCATGGTGAGGTCGAGTTCAGGCTGGTCGGCGGGGACGCTGCGCTCGCGCCAGCAGAAGTGAAGGAGGTCTGCGAACGGAGGTTAGGGCCCAGGTCATGAGGGGAAGGTGGTGGCATGCTGGTGAGGGAGTCGTTGCCTACCATCGTCGGAAGCTTGATAAAGGTAGATGTAGCCGGTCCGTGGTGATGGCTTCACCTTGTATGGCTTGCTGGATTGCTGCTTTGTGTGTCAGCCACTCAGTGCGCGCATGCGGATTACATGTACAGTTAGGGGGACTAACGTCGACCTCGCAAATGCCGGCCTTGAAGGTGATTATTGGCCGCACAGACATGGCTGGCTGACTGCTCAAGAAGGAGGATAAGTGTGGAATCGGATCGTTCAACAAAGGCGGACTGAAGATTATCCCGTGTTCGGTGCCGTTGATGGGAGGAGGTTGAGGTCGAGAATGTGATGATCGTGAATTCGTCTTGACAGGCAGCTCGGATGGAGCTCCAACCAAGCAGCAGGCGGGAAGGCTGCGGTCCCTGACGTGTTGCTGACAGGGGGTGAAGTTCAGGTACCTTGGGGAAGGGACCCGCTGCTCTGATGCCAGCTGGTGCCAGCTGTTCCAAAAACTGCCAGCCGTCCTCCACAGCTCGCCCCACCCAGAGAGGGAAGCCGGCAACACGCTGGGGTCGCTCCTGCTCGAAAATCGGAGCCCTACTTATTCCGTCGCCAGAAATTGTTAGTGGGCAGTCACCCCAGTTCCGCACCAAGTGGTTTTCTGGATTTTCTGGCTTATCGCGAACCCGACCCGCCCCCCAGCAACACTTCCCAAGACGACGACGACGACAGCACCACCTTTCGTTTTCTTTCCTTCTCGCCTTCAAAACCCCCCATCAATTCAAAATGTCGGCGAAGGTTGAGTCCAAGAAGTTCGGCAAGTCCACCCGAACGGTGCCTCACCACTCCGAGAAGGCCCAGAAGTGGTACCCTGCTGAGGCCGATGCCCAGCCTCGCAAGGTACGTTTGCGAATTCCTTGAGATGAGATTGCCCCAATCGTTGAGGAGCCTGGAGTATACGGACGCGAGAGATGTTGGTGGCATAAAGGGATTTGGTGGAGACGAGGAAGATGCGCAATGAGGGCCATATTGCTCGACGACAACAAATACGACAAGAAGAGCAGCGGCATCGACGACAGTGCTACCGAAAACTCGATCCCCGGCGACACCATCAAAATCACGGCAAATCGATGCGCAAGTCAACGCGACAGGAAGGGCGGGATATCCGGGGCTTGATTCATGTGGATGTCGTAAACAAATCACCCGGCGTAGGAGCTAACATTGGCATCATCACAGGTCCGCAAGGCCGTCCGCGCTTGGGCACCTCGCAAGTCCCTCCAGCCCGGTACCATTCTGATCCTCCTGGCTGGCCGCTTCCGCGGCAAGCGTGTCGTCCTCCTGAAGAACCTCGACCAGGGTGTCCTCCTCGTTACCGGTCCCTTCAAGATCAACGGTGTCCCTCTGCGCAGGGTCAACTCCCGATACGTCATCGCCACATCCCAGAAGGTTGACCTGGCCGGAGTCGACGAGAAGAAGGTCGAGGAGATCAGCCAGCCCAAGTACTTCGTCGGAGAGAAGTCCAAGGAGAAGGCCGGCGAGGAGGCTTTCTTCAAGCAGGGAGAGAAGCCACAGGTACGACCGATCCCGAGTCACTGGTGCTGGTTCCTTTGGAGCGAGAAGTGATGAATGGGCGCATATAAGAGACAGAAGCTAACAGGGCTGTGGTTACAGAAGAAGGAGGTTTCCTCCACCCGGGCAGCGGACCAGAAGGCGATCGACAAGTCCCTGCTGGCCAACATCAAGAAGGTCGAGTTCCTCGCGAGCTACCTGGCCTCTTCCTTCAGCCTGCGCAAGGGCGACAAGCCCCACGAGATGAAGTGGTAGATACGTCAAGCTGTTGTTGGTTGGGAGGGGGGCGTGGCGCACGACGACACACAGAACACCTTCCGGAAAAAGATGAAACTTTGCTTTTAGGGAGGGGTTTACAAAGCGGCATTCGTGGAAATCGGATTTAGGGATGACCTACGGCTAGGCCACTTGCATCTTCCACATCGAAGATTTCGGTTCGCGGCGTCTGTAATGAGGGAATTCTACCAAACATCACAAACCAAACAGAACCGGTCAACCAAAAGATTTCGGGGTTCCACGTGCCGAATTTCACGAATGAGGACATGAAACGAATTTTGACAAGAAAGAGCCAAAGAAGTATGGCTGCGTTGTGGCACAAGTGAAAAGAAGGACAAAACTCCTCTCCGGGGGCTTGTAAATCCAGTACGGTGCTGAGCATCGAGATGCATCCCCAATCTAAGACGTGCACAGCAGAAGCTGTGACACTGACAACTAAGCGCCGAGCTGTTGCCCTTCTTGCTGCATGCGAATTTCTTATACGTCACGCATTGCAGACTTGACATGTGATCTTGACAGATATAAGTGGACTCGGTGATTTATGTTTCATTTATTTGCCGCGGCTCTCCTGTAAATCTAGCTCAGATTCCTCCGACCCAGCCCTTCCTCATGTCACAACATAGCACGTATTCCGGCTACAGGTCGAGGCCCGCTTGCCAAAGTTGAGGCCGTCGTTCTCCGTCCCTATTGCTGCTCCTCGCGCTCGACCCAACTCTGGATTATACCCTCCAGCGTTGGCTCGTACTGCTTGCAGGCCACCTTGCCCGTCGCCTCATCGAGGTACGTGTTGGCCTGGACAAAGACCTTGCGCGGCTGCGCGTTGGCCACGACGACCTGGCGGACCTTGGTGCCCCAGTAGTCGAGGCCGACGGCGGACATTTCTTCGGCGAAATACTTTGCGCCGTGTTCGACATCGGCTGTGGACTTGTAAATGTGTATCTTCTGCAACATGTCTCCCACGGCTGAAAGATGATATTATCAGCGCTGGAACTATGCAAACAAGCGGAGGAAGGGGGGCCATGGTTTGGTGACATAAGTTTCACTTACCCTTGCGACCCTTGGTGAGGATCAGGTCTCGGTTCAGCTTGATCTTCAGGTCTGAAAGATCATCGGCCGAGGACTCCAGTTTGCAAAAGTCTTCACCGGCGTTCAAGAAGCTCTTCAAGATAGCAAAACGCGCCTGGCAGTGGGGTTGTCCCCATTTCTGGCTCTTGGGATCCCAGAACTCGACCGAGGCCAAACCAGCACGCGCCATAGACAAGTACGAGGCATACAGAAGATCGCCTGCCTCGCTGTCCATCTTCTCACTCCCATCGCCGAACCCAAAGATCTTGAGCACGGGAAATTCGCAGCTCAGGTACATGGCAACCAGCTCAGCTCGGCATTCCTCGTAGGCCCCAGCTAGACCACCGAAGACAGAGCCCCAGGTCTGTCCGGGCTTATACCAGGATGTGACTGGCTTGTTGGTGAGGGGGCTAACAGGTGGGTTTTCTTTGTCAAAATTGAAGACTCCAGGGGCCGTCTCTTGGAGGAGCTTGCCACATCCGTGACCCGTCAGCTCGTGCAGACCAACCTGAACCTCGAAAGCAGCGTCGCGGTATTTCTGGTACACCTCGAGGTCCTCATCTCGGATGAAAGGCACCTTCTCGTTAGGGGCTTTGGCACCAAGAACATTTCCGAGAGAGACATTCTTGAATCCTTCCGATTGTCTGATATCATCGTAGTTTGGAATGTTGATACCGGCTGGTATTCCCGATCCTGCGAAAGATAAAACCTCCAGGGATGTGAAGTCAGGAGCAAGGAACTTGTCCTTCTCGAAGTCGGCACTCCAAGGCAAAAGAGGGATCAATTTGGGTGCCGAGCTGACAAGCTCCCCGAAGGCACGAGTCCGCTCTTTGTTGACCATAGCGGCAAAGCCTTCCCATTCGCCACGCACGCCTGCTGGGTCGCGGTATGTCTCGATGAAACCGATGTTGGTCTCCACATCGGGGCCCTTGTCCCTGATCCAGTACCGCTGGCTGTCCTTGAAAGCCGTCAGAGAACCAGTGTCGAAGGATTTGGCGTACTCGAGGTGCATCTTCTGCTGTATGTCGTTGTCTGCATTTTCGGCCGCTTTGGAGATGTTCTTCGCAATGATAGACATCTCCTTGGCATGGTCTCCGTAAACAAGCTTGATAGTCTTTCCAGCCAAGGCGCCATCGTCCACCTTGAAATCGGTCTCCTTTCCGATGTCACCTCCCTCCGCGGGTATGCTGGTCTGGGCTGATGCGATGAGAATTTCAAAGACTCCATCCTTGGTCTTCCTCAGCCTGGTATTCTCCGGCAAAAGGCCCTTCTTCTCCATGAAGTCGGCGACTGCAGCAACTTCCGCCTTGGTGACATCTGGGGAGTCGGGGTAGTAGGTGGTCAGATGACCATCATCCGGATAGCCCAAGTGCATCAAGCCCGGACTACTGGCTGAGAAAATGCCACCGTTGGTTGCCTTATAGAACTTCTCAGCCTCAGGTGACGTGGCAGCCAGCTTGTCGACATCGCTCTCCTTGCATCTCGGAATGAACTTTTTATCGCCGAATGACTTGTAATTACCACTTGAAGTCTGGTGTCAGTATAGCCGAACCATAGGCCTTCAGGGTGTGCATTATGTGGTCGCTTACCTGTTCCCAAGGAACTGAGCGGCCCAGTGTAAAAAGAAGGTCAAGTCTTCCTCAGTGACGCCGGCCTTCTGTCCCAGTGACTTCCAATCGCCATTGCAGCTCTTGTGCAGGGAGAGGATAAAGTCAAAAATGGGCTCAGATTCTGGGGACACCTGTCTGAGGGTGATGCGCTGGCCAGCAAAAGAAGCCCTGGTCTGAGTGTTAGCAAGTCGAGGAATGCCATCAAGAGAAGAGCAATAGATGATGAGAGATATGGGAATGAAGCACGCTTTCCAGAGGAGATCCCATGGGAGATTATGCTACAGGAAGACGACCCACGACCCAGCCGGAGGGCGTTGAGGTACTGAAGTGAGTGTCGGATAAGCAACTCACTTGCTGATGTAGTGGGCATATCGCTTCTGCTTGTCGGTCAGGGCGTCAAAGTGTTTGGCGATCTCCAGGCGCACGACGCTCGGAGGCGAGTCGGCCAGGTAGTTGGAGAGCTCCTTGGCATCCATGGTGAGGTATCGTCGGGTTGGGTCTGTGAAGACAAACGAGGAGACACGTGAGGCTCTGGGGTAGGCAAGTGCGGGTGTCTTGGGCGCAATTGGTCTCGAGACGAGTCTACGAGCTGCAGTCTTTGCAGAGAGGGAAAGACGATGCATTTATTATCGACGTCTCCCGGCCTTCACCACGTAACATAAGCCAGCAATCCCGCTGTGCCTGCCCGACAAATGTTGGTTTTAGCTCGCGGACGGTGCTATAGTTGCCTCGCGAGAGTGCCTCAGACGGGCAGGTCCCTCGTCTCAGGACCCAGTCGTCCAAAAGGTCCGCTTGTTAGGGCTTTACCCGCAGCTAGCCGCAGTCCTTGGGTGCCGCTGCCTGGTCCAGGCGCTGTCGCAAACAAACCATTCCTCACAAGAAAGCAGGGAATACTGGCGGGGGAAATCCTATTTTGAAGCTCTAAATGCTGGCAATGTGTTGACCTGCCATGCGCTAATCAAAGATTCAGACTCAATATCTACCTAGGGCCTTGAACTCGCGACTGATATTGGTTAACACGGCATGAGAGGAGACGATCTGTCGGGATTGTCTCTGCCCCGTGTCACTTGTTTATACCCACGTGGTCCCCCCTGATGGGCATGATAGACAGGCTACCAATGACCAGAAGGGGCAGAAACTATCGTATCCAACTTGTGCCGCCGCAGAAGCAGCAGAAGCAGCAGAAGCAGCATCAAGGGCCGCAGTGTTCCACAAGGACGAGATCTGCTGTGGCAAGATGCGAGGTAGCAGTCTAACAGAATCTGGGGAAGCGGCTCAAGATTGGCAGCCGCAAGCAACGACAGGGGGGTCGGGGACCCCCAGGGATTGGAGGGGCAGCTTGAGGGGCACCCATAACGTCGGTGTAGCTAACAACCTCCAGTACCACCAACATCCACCTCAGCGGCCCGACCTCGTCTGTACATCCACCTGCGAACTATCAACCAGTCCGGGATCATCTACACGTCAATCCTTCACATCAATTTAGGCTTCCGGCAACCCTGTGAAGCCCAGCCAAGCTCAACATGTCCTCGGCAGATCCATTCGACTCGGCCCTGTGAGTCCAATCCACCCAAACCCCCTGAGAGGCCAACAGCCAAGCTCCTGTGCCCGTGCCTCTCTGCCTATGGCCCCTGACTGCCAAATGCTAAATCTTGGATGTCATGCTCCAGCGACCTCCTACGCCGCCTCAACCCCAAGTACACCCAACGCAACCTTGACTACATCATCCGCCTCGCACCAGACCTGACAGAGGACCTTCTGTCATCCGTGGACCAGCCTCTCGTCGTCAAGCGCTGCAAGCAGTCCGGCCGCGACTACCTGCTCTGTGACTACAACCGCGATGGCGACTCATACCGGTCGCCGTGGTCCAACCAGTTCGACCCGCCGCTGGACGAGGCCGGGCCCGGCGGCGTAGGTGCTGGCGGCAACGACGGCGCGGGCGAGGGCGCCGTGCCGGGCGAGCGTGTCAGGAAGATGGAGATCAAGGCGAACGAGGCCTTTGACATCTACCGCGAGCTGTACTACGAGGGTGGCGTGTCGAGTGTCTACCTGTGGAATTTGGACGACGGATTTGCCGGCGTGGTGTTGCTGAAGAAGTGTGAGTCTTGTCCCTGTGCCCTCGGGGAGTTGGCCTAAAGGAGCGAGGGGAAATCGGCTATAAGCGAGGGCGTCTCTCGCTCATCAGCGCGTTTCTCCCAAGATTCAGTGTCTCTCCCTGCCTATACAATTGCTCTCGCAGCTGAACTAACGTGTCTCACCTTCGCCCAGCCTCCCCGTCTGGCGGCAGCAGCAGCGGTGTCTGGGACTCGATCCATGTCTTCGAGGCTTCCGAGCGAGGCCGCACAACAAGCTACCGGATGACCTCGACGGTGATGCTCAGCCTGGCCGCCAACGCGAACGTCACGCTAGGCGAGATGGACCTCAGCGGCAACATGACACGGCAGATCGAGCAGGAGCTGCCCGTGGAGACCGACGAGAGCCACATCGCCAACATCGGCCGCCTGGTCGAGGACATGGAGCTCAAGATGCGCAACCTTCTGCAGGAGGTGTACTTCGGCAAGGCCAAGGACGTCGTGGGCGACCTGAGATCGGCGGGCAGCCTGAGCGAGGGCCAGAGGGACAGGGACGCGCAGAGGGAGATCATTGGCAGCATGCGGCGGTGAGGGGACCAATGCCCCATATCCGTAACTGGACAGGCCGGCTGCGTGCCGTGACGGGTGAAGTGGCAGGCTCATGACACACACGCGGGTCTTGATTGCAGGAGTTGACACTATCCCTGCCGGACATGGAGGATACGACACATGCGTCATGCTCTCATTACACGGAGATGAACGATAGACCATGAGACGGCGTTTTCGTGTAACGTGTTGTTTCGAGAAGTATAATCTCCCGCCCTCGCGTTCCCATACGCCTTATGTCAAGGTAACAGGGACATCACGTCCTACGCGGTTTCGTGCCTGGCACATCCGATTTGAGCACGACGGATCTCGGTTAATTAACGAGGAAGTTTTCTTCCGCCATCCATGGCGGAAGCCGGCAGGGGAGCGTGAATGAGAGGGGAAAGGCGCTCTTGCTCTGTAGGATCGCCGGTGGCGGAATGACTTGCATACACACCAACACACAACACATGTACAGTCGCTAGGCCCGATGGGCGTGCGGATTTGCCTCATTGGGAAAGCCCATCCGCCGCTGTCAGATGCAATCCCTTTAGACTTTTTTCCTCATACTCTCTGCATGTAATGCACATCGGTCGAGCTTGGCGGTAAGGCAATGAACTTGACATGCCGTACTGTAGACATCTAGGCTCGGCTCCGGCCGCTGTGACACTGCACGCCCCCAAGCACTGCGTTCGCCGGCACGGTTTTCCGAGGAGCCGGCTTGTTTCGCGCCTTAGGGTTGGCTCTGGCAAACAACACACCGTCACCACCCACGGAAATACTTTTGTCGGCAGGGAGCTCGGAAGTCCTAGGTTCGCTCCGTTACGTTCCGGACGTCCTCTGTCGCGGTAATTGTCGCTTGTCGGTCCCTGCAATGAGCATTGCGGCGAGGACCGGGTCGCATTATGTCTCTGAACTATCCAGTCCTATGTCTATGGACAACCGGGTCCACATCTATGGCGAGACCTGGTAGGGCTCCAGGAAGGGAATTCGGTTTTTGTTCGGTTCAGAGTCTGATGTCCCGGCAGAGACAGGAGAGACTCCCTGAAGCGAAGGCCAGACTATCCTCATAGGGAAGACAAGTACTTAGCTAAGGGGTTAAACTCCCGTCGCGTGTTTTCGGAAAGCCGACAACGTGACCAGCTTCTGCAGGCAGTTCAGACATGCGCATCGTGTTCGCAACCCTCGAATGAGGCCTAATCATTTCTTGTGTTCGTGTGTGCCATCCCCACCCGCTGTAGTTGCCAGCAGGGCCCCCTGAGAGGCTGGGCATGGGAAAAAGAGACTTTGCACTTCTGCACGATGAACGATCGACCGAGACAGGCTTATCCCAACACTCTGGTCCTGGGGGTAGGGGCGGCCCCTTGACGCCGTCAGGTACAGCAGGTGCAGGACTCGCTCGCTTCAAGCCACGCAGGGCTGGGTTTTTTGGATTCACACGTCTCTTTTTTCGCTAAGGCCGGTATCATCTGAGGATGACGACGGCCAAAAGGCTAATTGGGGTTCCCGGTGCGGTGGGAAGGCCGAGCGACGAGACGGAGGTTGTCTCGCGGCACGCAAGCATTACTCCTCTCTCGGTGAGCCCGTCTGGGTGAGCGCTTGGTTCTCTGTGGCCGCGAGTTTGACCTCCTCCTTCAGGCTGGTTTACGAGCGGTGTTCAAGCGGCCCGCGATGCGGCCATCGGGCTGGATCGCCATAGTAGCCCGAATATTACTGGCGCAATATAGTGTACGTTCGGAGAGTCCTATGACCAGGGGAGATTTGATCCCAATCGAGCCTGTACACGTCGTCACTACCTCACCTCGTGTGCCAGCCTCCCGGTGGGGAGGAAAGGGATGAGGGGCTGCAAAGATTTCAGCCGGAGCACCGCGTTTGACAAGACAGGAAGGAGGATTGGAATCAGAGAGGGATTTGGCTGGTTCTCCCAGAGCCGAGAGGTCTTGGAAATGTTGTTTGTGGTGGGAAGGGTGTCCTCCAGACTAGTCGGATCCGGGGCCCCCATTTTCTGGAGTTCAATGGAGGCTTCTACTGCAGACTTTCTGCAGGGGAAATTGGACGATAGACAACTCCTGCAGCGAGAAATTTGCACGAGAGTCTGATGACCCCATCTAGGGTCACTCACTCGCGTGTGGGCATGCTAGGCTTCAAACTTCAAAGTTTCGGTGACGCTCGATCAGCAGGCGATCGTGTTCCGTCTGCGAGATGAGAAAGGGGCGTTGAGGACCGGACCCTTCGCGAGAGAATCTCACCATGTCTTGTGGCCGCGGTAGCGGTGGCACGGCGTGTGCGAAGGTTTTCAACGCCATCTGATCCATATAGCGGGCGTGGCATTGGTCTTCTCAACCGTGTCCCCCTTGTCACCCACATCTTGCAGTCTCGCGAATCTTGATGTACGGGGTGACGTGACGTTGTCAAAGGGAAATGTCTGCAAAGAATACTTGACACCGGGCTTTCCGTTTCGGGTAGTTTCATCGAAGTTTTCTAGAAGCATGACCTGTCGAAGTACTGGGCACCTCTGTAACAGGCAAAGAATTACGGCGGAGGAGGCCGAAGCTTTCCCCCCTCTGGGGCCCACACACCTGGGCATCGTTCTGCCGCGTTCTCCCGCCCTTCGACGGAGGGCACTCAGTAGTGTTGTTCCCGGGGCCCCAAAAACTCCCCTCACTAACGCATGCTCCTATGCAGGCCTGAAACTAGAGGAAATCATGGACGGGAACGCCGCGGGCCAACAGTCGTGAATTGACAGTGCGCCCTGATGATACTGCGCGTGGAGATTGTGGTAGGGCGGGCGATCTGCTGTTCGTGAGACAAGCGCATATGTCCAAATGGTTGTCATCTCGTGTCCCGCCTCCCGTCGTTCGGTGGAAGTGTGTGTGCGTGTATGTGTGTGCGTTTGTGTGTGTGTGTGAATGTGTGTCTGTGTCCGTGTGTGAGCGATTGAGAGTGTTAGAGAGATTATAAGCATGGTGAGTGCCGTATTCAGGTAGCAGAGCAGGGTCTTTGTGCGGCTCCCTGTTACGATGCATCGGCATGGCTGTCTCAAGTCTGTCCTGCACTGGAACCCCGAGTGCTTCGTGCCACAGAGCGACATTCTCATGTAAGGGGTTTGTGGTTGTGCCAGATCATCGATCATCTCCAGACTGCGCCGAGAAGGTCAATGGCTGCTGCCCCAAAGTTCCAAGATTCAGCTCCAGTTCCAGCTCCAGCTCCAACCTGCATGAGCCTTCAAGTAGGCTGCGGTGGTACAGACGGCACGCGTCTGGTAATTTGTCATACAGCAGTGCACTTCCAACGACATGCATGTCATCCCCTGGAGCGGTCGTTTCTGTCACATCTCATATGCGACGAGGGCCCTCGACAGGGAGAAGTGCCCGAGGGGAGGAGAGCTCACAGAACCCCATTGTGTCACAGATACTATGGCAGCCGAGAAACATTGAGATACGGCCCTTGTGACTGGAAGAGGGAGATTTCGGTGGCGTCGTAGACGAGCAATCCTGAAGAAGAGATCTGCCTCGTTACTGAGCCAGCGAGCCAGCGAGCCCCGGCTCATGCATCAGGAATCAGGAGGCCTGGCCTGGCTTGTCCGTCCGTCCGCATGCAGCTGGGCGTGCAACTATGCCCTGCGCCTACCCTGCGCTGCGCTGCCTTGCGCTGCCTTGCCCTATCCTGCGAGCGATCCGAAATGGTGGTGATGTGAGACCTGAGATATGAGAGAGAGCAGGAGGAGGAGGAGTGGGAGCGGGAGTGGGAGTGGGAGAGGAAGTGAAAAAAGATGTTGGCCATGTCTGCCCTACAGCGCGTGCCCAGCGACGACAGTGCGGTGCAAGTACCCACCTGCCTTGGTACACAGGTGGTAGGCAGGTTGGTAGATTAGGGAGGTAGGTAGGTAGTCGACCTAGGTACTGTGGTAGAAGGTACATGGGATGTCTGGTAAAGTCCCTGGTCCTTGGTCGACCGCAATTATGCTCAACTGACTTGACATGTTACCCAAAGAGTGCCAAACTACCTGCCTACCTTACTGTTACCTACAGTAGTCTACTTAGACAAGTTCAATTTCAACCCACGTCACCCGCCTGGCCCGCCGCTGATACAAGGACCCTGCCCGAGTCCAAGTAGGGGTTCCAGGCCGACAGACAGGAAAAGTTGAAGAAGGGCCAGTCTTCCCTTCCCGACCGACTCAGAAGTGGATGGTCCGGTCCGATCCACTTAACACCCGCCCGCTGTCTTTCATCTTGGGGACATCGTCCATCCCAGTTGGCTGCCCGTCCACGATTGAAGAGGGTAGCATCGATCAGACGACATCTTGCAGCCTCAGTTCGTCCTGATCCTGACCGTTCGTCTGCCCCCCCCCCCCCCCAGATCAGATTGTTAGCCCCTCCCCTTCGTTAGGCTCGCTCCAGGACCACATCGAGCAGCCGGCGTCTTTCCGAAGTCGGGCTGGCTTTGGCTTCCTGCAGTTGGCTTAAGTTTCTCGACGAAGCGAGCGATCGTCCATCCCAGGTGCCATCCATCCTGGCACCTGGACAGCCGTCCATCCACCCGTCCATTGGAACCTCAAGATTGCCTGCCCCAGAACCCACCCATCCACTCTTCCAACCCCAGCAGGACCTGACTGAACAAAACCCCCCCAGCTCGACCTGGATCGTAACGACCGTGTTTTCGCTGCTCCCATGATAGCTTTAATCTCGCGTATTTTGCAGCTGCTCGGCTGCTGACGACCAACCAATTTTCCCACGGCTCCCTCCTCTTGAGTCGACTTGTCTCCCCCCCACCCCTTGAGAGCACTCACAAACCACGCATCCTCATCTGCAACTGAGCATTTCTCTCGAGGAAAACCTCATCAGCTATATACCTTGTGCTCGACATTGGCCAGCGCCCTCCCGACTCCCCTCAAAGACAACGAGTCTATCCCAGTTTCCGTCGAGTCGTCCCGGGCCAACCGTTCGTTGAAGCCCCCTTCCAAGAGTTACATCGATTGGGACGAGAGCCCCGCCCAGGGCACAGGCATACGGAATTTGAGCCACCCCTCCCTCAATCAACCTACAACATCCCTCACGCTCTGCAACAAAACACCTGAACCGAGCGTCATTGCTTTGCTGGGTGTGACTCGTAGCGAGAGTCCTTGCGCCGCCACCGCCGCCCCCTTCTGTGCCCCCTTTTCCCACGCATCGGTCCATGATGGCGGAGAAGCCCTCGGTGTTGATCATTGGAGGGCTGGGATATATTGGACGCTTCCTGGCCCTCTACATCCACAAGAACGACCTGGCCTCTGAAGTTCGCGTCGTCGACAAGGTCCTGCCGCAGCTGGCGTGGCTGGCACCCGAGTTTGACGAGGCCTGCGCTGGCGACAAGTTTTTGCAGGCCGACGCCAGTAGAGAACGTGAGCCACCGCTTCTCCTAACCTAAACCCCCTTTCTATCGTTCCAAAAGGCAACGTGTCTGACAGGATCCATCCCAATTACAGAGGCGCTAGCCCGGATATTCGACCGAAAAGACGGCAAAGAATTCGACTACGTATTCAACTGCGGCGGCGAGACCCGGTATTCACAGGAGGATGAGGTGTACAAGCTGCGCTCGCTGGGTCTGTCGCTGGCCGTCGGCAAGGAGGCGGCCAAACGAGGAGTGAAAGCCTTCATCGAACTGAGCACGGGCATGGTTTACAAGTCAGATTCTGCGCTGAGCAAAGAGACCGACAAGTTAAAACCTTGGAGCAAGATCGCGACGTTTAAGCTGCAGGCTGAGGAGCAGTTAGCAAAGATACCAGGGTGAGCAAGCACAGGTCCCATCGTGGTGGGCATCTGGAACATCCAACTAATCAAGCGCGCCTCTTTCCAGTCTGAACCTCGCCATTATCCGTCTCGCCCACGTCTACGGACCGTACGCCTCCCAATGGGTCGCGACAGCGCTTTGCATGGCGCGCGTCTACAAAGCTCAAAACGAGGAGATGAAATTCCTCTGGACCAAGGACCTCCGGACAAACACGGTACACATCGATGACGTCGTGCGTGCGCTTTGGTCTGTAGCAACTTGGTATGCGGCCGGCAAGAACAACTGGGACGACAAGACCATGGGAGGGCCAGTACCGATTTTCAACGTCGTAGACAAGGGCACAACGACGCAGGGCAAGATGGCTGAGCTGATCGGCGCGATTTTTGGCATCAAGACAGGCTTCCAGGGAACGCTGATCAGCAGCTTCGCCAAGCTCAACATGGATTCTGTGGTCGAAGACGTTAACGACGAGCTGCTCGGCCCCTGGGCGGACCTTCTTGAAGCCGCCGGCATCACAAGGCCGGGGCCGCTGACGCCATACATGGAGAAGGAGCTGCTCAAGGACACAGACCTGAGCATGGACGGCAGCAGGCTGGAGAAGGTGCTGGGCTTTGAGTACCAAAAACCGAAGGTCGACCGAGAACTCCTGGAAGAGGTTATTGAGAGTTATAAGAAGATGAAATGGTGGCCGTAGCGAGAAACCCTCAAAAAGACACCATAAGGAATAAAGCAACAGCTTGACAAGGAGAACGATGTAGGACCCGTGTGGTCGAGGATGCTCTTTCGGCCCAAAAGGGGGCGTATCCACGGGAAAAGAAAATGCCGACGGGACTGCCTCTTTCCAGCCATGACGCCACGAACGGAGCGAGGGACCAGCAGGCCACGGTCAAAACCATCCTGAAAAAATTGGATATATTGTCTCACCCACCGTTGAACACCGTCAGCCTAGTTGGGGCGGCCTGTCCCATCCGCAACATCACAACGCAATTTTTTCCTAGCCTATATATGTAACATTAGGATATCCGGTTTCCTTTGTGGTCTCCTGCTCTGCTCACTTGGGCCATATTCTATGTGTTCGATCACACAAGACTCGTACAGAAGCGGAGGGCGTGGGAAGTGGGACACGAGCAGCGGCGTGGACTCGGTCCCTGGCTTGCGACGAAGATTTAATTCCAGCCAGCAAACAAAAGCGAGGGAAAAAAGCAGACGGGTGAGTAAGCGTCCACGGCTCGAGGTCGAACAGCGGGGGTAATACAGACCAAATATATACTACAAATCACACACACATGCATAGCGACTTCTACAACGAGTTTGGTCAACGGGCCCGCATCTGCCGCGCGGTCTTCTGTCACGTTTCCTTCATGTCTTGGATGATCTTTGACTGGCCGGCTTAAATCCTCCGATTGGTTATCTGGCATGCAATGCTACTGCGTGCCTTCTCGTGTATCACAGTTAGGTTATGTCCGGGCAGGGCGCGTAGGCAGGGCTGGCAGGGCTGGCGGGCCGGCTGGCTGTATGTATGTATGAGTTGTTGGGCAAATGGCAACACAGTCTGTCTGCCCATGTGCGTCTTCCAGGCCCAGCCTCTCGCATGGACTCCGCAGGAAAAGTATATCTAGGGCGGCCCTTCTGGAACGTCTAGATCTACCCATATCGATCCCATCGCATACGACCTCCGAGACAGGCCCGGACCTGGCACCATCTTGATGATATCAGGGCATGCAGGTGATTGGGTTGTTGATGAGCTTGATCACAGACCTTTGAGAGCACAGCAGTGAGGCATACAGGAAGAGGCCCCATCGTATGATGCCAAGCTGCCCGAGGGAAGCTGTCAGAACCGAGCCATCGGGGCAGCCATCCTGTCGGTTGTCGCTGGCCGGTGCTGGGACAAGGTTTGGACACGGCGCGGGAGGAATCCACCGTCCGGGGGAAGAATTTAGGAACCATGCAGTAGTTAAGCCTGCAGGCCGGACAGGCAGGCCTGGTGGGTGGGGGCGGACCGATCGAGGTGAGAGCCCCTCGATCCCTGCAAGGCGGCGGTGGCGCCCTCGATCCTCGATAAGTGTGTGTAGTGGGAATCTCTTTGCAGGTCTCCGAGGCTGCTTGCTGCTGAGTAGCAGAATTTGGTACCGTACTTTTATGGTGGGGGAGTGAGACCCCTGGGACAAGAGGGATGTCATGTATACAATGACGTGGGCAGTGTCGAGTGCTTCTTCGAGTTCCTTTTTTCTCTTAGGTGGGCCCTCGAAGACCTTCCATTGCAAGCACGATCAAGAAGCGGAAGAAGGCGAAAGATGAGGAAAAGAGGACCTCGGGACCGTTGAACTGTCTTCAAGGTTGGACCCAGCAACTTTTATGTCCAGGACAGATTTCTCGTGGCCGGGTCGGTTCGCCGCCATGGCTTACTTTAAGAGGCGACTTCTTAGTCCATGTCTAAGTCTTGGTTACAATCCCAGATCGGCAGCCTTGGAGGTGCCCACCTGCTGGCTGACAACCCTCCTGGAGCGAAGCTTGTTGCCCCTTTAGGAGAGCTCCCGAGGCCCAATTGCTGGGCGAGTGGTCGATGAGTTGCGAGTGACATGAGATGTTCCCCAATGGGGGCATGCTGGGCAATTACAGTAGACCTAGCCTGTCGCTTTCCCGAGCAAGGTTCCATCCAAGAGCCACCGTCAGGCGCGATGCCTCGACCAGCCAACCCCAAAAAGCCTCGGCCGCTTGTCATGCAGGTCCTCTTTTGCCTTCTTGTGACAGAGCTCCCGAACCCTTGCACGCCCTCGAATCCTGTTTGAATAACTTTACTGAAAAGGACACTCTCCTTCGCTTTGGAAAATTACCTACAGAACATTACCTGTTTGCCTTCCTGTTGCACACCTCCGTTTTCCGTCCCAACGCTGAAACACTGTCCCTCGAACAGAGTAGCGCTCTTATTAGAAACAAGGCTCCATCCGCCGTCGACAACAACTCCACCGCCACCACCACCTTCATAGAAACTCCTTATCACTATCTCATACAAGACATCTTAGAACTCAGACCAAGACAAGACCAACCATAATGGCTGCCCCAGCAGAAAAGACCCTTCGAAACCTAGATGGCACCTGGGTCATGGTAAGTGCCAATATCCGTGAGGCATGGCAGGACAATGGGCCCGGGATTGTGCCACACTGACCCCTCCCAAAATTAATGAGCCGAAAACTAACCCCGCTACCAGAACAAGTCCTTGTCCGACTCGGCCGACCCAGCCCTGGCGCTGCAGGGCGTGGGCTGGCTGACCCGCAAGGCCATCGGCCTGGCGACGGTGACGCTGCACATCAAGGAGTACGTGGACGAGGCCGGGGTGACGCACGTCGACATCCAGCAGACGGCGACGGGCGGCGTCAAGGGCAACACGGAGAACCGCACGCTGGACAACAGCTTCCGCGAGCACAGCGACTGGCTGTTCGGCAACGTCAAGGGCCGCACGGGCTGGGTCGCGTCCAAGGACGGCATCGCCGACGGCAAGGACGAGTTCCTCAAGAAGGGCTGGGAGGACGCCCAGGCCGAGTTCGTCGTCGGCTACGTCGAGAGCCTCGACCGCGGCTGGACCGCCTGGCAGGTCTGGGGCTTCCAGGAGGTCAACGGCGAGCGGAGGTACGCGCGCAACATCGTCGTGGCCAAGGGCGACGAGCGGGTCGAGATGAGGCTCGTCTACGACTTTTACTCGGAGGAGCCTTAGATGGCAGGAGAGACGTGGCTAGAGTACACGGGCGCGCATTTCCTTGTGCTAGATCATGGGGCTGCTTAGAATCATGAGTCTGGGCTTGCCAGGTCGCTTTCAGGTCGCTTTTAAATGTGCTAGGACTGTTCGATACCTCAATTGTTCGTTGAGGATGGCACACACTTTTCTAAATGCTATTAACTGAATGTTCTGGTTATGCCCCGTGTGCCCCACTCAATGTGCGTCGCCTCTCTCAGCAGTCAATCTCCACCGCAAGCCACTCTTATCCCTAATTCGATCACTCATAGTAAGTGAAATAGAGTGGCCATACAAGAGATACGTATAATTCATTTATTGGTTGCCGACCTGGGCACTTATTGTGTGTAATACATGGTCTTGTTGGCTTCTCTGGTCATGAGCAGGCCAGTGCAAGGGGCCACAGGACGAACGTCAGCCATGAAACCCCATAAGTTCGTGGACTGTCAAAAACGTGCGTATACATCAGTTGCTTGCTGCCAATTCTGACAAGGCCCTCAATATTTATCAAAAACCCTGGACGTGGGACGGATTGATCAGTGATATTGTTAGTCTACCTAGGCAGCATGCGCACCTCCTGCCCCTGCCCTGGTTCCTGTTCCTGTTGAAGGGACGCCGTTTGTGAATGCCCAATTCTAAGAAAAGATACCCATGCCACGAACGCCCATAGATGAATATGCATTCGCCCCGTTGTTTTGAGACTCGACCTTTTCTCGGCTCTATCAGGGTATCTTTTCCTTTGCGTCTCTTCCCTTTTGCTCGGTCATTACGTCACATGCCTGGCCTGGGTGAGACTCCTCACCCTGTCCTCCGTAGACCTTGCCAGACTCTGCTGTCCCGTCATCCCCCGGCCCTCATATGCCGCCCACTGTCGCAGTTCAGCCCAGCAGGCAGCGCTCGCTTCCGCGGCAGGACGCAGGCAGCCTACGCCGGCCTCCTCTTGACGAACTGCTCGAGGTCATCCCTAGTGGCGACGCCGAGCACGAAGCGCCTGTTGTCGTCAGTGATGACGGCGAACTCCTGCTTCTGGCCAGCCGTCTGAGCGCCCTCGAAGAAGGCCTCGAGCTCCTCGAGCGGTGTGTCCATCGTGATGACCTTGTACTTCCTGCCGCGGCGCTGGAACCGCGTCATGGCGGCGCTGATGGGGTCCTCGGCCGCCACCTTGCCGCCGTCGAGCAGTGACTGAAGGTTCGGGATCGAGATGTAGCCCATCAGGCTCCGCGTCTCGCTGTCCACGATCGTCAGGTGCGTGTAGTCCCGCTCAAAGGCGGCTTCGAGGGCGAGAGAGATGGGGTCGGAGGGTGTGAGCGAGAGGGCCGCGGGTGGTTGCAGGTCCTCTACTGCAGCCTGGTGGGCAGGTTCATTTCATGGTCAGTTCGTCCGTTTGTCGTGGTGAGGATCCTGGGGTTTTCTTCGACTCTCATGACTTACCCCGCGGTACCGAGATGCCCATTTCGAGACGAACGGGCCTGAATTTGCCTGTGTGGTGTTCGTCGATGGGGGAGCCATTATGCCTGTTGCCATATTTGACTTGTTGAGTGGTGGAATTTGAAATGGTTATGAAGCTGCAAGATGTGTCGTGGGGCGGGCCAGTTCTGGTAGATAAGTATGTGTCTGTCGGCTTGCGATGGTATGAGTCGGCGTTGGTCACTCAGTCCTGAAAGGGCCTAGATTTCTGTGAGTCGCAGGTCGGCCCTTGGCACCACCTTGATGTCCGCTGAATGGCGGGGTGGTGGGGCCGTGTGCTCCCGTCTGCATGGCTAATAGCGGGTCAGACTAAGACAATTGACTTGTTGAGCATAGAGCAGGCATGGTCTCTTTACTGAAGACTGTGTTTCGGAACCAGTACCCGCAGGATGATATTGATCCTTTTCATTGTCCTCTTGATGCTTTTCCTCTCCACATGAAGCCAGCACTGCCAGCTGATATTGCTTGTGTCTAGCTTGGACGTTTGACTGGGACTGCAAGCATCTTGCTGACCCTGAAATGGACATCCTGACATCCTAACATTTGATCGAAACACCAGGCGCAGCGAATCAGTGTGTTTGAGAATGAATATCCTACTGCACAATCGCTGAATATAAGAACAATTATTTTAGATTACGATCTGGACACTTGAGGCAAACGGGTTAAGAGCAACCGTAGCTCCAAGCACACCGACGTCATTGGAGATGCGCTGGTGACAGATGCGCGCAAGGGCCGCAGCGAGCAACGAGCCGGTTTCTCCTGCTGCCGCCTGCTGGGTGTCTGACAGCCGGGTGCGATATCTGGAACCAATGGTTGGAAGGGACCTTTGATGGGTGTGTCCAGGTGCTTTTGGGACGAGGAGCTTCAGATCTCTTCTCAGCTTCTCCAACCTCCCACCTCCCACCTCAAGGTGCCCCAGGTAACCTTTCATCTGCTTGACGTCTCAAGCCGGCTCTTCAGCTCATACTCTTAGAGAAATTTGCATCAGGATTGGGCTTCAGCACGGAGGAGTGTGAAGAGCTCGTGTCCCTTGATCTGCTCCACTGTAAGCCACCTTCAGTCTACCTACTTCTGAGTTCCGGGGTCCCGATAACTCCGGCCAGGAGCTTTCACCTTGCACCCAAGGACCTCTGTTTCCATACTCATCTCTCCGACCCAATTGCAACGGTTGACTGATTGAATCTAGTTGAGAATCTCAAAGCTTCTGGAATTCCTCCAGCTTTGGAATGAGACGCAACCTCACTTAACAAGATGTCTCACTTGTACCCTCGTTACGACACCCTTCAGAAGACCTTCCCTCACCAGCCTCAGGATGGCCTGAAGGCGCAAGGGAGTAAGGCAACTCCGTACCAAGCCCGCATGGACTTGTACTCCGCCTACTCTACCATCGAGGACAAGGCCAAGAAGCTCAGCGCCGAAGCGACGGCGGAGTTCAACAAGGCCAGCGCTGCTGCCCAGGCCAAGACGGGCAAGATTGAGCTGTACTCGGGGAAGTACTACGCCGCGTGCACATTTGGAGGATTGCTGGCGTGTGGTCTCACACACACGGCAGTAACGCCCCTGGACGTCGTCAAAACTCGGCGACAGGTCGACTCTAAGCTCTACACAGGCAACTTCCAGGCCTGGGGCAAGATATACCGGATCGAGGGCGTCCGTGGGATATTCACGGGCTGGTCTCCGACCTTTTTCGGTTATTCAGCCCAAGGTGCCTTCAAATACGGCTGGTGTAAGTACAAGCCTTATCCCATTGCGGTTGACCCCCCGTCTTTTATTAGGATCTTCCAGAATGCATCGCTTCCAGCTCCGTAGCAAGTGACTGACGCATTCAGACGAGTATTTCAAGAAAACCTACGCGGACATCGCGGGCCCCGAGAATGCGACAAAGTACAAGACCACGCTTTATCTCACGGCCTCTGCTTCTGCCGAGTTCCTTGCGGACATCGCACTCTGCCCCTTTGAATCTGTCAAGGTACGCATGCAAGCTACGATTCCGCCCCCGTATTCCGGTACCTTCGATGGCATCAGCAAGATCACTGCGAAGGAAGGGTGGGGTGGACTGTACAAGGGCCTGTACCCGCTCTGGGCCCGGCAGATCCCCTACACGATGATGAAGTTTGCCTCGTTTGAGACCATTGTCGAAATGATCTACGCCCGTCTGCCTGGATCCAAGAACGACTACAGCAAGGCTGCACAAACCGGCGTGTCCTTCACAGGTGGCTACCTGGCTGGTATCCTCTGCGCCATAGTATCGCATCCAGCAGACGTCATGGTCTCAAAACTCAATGCTTACCGTGAGCCTGGCGAGGCCTTTGGAACGGTCCTCTCGAGGATTTACAAGGACATCGGCTTCAGGGGGCTTTGGAATGGCCTACCCATGCGTATTGTGATGATTGGAACTCTGACTGGCCTTCAGTGGATGATATATGTAAGCTCCTCCTGTCTTAAATGGCCTGCTGAATGTTGCATCGTGGATCTAGTATCTCTGACACCTTGACTGCAGGACTACTTCAAGATCTTCATGGGCCTCCCCACGACTGGTGGCCAGGCGCCGCCTGAGAAGAAGTCAGATTAGCTTTGTGGAACTAACGATGCGCGAAAACGCAACTTCCGAAGGATTGGCGCGCTGCCTGCGTCATACAGGCTCTGTGTGAATAAATAGTTCATGTTGAGACGTGCAATTGTCCTTGGTCCCCGTAGCTAGGACGAATGGAGATACATATCAGGTATTCTTATAATGCATTGCTACTACGTAAAGAACGAATCCGCTTCGCGGTCACAGTGTCTAAATAATAGTGAATAAATATTACAGAAAATAGGAATCCCTTATAAGATAACCCGTTGCCAGACAATCACCTAGGGGATAATCTTTTATTAACCAACCTTCTATAGGACAACCTCCTATGGGTTTCTCTTCTGTGGGATAACCTCTTCTAGAGTAACCTCTTGTGGGATATGGGATAACCTCCTGTGGGATAACCTCTTATGGGATATGGGATAACCTCCTGTGGGATGACCTCCTATAGGATATGGGATAACCTCCTGTGGGATAACCTCCTCTGGGATAACCCTCTCTGGGATAACCTCCTGTGGGATAACCTCTTATGGGAAATAGAATAACCTCCTGTGGGATAACCTCCTGTGGGATAACCTCCTGTGGGATAACCTCCTGTGGAATAATTCCCTCTGGGATAAATTCCTTTAAAATAACCTCCTTTAATATAACCTTTTCTAGAAGAACCTTCTCTATAATAATCTCATAAAGGATAACCTTCTGTAGGATAGCCTCTTATAATACAACATCCTATGGGATAACCTTTTATGAGATAAGCTTCTATGTTATAAACCTCTATAGGACAATCTATAGGATAAGCTTCCGTATAGTGATCTGATAAATGGGAGCAAGCAAGTTAAATGTAGCGGGGTCGTTCCAAAAATGTATATGATAGCCCTCGAGGCATCTGCAAAGGAGGATCGACTAGAAACGGTGCTGTAGACAGTGAGAGTGGTCGCCCTGGACCAAGTCACTCTTGGACCAAGTCGACCTGGATTGTAGGTCGACCTGGACTACAAGTCGACCTGGGCTCAAATTCGCCGTAGACAAGTCGCCGTAGACAAGTCGCCGTAGACAAGTCGCCGTAGACAAGTTGCCGTAGACAAGTCGCTGTAAACCAAGTTGACCTGGGCTATAAGCCGATCTGGACTGCAAGTCGCTCTGGGCTCAAATTTGCCCTGCGTCAATCGCCATAGACCAAGTCGCTGTGAATCAAGTCGCCCTGGGCTTGAATTCGCCCTGGACCAAGCCGCTTTGAAAAACCATCGCAGATTAAGTTACCCTGGATCAAGTTGTCCTGGTTTAAGTCGTTTTGGATTATGAATCGCCCCAGACCTCGACTTAGCCCTGGACTTCAAATTAGAGAAGGTTTATTTTTTGGATCAAGATCCGTGTTCGATGCGAAATCCTGTCTTCATATAACCTATCACTAATTAAATCGACTTTTTTTCTTAGTTTAATTTTCAAGTCTAATGGACTTCAAAAGAAGTCATTCTAGTGCATATGATAGACGATGCGGAACGTAGCAAGATTCTCAATAAGTTACGGGTCTGCGAAGGGAGGATTAACCAGCAACGGTTGGATAGACAGTCATAGTGGTGAAATTGATGGAGAAGGCCCGTGCGCAGACTGGGCGTTGCCAACCCCTGCCGCAACTTTTCTGACTGGGGTTTTCTGGGAAGCTTCCTTGCTTGACACCAACTTCGTTGACAGCTCTCTGCAAGCCCGCCCTGGAGACTTTCTACGTCGTGACGCACCTCGCCTGAAGAGCCCGATCAAGAACAACATGGCAGAGCAGCCAGTCGCGGAGGTGTTCACCTTCCCGACAAATCCAGCGGATTTCGAGAATGACGACCGCATCTCGTTCTCCAAGCTGGACAACAAGTTCATCGCTGTCCAGGAGTCTGACGGCACCGAGTTCGAGTTTGATCATCAGCTGAAGCGATGGATTCCAGTCGCAGATGAGGATGAGGAAGCCTTCATTCAACAGCATCAAGACGCATACGGGAGCGCCCAAGACCCAAGTGCAGACAGCAGTGCTCAGCCTAGCAACGGCAGAAAGCGGAAGCAAGACCAAGTCGAGGTAAGCTGCGCACGCTGGTCCGTCCACAGCGGTCGAGACAATCCTTGAGCACTACTTCGATTGAGCCAAACCGCCTTATAATCGCACCGAATGAGCAATGGAGAAGAAGCATGTGCAACAGAGACCAGAAGCAACTGTACCTACCGAGTTCAACTGCTTATGGGAAACAATCTGGTGACAAACTGACACGCACCCCGCGCTACTCCAGGATCAGGACAATAATGGTGCCTCCTCTGCCTCCAACAACCACCGCAAAAACAAGAAGCAAAACACTCAAAAACAGCCACCCCAGAACAGAGCCATCTACGTCACTGGCCTGCCTCTCGACGTGACAGTAGACGAGGTCGCCGAGGTGTTCAGCCGCAAGTGCGGCGTCATCGCCGAGGAGATCGACAGCGGGCGGCCTCGGATTAAGCTATACGCGGACAGCGATGGCAACTTCAAGGGAGACGCGCTCATCGTGTTCTTCAAGCCGCCAAGCGTCGAGATGGCCATCATGCTTCTGGACGACACACATTTCCGGTACAGCGATTCTGGCTTAGGGTCAGGCAAGATGCGGGTACAGGCTGCGGAGTCCAGCTACAAGAAGACACAATACACTGAGGGTGCCGAGGGCGCTGAAGCTAAAGAGCCAGGGGCAAAGCAGCACAACAATGGCAAAGGCGCGGGCAAGGACAGGGAGAAGGTGATCAAGAAAACGCAGAAGCTCGACGCAAAGCTGGCCGACTGGTCCGACGACGAGTCTGCCTACGTACCACCTGAGCAGCGCACGGGCAAGAAGGACAAGATGGTCATCCTCAAGCACATGTTTACGCTGCAGGAGCTCGAGGACGACCCGGCAGCGCTGCTGGAGATCAAGGAGGACATCCGCGAGGAGTGCGAGAAGCTGGGCGAGGTGACCAACGTGGTACTGTACGACCTGGAGCAGGACGGTGTGGTGAGCATCAAGTACAAGAAGCCAGAGTCGGCCGACGCTTGTGTGCAGCTGATGAACGGGAGGGCCTTTGGCGGGCAGAGGGTCGAGGCCTACATACCAAGTGGGCGGCTCAAGTTTCAGAGGTCCAAGGATAACAACGACGATGCGGGAGAGGATGACTGAGGAGTCCGACGGACGAGGTGAGTTGGTAATGAGAGTGTTCTCCTTTATTCTTCACGGCATACATCAGAAGACCTCGATGGCACAAGACGACTAGCACAACTCATAATGGACACCGAATCGTGAACGGTTTGTTGCTACATAGTCGATATAGGTACCAATCTGCGACAATAGAAGAATTTTCGATGAAACACCATGACACCAACACCCAGCAATGGCCGAGCACCTAACGCCATTTTCGCAATTTGGAACCCCCCATCCCAGCCCAAAATTTGATGCTCGCAAATGATGAATTCCCACACAACCAGACTATCCCTGGAGCGTTAGGGATCAACAGTGGAGGATGTGAAGACTCACAGTCCGGAGGATAAAATCAAGACCACACGACACGCGGTTTCAAACCTGTCGAGGCCGCAGGAGGCGGGAGGTGTGTTGCTCTGATAGATAGAGGCAGGCGGGCAGGCAGGAACAAGTGACTGTCGCCCGGCGTCAGTGATTGCCCAGCGCAAGCGATGGAGCTAGGAGGCCTTTTTTTTGTCTTTATTTTGAGATTTTTGTCCTGTGTTCCTTTCCTATCTGTGAGGCGAGCTGGATCCTCAGTGGACTCCAGGGCTCTTAGGACTGCTGCTCCAGCAGGGGCTCGAGGTCAACACGCTCCTCGACCGTGTACCAGATTGCAGATTCGATGATCTTCAGCACCACGCGCAGATCGGTCTCGTCTTCGGTATAATCAGCAACTTCGATCCACCTCAACGATCGCTTGCGTCTCAGGAGGAAAGGAAATAAAGGACGCCTCAGAATTTCAACAGGGGTTGCTCACCTCGAGGCGCGTAAACCAGGACGAACGTCTCCGGCAGGGGACTCCTCGGCATCATCCAGGCCCTGGCCCCGCCGGCGGTCTCCTGGCCCTTGCCCCAGGCCATGGGATGACGCTGACCCCACCCCTTGCCAAGGACCTCGGCGATGTCGTCCGGGTGCAGGTTCATATGCATGCTGCGGTCCGAGTTGTGGATGTGGCAGACCTCGCCGTTGCCGCACACGTTGACGGGGTGCCGCGCGAAGAGGGCGAAGCCGTGCTTCTCGATGCACGAGGTCGCGATGCCGAACTTGGCGGCGTGCGCCGCCGACAGCCTGTTCATGACGTCCTTGAGCGCGGCGAAGGCCGCCGTGGAGCCGTGCTGGTTGAGCTGGCGCTGCGGGGCGAGGCCCGCAACCGTGGGCCGGGGTCCGGGCCGGTATGGGAGGTTCTGCGGTGCGAGGATGCCGGATGCCGGCCTGGACACGGCGCCTGCGGAGGGCGGACTGAAAGGGTCCCGGAGCACGAAGAGGCGGAACCAGGCCAGCCGTGCGTAGCCGGATAGGGTGGGTGGAGTTCCGCCTGGCCCAAGACGGAGGAAGTTCTGATAGTCGTTCCAGACCAGTAGGAGAATTGGGACAGCGAGGATAAAGGACTCCAGGAGGTAGTGAGGGACGAAGTGCAAGCCCATGATAAGGAAGACCGAGCCGGCAAGGAGGGCATTGGCATCCAAGGTCATTGAGAAGGGGTCCTGCCGTATAACCATGTTCACCGCTGGGCTTGGGACGTTGTCGGTGGCCGAGCCGAGGAGGAGGCTCTTTCTCTCGAAGCGAGGGCTGCCCATGTTGGGTGGAACATCGGATGCGGTCTCATTTGGGGTGAGTTGCTCCGTCTGAGTAGTTGCGAGGAACGACATGGTAGGTTCGGTGACGGCCCTTAGACGCACGACAGGAATTGACTTGTATTTCTTTGGATTTGTGCCCACTTGGTAGGAATATGTGGAACTGAAACGTCAAGGTGAGAGGAGAGTAGTATAGAGACAGTCTAATAACTGATGTCAAGTAAATCTTGACAGTATCATCGAGGCACACACAATGACAATGATTTCGGCCAGTACGCACGACGCTTACAGGAACAAACGAACGAGGTGATATATTTATGACAGGACAGGATGACGGAACTAGAGGGTAATTAGGGTATGTGGTCACAGGGACGTCAGTTTGAGACCTAGACGATCTTCTGTCAAACGATGAGGAGTACGGCTTAGGGTCTTCTCAGTGAGAAAAAGGGGCAGCAAACTTCCCAATGACAACCTTTCGGGCGGGAACCGTTTCTTTGAGCACACCGGTGAGTCGGGCAACGCAGATATGAGACAATTTCTTGGGCGGTTTGGAAGGTTGAATGTGCGTGCGCTGGCGATAAGCTCAATAAAGCTAAGTCAGGCGAAGGGGTTTGTTGTCAATGCAGTAGGCCGCAGCAACTGGCTTTAATACCTAGCAACTCGACGAGGGTTTGCCGACTCTCGCGGCACTCGGTATGGAAGGCGGCACAGCATGGTGAACATGCAGTGAAGGGCGTGGTTAGAAGTTAGGTTAGCAAACCACCCAGCAGCACACCGGACGGGCGGGCAGAGGCTACCGGTCAGCTGCCTGCTCTGGCTTGATTCCGACTCGACCATCCTCAATCCCACGCCGACGCCCACGCCGATGCGGAAGCTATGCCGCTCTGCTCTCAACGATGCGTTTGTGGCCCTGCGTGCGTGCGACCCAAGGGACGACGTCGGAGGCACAAGCCTGGGCATGTTAGAAAGCGACGGCCAGTGGCATAGCGGGCCAAGTCCTCCGGTATATGGGCCGTGGATCTGGGGCAGAGGACTGGCAGGTTGGGGTAGGTGGGCAGGGGCAGGGGCGTGAACCCCGCCTGGTGATGCTCCAGGTCAAGCCAGCATACCATAGTAGAGCGATTGGCTTGACCCTGGGGACGGCAGGCGGCTTGGGGAAATTTGTGTCAGATTGTCAACGTGATGTGATGCCGCTTCACACGAACTAGGGACGATCGTGAGCACGAGACCAGCAGACCAGCAGACCAGCAGACCAGCAGACCAGCGAACACGAAGCAGCTGGCGAAAAGTGGCTCTGTTGGTCGCGTCCAGGGAAACCCGCCACATCACGTCTATTGCAGACACGAAGCGCCAAGCTCTCTCCCACTCCTCAGTTTTGCTGGCTTCTGGCCCTGCCTGCACCGGAGCAAGCACGACTGGCACACAATGGCACACAATGGCACACAATGGCACACCGACACGAGGACGTCTTGGGCCGTTGTTTGGTTCAGCCGCCAGGTCGTCGATTACTGTAAGGCAGCGGAGTCGGGGTGGGTATGGAGGGGAAGTTGAGGCGGAATGACGTCGGTTCTGGACCTCTTTTTTTTGGGTTCCACTCATTCACACAGCCCGGGATGCACAAGCGAGAGCAGACATTTGTAGGAGCAAAACGCATCACGACGGGTCAATTGCAAGCTGGCCGTCCTGCCGTCGTGATGCTGCAGTGGTAGGATTGCAGGAGCCCGGCGGGTCGAGGGCAATGCTTCGGAGACTAGCCAGTGATGGCCTGGATGCAGTGCTCTCTACTGTTGTTGCTACCAACGAACGACGGGGCTGCCAACGCTTGCCAGCATGCAACATGTGAAAGGCAACCTCGATTGGTTTGTTATGGAGCCGCTGAGAGTGGTCCAACTTGGCTCCAGGCGAGGGCTATGTTCCGCACCCATTCCCACCAGTTCGGAGAATTTCTGCTGTGGCAGGTGACACTTGACTGTGTCTTCTGTATTCGCAGTGTGTGTGTCTGCAGAGGTTAATGTTTGAATTAGGGTTGGCATGTGCTCTGCGTGGTTGGGTTTCACGAAAAAGGAATAGCTAGTGAACTGCCGCCGCCACCGTGCCCAGGCCGGGAGAGGCGATCGCTAGATGCTTGTCAGGACGGAAGCCAATTCGGACGGAGATGTTGGTGTTGGCAGCAATGATTGGGCTGTTGCTCGCCTTCGATCGATCATCCGGAAAAGGGGGAGGTCGAGCGACGCGACGAGACCAGGGCGGGATCAATGCCGCCCGTTGCTTTGCACCAGACCAAAATAGAAACACGATATTACTGTTACATGTTCTGGTATTGACGGGACAGTATTGATTGAGATCAAGAGCGCTGGCGTGCGTGGCAGGGCGATCGGATATTAACTCGCAATACAAAACTTGGAACGCCGACAGGCCCAGAGGCCCAGACTCCCGAGGTACTGTACCTAGGTGAAAAAGTCGAGGGTCAGGTCACCCACTGCGACGGCGTGTTTGTCCTTGGTCTCAGGGTATTCAAGTCTCAGGAGGGCCCCCATTTTTTTTTGTAAAACCAGTTTCGCTAGAGACGGGAGAGATACGCGTCCGACTCCCAGTCATTTAGAAAAAAGAGGAGCCCTCACAGAACGTCCGCCGACTTGGCAGCCAAACGCCCGCAGTCTGCCAGTGTAGAAAGTTAGTGACGTCTATATGATTATCAATTTGAATTTGTTCCTCGAGTCAGGAGAAGAGAAAGCCGCCGCCATCACATCGCCTATCTTGAAGGAGAGCCTCGTCCCGCGCCGCCCATTTGCACAGACGATAGGGGGCCAGCAGTGCACGAAGCATCCCAAGAGTGATGACGATGAACGGACGAGATGGCTCATAATAGCAGACTGCAGTATTGCAGTCTAAATAGTAACTAACATCCAGCAACCAGCATCCTGGGCTTTTCAGCAATCTTGAAATTGTGTTCGGCAAAATGCACCCGCTCCCGATGGCGTTAGAAGCTGCAGCAGCTCGCAGGAGAAGGATGGTGAGGTGCAGCTCTGATAGGGTGAGGATCCCCGTTGCTCAGCAACTTTTCTCGAGCAGCAGGCGGGTGCAGGCTCTGAGGTTCCAGCCTTAATCCTGCCCGTCCATGTACCCACAGGTACTATCACCTGCTGCGTCTGCACCCGCATGACGATGGCCATTCATGGGCTGCAGAACCCCTGCATTGCCCTGCCAAATTTCAACAAGAAATCAATCAATCGATTGTCTGTCGCCCGGCCATCCTGCCTATTCATGAGGGATCCCCAGCCCCCCAGGTACCCACACATTCTAGACCCACCGCTGGGTACTGTGCGGTACAACACTCGCGCTCCTGCTCTTTGTTCTTGTCTTGCAATGTTTGGATCCGGCGACCGTCTCCATACCACGGCCCCATCTACGGTACTGTCGCCTCGACCAGGGACGACTAGTGTGCCCCGTAGTGCGTGGTACATCCAAACTAAACCTTGGACTTCCATCCCAACCCCCTCTCCCATTTCTACAACAATCAGACTGGATGTTTTGCGTTGCATCTCTGGTCCTGGACCTTGGAACCCTCTTCATTTCGCAAAACTCATCTATCCATCCTCCTCCTTTTAGCCTGACCAAGGCGTCGTCGTCGACTCCACGAACACTCGTCGACTAAGTGGGAGCCAGACGGGTACACGCACCATAACCCCATAGTCGCAGATCCCCCTTCTCGACTCAACATCTCCAGCCAGCATCCCTACGACTCTCCATACCATCCCGACCGTTCAATCTACTCCTTACGTCTCTGTCAACCTCCTTATTCACCTCTCTCTGCCCCTCCACAGACAACACAACCTCAACCCTCGCGACTCTTGGCCCTGTTTCCTCGCCTCCATTGCCCCAGTGATCATCACCGCGAAGCTTGACCGAAACATTGCCCCCAAACCTTGCAGGGCCAGCCAGGTTGTTTGTTGCCCGACACAAACCTTATTGCGAGTTTGGGAAGAAAAGACACGCAGCAGCTCCTCTGTCTGCCTTTGTGGTCAACGCCACATGTCTGAGCTGCCTCCCCGAACCCGTTCCTCTTGACTGGCTTGCTGCCACCACTGGCACGGGCTTCCAAATTGCCTCGATACGTGATACGTCATGGGGTTCTCTAACCCCCTCCGCTCGCGGCACGGCCATGGGCCTCAACTACCCGTTTACGAGAAGGTCCCCAAAGATCAATTGTCCTCTCAGGAGGACTATGATTCCGAAATCACAGACGACGAGCGCGAAGACGACTCTTCGGCCGCATCCTCGCCCAGTCGAGACTCAAGACGGACAACCTCCTCCCTGTCCTCGAAAACAAACATGATCAAGCGAAAACTCACCGTCAATGCCACCCTGGCACCACCAACAACCGCAGCCACCATACTGAGTCCTATTGCCTCCAGACGAACCACCTTCACCCTCTCGCGCCGCGGTACCGGCTGGAAACTCTACCGACTCCCTCACAAGATTACACGCCTGCTCTGCCTCGGCCTCTTGGTAGGCATAATATTGTTCATCTCTGCACTGTACCATGCAGGCATATCAGAAAACCGGAGGATAATGAAGGGTGAATTTCCGCCACGACCACCCGGCCCAAATACTTGGGAATCCTTCAACTTTCTCACACGGTATTATGGAGGTATAAGAACGCTAGTACCTTTCCAGGACAACGTGCCTCAATACCCGCGACTCGTCGATGAGATGCCCTTCAATGGCACGGACGAGGCTGGGCCGGCGTTCTACACGGGCGCGCGTGAGCCTGTTGAGAGCTCCGCCGTACCTCCGAGCAAGGCATTTGCGTCCGAGTATAAGAAATCGGTTTTCGCCAAAGCTGGCGCGGTGAATGAGTGTTTCCTGGATAGCGAACAGACTATTAAAGTCCCGCATATTCGGTACTACGATGGGCGTCCTGCCGGGTTCCCTCAAAACGTGCTAGGTTCCTACGAGCTCCTGGATCTTCCCGAAGATATTTGCTTCGACCGCCATGGCAGGCTCAGCCCGTATGGATTTGGATATTCGGTCCGTTCTGGTGGTCTAGGTATTGGCGAGCACGGAGACAAGGATGGGGCGCAACTGGTATGGAAAGATCGTCAGCAAATTGACTGGCGCAACACCGACTGGGCTGATGTGCAGCGTCGGTGCTATCAGTCCAACGCAGAGCTCTATAAGCCACTCACCCGCAGACACCACCCTCCTCGTGGGTTCTATATCAACGAGAAGCTCGCCAACGAGACCCTATTCAAGAGAGATGAAGGTATTCCACAGATCGGGGAGGCACAGGTACCTGGCTCAGTTGCGGACGTCGCCAGGCCTCCAGCGGAATTAAAGGAGGGAACCAAAGGCAAGACTACCGGCGAGGCAACTGACAAGGCAGCTCAGAAGCCAGTCGATGGCTTGCCCCGGACAGCTATCGTCATCCGTTGTTGGGATGAGTATCCGTGGAGAGAGGAGGATGTCCTGTATATGAGGACTATCATCACCGAGCTGTCTCTTGCGTCTGGCGGACGTTACGACGTCCACCTGCTTGTCCAAGTTAAGAACGATGCAGCATACCCTATTTGGGCCGCCGACGAAGTTTACCAGCAGAGGATCAAAGACACGGTTCCTAAAGAGCTGCAGAGCATGGTCACTCTTTGGACTGAAACGCAGATGCTTTCTCTCTATCAAGGTATCCATGACCTGTGGACTCGAGGGATGGACTTGCCTGTTCACGGAGTGTATCGCGGTTTGCAAATGGCCATGCAGTACTTCGCATACAACCACCCAGAGTATGACTACTTCTGGCAATGGGAAATGGACATACGGTATACCGGCCACTACCTCGATCTGTTCACAAAGATGGAGCAGTGGGCTGTACAGCAGCCGAGGAAAGGTCTCTGGGAGCGAAACGGTCGCTTTTACCTACCAGCGGAGCACGGCACCTGGGAAGACTTCAAGCAGATGGCGCGTGTGCAATCCGAGATGGGAACACCCGGTGCCGACAACATGTGGAATGGTCTGGGTGGCAAGCCGAAGCCACTTGAATACTCGCGCGGAGAGAAGGTCATCTGGGGCCCAGTCCGCCCTGTCGACGATAAAGATTGGTTCGAGCCCGAAAATGATCCAGTCCCGCCACGAGCGTACGAGCACGACAAGTACCAGTGGGGCGTTGGTGAAGAACCCGACCTGATCACACTGAACCCCATGTTTGATCCAGAGGGTACGACTTGGCTGCTGGCTGACGATATCACCGGCTATAACGAGTCCGAGGGTATCGGCAAGCCTCCCCGTCGCGCCCAGATCATCACGGCTTCGCGAATGTCCCGCCGGATGCTCATGACCATGCACCGCGAGACGGCGTTCAAGAAACACCATGCGTTTCCTGAGATGTGGCCGGCAACGGTAGCCCTGCAGCACGGATACAAAGCGGTTTATGTCCCGCACCCGCTGTATGTCGATCGCGAGTGGCCCACTCAGTACATGGCTCGAGTTTACAACGGCGGCAAGAACGGCGGTACGGGTGGCGCGAGGACGTCGGTATTCGGCCAGAGAGAACACAACCTCCAGGGTCTGTCATGGTTCTACAACTCAGGCTTCGCACCGAACCTTTACCGTCGATGGTTGGGGGTGAAGGTCAACAATGACGGCGGCGAGGAGTTCGAGCAGGTGAGGGATATGAGCAAGGATGAGAGCACGGTCGGCCTGATGCGCGGCGGCGAGGGGCGCATGTGCCTACCACCAATGTTGCTGCATCCCATTAAAGGGGTTGAACTGCCTGTTGAGCAGGACCCGGTTAAAGAGGAAGTCGTTGAGTCAGACCCAGCCGCATAAGGAGAGATGGGGTTGGATGCATATATAAAACGGCGGAAGGATCGCTGTGCTTACACAGCAAGGGTGACACCAAACGGTGTCCACCCTTGCACAGGTCTCACACGGCCGACAAGCTGGTCGGCAATCAGAGAGCACTATCAGGAGTTCTTGGCGTAAGATATTCGGAGGGCAGGGACGGTTGAGCCATCATCGAATCATCGAGGCTTTTTGGCATTCGGTCACAAACACACTGATGAAAGCATATCATGTCTTGGGAGCAGGGAAACGGGGTGTCTGGCCTACCTTGTAGTTGGCTTTTTACACTATTGGCTATCCTGCTGTGCTTGGATTTCGCCCACCTGTCAAAAATAGGGTGGTTTCTGTTTTGTTCCTGTCCTCGATGCCTCTCCTTTATTATTTATTTCAACCGTGTACAAGAGAGATGCGATTCCTCATCATCACAGCTACGCGCGAGGACATTCGAGGCGCTGGGTAGAAAAGGGGATGTATGTACATACTCTTCATGTGTTCGATAGAATTGCACCACGGTGCTCTAATAACGAGTGATGAATGATACTGACACCGCTCCTTGTTGTGGGATTGTTCGCAAACGTGATGTTACTTGTTACTCATCTGCTTGATAGGACAGCGCTTGAGGGGACTTGATTGTGTCTCTGCATCCCGACCGCGCACAGTGTGTCTCAACGCTCGGTTGTGGCTCACGGGATCGGTGGTGTGGGCTACATTTGAAGATCTACCGGCCCTGATGGCATGTGTGTTGTACCTGAGCGGGAGGACGACTGCGTCGGTGCTCGTCACACGGGAGGATCGAAGAAGCTAAATCAGATCTAGATTGCTTGAAGATTCATAATAGACGCCAGTGGTCATCAATTCTTAATCGCAAGATTTAATCTATGAACGCAAAGAAAGGGGTGGTGCTTTATCCTCCGTTTCTTTTCACCGGCCAGTCATTCGTCTATCTAAATCCCAATTATTGAGTTGGTGATATGTGTGTGTATACACATATACCTGTGTATGTATAGGGCGATGGGACCTCTGCGCTTTTGCTCCAATGTGCCTTTCTGTTCGGATGATGATCCACCTGTTCTCCTCGCGTCGAAAGACACACACTGCCTCGAAGCCCGTTCCGTCGAACCTACTATTTGAAAATATACAATCTCGACTCTTTTTTGAAGCTTGCATTCTCTGCGGCTCTCTTAAGTCTCATTTTCATTTACTGCGGCTGAATATAGAAGACTTGCGCATTGAGCAACATGCGCCTCGCCTCGATAAGTGTTTTCTAAATCTAAACTTTATGCCACAAGAAGAGACTCTGAGTTGGTGCGTCAATTCTCTCAAAAGGAGTAGTGGTCTTTCTGGCTTGGCGGTTGTATTCAGAAATGTTGGCTTCCTGGAAATTCCTTCGTTTGATTACCACGGATCGTCAAGACCTTATTTGCGGTGCTCCACCGTAATATCTCCTAACCGATTAAAGATCGAATACAAGCTTCTCGAACGAGCCTCCGGGCATGTCGTAATTGTGCGGATATCCACAGTAGAAAACAGCCGGTGATGTTGATTAGCCCCGTCGATGGTGTCGCCCAAAGGTATTCAAGCAGGTTGATCGGTCAAGCAGGAGCCTTCATAGACTTTGCATTCGTACAATAACATACATAAAATATTTCCCATCACGGTCCTTTTCTGCTTGCCTATAAAGTTCATTCCCTGATACGCCTGAAAGTGCACAATGCGTCGGCTTGCATGTTCCTCGTCTTGGGTATTGAGAACTGAGCCCGCTCGTATTAATCAACTATCCATTGCATCGCGATAACATCTACACGACCCTCTTGACTTCGAAGAATCTCCTCAGCCACCAGACCTGAAAGACAGATTCGCCGATCACAACGCCGATGATGAAGACGTTCCACCACTTGACTCGGCTGTTTGTGCTCTCGGCAGTGTTTCGGTGTGTGCGCTCGCGGACGACAATGTATGACTGCTCGTCCTTGACCTGGGCGAGAACTTCCGAGAGTTTGCGCACTAGGAGAACGTGTCAGCGGGGGAAAATTACAGTGAGAGTATCGCAGGCACGCAAGACGCCTCTATGTCCACGTACCTTCAGCCTCGAGGGGATCTTGCGGTGCGTCTGACTCGGAGACATAGACAACACCGTGGACGTTGAAGGAGACCTCCTTGCTGGAAGAGCCCCAGTGCTCGTTGCCAAAGCAGTACATGTATTTGCCGTCGTGCTTGGCATCGAAGGAGTGGTCGCCGTTGGAGGTGGACTTCTCGAAGACCTCGTACTGACCGACTGGGTTCGTGATCTAATCAGGAGAGCCTCGTGTCAGCAATTGAATCGTCATCCCGCTCGTATTAGGCAGCAAGACAGAAGCACATACCCAGAAGTCAATCTCCAGATTTCCTGCGCCGCCGAACTCCCTGTCCCCGACCTGGAAGGACACGGTCATCTTGTCATCCTTGTGGAGGGACTCGTGGAAGCACTCCCGGCCGTGGGCCGGCAGCTGGATGTTGTGTGCTACTGCAGAAGTGAACAGCCCTGCTGCCAGGAGCAGCGACGAGGCTGAGAGGAACTGCATCTTGGGCGATGTGGTGGGTGGGGATGGGGGTCGGTTGCTGGTGGTGATGTCTGTCGTCGCGACGCGGAGCCTCCAGCGAAAAAGGGACAAGCTGGCGATTATTCACAAGCTTGGAGCTGTTCCCAGCAGCAAGTCGGCAGGCTCAGGAACCTTGGGGGGGAGCGGATCGCGTGTCCTTCCGCCGATTGGGTGGATTCCCCGAGTGGAGAGCGATACAGACTCTAGGCTGAGGGCTACCTAGGCCTTGTCCTAGTGTTCGCGGGTGCTAGAAGTACCTCGGAAGGGGCTCGAGGTAGATGTCGCGGGTCCATGGGCAAGCAGGAGAGCAGGATTGAGGAGCACGGGCCCACCTGCCCAGGTAGGCTGGTAGGCTGAGAGGCTGGTCTGGGTTGGCAGGAGAAGTCCACAACCCCTCGCAGCTGCAGCTGCGTGCCCAGGTATTGCGTAGAGTACAGTAGTGGAGGTGGCCGCTGGTTGGTCTGGCCCCTCGATGCCTTGCTTCTGCTCCCAAGTGCTCGCCGCAAATCTGGGCCGCAGTGCAGTGCCTTTCACCAAAGGGTGCTAGGGTAGGGGAGGGGGCGTGGTCCGCCTCCTGCCTGTTGCCGTGCTGATTACTGTAACCTGCCCACCGCTGCCACTGCAGTCGCTGCCAGGCCAAGGCCTCAGGCAAGTAAGGCCTGTCCTGTCCCATTGCCCGAAAAAAACCACCAATCTGTTCTCATTCAACAGGCCCCGTTATTTTTCTACCGCCCAGTCTCACGTCCAATCCTCCCTTCACACCGACAGTATCCCAACGACACGACACGAGACCGACAAGACCACGAGCATCACCTCGCTCAACCTCTATCAACACTGACACTGTGAGACCCCACTGCATGTGAGTCTGACTTGCCCCCTTTCCTTAACAACCGGCTTTGTCCTGCGCACATCGCGAAAGTCCACCTCTATCATTATCATCTACATCGTCATCGTCGCTCTCCCTCCTATCAAGGGGCAAACTTGCAAACGACAACGCGTGCCTCGTGACAGTCACCTCAATCCCTCCCTGCACTCTCTACCCATTTATCTGTCACCTTCACCCATCTTAACGGCAGCCTGGCGACACCTGCTTTGCATCCCTGCTGCCTTGTGCCCGAGTCTTCCCTGCGACGCCCATTCCTGCTATCTGTCATCTACGCCGCCTCGAGTACAAAGGTGTGCCCTCTCTGCCGTGGCATCAACACCTGCGTCGCCCATCCATCGCAGTCACTTAGTCACCATCTTGATCCAGTCAAGAATTGTCCGACTTACTGACCCCGAATCGATCGCGCAGATAAAGGGTCTTCTCGCCTCCCTCAATACACCCTAGCTCAACCGTCGTCACATATTCGCAAACATGGGTCTCTCCATCTCAAAGCTGTTTGACCGTCTGTGGGGAAAGAAGGAGATGAGAATTCTGATGGTTGGCTTGGACGCTGCCGGAAAGACTACCATTCTCTACAAGCTCAAGCTGGGTGAAATCGTCACAACCATCCCTACCATCGGTATGTCGGCCCAATCCATGCAATAAACCTCAATCACCAAATAGGGGCCAGCTGATGTGCTGACTCACATCAAGGCTTCAACGTTGAGACGGTCGAGTACAAGAACATTTCATTCACCGTGTGGGATGTTGGTGGACAGGACAAGATTCGACCTCTGTGGAGGCACTACTTCCAGAACACCCAAGGCATCATCTTCGTCGTCGATTCTAACGATCGCGATCGTATCGTCGAGGCTCGGGAGGAGTTGCAGCGTATGCTGAACGAGGACGAGCTTCGCGATGCCAACCTTCTGGTCTTCGCCAACAAGCAGGATTTGCCTGTAAGTTTCCAATATGCGATCGGCTGTCTCCCATCTGACGGATGTCATTTCTAACTGCTCTATAGAACGCCATGAATGCCGCAGAGATCACAGACAAGCTTGGCCTCCACAGCTTGCGACAGCGTGCCTGGGTATGTTGCCTAACCACCGTCCTTTGATCCTGACGCAATCAACTAACCGACGAACAGTACATCCAATCTACCTGCGCTACTTCCGGTGATGGTCTCTACGAAGGTCTCGAGTGGCTCGCTACGTCGCTCCGCAAGGCTGGCAGCGCCTAAGGTGTCACGTTTGACGGATATTCCTCGGCGGTCCGGACTCGGTTGTGCCTCGCAAGTTACCTCAACACAATCGATTGATTTTTAAGGACATTGATCCAGGACATAATGCATCGCAAGGTGGTCACGAATGAATCAGTAGAGCCGCTAATTGGGGCAGTCGAGGTCATTTCGCACGCTTGGTCTTTCGCGGAAAGAAAGGCGGGACAAGGGGCGCAACGGGGCAAGGAATCTTTGTACGATTTGAGGAAATGATTCCGACTTTTTCAAGACACGTCACGTCCCTCTTTCATCAACAGCATTGATACGAGGGAGTGGGTTACGAATCAAAACGAAAGGCATTATACCGGTCTGGTCTTTCCATCCTCGCCGCCTCTCGAGCTTTAGATATGCGAGTGGGAGAGAAGGAGGAATCAGTGGTACACCCTTGCATGAGCTCGCTTTCCCCGTCTCCCAGGCTCCGTCTTGATACGCAAAGCAGGAGTCTTCTTGTTATCGTCGTTTTACATAGACTGGTTTTATTTGCTCTTCCGCCGCGCCTCATTCTTTCTCGCACGCGTCATGGAAATCCCCCCTCTCCTGTTCCCGTCAAGCAACCACTGTCTTGTGTGAAAGGCTTGGTTGGGGTCGGCATTCATCCAGTCAAGTAAGAAGAAAAGTTCGCAATACATTCATAACCTTTCCGAGTACTCGAGCAGCGTGCGGCTCGCCGCTCGCCGAGACGTGCTGTTGTCTACTCGCCTACGGACGTTTGATTATCGTTGAAACGATTGACGAGTCCCATACCGACGGTGGCGGGGAAACGGCAGGGAAACGTTCTAGAAGCGAGAGCGAGCCTCTGGTCCCTTGAGTGCACGCACACGCCAGTATCTATCTGTTCGGCTCGGATGACCGCACTAGTAATGTGTGCGTTTCAAGCTTCTGACAGTTTGTCCCTTAACCCCCTTGGTAGTCGAGATGGGATGAATCTGGATTCCTCTGTTGACACGCACTACACTCCTTACTGCCTGCCTACCACTGCTTACTTTCCAAAAGACGGAAAGAAAACAAATGGAATTAATGGTGAAGCCTAAAGCTACCCAAGCCAGGCTACGGTCGGGCCCCGGACGGTAAGCAGTAGCCTCTGCGGCGCAAAACGAAACAGACGTGGACAAGTGGCCTCTGCCGCCGAACTCCTCCTGTCTTCTTTGTCTCGCCATCCCGCCGCGGCAGATGTTGATACGTTATAAGCTGAGCTGTGGGCTCAGGGTCTTCGCTTGGGTGTCAGGGATCGGTGCGCACAGCCGTGTGAAAGGATGGGGTATCCCAGGACCTTGATCGATGGTTTGGACCTGGAGACAGCTTGCAGCATACACGGTGTACTTATTGGACAAAGGGGTCACATCACCTAGACATTGGACTTGTGGTGGATAAATTTCACATAGGCATTGGGTGGTGCGACCTCGAACCCTGCATGGTAGTGTTCCCGCAGGTTTGGAGACTGGAGTTCAAGAGTCACTAAGGTACGGAGACGTAACAGTTCATGACGAAGTTGTAATTGGGAAAGTCAATCCGACACCACTCAAAGATGAGCTACAGCTGCTGGACTTGAACGCTGAAATTTTTGGTATCATGAGAAGAGATGTGGATATATACACACATAATAAAACGCCAATACATGCCACTGTCAAGAATTCTCCTACCTCCCACAACACGTGGAACCTATCCTCAAACGCCGTCATGAAAATCATCCTATCACTAACAGAGAGCCTTACGCCTTGTTATCGGCATTCACCTCAAGACCAGAGTCGTCTTCCTTGACAGACACCACAGCCGTCTCACCCATCTTGATCTGGCCCTTGATGATCTTGTCTGCCAGGTTGTTGCTAATTTGGTGCGTGATGAGCCTGTTTACCGGCCTTGCGCCGTACTTGGGATCATAGCCCTTGTCCGCAAGCCACGTTCTCACCTCGTCGGGGACGCTGAGTGTTATCCTTCTGTCGTTGAGACGCTCCTGCAGCTCCTTCAGGCGGATGTCGACGATGTCACGCAGCGCATCGCGGGATAGCCTCTTGAAGAAGATGAACTCGTCGAGCCGGTTGATGAACTCGGGCGGATAATTCGCGCCGACGACGTCCATGACAGCCTTCTTGACCTCGGGAGAGATTGACCCATCATCGCTTTCCTTGTAATTCTCGCCCACGATGATGTCCGCGCCAAGATTCGAGGTCAGCACGATGATGGTGTTTTTGAAGTCCACCTTGTGGCCTTGGGCGTCCGTGAGGTAGCCCTCGTCGAGGACCTGCAGCAGCAGGGCTGAGATATCGCGGTGGGCCTTCTCGAACTCGTCGAACAAGAGCACCGCGTACGGTTTCCTCCGCACGGCCTCAGTCAGCTGGCCAGCATCTTCGTAGCCAACATAGCCAGAGGGGGCGCCGATCAGCCGCGAGATGGTGTGTTTCTCCTGGAACTCGCTCATGTCGAAGCGGACAACCGCGGATTCGGTGGAGAACAGGAAGCCAGCGAGTTTCTTGCACAGTTCCGTCTTGCCCACGCCCGTCGGGCCGAGGAAGAAGAAGCTGGCAAGTGGCCTGTTCTCCCCCGAAAGACCGGCACGCTGCATGCGCACGGCGTCGGCGACGGCTTTGAGGGCTTCATCTTGACCCTTGACAGATTGCCGGAGAGTGTCCTCCATGTGTACGAGCTTCTCGATGTGCCCTGATGTGAGCTTGGACACTGGTATGCCGGTGATTCGAGCGACGACTTGGGCGATGTCGTCTGCCGTGACGCTGTCATGGATGAGAGTACCGTCTGTCTTCGGCTGCTCTCCCTCCTTCGGTAACTTCTGTTCCAAAGACGGGATGACGCTGTACCTGAGCTCGGAGGCACGGCCGAAGTTGCCCTCTCTCTGAGCCATCTCCAACTCGACCTTTGCCTTCTCAAGATCTGCCTGTGTCTTTTTGATGGTCTCGATCTCGCCTCGCTCGTTGTCCCAGCGCTCATTGAGCGCCTTGACCTCTTCTTGCAGCGACTTCAGGTCGTTTTCCAACTTCTCTCGCCGCTCTCGGCTTGCAATGTCTTTCTCTTTGCGCAAGCTTTCTAACTCGATCTGAATAGTCATGATCCTCTGATCCAGACGCATGATATCCTCCGGCTTGCTCTCTTGCTGCAGTCGCAGTGAGCTCGCCGCCTCATCCATCAGATCAATGGCCTTGTCGGGAAGAAATCTGTCTGTGATATACCGGTTCGAGTATGTGGCTGCCGCAACCAAGGCTCCGTCTGTGATGCGAACACCATGATGGACTTCATACTTGTCCTTGATACCACGCAGAATGCTGATTGTGTCCTCCACGGTCGGCTCGTTGACCAAAATAGGTTGGAATCGTCGAGCTAATGCGACATCCTTTTCGATGAGCCGGTACTCATTCAGCGTGGTCGCACCACAGCACTGGAGCTCCCCTCTCGACAAAGCTGGTTTCAAAAGGTTTGAAGCGTCGATCGAGCCCTCGGCTTTCCCAAGCCCAAGTAACGTGTGCAATTCGTCAATGAACAGGATGACCTGACCCTCCGCTTTCTCCACCTCGCTGAGTACCTTCTTCAACCGCTCCTCGAAGTCGCCGCGGAACTTGGCGCCGGCAATGAGGCTGCCCAAATCTAGCGTAATGACGCGCTTGTTCTTTATAGATTCCGGGACATCGCCCCTGACGATTCTCAGAGCCAAACCCTCCAAGATGGCGGTCTTGCCCGTACCCGCCTGGCCGATCAGCACCGGATTGTTTTTTGTTCTCCGAGACAGGACCTGAATTGTTCGCTGTATTTCTGCGTCTCGCCCGATGACAGGGTCGAGCTTGCCTTCTTTCGCTTTGGCCGTGAGGTCGATTCCAAATTGCTCGAGCGCTGGCTTTTCTTCCCCACCACCGCCCATGTCCATCCGGTGGGTGCCCCCCGGTGGGTGCGGTCGGCCGTTTGCATAGTATCGGACCGCTGAGACGGAGGGGAGGAGTCGCAGAGAATTACATTGTGTTGTGGTCGTGGGTGTTGAAGCTGAGTTGGCAATGTGTGGCCGCAAAGCCAGTAATCTCGCGGTAGATCGACTGGTAGGCGCACTTGCGATGCGCCGTGTGGATGAAAGGAGTTGTCTTCTCGTTAACATGGTGAAGGAATGGCGACTGTGCGATAATTTACGCTGCAAGAGGGAGACTTGGAAAGAAAAGAAAACCCCATGTCCTCCGCATGAAATAGAATTCTAGAATGGTGGGACCCACGAAACACCAAATTGCCGAACCTAACTTAACTATGACGCCGACGAGACTGGATATCTCGAGAAGCTTCGAGCTCCGGCCGCCGGTGCAGCTCTCAATACCCTGGTCGCCGGCTTATCGATAAGCACCTCAGACCCGCATCCTTGCGCCCCATAAATAAGTTTTCGATCTCAACTTTTCCAATCGGTTCCTTTCATATTCTCAACACACACACAGGGAGCAGCAGCATCTCGAGCACGCGTCTCGAGATCGCGATATGCGGCACCTGTGTCAATGAAACTTCAGAGGTAAGCAACCCTATCACATATTTCACTACTGTACGACCCTTACGTGATGAATAAATTGGTCCGTGTTTCTGAGCAGCTTAAGACCCTGTTCATATGAGGAAACAAACAAGCACGTTCTGTGCGTTTCTGATCCTTCCCTCACATTGCACTCCTGCACTTCGTCCAATACCTCATCAGCTTGCTGACGAATCTATCAGGATATGACCATCTTCGGCCATACGCTCCCGTGACTCTGGGTCTGCTATAGAGCAGGAGAATCAGGGCCACACAACCACAACACTGCTTGCCTGGTGCTGTGCGGAGTGTATTGCTTCTGACAGCTCGGGGTCGCGTGTGTCCGCCTAGGACCATTCTTGATGCTCTCATAGCTCCAGTGTGTCGTTCAAGGGCAGCCTTGAGCTGAAGTTGCTGCCCACATTTCGGATAGATCTAGCAGAAGATGTAGATAGAAGGTATCATTCAGAAGTTTTAATCGATATGTTTAGAGTATCTTGATAGTTTCAAGCTAGGAAATGTGTAAAGACCGGACAAATTTCAAAGACCATGCCAATTTGACTTCGAATCTGCCTGACGCAGCTGATATGGCGGAGGTATGCGTGCGAATAGTTTCACAAACAATGTGGCCAGATTGAGGGATGCTGTACCCCCCCCCCTTCTCTCTTGAGAATCGCCTCACGCAAAACTTTCCAGTCGTCGGTGCCTACCGGTCTGCTGCCCCGACTGACTTGTAACATGTTATGAGACCATTCATTTCGGGTTGCTATGTGCTTAAGATCTTGTAAACCTCGACCGGGCTCTGGTCCCTGGACTTGGACTTGTCACGGATGGGCAAGAGAATCATATAAGTGCGCCTAACCACTGAACGCCATTCCTCATTGAAAAGATGTTGAAAGCTCGACAGCTACACCAGTGTTGAAGTATCTTTTGGTTCGCCCCGCTCCCTGTCCCATGCCCAAACCAGCCTCTGTTTCGGCGTATCATGAATGTCGTAGATAAGCGCAAACGCAAGTCATGTCCAAGTTTCTGAAAAAGGGTATCTACACAGTCTAATTCATTTGCTCTGCAGTCGCCCCGAAAACCACTCCTGCACGATTACCTTTTAGTGGTGGAAAAGGCGGATGTTCTGCTCTATGAAGGTGATGCCCAGGTTTTCGGCCGTCTCGAAGACGGGCTGGTCGTTCTGGCTGCCGCCTGGAGCTGCGATGTACTTGACTCCGGACTTTGCAACGCGGTAGACATTGTCCGTGAAGGGGAACTGTAGAGTTTAGTCAGTTTTCAAGCTCCGTCACAGGGACAATAGAGGTACTTACGAAAGCATCACTCGACACAGCGACATCTGTGAGCTTGCCAAGCCACTCCTCCCGTTCCTCTGCGGTGAAGGCCTTGGGAACCTCGTCAAAAGTCGCCTCGAAGGCCTCACGCTCCGGACCGTCCTTGGGCAGCTGGCCGCTGACGAGCAAGTCAATCGCGTTGCTCTTGTCAGGGCGCTTGGTGCCCTTCTTCCACTTGATACCCAGGACACGGGGGTGGAACCGCAGCCACCAGTTGTCAGCCTTGTCACCAGCCAGACGCGTGCAGTGGATGCGCGACTGCTGGCCAGCTCCGAGACCGACGACCTGGCCCCTGGCAGCGTAGCAGACAGAGTTGCTCTGGGTGTACTTCAAGGCGATGGTGGCGATTGTGAGATCGCGGAGAGCGCTTTCAGGGACGTTGGCGTCCTTGGGCGTGATGACAGTACCGAATGACTTGGGGCTTATCTCAAAGTCGTTGCGCTGTTGAGCAAGCGTGATGCCATAAACAGTACGTGTCTCCTTGGGGCTGGGCTCGAATTCGGGGTCCATCTGCAGGACGAGGTATTTACCACCCTTCTTCTTCTTGAGGATAGCCAGTGCCGCATCCTCGTACCCAGGGGCAATGACACCGTCAGAAACCTCCTTGGAGATAATGCTCGCAGTGGCTACATCCACAGTGTCGCTCAGGGCAATAAAGTCACCAAAACTGCTCATGCGGTCGGCACCACGAGCACGGGCGTAGGCCTGGGCCAGACCAGACTCATCAATGCCGGAAATATCCTCCACGAAGTAGACCTTCTTCTCCTCGGCGGTAAGAGGGAGGCCAATGGCCGCGCCTGCAGGTGAGACATGCTTGAAGCTTGCAGCTGCGGGCTTGCCCAGGGCTCGCTTGAGCTCCTTGACCAAAGGCCAGCTGTTCAGAGCATCGAGCAAGTTGATATACCCTGGAGAGCCACCCAGAACCTTGAAGGGCAGCTTCCCCTCCTTAACATACGAGGCTGCGGGCTTCTGGTGGGGGTTGGCACCGTATCGAAGGGCCATGTATTGCAGACCATCGGCGGCGTACTGCTTTCGGAAGAAGTCGGAAATGGCGGCATCGTAGTCCGCGGTGTGCTCGAAAGCCTTGAGGGCGTACAAACGGCGGCTTGACTCCTTGACCTCGCCTGCCTCAATCTCCTTGAGGAACTCTGCGTAGTCGGCAGGGTCCGAGAGAATTGTGACGCGCGAGTGGTTCTTCGCGGCTGCACGGATCAGAGTGACACCGCCAATGTCAATTTCCTCAACAGCCTCGGGAACAGTGACGTTGATCTTTGCGACGGTGTCCTTGAAAGGGTACAGGTTGCAAATGACGTAGTCGACCTTGTCAATGCTCTGCTCGGCCAGGTCCTTCTCGTCCGAGGCGAGGTTGCGCGCGAGAATGCCGGCGTGGACGGCAGGGTGAAGGGTCTTGACACGGCCGGCCAGCATTTCAGGGGCCTTGGTGATGGCTGAGATATCCCTGGGAGACAAGATCGTTAGCAATACTAGCGCAGCAACCACACATGATATTGGTGGGTGGAGGACTCATCCATACTCGACGGGAAAGCCAGACTCGCGGATCATCTTTGATGTTCCTCCGGACGCGAGAATACGAACATTTTGCTGGACCAGTCCCTTGGCAAGGTCGAGCAGGCCAGTCTTGTCATAGACGGAGACAATGGCGATGCGTTGTCCCGCGGACTGATTCTGCGAGGCCATCTTGTTGGGTGTTGACTATTGTCTGCTGCGAGATCGGTGGTGACTCGACAACCGGTTGGTGCTTGTGTATATGCAAACAACCAGCCAGGTAAGGAATACGGCTGCTGAAGAGACAATTTGGAGAACAAGACAAGCTACAGCAGCAGCGGCACGATTGGGATCCGGAGGAGGTGCAGGTAATTCTCTGCTTTTGGTGGTGGGCAAGAAGAAAAAAAAAACCCTACTACATTGACTCTGCTCCCCGCGGGGTACAGAGAAATTTGGAGGGGCTTATCGCAAGCCCGCGCTGTGCTGCAGGGCCTGTGACGTGCTGCTCAAATCGAAATAAAGTTTCTGGTGGTTTTCATTGGGCGATTTGACAGAGAGCCCCGGACGTTTCGCAGGCTTGAGCTCTAATACCCCCTGTACTCAGTTTCCCAGGATGGAGTCTTCCCGTCCTTGCTGACCTAGGTAGACTGGGGTACGCGACAATAATCTCCAAAACGCTCGTCCACCAGACGCGTCTGTACAACCTCATGCCCCAAGGGCCGGCTTGTCCACCTCCGAATTTGTCAAACCTACCCATCGAATGATTTGTTTGCCTTTTGTAGCGACAAATGCGTCCCAATGCCTATGTACGGTGAACAAGGGAATAAATTGGTACTTTCCCCTCTGTCGGGACACCACCCAGTCCATAAACTTTGATCGCGGACCTGACTAACCAGCCCTCTTCTCTCCAAGGTCGGCCATGCCAAACGGACACAGAACTTGGCGAATCTCCCTCCATATCAGGCCGAACTTGTCCGTGAAGTCGCCCGCGAAGTCCGTGACTTAGACCGCGATGTCGCTAGTCTTCTTGAGCCCTTCCAGGGCTCCTTCGATCCCAACGCCGACCAGGCAACAGCGTGCACGCTCCTCGTCAACCACTTGTCCATGAGGCGAAACAAGCGGTGTCTGCTTGCGTACCACAAGACGAGGACCGACAAGCTCGAGGAACTGGTCTGGAGCGGCGCAGACTTGATTGACCTGTCCGGACAGCAGCTCAGGGAAGGGGCTGGACCTGGTTCTGGTGGGGCTGCCTTGCGCTCTGGCGACTCGGGGACCAGCAGTCTCAGTCCACAAGAGGAGGACTATGTGAGGCAATTTGGTGATCTACTGGCGGCATACAAGGGGCAGTGGACCGATATCGATCTCACCGGAAGTCTCGAGCCTCCGCGAGACTTGTTCATCGACGTGCGGGTGCTCAAGGATGCGGGCGAGATCCAGACTGAATACGGGTAGGCCAAGAACATCGCGTTTGGCCGAGATGGCTTACTGACATCACTGTACAGTGCCATTACTTTGACCAAGAACAGCCAGTTCTACGTTCGACAGGGAGACGTAGAACGACTTATTGCCCAGGGTTACCTCCAGAAGCTGGGTTAAAAAGCGACTTCGCAAGGTCTCGAGCCGCTCAACCTAGCACATCGAGTGGTGCGAGTCTTCGACGATGCGGGGCCTGCAACTGTCTTCGGCTGAATGGCTACACGCCCCTAGCTCATAGATGGGCGAGCTGTTCGTCCATTTCCGCGGCGAATGGATCGGAGCAAGAAGAAAGAGCCCGTGCAGGAGGGGGATGTCGCGACCTTGTTTGGGTGCTCGTCACCTGCAGCACTCCTGCATTGCGAAATTATCCAGCGATGAGGGCAAGATGCGCGAGAACTGACGCCACGTAAGATGGCGGAGCACCGGGCTCTCGCGACTCCTTCCAAGTTACGCATACTAAGAGGCATTGATAATATTCCCGCGCGGCATGACCAGCATCGTGGGAGCCATGAAGTCAAGCTCACGCGGTCGGCAGTCTCTACTATTGGATTGGCTCACAGGCAATTTACGTGCATGAGGGGCCATGCGGAGTGACGGGATTAAATGGACTGAGGTTTTGTCACAGTCAACGGTCCTGCCTGCGTGCCAAGCGGGGAACTGTAGGCTGCGTGGGAGGGGATATGCAAGATGGACTTGCAGTCAGGCAATCAAGATGGTAATGGCCAAGTTCCTGCAGAAGCAGTTCACATGGGGGATTGAAAATTTCCCACATGAGGAGTCGACGGCCGTGGGGGAGCCGGGGAGAAGCTACTTCGGCTAGGCAGATCTGCTGCACGCAAGGTGGGAATGGGGGCCAAATATAGCTCGAGCTTGACAGGTTCTGTTCTGTAGCTCTGGGGAATGATCGCCGTGGAAAGCGGCGTCGCCAGAAATTGCCTCCCCTGGGAGACGCGGTACGAGGGTGACCCAGGCAATGGCTGTCGGTAGGTAGATGGGCCTGATAGGAGAATAGAAAAGGCAAGGCTTGTGATATAAGACTGAGACAGGTGCTCGTTGGGAATGGAGATAAGCACACGCAAGATCAGAGGACCAGAGGTTCAGAAGGGGGTGGAAAGACAAAAAGCCAAAAACATGTTCTCCAAACGTTGCAAACGGCCAGACGGTCCAACCCACCGCACTGCCATCCCCTTTTCACAGCCCCCCGGTCCATGCGGCTGCCCCTGGTCGTCCTCAGTGGATGTTTCATTCGCCAATTGACTTGCATCTGACATCGGCCCCTCCTTTGCTGCGGAAAGTTCTCCAACTTCGCGACGTGATGTGTTGGCTGTCTCCAGATCGGGTTCATCAAACCACACCCTCCAGTTGTTTTAACCTCGCATCTTGGACAGATGCTGTGTGATGTCTGCTGAGCTTATTGTCCAATTCTCGGTATTAATGTGCGCATGCGTCGTCGCTAGGGCGGGCAAAACTCAGCTCGCTCACAAGGTACACTGCGCTAGTGCCCTGCCTCGCCTGCTCATCGACACTTCCAGTTGCATGTTGTGAGTGGGCCAAAGTTTTGCTACCACAGGCAGGATCTATCTAGTCTAGTTTCTACGGGATCGAGTCGCAATGGACAGGGCTAGGCCACACCAGCCAGGCCAACGCCAGTGTGCACTTAGGGGCCAGTACCAGTACTTGGATGCCTCTCCCAAATACTTGCAGGGATCCCAGAGTTTGGCCAGGGTCTCAAGAGTACGTGCAGAACAGTAGTAAGGATCAAAATGACGAATAGAACAATAAAAGAACGCCTGCCTATGTACATACTATCTCACAGGTCAACTTTACAAATTACAGGCGCCGTTGAGGACTTGTGCCTCAGAATTTCATTGAACAGGAGGACATTCTATAGAGTGTGATTCTACAGGAAAAGGCGCAATCTCATGTACTGGTCAGGTCAAACCCGAGAATTGGACCTAGGTGCTTGTTAGCCGTCGCTGTCCATTCCACTGCAGGTGGCGCGGCCTGGGGATCCCTGCGCGTTGAAAGCTTTTGCATGGACATCGGATCCTAGACCGGAGTGGCATTGGCATCCACATGCTTTTCTGCGGGAGATCATTCTTCAAGTCCACCAGCACCAGCACCCAAGCTCCAGTCCTTTGCTCTGCTATCGCCTGCATTGGATTCCTCAGACTGGGCCTCTACCACGGTACCGCATTCGCCATACCTGCTTCTTTTCTACCCGCTGTTTCCACTTGCCATTCTGCCGGCTGCGATCTATTCCTTGAGCACAGCGACGATCGCTGCAGTTGGGCTAGCCGCCGCATATATTCCGTCATCTTGACTGCTGTACGCTGTACGCTGTACGCTGTACGCTGTACACTTTTTGATCCGATATCTTTGATTCACCCAGCAACAACCTGTGCCACGCCCCGTCACGAAATACCCGCGGGCCGCTTATCAAGATTGCACCATATTGCCATCCGAGACATAATTCTTGCCCATTGCAAGGCCCAGTCAGTTGGTGGATGATGTGGCTCTGGTCTGCTCGACTCGTGAGATAACACCACAACTGCGACGATGGCATCACCGTCTACTGGCTCCTCTACATGGCACAGGAGGACTCAGTCCGTCAGCTCGCAGGACCGGGACTCCTCGACTCCTACTCCGGCTCTCTTGAGCTCCCCTCGAGCCAAACCACAGAATATCGGTGACGCACGGCTCCTGTCCACATCGAGCTCAACCGCTCATAGAGAGCCCATTCGTTCTTTTATCTCTGGAAGTGCCCGAGACAGTCCAGGTGAGCACCTTGATGTCCCCTACATTCCAGTCTTCACATGGCACACGTTGGGCCGGCTATGCATGTTTCCAAATTAGAGCAATTTGTTGTCGTACAACACATATATGGCCGCTCACTCACTGCCTTGGCTCAACGATCTCATTCATATCTGGTCTCGCCCCAACCAAACATGGCAACCACCACCATACTAATACAGACTCCAGCACCTATCGACAGCGCACAGTACGCGAGGAGCGTTCGGGAGGACACAGCAGAGCTTGCCTCTTATTTTCTTTCTGACAAGAACCCCCGTTCTAGTCCCAATTTCCTTTCGCGTCAGAGGTCTCAGTCTTCGCAACAGAGAACTGAAGATCTGCTCGTGGGTGAGGATGACGAGGATGACTCCACCGCTGGTGGCACGGCAGACACCATAATTGAGGAGTCTGAGCCGCCCTCGCCTGACGAGGGATTTCAAGACCCGCCCCAGGATGACGGGCCCTCGATGCTCACAAACATGCTGAGGAGATCACCTCCAGAAAGCTACAAAGACGGATTTGTGCCCAAAGATACACAGCCTTCCCAGCTGGAGCAGGCCGCGGTCCTGTCTGCCCCATACGACAGTCGACCGAGCACAGCAAGACGCAGTGATGGCAAGCTCTGGGCGCCAGTTGAGGACGTTGTATCCGAGGAAGACACAGAGAACACACCTTTGTTGCGACAGAGGTCGCATGCGAGCTCCTATCTTCAGAATGGGAACGGTTCTGCCGCCGAAGTGGACATCGAGAGCCAGAAGCCACTTGAGCCACAAAGCTGGCTGGCAGAGAGAGCGGGGCGTGCAAAGAGAAGCCTGCAAGGTCTTACAAAGGCAGCTAGTGATCCCCGATGTTGGGACGGTAAGGCGCTCCTGCACACTTTGGTCGTCGATCCGGTGAAGACCTTGCCAGCAGTTGTCGTCGGCCTCATCCTCAATATTCTTGATGCCTTGTCCTACGGCATGATTCTCTTCCCGTTGGGTAACCCCATATTTGCGAATCTGGGCCCGGCCGGTATTTCGATTTTTTATGTCAGCACGATTGTGTCACAGATTGTCTTTTCGACAGGCAGTATATTCAAGGGGGGCGTGGGTTCCGAGCTTATCGAGGTTGTTCCATTTTTCCACAACATGGCGTCGACCATCACAGCACTTGTTGGGGAGGACAACCCAGACGCAGTCATTGCCACGACAATTTTCTGCTTTTCCTTTAGTTCCCTCATCACGGGTGCCGTATTCTTCATCATGGGCGCACTCAAACTGGGGGGCTTGGTCGGCTTTATCCCACGGCACATCCTAATTGGATGTATTGGCGGTGTCGGTTGGTTCCTTGTTCAGACTGGTTTTGAGGTGTCCGCAAGACTTGAGGGGAGCTTTCACTACGACTTGGACACGGCTCGGCTTCTATTCCGAGCCAATACTCTTCCCCTCTGGACAATACCCCTTGGCCTCGCCATAATTCTTTACTTTCTATCGAGCACCAAGAAGCTCAAGGACAACCACTATGTCCTTCCTGTCTTCATCTGCTTGGAGCCTGCCATCTTTTGGTTCTTCGTTGTGGTCCTGGATTCACTGGAGCCTGAGCCACTGCGGCATAAAGGCTGGATCTTTGAGGCGCCGCCCGCCGGTGAACCTTGGTGGTATTTTTATACACTGTTCAGTAAGTCTACCTACTTCCAGTGCTAATGACGGAGCAATTAACAAACTATAGAGTTCAATTTAATCCACTGGGAAGCGGTAGCAGAATGCATACCAGCTATGCTGGCTCTCACCTTCTTCGGTGTGTTGCACGTTCCCATCAACGTTCCAGCCCTGGCTCTTCAGACCGGCGAAGACCACGCAAGCCTCGATCGCGAGCTGAAGCTGCACGGTCTCTCCAACTTTCTCTCCGGGTGTGTAGGTAGCATACAGAACTACCTGGTGTATGCCAATAGTCAGTTCTTCATCAAGTCTGGTGGCAACAATCGGCTTGCTGGATATCTTTTGGCGCTCTTCACTGGTATCGTCATGGTCATTGGCCCGGTGATCATCGGATTTATCCCGGTCATGATGGTCGGAACCCTGATCTTCATCCTGGGCTTCGAGCTGCTGGTAGATGCGCTCTGGGACCCTAAATCCAAACTGAACCGGCTTGAATACTTAACGGTATGTGAACTACTGAGGCCTAGACGAAACCCGGGGCGCCTGCTAACGAATTGTAGGTCGTCGCTATAGTGCTAGTGATGGGCATGTACGACTTTGTGATTGGTATCGGGGTCGGGGTTCTCCTAGCCTTTGCGTCGTTGATCTTCCAGGCATCAAGAGTTTCAGCCATCCGCGCAACATACTCCGGGGAAATCGTGGGGTCCACCGTGCGAAGGAACCCGTCACAGCAACACTACCTCCAGAAGGTCGGCAACCAGGTTTTCCTAATGAAATTATCGGGCTTCCTGTTCTTTGGGACAATCGTCGGCGTCGAAGATAAGATTCGAAAGCTTATCGCTGATGAGGAATTCGCGAGACGGCCCATCAAATATCTTATACTAGACCTCCAGCAAGTCACGGGTCTAGACTACTCCGCCAGCGAAGCCTTCAGCACAGTCAGCCGGTTACTTGCGGCCAAGGAAATCATCCTCATGCTGAGCGGGGTAGACACAGACGGCCCGATAGGGCGCGACCTGCGAGCGGTGGGCCTAGGTTCCAGCTCGAACGGTACGCAGGTAATTTTCAGCCCTAGTCTCAACTCGGCACTGGAAGATTGCGAGAACGAGCTCCTGCGGACGTTTTACACGAGCCAGGAGGCGTACAAGTCGTCGAGGAACGCCGTGACGCCAGGCCTAGACGTCCCAATTGCGAAGATTCTTGGTGCTGGGGACAACCCCTTGAGCGATGACATGCTCGGAAGCTCGCCGCGCCGCACCCATCTGCACAAGGCGGCACAGGAATCCATGACGCAGCGCGAAGTTCAGCGGCTCTCGCGGTGGCAGAACTTCAAGGAGCCGCTGCGCCTGATGCTGCAGATTTTCCACGACCTCTCGGACAAGAATGAGGACTTCTGGGTGCGAGCCAAGGACTTCTTTGTCAGAAAGGAGTTCTACAAGGGCGATGTGCTGTTCAAGGCGGGCGAGCCGGCCGAAGGGTTCTATCTGGTGGAGAGCGGGATCCTCAAAGCCGAGTACGACCTCCCGCAGGGCTGGCTGTACGAGAGCATCGTGGCGGGCACCACGTGCGGGGAGCTGCCGTTCTTCTCAGAGACAAACCGCACAGCCAAAGTGACGGCGGAGAGGGACTGCGTGGTGTGGCTAATGGACCGGGAGAACTGGGACCGGCTCCAGAAGCGCGAGCCGGACGTGGCGCAGGAGCTGCTGAGAATCGGGCTGAAGCTGACGAGCGAGAGGATGAGCAGCATCACGAGTTACGTGTTGACCATGGCGGGATGAGTGAATAAGGTGGCGAGGCAAAGGTGAGAGCGGAGGAAGTGAGATTGCTTCCGTCCTTCTTCCGTCTCTCTCTCTGGTTCCTTCTCTTCTCCCTCCCTCCCTCCCTCCCTCTCTCTGTCTGTCTGTTTGACACATGTGCATATCAGCGGTTGACTTTCAATGGCGTCAAGATACCAAAATGGGGCACCACGGTTTGGAAAAGCGTTGTCTTAATTGACATTCGACACCAAGGTCGCTGTACCGTACTCGACTTTTCTTGTTCTTTTTTTTTATTTGTAATAGCAGATATCTGACTACTGTCATGGCTGCAATATCCGAGAAAGTTTTGGATTGAAGTTTTGGATTGAAGTTTTGGATTGAAGTTTTGCTTTGTTCTATCATCTCTGGCTCTACTTAGATGTGGAAGAGGGGACTTGCGGTTCGGCTTGCATCTATTCACATGTCCTCGAACGGGTTTGGTTGCACAGCCAAGGTCGGGTCGGCACATGCGTTATCAGGCCTGGTCTGGTCTATCAGTCGTGTCATTGGTGCAGAGTGAAGTGCCCTCTCTCCCACATCGTAGTCTAATCTTGAGTGTCGAGCTCCTCGAATAACAGGCCGAGGAGGTTTGAGGCTCTGTGCAAGCTGCAAGCCACGGCATCGTCTCATTCCAGCCTGCGATTGCGAATGCGTCTAGGGCCAGGGCCAGGGGTAGGGGTTGTGGGTGTTGTAGTGGTCCGTCTGCCCTAACTGCACATCTGCAGTAGCTCGGCAGCGCGGGCGCCAATACTCAGAGAAAAAAGTATTTGGATCTGCGCTGGTGATGATGAGAATTCTGATATGCTTTGCGCCATACAAGCCAGTCCCCCCTGTGCTACATTAGTGGTGTGGTGAGCTATATGTGTCTCATCAGGTGGGCATGATGATGCTTGCATGCTTGCATGCTTGCATGCTTGCACACACACAGTAGAGACTTGAATACCTGTATTAAACAATCTGGACAATGTACCTTCGCTGACTACGGCATGTGGGTGGGTGGAGGAGGGGTCATTGGACTAGTGTAGGTCTGACTGATGAGGATACTGTGTGAGGTATGAGGAGGGGTCAGGCGGCTCGATCTTGTAGATCTCGCGCGGTGGATCCGCTGCGGTCTCGCGGCCTCGGTATCACAATTTCCTCACAATTGTCAATATACACGTCCCGGGAAAAGGCAGCATACCCTCGTCTCGTCTCGTCTCGTCTTGTCCTCCTCCGCCGTGATGATCCGAGGCCTGCAGCTCTAGCTCATAGCACCATTACTGCGTAGCACTGCAGCCTTGCTTCCCATAGTGCCATATCCATTTCCATATGCCGGTCGGCCTGCTAAGCGCGAGCCAGTTCTCATTGGGCAACACTTTCCTCCTTCCGGACGTCGCAATCATCGACCATCCTGCCGTGCCCTGCCATCTGCTGTCGTGCTCGACCAAACCCTGCATTAACCTCAAACTCTCCCGATTCTTCTGATCCCCGCCTGCTTGGCACTAAGATTTATCAGATTTACGCGACTCTCGGCGTGCAGGAATGGCTGCCCCAAGACCCGGGGGAAGCCCACCATCTTCCTCCTCCTACTCCCACTCCCCGTCTTCTATCCCAGGCCCAGCTGGAGCTCTGCCGAATGTGACAAGGGCCAGAACTACCGCCTCAGCGCCCTCCATTCCCACGCCCCAACAGCTCCGGAGGACGAGCAGCGGCGCATCCACGAAGCACATCAGGAGAGTCAACACTCAGGACAGGATAGGTGATATACTCGAGGTATGCGCACTAGCTCATTAGGCTTTACTACTACTGCTGTCCCGTCTCTGCCAGCACCAAAAGGTGTTGCTGGATTATCCTAGTTTGGCAGCCGATCGCTACCGGCCCGTCGGTCACATGTCTCCAACGGCCGTCTCATGACACAGCCATGGACGCAACCGCATTACTCGCTTCTTAAACTGCTACTTCGTCTCCTTACCCCCTTGTCGTCTGTCCTGCCTACCACTTTCGTGTGACTGACGTGCAATGCGGCTCGCAGCTGGGCCGTGAACGCGCCGAGACTATGTCGCCGGCCAGAAGCCCGCCAGCCTTCTTTCGCCGGGGCGGGAGCACCCCGACGAACACCGCAACCTTTGGCGAGCACGACGAGGTCCAGCAGGAGGAGCCGGACGAGACCACGGGCATCATCACTCGCGCGCCCAACACCAGCGCCGCCTCGGGCATGAACTACCAGAGCACGGTCGAATCCGCAGGGACGAGGGCGAGGAAGGCCGCGGCGTCGAGGAACGGAGACGCGCCCGCGGACGAGCCGCAGAGGCCGGATGACGCCCGGGACGCCAGCAAGGGCGGCGGTGCTGCCAGGGCTCCGCTGCCTGGGGCCGGGAACGGCGCGCAGAACGGCCGCGGGCAGGAGAACGGCAACGGGGCCGCGGGGGACAAGGAGGAGCAGGCGTGGTGGAGGGCGACACTGGCCAACTTCGGGTCGATAGAGCTGGAGAACAAGGGCTCCGTCGCGAGGGACCACCTGGCGCTAGGTAGGGCTCAACGCTCCCCGGGGAGATCCACTGGTCGTCGTGAGACGACAACGGTGACACTGGGCGCTATGCTTACAATTCCTACCTGCAGAACGGACATTCCTCGCATGGCTACGGACGTCACTCTCCTTCGCCTCCATCGGCGTCGCCATCACCCAGCTCTTCCGGCTCAACACCTCCATCTCGGACAGCCCATCTGACAGCACGAGCCAGCACACGTTGCGCCACCTGGGCAAGCCCCTTGGCGCTGTGTTCCTCGGCATCAGCATACTAATACTTTTCCTCGGCTATCACAGGTACTTCCAGTCGCAGAAGTACATAATACTGGGCAAGTTCCCAGCGAGTCGCGGGACGGTCATCCTGGTGTCACTGGTGGCGCTGGTATTGATGGTGATATCCTTGATTGTCGTCGTTGTCGTGCAGCCGAGCGCTCGTCCAGGCTGAGAGCCTTTTCGGTCAACGGGACGAGTGGTGATGGTTGTCTGTGCCGGGTGATGAATTTGGGCCATGGTCAGCACGGTTGGTGTGGAGTCCAAGGTCATGTATGGGCTACGGTAGGCGTTTGGGCGAGAAAAGCATAGCACGGCGCCATTCATTCTGGGATGCTTCATCTGATTACCTGGCTTGTTATGACTGTCTGGGATGTATTGATGGTCCGTACAAATACTCGCACTTTTACGATATCAATGTCTGCAAAGTCAGCTCGCGCAGTCGGGCGTCACCTGATTCAGGAGTCATATATGTGACGTGATGCGAGAAAGAAACCAGATTAACCTCATCAATCGCAGAGTACACGGATCAAGTATCTCTTGACCAGCCCGTGACCTTATTCTACATCAATCGTCTCAAAAAGCGATCGTGAAAGATCTTCGCTCCAGCCGCCGAACTAGTGCCTTAGACAAACTTGCCCAAGTTCTGAGTCATCATCATCATCACCACCATCCCCTGTTAAATCACATCAATAATCACTCATACACGATGAGCAGCGAGCCCGCGACCCCAGGCCCCGTGAGCCTTGAGTCGCACCTCAAGACCCTCGCACCCACAGATGGCTCGCGGGCGGAGCTCTTCGGCTCAGTGATACCCGCCGTGCTAGGCGCGGTGAGCGATATCGCCAAGGCCCTGCAAAAAGCCCACCGCGTGGCCCTCGCCGGGACGGCCAACACCTTCGGCGACGACCAGCTGAACGTCGACGTCGAGGCCGAGGACATCCTGCGCCAGACGCTCGCCGCGCGCTGCGCGTCCGTCGTGGCGGCCAGCAGCGAGGAGGACCCGGTCGAGAAGCCCGTCCACGCCGCGGCGCCGCCTCCCGTCCAGGGCGCGGAGCGCTACGCCGTCGCCTTTGACCCCCTGGACGGCAGCTCCATCATCGCGCCCAACTGGACGGTCGGCACCATCCTCGGCGTGTGGGACGGCGCCACGGCCGTGGGCCAGCCGGCCGAGAGGCAGGTCGCGTCGGTGCTGGGTGTCTACGGCCCGCGCACCACGGCCCTGGTCGCCATCCGCCTGCCGGGCTCGGCTGGTTCTGACGTCTGCTTCGAGGTCGCCCTGGGCGGCGGCGGCGACGGGTCGCCGCGGGACTGCGAGGTCCTGCGGACGGCCGTCCGGCTGGACGCCCCGCCGTTCAAGACGCGCTATTTTGCGCCTGGGAACCTGCGCGCTGCCGGGCACGACGCGAGGTATATGGCGCTCGTAAATGGGTATATCACTGATGCGTACACGCTGCGTTATTCGGGTGGCCTGGTGCCCGACGTGGTGCACGCGCTGGTCAAGGGCCACGGGATCTACATCAACCCCGTGACTGCGCAGAGCAAGGCGAAGTTGCGGAGGCTGTATGAGCTGTTCCCTGTTGCACTGATAATCGAAGCTGCTGGGGGCCAGGCTATTGATCCTGCTGATGGGAGTAGGATATTGGATGCCGTGCTGCAGAGTACCGACGAAAGGGCCGGGTTGGCTTGTGGCACGGCGGAGGAGGTTGAGCTGGTGAGACAGAAGCTGCTTGGGTGAGTTTGTTTGGGGGTTTATATTTGCATGGTGATGACTCCCGTGAAGCAAACTCCGTGGGCTGCTTTCACGGCTGTTGGGCATAGCGCAGAGTGCCGAGTGCGGCGGCTCTCGAAGTGCGGTTTCGTCATTGAAAAGTTTAGACATTTGGCATGTAATTACAGGACTTAGACCATGCTGTTGGTAACACTACTAGAGAATTCAAACCAGTTCTCTAGTATCCATCATTTGGCTTCCACCGTCTGTTTTCAATGCTGCACATGTTCAGTCGGTCTCGAGAATCATCATGCTGTACTTTGAGCCACCGCTTCGTACAAATTCGCATTTGTTGCCTGGCGTCCTTAAATTGTAATGATTTCTAAAAAGACTTCGGGAAACCTTGCAGTTACGTCTTCTATGTCAACAGAGGCTACTGTTCGCAGTAAAATAAAACCATTCAACCTACCTGTCAACTATTGAATACGCTCTATGACCTGGGAGATGCTAAAAAGGTAGGTACTTCGCATGTCTGCCAGCCTGTGTTTTTTTCCTCCTGCTGTTGCACCATCGAATGCCAACACCGTTGCGCACATGAGTGTATCAATTATGCAATTCCCATCGCTGAAGCTCACACGAACCCCCAAGTTGCCGTTTTTGAGTTGCGTTGTGCCACCCGACAAGTTAGGACTTGATGTCTACAAATTAAGCTACCATTTTCCGTACTTGAAAATCCGAATAACTTTTTGAGTGCAGTCACAGACAATAGATTCTTATACTTTGTCTTACTCAAACACTTGCTGGCAGACTGGGTTGAGTGGGTAACGCTACCACTTTCCATAGAAGTCGGAGCCCAAAGTCTCGCCTAGATCAGTCCGGACCGCTGGAGTGTTTGAAAAGTGAAATCGAGTCTTTATTCTCTTTTTATCATCACAGCTATCACAAAAACGTATACAACCAACTGTCCCCATGGGTGCTATTCCTGCAACACTACTCCCAGCACTGGCTTCATCAGCTGACCAAGAACCTTGCCACGAGAAGAAGAACAATGAGGATGCACCCATCACAACAGTAAACAACCATCTTTATCAGTGTCTTTGATCTTCAGGGACTCGCAAGGGCGAGTTGTGTGCATCATGAGCCTCACTTGGTCTCATTTAGGTCCTTGCCGATGACCACTCTCACTCAATAACACACAAAGCTCTAATAACAAAGCCACTATCCTCAGGGCAATGTGTAAAGCTCTACGCCTGAGGCTGTAATCTAATCGAAGGCCAATTCTCGCGTCTCTGCCATTTTCTTCTTGATCGAATTGCCTCTACAACTCGCAAAAACTAGCTACAACCAAGAAAATAACCACATCTACCCACTAAAATTACAATGTGCCATAACACAGGCGTGGAACGTCCGCAGGATGTGCCTCAGAATGGATGAGAAGACCCTCCTATGTTGGTATTCCGACGAAGACTTCTTCGGCAAGTGCGGCAATACAGTACAGATTGAGAACGGAGACGAGTATCTCAACTTGTAGACACTGCGCTCTGCGGGACACTCAGCAGCAGTTGCTTGGCAGCCTCCAGACAAGGACCAAGGAGCACCTGGATTGGCTTCAGACTCGCAAATCTCAATGAACGGGGTAAGTTTATGTAGAATACTGCATGTATTGTCGTGGTCGAGGCCTTTGGCTCTAGGACGATGGATCCTACCTGTCTTTCTTTTACTGCCGTTACCTCTCGAACTTAATTGAGATAGGGCCAGTATAGCATCTCATCAGGAGGGCCTTCCCGACCCCCATGTCCACCGAGTTCATTACAGGAATGAGAAATAATTATGACAAATGCAACTTCAAATTCGCGCAGATATGCAAAGATACGTTGTTCACCGGCTGTACAGTCACGAGAACTCACACCAGAGAGACATTTACAAGCGGTAACATGTGAAAGAGTCGGATTAGCATCATCCAATTTTTGAGGATGCGACAAAGGATCCCGCATTCGGCAGGGAGAGGTGAGATTGTGCGCTGGGCGGTCTGCTTGCAATAGCCTCATCCGTAACAAAGTTTCACAACGCCAAAGTCTGCAGCTCGTTAAAAACTCCCGAATATGCTCTTGACTCTCAGCTCACACAAAGATCTGCGTGTCAGGCTGACCTCCGAAACATCTCCGCATCGGTCAGCTCGTCTATGACTGTGTGGCGGCGAATGGAAGGAGGTGGTGATGTAGTGTCACACTATATGACTAAGTACACTGTGACTTTCTTGCATTCAATAATTGACTCGCTTTTGATTTATCTTTCATGTCCTAGCTTCAAGTAATTGGATGTGAGAACTAATACAGGATAATGACCTCGAGAGAAGTCAAACCTCGGGACTAGATGATAACTTGATAGACACTTCGTGCGTGATTGAGGCTCGATGTTATTCAGTTTTGTATAAGATGAAGCATTGTAAAACATTATTTCATACAACAGAGTATTGTTTGCTGCGATAATATATACAACTATTCTTGACGCCAAGACTAGTTTGCATACTATCAGGACATTCAAACTTGTATAGCATATTGCAGTGTTGGCCATCGCTTGGTATCACCCACCACCTGTTCTTGCCGGCATCACGACATTGACCACAACAGGCTCTCCGGAGCTACCGATGCATATGATTTCCATTGCAGCTATCTTCAGCCAGCCTCTTGCGCCGACCGCTGCTCACAGGCCTCGGCCTTGGTCACATCTCATCCTTGCAATAACTCTCACCTGTGGGTGAGAGACATGTGCTTGCAGTCGCGATGAAAAGGAAAGAGTTGATCCCATCTGAGAACTTCCGAGGAGATCTCGGGGAGCGAGACGCAAGGCTTGACGCAGGTGGTTCCCGACGATACCACACACACCACGCCGGACGGTGAAAGATAGATGTCTAGTGGCGATTCTGGCCTCAGCCGTGCTAAGGATAAGTAGATAATGCATAGAATGATTGCGGTCTGACGCGGTCTTGTGTGTAATGGTAAGGTTCGGTCCTCCTGTCCCTCACTCCCATAGTATCCACCGGCTTCATGATAACCTCTGCAGCTCAAAGCTGATCCTCAGCTGGAATGGTTCTTAGAAGGCTTGGTGTTTAGAGAACCGAGGTAGGACCGGAGTCGATTCGAGCCAAGGAACCATGTCTTTCGCGATCTATGATCTGCCCGAGACATTGTGTGGGTGGCTTTGGATGGTTAAAGACGCTTCAAAACTATAAAGGCCCTGTCCCGTCTCCATTACCGGACATCTTTTCAAGCAGACAATCACCAGTCCTCATCTCGACCATCAGTATCTACTCCAGCTTTCTCTTCGATCGTGATATCAACACGCCTTGATCCCATCTCGGACAACCCACTCTGCCTGAGCCCTACTCCATCATTGCAACCTTGCCAATATGCCTCACATCGTGTCCAACACAACTGTCGGCGACAATCCCAGCGAGTATTACGGTACGCTTGTCACCGATGGAATCAAATACGAAGACGGTAGTCGCGTCACAATTCAGAACACGCTCTACGTCAAATTTCTGTCGCCTTCCAATTCTGTTCTGCTCAACACCCTCAGCCCCTGGCAGGACGTCACTTGCACCATTAGCTCCGAACCAGGCGACACTCAGGGCACTTTTGGCATTACGGCCGCGATCCAGTTTCCCGGCCCGTACACTTTCAACACCTCGGACACGTTTACCTGGGGTGTCAATGGTGACTTGAGGGGTGATGCCTCCCTGTACACTGGCTCGTTCGAGCTTTATGCCGACAAGTTGCCCAGCGGCATACTCGAGGTCGAGGTCTCAGATGTCCCGGACGCTGCGCTGTCCGACTCCGAGCAGACCATCACTCTGACTCGAGGGGGGCAATCGTTCCCTCTCTCAGCGAGACCTGGCCAGACAACCTCGTTCACAGTGGCGAGTGGTCAATATAATGTCAAGGCAGACGAGTTAGTTAACGCAGATGAGACCGTCACCGCAACCCCATCTGTCTCCCCGACAGACATCACTGTCGAGGAGGACTCAACCACCAAGCTGACAGTGTCGTACGGACCTGCCCAGAGGTATTCCGCCTTGGACATCACTGTTGGTCAGCTGTCTCCACCCTTGGACAAGGAGCAGATTCATGTTCAGGTGGCGGTGGGCAATGAAGAACCCAGGGCCTTCGACAGTCCAAACAACCAGACCACCAGTCTGCGGAGGCTGCCATCTTCTGGCACAGCCACCATCGATGCTGTGTTAACCTTGAACAACACCAAATGGTACACCAGCCAGCAGTCTGTAGAGCTCTCTAACTCCTTGGTTAAGGTCAACATCGAGAGCGATCAGTTCTCGTCTGAGAATATTGACACTTCGTCATTCGTCGACCTGCCTATCAACGTGACTGCCGACCCGGAGCTCACGGGAGACTCTATTGCTTTCCGCCTTGTCTCGACTGATCAGACAGCATTCATCTACTCCAAGGACATCGCCATGAAGAGTGGAACCATCACTGTCGGTACCCCCGTCGCGCCGGGAAAGTACACGGTTAGAGCGCCCGGCTTCGTCAAGGACGGCACCCTTACCGCCACGCAGGTGGTCGACAAGATTGTGGTCGCGTCCGATGGCTCCTCCAAGCTCGACCTGAAGATCACACGCGGGCCAAACCTTCTGGTCCGGGGATTTCCCAACTACCTGGGCTTCGGCGCCCTATCCGATCTCGTCGATCTTGATGGTAAGGATCTGACATCGGCTAAGGTCACGTCCGTGTTCAAGTACGCCGGCACCGACGGAGCTGGAGATGCGGGAGGCTACCTAACCGACGACCCGGCCACGACCAAGACGGTCAAGCTAGCAGCCTTGGTGTCGGAAAACCTTGGTGGGCAGCCTGTGTTGCCTGTTATGATCAACTATACGGTCAATTTGAGCCTCGGCGATAGTGAGAAGCTCCTGCAAGACGCCAGCGGACTGGAGCACTCTTTCGGCAACTTGATACTGAGCCTTCAGCTGGCCAAGAAGGAGTCTAAAAACGAGGTGTCGGCCGGGTTCATTGTTAACCCTGACTTCCTGGGCGACAACCAGCAGCATAACCGCAGAGCGGAATACAGCATGCCTGTCGTCGAACCACTCACTCAGGCGCTGGCCTACCGCAAGATCGACGCCGTAGTCCCATCCACCATCACGAACACGCTGAGTGGCTACGTACAAGCGGTCAATTGGTTGATCCGTACTGTCGCGCCCGAGGCGACGTTTGGCTGGCAGGTGAACCTTTGGGGCGTCGGTTCGTCCGCGTGGATCTACGACCAGACCGATGATATGACAATGGCTATCGACAAGGCGAAGGAGACAGCCGACTACGTCAAACTTCTCGGCGTGTATGACGGCGCCTTCGCACCCGACTTCCTGGCCATCGACCGGTATGAGGCCGACGACTTCACGTACCGGGGTTACGGCAATGGGTACTGCTACGGGCCGAAAGAGTGGGCTAAGTTCTACGACTTCGTGAAGACGGTCGCCCTGGAGCTCAAGACGCCCGTGATGCCGTGGCAGATCCCCGCGAGCCGGATCCCGAACACCGACGAGCCCGTGACGATCGCCTCGCTGGAGCCGGACCACTGGGGCACCGGCGGCACGTACATCTTCGGAGACCCGGCCATCGGATCCGAGGTAAAGAACATCCACCCTGTCGTGCTCAGCATCAAGCCGGCGGACCTCGTGCATCAGGAGACTGTAGAGTCGCTCTTCAACAGCTCCGTGCCCTTTGACCTCAGCTACCCAGCCTACGACGACTTCCCGCTGCGCGGCATCTTTTCTGTGCTGCTCGGAGGCGGCATCACCACTGGTGTGGTGACGACTATTGGGAGTACGGGGAAGTGGACGCAGGAAAAGATCAGCAAGTACATGGAGGATCCCATCTCGCTGAACACTATACCCTGAGGAAGAGGCACTAGGCAACTGCTCTCCTCTATTTGAGGACCAGGCTTCTGGTATTGGGCCGGGGATCAACGAACACCGCACGCTCTTTCGCTCTTTTCACTCTCTCACTCGCTCTCTTATGTGATTTCAGAGTTTGGAATTTGGCCTTTTCCTTTTATATGACGATTTCTTAGCTGCTCTGTGATTTATGAGGGGGAAATAAACGAAGTACAATAACAGACGTCACTGATCCATCTGGGTCTTGCAGCAACTGTCGTGCCTGTCTCAAGTGTCATTAAGAGCCTGGGTCAAACATGTGATCTTCGCAGTAATCCAAACCTTGATTCTCATGTAAGCCATGGGCGGTCCTGTGCAGGTGAGTTGTGACTGGGCAATATCATCTTGTGAGGTTTACGAAGTTGATGATGTCCAGCGCATAGTCCAGTTATATTCGGGGTATCAGTGACCCATCGCCGTACATCTTTGTGTTATTCATATATTCATGGAGGGGTTTACGTTCGGTTACCATGGCACCGACTCTGGGTGCTTGGCACGTGCTTGGGTATCTGTAGATGTCTGAGAGCGGGCCCGGGGCTGCTGGGCTCGCTGGGGTATGCCATGTCCAGAATCTGTCAGTGACTCGGGGCCCCTCTGCCAATAAAAGATAAGGTCAATCCTTTAGGTAAGCTTACACTGCCCAGGCGCTATCGAGGTGACGACCGAGGCCAAGCTCGGGGTCAGCATCGCATCCAAAATTCCTTGCCCTTTCAACTACATCAGCTTTTGACGCCATCAGCTGCCTCATTGCGCAGACGGTCCAGAAGTCGACAAATACACAACGTCGTTGCCAATTGGCTTCATTGTGCCAAGTCGCAACTCTCTTTCCTCCGCCCCGCTCCCCCACCAAACATTCCACCATGTCAGGCTTGCTCCCCAAGATAGACCGGTCCAAGACGGTCAAGTCCAAAGACTACCGCGGGTCCAGCTCTTTCGCGACCTTCATGATTGTCGGGCGTGAGTGCTCCCCTCCTTTTACTACGGATGTTTTGCTAGTTCTTGTCGCAAGTAACCACCTGCTAACCTACGTCGGACAGCCGTATGCTTCTTCCTCGGCATAATCTTTGCCCAGTTCCCGTACGACTACCCGCTCCTCTGGACCTCCGAGCCTGTCGCCGCGTCGTTCTTCGACCAGCTCGAGACACATTTGAAATGGATGCACCAGTCGCCGCCGCTTATCGCCCGCCTCCTGCACATCGTCATGGCCGTCGGCTTCCTGGGCTTCTTCATCAAGCTGTTCAAGCCCTCCGAGAGCAACATGCTCTTCGATGGCGCCTCCCTGGTCCTCTATGTCATCGGCATGGGGGTCTATCTGGCGAACATTGTGAAGGGCTTCAGGACCATATCGAGCGATCTGTGGACCAGCGGGGAGTATCTGGAGAAGCACGATGGTCCCCTTACTGGAGAGATCATACTGGGGCGGGATGATAGCCTGAAGGTGATGGCCGCGAGCAACACGATCCTTGCGCTGGTCCTGGTTGGAATCTTGGTCCTCCAGGGCGGCCAGTGGTACGCCGAGAAGAAGGAGCTGGATGAGTACGACGAGATCGAGAAGTCAGAAGAGCAGGCCAAGGGCGCTGCGAAGAAGAAGCAATAGGCAGCTTCGGGGACTCTCGTCGATCTATCTGGGCGAAGGGTACACGGCTCAGGCTTTTTACCGTGACGCGGCGGGTGTGGGGTCTAAGGCCGCCTGTGGCCGGTCTATGACTCCTGCGACACGCAGATAATGCGATGTGAGATCTCGCGGCCTGTCGGATACCGAGAAATCTCGCTGCGATCCCACACACCCTTGTTATACCACTGCCAGGGTGATACTAGACGATAAGTGTCAAATATATACACAAATAAAACAGCGCGAAGATAGTATCCACCGATCTCGCGTATCTCTCACGGACTCCGTACTCACCCCGTCATTCGTTGGCAACATTCTACCATGTGCTATGCCTTCTCACAGTTTCCACCCAGCAGTGCCAATTTGTAGCTCAACCACCCGCTTCTCGTCAATCAAGCAATTTTCGGGATGGGGCTCGTCCGACGGGTATGGCGCCAGGCAAGGCCGGCTCTTGCTCTAGGGTCTCACTGGGCGGGCGTTGTTCCGTTTCTCCACATTCATATCGCGCTTTAAGGGACGTTGGTCCGAGGAGGTATTCAGATTGGCAGTCTATTTATGAGCAATTCTTCACTTATTCTACTTGTCGCGAAAATATAGCCAAGGTCGAAGCCTGTCATGAGTTCACGGAGAGTTGCGTGGTATATAGGTCGAGTGAGAAGGAAAGTTTGACAGTCATCCCGCGACACCGTATAAATTATTATAGCACTCAACTATTTCTTGCAAGCTATGGTTTCGTTCAAACAGGCAATTACCCAACCAAGAGGTACCCATATCATTCTGGTGAAAGGTTTGACGGTAAGAAGAGTTTCAATAGTTGGTCATCACTGTTAGAAACGAGTGTGCTTAGGAAAATTAATTGCTCGAGACTCCAATTGCTATCAGATTGCCATCCCATTGAAGGAGCGTGGTATGTTGGCTAAGTCTCACCGTCAAACAACTAAGCTATTCACTCTCAATTCTGTCGTTTTTTGCATCTTGCGATCATCAAGCTCTCTCTGCCTCTCTCTTCCGCTTCTTGTTTTCCGCTTCTGCAATACTCAATTCATCTCAACGCTCTTACGTCTCTCGCGTTCGGCCCATAAGCCCTGCACACCAAACTATGGGCTTGCGCCGTTCATCTCCAGAGAATACAAAGAAAACAAAAACAATTCAAGGTATCATCGGTATCGTGTCGTATCTGGTAGTGGTATAAGTGAGAGGAGGAAACGAAATTCGAAAAGAAGATGAGAAATACGAAAGAGCAAATCAAAAAGTGAAGAAAGTCATAATGCCCAAAACGCCTTTACCAAATGCAATTAGCCTCCCGTCGGTCGTCAAATCGTCGTTGTCTAGGAAGACTCATGTGATAATGAGTGCCCTAAATCATGTTGCCGTTCACGCTGACCTCAAAGCCCTCGCCCTTCTGGCGCAGCGCCTTGGCCAGCATCAGCTCCCTCATCCAGTCGATCCTTTCGTCGCGGCTGCGCACGGCGAAGTGGTGCGTCTTGCCGGTGCCGTTCGCGGCGTCGGGAGGCGGCGGCGGGGCGGCGGCCGACATATCCGACCCGCCGTCCCAGCTGCCATTCCGCTGGTGATGGCCCGTGGCCCCGCTCATGGAGCTCTCCCTCTTGCGAAGCCTCGGCAGGCCGCCGCCCTTCATGTCGCCCTGCGGGATGAGCTGAAAGCTGAAGGCCGCGATGTCCTCCTTGCTCAAGCCCCTGTCCTTGCGGATGCTCATAGCCTTGAACGCCGCGTTGAGCTTGGACGTCGTCGCCAGCGATGAGCACGCGATCGCGTAGTCGTCCACGTCCACGTACTCCAGCGTCTTGTCTATGGCCTGGTGGTCCTTGTGCACCGCGAGCCGCGTCCCCTTGAGCGTGACGTAGTGCTCGTGCCACTCGTGGCGGAGCATCTTGGTCTTGCGCTTCTTCATGTAGCCCTGGTACTGATAGTTGTTTAGGTCCTTGGCGTGGCCACCCAGCGGGGAGCCGATCTTTGAGGTGTAGGAGACGCTGCTGTTGGGTGTGTGCTGCCCGCTGCTGCTGCGGCTGCTTGATGAGCTGCTCCCAGGGCCCTTGGGTAAGGGGGCGATGGCCGTCTCGAACTGCCGAGCACTGGCTGGCGGCGACCACGGCCATTGGACCCGTGGTGGGGGCTGGAGCGGCCGCTGCTGCTTAGACTTCGGAGAGATCTGTGATGTGGTGATAGGGGATGGGATGCGGCGGGGCTCCGCGATCTGGGTCGCATTGTTCTCGTCCACAGGCGGCATGGTCAGGAAGGATCGCCTGCGGAAGGTGGACCGTGATAGAGAGCGGGGTGGTGGGTTGGAAGCCGAGTGGTAGTTCATCTCTGGTGGCACAGACTGAGAGGTGTCGCGGGCGATGGGTGCCATGGGCACAGCAGTGACCGGTACGTCCATCTCGGAGAAGGGTGTGCCGAAACGGTATACGCCATTTGGTGTGTTTGAACGAGAGTCCGGGGAAGGTGATGGCGACGGCAGGGAGAACTGACGTTGCTGGGCCGCGAATGAGGGCTGTGAGGGTTGGTTGTAAGGGTGCGCAGAAGGGTATGCTGAGCCGGGACAGGCCGAGCCAGGGCAAGCTGACTCCGGCACGTCCTCGACTGAGCGGCTGCGGCTGGCCTGAGTGGGGATGGACAACTTGGAGAGAGACCGAAGACCCCCGTGAGGTGCCTTGCGAGGAGGTAGCATCTCGAATGGTGGCGTCGGTGGAACCTCACTTGAGGAAGTGGTATTCTGGAGTTCAAGAAACTGGCGGACATTATCCCGCTTCTGTTGCTCCTGAGCGTTGCGCAGGGTGGCCTGCTGCAAATACTGCAGCGGAGGGAGCCCTTCTGTACCGAGAACATCTGACGACGCCACGACGGAGGGGACGGCGTCAGACACCGGGCGAAAGACAACCTCCTCATCGGGCTCGATCCTTCTGGCAGTCTCCGGGTTCCCCGGGTCGCCGGCAACCATGATGACACCGCCGCTTTCCATATTGACAAAGGGATGATCGTTCTTGAATGCCTCAATCATTCTTTGCTGTTTTCGCCACTTGCGGCAGTTCTCGCCTTTGGAGCAATAGTGTGGCTTGGGCATCACCTGCTCGATGCCAACGATAGAGACGGACTCCCCGGGCCGGATAGTATCCTCGTTGCTGGGGTGCTTGCGCCTGCGACTGCTCTGGCGACGTTTCAACTCACCGCCGTTGTCCTGTTTGTCGCGTCTCCTTTCCTCCCTCTTCACTTCCCTGCTTGGCTCGTCCTCAATGGGCGTTTCGGGGTCGGGCGAAGCAATCTGGATGTCCTTCATAACGTGGATCTCCTCCCAGATTTTGGTCCTTACGCCAAATGAGGCGATACCCAACTCCTTCAAGTCTTCAAACTTCAAGGTAATCAAAATCGCGCCATTAATGTCATTCTCGACGAACGTCTCTGCAAACTGCAGCTCAACGCCAGCATTGAGCATCCACTGTGCGACCATCTCGGGGGACCACTGCGCCAGGGTTTTGGTCTCCAGCTCTCGGCTCGTGAATTGGAATGGGCCGTCGCGAGGCGCCCTCGGTGTCGGCAGATCCATATCCAGGGTAATGGGCATTTGGTAGTTGACATCTCGGTTGAACACCTTTGGTGTGATAGGTGACAGCGAGAGCGCGTTTTCGTACTCGACCGAATTTGCGCTGCTAATAGAACTGCGGAACAGGTGAGGTCCTCTTGGGCCGACAATTGGCTTCACCGGGTCGGGCCCCATCTCAAACCGCGCAATTGACCGCTGATCGGGAGTGCGGATTTCATCGTACGTGGACAAGGTCGTCATACTTGGCCCGCCTCTCGACTGTTATGGAATTTCGCGTCAGCGTCCAGACCCGGGCAAGGGGTTAGAGCAGTCGATGGCTGGCTCGCAGGCAGCAAGGTACTTACGGAGTCGAGACTTAGACGTGGAGACGAGTCGCCGTCATCCAGCTCGCTGAGGATATCATCTTCCTCCCAGTCTGTCTCCATAAACTCGGTATGCACCGAGTCCGGCCTGGGTGGTGGGACATTCTTGACTGAGAAGAAAGTTTCGCGAAAATGAGACTTCTCCATCATTTCTCGATGTGGCCTCTCGGCCATTGCGTGCCTTGAGGCGAATTCCTGTAGGGCGATATTAGCGACATGTGCATTGGGGTGTTGCTCTGATGGATGTATGTGCTGTGACACTCACCATTTTGGGTGGCTCCGAGATTCGGTGCCAGAGAATACCTGGACGGAATACCTGTCTGCTGGGTGCCGTTCCGTGGTGCCGTTGCCAGCGCGTGTTTTTGTACGTGTGAAAAAGTAGGAAAAGTGCCCGTTCACATTGGTGATGTTGTCGATGCCAGTAATACTGAAAGGAAATATCCCGCTATGCTCATATAATCAAAGAAAGGTCGCAAACCGGGAAAGGGGTCAGACCACGACTTGTTCGGGCGGGCGTCTACAGGACGTTATGTATGGCAGGACGAGACAACACTACGCTTGTGTGTGTGGTGAGAAGATTCACAGAGCCGGCATATGCATGAGAATGGTCGGTCACAGGTGTGATGGCGGGCAGAGAAGAGCGTTTCGAACAAATAGAGCGCGGCGGTGGGGCGACTGCGAGGAGGTGAGCAAAGGTAGAGGTAGCCCGGCGCAGTATCGGTGAGCAGCTGGTACATACGTCCACGCGGGGTGGAGAGGCGGAAGGAAGAGCAAAAAGCCTTTCTCTCTCTCGCTAGACCGGCCTCCACACTTAGGCCGGCAGTGTATGCTTCTCGCTTGTCAATCGTGATGGCATGGCGCCTTGGAGACCAGACAGGCACTGGCAGGGCAGGGCGACCCTCCACGAGCACCAGGCGGTGGTGCCATGGTGCGTTATCCAGTGTATTTTTGGCAGATCCATAGCGAGGGTCGAGCCGGTCGAGCCCACCGTGCAGCGGCAAGCGGGCCAGCATCGCGGGCTGGTTGGCTACAAAGTCGGGCATCAGGGAGCGACAGCAACAGCGATGGTATGAAAGCTGCACCGATAGCCCGCGAGCTGCTTCTTCTGGGTGGTGATTGGCGTGGAGGTTGGGGAGGTCATCCCCGTGATTGGCTCCTCGCAAGCGCCGGCCGTTGACCTCTGCCCATTGGGCGGGAGCGAGGCATGGGAGTCCTCGCCTTGGGCACGTAGCGTGGGGACAAGGGCGATGTTGCAGGGGTCCAGGGGACGAGCAAGAATGCGACGTTGAGCATGCCAGGGTGAGGACTGAGGGGTATCCACCGCGGGCCCCGAGGAAGAGGGTGTGCCTCCATGCACCTGTTCACTATCACCGCAACCTGCAGGTCCATTGTTCATTGTTCGCATGTGTGGCTCCCTGGGGAGGAAAAAGGAAAGAGGGTGCGTGGCTCGATTCGCATTGACTGACTGACAAACGACCAGTCAGTCAGTCAGTCAACTGCATTGCGACTGTAAGGGTTGCGGTTCTCCTTGATTCTCGAGCTGTTCCCCGCAAATTTGGGTGACACAAGTCTCTTGGGAAGACTCTGAACAGAGGACGAGGTCAAACAAGCTCGCATGTAGCACAAGCTGTGGCTTGCGTGGGGTTGGCATGGGGAGGGATGGGAAGGAAGACGGCAGTACGGGAGGATTTGCTTCGGCTAGACGCTGCACAGCACTGCATGACTCTGCGCGACGCTTCCCCTCATCCTGTCCTCCTTGACAATATTATTGCATGGGTCTCACAGTAGCCCCGAGCAAGCAATGGCTCAAAGGTCGAGGATGTGCGGCGCCCACTGGCGAGGACGGGAAAAGAAGGGTCTCGATCGTCGTATCATGGGGGTTGCAACAGCCAAGGCGGCCGAATAGACCATTCGGTCGTCCCCCATCTTTGCCTTTTTCTTCTTGCTTGTCCTCGGGAAGCCTAGATTGGGCCTAACGTGGATCTCTCCTCTCTTCCGAGATGCCCACAGCGGCCCCTAGTCGAGCAAGATTTTGTCCCTGTGGGAACGGTCCAGGTCTGCCATTCGTCTCTGTCAAGTCGAGGATATCGTGTGAGACGGGCTCGCCCGGGAGCTGTGTCCAAGAATGGAGACCAAGCGATCTTGTTCATTGCCCTTCCCTGGCCTCTATGTCCAATCGACGCGATGTTCGGCATACATCGTGACCACGCCTCGGGGCCACATGACCTGTGTACCGCCGTTTCTGTGGCCTGCGACTAGAGCTGAAGACGGGTGCCAGATAATGGGTCGCCGAGGTCACTCCAGCAGCTTGTCTGCCTGCCTGCCAGTCCAGTTGCAGACAGGCATGGGGTAAAGACGCTATCTGCGGCCAATCTGCAGGCCATGTAGGGCTTGAGCTTCACCTTGGTCAAGCCTCACTTTCTGGGACCTGGTCCATAATCCACAGTTGGCAAATTATGCAGGTGTCACTCGGTCCGCTTCCGCAAGGAACTCTGGGTGCACCTGCATATGCGAGGGGTCTATCACACAGCATCACTCTCTCATTAATCAATATCTGCGAGAGTGCTTACCTTTCTCAAGGCATAGTTAATGATGGAATATATCCTCTCGGCCATTTATCATCGAACTCGGAACCAGCTGCATGAAATTGACTTGTGTCGTTTCGGGACAGCTCTTCGTAGGAGTGTGGCAAGCCTTCTTCTCTAGCGGAAGGGGAGGGGGGGTGGCTGTTGACGAGCAAACTGCTGAATCAGAATTTCCTCCCGTCACCCAACCCGCGATTGCCACACTGTCCCACAATTAGTATGCAGGCTTCCTGCTCGACTGCGCGATGCAATCGTGAAATCGTGAATCCTGCCGTCGACCGCTTCACTGCGGCAGGTTCTGTCGGCCCAGCCACCGGGGGCCCAAAGCACGATGACGAGCACCGCAACCCCCCGCTTCAGCTTACATTGTTCCGCAGCTCACCGACAGTTTGATTCATTCGAGAAAAATTCAGTCATGTTGTACAAATCGTGAGACCTTGATTCACCTTGGGCATCTTTGTCTGCTTTCGTGCCCGAACCCACGGGGACCAGAGAGACGTCGTTGTCTCGGGCGGGCACCGACCCACGTTTCGTCTCGGCCCTGTGCTGCGTATGGCGATGGCGGTCAGATTTCGATCGTATTTTGTCCCCGGCATATGGCCATCTGTAATCGGCGGCCCACAGAGCCACATGACAACCAGACTTTCTGGAGAATCTGTTCCCGCCAGAGACAGCAAAATGATTTTTTTTTTCACCTTAGCACGACTCCGCATCAAGTTTTCATAGATCTGCTTGTCTGGCCTGTGAGACCGGTGAGGACCGATCCTTCCTCACAAAAAAGTTGACAGGATCCACTCGGCCGTGTGATAGATACACTCCATTCTGAATGAGGAAAGTGGACTTGACGGGTTCATTGCGAATCCACACCTCACCGGAGCACCAGGCCTGTTGTGCATACACATGCATTTATTGCCCACAATGAAGACGACGCAAACACCTCCTGTGGCTCTCAGAGGGCCTCACATGATGATGACAGAATGCGAGGCCAATGAGTCTACCCGGATTGTGGTGTGTGGTTGACTCAGAAGGACGCACTAGTTGCTGTGTGAAAGCTGAATGGCAATCGCGTTTGATAACAGTCCACACGTAATTGATGATAACCCACTCCTATGCAGAGGAGCAGGTTCAATCATAATGCTAGGCGAGGGTTCCCGCGGCTGCACTTAAACAATGCAATCGAATGTAGATCCAGATTCGGCAAGATCATCTGCTAGACCTGACGATTTGGGATGTGTGGACCACAGTAGGCCCACGATGGGTTTGCCCGCCGCCACCCATGATCCATGATCGAGGGCGAGGGCAGCTTCCCTCGAGCTTCGCCTAGAGGACATGGGCAGTCTCAGTGGTAACCCTGGGATATGAGGCCCCTTGTCACCAACATTTCGAGGGAATATTCCGCTTCGTCGCCTGGCACAACGCGGTGCGCATTGACCCGAAGATATTAGGCATGAAGGCACCCCGGAACTCGCGTATAGAGACGCAGCAATGATCTTCAGATGCCCGAGTTGGGACCCGGAAAGCGTACCACAGTGGATGCTAGATACTAGCCCGGCGTCACAGTCGCATCTAAGGACTGAGAGACTCTTGGGAGCCGCAAACTCTCATAAGGCGACTCTGGAGCTTCTGGGTGCTTCCTTGTGCGGGAGAGTTCATGCAACCATGGGAATCTGGGGCACCATGAGGGTTCGTGGATGGTATTCGCTATTCCGGGAATCGACCAAGGCTTGGGCATGATTCATGGCTTGAAGACTAATTGTTTTGTCATGACTTGAGTCCGATCAGATAGCATTCCGCACCCGTGGAGCGAGCGAGCTCTTGGCTGCTGACGAAGACGGGAGTGGGTTTCTTGAATGGTTGAAAAATGCATTAGCTTAGCCGAATGACAAGGCGACGACACCATCTCCGGGATCTTCCCCATATGCGAGCCTGACTTGTTCAGGCATGGTCAGCAACCCTTTGAATGAGTTGAACCAAGATAACGCCTGATCGAGACCGCGGCAGCTGCAAGGCTGGTCCTAGACATCACGCATCACATCGACTATTGGCTGACAATTCCAAAACAAGAGACGCGTATACGAGTACACCCCCTCCGAAAAGGGGAAAAAAGAAGTTTGCCATAGATGAAGCTGGTGATAGGAAGGCCAGACGTCTGAGCGTTGATCAATGCTCAAAGCCTAGGCTGTTGGGACGACATCTCGCATTCCTCCCTAATCAAACTCAACCATCAGACGAGAACGGAGTGTGGTTGCAATTGGGGAGTGACGGGCACGTCATACACACATGCTTACCAACAGCCGACACTCGGGCCACATGAAGGAAGGCCCCATATGAGTTCTCGTGGGGTCGAGGCCGGGGCTGAGGACATGGCCGAGGGCGAGGAATTGTCGATGGCTTCTTCAGCCTGAAGCCTTTCTGCCGAGATTCCGATTTGATTTACGGGAGTGAGGTAACAGAGAGAGACCAGAGGTGGAGATATGAGATATTGTCCAATGGGCCAGGGTCTCATTTGCTATTCACCGGTGTGGGTGTTGAGGGTCTACCCGACTCCTCAGCTCCCGAACGCGAACTGGACGAGGTGCACATCTGGAGTGGACTTTGGACTCTGGAATTTGAAAACGAAGCCTGTCACCGTGTGTGTGGCCTTAGACCCTAGGTGAAGATCTACCCAGGCGAGCCTGGCGAG